CCAACAATCCATGACCGTACATTGGCAAGAACACTTGAAGGTATGTTGTATCGTGTAAAATTGGCAAGGCCACTCCCAGTTGAACGAAAACCGCCCTGATGTCCTGCAAAAAAGAGTCGACTATGCCAACTGGTTCATGCCCCATGCTGTAATGAATCATAGAATACTTGTAGACGAGTGTAGGTACAATATTTGGACGACAAGATGCTGTAATGAAGACGAGTGTGTAGAAAGGTGATTTCAATATTTGGACGACGGACGAGCAAGGACGGGGGAGAGCTGTTAAGGGGCATATCGACAAGTATGTGGTCAGCGAGGGGACAATGTGTTGAAATTGAAAGTAGAAATGAATCTTTTATACTGAGGTGAAAGAGTTTTTTTGAGTCCTGGAAAAATAATCTAATGGAGTCCTGAAAAGTCCTGGAAAATTGTTTCTGAAAAAGGGTACGAACCCTGCTGTAGCACTGGCAATTTCACCCACTAATGGACTCCTTTTTCACTCGGAATTTCTCGGTGGAATGAATGGACAAAGATTTAATGATTTTCTGACACGGGCAAGGCTAAACCTCTACCCAAATGAACATGTGATTTTCATTTATGACGGCGCACCAGCTCACTACAATCCTGCCATTCCTGGTCAAATTCTGAGCTTAAAAAGCTACCACCATACAGCCCGTTTCTTGACATCGTAGAGCAAGCAATGAGCACCTTAAAAGCAGCCATAAAAGCGGACATAAGTCGTCCAGAGCAGCAAGAACAGATGAACAACAGAGCAAAGGCAAGACGACAAGGAATCGCGTCAAGCAATTACCGCACTCAATTGCTACGTCAGGCCCTGCAGAGAATCATAGGCACTATCATGGCTGCTAAATGTGGACAGTGGTACAGATTTATGCAAACGTACATTCCAAGATGTTTAAATAATGAAGAAATTGAAGGAAAATTACAAAACATTACATTACAGTACACTGTAATCGAACAATTTTGAAATCTATTTTTCCCTAGTTGATTGTTATTACTACACGGTCAGTCAGTTCACGTTAATGATTGACCATTTTGAATAAACGATTGTATGAACAGAAAAGGGTGTATTTCGCAAGATGATCATCTCACAGCTGGAGCTTGGGCTGCTTGTGCTTCAACCAAATAAAACAATTTACTTAAACAGTGGAATACAATTCCCTATGACGTCATTGACAAGCTGTCTTTCTCTTGTACAACAACATATTGACATCGTTTGACAACACCAGTTGTCCTTGAGGTTCATTCAAGCAAATTAAAGGTTTGAAGTCCTCTTTCGTAAGTCTGAAGAGCTTTCTAAGGGACCATTGCTGTTGAGGCGTGCGTCTGCTCCAAAGATTTCGTGACTCGTTCATTACTGCATTATAGTGATCGTAGTTCTCTGTCTCTTTTTGTACAAAACCAACCCTGCTGTTTTCTGTTTTGATATGCTTCGCTGCCCTCTTGCGAACGATAATGGTAATTTTTTGGAGTTGCATTGAATTTCAATGAACGACTTCTGTCGGTTCAAAAGGAAAATAGATTTGTTGAGATAAGTGACAAAGATAACTCACAAGGAACTTAAAAAAATTGTTAAAAAAGTCTTACAACTAGTGACTCAATTCATTTCAAAACTTGTCGCCCATTTTTCCTCCTTTAGCTTCATGCTCAAAAATGTTTTTTCTCTTCGCTCTGACCCCCACGACAGCTTTTTTGCGTCCGTAGATTAAAGAAGAAGGCGTGCCTCTAAATTAATCGATGTGTTTTTACTTAACTCCAAAGTTACCTACGCTCGTAACTTGTATATTTGAGTTGGCAGAGAATATCCCACAGATGATTATTTGATTAATTCTCAAAACTTTTGACTTTGTTGCATTCAACAATACAATATAGTAAAAATATGCTTCCATCGTTTTTTCGAATTTGTTTGTTCAGAACTGGCTCAAGGCTTGGACACGGATAAAATCAATCCTTACATAGAGAAATGCTTTGGATTGAAGAAACCGCTGATTACCGTAAGTAAACAGACGATACCATCACCTAATAACCTGTCTGAAATCTTTAAAGTTTTAAACCCTCGTGTACAGTATGACTTTCTGGAATCTTATTGGCTGATGCAAAAGTGCTTGCAGTTGATAACGTACATTTTACATGCGTTCACGATTTCCCCCACCCATCCCCTAACCTCTTTATTAACCATGTTTGGTAACTCAACATAAACTTCATTTGTATTGGTCTGTGTAGCGTCTACCTTCTCGTGATATTTTAATTCTCTTTTGTGTTAATAACTGCAATATTGATATTGTTAGGTCTTCTTTTGTCCAATGTTTCTCTTCCCCTCTCTGCTTCTCATTGCAACAATCTATCTTCCTCTTTTTTTTTTTTTAATTTTGCAAGGTGCTTCGTTTATTGTGCGCTCAGTGTTTAACAAATAACGGTTTTAAACCGAAGATGTTGGAGTTCTACTATCGGGAAATCCTACAGGTGAGTTTCTTAGTTTGTCTTTCCACTTGGGTAAAGAAAAAAAAAATAAAAATGCACGATAGAAAAAAAAAAAGAACAAAAAATGGAATGCTTTCAATCATTACCTTTCTGAAGTTTCCTCTGTAGTCTGCCAAAGCCTGAAGCGCCATTTCTGTTTTTCCTAGACATATGGCTTTGAGCATACATACAGGACGCTTTCTACATTGGAAACTGCTGGCTTGCTAAGAGCGCAGACGCAGCCGTCTCGATCTTACAATCAATTGCGCAAGTCAATGAAGCTTGTCGTGGAAGATGTCCAGGAGCAGGTAAATAGAGATGGGTATTTTTAAATTGGTATTCTTCATATAACAAGGCATGAAGTGAGGGTTACTAGAGTGTGTCGGTCGAAGGTATCGCAGCGACTTATGGGCTAGAGGACATGTCAAGAATTGGCCAGTTTGGTGTGGATATCAGGATATTAATTTTCTTTATCACTTTTCAGAACCCAAACGACATCGCATACGTCTTTTCAGGATACGCGCCGCTCACTGTCCGGCTGGCGCAGTTTCTGGCGCGGCCGCAGGGCTGGAGAGGACTTGAAGAGGTAAACAGACGCGTGATTGTACAAATTTCTTTGATTTTAGAATGCAATATGTGGACCATTGCCAGAGACTAATCCCTTACGCGGGATGCCGGAGGAGAGCAAAGAAAAGCGCGTGGAAACAGTCTATGACGTGCGCGGGAAACGACGCCTAGAGCGTAAGGCTTTTGAAATTCTAGTTCCATAAACTTATTGACCACTAGAGTGACTTATCCTCTCTGCTTGGCGAGAGCATGTTTAGTGATTTGTTCCATTGACAATGCTACCCTGTCCTCTTTGACCTGTCTAATTTGGAAACCGGCGCCGTTTTCGCCTCTAAAGCAGTTCAGTTGCTTTCTATCTGCATCGTTTTTTATCCATCCTTACTCAGATATATTGTTCGAGCAAACCATGCTTCGTAGCTAGTAAAATTGTACGAACTTGCACATATAATCTGTTTGAATTTTCTTCAGGTCCTTCGGTTGCTCCCAGGCCCCGCAGTGGAAGAAGTCCAACGGCTGCCTCCTGGTCTTCAGAAAAGTAAGATTCACGCTGAAGTATTGAAGCTGTCATTTTATATTAGAGTTTTCTGATCGTTCTGGCACATTGACAGGTTTAGTTTTTTGTGAGGCGCACACATTGTTTACTAGGCAGTGGGAACAGACTACTTTTGACACCACTGGATATTTGCCCCCTACCACGCTTACGAGTTCATCCCCTGAAATTAAACTTTATCAGTTCACCCCCAAATATTCAACTCATGTCCTTACAACAGAAAACATTAACTTTCTTTGGTAAGCTGGCCGTAGGGTGAAACCTATAGAAACCACTTCTTTTACTAAGGTTAACCCTTCAGTTCTAGGACGACTAGAACTCCCAATTACACTGACGTCATTTCGGACGTCCACTGGGTTTTGCCTCAAAGGCAGCAGAAAATAAAAAAGGTGAATTTTCATATGGCCGCCAAATTGACTAGCCTTGTTAGTGAGGTTACCGATTTAAAGCCTGGGTGTGAAGAGGGAAAAACGGAAATTCTGAATTGGGAAAATGACAGACTTTTGCATAGTTGGGTATATATTCTACTCCATCAGTCACAGAAACGTCTGTAAATATGAACAGTTTTAAACTTACATTTTATGTTAACGATGAGTGACACTGACTTAAAATTTTAATTAAAAACTAGTTTGGCCAGGAGGGATACTTATTATCGGTATTAAATTGTGTTTCCGTCTTTGATTTAGTGAGGGTCAAAATTGTTATTTTCTGTCTTTTAAAATCTGTTCAGGGCCATCGACAGGCGTAGACAGTTCCATGGATGGTCCACCAAAAGTAACATTGGTTTTCTTCATTGGAGGTTGTACACACGCTGAGATTTCTGCCCTGAGATTTCTTACTCAGCAGGAAAATAGTGAGTGTTACTCCTTGTAAATAAATGGTTCTAATTGGTGGAATATAATATTCGGTTGTGATGAGCTGTGCGGTCATTAGAGAGTGCTGCAAGTTAGTTTGTCGTACCTCAGCTTTGAAGGAAGTCTCACGTGTTTTATGTTTCCGAAATACAGACTGAAAGTCTCAAAAACCAAAAGTTTGGAAACCAGAAGTAATAAAAAACGGTTTCACGCCCCTTATTTCCTCTCCCATTTCAAGGGTTGAAATCACCTTAAAGTTTATACTACAGGACAATAACTTGTCCAACTAATGATTGAGTACTTTTTATCTCATGAAAGCATGATGGAACTCTGACAACGCAAAATTTGGGAAGTGATTCATGTTTTGGGAGCGATCGAGAGAATAAGAAAAAGATATACCAACGCATTCGAGGATTCGCGTAACTGTCTCGATTCGCATTTACTTCTCAAACCCGAACCTTTGCCGCATTTACTCACATTGAGTTATTCTCTCTGCCCCAGGCTCAACAGAGTATCTAGTGGCAACAACCAAGATTATCAACGGCACGTCGCTAATCGAATCCATCATGGAGGAAGGCGCCCCTGTTGAGGCAAACCCATTTTCATAATTTTTAGAATGCTCTTGATGAGAACTTGTTCACGAACGTCTGTGAATTTATCCTTCTCCGCTTGTGTTTGTGAGAGAGTAAGTGATCACGCGTGTTTTGGCTGTTTCGCGATGTGCAATCTCGGTTTAGTCTTCGCGTAATTTTGGTGGTGTCTTCGCTTTTGAATCGAGATTTACGCTCTTGATTATCTTTTTACAGAGACACTTTTCTCGTCAGCATAAGAAAAATCTATTGTATAATTTCAAATATTCAACAAATTTAAAATATATACAAATTGAGAATCTTTTTTGGAGCATATCCAGAACATGAAATAGGATTATTTTCAAAGAAATAAACTCAGAAGTTTTTAAACTAGACGTGTTATCAGTCCGAGTGAGTTCCTGAAAGAGGGCTGCTGTTTCAGCCGCAATTTATTCCTGTTTCCATAACTAGAAATGTATCACAACACAAGGTGATGAACTGACGGAAAAACTTTTGTCTGTGGTGTGAGATTCAATCCGCCGTTTATTTACTAGTGTATTTGTTTTGCTCTTGTGATGCTCCAATATTGTTCAGCCATTTTTTCCCTTCCCTCTTCCTTCTTTCTCTTGATTTTGCTCCTTAGTCCTCAGTATTTCCACATGTCCATAACATATCTTACGCGAACAGGGGAGGATTTTGAAAATGTTCACTTTCTCAAGTAGAATCACGTATGATATAATTTGTTTTGTCAATGTGATATTTAAAACCTGCGGGTTATTCTCTATTTTTATCCGGTTTTGAGCCAAAAATACTATCCAAAGGAAGTGAAGGATTGTGGTCTTTCGTTAAACAGAAATTTTAATATTCATACTTTGAAGTTCAGTGTTCTTCATTAAAATTTAATTATTCGACCATCACGTGCATCTTCACATGAGGAAGAAAATGGCGACCGAAGCTAAATTTAAACGATATGTTGTGACAAGGAAATCAAGAAATGTCCACACTTTTGCGTCCAAACTTGTCATTGGTACCAACATGGTTTGCGGTCTTCAGCTTGGAAAGTGAATATGCCTTGGTGGGACGTAAGATGGAATGAATGGTTATATCAAATGGTTGTATCAAATGAAAACATCAAATGAAAGCACGTTAAACTCTTGTTGGAATTTTCTCCTGGAAAGGTAATTTCTAGTTACCAACATATACATTTACCATCATATTTAACTCGAGGAAACGTAGAAAGCTAATCTTTAGACATTGATTGTACCTGGTCATTAGCTTTTTATGCGTTAAATAAGATGTTAAATTCCGAATTTAAAAGTTAACGAATCAAACGGCGTGAATTATATGCACAAAGCGGTGCTTCTCTAATATAAGTTACTCAGGCATCCGATATTTGGCGTATACAATGTAGACTTTACAGTCGTTGAAGCAAAATCAATAGAAAATGTTCAACAATGTTTTGATATCCAGTATTTTTCTTTCCTCAAAGCTTCTTATTTTTGTAACGATGCTAAAGATGCACCCAAAAAGCGCAGTTGTAGTAAAAGATTTCTAGTCAGTCGGATAGAACTTATTTGAACGCCATGGTATGAATCTTTTTGTAAGTACAGAGGCAAGATTAGTTTACTTACATAGGTAGACAATCCCAAAACACTTACAAGATGTCTGTGTACATCATACAGAATCCCCTGAAATGATGACAACTGTATAAAGATCTTAGGTAAAAATCTGGAACAGTCTCCCAAATAACCTCAAACTGAATGAAATAATTACTGACCATTCTGAAGTTTCCCTCATAATTGTCATCTTAGACTATAATTGATTTCACGTCACGCTTTTGCCCTCCACTGAAATGTACACTGCTGCGATTTCTAGGGTGACCACGGGAGTGGACAATAATTTCTCTTTTTTATCTTCTTTTCTTCTGGGTCACATAAAATAGGATCATTTGTCGTTAATGAATTCGTAAAGCTTTAATTTTAGGATCGGTGGTCCTCTAGAATAGACAAGCTGGCATTATGTAAATGAAAAAACTTCAGATTCAAGGTAAATCAAAAGAGATTAATGGAGATATGCCTCCTTGTTTTCAGATACGACCACAGCAGAGATGATCAAGGAACAAACTGATTATGAAGAGTTCAGAGAACGTATTTAAGTTGAACAAGGTTTGTGTTTATCAAAAGTGATCCATGATAACTGGTGCATTTCTCATGATCATTGCTGCTTACCACAACAGTAAAGTAGTTCTATCTTTACATTATTAAGACTCAGTTTACAGCAATGTGTTTTTTGCTGTGCCTGCAATCCAGTAGAGAGAAGCGTGAATGCACTGAGCCCTTTAAACCCTAACGGTTTACCTAACATCAGTTGAGGACGGGAGTTGAAGCCAAAAATAATATTTGCGATGTATTATTAAGAAGAAAAAAATTTCCCACGGATTTTTACAAACAAATTTCCAAGTGCACACAAAGCTAGTTATTCCATCTCCCAAAACTTCACCCCTTCTATCAGTTTTCTAGTGGTCCATCCTGTCATGTGAGTTATCTTAAAAGTCATTTTTTAATAACTTTAAGGGTGCTAGGATTTCATGCGGAGAGCCCCATCATTCGAAAAGGAACCCTTACAATTCCGTACATATCCTGAAGAGCCTCAACACAACTTATTCGCTAATTCCGTTCCCTCTAAAGTCGCACAAGCCTTGCAAGCCTTTCAAGGGGCGTACGGCTACTCCGCTCTGCGTTGGATATATTTCCCGACTTGATTGTATTACACTTAATATCTGTAAGGGATTTCTAACATTAGTACGGAATATTGGCATGACGTATATTTTCAGCACTTACAACCAAATAATATGCAGGGTAGTGAGAATGAGGGGAATTCCTTTTTGTTTTTTGGGGTGAAATGTTTGAGCTTTTAGTTTAGGGAAGTTGAGATTTTGCCGTCGTCCAAGTCTTTTGTCGTCAACTTGTTAACCCCTAAGAGTGACTAGCGTCTAGTTTCTCCTTACAATATCACCCAATGAAGGCAATGATCACCAACTTAAGAGGCTCTTGGTTGTGAGACAAACTGAATGAATGAAAACTTTATTTATCCACGGTACTTATCATCAGTAAAAAGTACACTTCCAAGGAGCCTACAACTACGACTGCTAATATCTTTACCTAAAGAGTTCGTGTGTCTCCTTGTCAGTACCTTAGAAAATATATAAAAAATAGTTTGGAGAATTTCCATCTTAATGGAGGGCCTAAAAGGTTAAAACTTTATACTAAACTCTTTAAAACAACCAATTTCATATAAGCACTTGGCTGTTTTTCTACTTAATCCTCTCTACCTCCCCTTTTTTCAATATGGAATTGCATTCAGCCTACCAATATTCATCTTTACACTAGATCTTAAACAAAACCTTGGAGTATGTTCAATGCCATCTCGACTGTTCGATAATTTATGGTGACTTAGAACCTTCGTAGGCTTTTTAAACCTCGGAGGTATTTTTTTAAACCCCAGAAAACCCTTCAGTGCTAATGGCAGTCAACAAATTAGCTCAACAATGATACTAAAGAACTGGAACTATATGATTTATAAACAACTTGATTTTAAAAAAAATACATGGCTGGTAAAACTATACATGGCTGTACAGAAACTAGCAAATTGTTCAATTAGAAATGTAAGTATGACGCATTTATCTCTAGTATTTAGTACATATTTAAGCTCTTACTCGAATGCTGCTGCTATAGCGTCAATGAGCTTATTCCATTTGGATTTACGTCCTTGACGAACTGACTGACAGCGAATTGTAAAATATAAACAAGAATCGGATCAATATTAGTATCTGGGCAACTGCCCACCTACCCCTCCCCTAACTCAACAACAGTCAATTGATAACAAGTTAGGGTTAATGTTGGGTTAGGGGTTAATGTTGGGTTAGGGGAGGGGTAGGTGGGCAGTTGCCCAGATACTGATTTGATCCCAAGAAGGATTAATATCAGTATCCCAAGAATCTATTCTCGGGCACATTGTGTCAGGTTGTCTCAGTTTTGTCTCATGTGAAAACGTGACCGTTTGGGGAACGAGTCTTCTTTACAGTCCAAAACTACATGGTCACACACGAGCTCCGCTCTTCAATTTACAGAATTGTGTGACACACATCACGCAACTGATCCTTAACTAGGCGAACGAGAAAAATTGCATATTTCGCTAATCGTAATTAATTTCCTAGCAGTTTGTCTAACTCCTTTCTGAACTTGAGTACATGAAACATGTTTTTAAGCTGAAGTGTGTGTTCAAGACACTTGTAAAAATAATCTGGGCATTCTCCTCGGAGATCTTGAAGTTCAATCAATGTTTGTCCTGTGAATTCAACCATGTCTCTGTCACACACCTGTGCCAATCCAATTTTCTTCAGCCATTTTTTCACGTCCTCATTTGTCCATCCGGCTACATCTGGACCAGAGGGCTGTTTTGTTAGAGTCGTAGCCTCAGTTGTTCGAATCACCGCCTCTAGGGGACCGTCTGTGTGGTCCACATCTTTTCCTCTTCCTGCTAATTCTTTGACCAGTTTTGTCACCCCAGAATCAATAGTATGCTTACTCTGAAAGTCAATCCACATTTTCGTTCCCAACAGCATTCCTAGCCAGCCATCCGCTTTGTAATTTTTCTGCATCATCAAAGGAATTATGTCCTTTCTTAACTGATAGGCGTACTCGGCCTCTGAACGACAGTTGGGACTCTCTTTGTATCTTTGTGACACGCAGATCAGAACAACAGCGGCGTTCTCGACAGCTTTGGCCATTGCGTCCAGTGTAGACCCACCCATTTGCTCCAGATCCATCCATACTCTGTATCCATTAGCCTGAAGTTGATTTTTGACTTGGACCAAGACTTCCTGAGCATCCCATTGGTAGCTAATCATCACGTGGTTTCCAGACCCCTCTTTTGTCTTGTCGGCTTTGTCTCTTGCTGTCTTTCCTTCAATCTCCCACAATGCTCCAGCGGCTGCCTTTTGCACTGCAGCGTTTTGACTGTGGTGTAATGTGCGTAAGATGTCCACGGTTCCGTTTCCCTCTCGAATGATATCCTTGTTAGAGTCGTCGAAAGCCAGCATCCACAATGCCTTGGCGGCACTCGCTCGTTCCTCGTCGTCGCTTGAGGTCTGGAGTGTTGACGTTAGGACTCTTATTGCCCCTTCGCTTCCAAGAATTTGCTTGTTGTTGTCGTTAATTGCCAAATGACTGAGTCCTTCTGCAAGTTCCTTAGCGGAGAAATTGGCGTTGCTTCGGCGGTCTTCTACCTTCCAAGCTTCGTCTAACATTCTTATAATGAAGCGAAGCAAGTCTTTGTCGGCAGAGATTAAATGATTAGTTTCTTCATTAACAAGGTACGCCAGGCACAACAAGGCCGGGGCAGCAATACCTGCCACCTTAACCTTTGCAAAATAAAGTAAAGTCTCGTCACTGTTAGCAAACCATTGGCGATCTCTCAGTCGGCGAGAAATGTTGTGCAAAATGTTGATGCACGTTTCTAGTATTTGAAATATTACAGAATCTTCATCTTCGCTTTGCCAGTCGTCATTTTCTTGATCGATCCTCTCGATATTCTCAATGCAAGTTAGTACAACTCCATCTTGAGCGCTCGCCAAGCAAAAACCATCGTGGAAATCAGCAAAGTTCTGTATTGTTCCCAGTGCAATAAGAAGGCTTCCAAAGGAAGTAAAAGTCTCCTCTTGGTCACTTGTCCCCAATTCGTCGTCTCTTCCATCAGTATAGTAATCTGTGAAACAGTTTTTCACGAAGCTATGCAGCGCTGTTGCTCCTTCGACTTCGATTATAAACTCCATAAGCGTATTGTATTTTTCTGAGTCGTTCGACCCTGCTGACATACACGCGCTGCAGCTTGTGTTATACAACTCTTCGAATATTTCACTCAGCCTAGAATATTGAATTATATATCCCTTGGATTTGTCGTCTACGGCTTTTCTCAAATCTTGAAGAGGGGTTAACATCGTTTGAAGGTCATCTTGTAGCTCTGGGAAGCTGTGCGTGTATTTAAGTAAGACTTCCCACTCATCCAGTGAAATCCTCTCACTTTGTTCTTCGTTCGTGTGCTCCTTGTTTACACTTGACGTATAGCCGCGATCCTGTACGGACTGGTGTTGAACAACTTTGGGCTTCAAATCAGATGTCGGCGGTCTGTCCACAGCCATGTCCATTTGAGGTTGTCGAGGTACTACATTAAGATTTCTTGAATTCTTTGATACACCAGAACCCATAATGATGGGAGTGTTAGACAACCAGTCGCCAAAAGCACGATGCAGCACGTAAATTTACAGTTTCTCAGTTGCTATGCTGTGAATCGTGCTGCGTTTGTCATCGGGGAGAAATTTTCGTGTTGAATATCCTTGCGTAGTGGCCGGTTACTTATGAAATGTAGACGAAATTGTACTTAAATGTTGTCGACAATGAGTTTTTCCGTCGGTCAGAGTTAGACATAGTTACCGCCGCTTTCTCGAGTTGGATAAATGTTTTTTCCTGAAAGCAATCGCGCAAGTGCAACTCCCTATGACGTCATCGACAATCTATCTTTCTCTTTTTTAATACAATAACATCGTTTGCAAACATCAGTCGTCCTTGAAGCTCATTCAAGCAGATTAAAGGTTTGAAATCCTATTTTGTTAGTCTGAAGAGCTTTTCTAGGGGAATATTGCTCTTGAGCCGTGCCCATGCTCCAAAGATTTCGTGACTCGCATATTACTGCATTATGGTAATCGTAGTTATCTGTTTCGTTTTGAACAAAACCCACCTTGAGTTTTTCTGTTTTGAAATGCTTGGCTACCCTCTTGCGAACGAAAATGCTAATTTTTTTGGATTTGCATTGAATTTCAGTTACCGACTTCCGTCAGTTCAAGGAAAATAAATTTGTTAAAATAAATGACAACATGGTGTGACGTGAGTCACGCTAATTATTTTCGGACTTGTCAAGTTCATTAGTAATAGCCTTTCCATGTAATTCAGGGCTTACGCCCCCTTTAGCTATCAAATAACACATTTGTCAGAGTCTAAGTTAGGAGTTAGGAGCCATTTCTGTAAACACAATTTCGTATCATTCTTGGAGCTGGAGTTGGACTCTATAAGTTCATGTTTCTTTCGATCTTCTTTTGATTTTCAGCTATCCTGATTATATTCCTGTTATTGTAATCATAGTTTTCCACCGTGTGTTATGAAACAAGTTTATCAATAAATCAAATGTGATCATCATGGCACTCACTCCTGACATGTGACCGAGGCAGCAACTTCGTCGGTGCAAAGTCTGAGATCGATGAAGCCCTCGCGGAGATGGATAGCGAGTCGGTTGCGAATTACTTATCGGAACAGAATTGTGAGTGGGATCTTCAACCCACCCCACGCGTCTCACTACGGCGGTGTATGGGAACGTCAGATTGGTACCATCCGACACATCCTGGACGACTTGCTCTTGGAGTTAGGGGCGCGACAGCTGACCCATGAGTTGCTGGTTACCATAATGTCAGAAGTTGTGGCGATACCATCCGATATTGACGAACCCATCCGATATTGACAAAACATAGGATGTTACCGACAGAGTTGACACCAGCGATGCTATTACGCCTGGTTAAAGACAGCGCCAGTCTGTTGTGCGGGAGGTCGAGGGTCCGCCCCAGACCGGACCAACACTCCAGGGTCTTAAAATAACCTTCTTTGTAATTGAACCAACATTCAATCGGATAATAACTATAATAAGGATGTCTATAAATGCATCTTCGACATGGAGAGGGGACGTTAAAGAACCCACACACTTGTCGAAAAGAGTTGGGGGCGTAGTTCCTAGCCAGTGGTGGTCTATCTGTTATTTCATTGTACATTTCAATTTTGGGATCATGGACTGATAGCGGCAGCCAGAGGCGGAAGTAAACTTGAGACAGTATGTGATATGTGCGGTATATAAATACACATTCATTCATTCATTCATTCATATCCAAAATCTCCATGTGCGGATGAAGTGGAACAAAGAACAGCGAAATCTAGCTGTTGGAGACATCGTCCTGATGAAAGACGAGCAAGCCCACCGAAACAAAGCGACACGTGGAACATTCTTTTGAAAGAATTGCGTGGCTAGAGTTGCAGAAAACTTTACAGTTTTATCAGATTTTTGAGAGAACACTAAAAAAACGAATATATGAAAAGAGGGTATTTGGATTTTACTTCACGGCTCAAGAAAAAAAAATTGCAAGCAAAATACTACGTTGACTGTTGTTGTGATAACATCTTGCGTGAATTTTTTCTTTGGAGCACGTGTATTTGTTGTAATGCAAAAAAAAAAAATACCACAACCTTGTAGGAATAGTAAAAATAACTCTAATGGGGCGTACCGAAATTTGTATGTACAGATTATGTTTGTTTTTTAAAAAAACTGTCGATAGCCTAATTAGGGTAAGGAGAGAAAACCAGTAAGACTACTTTGAAGAACTGAGTGAAATTCATTGCTGGTGTAATTGCTGTTGTTAGCGAGATGCGAGATGTGAGATGCGAGATGCGAGATGCGAGATGCGAGATGCGAGATGCGAGATGCGAGATGCGAGATGCAAGAGAATATGATTAGTGACAAGGTTCGCTTGTACTAGTTTATCAGTTCGTTTAATTGAAGCTCACATCAAGATTGTTTACGTATGCTTCTAGTGGTTTGTTAACTCGTATCTTCTTTTCTTTGGCAGATTACTGAATGGCTGGTAACGAAAGTAAAACTCAAGTACTGACACAAGAGGAATGTGTCTTCCCAACTCACAAAAAATAATGCTAAGAGAAGAAGTAGCATACAAAATTTTTACTTCAGTGCGAAATTTGAGTAAATCGAAGAGAGTCAAGGCTGAAGTCGTTTCGTTTCGTTTTATTTAATTTCCAAAAGCCTTTTATCTTAGACTGTACCATTTGCTTAACAACAAGTCGAATTTATCATTTGAAGATTATGCTTTACAACTTGGAGTACGTTTTGTTTTCATGTGTACAGTTATATCTTCGATTTTTTTATCGCTGCTTTTTCTTTAGTAACATCTGTTTAAATTTTTTTTTGCCGCCAAAAACTTAGAAAAATACGGGCGCTTAAAATACGCATGCGGCACTCTTTTTTTTGCGCTTAAGGAAACTCTTTAAGTAACAACTGTTCAAAATGGCGTAATTTTCCCGCCAAAAACCTTAAAAAATACAGGCGCCCAAAATACGCATACGCCGTTTTTTTTGTTTTTTTTTCCAATGTGGAATGTTCAGGATTTTGTGTCTTTCATGTCTATTAAACTCTATTGTTATTTGATATAAGTCAATAAACTTAATGTCGTTTGCTGTTTTATTTTGTGATCTTCATTTTCAATCTAAAATATTTCAGTCAACAAACAACAAAAGAAAAGTTTCGTCTATTTATTATATTCGAAATTATTCAATGAGAAAAACTGAATTTCTCCAAAGTTTAAATTACTTCCAAACTGAATTCATGAATAACTTCTCATTTGCTTGAAACGTTTACAAGACAAACCAAACTGAAAAAAGCTCCCAATTCTTTCTTTCACTTGGGTTGGACAGACAATTGTTTTCTTAACTGCTGTAATTACTGAGTGAACTATGATTTGAATAAATTCATTCTGATAGATTTCGAAGCCACCACCTTAATTGAGCTAGGTGTTAAATTGGCAGTAAGCGATAGGCCTTTTATCTACAAAATACCTTTGACTTTTTCGATGTACAGTTTCGGTACATACATGACAGATTTTGTGGTCTGTATAACTTGCTTTAAGATCAAAATCATTTCAGAAAAACCATCATAGAATCCTCTGAACCAGACAATCAAATAATTATGAGAAGGAATACCATCAATTAAAACAAAAAATCTAACTAAGTTAAATTTTTAGTATTTTTTGAAAAAATGATTATTTCTTTCTGTGGATTTGTTTCACGTTAAAATAATCTTCGTATCTCGTTAAAAATTGAAATTATTCAATAAAGAAACTCTGTGAAGACCAAGCAAGGGTAAAAGGCATTTATTATGAATGAAAGACAAAAATTCAGGAAGAAAAACTGAGAGACAAACTTAAAAAATAACCAAATCAAAGAGAAATATATTGAAAAGTTCATTGCGCTGGGATTTGAGTGCACTACTGTTGTGGCACCATGCCCCATCCACTGAGATATTAGAAACCTTGAATTTAATAAAACTTTGTTCACTGTACAACAACCGATCTATCCACTGCCAAGATCACCTCCACAAAAGTTTATAGGTAAAAGTTTGTCAACCTAAATATGACATCATTATAAAATATCAACCCTTTTGAACACAATGTTAAGTTAAGGTGTGGGTGATTAATTTCCTCATTTCAGGGTTTGAGGAAAAAGGAAAATTTCCATGAACTGGATAACGCATCCAGTGATTTACGAAAAAGGAAACTGAATAGTTTACAAGTACACCAGAGAATATTCATGAGCGAGGTATAGAATCAAAAAAACAAATATATATCTCCCCCAAAATTAGAACCATTAAAATTGCAAGAAAGAAAAGGAATTAAAGACAAGTTCAGTCAGGATTTGAACCTTGACTGAGCCTACTTCAGGGTACAATTTTTTACCCACTCAGCTGTGGGGAGCTTATTTTATGTATAACAAAAGACCAACTTTAAACACTAGTCTAAAATCAGACATTACTGTCTAAAATCAACTGTAGAAACAATAGTCTCTAAAATCAGACTCTAGTGTCTAAAATAAACTATTCACTATTCACACTAGTGTCCAAAATCCCAAATCAGCCAGCAATGTTAAAAATCCAAAATCAGAAACTAGTGTCCAAGATTGACTGTTTAGACAATAGTTTCTAAGATCTGCCTCTAGTGTCCACCATGGACACCAACTAAAAATGGACTGTTCAAACAATAGTGTGTAAAATCAGACACTAGTCTCTTGAAATCAGACACTAGTTTCTAAAATCTGAAACTAGAGTTTAAAATTGGGCATAATTTCTTGACTCAACTGTTCAAACACTAGTGTCTACATCAGACATTAGTGTCTAAATTTGGGGTTTAGTGTCTAAAATCTGACACTATTGTGACTGTTCAGATACTAGTGAATAAAATCAAACACTAGCATCAATAATCAGTCACTAGTGTCTACAGTTAGACACCAATGTATAAAATCAGAAACTAGGAAGTTGTGCCAAGCACCACCTTGCATTTTTACTTGCTTGCTTGTTTTTCTTGGCATTTAGGTTCAAATTGCTGCAAAGAAGATTGTTGCACTTGGAGATTATATTTCTGAGTGGGGACAGACACATAAATTTTTCAGAATTGTCAAGCTGTTTTTTTTCCCCCAGGTATAGGAATGCAGGCAAAAAAGCACTGCAGGATATTATGCTAAGCACTTCCTAACCATGCAATCTTTTGTTTTTTTTGTGTTCACAAACTGTGAATAAACAAAGAAGAGGGAAATCTACACTGTTTAGTTAGATCAAAATGTTTGGAATGCTATTGGGTTTGATGACCACTCATCCTTACTAATTACCATTACTGTACATCTTACCCAACTTACATTCCACACAAAAAATGCGTCAACAGCCAAAATGTGTCAAATTTTATTGAGTTTTTCACCAATTGATAACAATGCTCACTCTCAATCTCTAAAACCTCACTGGCTGCCGGATATTTTAAAACATTAGAGGGGATTTGTCATACACTAGGCCAAGAGTATATCCCCACCTAAAGTTGCATTCAGCAAAGTTGTGCTTTTTTTGTCAACTCAAGATATCATAGGTGTTATGAATTCTGTATATTTGTCTGTGGTTCTTCATCAAACTTTTTCCTGACCTCCTCTGGAATCTGCACCTGTTTTAGGTCCTGCATGGATGGTTCTGGTTCATCTGCTATTAAAACTTGAATCACATTTCCACATGACTTCTTTACTTCTTCATTTACTTCCCAATTGAATAACTCCTTGAGAATAACATAAATGTTAAACTTCCTCATCATCTCTCTGCCATGTTTTGTAGAACATAACTGAAAAAAAAATACATGAAAAGGTGATTTCAAGTGATTTTGAAGTAAATAAAGCAAACAAACCTCATAAAAACACACTGAGTATTGCAACATACCTTTAGATATGGGAAAGGGAGTAAATAAGAGACCAACTTTAACCCTTTAACTCCCAGATCAAATTTCTAATTTCTCTTTACAGTCAACCATAAAATTCTTATAATGTTAGTTCAGAGAATTTAGTACTGGATCAACTGATTATCCCCAAATTGATATTTTTCTTTATTCTCATCACTTATCTGGTTGATGTTGTATTAATATTGTAAGGAGAAATTCTCTTGGTCACTCATGAGAGTTAAAGGGTTAAGAAGTAAAATTTTTTGTTTTGTGATACTGAAATCAAAATATTCCATGGTAGTATTTAACCTTTAAAAAGCTCTAAGATCATGGTTTTTTAAATGCACCATTTGGAAAAAAAATCAGAAACTAGTTGCCAAAAATTTAAAAACTTTGGTTTACTCTAGCCAGCAATTGCACTTGAAGGCATGCGTGAGGAACATGGCAAGACTAAACACATGCAAAAACAAAGGCACAAGCAAAGACAAAGCACAAATATGACTTTGATTAAATGTTTAGCTCACTTTAACTTCATATCAAATTTGAGAATGCAAATGTTAAGCTTGCCTCTTTGTGACTATCACTGAAAATTTAGGTGCCAACATTTTTTCAAACCACCATGACCACCAAAATTGGTTTCAGCTTTGAGTACCACATTACCTTTATTATCAACCATAAAAAATAGTACATACACTGACAGACCTGAAGTAAGGCTTCCAATAACATGTTCCTGATGTCTGGATCACTTTCTCTCTCTTTGTTATCATCCATGTACTGGAGATCAGGGGGTAGTTTCTCCATCTCATCTTCAGGAAATTCTTCTGGTCCTGTCAGTGGTAGCAGCAGGTGTGGTAGGATGTCCACAGCATCACTTAATAACCACTGATGACTTCCTGGGAACAATATACAATCAACACAGAACCAATCAATATCATTAACAACTCTCTACCATCAATCGTTGGAGATTCCAAGAAAACAGAGAACTTTTACCTTTCTGCTCCCAAGATCTCATTAGTAAGTCTCCTTACAGTCTGATGTTATTTTTGAGAATTTGGTACTTGATCAAATACTAATTCCCCTAATCTCTATTTTTCTTTATTTTCATAACCTGTCTGTTTGATATTGTATTGACACTGTAAGGAGAAATTCTATCTTGGTCACTCATGATAATGAATGGGTCAAGCACTGATCTTCAAACATTTAAGTTTGGTAAGGAGAGGAAAAGATAAATCAAAATCAATTATGATAGGTGTATGATAGACTTTCTGGCTTTGAATGGTTGTCCTTTTCTCTCTTAAAAATGCTTCATTTATTTAGGGCAGAATAACAAGGAAACGTTATTGAAGTTAAAACTCACTTGACTCAAAGCAGCAATTCTTTAGTACAGCCACAATTCCTCTTCTTTTTACAAGTGAGGCACTGTAGGTTGTGAATGGAAGAAGGCGTTGAATAACACAGCAATCCCTGTCCAAAATATAGTCTCGTGATTCTTGTAATTGCGTTAAATTCGAAAGAAAAGTGGCGAGATAGTTCAGTTCAGCGCGGGGATTATACTTCTCTACGCACAACACCTCTACAATTTTGTATAAACTACATTCCTCAGACGTGTTCGTAACCTTGAGAACTTCACGACATCCAGTTTCTGTTCTTGTTACATTGGACAAAATCATGGCCACTTTGTCGGCGTGCTCACTAGTTTGTTTAAGAGCATAGCTCAAAAAGGGCTTAATGATGTTGAATTTGAGGAGTTTGTCCGAGATGGCGAGTTCTGCAGACAAATTCACGATCGTAGAGTATGCATCTCTGGAAATGTTGGAGTTCGAGTCTCTCGTCAGTTCCAAAATGCATCTCAAGTATTCTTCGTTTTGGTTCAGGAAGTGCTTTCCACTATCAGAACCAGAGAGTCCCAAAATATAATCAAGAGCCAACGATTTCACGTCTCCTCGAGCATTAAGCGAGAGAAAAGGCAATAGTTCTTTTACAGCTTTTTGGTCAATCTGATCCACCATGTTGGACTACCGTGGGGATCTGGGAAAACGATAAGTATTCTAGTTCCAGGTCTTTTCAGTACTTCGCGCGAGTTTTTGCTTGGTTTGCTTGGCAATTTTTTGGGATATTTTATTTTTGCATATTTTATGATTGAATAATTGCTGCCTTATTCTAGTTGACGCCTTTGATTTCCCCCTAATCACAGCCATCGTGAAATCATCAGCACCTCTGGCTGTTCTGCAGGTGCAAGGTTTTGTAATCTCTGGAACTTAAACAGGTTTGGATCGAAGCGTGTAATTCCAAGGTAACATGTTTAAATCCAAGAAGCTCAAGCGCCAAGCAACTATTGTGATCGAGCATAAACTGGCCGAAACCAAAAGACTGGAAGAGGATTCTGATAGGGAAAAAAACTGGAAGCGATGGGGCCCCTATCTGTCAGAGAGGCAATGGGGAACAGTGAGGGAAGATTATTCATTCGATGGAGCTTGGTAAGAGTTCATTCGATCGATGTTAAGATGATATACAAGTAATCATGAGGTTAAGTAAGCGCGGTCTTTATACCTGACAAGAATGCAAGACTGTGAAAACATTTGTTGTTTGTGCTTTGTGTAATTGCGTTACGTAACAAATCCATTTCAACCTGGTTTTTGATATGTAAAGCTTTGCATTCTCATAATCGTGGTGGTAATATTTTTTATTGAATGGAGAGCTTTGTACCCGCGTAATTGTGATGGTAATATTTTTTGTAAACAACCGTAAATTTGCATTGTTTATTTTTAAACAAAATTCTTGGCCGCCGTTCAACAACGATTTAGGGAGAAAGGAAAAATTATTCGTTTGCTTTGTTTCACATTTGTGACGATTGTGACAACCGGTATATTAAAAATACTTTTACTTACGTGTCACTTTCGTTTTTACCTAAATGCTGGCTGACCATCTTTCATGTGCTGGTTGAACGCACCAGCACTGAACCAAAAAAGACAGACAATTTAAAGAACCCATTTTTGTCTGGGAGTCAGTTCAATTTTTGAGCTTTGTGGATGTTTTCCAGTTAGAACTTATGAAAAATTTATTTTCCTTTCGGGCAAATTTTTCCCTAAAAATATCTGTTGTGTTCCAACCAACACCACTATATTGCCTGTCATCTTTGTTTATTGCTTTGTAATAAAAAATTTTAAGGTATGAAGGAAGTTTGAAACTAATTGGTAAAGTTAAGTTAGTTCATAAAAGGGAAAACAGGTAACAAGCATATTTTTGAGTTTTTGTTTTTGAGCAAAAAAATGTTGTTTTTACAGCTGGGACTACTTTTCTCATGACCATGCACGATCTCGAGTCTATCGCTGGGGTGAAGATGGCCTCCTTGGAATAACTGACAGACAATGTAGACTGTGTTTTGGTTTGGCTCTCTGGAATGAAAGGGATCCTATTCTCAAAGAAAGGCTTTTTGGCTTGACAGGAACTGAAGGTTAGTTGAACACTGGACCTATAATTCATGAATTCAAGGTGTTGCAAAAATTTATTTTGATAATAACTTAAGGCACCCTTATAGGGATCAGACAGCATCAGTCAATGGCATACAGCTTGGTGTTTCTGCACTTGTACATGTAGCTCAATAATTCAGTGTTAGTATAGGTAATCACATGATTCAAGTGCAATTTGGAATAAATAAGCACGAGTAAATTTTTTCAAAGACTAAGAAAATTGCACAAGCCAGTAGGGTGAGTGCAGTTTGTGGTATTTGAAAAAATTTACAAGTGCTTATCAATTCCAAATTGCTTGAGAAAAATCATGTGATTACACATTAATAATATACATTAAAAAATATGAGATAGCTTACCATAATTATGCAGAAGCAAAGTGTGCACATCAAGTGCAAAAATAGTTTATTCAAACCCTGCAAGTGACATTGTGTGTTTGGTCAAAACAACCATGTACAATCAAAACAATAATATGCAATGATATTTTCACATCTGTAAGGCACAAAAAACTTCAAAGTCCAGCTAAAAACTTCAAAGTCCAGCTAAAAAGTTCAAAGTCCAGCCAAAAAGTTCGAGAAACTGTTCAGTCTGGTTTGTTACTTCTTCACACTGAATTGACCCTTTTCTGCTTTGAATTACCTGAAAACTGCATTTATCTTAACCAATCAGAACTGAGAATTTTTTTCTTGTATCCTATTAGAATGATAATGTACATGAAGAAATTATGTGCTTCTGATTGGCTGAAAATGAATGCATTCTCATGTAACACAAGTGCAAAATTGTCACACAAGTGCAAATTACAAGTAGCATGGGTACACTTTCAAAATTTCATCTGTCATGACTCTCTGTGCTGTTTTTCCGTGTACAATATTAACAAGTAATAACACAATTTCTCTTGCAATTTGTTGTACAAAAACACTTGTAAATTTCTCAAAGACTATAAATTGCACTTGCTCTACAGGCTCAAGCAATTTTGTTGTCCTTAAAAAATTTACCCATGCTTACAGACACCAAATTACACTCAAAATCACATTATTACCTTTAATAATGTGAATAGGAACAGCACCATTTAAGAATGGTGCTTACTGAAAAGTTTTCTTTTTTGCAAAAAGTGATAACAAGGAAATGTTAAAGGTAGAACACATAACATATTTAAAACTGCAATCCTTTGGGTTGACTTGCAATCTGCACTGGCTGGCTCTTTGTTTCAAGAAATCTCACAATGGCTGTCCCTTTCATGATCCAAGATCACAAATCAGATGTAAAAGAAGAAAGCTATCAAAAAATGGTGCGTTGGACTGAAAACCTTGTTTCTGGAAGAAATTAAGTTTCCAACACTGTTCAAGACAGAGTTGTACCCTATACATGAGTTAGTCATTTTCCTTAATCAAGCATCTGTTTCCTAAATGTGGCATTTATTTTAGGGTGTCACTCGTTAACCCATTGTCTCCCTGAGAGTGACAAGCATTTAATTTCCTCTCACAATATTACCCATGAATCATGCATTAAGGTCACTAGAAAAAAGGAAGTAATCACCAACTAAAAAAGCTCTTGATTGTTAAACAAATTCTCCTCGTCAGCGCCTTAGGAAATGTATGGAGGATTGTATAAGGAGTTAGGCTGTAAATGGTTAATATCTTTGCTCTCACATGCTGTACTTATTTTGGGGCAGGGCGTGATAAAGTAAATAAGGTCATACACTGATGAACTGATCTTATGTTATGCATATTTGCCAGGTAACCATGGGGAAGATGTGAAGGAGTGCTATTACTATCTTGACTCCACTCCAACTCATTCCTACATGAAGGCTTTGTATAAATACCCTCAGAATGAATATCCCTATGGCTGGATCGTTCATGAAAATCAAAACAGATCACGGCAAGAACCTGAGTTTGAACTCACTGATACCGGTAAGGGAATGACAATCTGAAACAGTGAAGTAATAATTTGAGGAGTCTTGTTTCAAATTCCAATGTTTTCAATTTGCATTGTCGTGCTCCATGGAATTGCCTCTGAATGTTTTATGTCCACTTATTATTTCAACGATTTGGCTTGTTTTTTTTCATCCTTCACTCAGGCCATATTTGATCAGTACTATGCTCAGATAGACTCTACATGCATTGAAAAGGCTAGAAGCCAAAATACCAGAAAATGAAATGACAGTGGAGACATAAATCCCTCATTCATTGGTTTAACATATAATTCAATTTCACATTTTACTCATTGCTTGTATTTTTTCCTCATCCCTAAGGGGCTTGGTAAAATACTATGTAACTCACAAAATATCTGTTCATCTTTTGTGAAACCATCAAATAAAATGAATGAATCTAATCAAATGAAAATGATACCTCAGTATTGGTAGATGTCACTGGGTGGATCAAAAGGTACCTGCTATATGCTGAAGTATCAGTTGAACCTTACAGGTGTTTTGCTTTCTAATTAAATCACAATCTTGGTTTATTTGCAGTACTGAACTACATTATTTGGGCTGTTGAAATATCAATCTAAATGTCTTGTCTTCTTATAAGACAGTAGCTTGATCTGATTTGAATATGTGTCTAATTTCTTCAAGGTGTATTTAATGAAAGTCGGTACTGGGATATTACTGCAGAATATGCAAAGAACACACCCAATGACATCCTCATCAAAATAACTGTAGCAAACCGAGGTCCAGACACAGCACGAATTCACATTTTACCAACATTGTGGTTCAGGAACACATGGATCTGGGGTTGCAAACATGAAGGATGCACTCGCAAGGCAAATATGAAACAAACTGCTCCCAACACAGTGACATGCTCTCATGAAACCTTGGGAAAGTACACATTTGTTTTTGATGTGAATTCTGAAAGTGAGATTCCAGAATTGCTCTTCACTGAGAATGAAACAAACACAGCGGTATGTTAACCAATTTATTTCAGACTGGGCCAATTGTTACTTGGGTATAAGCTCGATGTTAGAGCAAGGTAGAGGGATTTTCATAAAAATTTAAACCCTAAATGAGTTTCAAATAAGCAAGAACAGAAGACGATTCATTCAGAGGGCACCCCTATGACCTTAAGAAGTGTTCCCTGAATACAGGTTTCCTAACAGGTTGAAACTTAAAAAGGTACAAAAGTTACTAGAGTATTTTAGCACTCTGGAGCAAATTTGGGTCCTTTGAATTGAGGTGTCTCCTGGATTGAAAATCTTGATCAATTAGAAACTCGTATTGGACTTCAAAGGTTTCATGTCAAGAGTAGGGCTATCCTCAAAGTCTACCGAATCACTTTACGTACAATTTCCATGATCTACAACTCCCAGCTTAATTGTGCCCCTTATTAATTGGATGGATCATTTAAGGAAGTAGGCAGCACTAGCTCTTCTTGGTCAAGTCTTTGATGTTACTTGGCCCATAACTGTGGGAGCTCATTTCCAGTTTCTTGGGCATGAAGAGACAAGAAGTATGTTACTCTTCTGCGATGGAATGCTACTCGATCTCAAGTAACCCCAACCCCCTCCTCCCCAAACATTTTGTCAGGCTTCTTGGACATCCTGCTGGTGCCCATTTATACTCCTGGGTGGAGAGGGGTACAGTGAGAAAAAAGTGTCTTGCCCAAGAAAATAATACGAGGACCTAACCAAGGTTCACACCCAGACGGCATGATCCATAGAGCAGTGCGTAAATCACTAAGGCACTTAAACAACCAGTGGTGAATAATAAAAATAAATGTTCGAAATGGATTAACGTGAACCCTTTGATTTTCCATCGTGAATTTTTCAAGTAAATGCGTAAGCACCTCAGGTCTGTTCAGTGCTGTTTGATTTATCAGATGGAATGACTGACTTACTCTTTTCATCCTGTTTGTAGCGTCTGTTTAATTTAGAAAACTATACAACCTTCACAAAGGACGCCTTTCACCGTTACATCATTAATGGCGAAAAAGATGCAGTAAACGCAAAGAAAAAAGGCACAAAAGTGGCTCCTTATTACGTTCTTGTTGTTCCTGCCGACGAGGAACGTGTCTTAAGGTGCCGCCTGATGGCTGACGACGAGATTGTATCAGATCCATTTGCTGAGAGGAATTTTGGAGCCGTGATGCAGAAACGAATCAAAGAAGCAGACGAGTTCTATAATATCGCAATACCTGGTGAGTTTTTTTCTAGGCGGAGGTAAAATAAATTTTGGTTGTGTGAAGATAAGCAACTTGCCAATGGGCCAGTTCGGGGCGGGGGTGGGCGTGGGGGTGGGCGTGGGGGGGGGAAGTTTGTGAGAGAATATCTAAAGTAGGTACAAGTCATGATGCTGAAATTCTGATCGGAACCTTGAGCAACTCTGATATTCTAGGTGGTTCTTTTTTAGACCATTTTTTCGGAAATCCTCGATTGACAATTATGAAATAATTTGCTATAATTAGTTAGTTGGTTATAATCTTATTGCACAGTAAGCTTAAGAAAGTCCCACTCAGTTTAGCAAACAAAACCCACCTCCATCGTGGTACACACATGCAGGCTTTTCATCCTTACCCTCTGAAAAATTGTCATTCATTAGATGGCTTAACTGACGAGGAAACCCAAGTTTCTCGACAGTCGTACGCTGGTCTGCTGTGGAGCAAACAGTTTTACCATTACATAATTCAAGACTGGTTAAAAGGAGACCCGGAGACGCCGGCTCCACCGAGGGACAGACTCAAAGGAAGGAACTCAGAGGCAGAATGGGCCCAGCTATTCAACAGAGATGTTGTTTCCATGCCAGACAAGTGGGAGTATCCATGGGTGAGTCGAACAATTATCAACGTTTTTTTTTCCAATTTAAGGTGGCACTATGAGATCATGACACCATCGTTGGAGACCAGAAGATAACTGATCGGGCCAGGTTGATTCAAGACAGGAAGGGAAGGGACAAAGTTACATTAGAATTGGGTGAAAATCGGTGCGACAATTTCGGCTTCACCGTTTCCCGACTCAATTTTTTCCCTACGTTTGAAACACTGCTCTGATCTCAGGAAGTGTCGATGAACGAGGGTGTGCTCCTTCCAAAAATCTGGATGTGGTTGTTAAGAAATCGGTTTCCATGCTTTTATCGTCCTCTTAACATGGTTTTATATTGCGTACATTGCGTTTTGATTCGCTTACAGGACATAGGTTATGGGCCCTGAGTCAGTCTCTTACAGTGACTCGTAAAAAAAAAAAACCGACTTCATCAAACTAAGACTATGTGAAACACGTTCCCTTAATCAAACCAAGCCACTAGTTTCCAGATCTTTAAATGTGACTGTTATTAGTGACTAACCGTTTCTTCGAACAACTCTTTTTTTTTAAGTATGCCACATGGGACCTAGCATTCCACATGCTGGCGTTCAGCAAAATCGATCCACAGTTTGCCAAAGACCAGTTACTTTTGTTCCTCCGGGAGTGGTACATGGCCCCCAACGGTCAGCTCCCAGCCTATGAGTTTGCCCTGGGGGATGTGAACCCCCCGGTTCATGCACTTGCATGCCTCATGGTCTACAAGATGACGGGCCGTAAAGGAGCAAGGGACGACGAATTTTTAGCCCGATGTTTCCAGAAACTGCTCATAAACTTCACGTGGTAAGAGAACGTTACATTTAACTAGTTGCACTCTTAAAAATCATCGAATGTAGAGAGAAAATTCATTCCGTGCGAAGAGAGCATCTGCACTTGTCAACTTTGTTTAATAAGTTAAAGTTTACACGGTTGTAAGACGAAGAGTGCAGCACTTCTCCTGATCAGAGAATTTTTCTATTCCTTACTTGTTAACAGGTGGGTGAACAGAAAGGATCCCTCAGGAAAGAACATATTTGGTGGTGGTTTCCTTGGACTTGATAACATTGGTGAGCAATCTTGAGTAATGCGAACTCTTGAATGCGTTCCAAGCACGGCTAACTGTCAATCCACTTTGTTAATACTTTCCATTCCTGTAAATGGTAGTATTGAAAATGTATGTCACATCTGTTATTATCACATCATTGGAAGTTAGGAAAATCTTCGCTCTTTCCACCTTGTTATTAATGGATATTAATGTCTTGCAATTTCTTTTTAAGGAATATTTGATCGGTCAAAGGATTTGCCTATTCACGCAAATCTCTTGCAGGTACAGTTGTTTTTCTTTTTGTCATTTCTTTCATTCAGGCCTTCTCCTGTCTTAGTAAGCGAGAATGTCGATGTAAAATGACGCTCTGAAGTCTCTCATATTTGCTTCGCCTAGGAAAAACAATGTTGACGTAACAGTGGCAATTTAATTTACAGTTGCGTCCTTTTAAACTTTCATGGACGATTCTGGTGACTTTCTGTTTCTTATCCTCTCCTTAGGCTGACGGCACCGCGTGGATGGCTTTCTACTGTGTTATAATGTTGAACATCGCTCTGGATCTCTCAATGAAAGACGACACCTATGAAGACATGGCGTCTAAGTTTTTCGAGCACTTTACGCAAATTTCAGACGCCATAAATGAAATGTCTGACGGTGTTGGTTTATGGGATCCGGTCGATGGATTTTATTACGATCATCTCAATACCGAGACGTGTTCTTTACCATTGCGCGTGCGCAGCATGGTCGGCCTTGTTCCTTTGATGGCATGCCTTGTGCTTGATGACGAATACATGGAAAAACTTCCTGGATTTAGAAAACGACTCGAGTGGTTCATGAAGAACCGACCAGACCTTGCTTCTCAGGTTAGTGACCTGCTAGACACTGAGTAGTGAATCAGTGCTCCAGGAAAGAAGAAGAAAACATCGGTGTCCACACACTTGTTCTGTTTTTACTATATGAAAAGAAAGGTAAAATCGAGTAACCTATCGTGATACCCCTTTTTGAGCGAGACTCATTTTTTCATCCGCGGTCGGAAGAGGACAGAAAACCAAAGTGGTGCAAAATTTCGCGTTGTATGTTGTGCAGTGCTCGGCAACTTCAGGGTCTTGAAAACCTTGTCGCACTTTTCTTTTTGTAGGTGTCGTACATGGATGGGGATGGCGAGAGCCAATATCACCATTTACTTGCTATACCCACCAAGGATCAGCTGCACCGTGTACTCAGCTACATGTTAGACGAAGATGAATTCCTGTCCCCTTTTGGTATCCGTTCCCTGTCCAAGTTTCACGAGAAGAACCCATTTAAATTAGAACTAAGCGGTGAAGTTTACAGCGTGCAGTATGTGCCAGGAGAATCGGACACATTCATGTTTGGTGGGAACAGCAACTGGCGAGGACCCATCTGGGTTTGCAGTAAGTACTGAGTAAACTTATGCCCAACTCCACTCTAGTGAGATTGGTCAAATGGGCCTATCAACGGGAAAGTTACTAATAGGTCGTTTAAGGCGATCCTCAGCAATGCACTGCATCCCGCTCGGCGCATTTTCGCGCCTTGCTGCCTAAAATCAGTCACAGCTTTTCTTTCTAAGTAATTGCCTTAAATCTCCGAGTGCCAATCGTCAAGCGTGCACGGTGGATCTCGTAGATCGCTCACTTTCAGTAAACGTTTGCATAATTTTCCATGGCTTCTAGTCCCTGAAAAGACAGGGCAAGTTAACTCTCCAAGTTAGCGCGATTTATGCGAATCAATGTTTTATTGAACGCAAAAATTCAAACTCAAAGAGCACTCAGTCAGGTGGTAGACCACTTCCATTCTACGCACAACTTCTAACGACGTTATTGTGCCGAAGAAGAGAGTACACTTCTGATTTTCTTCCCTGGTACAATTTTCCTTGTTTTTCAGTGAACTATCTTCTAATTGAGGCTCTGGAACGCTACGACTATTTCTATGGTGACAAATTCATGATTGAATGCCCCACCCGGTCGGGAAACTTGATGCGCTTACGTGACGTAGCCCTTGAGCTCTGTCGACGTGTTGTGTCTCTGTTTTTGCCAAATGAACAAGGACGGCGGCCGTGTCATGGTGAAGATGACAGGTACACCTATGATGTGTTTTGGAATAATTTGGTGCTGTTTTACGAGTACTTTCATCCTGAGACGGGACGAGGATGCGGAGCTAGGTAAGTCGTGAAATTAAGGGTATTGTGTTAAGATGCCCAGACTGAGAAGGCTAGTTCTACCCTGGCTCATAAATTTCACGTTCGTTCGTGGAGCTGCCAAACTAGATCATTCTTCCAAGAAAGCTTAGCAGACTGAAGGGGTACAGGTTTGTGCCCTCGTTTGACTTTTTTACTCGCTAAGTAGGACAGAACTCGACAATTATGGCACAAGGTCGGGAGTATTCACGCCAACTCTGTATCAGTCGACTCTCGTCAAACGTCATGTTAACTTTATTTATGAGTTATCTCTTTGTTGGAAGACAGATTGACTCAAGAAACTGGTTTCCTCCTTATATTTCCCAACTTAAGACTTTTTTATATACCACTCCTGTCCATGTTCTGTTGATTGAAACGTTACATTGCGTTCTTCACAGCCATCAAACAGGATGGACAGCTCTGGTTAGTCGATTGTTGGAGAAGCTGGCCAAAAACCGTTAAAGCATGTAACTCACATTTTGCTACGTCGAAAAGAAGCAAAGAATATCTTCTATGTATCTGTTCGTCCGTTTGCCATGAGTTTAAGTAAAGCCCCTTTAGTGGACACTGCACAGATTTAGACTAAATAGTTTTGATAGGATTTAAACATAACCATACTTTTATCCTACTAAATTTTAACATCAACTTAAACACGCACTTGTCCGACAAGTTGTATCTTTTTACACATCGTAATTTTAAAGCACGTTGTCCAAAAAATTGTTTTTTTGCGTGTGAAAGGAGAATTTTCTTCGTAGGTGTACTGTTTGTATAAATTCCGGTATTTTCTAATAAAAATGTAACAGACCGGAATATCTGGCTTGAGAATTTAGAAGACGTTTTAAAATGAAAAATAGAAAAAGAAAAGAATGATGACGCAGAGAAAATAATTTCTTTGTTACGGTTTGCTAGGTTGTCAATTGAAATTTAAGGATAAGAACTAGGTAGAATTTTTTTAATGGTTTTATTTATGTTATAAGGCGTAAAAGTATTTACGTTTTGTTATATAGGTATGGTGCAGTTGAGGCATATTTCTCGAGTCTCTTTTTGTTTTTTTTTTGTAATATTAAAAAATCCTAGCCACAAGAGATGTCATATTTTTAAACAGGCATATGTTTCTATTAAAGAAAATACATCTTTATTTCAGTAGCCGTGTAGAAATAAAGGGATTAATGCAGTGTGACCCGGATTTCTCAACATTTCCTTCATGTCGAAAGTTCCCTTTCTTTTCCTTTCCTTTACCTTGTAAAAAAATTGTATTCCCTAGAATTCTTACGAGGGACAATTTGGCCTTGTTTTAGCCAAGAAACCTCATTTGGTAATGGCGCTGTTTTCTTTATACTTTTTAGGTTATTAGTTTCATTACTAGCAATGTGGAAGTACTTATCATAACACGATGATATCTTTTTGCACAACACAGTGTACACTTTTATGTGATCGATACATCTGTGCGGTCGCTAAGTGCTTGATGGAACATCAGTAACTTCAGTGATATCAGTACCTCCCGGATTAACGGGTGCTGCAGGTGTGCCAGCTTGCGCGGGCAAACTAGTAATCCGGGGGTCGTCTGATGCGCTAGCGTTAATCTCCCGTAGTGAAATACTATCCGCAGTGGCAGAGTTTGAATTTTTCTCAATTGTATCTCTATTTTTTTCATTTTCACCCTCAAGAGTTACGCTATCAGAGTCTCGTTGCACGCCCTCCGTGATCGGAGCTTCAGACGATGGTATCAGGTCGGCTATCATCGGAACATCTTCGGAACGAGTCAGTGTATTATCTGTCGTTTTTCCCTCGAGAGCAACATCTGCTTGCAAGTCTGGCACGACAGTTTCGGAGGCTTGAATAGGATCTCCTACTGGTGAAGTTACTGAAGTATTATTTTCTTTTTGATGTGGTATCGGAGGTGAAAAGGTCTGCTCTAAAGCAGTTGAGACAACATCGGTGTCGGAACCCGAAGTTTGATCGTTACCTGTGTCGGTTCCCGAAGATCCTTTTGTTTGATGTGAAACTGACGTATTGGCCGAGGAAGTCTGGTAAAAAAGATATTCCAAATTAAGAGGGTGCTATGTTAAATGAGCAGTTTGTTTTTTAGGCCTGTTGCTGGAACTTGTTTGGTTCCCATGGCAACTTGCCGTTACCTGTTTACAGTATGCTCAATAGTGGAGAATGGCACTGTGAGAGTGGGGGGGGGGAGGAAAACTGGAGAATCGTGGTAATGTCGGTGAAACTTGGACATTACAACTTATCAGTTTTACGCCGTTTAAGGGAAGACATGACGTGCAAGATTACCTGTGGCTTGACGAGCTGTTGACAGTACTTCAAAGCCTGATCCAACAGAGACGTTGGGGAGTCTGCTGGTGTGTCCTGACCAAGTTTAAGCGACTCTCCTGAAGCCGACTGTGGTCAAGAAAATTCGTGCATCAATTTTAAAATAGTAACCTGCGTGGGAGGTACTCAAATTAACCAGGGGTGTGTGATTTAGATCGGCACGCGCAAGCAAGGAGTCACACGCGCGCGACTTCTTCGTCCCACGCGTGTGTGCGCTCTTTCACGTGTGTTACTTGAGTTCTTGCCCGCACCTGCCACGCGGGCTAAAAATTGTAGCAAAGGTGCTACACACTTCGGACTATCTAACGAGATAGTTGAATTTCTCAAGTCAAGAGAAGCGCATGCTCTTATTTGTCTAGGATTATGTCATATTTCGTTACACTCAATCCATGGAAGGAGAAGCACTAATTCTCAAAATGGCTACCGAATTTCTTAAGTCAAGAGATGCGCATGCTCTTATTAGTCTAGGATTATGTCATATTTCGTTACACTCAACCCGCGGAAGGAGAAGCGCCAATTCTCAAAATGGCTACCGCGCGAAGTTTTGATGTTTCTGAAGACGAAACTATGAGAAAATGCAGTTACCCTGATAATAACTTAAGTATTATAATAGGGAAAATGTTCTCCTTAGATTAATCGCAACTAGATTATCTTCTAAGCTCGAATAGCAATCCCTGATTTTGTAAAAACATAGACTACGAACAGTCTGCACGGACAAGAGCAAACATCTGAGACTTATGAGAGACATAGGCAGTGGAAGGGAGGAGAGGTCGATATAATTTACAAAGGATGGATGTGACTTGTTGACGTTTTCACTTTATGAACTGTAAGCTGATTCTCTTTCCTGACGACCGGCCATAAAGTACTCTGTTGGCGGATCCCGAAAATTACGCATGTACCCAAAAGTTTCACACTATTGATAATTTTCTTAATTCTCATTAATCATCATATCAATAACATGTTGAAATTGTAAAAGGAATATGGATACTGATCACTCTTGGAAACATAGACGTTGACAGAGTAACGCGGAGTCAGAAGAAACTCACCTGGGAAGCCGTGAACATCTCAAAGGCCTGTGTCAGTAAACCCTCTGTCGCCTGGGTAAAGCAAACAATACAAATCAACTGAGACAATTTGATGCCAACGTACGCAAGAATAGTGAAGAAAAGAGCCGCAAGAATGGTTAACCTAGGTCAAAAATACTGACTGCATTGGCGTTTGTTCCAACGAAGGGCTAGCACTACAGACTTCAGCTTATGAAAATAAGCTACAGCGTTTCACCTATCTTTATCAAATTATAGCTAAAAACCAACTAGGTGTTCAACTTGCCCACTGACTTATCACAACAGTCTTTTAAGAAACTGGTAACTTCGTACCTTGACATGGGCCTCGTATCTTTGTCCAGTTTTCCAGCACTCGTATGCATCCATAACCAGTTGGGAAAGTAACGAGACCTCAACCTTCGTAGCCAGAAATAACAAAGAAATAAATTAGCTGAAACCAGCATTTCCTTACAAAAAGAGCCGGGTTTTAACACAATGAACTTCTTCCAATTTTAAGTAGTCTAAGCTGGGATTATACTGAATCCAGTTTCTCTGTTTCTTTACACAACAAACTCAAAATAGAGGGACATGATGTGATGATGTGGATGCAAATTTCTGAGATAGAACTGAATAAAAATTTCCAAAAGTATCGAGCGAGGCACATCGTCTTCGTACTCCTCCGGAAAAAAGGGCAAAAGCACAAATGACATAAGTGCCGGGAAGTTCTTTTCTGACGTTCTGACCGGTGAAAAGTAACAAACAAACTCACTTATTGAAAGCGAATTGGGGATGGAGATTCCTTTAAAATTTGTCTCCTCTGCCTCCTTGAGGAAGCTTTTACAACAATAGCGACCCTCTAAAAGTTCTCTGTCAACAATATGAAATATAGTGCACAGGAGAGAATGAGGTCAGAGACCTGTATCGGCCTCACTTTTAAGGTAATTCGTTTTGAGTTATTTTTAGAAACCCTAATCACGGTACGTGTTCTCATTTCCCACGTCATACCTTAGGGTCCTGCTTGGAAACTCTCACTTTCATTATTTCCAGAGAATACTCAAATGCCTGCAAAGCAAACTTAAGATATGAATATTCTACCCAAAGATACGAAACGAATGCATAGGACATCTTAAATCCATTGGAATGAACTGGAATATTTATCACCTTCCTGGCCAAATAGTTCCTTTCATTGTCCCTCAAGTATTTCCTGACCAAAATTAAAAGAGAAACGATGCTGAGGTTAGTCAGGCTGAAAAACACCATCCACAGGAAACCTTCAGGTAGCTTCTAATACGAAATTTCCAACCAAAAATTTTAGATGCGAGCATTTATCAACAGTTTCCGCGACTTACTTGCCCGCCTCCGGTGTTCGATAAAGAAGAGCCTGAATGAGTAACAACGTGTCCCACTCGTTTAACTCGCGGAGAACTTCCAGCATCAAAGCTACTGACTTATAGGTGTGTGTGCAAAAACATCCCGGCCTGCAGTGAAATATCATTGGTTAGAATGAAAAGAAATAACATCCAGGAGACCAAAAGATTCAAACAGGGGTCAAAGAGATGGGTCTCCGAACCGACACCACTGAGACAAAGAATGTGTAGAAAAATAAATAAATGACTAAATAATTGAACGTTAAAAAGCGTCATTCGAATCAAACATCTTAGACGTTATCACATTATTATCATATTTTAAACGGTGACCTATTTCAATACCTGTCTATATCTTCTTCTGGAATTCTCCAAAAGGCCTGTTAGAAAAAAAACAAACAAAAAACCAGTCTTTAATATATTTTACCTGTCGTGTGAGCTCACTTTGGAAAAGAATGAAAGTCTGGGAACGAGAGTCACCGCGCAAGCGTTTATGGGATTATTTTGTAGAGGGGATGCTCAAAACTTTTAAGACAGGGATGACATGTATACGACTATGACTTCGTTTCTGCAGTTTTCAAAAGTAAAGAAATAATTAAAAATCAAACACAAATAGTTTACGATCCTTTTGAAAGCAGAAATTAGTGTCTTTTACAGGAAAACCCTCCACTAAAAATTTTCAGCAGCCTCACTTGATTTAATGTTTTCGTTAAATTACCGGACAGAAAGTGACAAAAGAATAAATCAGTACCATAAAGATTACTGTAAGCAACTCAAACTCCTTACCGAGAACAAGTTTGTTTTGCTTTTCTCGTTGAAAAGTCCTTGAGGCGGGAAGGGAAACGTCTTGCACTGTCTTGTATTGCTGCCTAACAGTAAATCACGACAGACACTGGTTTCCTACCAGGAACACAATGACTACTTTAATGCAATGTAATGATCAAAAAACCAGAAATTATTGCGTCTTTTTTATGTTCAAGGAAGACTCGTAAAACCTACGCCAGCCAACAGTGCGAATTTCGAAGAGACAACAAGACAAAAGATTGCGTTACCTTATGCTCAGAAGAGTAGTAGTAAACATAAGCCAGGCGATAGCGCGACTTGTGATGCTGAGAAAACCGCCGAAGACAATACTCAAGAGCACGAATACAGAGATCCATGAGTTCTCTCTTCTTTGCCTGCTGTTCCTCTGTCAATGGCGGCTTCGTGTTCTCCATCGGTGTCACGCTAGAAGCGGAAACTCCAGCGGGGTCAGTAGTCGGTGTCACAGAGACAGCAGGAGGCGTCTCTGTCACTGTTTCATCAGGCGATGTTGATAAAATTGCACTGGTATTTTCCGTCATTTCAACATTTTCTGTACCATGAGTAGGAATATCCTCAGTCTCCATCTTTTCTGGTTTACTGTTGACCTCAGTGTCTTCATTCGACATAATCTCTTTATCCGTTTTGATTTCTGTATCTTCGAAATTTAGAGTGGACTCAACTGCTTCTTGAGTTTCCTGGTCAGCAGAGCTTTCCTCCAGTTTATCGAGACTCTTAACATTTTCTTCTTCATCCTTGAGTTTGTTTTCCAAGCACGTGACCGATTCCTGTTCCCCGGCATGCTCAACTTCCATACCCGTTTCCCCTACACCTTCCTCCGCATTTAACTCTTCAACAGTTTTCCCATCACCAATTACATCTGAGCCAGCTAAAGATAGCTCGGTATCTTTGGAACTTTCCATTTCTTCCTCACCCTTGGTACATTGATCAGCATGCTTAGAATCATTTTTTTCCGAGGCTTGAAAAGCTTGTTTTGTTTCCAAACCCTCGCGCTGCTCATTAGAACTAACTTCTAAAGGGGTCTGGGAACTATCCGTGGTCTCCTCTGCAGGTGTAAACCTGCTCGGTTCATTACTCAAGTCAACTTCCATCGGCGTCGGGTCCAAGGATTGTTCACTTTGCGAACCTGCCTCAACTTTGTTTGTTGAGACTGTAGGGGCTTCCGCGGCGGAAACCTCCCGGGTGGCGATTTTATGTTCTTCTGCAATGTTACTCTCTGCTTGAGGCGGATTGAAGTCTTCACCTTGTCGGGGCTCAGGAGAAATTACAGAATTGGCTACACCACTTGCCTCAGAGGACTTTGGCTCGCTTTGCTTAGTGTCTTCGAAAACGCTACTTGACAAAGATTCTACGACACGACAACAAAAGAGTTCAGAGACAAGTAGGTTATTGCCCCATGTTTCCTGAGCCCTTAGGCATTTTTGGAAGTTATCCTTTAGCTCCACGCTGAGCCTCGTTTCATCAAAGAAACGACTTTTTTCTCATCACAAAGTGCAAAACCGATTTTCTCGAAGTAGGAGCAGCGCTAATTCAAATTTTACTGCCAAAGGATACTCGCATTCAATGCTTCCAGGCTCAAACAATTCCTTCCAAAACTTTGTCTCAAATTTGGCGGGTGCATGACACAAACCTGATGTAGTGGACTCGGTCCTGTAGACGTTCCCCGGTCCGATATCAGTGTCAAACTCCGCGTGATAAAAGGGCCCCTTAGACGCTCTCTGAAGATGATCTTCAAGGACACCAACGTCAACATCCGGGAACTTGTCAAAGAGAAGTTTAAGAACTGACACATGGATGCGGAAATAAATCTGCAAGATTTTAGAAGGAGAATGGATTATAGGCTTGGTTAAAATCCCCCCATGATACAAATTACATTGTTCGGTTTCTAAAGACATTGATAATCTTACTTGATGTCAAACAATTGCAGCACTCTCTCTCCTCCCCTCTCCTCTCCCCTGGCCCAGCAGATTGTCAGGGAGAGAATTGGTTTCTACTCAGATACAGGCCTTTGTCGACGGAGACAATGCGAGAAGAAATTACTTTACCCGGAACAAAAATACTAAACACTGTTGCTTCCTTTTCAGGATTACAAATAAGTAACAGCAAATTTCCTACCTCCAAAGCTTCCAAGATGTGCTCTGGTGGGGTGTAATAGCTAATTTTCTTTGGATAATTAGTGATGTCGTCATCTAGATATTTCGCACTCTAAATGGATGAAATAAAAAGTTTTAAATCAGAGACACAAATTTTTCCAAACTGACCACATATCGCAAAGTTGATTGAAGCCATTTATCTTGATATGTCACAACATTCTCTTACATAATTTACATGAAATTGTATCGCATCAAAAGGGAGAATCACGAATGAGATTATTAACGGGCTTAGTTATGGTAATCGAAAATACAATAAATTGGACGAAAGTGTTCAAAATTGGACACTAGAGTCCAAAAGCCAGACACTTGTTCTAAAATCGAACCCTAGTGTATAAAATCAGACACTAGCGTCTACAATGAGAAAAAGTGTCTAAAACCAGACACTAAGGTCTCAAATCAGACACTAGCGTCTACAATAAGAAAAAGTGTCTAAAACCGGACACTAAGGTCTCAAATCAGACACTAGCGTCTACAATAAGAAAAAGTGTCTAAAACCAGACACTAAGGTCTCAAATCAGACACTAGCGTCTACAATAAGAAAAAGTGTCTAAAACCGGACACTAAGGTCTCAAATCAGACACTAACGTCTACAATAAGAAAAAGTGTCTAAAACCGGACACTAAGGTCTAAAATCAGACACTAATGTCTACAATAAGAAAAAGTGTCTAAAACCAGACACTAAGGTCTCAAATCGGACACTAGCGTCTACAATGAGAAAAAGTGTCTAAAACCAGACACTAAGGTCTCAAATCAGATACTAGCGTCTACAATGAGAAAAAAAGTGTCTAAAATCAGACACTAAGGTCTCAAATCAGAGACTAGCGTCTACAATGAGAAAAAGTGTCTAAAATCTAACGCTAGTGACTTAAATCGGACACTGGTGCCTAGAATCGGACACCAGTGTCTGATTTTGTATCTTTGAAGAAGTTGGTTGTTAGCCTCAAGTAGAAGAGAGCAAGCAACCAGGCCACAATTGTTGGAAGGGTGGATAATGCCATCCCCAGGATAAATCTCTACCTGATGCTTAGTGCAATACGTTATGGTAACACTTATCAACTGGATAGCGATTTATCCGTTGGATAGCGTTATCCGCCCGTTGAAAAACTGGGATCAGCTGCCTTTCAAACAAGACCGGTTAGTGTAAATAGAGAAATATCGTTCAAAAGTTTCTCGCCTTTTGATAGTGTTCCAGATAAACACTTGGAGGTTTGTTTAGTTTTTCTGTGATCTTTCCTAAGATGTAGTGATGGAGCCAGGGTTCGCCGTCCTCGATGCCGAGCGCAGACGTGAAGCAGCTCTCAGATAATAGCAACATTTCATCACGTCGCTTAAGCAACGACGCACGGTTGTCGGAGGTCATCTCGTCTTTATCAAACTTATCATAAAAAAACAAAAACAAAATCCAAAAACAAAAGAAAAACAAAGAGTAGAATCCAGAAGAAGCTATCCTTTCGGTTTGTTACAGCATCGATACCACTTCCAACATTCACCATTAAAAGTTCGTTTTGTAATACCAGACACAAAAAGGTAGAGAAGGTTTTGGAATAAGGCTGTTACATGCTTGTGACATTCGAAAATCTGAGTCCACCGTCCACAGTATAACGGCGAGACTTTATGAAACCAAAACTTCTTACACGTACGTCGACAACAGTCTTATCAACACCGGTATTACCTAATGAAATTAAAAATCGACTTACTAGTATTGCCGGTTTGAATATCACACAATAAACTATTAAAAAATTGCACCTACCTGATTTAACTGCCTGGAGGCATGGGAGTATAGCATGTAACAGAGTGTTCCATACTGCAGAACGAACAGAACAGGAACAATTGATACAACATTATTACAAGTTATTGAAACAATTCAAACCATCAACTGGCCGTAAAGATGCTCCTCTTTTCTAATACATGTGTCAGATGCAGAGGAGGTCTGATATTTAGGTAAACCGTTTAACCCTTAGAAGGGACTAGCATCTTACTTTCTCCTTAGACTATCAGTGCTGAGTCAAACATTAGTGCCATGAGAATGACGCAAATGATCACCAACTAAGGAAGCTCTTGACTGTTAAACAAATTATCCTTGTCAGTAGAGAGCAGTACGGCGAATGTGCATTCTCATGTTAGAGTATAAAGGGTTACTTTAATTTTATCAAATAAGTTGATGATGTGAATTGGCCACCGTAAAGACATTCACTCTGACGAGGAGCTGACACGCAAAACGTCAGCTTTAGAATCGCTTTCCGATGAACAATTCACATTACGAACGCAGTTGACAAAACCAAATTACCTTGCAATACCCCCTATCAACGCAGCTAGAAACTCTCCCCCCCCCCTTTATTCATTTGTTGTAAAGGGTTAAGTACGCTCCATTCTCCAGGAGAATCATGCATTTTTGATGTGAGGAAGGAGCTCAAACAAGTTATACAAGGGTTTATTTTAGAGGACTTCTGGGGCGTACGAGAGACCTCCCTCCACCTTCTCCATCAATGAAAACGATAATTTACAAGGAAAAAACAAACTCCCCTTTCCCCAAAATATCACTAGGACGCTAGGGTTGGAACCACCAACCCTCCCCTCCCCCCCCCCCCTCCTATGAGGGAAAACCCAGTCACTCGGTTAGGGGAAGCTCCGCTGGGGGAAATATCTTTCTGAATCAGTTCTTATTTCCTAACCAACCAAATTGAGAATGTGGGGAAAAAGTAGGCCTTAAAAACCGACAGAAGCAGCAATGCAAACACCACTGGATAATGAATAGCTAAAATACCAAAGCATTAAGTTGAATAGCATCGCCAACGAAAGAAAAACTACATCCTATTGCAAAGTTATAACCGTTGATTTTGTACTTCTGCAGTTTGAACGAAATTACCACTTTAATAGTTAAAGAATGAAAGTGCTCAACTTACCTCTTCCCACAAGCTGCTATTTGATCCGTCAATCTCCAACGCTCTTTTAAAACATCTGAAGAGAAAGGTTCACTGGGGATTAATCCGCTCTTACTATCATTACTAAACAATGTCAAGCCGTCAGAAAGGATATTGACGGTGGATAATATTTTGAAGCGGGACTTACCTGAGAGCTGACACAGCCAGCTTTTGTATCGGTCCTTCACTTTTAGGTTCACACTAAAAATCAACCACATGATCTTTTAAAAAAAAAGTTATGATTGCGACGACTGCTAACATACGAAAACAAATTTTCCATTGGGGATCGATAATAATATGGCTTTGCATTGGGTTTGACTCTCTAATTTCTACAATTGAACTTGAAAACGCGCAGTATTTTATCAACCATTCAGATGCAAAATTAACACCAATCCTGCCTACGTCACTCGTACTCCCCGCGCTTATCGCCGGATGGCGCTGTGTGAAAATTTTCCTTTGTTCTGATTGGCTGTTGTAAATAGTGTGGTTTTCCTTTTACGGTGCTCAATTTTGAGGCGCTCTAAGTTTCAATGAACAGCAGATTAACAATTTACCGCGTTTAACTTGTTTTCCAGTCTCCTTTTACGAGCGAGAGCCATAGCGGCCCAGGTATCAGCTCTGTCGGGCTGGACAGATACATCGTGCATGTAGAACTTGAGGGCTTTGCTGGAAAGAACAGAAGTGATGATAGTTTGACATCCACGACAACTTTCATAGTCACTTTAAGCTAGGCAGCTTTGGTTTTCAGAGAGCTATATCTAAAAAGGCAAACATTCTTTTTGTTTCATTTCATATTCCAACTGACTTTAGAATCACTCAATCCAAACTCTTCAGCTAACCTCGCAGTAGCCTCGCGCTTGCCTTGGCTCACCTAAAATGCGCCAAAATATGACGCATTTTCCGCGGCCTTCAACTAACCAAGAATTGGTATTTTAGTAAAATCTGTTTTTAATTCTAGTGTGGCGTCAAGTTTACACTACCCACCTAAATTCTTTGTTCTTGAAGTAGAAATCAGCGAGGAGATAAAATATTTCGTTTATCACAGGTCTGTGGAGAAAAGAAAAAAAAAAAAAGAGCGGTACATACAAGTCAGCTTAGCATACTGAAGAATTACAGAGACCAGAAATGAGGACATTGCTTACCTTTTAACGCCTACTAGACGATCAGGCAACTTAGGAATTGGCTCATCCCCGCCCTCAATAAACGACTGGACGCTTTCAAAACTGATAGCTGTTGAAAAAAATTCAAATCCCACACTGCAAATTGAGAACATCCCGGCGGCAATTACACGAAATAACTACTGTGAGAGCTAATTGACTCGAAAAAGAGACAGAGGTTCGCGCATAGATAGACCTAGAGACAGGTAGCCTGGCAAACAAAAAGACAGACTGAAAACCAGGCAGACTGACCATATGACGATGAGACTCGTTGTAAACCAAGACACAGGGAAACCAACACTAAACCCTTCAAGAGGAGTAAAGGGAGGATAAAATTCGTGCCAAGTTCTGATCAAACAGTAGGATTTCACACTTGAAAGGCAGATTAATGTTTTAAAAGAGGACAAACCTTCAAGTTCCTGCTGTGGGATTACCAACGTTATTCTGCGGAGGAGATTCTGTACCTGTAACAAACCAGGCACGTCCAGCATTACAGACAGGGTCAACTACTTTGTGGTCAGTGATTCATCTAACCAAACATACTTTTGCGCATGAAATTGCTGGGCAGCATTTGCAAATTGGTAAATGACATGTAAAGTTTTTCGTCTTTATAGCGAACACCCACGTGACTGTAATTTTCGCGTAGCATAACACCGCGTCACATTAGCCACGAATGATATGATAGTAATGATAACAAGTAAAGAAAATGATCCTTGTATATGAGCCGCAGTTAACCCTTTACATCCTAAGATCGGTGGGCATATTCTCTCTACTGTTTTCGATACAATTCCAACGGTACTGACAAGGAGAATTTCTTCAACAATCAAGAGCCTCTCTGATGGGTGATCATTTCCCCTTAGTCTCATGGCCTTAATGTTTGATTCATCAGTGATATTGTAAGGAGGAATAACATGCCGATAACTCTTAGGGGTTAAAAGATCAGAGAAATCGCAAGAAGAACCCTGAAATATCCAGGCTTCTACGGGATTCGAACCCAAGCCTCCCAGAGAGCAAATTGGCGCGACTACCAACTGAGCTACGATGCCAAACATTTGGAGCGAGGAGAAGTTAGTCCTTTGTTTCCGTATAAGAGTCTCACAAATATATTGCTTACAAGAAAACGACAGAGAAAATAGAAATGATAGTACAAGGAGAGATCAGTGATCGTGTTACCTCTGCCGAGATAGTGTTGGATTTACTGTCAAACGTGGGAGGCTGTGGGGGCTTGAAGTAATCAAATACTCCGACTGAGTTGCTCCACGTCAGCGCGATCTGAACCAGCAACAAAAACAAAAAATAATTAATAAATTGCCCAATTCAATTAGTGTGAGGCTTCTTCTTTCTCTTCCCAATTTCCCCCCTTGAGGGTTATGAAGGGAAGAGAAATGAAAGGGCAAAGAGGAAAGAGGACCAATTATTACTTTCGAAACAAGAAAAAAAAAAATGGGCAGGAGATTCAAAACCATACCTGAGAGGAATTGTGTTCCTGTAAGCCGCGAGCCTTGAGAAAAAGAAACAGTGTTAGTAGTTGTATCTTAATACCGCTCGAAATTGAAACGAGAATAGATTGGCACGTAAAACAAAAGCTTTGGACAAGATCCATTGCAAATCAGAAATTTCAGTAAATACAGAAGCCTTGAGTTATTGCAGATTGTGAAGCACTTCGTCTGCAATCATTAAGAAAGGTAACTCAGACGCTGAGTTGAAAACAGTTCCTTGACAAAGTTCTTTGATTTTAAAAGTTCTTAATCGATTTGTAAGCGCCCCTTTCCCAAAACGATATCGAGAGGGGAAGCCGGCGAGCTGCCAAGTAAGGGTAAAAAGTTAACATTCCAAGACGTGTGTCACTGATTGAAGGCTAACAGGCCGCATCACTGCAACACAAGGAACCTTTCGCTGGTAGACAAAAATTCGCCAAAACGAAAATTTCACACCTTCGCTTTCTTAGAAGGATGCCCATAAAGACAAAGGAAACACTGCTCAAGATCACGAACCATCTCCTGTAAAAAAACAAACAAACGGACACCTATATATGAAAATCAAGCATTTTGATTTATTCTCCTGAGTTACATTGCTGAAAAATAAGACCTTACAATACAAAACCAATCACACGAGCCGGGTAGGTGCTAAGAGCCAATAAGAACTTGATAAATAAACACGTGACGAGGTGAAAGCGGGAAAACAAATGGGGTCACCTCAAATCATGATCATCTTGGTCTTGCTACTAATAAGCCCACTAAACGTGTTCAGGTAATAGTAGAACAAACCTCTCTGGCGGAAACCGTCGCTTTGGCAAGCTCCTTTGTCAGAACCTCCACTTTAAGCAACAAAAAAACTCCCTCGTTATTACAACACCAGCCACGTCTTTAAAGAAGAGGAAAGATAATGACAATTTGAGGAGAAACAGACAGCTAACTGTTGAATGAAATAACATTTAAAAAGACTTCCACCCCGAAGGTATGTCTCGGAGTGACCGATGATTATGCTTTTGCTGAGATGACACCAGAAGATATCGAGGTATACCTTCCTACCTTATGAAACTCTTCCCTGTGACTACAGATTGTCTTCCTTACCTTCCGAGATGTTCATGTGCTATGCGCAGAAACTGTAGCGATGGAGATAGGTTACTTGCAGGCACCTCACGTATCACATCAACGCTGCTCATATTGCTGTCAGTGTTTAGTGTTTCAGGCATTGGGGAGTCTTCAGGTGGAGGAACAGTCGGAGGTGCACATGTCTTTGACGAACTGTCCACTGTCTCATTGTACTTCTCTTGACTGAAAGTGAGAAATCAAGATAATTATGTGGTATAGTAGAGCTGCAGTGTGTATTACTCATGCGACCCATTTTTCTGTAAAGCTGAATCAATCTAAACTTACTGTTCAGTGATTTTGTAGAGTAGTACCCAAGGTTTCGCAGTTGCTAACGGTGGATCAGAACTACTGTCGGAAGAGTTCATGGATGCCTCTAGAACCTGAAAGCAAAGAGACGAACATAGTGTTTTTACGTCTTGGAACAAATCACCACAAGGTGCGTTGCGTGAACAGGGTTTGTACTCTTTCCAAAATCATAACATTCTATGACTTTCTCTAACCTTCTTGACCTACAAGTACTCAAGACACTATAACCTTCGACCTTTTGACCCCTTAGACTGACTGGCATCTAACTTCTCCTAACACACATTGAAGTCACGAGAATAACGGAAGTCCTTTATCGTTCAACAAATTCTCCTTGTCAGCACTATAAGAAATGTGTAGAGATCAGTATGGAGAATATACATACTGATGTTAGGGTGTAAGGGGGGTTAAGTATCTCTCTACCTTGACGATGTTGTTAGTCAGTCTACACAGTTTATCCTGAGGAATCTTGTCCAGTATGTTATCACCTTCCTGAATACTCCTTTAAGGAAGAAACCAAGAGAAATTGCAGACTTTTTCGTCGCATACTAAACGTAAACACGCTACGATCTCCACTCCGAGAACAATAATCAATACAACAAATTACATCTTAGCTTGGAAAATACAAGTTTCGGATTCTAATCAACTACTCTGTTCTACTGGATAAAAACGTTTACACATTTCTAACAAACAGATTTTGATCTTGATATCTTGATATAATAGAACAAACAAAACGACAACATATTCTTCTGAACGTGTATTATAACCGCCTAGTTCTGAGAGTTTCGTATTTCATCTGAACAACATGCTCTGGTTGACGATTTTCGTACGTTCTATCGACTTTCTGCTCTAAAGTGTAATGGAAATGTTGGGAGATTCATAAGCTGATTACTTTGGAAAGTCAGAGTCAATCACAGGCATGGTGCCAGACCTCACCTATCAATGCAACCAAAGAGCCTGGAGAGAGTTGTGGACCAAGCCTCGCAAGGACTCATCTGTGACACGGCCTCGTTCAGGGCTATCTCGGAACACGTGAGACATCGCTAACAAAGCATATTGAACATGTGAGGCATTGGTAACAAAACACAATGAACATGTGATGTAAAAAAAAAAATGAACAGGTGAGACTTTGCTGACTAAACTCCGGAAAAAAATTGTATGAGCTGTTGAAAAAAGGCATTAAATCACAGTGACTCCACTGATGACGTTGAACATATCACTTTAGTGGTAAACCAAGGAGGGAAGGGGGTGGGGTGGGTTGGCTAAAAGGAGAGGGTGAAGCAGACACAGGTTGTAACTTGAATATTAGGGCTTTTTCCTTGAATACGTGTACATACGAATGCAAATTTAAAAGACGGCAAAAGTTTTAAAGAATTTACACTCACTAAGAGTCACCTTGATCACGTGCCTAAACTTAAAACAAGGTTTCGTCATGAAGAGAGAGTTTTTGAACTGTACTTATAGAAATTCCTGTTTAATATTGTGAAGTGCAAACTCAGTCGCGAACCCACAAAGAGCAGAGGAGTTAGGTCACCTTATAAAATTGACTAAGTGATTGTGTGCAATTGTGTCAGACAAAAACATTGGTCTCATACCAAGTTCAGTGACAGGTACAGGTATTGTAACCACAATGGATTCCACAGCAAACCCTAGATAGACATAATCGTAAAGGTTCACAAACCTCGTAATCCTTGAGCTTAATAAGCGAGTCCTGTAGTAGCAGCAGCTGAGCCGGCCTCTCAGGTATAGACATGCCGAGTTCACCAACCTACCGATGAAGAAAGAGTAGAGTTATTTGAAAACGTAATTCAGTTGTGAACTCAAATTTGTTCCTGTGTCCATTGCAAATTTACGTTAATATAAGATAACTAAAAGTAATCGTTCGATCAGTCTTTTTCGCTAAGTCGATGCTTTCTTCGAAACAGCAGCTGAAACACTCATTTCTTGCGCATTAATGTTATAGCGGATTTCAAAGAAGTGTCGCAAAACCCGGCAAAATCAAAAGAATCGCAAGAGCCAATCAGAGGAATTGAACCATCACAAGGAGCCAATAAGATCGCAAAGTAAAACCAAGTAAGCTACTTAAAGCGCGGGAAAACACGACATATACTGTTAGTGATCATACCTTGGTTTTAGGCTGTGGTTGATGGAGTGTGGGCATCAGAAGTTGAACCACATCCTCATAATAACCTGACTCGTACAAACGGTGAACCTGGACACACAACAAGACGAGTGATATGATTCATTGGATGAAGAGATTGTTCAGTGACAAAGAAATGAGCAAATTAAACAACAAGTGAAACAAAATAAATATCCCACTATCGAGCGAATGAACGAGCGGATGAACCAACCAATTAACTAACAAATGAAAGAAAGAACGAAAGAAAGAAAGAAAGGACAAAAGAAAAAAAGATAAAGCCAAGGAAGAGAAATGTAAAGTGGACCGGCGGAAATTGATGTCTGAAGCCTCAGTTCGATACAAAGTGATATTAACAATTGAAATTAAAACAAAGAATACTGATTGTACTAAAACAGATAGAGTCTCTTAAAGCATTTATTTCTGAGAAACGAAAGAAAAGAAAAAATACATAAAAAGATAATTAAATAAGAATTTATGTGCGCCTCTTTTTTTGGCTTCGTGCACTAATGATACACATTGCGAGCATACCTCTTCTAATGACTGACACCTTTGTAGCGATTCTAACTTCTTCTGGACTTGATCTTTGAAGGAAAAAAAGCAGATAAAGGGCGTGTAACACGCGGAAGAAAATGCGTAACTAAAAACATCAATATGTGCTCGTGAAGAACCAGCGAGAACGACTCAGATTATTGAAAAGCAAATCAGAGGTTAAAGACACAACTTTAAGACTCAGCCAGAATTTCCAACGATAAAATCAAGGAATTTAATAATGACTTAACAAAAGTAGACTCTAAAATCTCCTTCATGCAACATTAAATAAAGCCGCCAGTGATGACAGTCACCATGACCCGACGAAGCACGTTTCACTTTAGTGTGGAAATTAATCCCAAATTGCATTGGTTTCCTTCCTTCTCGCTCCGCTTTCTCCACCAATCAGATGCAAAACTAAAACCAATCGCGACTTGGTCACCAGCGTTTTCCCGCGCTTAAGGCAGTTCTCTTGTTTTCATGTTGAGTTCTCGTTGGCTCTTAGGGTATTTTGCTTCGCTCTGATTGGTCGTTGTGATTACTTTGGTTTTGGTTGAACGACACTTACTCGAAAAGCGCTCTTTTACCTAAGAGGCATAGGAATATAAAAGATATCGCGTACCGATTGTAACAAGGTTATCAACTTTACAGTTCACTAGCTTGACGGTGGTAGGTCCCTCAATAGAATTGACCTTTAGCTCTAAGAACTTTGAAGTCTGAGGAGAGAAAGCATTCATGACTGAAATATAATACAGAATTTTTAGCGTGGTTGAGTCTTTTTTCACATACAAAATAGTTGAACTGCTGAGAAACAAAAGGTATTTGCAACTCTACCAAACGATGCGAAATGCGGCAGCAATTTTCCCTCGCTACTTTTTCAAAGTCTGATCGTCCGTCCCGTAAGTGAAAAGAAATGGCCACACTAAGCCTCTACTTTTTTTTTCCTTGATTTACTTTTGATTCGCTCGACGTACAAAGCTGGGAAATGGAAGCTGTTCGTGGTCTACGCCTTTATGAGGTTGGGGAGCTTAACTCACCCTGTCTAGGTACATCATGGCATAATCCATTTGACCTTGTAGCATAAGATATCTTGCTCGCATCCAGTTCACTGCATGGAACAAAAGTGACAACTAGGTTTATTTCAAGAAGTATCTACGACTACAGTGACATTTAACCCTTTGAACCCTAATGGTGGCTGACATATAATTTCTCCCGACAGTATCACGCTTAAATCAAATATAAAAGTCGCGAGGATAGAGGAAATGATCACAAATCAAAGAAGAAGAACAAATTATCCTAGTCAGCACCTTAGGAAATGTAAAGAAAATGAATACAGATGTATCAGGAGAAAAGAGAGATAAGTACTTCTAGTACATAATTAGCACTCAAGGGTAACTTGACTCTGATGATGCCTTTTCTTTATTGAAACATCAGTTAACGTTACCGTCAACAGTTCCAGTAAGGACTCTCCTCACAGGGGCGATCACATTACACAAGACCAGCTGTTTTCAGCCTTTCTACCCAAATTAATTCAGTTATGTTCACGGACTATTTCTCCTCAGATAAAATTAGCAGCTTTCAAAGGAACACCATAATATCTTCACAAGTGATGCAACTACCTCTAATGGCCATTTCTAAAGTGAAGTCTCCATGAATGCTCTGATCACAGCTAATGCGGTGAAGATACTCCACATCTGTTGCCAAATACTGACTGGAAAACCCGCCGACTTTCCAAGGCGAGACAACAACACCACCACTATAAAATAACAACAACCCTCCTAGATTTAAACTCCTGGTTCATTTCCGCAGCGGATCTGAACCAGAGGGCTTACATCTGCGGGCGAAAATGGACACCCCCCACCCCCCCTCCCCTAATATTGCCTCTGTCCAACAAGAAGTACAGCTGAAAACTGAATACTGGTGAAAAGCAAGGGGAGACAATTTGCGATGAACTAGCATCCTTGGAGAGGATAAGAAGCAACATTCCTACTTAATTCACGATACTAACAAAAACTGACAGAAACTCTGGTGATAATGAGTGACTTCAATCGTGAGGAAGATAACTTTTTTTCCCAAGAAACCAACAAATCATACAATCAATTCTCAATCAATGAATATATAAATAAAAAGAAAAAGAGAGAACCAACAAGTGACTGAAAATGTAAAAAAACAAACAAACAAACAAACAATCAGCAGAATATAAACAAGACAGGCCACACACACTAACCCACGCGGTGAACTAGCAGGTGAGAGGCTAGATGAGGATTTTGACTTCGCTGTGAGGAGTTTGTCAAGCGTCAACTCACTGGCCACAAGTACAAGCTGATAACAAATAAAAAAACTTGTTGGTTAATGATGCACCTCATAAACACTGCCTTTGAAAAACAAGTTTTCCACATGCTCTAATTCTTCTTAAACCCCTCAGAGTGAGACTAGCATCTAATTTCTCCCTACAGTCCAGCCACTGAATCAAACACTAAGGTCATGATTGAAACAAGCTCTTGATTGTTAAACAAAGTTCTCCTCGTCAATACCATTAAATGTGTAGAGAACTGTATCGAGAATATGCATAATGATGTTAGGGTGTAAAGGTTTAACATAAATATACCTTTGCCATTCTTGTTCTATATAGGGAATCTTGATCATCACTGATATAAACAAAAGGAAAAATTAAACAATTATTTGCTCTTAGTTCCACCCAAACTGTGGACTTTATCAATTACTCAATACAGAATATGCTGTACAAAAATTTTGGTTTCTACAAGAACTGTTTTTTTTTTCTCAGCTGAAAAAAGAACAAATACAGCATTTCTTTTCACATTACAGACTTTCATCAGCATTGAGTAACAATTCGCACAGGGAATTTCAACTTGTTACAAAGTGTTTCACCTGTAAGCAATTCTTCAGCAAAGGTATTATGACAAGATGAAGACTCACCAAAATTCAGAAGGAAGAATAACATGTTTCCTCATCCTTTGATAGGTCTTAAGGAAGACATCTACCAAGGCTGAAGGCCTAAAAGAGATGAACAGAAAAAAAATTTAATTAACCAACAAAACACACAAATCAGCATATTTTATCAAAAAAATTGTGGAAAATCACCCCCACATGTAGGTTCATTTCATCATTTTATTTACGGTACTTCCCAAAGATCACGTTAACAGGTTCATGACCACAAAATTTCAGAAAAAAAATTGAACAAAAATCAAAGTGTAAAAAAGATTCTGAATTGGACCAGCTAAAATTTGGGTCTTGGAAATCCAAAAAGTGACTTATTGTCCACTGTTTCTCTGCCAACTTGGGATTGGGACCATTGGTTTTTTTGGTCAAAGTCAATTTGTGGGTGATGCCAGGTTTGGAGAAGCAAGTGCACTTAAAAAATGGTCTATCTTAATTCTTAAACAAAAGGGGAAAAATCAGAGCAAAATTAACTGCCACTCACCACTTTTTGTTGTTTTGAGCTGCAAGGCATATCCCATACTGATTCATTACATCAATGATTCCACTGTTGTTTAAATAAGAAAAACATTTGTCAGCATGAGGATTAGGTATAATAACTAAGATCACTCTGTCATCAGAATGGACTAATTCTCCATACTGTTCTCTATACACTTCCAACAGTGCTGATGAAGAGAATTTGTTTAAGAATCAAGAGCTTCTTTAGCTGGCAATCATTTCCTTTATTCTCATGATGTTAATGTGTGATTCAGGGATGATACTGTGAGGAGAAATTGGATGGTTGTTACTCTTGGGTTAAAGGGTTTGAACATTCTGACTGATCCACATCACAGTCAGTTTTGCCATTACCAAAGTCAATGGAAAGTCAAGGAAACTTGAAAATTAACATCAGAATAAGTAGAAACAGAGCATGGAACAAGAGAAGAGACTAGAAAGGCAAAGGATATATAAATAGCATCATAGTTAACCTGGATTCATTATTGAAATGACAGAAAAAAAAAAAACAGCAATAAGTGCTGTTATTTTAATTCTGATTTATGACCTTATTTCACAATATTCTCAACTATGCAATTTGTTGCCCAATTTGTGTCAATGTTAGATCCACCTTAAATCCACCTACATACAAATTGTAACCTACCCATTTTCCATGTGCTCTTTGACAAAGGTGAGAATGTCCAAAGCCTCAGCTTCCCCAGTGATCACTTCATCATAATTGTTCCTGTCAGCTGGTTTGGCAAACCAAATCATGACAAGTGTATGGTAGTAATATAATAATTTAAAACAATTTTCAATTAAGCGTAGGGAGAAAGCTAAGATTGTACGGTTTTACCTGTAAATGATCTGGTTAGTCTAAGAAACTTGTGCCACCCTCTCAATCAATTAGATGCAAAAGTGAAAACCAAGCACTACATTTTCCCTGGCCTCCATCCCAGCCCTTGTTTGGTCTCATCATCAAGTAACTCCCTCTCTCCCCAACCAACCACCATGCACTCAAAACAAAGAGAAAGGAATATAATTCTGATAAAACTACCTTTTCCACCCCTGAGCAGTTTTCTTGTTTTTAAATTTGAGTTCTCAGTGGCTTCTTGTAATATATTCTTTTTTGTGACTGGCTGTTGTGATTACTTTGCTTACCTAGTTTCTATGTCATCCAAGTGAGCATCAGAATCAACTCTATTTCATCCCTTCCTACCCCTCTGGAGGCATGATTTCCCTTTCTCCCTCCCCTCTCTGGAGGCATGATTCCCCTTTCCCCCTCCCTCTCTGGAGGCATGATTTCCCTTTCTCCCTCCCCCTCTGGAGGCATGATTTCCCTTTCTCCCTCCCCTCTCTGGAGGCATGATTCCCCTTTCCCCCTCCCTCTCTGGAGGCATGATTTCCCTTTCTCCCTCCCCCTCTAGAGGCATGATTTTCCTTTCTCCCTCCCCCTCTGGAGGCACAATTTCCCTTTCCCTAACTAGTAGCTAATTGACAAATATAAGTGAGAACATAGTGGGCCATTAAAGTTACTTATATGTCTTACCCTCTCCAGGTTTCCCTTCAATAGCTTGTGACTGGCTGCTTCTGTAATTGACAATAACAAAAAGAGTGGATGCTTTGAACTCAGGATTATCTGTTACTTTATTGTAGAATCCATGTTACCAGTTATCTTTTCAGTAACAGATTAATGTCAAAATCTTGTGACATTTTTTTTCAAGATCTCGATAATCTTCTTAATGAAAATGGATAAGACAATCTTGACTTCCAACGTCTTCCAATAACTTTGTAAGATTTTGAAAGATCAGATTTGGTAACAACCTTCATCAAGAACCTTGAAAAGACCTTGATTAAACTTTAAGTACTCTCCAAAGATCTCAATAATATTTCCATGTAGGAATCACAAAGAAAGAAATGCATTATTTAAATTAGATGACAAAAGTTACAAGTATATAATGTCTAATACCTTTGACTAAACTGTGAGCCATCTGTGAGACTGTCCTGGCTACTTTCATCATCTACACTGACACTGGGTCTGAACAAAAAATGACAAAACTAATTACTGGTGGAAAATGAAACTCACCCCATGTGACAGATTAAATGGAAAACTGTTCATAACAAATCACTGTTTCAAAGCTCTTTATCTCCCAACTCTAAAAGGCAGAATGCCGCAAAAAAAGTATGAAAGGTCTACTGGCCAGGGGTTCTACCCATGGACTAATAAAATATAATTAATCAGCCAGAATATTTGGGAAATATGGTTACATCATATTGTCTTTAAAAAGGGAGTAAGGTTCTAAAGAAATTGTGGTGCTTCATCCATGGATGAGTATTACAAGATAATTTGGTCTATCAATTAAGTTGATATTGTAAATTTGCCACCATAGAGAGTGCCTAAAGCTGATTTTTCCAGTGTGAGCTCTTTGTCAGAGCAAAATACATTGTCTTAAGCCACCTGTCAGACAATTTAATCTTCCCAACATTTTGATCTTATGTCACATTCCCAAGTGTGAAGGAATGACTGTAAATTTTACCCCAGATAACTCCAAACGTTGGAATTTTCAACCACTTTTACAATTCCCCAGGTAAACAAACCTGAACAGTGAAGGAATAAATGACTGCACTAATTCCCTGTAGTTTATTTCCTCTTCCTTCTTCTTGTTTGTTCTCACCTTTGAAGAGAAATAACAAAAGACATTTCAATATCTTCTCTTTCATGTTAGTCGACTCAGAGATGAAAAAAAAGGGGGTTTCTCAGAGGATGCATGACCAAAATCTGAGTTTAGAATACAATAAACAGACTGCTACATTTGAAATTCCTTCAGGGATTAAAGAATCTTTGCAATTAAAATCCAGCTTACCCTGGCTGATCTTCTCTTGGGAAGAAAATCATCAATGGCACTTGGAGGAGGTTTCTTTCTTTTTGGTCCTTTTTTGCTCTTCTCCTCACTCTCACCTACCAACAAAACCATCCACAATTCCTAAGCCTCAAGAGACATCTTTTAAAATTGTACAATGCAATTAATCCTTGTTTTTTGTTTTTTTTTTTATTCCAAACTCCTAGGTGAAATGTCAATAGGTAACTAGATCTGAACTCTTTTGTTAGTAACTGTAAATACAGCTCAAAGCTTCTCTCCAGAGGAAATACCATTCTTTTCCATTACAACTGCCTAATTTCCTGGTACTTTGGTATTGCTAGGCTTCTGAGATCAATCTCAATCAGTCTTTCTGTATATTTAGTTATAAATTTATACACATACCTGTCTGGACATTCTTGTACACTGAAAATCCCTCTGTAGAAAAACTGGAACTTGAATAATCTGGCACTTTAACAACAGATGTTCGGTAGGACATGGAGATGTCTTCAACAAAGAAAAAGAAAACACTGTGACTGATTGATCCTTGGTAGCATGACCCTTTAAACTAAAAAAATGACAGTGTGCACACTTTGGAGAGCAACAAGGAATAAAACATACCTGGAGTGACAATGGCTTTGTAGTACTCCTCCAAATCAACTCTTCGACCAAGCGGCTGTAAGAAAATAGCAAATACATGTACAGCCAATTACCACAATGATATTAGTGTGGTTTGGTCAGGTATCCTATGATGTTGTTATCCAGTCATGGACTTTCAGTGCAGACTCTACTAGTTACCATTGTAACTTGGAGCAATTCCATTGTCATTATCAAACAATTACATTATAAATCCACTATAATTACAACTGAAGTAGGCACCCAATAACTGTAACAGCAATTACACATTGTCATGTTTATTTTCCACTTTGTTTCTCCTAACACTATTTCAAACTTTTAAAAAATTAATTGACTGTATAAAGTAATGACATGTTATAATATAGCTGAGATACTATATTGGTTAAAAAAAATATATAAATTGCACCATTTAACTCGTATTTATTTCAGAAAAGTAATAGAATGCACTTTCTGTTGGTTTACCAGTGTAGTAACTCACAAGTGATGTTGGGAGAACACAAGAGCGTTCAGCTCATGATTGGGTCATTATACTCAGCCTGGTAAACCAATAGAAAGTGTAGTCTATTGCTTAAATCCATAATATCCATGAAAATGCAAAATGCAACAAATTGCAAGACAGAAGAAAGTAATCATGCTTGAATACCTGAGGATTTTCTGGTGATGTTAAGTGATCATACAGAGCAATGAAGCATTCTCCCAGACTTGCCCACCTTATCAAAAATTAAAAAAAGGAAAAGATATTTTCTCAACAACCTAATCAAAACCACAACACTTCAATGACTGTCATTTCTTACGTGTGTGATGTCAGAGGCTTGACGGGTGCATAAGGAGGGGGAGGGGCCCTGTCTGCTTCTACAAGTTTTAGCCTCTGTTCCCTGAGATGAAGTGCTTCCTTCACAAACTGTTTAAAAGAAATAAGTAATATGCTGACTTGTGATGTCTACTACCAAGGCCAGATGAACAAATAAAGCAAAAAAGTAAAACCTATTTATCCATCATTTCATGAAAACATAGCAAGCATACCTTGTTCTCTTCATTTTCTTGCTCTTCCTCATTCATTGCATTACACATATTAAACAGATTTCTAAAAGAATAACACATTTCCACTGTTCATTGATAATAATATTAACTACAAGTAAAATTATTTACCTTGCCCAGACAATGAAAAAAGAGATTCATCCTTGTTTTCCAACAGGGAAAACCTTCTTTCAGGTAAGTCTCACTGAACTTGGAAATTTGCTTTCCAGACTAAATACCACGTAGAAATGGCTAACCCTGCTTTTATATCGTTTTCCCTCCTTCAAATTTTAAGGCAAGAGGTTTGTAACATCCAAAGTTACATTAACTGTAGTCAAACACCAAACAATAGTCTCTATTGTGTTTGAGATGAATGATAACTCATATGTATCTACGAGGTCAAAAAAAGAAACAATGTTGTGTCCAGTGTTGGTTTACCTCAGATGTTGTGATTCTTTCTTGAGTGGTGGTTCCTCTGAGAATATCTGATTCTTCAATGCAATACCTGGGAAAAATTAACAATTAACAATCAGACATATTTGAGCATGATGGTAAGCTATATCATGCCAGCTTAGGCCAAACACCAAGGCTAAGAACATGAACCAAATAAACCAATCAAATATTGATATTTTCTACATACTGCAGGCTTAAAATTATTGTTCAGGTGTATAACGTCATTTTAAGCATACATAGAACAAACTTTATCAAAAGGTCTGATGTGATAAGAAAAATGCCACCAAAAATTACTTCCATGTAATATGTAACAAATCAAAATCAAATCAACAACACAAATCTATAGTCTGTAATCAATTGAAAATAAAATGATTACAATTGGACAACAACAAATTGAAGTTTTGAAAAATATTTCCATTATATACAAATATCAAAGCTTGCCTTTAGGATATTCTTCATCCCTCTCGAAGGCCTTCGAAATCACAACTAGGCATGCTGTTCATCAGAAAAAAAGATATCGTCCAAAAAGATGTATTGAGGTGTTGAACTTAGAATAAACTTTCACAAATATAGGACATATTCCTACAATTAACTCCTTACTGTGTCACCCTTGAATCAAACATTAAGGTCATGAGAATAAATTTATGAAGCTCCTGATTGTCAAACATATTCTCCCTGTCAGAACTGTAGGAAATGTAGAGAGAACAGTGTGGAGAATATGAATATTAATGTTAGGGTGAAATTAGGGTTAAATTCCAAATGCAAGGAAGCATACAATAAATAACTTACTGTAGTAATCCCCAATGGCATACAGCACTGTACAGAGCAAGTCTAAACAAGGCCAGTGCTTTGGATTACACTTCAAACCCTTTGTGAGATAACATAGAAAACAAGGTAGAGAATCATAACAGCAACTTAAGCTTATCTTTAATAAAAGGATGGTAAATGATCAAGCCCAAGACTCAAGAGAGGCCAAGAACCCCTTCTGAAAACTGATTACTGAGGCTAAGGCATTTTTACTGTTGGAGTTTCCAATATTTTCTTTTTTGAAATTTTTTAAACCAAGGTTAAATTTAAAGTTTACTTTTTTTCCTTGGCTCAAACTTTTATTAATAATGAAGACAACAAATAAAAAAATAGTGTCTGTTGCAGAACTGAAACGAATACAATCAAACAGTATAACTTTAAGACTTTCTTCACATTAATTAATGAAAAAATTAATAGTATATGATTATTTTTGATAGATCAAAATTCAACTCAATTGTAAGGCCTAGAGCTTGATCAGTTCCCTTCACATGTATTCTACTGAGACTTGCTTTGAAGGAGAATTTTTATTTATTGAAAGACTTGTACCAATGTCATTAAATCCAATGTTGTAAGTTGTGCCTTGTAATTTACAGGAATGGGTGATACAAACCTCCTCAAATGAATGTCGAGCCAAGCAAAGATCAAATGTCTTCAGTGCTACCATTCCAAGATGATGCCATACTGTCACATCTGAATCATCAAGTGCAACAGCCTGCAATTAAAACAAAACAGTAGGGCAAAAGTGTCTCATTATATCATAGCCTTTATCCCCACCAAGACTGAGGTCAATTGATCTCAGCATACTTCACTGAGCAACCTGCTGCAATGTTTGTGACAAAATCTCTTGTATATGTATGAAAAAAAATTTAAAAGACTGTTATGTAGAAGAAACTGAATGGAACATCGTTGGTTTCTCTTAGAAAATATTTTGTCTAAATCAATGAATCCCTCTGTTTTTTTTTTCCAACTAAAAATAAATCCTGAAATGATTTTACATTTCTGTTGGATAAACAAAATAAAGCATGAAACAATGATTGTTTTAACTATCATAATGTCACCTGAAGATATGCATCTATAGACTTTTCCCATTGTTCTCTCTTCTCTGCTAATGAAGCCAGATTCTTGTAAGCTGAGTATTTCAATACATGACCAGGTTCAACTAATCCAGTATCCTCATCTGGTGGCAGAGCCTGATAAAGAAAGTATTGCATGCAGCCTTGTTATTTATAACATTTCGATTTATTACTTTAGGAAACTTGAAAGTTCATATAAAATTCACAGAAAAACAATCTTGTAACAGAAAGGGAATAGAACTAGAGCTGGAAGAGCATTGACTCATAAAAGCTTTAACTTTCCAGGAGCTATCAGCTGTAACAGAACCCATGAGTAGTTCCCATAAACATAAATCAAAAACAACATTGCTAAGAACAAATTATTCTCAAGCCTTCTGCTAACCTCTTTGACCAAAGCAGAATTTAACAAATGATTATATGCTTCCTCAGATGCTGTATAATCTCCTTTCTGCTGCAAGGCCAGGCCTTTGTTGTACAACTCCAGAGCCTCTGATTCCTGTTAAACCAATAAATGATTACAGGGGGCAAGTCTCAAAAGAAACTGTGGTGCTGCATTGGTGGGAAAGTATAACATAAATTCGTCACCATAAAGAGTTTCAAAGCTGACATTTTGAGTGTTTACCCTTCATCAGAGCCCTGAAATATCAGCTTTGAAACTCTATATGGTTGCCAATTAATGTTATTAACTCCTTCATGGTACTAAATCACCCAATAAAAGATTGATCAGATTAAACACTGGTAATTAATGTTTTATTTTCAGTCAAACAGCTGTCTGGCTTAAATAGAAGTAATTTCATGGGATGTGCATGATTGGGTTTCTACCATGTCCATGTTGTCTCCCCTTGGTTCAACTGATCCACAAACCACAACTATTTTTAGGTGTCTAATTGTGCTACCACTCCACCTGAATGACATGTTAGCTACTCACCCCACCCCTTCTAAATATTTTGACAGGTTTCTGTGACAGTTCACTACAACTCATTAAAAAACCTGAATGAAAAGAAGTTTAGTCTCCTTGCCAGCCTGCCGAGTATGGCAGGTGTACATACAAGTCTTTACACCATAGCACTGATAGCTCACAACAAATTCATAACATTACACACAGAAGCTGTAAAGTAGGAGGTAGCCCCACAGCCATGTGTGCATGGTTGTATTTCACGCACCTAGGAAGTGCTTTACATGCACCAGGTTTGATAGTGTTACCTGTCATACTTGGCAGACAAGACTCCTAACTAAACACGAGGCATTGTGTCAGCAGGCTGTGTAACCGAAAACACAACACAACGAGTGCAGCTATTAAAACCAGACTTTAAAGTGTTGTTGTCTCAACACATCTCCCTTGACATGGTTAGTTTGGTGTGTTTGTTTTTTCTTATTTATTGATTCATTTCTCTTCCATTCGCAATTAATTCATCAGCTGCACAGTACGACTGCAGCTAATAATTAACGTACTCCCTACCTTGGCTTGTTTGACACTTTCCTGTGTAGGTTCGTGGTCACTCTCTTCACTTGAATCATCATTAAGCGCACACAGACGAATCTTATGTAAAAACAAAAAAACGACAGAAATGATCAACTTTCGCCAAATTCAAGTAACAACAATCAGACACTTGAAATACAACTTGAACAATGACACCAATAGCTTCATAAACATACCATTTTATTCAGTCTGAGGTTTTATTCAGGTAGTATTTGCTTGCATCATGTACGTGGCAACCCCTATTCTTTAACACGGAGGGTTATTTTCAACCTAAATAATGTTTGTCAAAGTTAAAGAAAAATCCGCCATGTTGTCTCTCGGAAAAGATTGGATACTAGGCTCCTCAAAACATGTGCGGTTACCAAACGCTAGTCCCAGATTACTCGCAAATACGCGCAGACTTGAGAGCAAAATGGCGCATACTCGCATATTCGCGGGGGTTTCAATTTTGGAAAAGCTAAGGTGTTAAATGAGATGTCTAGGCTCACACAACAAAGCAGCGATGATAATCGCTATATTCTAGTGGCCAAGCTGGACAACGCGCGTAACCTTCTGAATGTTCTGAAAGCTGTATATTTCAAAGAGGTACGTGAATGTTATAACAGAGTTGACATAGATATGCCATAGATCAAGCCCTTTGAATCTTGAGAGTGATTAGTTTGTAAATTCTCCTCAAAATTTTGAATACGTGTTGAACAGATAGGTAATGAGAAGATATGACATTATCAACCAGGAAATAAGGTATTTCTTGAATGTATAAATATCAAGACAAAGAAATGTCTGGTAATGGTTGAGACAATCAGCTCTCAGATCTTTTTTTTTACCCTATACCAGTCAGTCTAGGGCACTATCCATTACTCCTCTGTGGTTGACCCACAGATTTTTGGAGTGAAAGGCTAATAATGCAACTGACTCTGACTCGGAACATTTTTTTTTTTTTAACAACATGAGATAACTCACAGAGCTACTACTTATTATAGAAAGCATGATTCTCTTTTGAGCCTGAAAATCTGTTTTCATTCTCTCGGATTACTACTCAATAATTTAAAAAAAATATAGCTGCAGCTATGAAAAGGAGATTATGAGACAGTCTGTTACAAAATACCTGTTTTCAATTTTTTTTTCTGTATTGTACTACAGTCAGCAACATGTTTTGTGAGTAGCAATGGTATCAAGGTCACTGTTGAGGATGCGAAGTGTGTACAGGCCAATGCCTTTGTGCAAAGGGGAATCTTCCAGGAGTTTGTTTTCAAAGAAGAGAGTGCCACTTTCCGGATAAACCTCAACATTTTACTGGTAATAGAAGTAAATTTATGCTGCTTAAAACTATATTCCTCTACATTTTTTCTTCTTGAATGAAGCCTCCTGCTGTTTTAATATTACAGGGGTAACAAAATAGGTGAGGATTACACACATGCAGTAGCTTGTTAGCCCTTTAACTCCCAGATCTGATTGTCAATTCTCCCCTCTAGCTGCTAAACATTCCCTGGAAAATTAGTTATAAGAATTTGGTGTTAAATCAAGATAACAACTTCTTCCTGATAACTTTGAGTATTCTCATTACCTGTTTGTGGATGATGTAAGGATATCATAGGGAGAAGTTAAATGTTAATCACTGCCACTTTATTGCTGACCCCATGACTGGAAACGATGGTATGGTAAAGTATCTTACCCACCAGAAGCTCCATCCTGCCAGAGTTCAATCCTGTTTCAGATGCATTCAGTGAACAAGAATGTTGTTACCCCTTCTCCTCCCCCTTCCTGCTGAACTAGAGGCCTGTTTAATGCAAGGCCACCCTCACCATTTCACAAGTTCCTAACATGGCTTTATACCAAAATTCATAAATTGATCTCATTTTCTGGTACCTCTACATTTTGTCAGGGTCCTGCCACACCTGTTGTATATGATTTTTATGAAAAAGTGACTAATAATAATGACGATTCTTAATACCTTAGATGAAGACGATTGGATCTTTTACATTATATAGAAAAACCTGTGCTTATGAAAATTGTCTTCTACAATTATGAAATTAATTTATTCTTGTAACCAGGAATGTCTCAATATCTTTGGCTCCTCCAAAGATACGAGAACTTGTACAGCAATGAAGATGTGTTATGCAGGATATGGCTCACCACTTATTCTCACGTGAGTATTTAGAGAGGTTTTCAGTGGTCTTCATCATGCTTCTCCTTCAAGGAGAGATCCACAGGGGAGAGGTAGCATACAATAGCTATAGTACACTTTACTGCAACCCACTGATTCTTTTTTACCCCTTGAGGTTTCAATTCTTGGTTGAAATAGTAACAGGGGTTTGTAAAATTTATTCATGTCTTATTCAATGTACCATACCTGTATTTATCAATGTATTTGTTTGTTATCTGAAATTTTACTTTTGGCTGTATGTTACAGGTTGGAGGAAGGTGGCATCCTGACAGATTGCAGCATTCAGACCCAAGAGCCTGATGAAACATTGGATTTTGATTTTAGCGGTGCAGATGTTCTGAACAAGATTATTATGAAAGTAAGAAAAGATAACATTTCTTATACAGAAAGTTTTTTGAAGCAACTAACTGGCCCTTTTTTGTTCAGTAGAATCTTTGTTTCAATTTGAAGTATGTCTGCCATTAGCTTGTCAGAAACAACTTTGCAAGGCCTTAGCTTAAATATTGCACTACTTATTTTTAAAATAGCTGATAAAATTTATATAAAAATGTATTTTTGCATATTTTAGTCTGAATGTTTGAAGGAGGCTTTCAGTGAACTAGACATGACAAGTGAAGTGCTGCAAATTCTGATGTCACCAGATAACCCTTACTTTAGACTGTCAACCTTTGGATATGCAGGAAGTACCCATGTAAGGTTTGATGATCTTAGTCTAAGCATGTCATATTCAGTGTTCACACCACAACAAGGGGTACTATCATAGATTCCCTTTTAGAAAGTGTATCTGTTAAATGATCACCAACCTGAGAAGCTTTGATTGTTAAATGAAATCTACATGTCAGTACTAAAGAAAATGTATAAAAAAAGTAAAGCCCTGGTTGTATGAAGGGTAGATAACACCATCCCTTGGATAACTTTCTATCTGGTGGATGGCACCATTCACTTGGCTAACACTTATCTGTCAGATGTCAAATAGTGAGTTATCCATCACATAGCATTATCTGCCCTTTGAGCAACTAGGGCCAGGATGCCAAATTATCCCAAGGTGCTTTTCAGTTGATATATAATATATGCAGTTCTCTCGACTAAATTATCCTTGTCAGTACCAAAGGAAGTGTATAAAGAAAAGTATGGAAAATATTGATTCTGAAGCTTGGGTGTAAAGGCCCCCCCTAAACAGGTCGTGAAAATGAAATAATCACCTAGGATATGATTTTGATAGAACACCACTTAGTTTGTCTTTTTAACAAGCAAATGCCTGACAACTAGAAAGGACAGTTGCTGAATTTGATCTTGGAAAATGTTTAACTTTCACTCTGTAGATAGCAGAGAAAAAATACTATTCTACTGAGAGATGAAGGGCAGTGAACAGTTAGGTCAACAAGACTGTCATAGTTTTCATTGTGTCTTCTTCAAGAATAGAATAGAAATTACTAAATGTGAAAACTGACTTTATCTTACAGTCAGATTTTCCAAAAGATTCTGATATGGTGGAGTCATTTGAATGTCAACAAACACAAACAAACAGGTGTGTGAAAAAAGCAAAAAAAAATAATTGTATTTAATCACATGCAAGTATCAATGCAGAAAATAAAAAATGTCTGTCTCAAATTGGCTGACTCAGAGGTACGTTTGTCTTCATATGAGACCAAAATTTGGTTCACTTTACTATGTCCTCACTTAGCTTTAATTTGCTTATCTTAAGAACTTAAGTATCTCATGATGGTAAAGAGATATTTTGAAAAAAGTTTTTCTTGCCATAAAAAGATAACTACTTGTTAGTGTTTGAAATTGCTTAGATTGAATAGATGTGTACAAACCTTAAAGTAACTACATTATTTTTGACACTGAAATGTGAGTTAAAGTCTCTCTGTGTTTATAGATATAGGATCAGCCTTTTGAAACCTTCTACCAAGGCACTGCAGCTTTCAAGCAAAATCTCCATTAGAATGGATGGAAGAGGTTTTCTCTCTATGCAGTATATGATTGTAAATGAAGATGGGCAGGTCTGCTTTGTGGAATACTTGGTTGGTTTCTGTCTGTAAATTATGTAATTTCAGCTTAACATTAGCACTACAGTTTTATTGGATTGCATTTAGAGGATTGTCTCCACAAATTGTTCATACACATTATTTTAACACATTTTCTTGGACCTCCTACTTTGATAATGGCCCTTATTAACCCTTTAATTCTCAAGATTTCATTGGTAATTCTCCTTACTGTCTGCCATACAGTTAGTTTGGAGAATTTTGAATTGGATCAACCAATAATACCCTAATTGACATTTTTTTATCTCTGGTTACTTGTCTGCCTGATATCCTACTTATGGTTTAAGGAGAAATTCTGTTAAGGTCATTAGTGGGACTTAAAGGGTTAATAAAATTCACACTTTAGATGGTGCAGTACTCTCTCAACCTGTTTTACTTATAATGACCCCCAAGTCAGAGTGAACAGCATCTAATTTCTCCTTACAATATGACCACTGAATCAAACAGTAAGCTTACAAGAATAAAGGAAATGGTCACAAACTAAAGAGGCTCTTGAATGTTAAAGAAGTTCTCTTTCTAAACACATTAGGAAATGTGTAGAGAACATTATGGATAACATGCATACTGATGTTAGGGTGTAAGAGAGTAGTAAGAGGAAAAATGTTGTTGGTGATGTAGCTATGAATGTTTTTTCATTCTCACTCTCAAATGTTATTATAGATATTGCTTATTTAAACTGAAAAAGGCAATAATTGTTAGCTTTTGTAGCCCACATAACAAATTACTATGTTTTTTGATAGATGCTGACATCCACATCATTTTCAGTATATATATCTCTCCATAGTGTGCTCCAGATGAAGAAGTTGATGAAGAAGATGAAGATGAACTGCATTGAACAACTGCAAGAAGTCATCATACACAAGACAGTTGTGAAAGTCAATCAGCCTTGCCCAAAAGTTGTTAACAATGTTAAAAATTTAAACGGCCAAAAAAAGATAATATGTACCAATCAACTGAGTGGGAGGGCTGGATGGGAAAGTTTGGCTATCTAAAAAAGAAAGACAAACAAACAATTGGATCAAAATCCTTCAAACACAAGCCAGGAACATAACCTTTCAAACCCTCTGGAACAACATTTGTTCATGAAAAGTGCTGTTACTATGAGGTGAAATTCCAGAATACTGAACATCATTTTCAAGCTATCAACATTTTATTGGTTTGTGATCAAGGTAAATGATGATGAATGTACATAGTCTAGACGGTCAACTGCTTGTTATTAAATGTGTCTATCATGTACCTTTATTTTGTAACTACAGTATTAACTGTACCATTAAGTTTTGAGTTTTTCAATGTTGCAGACCTTACAATTAAAAATGATTGAATGTACAGATAAAAAGATTTTTTAAATAAAATAATTATGCTTTTTTCACATTTATCTAACAGTCTAACAATTTTATCATCACATGTATACTACTTTTTTATATCAGTCATTGAAAAAGCCTGAAAAAAAAAGGATACCTAGCAAGATAAACCATTTTGCAGTTAATCTTGCCACTAAAATATGACACTGGTTGTCAACTATGATTGGTTGAATTAGTGGAATGTATTTCCAATCACTGTTGAAATCTTTTCCCTCATTTTAAACCCAGAGATGTAATATCAAACTAAACTCGTTTTCTCAGTCCCCACTGTACCTTGGTTTTTTCCATTCTAATTTATGGCCCATATGCTTTGTGTTTGGACCATAAATCTGTGTGGAGAAAACTCAGTCCTTAACTTACAGTGGTTAAGACCTTGAACTCAGTTAGTATGGTACTGGTTACAAAAACATTTTCCTATGTCACTGATAGGTAATTGTATATATCCCTTCCCCCCGTCCCTGCTGAGGGTTATTTGTAATAATGCATGAATGGACACTGAGATTATCATAGTGTTGTTGATGTCAGTGATAACCCCAAACAATCTCAACCAAAACAACATATATATTAAGCTTTTCATGTTTCAATAATTCAACCTGTATAAGGAAATTTCTGTACAACTATCTCCTCCGCATCCCCCCAAAAAAATTGTTTTCATATGGACAGCAAGTACTTTTTCCTTGCTGAAAATGGATTTTTTTAAAGAAATTGAGGAAAATGACTTAAAATTTGGATTCTGGGTCACCATTCTGAGCAACTTTTTCTTGTCTCAGCAGAGCTATGATTTTTACACAACTCATTGTGTATTGTCCTTACACTCACATGTGAGCAAAATGTAAAACATTCCCTCAAAGCAGAACATTTTTTATGTCCTGTATGTCTGTTCAAGATTAGGAGGAGACTGCGAATCAGAAAAATTGCTTAGAGAAATGACACTTTCAACCATTTTTCATTAAAAAAAAGAATAATTATAAATTGTAAAAAAACTAATATTTAATTATAAATCAGACAACTTTGAAGTTGTGTTCTTCCTCAGCTGTTGGTGGTGTACCATGCACATCCACTGGGACAACCAATGCTTCTCTTTCAGACATTGCAGGCGAGATTGGCTCGTCATCCAACAGTTCATCATCATCATCATCATCATTGTAATCACTACAATTGTCCACAGCTCCATTTTCATGACCAGCTTGAAGAAAGTCATCTGAGGGGACTGTGTTTAACAATGAATTAGTATCCTCATCTTCATTTCTGGTAACCTGCTCTGCTTTTTCCCGGTCATCAACTAGATAAATTGAGCACATTATGAAACAGAATCCTCCAATAACACTGATGAAGGTTGACATCAAAAGAGAATATTCCATGCTTTGTGCACGATCTTTGTCACTACTCCCTGCACCTCTGATACGATCAGAAATCTGTGGAAACAATAAAAGGTTGAGGTTACGATCCAACTTCAAAGTAAGAAAAAACATTTCCCTAGGTGAAATTAAAAAAAACAACAAGATGATTTTAATTTAAAGTTTTGCATTCCCTATTCAGCTATCTTACCTCTCCAACAAGCCATGGGCTGCCTGCATCACCAAACAAGTGAGAAACAAGAATCTGAGCAGCTTCAGCGGTGGATCGACGTGAAGGTATTATTATATACTACAAACAAAACAAGCATTTGTACCATAAGACAACTTTACAATAATTTTCATAGTATTTCCAACACCTTGTAGTGAATAGAATTTAGTACACTGACTTCAGGCAAGTATCTCTGCTTAAAAACTTTCTTTAAGGGTTAACTTACTACTTAATGAAGTATCATTAATAGTGAAACAATTGATGCCACATTCTTTCCCAACTCCAGTAAAGTCAGGAAGGTGTTCAATTAAGTCACAGTTTATCTAGGCTTTATCTTACCAAAACCATGTCCCCTACTGGTGCCCAGTTCATGAAAAGTAAAACTTCACCGAAGAATATAAGGGCCTGTAACCAAACAAATAAAACAATTGGAAGTAACTCACTGTACATAAATTATAATCAACAACAGGCTGGAATTTATTATGCAACAAGATTTAACTATCAATAATAATTCAGGACATTAAAATTTTACTTGGCACACATGACTATCAAATCTGGGTATTTGAAGAGAAACAATATGTTATGAAAACACAATTTCTAAGAACAATGAATTAACCCTTTGCAATGCCCTGACATATTATAAGTAAAGTTGTATGCATATTCTCCATACTGTCCTCTGTAAATTTTTTTGTTACCCACAGGGACTTGACTTTAAACAGTCAAGAGCTTCTTAAGACAGTGATCATTTCCTTTGTTCTCATGACATTAATGTTTGATCCAGGGATAATGCTGTAAGGAGAACTGGATGTTGGTCACTCTTAGGGGTCGAAAGGTTACATTAATGAACCATTTCTACTTACATATGTAACTTTGATGTTTGTAGATGCTAGCACAAGACAACCATAGAGGAAAGGTGCTGACCCAATTAATGCAACAGCACATACTAAAGCATCAGCTTTTCTATTTCGTGTTCTATACCGCCAAGCAATCTCTGCGCCAAGCCAAACTCCTACAATACCAGCGACACAGGTAATAATTCCAACCTTTAAGCTAACACTTAAATGGTAGATAAAACAAAACATCATTAATAACATTCATATCATTATATCAATAACTTTTTTCCTTTTCTAGGTGAGAGATTAGAAAATACAGCTGCTACAACATTTTGTTAGCTATTCTATGGAAGTTGCTTGTGTCTTCCACAAAAATGCCAACTTACCCAAAAAAATTTGAGTTCTGGCAAAGCAATCTAATTGATTGAATTGATCACATATAATTTCTTCAAGACTTTTTGTTGTTTTTGTTGAAGTAGTTTCTCTTTTTTGTTGAATAGCAGAACTGATAACACTGCAGTCCCTACCAACAACCTGACCCAGTTATCCTCTCTGTGAAAAAAGAAATACTTACTCTGGTTCTGTTTCTGAAATTCCTTGTGCTCTTGTTGCATAGAGCAAGAATTTTGGTGCCCAAAATGCTAGGGCACCAGTCACAAATGAAACACAAGTAAATCCCAAATTCAGCCATATAAAGCTTTTCCTATAAAAAAAAAAAGAAACTCTCAATATTAAGCATTTCTTAATGATTGATTGAGTCAGGTTCACATCAGGAACCTAAGCTTTTCCTTCCTAACAATCTCATAGCAAGGATGACAAAAAAATCAAAGGAAACAACAATAATGCAACAGATTGTGAAGTCTGATTGTCAAGGTGGAGTGGCCTTGAAAAGGTCTGGTGCCTGTTGTAGTCATAGAATGATGTTTTGACAACTTGACAGCCATCATAACAGTCAAGTGAGAAAGTTGTCTTCCTCAGAAAAGAATGGTAAAGAAAAATTGTAGAGAAATTGTCAATTTGAGTAGAAAGTACAGTGAACCGTGTTACAAAATCTCAGATCCACCATGGTGACTACCAACTAGCATGTTACTTACACTGTTGCAAGATACTTGAGGTCTGCCCACCAGCTGGTTGTGTTATGAACATCAGAAGCTGAGCTACTATGAGGGTTCTCTCCTCTTTCGATGGCACCTCTTTTTGGTTCATGAACTACAAATATGCACAGGAAAACACACACTGCACCTATGATGGGGGTCACCTGGAAATAAAACAACTTTTTTAATGGAAGAATATGGGTATAACTATCCACTCACTGTATGATTTCTGACCTGTGATAACAATTACTCTTCTTTCAATTTCAGTGTTTGTCTTTGATAGAGCTTCTGAGGTTTACAGGCTAAAAAATCTAATGGAATGAATAAAGCTGTAGTTTTAAAAAATGCAAACAAAACACAGCCTTTAATTTGATCATGAGAGTTACTACCAAATCAACTTTTAAACAAATGATTCACAGACAGAATCTAGATATACATGTAACCTTGTCAAAATGCATTAAACTACACAAAATCTACCACAATTAACAACATTAAACAGAGAAAGTGTGCTCCAATCCCACAATTTCTATCGGTACTTTATCAAGAAACTTACTCGCAGTCCCCATTGCCACTGATTGTTAAACAGAGCAGCAACCTCAGTTCCAACTATGTAACCAAGCCCACTGAAAAATGAAATATTAAGTTACATACCTAAGAACGTAATGCCAAATGTTCAAAATAAATGATAGCACAGCTAAAACTGATGGCCAAACAAGAGACTGAGTCTAAGATTACCCAAAAATACCAATGCTATATACAAGGTTTCCATTAAGAAAAGCAGGGGAATAGTTTAACCTCTTCACTCTCAGGAGTGACAAAAAGCAATTTCCTCTTTACTTGCAAAATCAGTGCAAAGGAAACTACATCTGATTGATTTTAAATTATTAGTTAAAGAATATTTTAACTCCATGTACTATTGTGCACTTAAGAACTAATAACGCTTCATTTCTTGGTCTCATGATCATCCTTGCTCACCTTCCCACAGGAATAGCAAAATAAAAGAATGACAACATCCTTGTCCTCATATCTCCAGTGAACAGATCAGCAATGACAGTGGGTGCTATTGTAGAATAACTGGCCTCTCCTATTCCAACTACACCTCTTAGGACAAGGAACCACCAAAAAGACTGTAGATAAAGTAATCAAGAAAAGCTTGTCTACCACTGGTTTCAACTAATTTCCATACCAACATCAACAACATTTTACATAAGCATGTTACACCCAGGAATGCAGGGTCCATTAGAAAGTGTGCATGAAAATATATACTTAAAAGATAAAAACAACAAGTATCATAATGAAGACCTAAAATGGTATAATTTCTACTAGCATTTTCACAACTAAACTAAAAACCAACTATGCTGAGTAATTCTCAGCCTGAAATATATCACACCATTTTTATAGCAACTGATAAAAATTCCACAACTTTTGCCTTCTCTCATTTTGTCTTCATACCAAAAGGTGCATCCTTGTGGCAAACAAAAAGATATAGTTGTGTAAAAATGTTGTTATTGAAGAATTTATTTTAATGCTTGTTTCCCTCCCACCTCAATTAGCTCCACTATTTTGCAGGTAGGAATTGTTAGATATGTATTTTAATTGCTAAAATAAATAAATGTTGTTGTTGTTGTTGTTTAGACTCAAAATCAATTACAGATATCAGTTACGTTTGGAGCAAATTCATTTGGTGATTTTCTTTTTTAAAACCAACATGAAATAATAAGCTCAATGTATCTGTTGTAGTCACTTTGCATCCTTTAGGGATTTATGCTTAAAAGAAGCAATATCCAGGGATAACAAAATTAATCATATAACCTGTGCAGCCTTGCTCATGCAATCCCATAGAAAAATTTAATGAAAGTTGACGTGTGCAGGGCTGGACAAGTTGACATAAGCAGGTCCAGAAAAAGCTGTTCAGCCCTACACTCGCACAGCTTAACAACCAAAAAAAAATACTAATAAAATGAAAAACTGGTTACTATCTGTGGTACCCCCACTCAGTCAAAAAGTACATACTAAGTGTGTAACTGTTAACTGTTTAGTGATTATAATAGTGCTGGGGTATTAAATATTTAGGGGATGTACTCACATCTTTGCTCAGCATAGTGCTGGCAAAAACAGTCCCAGACCAAACAAGTATTCCAGCTGCCATAAGATACTTCCTCCTGTAACGATCTCCAAGATAACCAAACACTGGAGCAAGAACCATATAACTACAGATGAAGACAGTTTGCAGCAAGCCAGCTGCTGAATTGTTGTCTTGTATATCAAAATAACTTTGGATGTCATCTAGAAGGCCTATAGAACAATATGATTCATTATGTAAAGCCAAACTCTTTGCAAGCAGTAACAAACTATTATTTACAAAAAAAAACAACAAACTCAATTTTAAACCCCTAATATCATGGTGCCAGCTTCGGATTTTGCACAATGTAATACTTAAGAATTGAACCATTTAACAATTTCATTTTCCATAACTCCTCCAGGACGTAATCAGCCATTTCAGTTCCTTACTAGTTTCAAACGTGTTTCCTTCCCATCAGATCTTAGTCTCCCATAATTTTTCATACTCTGTTAAAAACTATTTATATCCTCTACAATGAAGACTTGCGAATTAAGTAAAGGAGTTAAACTAAGTCGTTGGACAGGCCATCTAGCTTCGTTATTTCTGAGAAATTGCTTGCTTATGTCAAATACCATACCTGCCACAGTCTGTCGGTCCATATAATTCAAAAGATTGATGATAAATAACACTACCACGGTCACGTAGGCCCGCACGTTGTTTCCTCGTACAACATTAATCATTTTGTCGTCACTTTGGCACGCAATTTCTCCTGCCCCTTCTGCTTGAGACGCAACCTTTGGATTCGCCACTCCGTTAGAGGCAAATGACATAACAACAAGAACAGGTGACTAAAATAGGGCTAAGTGAGTAATAAATATCGTGTTTGTGGTAGAACATGAGATAACGAATTCAAGAAACTTTCCAAGGAAACCCACAACCCACAGCTATAATGGGAAGTACTAACCGAAGGCACGGCTGCGCAGCAAAACGGTTTATACCAAATTTACCCTCCCCTCCCTACTTAGAAAAATGAACTCATTCCCAGTGCTTCTCCTTTCGTTATCGTGTTTCAAACTTGATTGATTCTGACAGCTTCGATCAACGAATCTGGTGGATAGTGGCGGGTACTTTTCCCCGATTTGAAAAAAAGTCACAAATTATCCGTCTGTAAAGAAATCGATTCATTGATCAACCAAGGGTAGCTGATCCTAGACTCCCACTGGGCTTGACATGACATCTCTGTGGTGAATTGTTCCGTTCTTTGTGCAAACATCTGTCCCGCGCTCAAGAGCTTGTCTTCGAACGGGACGTGGTAACCAAGCGTTTACACTCTTCAAATTATTTTCAATAGCACTTGGCCGTTGAACAGCGGAACAAAGCATTGCCTTAAATCGTCGAGACAGGAAAATTAGGTAAGTAAACTGAACTCGCTTCGTCTAGTGGTGAGGTTGGAAGTCTGTTCTAGCTCTTGAACAAGCTTTTAGTACATTTTGGCTTCCCGTTCGTTTCTACCCCAATTAGTACTAGCACGCTAATTCATCGGGAACAATACAACTCGCCGCAAAATACTTGATATTTCCAAGATTTTTATCTGATAAATCGACAGTTTGATTGACTAAGCTGTAAATTACAAGACCCTCCAGAGTAATTACTACTGTTGCATTTCGATCGTTTCAGCTGGAGCGCTTGGATCCAATTTCATGGACGTTGAGACCCATAGTACTTATAGAATTCTGATTGTTGAACAGACGACAATTCGTTTGTTTGTGATTTGTTAAATAACGAAGTAATCAAACAAGATTTTTACCTAACCCTAAGCAGTCTAAATCTTTCTCCGTCTCAACTTAGTACTTATTACCACGCGTTCACGAGTCGGTCACATAGAAATTTAAGTAGTTATGTTTACGTCGTTATATATCTGAATATCTGATCGTATTTCATAAGGCGAGAGTTTCCTTGTTTGATGATATTTTGACTAACTTTCCCTTGTGGTCAACCATCCATCAAGGAATCAGTAGTGAAGAAAAGCTAAAACTTGTTTACTATTTGAAAATAACAAGTTGATAGTAAACCCCTTTAAGTAAACAATTAATTTTCACAAAACCCTTAAGCTTTTTGATAAATTTTATAATACATTTTCAGACAAATATATTTAGTGTAATTTTAATTATTTTGATGTGTCTGTGGGATAATTTTCAAGGGGGTCTGCCTAAAGGGCTTTTAAATTGATCACCAGAAAAAAATCTTAATTTTTGTAAAAGTAAAAACAATAAAATTCCAAGACAACTGCATGTAGATTTAACTTTTATGGATGACACTGGTGTTACAAAGATGGCTTTAACAGGTTAATAAAGTTAATCATTCTGGCTCTTAAACCAAGTTATTATCACTTTAATCTAGTTGTTGATGAAAACTATTGTTCTGTTCATGATAGCAGTCAGTTAAAATCATTGAAGTGCAAACAGTGCCATTGTTTTGGAGTCACTTTGGCAGACAGTACTCCCTACATATTCAAATTATGTTTGAATTCAGTATTTTCTGAGAGCTTTTGAGTTGAAGGATTATTATTTCCTCTACTCACATAAGAATTGTTAGACATGCTTTTTATAGATAGGTAAAGTCATTGTTATCATTTATATAGCTCTCCGCCGTGCACTGGCACAACTCTATACACACAATGCCATGCTAGACATAAATTCCTATGCGGTTAATTTATACCATCCTTTGATCCTTTATTGAGGGCTAAAATGACATGTTACTGAATTACCAATGACTGTTAATCACTGCTTGAGAAGGGTTTATTATTTATCATCACTAATGTAACCATGAAAATCATCCAGCAAACAAGGTAATGAGAATATCAAAACTTATCAGGTAGAAGTTGTTATCTTGATTTAACAGCAAATTCTCATAGCTAATTAGCAATCAGATCTTGACAGTTAAAGAATTGTAGGCAACAACTCTTCTGCATTTCTTCTAGACATCAGGTCTTCTGACACATTACATTACGTAACACTTAATAGTAACAGTGCTCTATTTTGCAACCATTTTGGTGGTCATAGCAAGTGAAAAATATATTTGGCAACTAATATTTTGGTGAAAATTGTCAATTGGTGACCAACAGATTTAAAAAAAAATTTGAAAAATCTATTGATGTTTGGTTGAATGATGGCTGATAGCTTGACTCATGCAGGGCTATGATTTTGTTATCTTCCAGATGATTCTGTTTGAAAAAGAGCTATGATGGATGCAGATACTAGTGGACACTCTGACATATCTATATGCAGTGATGATACAGAATTTCTTCTTGGTCAGAATGTGTCTATCAGGGAAATAGATGATGATGATGTCATCCATGCTCATGAAAATGTAAAAATCCCATTATCTGTTGGTAAATCCTACCATTCGTCACCTCAATGTTCACCTCAAAAACTACAGCAAGTTAACTCCAGTAATTTGAGATCTCCTCAAAGAAAGGGAGGGAATACTAAACCGGGGAAAGGACAGGATGTTATACAAAGATCACCCAGTAATAGCAAACCAAAGCAATCTTCTGCAGAAGAATCATTTAAGAGTAACATCAAAACAAAAGCAGATAAGAAGTCACAACCTCGACAGAATTATGCGCCAAAAGAAAATTTAAAGGGGCAAACACCTCAGACTAGTTATGGCTCAGAACCAGCAAGATACAATAAAAATGGTGAAAGGACACCAAAAAGCAAGAAACAAGTTCCAGATAACCTTGCCAAGCATCCACATGGTGTAGGTAACTTTCAGTCACCAGAGAGTCACAAATCAATTCATGCACATCAAAATGTCATTGGTAGTCCAACAGTAAAGTCTGAATCACCATACAAATCATCGCAATTAATTCCCCCATCAAGAGACAAAGCAAATGCAAAGAGAAAGCAAGTTGAGTTTGGTAGGTCACTATTACATGAACACTATATTCCTGGCAATCAGAACAACTGGGAAATTGACTCAGAGATATCATTAGAATTAGTAAATGGTGAGCAAAAGTTTGTAGAAACAGAATCAAATGATTTAGAAAGTCAAATGTCTGAGGCAACTGAAGATCTGATGGCAGGGCAGGATGAGGATGAGGAGGATTTCACTGAGAAGCTCAAGGAACTTAACTTAGCTGTGAATTATGATGCTGGTACAAATGGTGAGTAACTTTCCAAAGCTTTATCTCCTTCCTCTAAAAGAATCTGCTTAATTCATTCAGCATTACATGTCCAAGCTTGTTTGGCAGACATCTTACAAAAGAGGAAAGGAAAGAAATTCTTTTAACTTCGGAAAATGTTTTAATATGTACAGAATACTTTGATGACAAAGTAAGAGAAGGAGCAGAACTTTTATCCAAGCTGTTTGGTGGTCAGGTGGATAATTACTACAGCTCCTCCAGGTGAGTTAGATTGGTTTAAACTGCTTATCAAGGATTACATTGGTTTTGCTTTATGTCACTCACAACCAATCAGAAACAAAACTCAAGTTATTTAAACCATGATAACTCATGTTCTCCCACATTCAAGACCATTAGCATGTTCTTACTCTTTGTCAGAATCTTGATTATTTCCTTGTAATAATTGTACTCTTGCCGATTGGCCATTACATTTTCTTTCATTTTGGCCTCAGGAAACTCAATCAATACTCTGTCCAGTTAAAAATTTATATCATTCTTCAACATCATTTGTAATAATCATGGCAGAGTGGTAACACAATTAAGTATTACTCCTGGGTTTGAACCATTAACAGTTTTTGGCATTTTGTTATGAATTCAGTACAAGAAAGAGATTGTAACCAATATTTAACCATTCCTGATTCTTTGAATTTAACTTCTCATCACTCTGATCTAGAAATGAGCTAATCATGTCGACTAACATCTCTACACATAATGATAATCGTATTGTGAAAAGACAGCCCTTGTACATGCGGACATTGAAAGTTGGGTAAGAAAACTGATGCTAGCACATTAACAGTTGTTTAATAACATACTTACAAATATTCTGATGATTTATTTTACTGACTTTAAGAAGTTAAAGGTTTGCCTAGTGAGAAAGTAACCCTTTGATTCCCAAGATAATATGTAATACTGAGACAAACTGACTGATACTACCAGTCAGTGGAATTTAGCATTTAGCTAGTGTTAACAGGTTTAACAGTGTTAGGGTTTTCTGTCTAATAACTGGACTATGATTCTGAATCATCCACTAACTCCAAGTTGTCTGGAATCTTGCTCTAAGGGGGACAGGGGAGTGGTTGGATGGAGAGTGTGCTGGAACTTAACAATACTCTACAATTGTGAGCCCAGGATATCAGAAAATGTTTATTTGTTTTGCAACTATTTCTGAATACCTTTGATTTTTCTGAGTGCAACCACATAATTTTACTCATATGTGTGGGTAGTCAGTTGATTGCATATGATTTCTTGTAGTGGTCAGTCTAAGAGTTCTGCGTCAGGATCAGCAAGTGTCCAGGAAGGTAAGGATGTACAGAGTATAGTTAAAGGTTTAGACTCTTTTTAGTTTATAGCAAATTCTCCTGGCTTGCTGGATAAAGAGTGGACCATTTTCAGACTTAACTAGTGCACTTGAATGAAAATGATGCTGATGATGATGATGATGATAACTTCAGAGAGAAACAAGTTAAAAAGTGAGCAACTTTTGGAAAAGTTAACTTGAGGCAAAGACAAAGTAAAAAGCTCCTTCAAACTTGGGGAAAACATCCATTGTACCGATCAAAGGGACCTAAAATCTTGGACTAAATTTTCAGACCCAGAAAAGAAGATAGAGAAATGTTTGAGATGAGGCTGTCACTTCATCATGAAACCTGTTATGAAAACATCAGTCTTGACTTGATTCAAACATATTTTGTTTTACAAGATTCCTATTTTAACAGTTTCTAGATCTGACAGTCATCTTGAGGAAAGGAGAACTCCCAGTCACACTAGTAGCACCACACAGCGCTCTCTTCAACAATCCATTTCACCACAAGTGCAGTCACGAACAGAGGAACAGAATAGTGGGACCTTAACAGATCAAAGCAGCTCCTTTGAGTCCAGTGTGTCAACAGCAGCTAGAGGACATAGATCAACTAGCCAACGTAAAGAGGTGCGATTTAGAGATGAAATAACATCATCGAAAGAAATTAAGCAGCGCGACCATCGTGTGGTAACAGATGGTGAGTTTATCAAGGAGACCTCTGCTTTTAGAGCAGCAATGAACTATGATGATGATGATGATGACAACACTAGTGACAATACTGAGGAGCAAAGAGATTATTATTATGATCACAATGATGAGATGAATTATACTCAAAATAGAAGGATGATACCAGTGCAAAATCAAGATGAGTTAGGCAGAGAAACTGTCCATAATTATGAACAGAGAGTAAAATCACAGTCTTCATCAAAGCAGCGAGGTGAGGATTGTTGTAGGTTATGGAATGCAGCCATCATTATATAATTAACAAACATATTTTGTGTTGTTGACTGCGTCTGTTCAGTTAGAGATCACACATGACATCTAAATGTGGTGTCCACCAAAAAAAAATTTGGCATGCTGATGTCCTTACCATGTTTTGAAATCTTCTGTGATCTATTTGTGAAGAGACACATGCTAACATACAATCTTATAAAGAAGCAAAAGGTTGTTAATGGTGACATTGTGTATGCATCTCCTTCAATAGATCACAAGTAAGCACCAATTTAAATACATACATAACTCAGCTTATTCAAATGCATGTTATAGCTTATTACTACCCCATACAACACACCCTGGAAGTAAGAAAACTTTAACATCGCAACATTGTGAGGTGTAAGTGCACTGGGTGCCTATACACAACAGAAAATGAGCACTAGTTTGCCTAACCAACAGTTGGCTGTCTTTTACACCTGTGCTAATTGAGCTAGATGTAGCACTTTATTCACCTTTAAACACACACAGGAGATCTGGATCTGTATGCAGGATTCTTGACATGTATGAACTTAGTGTATGACTGAGACCACCAACAAGTTTTATTCAGCTCAGTGGTAAAACATCTGACTATATAACATATACACACATTTTTTGCAGGGACATCTCATCATCGTACAGATGAAAGTTTTTCATCACCACACAGGAACAGGACTGAGCAGCGGTAATTATGATGGCCTTTAAATTCCATCTAGAAACCATTTTGTGCTCAAGGGTTCTTGTTGTCCTTGGGTTTGCAGGTTTAATGTGGAGAAGTTTTCTGATAGTAAGAGTTCCAGAAGGTTGGACTATCAGGACAATGGACCAGCACCTGCAGGATTTATGACATCAACTCCTCACCAAAAACTTGAGCCTGTCTTTTCATCACCCAAGGCTTTTCAGGTTGGTTAAACCATTTAGAATTGAATATCTACTAGTTTTGATATTCTGGTTATTGTATGGAAACAAGGGCATTATTACCTGCTTTGTAAATGGTTAATAAGGGTAACAAGTCAAGGAGATCAAATGAATTTTTGAGTTCCTCATAACTAAAGGGGATGGATTACTGATCTAGAGGTCTGGGCCCAAGCGGCAACAGGGTTTTTTTTGTGTTCTTTAGCCAAACACTTTATACTCACAGTGCCCCTTTCCCCTCAGGGCCAGGTTTAAAGCTGGGTGAAGAAAACCCAGGGTTAGTGTTAAATATGATTTCAGATCTGAAAGCTTTGAAAAAAATTCAATGTATCTATTTTTGTCTACAATTTGATGATAAGATGTTCTGAAAAGAAACAAAGAAAATTATCTGAAGAAGGCTTTTAAACAAAGGAATAAAAAACCAGGTTTAAAATTTAAATATAAATGGTACCAGCAATCTGTCAGATAAACCTTTCAAGATGCTGAGGGATTTTCCTTAATGAACCAGAAACTTATCCAGGATAAGAGGACATACCTAACCCTACTTGATACATCATTCCTTTCCACATCACCCACCAAAAGCACAATGCATTATCTCTCTATGAAAAAAAAAGGGTTTCTTAACAGCCATTACTCTAATAAAAAATATTACAAGTATGTTTATTTCCTTAGGTAGAGAAGGTGGAGGTGCAAAAAGAAACTCAGAGGATAATGCTTAAGGTAAGAGGTTTAAGGAAAATTCAGTTTCTTTAACTTATAATATATTCCAATAAAAAAAAAACAAGGATGTTGATTTAACCCAGGAACAGTTCTCTTTCATTGTGCAGTTGGTTTTTTTTTTTTTTTTTTTTTTTTAACTCATCCGCTGGATAGTAATTTATCTGTTGGATAGCGTTATCCACCCTTGGAACAACTGAACCTTGGCAAGTATCTCTATGTTGCCTCCTCCTCTGATAGATGGGAGGTATGGGAGGATCATACTGAGTAAAGTCTAATTTCTCCACCAAACTTCACCCCTAATTTACACATTAAGGTCATGAGAAAAAAGAAAATGATCACCAACTAAAGAAACTCTTGATTGTCAAAAATTCTTCTTGTCAACACTTAAGGAAATGTATGGAGAACAGTTTGGAGAATAAACATACTGATCATAGAGTGTAAAAGGTTGACTGTCTATCTGTACATCATTAAGCAGTTGCTTATTTGCGGTGATTTTTCTGGGGCACATGTAGTCCTGGCTTGACATTTACTCCTTCTCCTCTGAAGTGGATCTGGGTTGTTCTTTATTATAGTTGCAGGAGAATGAAAGAAAGCTTAACAGAAGCTTACAGGAGGTTAGAAACGTAGAATTTGAGCTCGAAGAAGCTGCATCAAGAAAAAAGGTAAATCTTTCATTGTTTTAAAGAGAATAGAGACAATGAAGAGGCCTTGCTAAACTAGAGTCATCTTATCCTCCAATTAGATTGCTATCCAAGAAATTCAAGTTCTTGAAGAAACGATCACACGTAATAAAGCTGAAGTCAACTCTTCCGAAAATCTGGTGGAACAGTACAGGCAACAAGCAACCAAAACTAGGCAAGCTTTGTTTGTCGAATGCTTTAACTTTATTTTGGTTTGTCAAGGTTATAACGTGTTAATAAACTGTAACCACAAATGACTCCAATCTCGGCTAGGTTGGTCTTATCCTGGTTTTGTAAGCCCCGTGGGAGGGGAGGGGAGGGGGAAGTGGACACTCATTTTCTTTGCTTAGCGTCCTCCGGGTGTATTTCTGGCGCCGACGCATTGAAAATTAATTTACTCGTGTCGTGTCTGACACATTATTTTACATGTTGTACATCACAGATCTCAACTTATGGACCTTGAACTACAGCGAGATAACATCCAACATGAAATCAAAGAGCTCCGAAACTGTCTCGCTAAACAGAAACAAGAGTCGAAACAAGTTGTTGAAGTCGAAAAGAGAAACGAGTTGAAAGTCTTAGAGCTGAGCATAGAGAAAGATAAAATTCAAAGCGAAGTGGAGTCATTACGATCTCAATTTAAACACGCTGAGAGCAATTTTGCTCAAGAAAAACAGAAATATGTGGAAAAGCTTAGACTGGCTCAAGAACAACTGCAAGAGGAGCAGCGAGCATCGAAAGACAGTGTTGAAAAACTCAAACAGGTTGGTGGAAATGTTGCCACAATACAGCTTTGAAGAGATAAAAATCTTGCGCGGTATGTGAGTTGGTGTTGTATTAAGTGTGAAGTATATCGGAGTCGATTTCGCGTAAGAAGGCAAACAATCAAATATTGTGATCGCTAGGGTGAGATGGGTCGTGAAAAGGAATTTTGTCGGGGAAAGTAACTGCCGTTTTGGAAACCTTAGTGGATAGTGGAAGTCATCGTCAGAGCCACATGAACAACAAATATGATCTTCTGCTGTGTTGATACATTTTCTTTCTTCTCCTTTTTATAGCAACTTGAAGACGAACGTCAGAAGGCTCGGGATTCTCACTACGAAAGAATCAATGCCATTCACAAACTACAAGATGAATCAAAAGAGATGCATGAAAAGGAAGTCGAAGTGCTAAAAAACAGATTTGTGAGGGTGAGTGATAACACGGATGCCAACACTTCTTTCCTTTTAATGCTTCAACCCCTAAGAGTGACTGGCTTCTAATCTCTCCTCACAATGTCACGCTTAAATCAAACATTAAGGCCAGGAGAATTGAGGAAATTAGCTCTAAATAAAAAAGCTCTCTATTTAAAAAAATTCTCCTTTTCAAGACGTTATGAAATGTGTAGAGAACAGTATGGAGAATATGCATACTGATCTTAGGGTGAAAGGGGTTAACTACTTCTCAAAAGTTACAAAATTTTAAGGAAACAGCCGACAATGTAGTTTGCAGGAGTATAAACCTTTCAATGTTTTTTATTATTATTTTATTTCCGGAAGGTGATGTTTCATCGTCATTTCTTTCGTTCTCCCTGCTGGATTATCACTGACTGAGTCTTCAATACAAAATGAAAGACCGTTTCTCTTTCCGTTTTTTTTTCTTTTGTTTTTATTTTTGTTGTTGTTGTTGCACAGGAAAAAGAAATGGAATTGGAGACGCTGCGTGAAAAAAATCGAAGAGATACAGAAGGACTTAATAAAAAGTTACAGGTATAGTTATCCATCCATCCAATCAGAAACATGGTCCAGTACTTCTCTGCAGAAAACTGGCCTGGCGTTGAAAAGTTGAACCCTTTCAATTATAGGATCTAGATAGTTATTCCACTTTATGGCTGCCTCAACGTTTGTTTGACTTAAAATCTGAGAATTTGATGTTAAAGCAAACAATGATGATTAGAATCTTCACCTCTTCTAAACTGCGTAGATATTGAACGAAAGTCAGTCACACCTACGCCAAAAAACACGGCACGTGAAAAAATTATTTTCCTTTTGTTTCCTATACTATTAACTCCTTCACCCTCCGCCCTCTCGGCATTGAGGCTTCTCGTCTGATCATAGGCTGTTTGAAGGGGGCGGAGAAGGGGCGTAGTGATCGAGGTACGCGACCCCACCCAGACCTCCCCTCTTCTGCTGCGCTGCTATCAGGCCTCGGTAACTTATTGAAAGCCAAGAACGGGGAAACGATAATATTTGAGAGTTGTTACAGGATAGCTGTACGCAACGACGTTTTACTTCATCATAGGAACAAGACCACACGATAACTCATTTACAGAGCAGCTTGAAAGAGTACGAGGAGGAAATAGCAAAACTTAAGACTCAAGTATTCCAAGAACAACAGAAGTTATTTGATTGTGAGAGCGAATGGAAAGAGAACTGGGCAAAACAAGACACGCACGCCAAGTCCTTGAGAATTGAGGTACATGAATCTTTAAATAAAGTTTCACTGCCCGCAAAAATGTAAATGCTTGGAGTAAAGCAAACATGCAAAAATCTTGTGAAATCGAATGAAAGTTTTTTTCTTATTTTCTGGTTTGTTGAAAATTATATAGTTTAACGTACATCTACTTAGAACGTAATGGGCCAATAAATGCCAAACGCGGGAAGCTCCACGAAAACCAACAACGAAACATTTCTTCTTGGGTCACAATTGAACAGAAAAAGAGCAACTTTTATGTAGCTTGGGCAAATTTAATGAAATGCGCTCATATCGCTATAAAGTGTCGTCGATCTTTGTTCATGGGTTACAATCTTTGAATTATTTTCAGATTGACTCTCTGAACGAAAAAGAGACATTTCTTCACGAGAAGATAAGAAGAACCGAGCAGGTTAGTTGATTTTGTTATGGTGAATTGAATTGTTGGTGGAAGTAGCTTTGCCTGTAATCTGTTCCTGACTGAAGCGTGTTTTCAATCTTTCAGCTCCTAGAAGAGAAAGTTTTGGAATTGAAAAGACACGAGGAAAAGTCTGCTTCTCTGTCTGAAGAGCTCAATCAAGTTATGAAGGTAAGCAGAAGACACCCCGTTAAGTATTCGAGTAACTGAATCGAGCGAACGATTAGCGATTCTGTTAGAGAAGGGCATTATTAAGTTTGTACGACAACCGAGGGCTTGTAGCTGTCTAGTAAGGCCAGGTCAGTCCTACTTACACGGATGAGCTAGTTGAAATTGTCGATACACCACTGTCACGGTTGACCCAAAGGCCAATGAAGTCATTTTGAATCCCTTTTCGACCTCCGCTGAAACGGACTGAATAAAAGGCTTACAAGTTCCCCTCAAAAGATTTCCTGGAACTCTTTCCTTTCTCTGGTAGAATAAAGATGATGAAATTGTAATGTTACGGGGCCTGGTTCGTCAGCAAGAAGACGCCACAAGATTACTGGGAGAGAGGATGAGAAACGAAGCACAGGAGCATGTGAGTTTACAGAAAGATTGCAATTTAAAAACATAGCGTACTCTGCAATACGTCGATTTTATGTTACTCTTGATAATAAGCCAAGGTTCAATCCTCTCTAATTTTAAACCTGATGGTACCCCTCACGATTTTAAAGTTATGGCTAGTAAGATCTGTTCCTATTATAACCGTCGTAGATGATCTTCAACTCTAGAAGGTTCCATGTAAAGCGCCTTTCGATTGAGTGTCGTAAAACCAAAACCAACAGCCAATCAGAAAAGGGAAATATTAATGTGAACCAATAAGAAAAACGAGTAAACTGCGCAAAGCGCGGGAAAACGCGAGTAATCAAAGCGCGACAAGGATTCAAACCTTAGATCTTTGGCATTTGTAGACTGGTGCGCCTCTAGTGAGCTAAAGGGAACTCAATGAAATTACTGAGCCGCATGTCAGATTCATATGTGATTAGCATCCTGCATACTACCATGATTAGCAATGTCAAAAGCATCAAGCGTGTAATTACACAAACTAAAACGGTCGTGGAACGCCGAAAGAATGATGTCGATCTTTTGTCATCAGGCTCTTTGGACTGTTTCCTTAAAATATTTTTTAAAAGATTATGAGTAATGGCTGATCGTTGTTTCTGGCAGATTCGAAATGCTCTGGAAAAGGAACGGGAGTCAACAGACCGTGAGCGCGCTCGGCACCAGGCCAAACTGGAGGAAATACGCGACAAATATGAATCAGCGCTGAAGCAAGTGAGAGAGGAACTGGAGGCTGAGAGACAAGGGCACCATCACCTTAATGCTTCAGTCAATAAAATAAAAAAGGTTGGTGGAAGAAAGTTGTCTATCACTGCCAGTAACCAGAGTCATTTGTGTTGACACATCATGATTGGCGTTTCACACTTTTGGGGCTCAAAGAATTAAGGAGCTTTGTCGCCGCTTCTGTTTCTTTCAAAAAATGCCTAATCTTTCGAATCGGTGCCCTTTTACTCCATTGCCATCCATTTGTGTTCCCTTTCATTTTTCTTTTGCTCCTTTGGTCTTTATTTACACATTGAATCGGTTTCTTTTAATCAACAATCATTTTCATGTATCTAAAGCCCCACTTGAAATATAGTGATGCAACTCTTTCAACAGAGGACAGCTTTTCTGGCGCAGTAAATTACGGGTATAATCACTCTCGGTAACTAGAAACTTTGAATTTGGGTGTTACGAAGAAAACCGGGAAAACTGTGCGCGCTCTTGACGCCGATGATTTAGCTCCTTACCTTTGGACGGACTTTAGGAATGTTATTTGATCGCGTACTCTCAGCTTATTAACTCTAAACTCTGGTTGTGAGGCAATTTTGGTATTGTTTGATCACAGTGTTCCTGCCTTACAGGAAATTGAACGGTTGCGAGAACTGAACCTGCAGGCTGAACAGGAAAAAGTGAACGCTGTGGCTCATGTTAGAAGTGAAGCTAAAGAAGAGATTGTGAAGATGAGGGATAAAATACAGGAGGTAATAGAGAAATGAGGGACCCCCATCAGCATCTGGGCAACTGCTCACCTCCCCCTCCCCCTCCCCCTCCCCCTAACCCAACAGTAACCTTAACTTGTTGTCAATTGACTGTTGTTGAGTTAGGGAAGTTGCCCAGGGGATAGGTTTACAATACTACAGTAGCATCTCCTTTGACCAGACTCTTTGGATATGTGATATTGATGCCCCCTACCCCTTTTATATATTCCAATTGACGGCCCATACTGATATTGATCCCACTCTTTTATATATTCCGACAGACGGCCCATACAGTACATTAGCCTTTCAACACAACTTTCGACAAAGAAGTGACGATATCCTTTTATCGATGAAAACTTTCAATGGAAAAAGGAGATATTTGTATAAACCTGGTAATTGCTAACAGATCATTTGTTTGATTTATTTAGCTGACCGCATTGGCAGAAACCTCCGAGAAAGAGACCGCCATGGAACTCACAGAGGAGTGTCGGAAAACGGCCGCGTTGCTTGGAGATTCTGCTAACACTACCCCTGTGAGGTAATTACAAATCAGAGGAGTGCATTTTGACCGGGTCGTGAAATTAAAGCCAAATAAAATCTTCCCGCCAGCAAATCAGTTCAAAGATAAAAAGCACAATTGACCAATGAGGGCTTAGAGAGTAACATTACCGCCTAATGCTCATCTGATTGGTTGAAAGAGTGACGCAGGGTTTCTTGACGAATCACAACGTTGCAAAGAGAAACCACTGCAATCCTTTGGACAATCATACCAACTCGAAAATCCCGCTAAGATGTTCAATACCTAATCGGTTTCATTTGTAAATAGAGTCTCGGTAATTTTAGAATACTTCCTTCTAAACTGAAGCCAATTTTTTTTTTTTCTTGTAGGAATTTGTCAAACAGTTATGTTGGTGAAAGTCCTCGATCAACCACTGACAGTCCTGCCCGGGAGGCGCTGGTAACTAATAAAGTTGTAGATTTGTTGAAAAACGTTACCACCACATTCATTGAAAACTCTTTTTCCGTTCGAAGACTGCTTAATGAAACCTGCTTTGGTATTTTCCTTCTCGCCATGAAAATAACGTGCTCCGTGTTTCCTTGCGTTGCAAAGCAGGCTAATTTAAGATTTGTTCTTCTTTTAACTCAATTACAGCTGAATCTGCGCTCTTACAATGAAGAGTTACGACAGCATTTGATTGAAGCCCGTAAGGAGCTGGAGCAAAACAATAGAGAACTGTCCCTCAAGAAACAGGTATTTACCATTAAGGAGAGCTAGGCAAAATGTATTTCACCCTTAGGAATGGGGATCGTGGGGAATGGAGGAAATATGTCAGAAGTGTGACAGATCGTTAGATATAGTAAGAACGGAAATGTATATTGAACTCAGCGTTCAGATCAGTGAGTTGGAAGATCAAATTTTGTCCATTGGCTGATAAAGTAAACCTCTAACTTGTATGTAAACTCGATCTCGTCTGATTCAAAGTCTTGCCCCAAAAAATTCCATCTTATCGCAGTAAAGAGACAGTTGATGTCATTATCGTTGTCGCTTTACAGGAAAATACTTTTGAATCACTAATTATCAGCTAGGAAAGTATTGGACTTCAAAAACTTTTTCTTTCAGTATGCAATCTTACGAGGTGCATAAAGATTGCTTAACAACTGCACTCAATGAGGTAAATTTATGACAACCAATTTACTTTGAAACGTTGCTCAATCAGTTTCAGCAACCAAGTAACGGAGACCTCCTCCCTCAACAAGTGCAACTGTTCAAAAAGACGCTTATTGCGAAGGTAGGAATCAACCAAACATTCTGGCTAATCTCGACTTTCTAGGATTTCTGATGTTCTCTCTCTCTCTCTTTGTCGTTTCAGGACGAAGAAATAACCAGAACGAAAAGGTAACAAAACTTTTTCCTTTCCTTGTGAAGATTTTTAAAATGGAAAATCAATGCTTGATTGCTTGATTGATGTCTTCCCTCTTCAACAGGCAGCTGCAAGAGGAAAGTGAAAGGAATGCTTTACAGATCAAGTCAGAGAGAACGGTGGGTAATTGATCACTTTGTGTGACGATAAATCAGTTACTTAAAGGGGCTAGGTCACGCTGCCAGTTTGTGCACTGAGTTCTTTCAGTTTGACACCTATAGCTGTAATTGGGAATGAACTTCAATTAGTTCTCTGTTTTATCTCAGGCATATCAAAAGACCATAGATCGCCTGGAGAGGGAACTCAAGCACGCAAAGGCTGCGGTAAATGCAACTTCTTGTCAATAGCAATAAGAAAGGAATATTATCGTGTCTCTTGGCTTTTCAAAGTTTGCTTCCGATGAAGGTCGTGATGTTTCGATTGCATAGCATTGTATTTTTTATACTGACCGATTGCGTGTCGCACAGGAAATTTTTTTTTTTTGTTACTCCTCTCTCATCTAAAAATCATCTCATTTACTTAGACTCCTGCTGGCAGCCCCATGGTAAACGGGACTTCCTCTCCTCCTGAGAGTGGCGTTGGCACCAGTCTCAGTTCGACGACTCCAAGCCCGAGGCCTGGGGAGGACTCTAGCACGGCGCGTCTTTTGCGACACTTACAAGGCAGAGTGCAACAATTGCGGGCGCAAAATGACAGTCTGCGGAAGTCATCTGAGAACGAGTCCTTAAATGACAGTCACTGTAGTGTGATGTCAACGGAGTCGGTAAGATATTATCTAGGTACACGTCCCCCAAGTGGGTATTGTGCCCATTACGATTGTCTGTTTCAATCTCGCTCTGACGAAGGGCTAACGCTCGAAAAGTCAGCTTCAGAAACTCTTTACGGTGGCCAATTTATATTATCAACTCATTTGATTAAACCAAATTATCATAAGATAGTATCGCAATAGCTTTTCTTTTTCTCGAAGTTTATTTCTGATAACCTCATGTATTCCCTGAAACTGAAAAGTCCTTTTAACCCTTTAACTCCCAGGATCTGATTCTTAATTCTCCTCTCTGGCTGCTACACAATTCCTCGTAGGATAGTTACAAGAATTTGGTGTTTGATCAAGTTAAAAACTTCTACTTGATAAGCTGGAGTATTCTCATCACCTGTTTGCTGGATAATGTATGGATACTATAGGAAGAAGTTACATGTTAATCACTTCTGGGTGTTAAAGGGTTAATAACAGACCAGAAAGGCCAGAGAGCCGTCCTGTTGGTTATTTTCTTCCCTTGCCGTGTCTTCATCCAACAAAGAGATATTAAGAGAAACTCAGATCACTAACATTTTACGTAAACGATACAGAATTTGACCAGTTCTGGAGCTAAGAACGGCTCTGACTTTCTTCAGATTTAGATTTAGATTAAATCATGGCTTCGGGTTCGTAAATTTATCAGGACTCTCAGGAAACTGGCCACCATTTTAGACGTATGTCTCTTTGCCGACCCTTAAATTCCATTCGTCCCTCCGTCTCTACTTTCTTTTCCCTTTCTTCTTTAACTTTGCATTTATTAGTATGATTTGGTTCTCGTATAGTTCAACGGAGGCGATGCTGAAGAAAACAAAAGACTTCTCGCTGCACTGAAGGTAAATATATGATTCCAACGTTCATCTTTGTCTATTCCGTAAACTTTTTGTCCATCAGGCTCTACTCCTAAATATTAGGGAGTTCGTTGAATGTCATCATGGAAAAGATGAATTGATCAAATTTTATAATCTCGAAAGGGTACCATCCCCATCGCAAGATCAGCCTTTTGTTCTTATTGTAATTGCAGTATTTATGATGTTACTTTGTGTTTCCGCTACAGACAACAGAGGACAAGGCACAAAGAAACGCAGCCATGTTGAGTCAGAAGATGATGGAGATGACCAAGCTACAGAAAATGCTCACGCATGCGACTAAGGTAACCGTAAATGTAACGCTACGTAAAATCAGGCGCGCTTCGTCTATTAATTTAGCTTTAGGTTCTTTGAGACGTTAATTCACTCGGTTTTGGCTGTTCTTACGAGCCTTGATACAGTTCCCTCTCCGTTTCAAAGTTTTTTTTTCTTCCATACGATAGTTTGTCAAGTGTTTGTATTGACATAGCGTGGAAGAATTTTAGTGTTTCCGCGCTGTTAGTCCTGAAATTGTCATTTGGTTGTCCAGAGTTTAATTCCGCTGTAAGAAACCAAAGTTTCTATAAATTTGAACTAAAACCTTGTATGAATGAAATAATTTTTTCTTTTATTTTACGCTACAGCCGCCATTGACACTAGTAATATGCAACCTCGTAAAAAATTTTCAGGCTCAAATAAAAGAATGTTGTGCAAAGTTGCAACGTTTTGTACCTGTTTTGATTTGTTCAATGGCATATTCAATGTATGATGTGCCAATAAAAGATAACACTTCGCGTTTCGCCTGTGGAAACCTGGAATCTTAACATATGGCTTATCTCCTTAATGTTACTTCGGGTTTTCTCAACCTGATTCTAGAAAAATAACCTGATTACATACCACTAGCTGTCACTTCAGCCGAAAATCCTTGCTTACTACTCACTGTTGTTGCAAGTGCTCAAGCTACATCGTCTCTGTGATAACGTCTCTGTTGCACAACTCTGCTGAAACGAAAACCACATATCGGGGGTGCCATGGTTGAATTTTCAAATGGGGCACGTGACACGAAATTAGAAAATGGTTGTTTGAAGTCGATTTGTTGATAAGAGTAAGCGAAGACTCCATTCATAAATCTTGATGCACCCTTTAAGTACCAATCGCAACTTTTACCCATTTTAATAGTTATCTTTCTATTTTGCAGGAAAACATGAAGCTGGAAAGAGCTTACGCTGCCTTACAACGCAAAATTATTGACAATGCAAGATAGCACAAAATGCCTTTGTAATATTTTAAAATAGTCTCATATACTTACGTTATAAAGCTTTTATTATCCATTCAGGGGGTATCTTTCGTCAAATGTTTGTTATATTTTTTTGGAGTGTTTTTCGAAATTTGAAGTTATTTTTACCAATCGATCTTTTTAGTGCTTATCTCAATGGATTGAGAGATCTTAATCATTTGTTGTATCAGCCTAACCTCTTTAAGCCATTTGTAAACTCAGAGAAGGTTGACTACCTGAGTATAATTCGCTGAAGTTTTTACATAGAATGTTCTGATTGGTAAACGGGTGTTACTCGATGTTTTTCAGTTTTTAAGGCCAGAACACACTCGATGACATATGATCACGACAGGTCTCTGCCATACACCATGTAATGTATACTACTTCCAAAACTAGCCGCAGTGAGCCACCAAACTCAAACCAGTGACGTATTTTAGGTATAAAATTATGTTACAGCTACAGAGACTTTCTCGCATTTTTTAAAATTATCACTGCGATTTGTCGCCTCGTGTCTCGGCCTTGAATATTCGAAATGAAGACCTCATTCGCTCGAAACTAACCAAAAAACCGGGCCAAAGTATACGAGTTTTCCTCAAGTCAATAAACAGAGGCAGTTACTTTTTTTTACGACTGCCATACATGTAAATACCCAACTTGTAACACATTGTTATGTTCTTAATATATACTTTAAATGAGAGTGTGGAAATTATTTTAACTTAAGATTTTGTACAGAAAAGAGTGAAAAGTTAGTGAAGCTAACGAAAGAATGTACTTTATTAAAGGCGTGTACTTACAACATAGTGATCAATTTATTTGAGTGCTTGAAAACCCTCCAAATCACTGCGGCCTGCGGAAATTGCTGTCATTTTTTGCGTTTTCAGGAAAGCGTGAGTAACATGACGACCTCCGCTTCGCTCAAAACATTCGAAAAAGTCCTTGTCAAAAAATGCGATCACGCATCGCCGCCCCAGTAGAATTTGAGATTTGGACAGGATTAAGACGTCATATAAGGACGTTAGGTTTACCTATTAGGAATTGTAGAAACCTGAGTGAAATATGCAAGGTCGTCAGTTCGCAAGAATGCAAAGAAAGGCCCACCGCCCGCCCTTCCACTGATGAAATCAGTACTTCGCTACCCCTTCTCGTGTTCCTCGACAGGGATTGGTTACCTCATACTTTAATTCTAATATGTCAGAGGAAAGGGTAATGAACTATTGTGTATGTTATATTTTGGTTTCCTTTTGAATTCTTCATCACTCAAACAAATCAAAGGAGTTTGACAACGACATGAACATGGAGTGAGTATGAAAATTAAGAAACTGGCATTTCCAAAATGACGTCACAAAACTTGCAAAGTGTTATGAGGTGTCTTAATGTACGTATGGGCTTCGGCTTCATACGGGTGCAAGTAAGAGTTGACGACAATGGCAATCAAGGTCTTTTTCGAATTGAGAACACCAAGTAAAACTTTATTTCAGACATTTACTCGAAAATAGAAGTAAATAAAAAGTTGGATCAACTCTTAAAACTGAGGAGAATAAGGAATATTTCCAAAGACGACAAATTATTGTTGCTTAAGTGTTGATCAAAAGTTACTCGCTACTGCGAATTTGACGTGATCCTAGTAAGTACCTTGAAAAATCTCCGAGACCTTGGAATCAAATTCAGGCATTTTTAAATTTTTAAAGAAACACCAACTAAAAAGTTGGTCGGTATGAAAAAATTCAGAGCAAAACAATTCATTGAAGATGACTTTCATAATTTTGATACTGCCCTTACAGCTAAGGGCGGTATCAAATTGTACTGTATCGAAGTGTATTACGTTCTCCACTGACCAGCCCAAAACTGAGGTCTGTTAATCATACATGAGTGAATGTTCACTGTGGATCAGTCTCTAAGAAACTTTTCCAGTCTTCATTTCGTCTTCTCTCGGATACCTGTAAGTATTTGTTACATGTAAAGGCTATCTGACAAGCTGAATGAGTAATATCGTTGAGTTTTTTTTTTTTTTTTTTTTTGGGGGGGGTGGGTGGGTTTATTCATTCTATTTCGATATTTACTTATTAACCGTGCTGAAAATTTGCAATTTTGCACGTCACGACAAACGACTCTAATGTGACCGTAAAATAAATACTGGTGATAACTGGTAACCGGTCGTTTCGACCTCGGGTCGTTTCGCCTACGTCTAGAGTCGATTCGCCTACGTCCAATATTTCAGTTCGCCTACGATTCATAAGTCAAAGTTTTAAAAATTGAATTGTTTTAAAGTCCTTGTTGAACCTCGCAGAAAAACAGCATTAAGATGAAATAAACAATCGTTTACGGTCTTTGTGTTTATTTGTGACTCGAGCGGCCTATACTAAAGGAGGTGGGACTCTAGACGTAGGCGAACAGACGGTAGGCAAAACGACTGTAATTCGTGATAACCTTACGCAATTGCAAGTCGACATTCGCTAGCAATTTAACTCTACCTAAAATTAATATCGCCAATTGATTATAAAACAACTGAACTATTTGAACAAAACGACTTTTTTTTATCTAATATGGCGGTCAATATTGATTTTACTTTGTGTAAAGTCAACATTCACTGGTCGTGCATTACAAGTGTCACGCAAACTCAGTTTCGGCAACATCCAAATTCTGTCCACCGTCCTGTCTTCATTCCATGCTGTCAAGAATAAATACAAAATAATTACACCATGCCAAAAAAAAGCAAATCAGCGGTAGACCCTTACTTCAGAAAGAATCACCAGGACGTTAACAGGACAGAACATCTCATAAAAAATCACAATGGAAGCTTTATTTAAGAACGTCCAGAGATGGAAAGAAATTGGGAATGTTATTGGGAACAATTCACTGTTGATCGCTTAGAAAGGGAGGAGGAATGGCGAAGGATTTTTGGGAGATCGCATAGTTTTCAGGGTGGTTTTCACGGAAGGGAGATCAACCGTCGCCAATAGAGGATCAAGGGGTATAGAAAATTGAATGCCAATTACTTGCAAATGAGGGGGTCATTAGAATGTCACAGAGCAATGTCATGACGCAACTACATTCTCAAACCACCTCCTTCCCGGGAGATTAATGACCAGTCCCTTACATAAACTATCAAAATGTTACAAATATTCGGATAAAATTAACACTAGAAGACATAACCGAGACCATAAATTCATGAAGCCCATCAAGCATATTTTATTATAGCAACAATCTGTAAGAAGCATCTAACTAAAAGAATAACAATGCTATTCTTTCTGATATACTGTAACATTTAATAAACTGTGTTTTAAAATGCAATTCTTTCCCGACAGTCTTTTAACGCAAATCATGGAATCATTGAAAAGGAAGTGAGATGCACAAAAGAGTTTGGGAAAACTGGTAATTCATTCCCATGATCCCTAATCCTTGAAACAACAAGGAATGGGAGTGTTTTCAGCTTATTAATAAATAGAACCTACTGAATTAAGATAAATAGGGAACATGTACTCCATTGAATATCACATGACTGAATAGACTGACCACTGGAAAGTTTGAGAAACCTTTTTGTAACTTAAGTTTGTTTTGCACACATAATGTAAGGCCCTATTACTACATAAACTCGAGGAGATGCCATTTTGCTTGAAAAAATGTAAGTTAATAAATACAAAATGTAGACTGCAGTGACAATAATTTAGTCACATTTGTGCATGCTTAAAAAAATTCCAGTACTGAAGGGTGGATAACCCATGTTAAATTTATCTGAAATATGGACACCATATTTGCCAATTCAAAATCATTTTTGTTGCAAGTAAGGTGAGAAAATATGCAAATTTGCAACGCATGTCTGTCCAGCAGGCGGTATTTTATAATTTCCTTTCAAACCACATTAAACTATTTAACATAAAACCTTTTTGCAAAAAGAAATTTCAAAATAGCTGGTAATCATTAGGAGGGTTCTCTTTTGAAACTGTGCTTTTTCAACTACATCTAACTACATGTGAAAATATATCATTCATCACCTGTACTCCAGATCAAATTACAGCATTTCTATCTATAATTTGATTCCAGAGTTTAAATCTGTTCCTATCATAATGAATAAAATGCAAATGTATCATCACTATTCAATCTATTACTTCAGTCTGCACTACTAAAACACACTTATCTCACTTTTAGAACTTTTCTCAACACTGTTAAAATTTCAAAAAATCATTAGATGATTTAAGATGACTAATCAGAGGACAGAAACAACAAACAGTTGAATAAACAAATCTAGTCTCCTCAACCAATGCAGCATTACAGCAAAAATGCATCACTAGCAAGTAATTCGTTGTTTCCAAGGTTTGCACCATTTTTTGAAAATGTAATGGAGAGTATAGCAAGAACGAAAATTTTTTCAAAGTTATCCTTTTGAGTTTCAACTGAAAATTGTAACTTTTACTTGTTTCCTATAATCTGCAGACTGTGACTAACTGCACACTGCATTGACTGATTTTTACCTAAAAAAAACTTGTGCATAATGCAATAATAAATATTAATAATTATTACTATAATTATTGTCAATCATTCTTAAATATTTTTAGTACCTCCTCCTGCATATGCTCTTAGCAGCTAGATTTACAACAGCACAAATAAATGGTCCAATCAAAAGCGTTTTAAACATAATTTTTATCAAAAGGGTATGATATTCATTTAGAAATCCATGGTCTATCATTGCTGGATGCAAACAAAGCAACATAACACTCTGTCCTCTTAACACATCAACATAAACTTGAAAGTACTTTGAAAGTACTATTCTTGAAAACTGTAGCTTAATGCTTTGAAAATGTGCAACTCCAAGACTATGTTGTCTTGGCAATAAATAATAATTTTAACCGAGCAGACTTCTTGAAAACTAAAACATCTTAAAATCTATAATGTTACTATTGCAATTTATACCTTTGTAAAAATATATTCTCTTTTCCAGAGACATCATACAAATTTTGAATTAGCTCTTTAGGGTTCAACCAGATGCCTTCATGAAAAGAGGAAAATTTTGTTTTAACAGAATCAGCATAGCAATTAAATCAGGAGCAATAAAATTTTATCTATCTATGTTGCTAACTTGCTTTAGTTTAAATAATCTAGAACTATTTTTAATTGCTTGATCAAAAGTTTTTTTTTAGCATTACTTTGTCTACTTCATTATCTGTTAACTAAAACTAACACCTTATATGATACACTACTGAGAAACTTCCTATTGATATCTGAATGCATATTGCAGGATTACAAGCGGACCAGCCTTTGTTACAATGCCTCCACTGCCTCAACTTCTTAAATAAATATTCTAAGCTCCCTATAAAGAACCATTCTTTTGAATTAGAGAAGTAAAACAAACCAAAAAAAAACTGATATTCACTGGAATGAAGCTACATGAATCATCTTCATACAGAAGTAACTTTGGCTCTCCTCTGTAAAGATATCATTTGCTAGATATTAATTGTGGCATAGACAAAATAACTTTTGAGGGAGAATTTTTATCACAAAGTTACAGACACAGTTTTGCCTTTTGGTAAAAATTCTCCACAAAGACAGGAAAGATTATAAAGAAGTAGATGATGACGGATTCCACAATAAACCAAGGGTTATGTCATTTGAAGAGCAGAGTTAGTTACTGTGTGAGCTAGGGAGTTACCACACTGCAACAGACTATCAGTGCCATTAACAAGCTTATCACTTCCATGAGAAGTATCCATTGCAACAGCAGAGTTTGAAGAGTTAAAATCAAGAGTCTTCATTGCCGCAGTCTTGGCTAGTGAAGAGTCTGTTCGGTTTGGTTGCCAGGATTGTTCAAATCCAAACTGACTGGAACCATTTCCCTTAACTTTGGTGGGGCTACAGGAAAATAGGGAGAAGGTGAAAATTAGTGAAAGTTAGAGAATTGGCTGTTAGTTTTGAGTTTACTTTGAAGTTATTTCCTACCGCAATCACAACCAAAGATTTGCCAAAAAATCATCTACTACGTTAAGCCTATTATTATTATAAAATTATTTAAGTAACTAGGAAGAACTGACAGGGGCTACAATACACACCTTTGATAAGATCTGTGACTAAACAAAAGGTTCTAAAGGCCAAAATTTAGATGCTTTTCAGTCCACAGAAGAAAAAAAAACAGTGCTGCTATTAATGCAGAGAATCAAGCAATGAGGCGTTCCTTGGATGTCAACTAATTTATCAAAAAAAAATTGTAAAACAAAATCAAACTTACATCATGCCCTGGAGCTCTAAAATTAACACAAGGCACCTGCTGTTGCAATCTACAAATATGTTTCTTTGGGAAAATCTCATTCCCTATTCTATGTTGTCACTACCTAATCTAGAGGTTACTGACTACATGTACATTCTCTAGAAATAATGTTTATTTCTGCCGGCTGACAACTGTTGTCTGACACTGATACATATCAGTAATTACATTAACTTACAAAACAGCGAATTTTCTAAAACATTTGGAAGGCTGTGATTTAAGTATACTTAGTCAGACAAATAAATCTATTACTATTTTAATATTTTAATATTATTCAGACAAATATTTTTGTAACTTAGAACAGGACTGGACTCCAGTTCTACCCCCAGTCATTATTATTATTATTATTACCCACAGTCACCATGAGTGATTAACACAAGTTTAATTAGTGCCACACAGATTTCAAAGGTAATTAAGAGATAACATTCACAAGATTTCTACCCTAAAAAAAAACCCCAAGTCTCACTTAAGTTGACGCTACCTTCTCACACAAAAATTTAGTGATCAACAAAAGATTGAAAACATGATCTGAGAATTGATGGATTATTAATAATCATTTTAAAAAAACTTGAATAACAATTGCAAGCTTTTAAGATACATTGTCAGATAATTTCCACAACTAAATGGAAAAAAATTCAAAAACAAAAGAGAAACAACACAGAAACTCACCTCATTGGTTGGTTACTTCTTCTTGGGGATCTGCAGGCCAGATAGAGAACCAATTAACTTAAAAATAATAGAGAGCCAAGAGGTTGTCCTCTAAAGTATTTAGGAAAGACTCAAGTTGATAAAGATATTGCTTATGTAGCATATCAAACTACCATTACCAGGTCCTGGTTTTTTTTCCCTTCAATACCTTGTATATCTCCATGGTGACATTGGTACTTCTCTATGCAATGAACCCATAACTGAAGGAGCCACGTATGTGAAGCCCTATCAAACAAATGACAGATATTAATTCATAACACTAAATCTAAATCTGAGTGGTCCTTCAAATCCCTGTTTCAGGGACACACAGTAATAAGGAGTGTTTCTAAACTTCCTGGATAGGGTACCCTGCCATTTTTTCTGGTTTCCCAGCCAGTCTGGCAGTCTAATGGTTTTCATTCATACTCATGGGAGGAATGAGGCTCTATGAGGGCTGATTACTTACACAAGGTCTGACCCAAACCACCCTTTTTGCACAATCAGTGGGACTCAGGCTTTCTGTGTAAGAGGGTTGATTTAATTAAACAAATGTCCTTCCACTGCTAGCTTTAGGTCCTCTGGACACTGCTCACAAAAGTAAATGTTCAGAAAACAGGTTCAGCTAAATTGAAGATGCCTTAGAACATGGTTTTGTTAAACAATGGCCAAACTTTGTTTAAATAACCAGTCCTGAGAGTTTGCTTGTTTAGCTGGTGTGTATGGGGCATCAGTAAGAACAATCAATATAATTTCCAACAAGTTTGTTTGTAAACATTGAGCAGGTGTTTTTGTTTAGTTGTTGCTGTTTACAAAGCTGTTTAAAAGCCACTGAGGGTCCAAATATGCAACTTCAACATAAGCATTGTTTCAGTTATTTACACATTTCCTGCCATCATCCAAACAAGCATGCATGACTAATTAAAAAATTATCATAGTGCCCAGTTTGAACAATAACAATTGAATTCTAACACTTTCATACCTGAAATATTCTATCTGCACTTTCACTCAACATTGAATCTACTGGTGAATCAACAGGTGTTTGCCTTGTGAATTTACTATCAAACTGACTCACATCTTCTTCACCTGTCTGGAATTAAAAAAAAACTGATTGGACAACCTTTACACCCTAACACCAGTAAGCATAAGGAGAAATTGTGTAATGGTATTTAAATGTCTTAACAATTTAGTCCCAAAATATCTGGCCAATATGTTTGTACCTCGTTCTCATATTCACACAAGGACTATGCAATGCACTCTTTTAACACATCCCATGTTGTTGTCTGTCATATGGACAACATTCATTCACATATTGTGGATGCAGACTTTGGAACTGTATTTCTAATGATTTGAAAGCTGCAGGCAGTGTAAATAGCTTCAGGTGTCACTTAGCGCAGAAACTATTGAGCAGTGAACATTTGTGTTGAGTATAACTTAATTTTTTAATGATATTCTTAGGTCTTTTGTAATTGATTCTAGCCATAAAATGTATTATTTACCTGTTATTCCTTCTCCTTTTTAACTTATACGTATTTTAAAAGTTGTAATTAGACATTGTAACTGAAAAGCCCAAGTTAGGAGTTACAATAAACATATGTATGTAAATTCGATATTAGTCACTCTTAGGGGTCAAGGGTTAATTATTTGTATAAAGGATAGCATGCACTTCTGTGAAGGAAAATTTTCAGCTCAACTGAAGATATAAAAAAAGGCCAGCAAACATTTACTTAAAAGTCAACACGTTGACCTTTAAGAATGATGTAAACATGAAAATAACTTAGTACTCTAAGAGCCAAGTAATGAACATAGCCAGTAGCCTTCATTCATTCTACAGGTTTCATTATTAGTGCAACAATAGGAGATATAAATCACTTACTATATTTGGTTTAAATGGGGGCTCCACTTTTCGGGAGTAGAGATCATCCCAATTGATGGAGCGGAAGAAACAATGGGTCTGCAAGAAAAAGTTAAAGACTGATGGTTACAACAAATATACTGGTACTCTTGATAAAGACATAATAAACAACACTAATTGTGGTGTTGTGACCAGAAGACACACTTCTGGAAGAAATACTCTCTGTATGTTTGCTGTGTTCTTACACTTGCCCCTAACCATTGTTATAGTTCCTATTTGCTTGGGTAACAAAAAGAATGAATTGTTTCATATTTTTGTTCAATAGCTTAAGCCTTTGTTGTCCTTATTAGTTTTGATCATGCATCTGCTACTATGTATAACCTGGCATGTGTCACAAATGTTGTGCAGGTCTACAAGACAGTTGAAGATTACCTTTATTGGTAATGCATCATCTTTGCCACCACCCAGCCGAGCTTGATGATGACGTTTCAACAACTGAAAGCAAAATATAACTTGTCAATAATGTAACTGAGTAAACACTCAACCACATCTAAAAAAATTATCAAATATGTACTCAGGTAAAATACTCACTTTTCTAACAAAATCTTTGGCTTCTGCACTAAGAAAAGGAGGAAGAACCAGTTTCCCTTTTAAGATCTAAACAAAAGAGGAAAATATCAAATTTTCAAATGTTCACTGTCTGAATCTCTTTCAAAGTCTTTCCAATGTATCTTAAATCAATTCTGTCCTTCTATCTAATGCATAAATGCAAAAACTCATGGTTAAAAAAACTTTGAAGTAGGAGTGGGAAACTGCAACAAGCTATAAACAAATGGAAAATAACACACTGCACTGGAACAATTCTTCCTCCAGATTTCAGGTTGGGATTCTTTGGGCCCTATGAGTGACATCCTCTTGTGTGTAACACTGAAAGACTTACTTTGTCAATTGTTTTCTTTCTATTCTCTCCACAAAAGGGAGGCTAAAGATATAAAACAAAACCACCATTTCAGCTATATGAAATACGGCATATAATCTTTATGTTGATGAAGAAGACAAAAACTCTCAACATTAAACATTAAAAAACACATCTTTTTGTTTCTTCCCATTTTAGTATTATATTATACCATGACATAAAAATGACTTACTTTTACATTTTCCCATCATTATATTCTATAAAGCTGTAAGGAACATGCTTGTAGAGTTGTATTTAAAAAAAAAGTCCTCTCAAAGATGACTGCTATTAACACAAAAATGAACCATTTATAGAACAAATTACATACACTTCCTGTCAGCATATCATACATGAGAGCACCAAGACTCCACCAATCCACTGCTTTGCCATGGCCACTGCGAGTGAGTATCTCAGGTGCCCTGCAATTATGACAAATCAAATGGGGCTTTTCACAAATGCTGACTGGCTAGTGCTTGCTGAGCTAAGTACTATTCACCTATAAGCATTGAGCAGTTGAAGGAAAGTAATCTGGGAATTTTTATGATTAGAAATTGGGGGCTGTCCTGGTGTACCGGTACACGGGGGAATTCCTATTGTTTTCATATCCATACATGGAGTTGTGACGCAGTTCGTTAATGTTTCGTTCCTTTGTGTACCGGTACACGAGGACACAACCAGAAATTGCCTATTCAAACTGGCATCAGGCAGTGAGTTTTATACCAATTAAATTTTGTAAGTCAGAGTACAGCCAGAACTTAAGTAATATATTGGTCTGAACATTGTTTAGCACATGCCCCTCTAGCCAATAAGTTATCACCCCATTATAGCTTTTGAATTCAAGTAGTATTAACTGGAATGATTCCTTTTCATGTGATTTGATCTACAATTCTACTCTTTCAATGTACTTTCCTCAAATAAATACATTTGACAAAATAAACAAATACATCTGTAACTGGACTATCTTACTATGGTCAACCAACATCTTATAATCACACTTTACTCAAAAGGGTTTGAACAACACATGCACCAAGGTTCACCACTTTGCAGTATACCTACATGTATTCAATGGTTCCACAGAAAGTATGAGTTAGGCTGTTTTCAAATATTGCCTCTTTGCATAAACCAAAATCAGTCAACACCACATGGCCTGTTAAGGACAACAGATAAGAACCAGTTATTGTGATTATAAACCAATGCCATTATTTCTTAACACCCTTCCATACCTTGGGAAATTTCACTATATTTCTGTGCACACAATAATTCACAATGAAGAAAATGAAGGCTTTAACAGTTTTTTGAAGTCATCTCTCCCAAATACTAGTAGAGTACTACTGAGCTTATAATTGAGCAACAGAGTTATAAGTTAGGAGTGAGGCTCGAACTTTTTCAGGCTTCTCTTTATTTAGTTTTCAGGAAACTGAAACAACACTGCCTGAGCACTACTACTAGAAGTAAATCTGCTAAACATTACTAAGAGAAAAACTGCATTTAGAGAATACCTCAATCACCTCAGTTAACATCAATTTTTTTTTAAAAACTCACCTTTTGTATCTAACAATATGTTTTCCGGCTTAAGATCTCTGCAAAAAATATAAGAATTAGTATCACTTTGATGCATCTAGACTTCAACAGAAAACTGTTTCCACTTTACAGAAATGATAATTAAATTGATGATAACGCCATTACTTCTTAAAAGGAATTGTTAAATGTGCAAAATAGCTCCATCTGCTAAAAGAGCACCATAAACAAGTTCTCAAACTGCTTATCATATACCCATCAAAATGAAATAAGCCCTGTCAGTTAGTTACTAGCACCCTTTCTTCATTCCTCCTTGCAACCAGGAAAAAGATGCCCACCTGTATATAATTCCTTGCTTATGGAGATGTTCTAGGGCCAGGACTATTTCTGCCAGGTAGAAACTGTGAAGAGGATGAGCAAAAGTATCAATATCAAAAGCCAAGAGTGACAACAAAGTTTACTGTTGAGAAGGAATCAGCTACTTTTTGGATCTTACCATGCTGTGTCTTCCATGAAAATTCCTTCTCTCTCCAAGTGCATAAACAATTCTCCACCTATCAAACAGAAACAGTTATAAACCCTTCACATTCCAGCATTAAGAGTTATTCAATTTATTTGAAAGAGTCTGTAAAATAACTGTGCTTATAACCAGCAAAACAGTTAGCTAAATAATATGAAATATTTTCAAAAACAGTACCTATATTCATGTATTAAATAAAATAGGCGTACCACTGAGGTAATCCAAAATAAGATACAGTTTTCCTCCAGTTTGAAAAGCATATATTAAATCCACAATGAAAGGATGCTGCAAATAGAAAGTCTAATGAATTTTCTATTTTCAGATTCTTAAACTGTTATATTGTCTAACTCTTGAAAGTTACTGAAAAAAATATTAGTAAAAAAGCATATAACCCTCTCAACAGACCCACAAGTTCAAAATATAAACCAGGCTTCCAAGTACAAGATGTAAAATTTTTACATCCATACCTGATTTAAAAGGCCCCTTAAGCTCTAATCTAAAATAAAACAAATCTATAGCATTCCAAACATGCCTTGTAAATCAAAGCAAATTCTGAAATTGAGGCTGAAGGCATTCAAAATTAGGATAAAATGTATCCAAAATAGGATATTTGAAATGAGTTTTCTAAATTCCCACTTCATTCTATTGTTTCACAAGTGTAATGTATTTTTACCAAAGTTGAAGTGGTTTGAAAATTAGTGCAAAAAATAGATAAACAAACTCCCAGTTTACTGACAGAGACAGAATGATGCCCTGTTTAAGATAAATGCGATTGAGTCAAACCTTAACAGCTTCCAAGATATTTCTTTCTGCTTTAGTATGGGCAGTGTCTTTGTGGCTCCTGATGATGGCAGCCTAATGGACATAAAAAGACAAGTATCCTCAATTAATGATAATTCATCAACGTAACTTTGACTTACTTTGTGATCCATTAAGTCTGAGGCCAAACCCTTGAGACCAAGATCCAGTTTTTTAGCAAAATCTGACATTATCAATAATACAGTACTAATGACATATCACTTCATTTTGTGGTTCAATTTTATTTCTGGTTAAGTTAAATCTTTGTTAGTGAACAATTAAAATTAATAAAATGAGACAAACACAAATCAAGCTAAAACTGGTTCAATTACAAAAAAGAAAGGAAATATGAATCCTGACATACACATGAGTTGGAAAAATCACCAATAAATTTTATGACCACAAATAAGGTATAATGGTAAAGAAAGACAGAGGCCTTGCTGATCCTAAGCAATATTTTTTTAAAAACCAACATCCCAAATTTTGCTTAAATGACTCATACACGCTGCTAAAAGTTAATAATTTGCTAAGTCTGGCATAGTGAGTTCTCTTACTTCACTGCTATAACCCGTTTCCTTTTCCATCAATCAAGTAGCAGATTGCATAAGTAAAAGGAAATACGTACTTTAAGCTCAACAAAAGCCAATATTTCATTTTCACTTCCCTTGCATTTCTCACACAGTAGTAAATCAAAATACCAGCATCTTTCATCAAATTTTACTGTTTTCTTTTTAAAGCACAAAGTAATCTTACTCTACACCAGATATCAATACATTTTTATCACAATATTTCAAAGCACAAATTATCCTACAGCTCACACACAAAAGGTTAAAATCTAGGCGACCAATTTGGAGGAAATTTCCAGGAATGTCAGCAAAATCAGTTGATCAAACCAGCCTCGGAGTGGTAAATTATATTACAACCACCTCCAGATCAAACACTTCAAGAATGCTAGTCTTCTCTTAGGAAAATAGTTATGACGTAAATCTTATGGCCAGGGCTTAACCTTGGCAATCACTAGAGGAACAGGAGGTGGGGAACGAATGATCTGGAATGATAACGATGTTTATCATTTAAAAAGTAATCGTTTGTCAATTTCCTGTACATGGATACAGAAGTGTGGGTTAACTGAACACATTCCCTCAAAATAAAAAAGTTAGGCGGGCGAAATAAAAAAAAAATATAATCAATATACACCAAGTCAATGCTAAAATCTGAACTAGTACTTTGACCCTAATTCTACACAATGTATTGTTATATAACTCAAAAATTAGTGCAATCATCACAACTCAACCTCTAACCTTTTTCAGCACTTTCATCGCGAATATCTTTCCCTTGTTCCTTCCATCCACTTTTCTGACTTGAAAAACCTTGCCAGAAAAAAAACAAAAACGCATTCGATTGGTTCCTCCATACGATCTTAAGTCAAACCTTTCAACAGTTACAAAACTATCTACTATATCACTGTTACCTATAAGCGGTCTAATAGGCATCACGATATAATTTATGTAGATAGCGTTGTACCTACCTTGCCGTAACCTCCTTTACCCAAAACTTTGAGAAGTTCAAAGCTTTCAGGGCCTACTTTCTCATCTTTAGGATTAACAGTCTCTTCAGAAATAGCCAGTGTTTCCACTTCATGCATACTGTGCGAAAGAGAAAGAGCTCATTAACTATCACTTCCACAGGCGAAGCGATATAGTGACATACGTATTAGACAGTGAAATGGTTCACTGATCGAGTACAAATTTCAAAACAGATACCGGCTTCCCGGCATTTCTAACCTTTCATCGTTTTCCATCAGCTCATCGCCTACTTGCCCCTACAAAAAGAGTCTCATAAAGTCAAACTTCGATCCTAGTGGTTATCACTTCCTTTCAGGAAAATATTTTCGTTATACGCAATTGTATCGATCGCTCAACTCATTCAAACTGAGCCTACCTCTTCAAATTCATCTTCGCTAAAATCCTCTTCGTCTATTGGATCATTTATATCTAAAGGGAAGACTTCAGCCATTGCTACTTTGACTAAAAATTTAAAAACATAAAACTATGGTGTGAAGTTCAACTAAAACTGGGGTAAAAATTCACAAAGTTCGACGCCATTCCCAGCATCAATAATGAGCTCATGGTGTACTCGCGCCTACTATTGGTGTGAAAATGCCGGTATCACGTGACATCCCGTGCACTCCACATGATCTGCAAGTACGTTTTCAATTCACATTCGCCTGAGTTCTAAGAAAATTTGAAAATTGAAACATCAGAGTTTCTTCATTTCCGCTTCTAGGAAATTAAATTCAAGGGAAACGTTTCAGCTTCCACATTTCGCCACCAAGTTTCATGGCGATCACACTTCTACTTATGTTTTAACGATATTAGAGTAAAATCTTGATTCAGTATCCAGTTTCAGTTCCAGTTGGAAATAGGAAATAAAAGGCATGAATCAGTTTTTATGGCGCTTGCTTTCCCCGATGACTAACAGCGCTAATTTTATTTCTTTTTTTTACCAAGGTGAAACACTAATTAAACCATCATGAAGGGGGAAATGCAATGTGACATTCAGATATCATCTCTTGTATTTTTTTTTTTTCATTTTTTTTTACTTTTCCATCCATTCAGTGAAAGTTCATTACCAGAAAAGAGGAATTTGTTTTAGAGAAGACATCTTTTTAAGGTAAGATGCTGTGAATGGCTGTCCCTTTTCACTCTCAATATTGAAAAATTAAATATCACCTCTTCCCTTTAAACACCATAAGCTAAGAACAACTTTGTCTCTGAGAATCTGACATTGGACTTCCTGGTCAATATTATCACACTTTTTTTCATTACCCTTCTGCTTAAATACAAAAATTTTATAAAGAAATTCCTTTTGGCTATAACTGGGAATGAAAGAGTTAGTTACATATTTACTACACTATCTCTTTTATTGTTTTAACAATATTTACAACACAACTTTCTTAATGTTAAAGTTCATATTACCAATAATTGCCTTCAAAATGTCAATCATAATCTGTTTTTTTCCAAAATAAACTGACCCAACTGTAGTATCACAACATTACACTGATATCTACATTTCACACATTTTACAATTTGTTAGAAAAATTGGTCAATTTCAACATTTAACTCAATTAACAAATTGTAACCTATACTACTTCTAAAACTTAGAACAGCACAAATGTTACCATGTCTCTCTTCAGTAACAGATCACAAATGATGTAAAACATATTTCAACTACAAAAAAATGGCACCTGAGGTGCAGCCAATATTCTTACCACATTTAGACATCATCTGTGACATATTTTTGTACAGGGCATGGCAACAAAGCAACTATTTTGTTTTCATATGATAAAAAAAGACAATACTGTTAATGGTGACTTCATCACTGCATCTCTCCTCCAATAATAGATACATCTTGGGTAAGAGCTAGTCAAATGCATTTTAATTCAGCTGTTCATGTAGAAAATTCACATACAACACATTCTTGACCATTGGTCCTTAAAAATGGTGGATTCTTCAAGTGAGACTTATTAATGCATTTCCTGCCTACATAAATTGCCTTATTACACTTATTGACTACATATAAAATGTGTATTCCTAAGCTGAACTGAAACTTTGTTTTACACTTCATATTTCATTATAATATTGTAACAACTGACAGAATTGGAAACAAAAAATAAATGCCCTTTTAAGCTAGTGACAAATGATTTGGGAATGAACATTTTTTCAGGAGAGAATCACAGGATGATCAGTGGTAATTACAGTGCTTTATTCCCTCCTAAAGGATTTGAATTAACTCTTTCACTCCCATGACCAAGAAAGAATTTCTCCTTACAATGTCTATATATTGAAAAGCAGACAAGTGATGAGAATAAAGAAAAATGTCATCAGAGAATTAGTAGTTGATCTAATACCAAATTTTCAAATCTAGCATCATAAAAATTGTATGGCAGACAGTATGGATAACTACTTTGGAGATCTTGGGAGTGCAAGGGTTAAAGCAATTGAAAGCCATTCAGGAAATCCCTTACCTGAATGTGGTTGTTGTGGCAACCAAGGTATTATGGATTGCTACCCTTGATTGATAAAATAATTTTCTATTTGTACAGCAGATAAAGCATTATCATTCAATATTTGAGTTCAATTTGTAGATGCTCTGATACAAAAATTCCTCACTGTCACCGTAACTTCTCTTCTATTCAAAGCCAACCCACCTAGTCATCCCTACCACTTGTTAAATTCATTTATAAACACATGAACACAAATCAGACAAACACATCTCTCTCATACTTTTCATTACATCATAAGTTATGAATATGAGCTATTTACACTGGCTAACAATTATTAAATACAAAATTAACTATGAAAAATATAAACTATCATTCAAATTGAACATTCAAACATTTTTGGAATTATAGATATCAGTTATGCAATACCACTGTGCAAGTAGAGGCCCTTGAAAGATCAAACATCCTCTTCTCAGGTGACAATGATTTAACAAAGAAACACTTGAATATAAAAAAAACACAAAGTATCAACCTTTGTCTCACAGGGAAGACACTTCCAATGTCAATCTCTGTTCTGAAGTGACTTCATCAGAACAAATAACCAATATTTCTTCATAATATTAACAGAAAAATCATTTACAGTTAGATCCAATCACTGATCAGAGAATACAAATGTACTCTGTTATGTAATTTATAAAGCACAATAATTTATTCTAATTATTCCTAAGTTCATCTGTTCACAGAAATGGTGTAACCATTCAACAAATATTGTTAGGGTTCTTTGACGACCAAGTCACATGTTTTAACCCTTTAGCTCCCACAAGTGACCAAGACAGAATTTCTCCTTACAATATCAATACAATATAAAGCAGGCAGGTGATGAGAATAGAGAAGAACATCAATCATGGGATTATTAGTTGATCCAATACCAAATTCTCTGAACTAACATCATAAGAATTGTATGGCAGATAGTAAGGAGAATTACTAGTCAGATCTTGGAAGTTAAAGGGTTAAGTCAAGTACACTTAGATGGCTTGTCATCTTTCTCATCTTGCTTGAGCTCCTTGGTAACAGAGATAACTGTGCCTTGAGCAGGTAAACTGTCATTAGATTGTGATGGCAAGGAACACAAACAAAATACTGATGAATAGGAGTGCAGAAAATGGCCATCTCTTTCATGTGAATGCAGATCCAGACCCAGTTCTCCATTTCCAAAGAAACCAACCACTGGAATACCAGGAAATACTTGTTGAAAAATTCCAGTCTCTACATTCTTGGCATGGTAAAATTCCTGACCTCGACCAATGCATGACACCATAAAACAAGCGGTATTTTTGTTGCATGTGATGCCACACTTCCTCAGCTCCTTTAGACTTTCCTGAACACCTTCTACTGTTTCTCCATGATGAACCATTGAAACAGCCTCAACATTTCCTGTAAATGCAAGTCCTACGACACCTGCGTTCTTCACTTCATTATCCACCATCACAAATGACTCAACAAGTCCTCCAATTATTACTACATCTGACTTATAATCTTCTTCACTGTTACAAACCTTGAGTCAAGAAAAAAGACACAGAACTGTTATTTCTATCACTTCTTGATAATACCAAATACAAATAAGATATTGCATTTCAAAGATAGCCATTTTGTACACCAAAAAAGGTTTTTCTTCTTATTTACTTCAGTTGATAAAGATGCAATTCACACTTGCTGAAAACTGTATCTTGTCAGTAAATCTGCTCAACATCTTTGTTTCATTATATTTTAAAAATATAGACAAGCACTACATATAGTATGTAATTTTTGTCCTATGGATAACAAGCTAATGAAGAAAAAGAGCTCAACAGAAAGGCTAACCTGCCAAATTCCTGATGCTGTTTTTCCTATAACATCAAGATTATATGTGTCACCCTTGGCTAAAAGAAAAGCACACTTGACTGTACCATCAGGGGGAAGTCTCAAAGATTTCTCCCAGCGAGATTTGAATGTTCTGTTATTCTTAACCTCTGTGGCACTCAAATTTATAACCTCTGCTGAAACACCTTCAACTTGTGGCATGAGCAATAAAGCAACACCTTCAGCACTTTCCAACTCTTCTGCAAAACCACCCTCTGCTGTTCCAATAACTCCTGCTCCAACACTTCCAATAAGGGCACATGAGCGAGGTAAACATCCCTTTACAGTTGTTACTAAGGTTTTTATTTCATCTTTTTTTCCTTCTTGAAGGTGAACCCTGCATCTGCTCAGTAAGACAATGCAGGCTGCAGGAACAATGGGTAGCTCATCCAAGAATTCAACAATTTTCTGTCCAAGCATTTCCATTGAGAGCTAGAAAAAACAATCTTGTCTTTGACTAATACATTTAAAAAGCTTTTGCAATACTAATCTGAGTCACATTCACAACTAAGTCATCAAAAAGGCAAAATAAACATACTGATGATTGATAGCTTATCATATCATGAGTAAATAATAAAAACAAACCAGGATAAGAAAAACAAAACAAAAAAACTGTATGGATGGTTGGTAAATGCCACAAACAGAGTATAGTTTTAGGGGTTCTGAATCTAAACAAGGCATACAATTTCAATATAAAGAATCTTCAAGTCAACAATTTGCAACCCCAAATACATCCTTGAACTTGGTTGCTTGTTTAACAAATTTTATGTCACCATCAAGATTTTCTCTCCTCAATAGCCGACCCTTTCCCTTATCAAGGACTACCCAGCCCCACCCTCCCAAATAACTTATCACAGACCTTATTATTAATTAAAAATAATAATTAATAACTATGATGGTTTTCTTTCATATGCTCTCACCATTATGACCAATTATTTCCCTACAATAACAAGGAAAATGAACCGAAATGTACTTTTCACATTCAGAGTGCGTTGCTTAAAAAAGCAAAAAGGAATTGGTCGAAAGCAAAACTACGTAAAAAAAAAAACACAAAGAAATATTTTGAGTGCAGAAACGCAAATTAATTCCCATTCTTCTGGATTTAAAGACTCCCCTTCTCTGATGTACAAAAAAGGCCAATTGAAAGTAGGATCACTGGTATATTCAGTGGTCGTTTTGAATGACAAAGCACCAATTGACGGAAAAAATAACCAACAGTTTCCTCAACAGGACTATTAAGTACGAAGACCGAGAAAGCTCTCCGGATCAGGTAAATTCTGAGACATTGAAGATGTTAATATTGTGAAGATATTTTGCTGATATAACAACATGCTTTGGGAACCGTTCACGGTATAAAGAAGAAAGATTCCTTCATCAACAATGAATAAACGCCCGTCTATCCTTACCTTTGAGGTACAGGGAGCTACGTGAGGTTCATGGTGAGCCTCAAAACTAAGCCATCCCAATTTTTGTCGTGAACGAAGAACTCGTCTAGCAGTGTCTCGCCACAAGCGACTAACTTGCGCGCAACTAAAAAGCGCTCTAGCCGGCAAGAAAGATAGAATTATCTCTACAACTTCGGCGAGAGACGAAACATGTTCCACTGAAGGCCTTCCACCCAACTTGGAGGCCATTTCGATTGTAGAATAACAACAGGAAATTTCACGAGCCCTGGTGCACGGGCAACTTGTTTACATCTACCAGGTGATGTGTTCATTCGGAAGACTGAGTACGAATTGGAAGTGAGTGAGGACGAGGCGGGGGAGGAAGGGGATAGATTACGCATTAAATTTAAATTGAACGGGGGTGGGGGTGAGTGAAAACTAGATCAAACTCATGATAATTCGAGTTAAAAGTATGTGAAATTCATACAAATAATGCAACATGAATATTAGAAAACTGGGGTATGCTTAGTGTTTGCACTTCTTAAGAGATAGTTTGTCTTGCTACCCTGATTGAATGGGCAAAAATAAGACCTAAATCAATGTTTGAAAGGAAGATGGGCATGTAGGGTACATATTTATTGAAATAATGTGATGATTTGTCATGACATATAACCTAAGATGCCTTGGAATGTCTGCAAAATGCCAGTCTAAGTCCCTCTGATGGGAAACCATCCTTGGTAGCTAAATATAAACCTCTGCCTCTTGCACATCTTGATATGTGCCAGTCACAGAGGTATTTTGTTAACATTCCTACATTAAACCTAATTAAAATAAACCTAGGGCAATTGCTGATCTTAGGGGGGAAAATATAGTTGACCCATCTTAGCAGCTCAAATGTGATAAAGAAAAAGGAAGAAAAGTACACCAGAATGGAGGAAGCTAAAATCATCTCATATCCAACAAGCACAAGTGGAATAATTGTTTTATTAAAAACACCCTTAAATATAGATAAATCTTCCCAACCTTATTTTGTAAGTACGGTACAGCTACACATATACTACTCTGGGGCCTCCTTGTATTTCCCAACTTGATCACTAGAAATCTCACTCATGAAACAAACTGAGAAATAAGAGGCCAATCAAAAGTTTGATCTGATAATAAAAACCTCACTAAAACAATGTTTCTTATAAATTCACATACCTCTGTCTTAAAGACTTAATAAATAAAATTGAATTATAAAATTGAATTCCTATCTGTTGAATCAATGTATTTCAATATTTAAAATAAGATCAAAAATCTAGATGGACCTCATTAAAGACTAACTACTCCTTCATTAGTGGGTGAAGAACTTGAAAAACATAATCATAATTGTTTATGTTGAGGTCTTGAACTCAGTTTTCAAGAACATAGGAAACTGTCAATTGTACACCCTCACTTCTTTCTTGATTTAACCCTTTAACTCCCAAGATCTGATTGTTAATTCTCCCCTCTAGCTGCTACATATTTCCTTGTAAATTAGTTATGAGAATTTGTTATTAGATCAAGATAACAGCTTCTACCTAATAAGTTTGAATATTCTCATTACCTGATTTTACAGGATAGTGTACAGATATTATAGGTAAATGTTACTTGTTAATCACTTCTGGGAGTTTAAAGATTAATCAGGAATTACAAATAGAAATTTACTCAATCATACAATTTCAGCTAGTGTAACAGAGGTATCAATATTTGAGCAATAAAAGACATCAAATAAACAAATCTTCTTTCCAATCTAAGACTCAAAATTGCCATGATCATCTTGCAGGAAGCACAGAAAAAACTGCAAACTAAACAACAAAGATTTATTCAGTAAAAAGGCAGCTAAGCATATCAAGCTAAAATATTTCAATTCAAACTAATTTTAAATTTTTGGACATTTTTATCATAGTTGAAATATCACAAATTATAAATTGACTTATTTCAAACTTCCTTGTAGGAAACCACTAAAAAACATAGTCATCTGCAAAGAACAGAAAAATAACCAATTGAAAGTAGTACATCCAAACTGTCCCTTCATCAACTGAGTTGATAGTGAACAATTTGCCGCTGAAACAAGTTTCAGATCAATATCAGTATCTGGGCAACTGCCCACCTACCCCTTCCCTAACTCAACATTAACCTTAACTTGTTGTCAATTGACTGTTGTTGAGTTAGGGGAGGGGTAGGTGAGCAGTTGCCCAGATACTGATATTGATCCCAAGTTTCTAATGCTGGTTTTTTGAGCATGGACCCTTTGTCAGAGTTAAAGGAGCTAACAAAGTATCTGCCATAGAAACTCTCTACAGTAGCCAATTCACATCACCAACTCAGTTGAGAAGGCCAAATTATCTTGCAATCACCCAGGAAGCCTTCCTTTAACAATCACAATACCATGTGTACCTTGTCTTTCAATTGTTGACACAATCTCAGTGCTGCTCCAATGAGTAAAACAGAATCACTGAGTCTTGGGATTGAACAATCAACCTTGTACAGTCAACAGGAATGCAAAATGAGTAAAAAAATTATCAAAAGAATGACAATTCAAAATTTCATGGCCTAATTTAGAAAATATATAAAACTGACAATGGCAATGTTTTTTTTTGTTGCAAAATAGACAAGTTTACCATACCTCAAAGTGACTTGTGATTTCCATCCATTTGTTATTAAATTCACTGTTTATATGCAAAGGAAAAGATTATCAAATTTAATTAAATGTTCATACCTGATCAAGATTGAGATAATGATTATTGTCATTCCCCCGTAGGAGAGAGTACAGAATTCTGATGCACAATTCTACCAAAGAGATATTCAACAATCACAAGTCACATCAGCATGCTTGTCTGGATGAGTAATTTCTGAAAGGATTATTCTGGGAACTCTGTGACCATCATTTCTACAATCAAAATTTCAGTGATGTTATCCATCCACACTCAACATTGATAAACAGATAATGACTCCTACTCAGGTTACCAAAACATAAAGCCAATGACGAACAAGAGCTTTTTTTCAAGAAAACCCTCACATGGGGAGGTCTCTTAGACAGCTGGAGAATTCACCAGCTACTTAACATAATTTTCTGGCTTCATTTTGATGGTCTGAGCTATTTTTTTATTCAGAGGTGGAAAATATCCTCCTGTTATTTCACCTTTTTACTCCTGCAACTACATTCCTTAGCCCTTTAAACCCTAAGAGTGACCAGAATCTAGGAAATGATTGCCAACTAAACAAGCTTTGATTGCTAAACAAATTCTCCTTGTCAGCACCAAAAGAAATGTCTGGAGAAGAGTATGGAGAATATGGATACTGATGTCAGGGTGTACAGGGTTAATGAAAACCCTGCCTTCGCTCCTGATGATCACACTATACAAAGTGAAAAAGTGCTTACAATGTTTGTCCAACAGGGTCATTCTCTTGAGGAGGCTTCTAAATGGGAGGTAAAAAAACAATAACATTAAAAATCAGTTAATATACAGTTTGTGATGCATGCACATGTTATCAAATTCTTGATATGTAAACACACACAGTAATGCTTATTTAAAGAAACTTACTGAACTTTGAGGTGGAACAGGAAGTGTTGTTAAAGTGTAAATTGACAAGACAAGTTTGTCGCTATTGAGGCAGAAGTATGCTACCACATCATCTGGCAACCCAGGCTTGAACACTCTCTGAAAGAGAAGGAACAGTACTCAAAAAGTGATGCAAGCATACCATTTAAAGCTAACTATTTATCATTAAAAATTAATAAATATTCAGGTGTACCTGGTCACCAGATGCCAACATATCTAAAACTGGTGTTTTGTCAGGCAAAGATAGTCTGGTCTTTCCCTTTGTCAAGAGACTTGTTATTTCTTCTACAACCTAATAAAAAATTATTAAATTGGAACAAAAACAAACTAAGTTGAACTGTCTGTAAACACAACTGAGACCCTTCCAACATTATTAAATAAATATTTCAAAATCTCTTACCTTGCTGACTTCTTTTCCAGAAGAAAATTTACAGTTAGCTTTGGTTTCTTGAACCTTCTCAATAGCAAGTTGCAAGTAGTTTATAGCATCTTGAATCTACAAAAATGAAATATTATTGACATTAATTAGTCACCAAATAAAACATGATCAAGTAAAATTAACTCCAGATGTTAAAACTGGGTTGGAAATAAGTAAAGTAAATGTAAAGAAAAGAGCTCTTTAAAATGAAAAAAAAAAGATATTTTCACCTGTTTTAATTTCCATGGCAGCCGCTCTTTAACAAACACACGGAAACCAGAGCTTGAGACTTTAGGAAGTTTAAATTTGAGGTCCTGCAAAAAATATTTGATGGCAGGATGATAACAGTCCTGAATCAGATTTCTCTTATACACAGTACATGTATAAAGGTTGGTGAACTTCCTCTATATCAGCTCTCATAGAACCTAGTTCTGATCCTTTAGATTACATTTAAGACTGTATCACTGAGTATTTCATAGCCAGATAAAAAAGCGACCTCAAAGAATAGGTATTAAGTAACTCACAGCTTTTGAAATGTTTTCACCTTCCACAGCAACATAACCTTTAAGAGCGTCACTGCTGTAATAGAAAAATTAACCTGTATGAGATTCATCAAATAAATTTTAAAAGATTTTAGCCCTTAATTAAATGTTTAATTTGAATATAAAAATTTAACAATAAGCCTTTGTCTTACTTGGGTGTGGAAAGCATAAAGTAATCTTGTGGCTTTATTTCTCCTAAAAATTTGACAAAAATAAGAGTATGTTTATTCAAAAAATAATTGAATAGGCAAAAAAAGGATTTGGAAATTGAACAGATATTGAGAATAACCCAAAAAAAATGCATTTTCATGTTCTTGTTCCTACCCTGTAATTCTCCTGTGGGTCCCTTTGATGGTACACTTGTTAGTTTTAAACATTTTGAACATTCCTTCAATTCAAATAATTAAATGAAAATTTAAAAAATATATATTTGTTTCACTGTTCCTTAAATTCTTAACTTTCACTAAAATTGTCTTAACCCTTTAACTACCAGGAGCGATTTAAAACTAATTTCTCTCTGAAATATCCATACATAGTCCAGTGAACAGGTAATGAGAATACTTAAACTTATCAGGTAGAAGTTGTTACCTTGATCTAACATCAACTTCTTGTGACTTGCTTACAAGGAAACATAGCAGGTAGAAGGGAGAATTAAAAGTCAGATCTTGGGAGTTAAAGGGTTAAGCCCCTCAACAAACCCACCCTCTGTTCAGTAAGTAAACTAACAATTCAAGAAAATGAAGAAACAAATAATTAAGATGTAATAGATAAAACTATAGGTTTGACAAGATTGTAATTTCCCAGTGTGATGAACGAGTCAAAGATATAACCAGCCACAGCCAGGTTCTCTCCTTCTATTATCACTAAAGCTATGCTACGCCATGCCATGTACAAGATACACCAGCCTAATGATATGCACGTTGGATTCCCAACTGAGGTGGGTTGTGTCCTCGTGTACCGGTACACAAAGGAACGAAACATTAACAAACTGCGTCACAACTCCATGTATGGATATGAAAACAATAGGAATTCCCCCTTGTACCGGTACACCAGGACAGCCCCCTGAGATGTTTAGGTTCAAGACCCTGCTACATCATTGTGCTATGTTCTGAGGCAAGATACCTAACTTCCTCAGTGCCTCTCCAAACTGTGAGGGAGCCCTTAAAGATGCTGGGGGTGGAGCAGAGGGGGGAGGCAACCTATGAAAGCCCCACATCTCCGGAGGAGAAGAGATACTCTCAGTCGCACTGGGCTACTTGGCCTCTAAGACTTGAGCTCAGCCATGCCATGAAGATAACCTTACCATATGCTTCTTTATTATGATATCATCTTGGCTTACGAGTTCTGACAGAGCTATTTAAAGTTAAAGGTGCATGTACGATTCAGTTCATCATATTATCTGTTCTACAATTCCTCTTTCTTCGTTTAAAGCTTGATGACAATGTGAATGTCAGTGGCTCTATATTCCGACGGTAGCTGCTCCATGTGTTATTAGCACACACAGACACACACGCACAAGACAACATTTATCATCATTTATAGCTGATGAATATACCTTTCACTTTATATTTTGATTGAATCCACCCCAAAAAGTTCTTTAGAGCATCTCTCTCTTAAACAAAATGACTACAAGGACTAGCAGGGGGGTGTGTTAGAATTTAAATTTACCTGTAAAATGTTTCCAAGTTGGATCAGCACCTTCGGTACATGTTCACGCAGCAACCACTCAAACTCCAACCTCTTTATCAAGAAAAGACAAATGCATTCATAAGAAACCGTTTTAAATGCTCTCCTGCTTTCATTTTGCAACACTTTCTGATTTCTTACCAAGACTTGCATATCTTCATCTTCCAGTACCTCCGCCATGTTGGTACATTATGATTACGATATTTGAAGTAGTGTACTTCTTCCCATGACTGTTCTTTGAGCCCGCAGAACAATAACAGTGCTTCTCAGTCTCCTCTCAGATATATTCATTCATGTGCTGTCGATATTTAAAAGGCTGAAATGATTATTCTCCAGAGGGTTGTATCTTCATTTCTTCTTCTTGGTAAGTATTTATAGCGTTGTTTCCTGAAGGAAACGTCAGTTATTTTCAATGCATGGTTTCTGTTTCATTACAGTACCGATTATTGCCGCCAGTGATTTTGGAGGTTTTGGACCCGATGATCCTCAGACAAGATTCGAATTTGGCGCTGTCACGGCACACCGAGTAATTAAATTTCTTACTTCGTTTGATTTCTTTCTCGATACACATTTGTATTTTCGAATGCATCATCGTCATAGAGATTGCGTTATATTTTAAAATATACGTATTTCTAAGTGAAAACACATGGCACAGCGGTTAGCATTGTTCTCGTCATCTATTGTTGTCTAAATTACAGATAAAACATCACTAACACCATTCATGGAATGTAAATAGTAATATCAACGTGGCAGAAAAATAACTAATAAAAGAAGCACCCGCAAATTTAGGTTATAATTTATGAACGATCGTACAGAACTTAATATATGAACTATCTTACCGAAAGACGAAAATTTCGTGATCTGTCAGCTATCTGAGCACCGTGTGAAATATAGATTTAAGATAATTGTTTCTTATTGCATAGGGAGGTCTTGTCCTAAGATCTTTGAAGGGGGGTGGGGGGATAGTGGTTTACAACAATACGAGCTATCAAGGAAAAGTTGTGATTGTTATTATTGCTGTTTACTCAGTTTTAACACAAAGATGGAAATCACCTTTGTGCATTTTTAGTAGCTATTTTATCTTTTGATTTGTTTCCAGGATTCCAAACTTGAAAATGAAACAGATATCTCTCCTATAGGTACATTATCTAATTATCCAATTGAAATAATGATAATAATTATTCATAGTGTTAACCCTTAAAATGCCAGTAGTGATTATAATGTAACTTCTCCTTATAATATCCATACATTATCCACCAAACAGGTAATGAGAATACTCAAACTTTTCAGGTAGAAGTTATCTTGATCTAACTCCAAATTCTTGTTATTAATTTACAAGGAAACGTGTAGCAGCCAGAGGGAAGAATTAAGATTTTAGTTTATTCCACTGCTACTTTTTGATGATTATGTATTTTTCAGAATAGATACTAAATGACGCAGTATTTTTGGATGCTGTGTGGCAAATGTTAAAAAAAAAAATTATTAATGATCTCTAGAGGATTGAGGTTACTTTGTTTTCAAGTTGTGATCATGAGCGTGACTTGTGGTGTGTGCCATACATTGAGGTTTTAAAACTTTTTTTCCGCAGGATTAAAGGATATAGTTATTGTCATCAGAAGTCAACATAATACCTTTCATGTCAAAAAAGCAAAAGCTCTCAGACAAACCCTGAATGAGCAAGCAGAAGCTCTAGGAGAAAAGGTAACTGCTGAAATCTTGACTTATCTAAAGCTAATAGAAATCTTTTTAGATAAGGAGTCTTGTAACTAATTGATTTTTACATTTAAATGTGAATTCAAATCAATCATTTTCCAGGATCACTTGGAGCTTAAAATGATGCACGAGGATTGGGCACCCCATGGGGCCTGGACTATTCTTCCAGCAATAAATAGGTAAGACTGAGTAGTTTTAGTACAAGGAAATTTTTTTTTTGAAAGTCCAAAAGCATTTAAGGATCAAATATATTACTTCACATGACTTGACTTAAATTAAAGTTTTAATTAAACAGTGTATGTGTGAGAATTGGCTTTTTACATGATGGTAAAAAAATGCATTTTTCATATTGTTTTAGCTTGGTTGAAGATTATGGTGATAACAAGAGATGGATATTTTTTTGTGAGGATGAAACCACCATCAATTTATCAGGACTTGTTCAAGTCTTAAACAAATATGATGCAAGACAGGTGTGATAGAAAAAGTAACTTGTCTGAATTGTTGCTGTGATGATAATGAGATATGCCTTAACTGTTGGAATTAACTGAGCTCCCACAAGTGTAGAATTAATATATATTTCTCCTTACAATTTCAAGACATTACCCCGCAAACAGGTAATGAGAATAGACATGCTTATTAAATGGAAAGCGTTATCGCAATATTACAATAAATTCTCTTCACTAACTTACAAGAAAGTGTGTAGCACCTAGAATAAAGAATTGAATCAGATCTTAGGGGGTTAAGGGTTCTAGAATACCATAAATGTATGGAAGTCACAACAGTTGCTGCACTAATACCAGCTTCTCTCTCTTTTGCTCCCTTTTTCATGTTGTAATAATATTCATGTAAAAGTAATAGGCTTCTGATTGGCTGAAAACAAGTGCATTTTTTATGTAACACAACTGCAAAATTGTAACACAACTGCAAAATTGTAACACAACTGCAAAATTGTAACACAACTGCAAAATTGTAACACAACTGCAAAATTGTAACACAAGTGCAAAGTTGTAACACAAGAGCAGATTTTAAATGGCACGCACACTGTCAAAATTTTGTCTGTCTTGACTTTCTCTGATGTTCTTTCTTGTAAATTATTTATAAGTTCTAACATGATTTCTCAAGCAATTTCATGAAAATAAGCACTTGTAAATTTTTCAAAGACTAAAAATTGCAATGGCCTGAATTTTTGTTGTCTTTAAAAAAATTACTAATGTTTATGAACGCCATATTGCACCCAAAGTAATGTTATTACCCATATAATATGACAGAGGAAAAAGTGGGTGAGGGGTGAAAAGGACCCCCTGACCCTCTTGAAGTCCTTGAAGCTTTCAAGAGGAATTTATCATTTCTGTTCTCCTTTTGTGATTTTTCATCAGGAGATGTTTCTTGGACATGCCATTCAAGATGAACAACCAGCGATTATTCATCACTTTGCATTCCATCAGGACCCATCGCAGTTCTCTTTTCCTGACTTTTCAGCTGGATGGGCTTTGTCTGTACCACTACTGAACAGGCAAGTTAGAACACCCTCTAGTCTGAGTTCCTAGTCAAAGAAGAAAGTTTCCTTCCTTTATTTATATGTGTATTAATTTTTTTATATATTTATCTACCTATTAAACATTTATTTATTTTTACTCAGAGCTAGCAATCTCATTTCTTTATTTAGATAGCCTATCTAAAAGACAGTTTTTCCTCCTAGCCTCCTAGTTGTAGCTGGCTAATCTTTACTTTGTCATCTTAGTGAAGATTTAGTGGCGCTGTGAGAATAAACGGGTCTACCAACACAATAGATCTTACCATGCTGAAGCTTGTCTTCAGTTATCAAGTGTGAAAACGTGTCTAACGTGTAGAGAAGAATGTCCGATGGATATTTAAGTTTTTTTAAGGGAAATGGTTTATTTGAACAATAGTTTTAACTTTTTTTGAATAAAAAGAAAAATATTAATAAAACGAATGACTTCATCCACTTCTGATATCCATAACACTTAAACTACTACTGATCGTCAAACAGAGTTGTTAAATTACCTATAAAACTATGCAAAGAACTGTTATTCCTAAAAACAGAATTTGGGAAGTCAGCGATGATGAATGCTTTCACGCAAAAATACGAAAACAGAGATAGCTATTAATTTGCAATCGTATCTAGTCCGACTTCTGAAAATATTCAAAGACAGTTCATCTTGGGAAAAAAAGATAGGAGAACAGCGAAATGAAATTGTGGCCTTCATCCGAGGATTATCGTTTTTCTGTGCTTGGCCATTTTTTCCCATTTTGCTAGAGACGCTTCTTTGTTTAACCCTTTAACTGTAATAAGTGACCGAGACAATTTCTCCCTACATTGTCAATAAAATTTCTTATAGAAAAGTGACGAGAATAACGAAAAACATGAATTAAGGATTTGTTAATTTAACACCAACTTCTGCAAACTAACATCATGATTTAATGATAGAAATTAAGGAGAAAACTAACGAGATCCGGGAATCAAAGGGTTTAAAATTTATCCTCAGAACTTTTAAAACAGAGGTGAATGCCTGACTGAATACAGAATCAGACCTTAAAACTTGAGTAGTTTGAAAGCACGCGACAGCCACCGTCCCAATCACAATTCTTTCACTCGTTATAGAACTTAAATCAGTTTATTTCCTTATCTACAATTCTATTTACAAAAGTTGACACTCCTTTCTAAAACAAACGCAAAAAACTGAAATAAAAAAGTACATAAATGTTGTAACCTTGATTGCTCTCAATTTGTTTAAAAAAATAGAATTGGAAAAAGACTTCAAGCTGATCCACCAAGGTCTGACTTTACTATTGACGTACAACACGAGGTAAGGAATTCAAATAGTACACAATTACGTATGAATTCAGCGAGAAAATTAATTATTTTACTGCTTCAGGAGAATACCTTGTTCCTGATAAGTCACTGTACAATTTTGTCAAGTCACAATTTTACAAGTTCTTGAACACCTTCCGCGTATGTCTTTCAATCAAAGTCTTTGTCAAGATGTCTCCAGTCACAAGTTCTGCTAACAGCGTCCGTCTCGTTCACGTCTTGAGTATTTCGTCGAGATGTTGTAGTCCTAAGTTTTAAATTGCTTTCGTCTCGTCCAGTTTTGTAGAAGTCGCTCGTCTGTCTTCAAGTCACAAAGTCTAAATTCAGCGTCCGTTTCATGCGTTTCGTCCCTTAGTCTTCACGTGTATAATCTAGTATCTTTCAAATCGCTTTACTTTGTGCTGGTGTACTTTGTAACGGCTTTTGTTCCTTCACTGACCGCGTGTTTCGCCAGTTCACCGGGCAGAAGCAGTCGAATGGCGGTCTGAATTTCGCGAGAGCTGATTGTAGACTTTTTGTTGTAGTTGGCGAGTCGAGAAGACTCGGTTGCAATTCGCTCGAAGATGTCGTTGACGAACGAGTTCAAAATACTCATGGCTTTGCTGGATATTCCGGTGTCTGGATGAACTTGTTTCAGAACTTTGTAGATGTAGATAGCGTAACTTTCCTTTCTTCGTCTACTTCTCTTTCCTTTGCCGTCTCCACTCTTGACTTTTCCGGTTATCTTTGTCTCTTGCTTCTTTCCTGCGGTTTTTGGTGGCATCTTCAGTGTTTCTCTCTGTAGTACAGTAGTACAATTGATTGATAACAACTTTGGTTGGTTTCGGTTTTATAGAAAAATTTGTGATGCTTAATTTACAAACGGATCGAAATCTACAGTATTTCATTGGCTGTTGAGCAGGGAAGTTGGGAACTGCACGGAGAATTTACACTGGTATCATCATTAATTAGCAACATTCTTCCACGAAGTTTTAACAAGTTGTAATTGTTCTATTCAAAACTCAGAGAAGTAAAAGAAAGGAAATTCTTACCAGAAGGGACGAACTAAAATGAAAATAAATGATTTTTTACCAGTCATGTTTTGCGATAGATTTAAGAAAACCCCGTGTTTTTTGTTAAAATATAACACTCGACATGTTGAAATGTTTATATTCCCACTCGTTCCCCTGAGATCGAATTCCAAAGTAATATCTCATTAGACTGGGTTGTTACCTTTTCTTAGGTGGCAATGTTCATTCGTGACGAGGGTCGAGGCACGCTGCTCACAGATGTACCCGAGTTCTGCACTAGCGAACCTAGGGACAATCAGGAATGTGTGACGTCTTTGAAAACTGAGGGCCCTAACTGTGTACGTTCATAGTATAAGTTTTAGTTTAAGAGTGAGGGGGGTCTGTACTTAATTATAAACTTATAAATAAGCTAAATGGCATTTTCATTTTTTCATATTTTTTCGTGAAATGTAGACCTTTTTGAGGAGATAATGTGGGGTCCCTTAACCTTGGCCACAAGCAGCGAACTCGAGTAATAGCTAGCAGACTGAAAATATAGTTAAATGCGAGAACAGAAAATTTGAAAAAAATTGGGAATAACTGCAGACCGAAAGAAAGCAAGGTTTAAACCTATTTGGTTCTAAGTATTGTGTGTAAAGGATCGTCTCTAAGAACTCTCTGGGATTTCCTCAGGGTGAGCCGCTATCTTCGGACAGTATATTTTTCGCTGTCAAGACTACAAAGAAATACCACAAAGACAGAGGTATACTTGACTTCATATTTTCTTGTAATTTAAGTTGAATTCATTGTGTAAAAAGGAAATGCCTGGTCATGCCAGGTATCCTAAGGCTCGTGTACATAACCTTAATTTTTGCTGGAGACCTAATTGCAACTATGTTGTTGTTACTATCGGCTAAATTTGGCGATTTAGCTTTTTAAAAGATATAATCACTTCTACATTGATTCAGACTGTTTTTCGTCGTGGTCTTCGATGGCTTTTGGTAATTTTAAATTAACCTTAATGCTACCATCTTGAGGTCATAATTTATAGCACTACAAATAAAAAATATTTATTTCTTTTCAGTGCCTATTGTGCAGAAGACGGTTGGAAAGCACGCCAAACACATTGTGTACTACAGCGAGACAGAGGATCTCTCCATACCAACAGAGAACATTGGAGTACCTAATACCGAGAGAGGTAAAGTCAGTTATTGAATAAATATTTGTCGAGAAACTTTTCAAGAGGGGGAACTTTTGAACATCGATTTCCGGTGGAACGTTCCAGAACTACCCAACAAGTAGATATTTGCTCCAATTCCTTGTCGAATGGAAGTTTTGGAAACCACCTTGAATCGTATTCTTTAAAACGCTTATACTGACAAGACAGTTTTCAGTTGTGGAGATTTTGCCAATTTTCTAAGACGGTTTTTGTTTTTTTTAACACGTTTTGTGGCCGAGTCTCTTTCCTCCCCCCCCCTGCTAAGTTTACTCAAGTTATCCGACGACAAAATTCCGTCTTCGTAAATATGTGGAGCTTTGATCCATCAAGTTTGGTAAACTGGCGGTAAAAAAAAAGCTGCTGGAGAATGTTTAAGCTCTTAAGTCAATCAATGAGCTTAAATTCCGATGAATAAACAAGACAACCATAGCTAAATCAACATTCTAGTCATGGTGCAATCCGTTAATACGACCGCCGCCATTATATGTCAATTTATTCCAAACAACAGGTTGGTCCGAGTAGCGAGGTTGTGAAAGGAAATGGCTGGAATATATTTCATTATAGCCCGGGCAGAAGTTATTTTATCAGTGCCAGTCTCCTTTGCTAATAAAGAAGGCTATATTTTAGGTTGCTCTGGCCAATGAAACGAAATGTGACGCTCTGAAAGGAAACTGGACCAAGCTTTGTTTTATTTTGCTTATGGGTTGCTCGCATCGCTGAGCAGCTTAAGAGAGAAAGTGTCTGGTAGTCTATTATCTTGGTTTCCGCTTTTTTTTGGGTTGGTAATGTATTTACATTGGTATTTGTACTGAATTATGGTACATTCGAATCGTGACTTAGAATCTCTCTAGAATCTTCTATGTTCCCTGCGTTTTCTCTCATTCTGTGGCAGCAAGTTTAGTCAAAACAAATAAGTGAAAGAGGGGAACAGGTCTCGTACGGTTTTCGGTTCAGTTTCATTCATCGGTGAGGTGGAATTTTGTTTGAAAATCCTGTCCATCTCTTTAAAAGAACCCCTCCAGAGGTTGCCCCGTCTCTTGTCTCTTGTGGTGACCCTTTCTAGTTGCTGGTTTATAAACTTGTCTTCGTAGATTTTTCAAACCGTCTTTCTCTCGTATATTCATTCGCTTAACCTCAAGAGTAGAGCTCAAGATCGGTAAGAATGTCCTCTTCCCTTCTAAGCCGGGTTTAACTCGGTTTTTTCTACCTCCCAAATAATTTTCATCGTAGATGACTAAAGGAAGTCGTCTCTGTTGAGAAAAGTCAGCACCCTGAGACAAAGACGTTGCTCTTCCTACCGTATTCTCTCGGGGAATCACTGGCCGACCTTGAAGTGGAAAATCACAACAATGCATTCTTCTACCTGGTCTTTTTCCATCGCTGTTCACGAATTCAGTTCTCGCAGTAATACCGGAGAAAGTTAATCTCGGTATGTCGACAGCCCCGTTGACTTTGGACATCGTTTCATCTTTGTTAAGTAACTCTTGATAAAAGCTTCCTTGCCTCAGAATTTTTCCTCTACCTTTTTCGTCTCTGGGGCGAACGGAATCCCTTCGCGCGACAGCCATTTCAGAACCATTGCGACATATTTGCGGTAGAACAAACTTTCTGCCCTCGCTGTTGAGTGTACGTCGCATCCCTAACTCTTCCCGCTTGGAATTTGCCCTCGCTCTCCTCTGTAAGCATCTATGAAGTTATAGTGATAATTTTTAATTGTAGCCAGTCTTTATGTCATTGTAGATACGCAGTTTACGACTGATCGGTTTTAAGACGAAAGGCAGTCGTTAATCTGTCTATCGGCTAAACTGTCTACAAAGCTCTAGCATTTGTTCTTAGAGGATAAAGTGCTGCTTTAAACCTGGTTAGAAGATTTACTGTCGTGTCTACTTCTTTATCAGATGTCATCACTTGCACATAAACAAACAATAGATATTAATAAACAGAAGATTTAAGATACTTAATATGGAATGATCTTCCTGTTACAGTGACCCAGACGATACCAGACTTGTTTTTGCTCCCAAAATGAATCGAATCCTATGCGTGCCTCTGCTGGTAAATCTTGTGAAATAGAACTTACTGAGTAAAATACTTTACTTATCATTTTTAACTTCGGTCAATCTTAAGACCTTCTCTCTCTTTATGGCAATGTTATAAGAAATTGCCTTATGATAGAATTTTCTATCAGAGATAACTTACTTCACAACAATGTCAGTGTAATTATTGCTAGGAAAAAAAAAGGTTTGTAATGAGTTAAAGATGCTCGACAAATGGAGCTCCTAAAGCTGCTTAAAATGAATCAAACACTTGTAAATGACGGAATGTGGTTGTTGCTAATTTTGATTAGGGTATGTTAACAGAACACTGCATAGGACAACTGTTGGTGTAAAGAAAAACAAAACATAAACTCAAGTTCTTCTGTTTTGGCCATGTATTTTTAAGACGAGGCCACCCAACGCGAAAAGCAATAATAGCCGTAGACAGACGTTCAAATTTCCTACTGGGAATCCACATCACACCGCAGGTTTGCTGCTTACAGAGTGGAAATTAGGTCGCGCCTCCAGCAGAACGCCGGTTGTTTGTTTCATTTGTTGGTGGGGGTGGGGTGGGACAGATTTCGCGAGGAAGCTAAAATTAATAAGTTGCGTACCCATGTAAGGGCTCAGGGCTGTTGCATCGGTAAAGATGAGCGATATTTCTCGATTTGTAGGTCCGATCCGGAGGAACACCTTCAAATGCCTTGATGAGTAGTTGATCGGTGTGGCTGTGATGTTAAATTTAAACATCTCTTGTCGCTTCTTCCATTGGAAACCGGTAGAGCTCTGTAGGTTTGAGCCCGAGTTTGAGACCCCAGCTTATAAGAGGAGACAGGTTAAGACAATGGTAAAGTTTAGTTACGTAGTGTGGTACTGTTTCTATTTCAGGACACTGTGCTAAGTTGGAGGCCATCATCAAGAGATCAGTCGCAGACCCCAGGGCTGCTGACAAACCCTGGCTTGTGATTCTCGATGATGATACGATAATGAGGTAACCTCGGTAACTAAACAAGCTGTTGGTTCCTCCACCCAGAAATAGCAACCTTTATCGCAAAATCGGCTCCTTTCCCATCGCCTCGGGAGGGGGGATCTATACGGACACGTTAAGAACGCAATTCGAGATTGCATCTTACGTCGACTGATAAATAGTGAGGAAAAACCTTATTTTGCGTTCCAGGAAAAGATTATGCGCAGAAAGTATCCATAAGGTTTCGTTACAAGATATCAGGGCAGCTTGGCGAGAGAAAAGTAGTCCTTGTCTTCATGGCACAATGTAATGAAATGAAAATAACATCTATATATTTTCCTAATATTCTTTGATCCTTTGTTTTTTACTTCTTGTTGTTGTTGTTGTTTTTTTAACCACTTCCCGCAGCGTACCTCGGCTGCAAAAGTTGTTGGCGTGCTACGATCCAAAGGAACCAACCCTACTGGGTGAACGGTACGGCTATGGACTAACGGGAGGGTTTGGGTACGAGTATATCACGGGTGGAGGAAGGTACGAATTGCATTACTTTTCTAGTCTGACCTTAAACTAGTCCCCGGTCCCCGGCAGTTTCTAAACCATACATCTTCAACTCTACCAACAGTCCTTTGAGTGACCTTCATGATCTCATCAAACACTAAGAATTTTAATTTCCGCGCCATAAGTAGATTAACAAGAGGAAACAGATAGACCGGGAACATTTACCATTCTTTTAGTTTAGTGATGGATACTAAATGTATGTTTTTTGTGGTGTGTATGTCCAGTATGATTCTAAGCCGGAGTGGTATCGAAGCTTTGTTAAGCAGTGGATGCAGCTGTTGGGAACCAGACTCTCCCGACGACATGTGGCTGGGAAATTGTTTCCGCAGATTGGGAGTTCCTCTGACGCACTCCTCAGCTTTTCATCAAGTAAGTCATGTCATAGGTAATTCTTTGTTATTATTTTGCTATTTGATAGTAAGTACTTGTTTGAGAGAATGTCAGAATAGATTGACGCACAGTACATCCAAAAACATAGGCTTACTCTGTCACGTCAGTTCAGCATGAACATACAATGAGGTATTTTCAATAGCTGATGAGGACATAGGTAAAACTCTTGCACCAATAGGTTACATGATTCTCGCGTTGCCTCTCTCCATTTAGAGGTATAAATGAGTAAGGGTAAAATTTCTGGAAAAAAGAAAACGGTGAAATGCTGGCTGAGGATGACCTAAGATGGTCTGGCGTTAACTCAAGGGGGGGGGGGGGGGGGGGTGGGAGTAGCAACACTTCTAACCGTTGTATTCCAATGATATTGGGATGAGATCGGGAAGAATAGGGCTGTCCGGCTCCTGAACTGACAGAATGTTAGCCTAAGTGCAAATCCTGGCAGACTTTCTTTAGTTTTGAGAAGTAAATCAAAGTTCACTGCTCTAGAAACTCCCTCAGCCTCATTCTTTATCGTTCCTCTCTTGTTTCAGGCCAAGCCAAATGAGTATGTGCCTTCACTTCTGGCACACCAGACGCCCGTCTCATTCCACAAACATCATGACTTAGATCCACTTTCCGTTTACGAAGAATATCTCAGTTGATATCTCAGAGTGCTCTGTGAAAATGGTGGTGTTAAGTTATGGACAAATTTTTACGTAAAGTGTCTTTGTTCGACAAACTAGAACTCCATGTTTCGAATGAGTAAGCGGACAAAGAAAAATGAAATTTTCAATTACACAATTGCGAGTCAGTGTAAAATTAGAACTTCCAACGACAACCATGTCAGGCAGGGAATTGTGGGTTTTTGAGTGCAGAGTATTTTCCTCAAATGACGAACGTTTCTCTGATAATCTGATAATTTGAAGTAAAATAATATTTCTAGGTAGTAAAGAGATGCAACATTTTAATTCTTTATGTTGTTCGTTGTGTCTTGTTTCTACGCTTGCTTACTGAAATTGCAGAGTTCTCGTCCCTCTCGCATTTCGCCGGTGTCTTAGCCAGTAATTGCATAAGCAATTTTTTTAAGAGGGCACGGTAACGAATTTTTTAATCTGATTGGTCCCATGGGCTGGCATGATTATTTCCTCTGTCCGCGGTGAACAGTAACGCCTCCTCGAATCGTCTTGTTGATCTATTTTCGTGAATGAATTGGCAGTAATCTTCAATAATCAGCATTAATCATTCCTCCATCGACGATTGTTTACGCAGTTTAATCTCTGTCCACTTGTACATGGTAAGGAAAGAATCGCACATCAAAGTCACGATACTGAAGGAGATGGTAAAATTTCTGTACAGCCCCATACTACATTATGCATTCAGTTCTTGACTAGAGAAAACAATGAAAAAAACAATACATTTCCATTGGAAAAACAGATTTGTTTTGACAATAGTATGGGGCTGTGCGGAAACTTTACCAAGGAAATGATCACCACTGTTTTGCGTTTTATTTGTGGCCAGTGCCTCCTACAGGAGGTGATGCCACATATGTTATCGAAATGAGTGTGTGATGGTAACAATAGAATGCCGAATTTCACCCGATTTCGACTAGATGTCAGCTATTGATTTTTTCCAGAGTATCTTCGTAGTTCGACTTTCGCAATAGTGATTATTAGGCGCAGCACAGACAAAAAAAAAGACGAATGCCTTTTAAACAAATTGTGCATAAATAACCCAAAATATTTCCTTTTTCAGTTCTTCCCGTGGCAATACAGCGGATGATAAATATTGCACAATCATTTCAGGATGGCGCTTGATAAAAAGAAAACTTTTCCTTGGGGAATTATCTTAACAGGTGTGATCGGCGCACCATGAAACTTAGAGGACGGTTTTTTTCTTTAAGGAGAGAGAATTTCGCTGTTTAAATCAGTGAATTATTCCCAGAAGAGCGAAGATGTAATTTTTTTAACGGTTCTTTCTGTAACACTACAGTCTCACTAGTGTCCAAAATCGGCCACTACCGTCCAAAATCCAAAATCGGCTACTTGTGTCCAAAATCCAAAATCGGCCACTAGCGTCCAAAATTCAAAATTGGCCACTAGTGTCCAAATTTCAAAATTGGCTACCAGTGTCCAAAATCAAAAATCGGCCATAAGCGTCCAAAATCCCAAATCGGCCACTAGTGTCCAAAATCCCAAAACGGCTTCTAGAGTCCAAAATCCAAAATCAGCCACTAGATTCCAAAGTCCAAAATTGGCCACTAGCGTCCAAAATCCAAAAGCGGCCACCAGTGGCCAAAATCCAAAATCGGTCATTAGCGTCCAAAATTCAAAATCGGCCACTAGCGTCCGAAATCCAAAATCGGCCACTACCATCCAAAATCTAAAATTGGCTACTTGTGTCCAAAATCCCAAATCGGCCACTCGTGGCCAAAATCCAAAATCGGACATCAGTGTCCAGAATGTTAAATCGGTCACTAGTGTCCAAAATCCAAAATCAGCCACCAGCGTCTAAAATCCAAAATCGGTCACTGGCGTCCAAAATCCAAAATTGCCCACAAGTGTTCAAAATCAAAAATCGGCCACCACCGTCCAAAATCCCAAATCGGCCACTAGTGTCCAAAATCCCAAAACGGCTTCTAGAGTCCAAAATCCAAAATCAGCCACTAGATTCCAAAGTCCAAAATTGGCCACTAGCGTCCAAAATCCAAAAGCGGCCACCAGTGGCCAAAATCCAAAATCGGTCATTAGCGTCCAAAATTCAAAATCGGCCACTAGCGTCCGAAATCCAAAATCGGCCACTACCATCCAAAATCTAAAATTGGCTACTTGTGTCCAAAATCCCAAATCGGCCACTCGTGGCCAAAATCCAAAATCGGACATCAGTGTCCAGAATGTTAAATCGGTCACTAGTGTCCAAAATCCAAAATCAGCCACCAGCGTCTAAAATCCAAAATCGGTCACTGGCGTCCAAAATCCAAAATTGCCCACAAGTGTCCAAAATCCAAAATCGGCCACCACCGTCCAAAATCCCAAATCGGCCACTAGTGGCCGAAATGCAAAATCGGCCACTGCTGGTCAAAATGCGAAATCGGACACTAGTGTCCTGAATGTTTAATCGGCCACTAGGGTCCAAAATCCAAAATCGGCCACTAGCGTCTAAAATCCATCATAGGTCACTAGTGTCCAAAATATAAAATCGGCCGTTACTGTCCAAAATCCAAAATCGGCCACTAGTGTCCAAAATCCAGAATTCGAAATCCAAAATCTAAAATCAGCCACTAGTGTTCAAAATAAAAAAATGGTACACTGAACGTGTGTACTGATATTACACAATTTCCATAGTGTTGAAAAGAAGTAGAGATTGTATAACGACGCTAGGAATACTTGTTTTTTCATGCAAGACAAAAAGCCGGCCGCATCCCACATATTTATGAGTAACAGTGACTTATTGACCTTCAAACAACAATTGAATGGTAACAATTTATCATTTTTAAAAATAATAATAAGGATGATGACAATAGTAATAGTTATAGTTAATATAACGTCACTGGTAAAATGATAAATCTTTTGCAACACCCCTTCTAGCGTCATTATACAATCTCTAGTTCCTTTAAATGCTATAAAAATCGTGCTATATCAGTAGACGTGTGCAGTCTTAGATTACCTACTTTAAAAATTTTATTTTGCTTTGTTTTCACCGTAATGGCGCGATGAAATCTTACCTTCGCAAAAAGGAACCAAGGACACTTGCAAGTTGAGCTATTTTTTTGGTGGCACCCGAACCTTAAATGTTAACTTATTTTCCCCAATAAGTTATTTAACGAAAAGAATTGACAAAGATTGATGATACATCATTATAAACGAGAACGCAAAACTTCTGTTGAGATTAGATTTCCGTTGCCTCCTCAAGCTATTCTTTAAATAGAAGTGTGAAATGTTTGGTGTAATTAGGAGGCTCTATGTTTCAGTTCACGCCCTCGACAAATCCTCCTGTACTTCCGCAGAGTTTCAGACTTCACTAACCAATCACGGACATCACGAGAATTATTGTGTCTCCTTATTTAACAATGACCCCCTCGAAAACCACAAGCCAGGCGCGGTGAGAAAACTTTATATTATTTCATTTTTTGAGAGCGATGGAGAACAAGATAAATAGGGAACTGAAGACGCTTACAGTTCTTCGTGGTTCTTTAGGGGAGAAAAGTACTTTTATCCAAGTTGATACCAACGAAGGTTTTTCTTCAGTTTTCGATTTCAATATAAAATTTAACACTGTCTTTATCAACGTACTTCAGTTTTCGAAATTAAATCGAGGGCAAACTCTTTTCACATCGGGGTCTTTCCTAGTATGGTTTTATAAAACATCAATTCGAACGTTTCTTGCAATTGACTGGATGAATTAGCATCAAATATTTAATCCCGGAGAATATAATTAAAATTAATTGGATTTTGGGTGAAAATTATCTTTGCCCCATGAAATATCATTTATACAAAATGCCTCTTGATTGTTTTGACGTAAACCACATCTACGCAGTCTTGACCCTTTTCTGTTCGTGTTTTGACTGAATTTCAAAAAGGAGGGCCAAATTTGTCCATGAATTGATAAAGTCGTATCTTTGAAGTTGTTTTGCAGGAAGGGAAACTCTACCCTTGTCACTGAAAGAATAAATTTTTGATTGGACAGTTTTGATTTTCTTTTGAATATTTAATAACGATTTTTCCACTTCTTTCCACACTCGTCTTTCGCACAGGTTATTTCTTTGAACGAAAGAAAAAAGGATTTTACGGGTTTTCCTCGATGTTGATATCAATAATAACAGTGCCACATACTTTTTTGGATCGCAGCTACATACAAATTAAATGTAGAAAAACGACCGGTTACTTCAGACAAGAACATGCACTTGAATTGTGTTGAATTTTTTCAACACAAATCCAAGATATACATTTTCATATCTTTATATCGTCATATCGTCAATACTTAACGAATTCACACAGAAAAAAAGGAAAATTTGATAAAAATCTTTTCTTGTCGTTCCTTATCTTCAAGGTTTGATCGCGGTTTAGGTAAATTATTTCAGAATTAACCAATTTTCGTCATCCATCGTTTTGGGAGGCAGTGGTTCTTATGGTTTCCCGCGGTTTGTCTGATTACAACAGAAAGTGCGTAGTGCGAGTACGAGGGATTACGCGCCAATACACTTTCGCCATGAAATTGTTTTTTTCTTCATTTTGTCGCTAAATTACACATTGATTGTTTTCTATGCAAGATTTTTATCCAATGTAAGTCATAGGTTAAAAAAAAATGAAAGAAGGTCTCACGGCGTCTTGAATATATATTATTCGATAAAGCAAAATAACTGTTTCGAAAATTTTTGTCACATCGAGTAACGTTTTTTTCCCAATTTTCCCATCGGGTAAAACTCATACGATTTAAAAGTCTGTTTGTACTTGCTTTCTTCACATGTTTTGTTTTGACTAGAGTTTGGTTTCAAAAAAATTGAGGTCGATCTCGAAAAAGGAAATTCATAAGTAGCTTAATAGCATCGAATAGACATTTTTAATTCCATATGAATCTAATTCTTGTAAAATTGGTTTTACATTTGCATACTTACCTTTACTCGACTAGTTTTCAATTAAATAAGCGAATTTCGCTCCGATTCAAAAGCTCTTTTTTTTTTTTTTCGTTAACTTCTAACATGATTGTTTGTTACGACTGTTACAAATAAAATATAGGAGTCTCCCTGCGTTACTTATGCTTCTCAAACTTAGCTTTTAAACAGTTTCCTCATTATAATCCAACAGGTTCATTCGGGAAGACTTCTGAAATAATCTCGAATATTCAACAACAAAAATCAAATCAAGATCGATGACCATGAAAAATTTAAGGATATTTACGTCTTTGTCTTTGGAACTTAAGCTTTCTGGTGATAATCCACAAAACTTTTATGTTCATGCGTCCTTGCAGTTCAAAATCAAGGATGTCTGCAAAAAAATCCAAATTTCTTCAATAAAGAGTGGTAGTGATTACTGAAGCGTGAAGCGGTAAACAAAGAGAAACGAGCTGTAAAGTTACGTAATTATCTATTCAGTTGATTCACCAGATGCGCCATCTTTCGTGGGTTCTTTCTCTGCTAAAGAGGGCTGAGGATCAGCTACAAGTAATACTTCATTATGACGGCCAAACAGCCGGAAAGGTGGATCATGGCCGGCTGCAATATACATATTCTTCACATAACCCTTGCCGTCTCTCTCCAAGGCCTCTGTGAGTTTCTTCTCGTTTTCTCGCCAATCCTTGTCTTTCGCGAAACCACTAAAACTCGAGGCGTACATAACACAGCCGTCAACTTTCTCATGGAACACCGTTTTATCCTTAGGTACTGGAGGTGTGGCTTGGAACTCGGCTGGGGTGTAAAAAGACATAGTGAAGGCCTTGCATTTTCCTTCGTTGTCGAGTTCGACTTGGGAATGAACAGGCACAGTCATGGCCATTTTCTTTTCCCCTTCGTTCTCTCCCCTGATGTAGTTGAAGAGTCTCCAGAATCCGGTACTTGAGCAATTTTCTAGATTTCCGTCTTCAAATCTTGTCTTGACCCAGTGGGAGTCTTCATACAAGCGAACTTCGTAACCATCTTTGTATTCGAGAACCTTGTAGCGCGGGCCTTCGGAACCTCGGTAGCTTTCGGGAATGTGGAATTCGCTTGTGTCTACCTTGGGTTTCTCTCCGCCTTTCAACCAATTCAACATGGCTGCTTGAGTATTTGGGGCGACGAGAGATGATACGAACTTAATCGGCGAGAGATCACAGCGAGTGACCGTACGTACAAGCGTGAGTTTGCCCAATGGCCGATTGCGTTACACGGGTTACTGGTCTCCGTGACCGTATGACGTGACTGTTCCCTGGTCTACGTGTAGCCGTACCCTCCCCCCGCAAGGTGAAACAGAGGCGAGGGAATAATAGTCACTTCATATGGTCACGGTGACCAGTAACGCGTGTTCCCTCGCTTCTTTTTCACTTGGGGGGCGAGTACGGCTACACGTAGGCTCACTGTTCCCTCACCTACAACCTGCCATCAAGCGTTCTCTTTCTCGAGGGGGGAGGGGAAGGTGACAGGAGGAAACCCTCCAAGCTTCATCTTGAAGGACGGAAAAGGTTTTTTTAAACATTGGTTTAAATTTGAGGTCATCCTTTGGAAACCATGACTTTTAAATTTTTCAACACTAACTTTTTAACCTTAGATCGTCCTATCATCGGTCAGACGTGAGCTAGAGGAGTGAAGCGGCCACTCTGAAAGTGAGCAGAGCCCAAAATCATTATGACGACCACGGAAGAGACAAAAAGAAATGCTGCAAACGAAAATAGACAAAATACCATTTTCCTCCCATCTACCACCAAATTCCCTTGCCACGCTGCGCTCCGCGTTTGCGTTTTTTGTTAATGATTCAGGTGCGATCCGGTCCCGTTAATGAGACAAATGGAACATTTCATTGTCCTTTCCTATCTCTTTACTTGTGATTACCTTATCTCTTCTTGTCCTTAAGGCATCCTATTGGGCGGAGTATTCCTTAAGAATAGGGAAACGATGAGTCAAGTGCGGCCTGCTTCACGCTTCTCCAGACTCTCATTCTGAGGAGAAAAACGAAAAACTGGGCGCACAAAATATGGCGTGCGTACTTAAATTCGCTCGCTGGCCATTTTTTGCGCTTTTTCGCTTGTCTCGACCAGCTAATCATTACTTAAAACTTAGCAGAGGCTAAGTCAGGCATTGACCAACTAACACTTACTAAAACTACCGTACTCTGCTGCCGTTACTCGAGAGCCCTTTACAATAATAGCCTCGCTCCCAGAGCTGCTGAAACGAAGCATTATGGCAAGCGGCGCGGTGATGGCAGCGCAGCGATAAAAGGAGGGAGACTTTGGCCAGGTCAAACAAAAGAGAGAGGCATGGGTCGGGTCGTATGGAAATAGGATTTCATGAATGGCCCAAAATACTGACTCGCTGGGTGGAGCATGGTTTTATCTTCATTAACAAGTTTTAATCGTAAGTAATTTTTGCGTGATTTTTGTCAAAGACTAATAATGTAAGTAGAGGTAAGGAAGTTATCCTCCCAGGTAGGCTGCAATCAAAGAAATTACTGAAAAGAGGCGTTAAAAAATTCAGACCGACGGGATTTGAGCCCGTGCAGCAGTGCATCACGGGCACCACTACCAAAACTATTTACGATAATAAAGAAGCTTTTATAAAACGCGGTAAGTTGTGACTAAAACCGCCTTACCACTACTTTCAATTCTGAAAAGTAACAGCAACAACTTCCTTTTTTTTTTTATTCTTTTGAGGGGGTTCCCACAGGAAACGAACTAAATGTTACTTGGGTTCAAATTCAAATGATTCCAGATGTTATTGTTTGCGTAAATTCAGTTAAATGAGAGTGTTGACTACTTTTTCGCTTTTATCTAGGATGGCCTTTTTTCCTCTTCATGTTCACATATTTTATTTCAGTTTTCGCACGAAAGGCAGATTTACGCTTGAGGACATTCGTTGCAAAATTATTCTCAGTTCTATCTTGTGTCGAAAGACGCCAGAATTCTCATTCTTTAGCTGTACATCATAAGGGTCTCTTTCAAAACGCAGATATAGGATATTTTTGTAAAGCATGGTGCAATTAAACTACAATCAGATGTTATCGATTTGATTCTTTGCATCGAGTTTAAAGAGCTCTTGTTATTTCACACAAAACAAAAAAAGCAAATTCTTGGAGAGAGTTCAGAATCGCGCAGCGTTGATTGAAGTCGCTGAGAACAAACGGAAAAAATAAAACACGCAATCAAAACGCCCAAGAGGCAAAGCGTTTTCTTATCAGTCATTTCCAGCTCATGCAAGCTTGGAACTTTCTAGTATTCAACTGTAGTTATTTTTTTTTTTTTTTTTTTTTTTTTCGCGTCTGAGAGTTGTGTATTGATCAGCATGAAACCTCATGCTGAAAGTCGGATATGGAATTTGATGTTAAGTGCTTCCTCAATCCTAAGACCATTTGACTCTAGAGTGGTCAAGAGTTATTCGCACTATTTATTATTGTCATCTTGTTTTGAAAGAGTGCGACTGACACAGCTCACCATCTCTCTTTATAACATAAAAGATAAAATAAGATAAAATCTTGTAACTATATTTCCGAGCTCAGATTTTGTAGGAGCCGCGCAAAATTCATCCCACGTCATTCATCACCAAGCGAGTAAATATTTTTTCAATAGACACCTGGAGATATGATTATTTGATGTATGTTGTGAAAGGATTAATTGGTTGCTGATGGCCGTTTATACGGCATGATGAGAAATCGGAAATGTTTACTTGGCAATAAACCACTTGCAAACAGATAAGCACCATTATACCTAGACAAGTTCGTTTTATTTTGCAGCCTACGGGTGAGAAATAACCAATGAAAAACCAATTGAGTAAAAATTGTGATTTTCCTACCATGTTCGTGACAAATTTTCTTAACCTGCTGGCACAAAGATATGTAATATAAGTTTCGGAAACAATGGAACGTTACCAGGCCGGTTTCATTATTTTACAGGGTTCGGGAACGATCTCTCTGGAACAACAGGATATCAAACTTGCTAATCTCAATTTCGCAATAAACATTCACTTAGTTTTATTTAATTTGTAGAACAATGAAAACATATTTTTTTACAAGTTTGTTCTCACGCCGTTTATTTTTCGGTGTCATTGGTCCTGTAATTTCCAAATGCTAATTAAGTTTACACGCCGTAAACGCTGCCAAATGTCACAACATGCCTATCTCTGACCTTCAACCTTAAGTCCTTTTGACGTAATTGGCTCCAACATCTACATATATAAGGCTCCACTTTGTGAATTGGGTGTAGAATATCTAGCTTAAAGCGAGACAGTATTCACGTCCACATCGAAAGGGTCAACAAGTTGTCAAATCCAGAGGAAAGAGAGTCTATGGCTTGTCTTAAAGAAATCGCTACGTTTTTGTTTCTTGGGTTCTTGCTGGATTTCTCAAGAGCAAGATATAATGATAAACGTAGGTATAATTACAATTGAAAACAACCACACACCACGTTTCTCTATAAAAAAAACAACTTCCTCTGGTTACAAAGATTTCCTGGTACAACATGGCCACATCCGTTCTTCAATTAGTTGTAATACTTGTGTCATAATCAGTGAAGAAAAAATGTTTAAATTGCTACATCAAATCTCAATTTCAGAGCTCACAGCGTTCGGCACAGACCAAAACATCGATAGAACTCAAGAGTCGTTGATACTCAATTCATGGATGGAATCAGAGAGAGTGACTTTTGGAAGGTCGAAACGTCAAATTAAATCAAAGAAGAGGACCTTGAGATATCGTTTGCCATACTTCCCTCTGTATCCAATAGACCTACCAGGTAATTGTTCATCTATTACCCAGTTATACTTGTTTAAAGGAAGCAGTTCGTGTTAAGTTTTGACAGTGGCGTGAATTGTCAGAAGTTAGTCGTTAAGTTGCAAACGATATACTCATCTGTTCCACTAAGGCATACATCTTATCTTGGCTTCATTAGCGATGACGATTTGCAGACACTCTTAGTCAGCGTAAAGAAAAAGGAATTAACTCTCTCCTAACACTTTGGTATTTTTATTTATTTGCACGGAGTTTTATGGCGAGATTCAAGCTGTTTAGCATGCTCCAAGTGATTTTTTTGTACAAAATAATCTGTCCAACCTCTCCAACCTCTCTGCCGCACGTTCTATTTAGAGATCAAAGAAAATTGCCGCCATACCTTCTCGAAGTTTCTCGGTTCAAATGTTTCTTACAATTTAGCCTTTTTTCGTCATTTAGTAAAGCGAAATCTATAAATCTCATATTTTAATGATTCTTTAACTGATATGTCAAAATTTTTCTGGTTGTTTAGATTTTCATTGATTTGTTTCGTTAAAAATCATTTATCTTATGAAAAGTTGTAAAATTTTCTCTAAATGATATTATGGTTATCATAACGACAACAAAGTTAAATTACACTCGGTGATATGAATGTAGTCACATGGTAATAAACCCATTATGAAAAGTTAAAGTGATAAATCTTCCCTTCTTTAAATTTGTCAACTGACTTCAAAGGATGAAAACTATAAAACTTTGTCGAAGCAAGTCCGGAAACACTAAACCAACAAATGCTTATTGAAAGATTAGCCTGGGTCACACTTTTACCCCAAATGGAATTACGCAGGTTTTTAAAACAAACCGTCGAATCTCCTCTAATCTTACAATAATGTGAGAATTACGAGAATTTGGATCAGATCAAATGAAACTCGACAACGTCGTATTAAAACTGACATAGAATACCAGAACAAGTGTGTGTGTGTGTGTGTGTGTGTGTGAGAAATTTAATAATGTGATACGTGAGTGTGGCGAGTTTTTGTAATAAATCTTTTCTTTCTTTATTCCTGTTTTCGTTTCGAAAAAGAGAATATCGATGATAGAATTTCATTCCTGAGCTGCTTTTTCAGCCTATCGCAGAGAAACGAACGCTTCAAAACAATGTTTTAAATGTACTGAGAGGAGAGACTTTTCTCCCGATGTTCTTTCCTTACCCAGCAGACTAAACATACCGAAACTCGAACTCATTAAGAGTTGGCCTGATCAGTATTCATCAAAAAAGTATTAGATGTATCAAAACCCTGAAAGAATTCCAAGACAATTAAATAAGTACGAAAAAGTGACTGATATCAGTAAGAATGCGCAGAGAGCATTCTATTAATTAACACGGCGCTGTCAACATATCTAATCCTATGCCTACTGCGGATTTCTCACCAGTGAAAGTGTGAAGACACAACAGTGATGTTATAACACACGCCAGGAGTAAAGTTAACTTAAGGTTGTATAGCTGATATGCTCTGCTGTGCGGCTCAATTCATGTCTCCATTCCAAACATTTTTAAACAGCACTTATGAATCAGATCAACAACAACATCTGGTTCGTCTCCGCTGATCACTAACCTGTAAAATTCTTCCGGTCCCTCTTGAGTACAAAAATACCAAACATCTTATTTTTCAAGAAAGATGTTTTTTCGTCTTGTCACGAGCGTGGAACAAAGAAAAATTCTGAGTTCTCATGAGGAATCGAACCTCAGACCTTCGGATTTGCGCTCCGATGCTCTACCACTGAGTCACAAAGACTCTTCGGTGAGCGGGGTCTATTACGAAGTTCTAATGACACGCGTCCTGTCAAAAACATTACGCTATCGACATTGCTGATCCTAGCAGTATGCAGGACGCGTGTAATTCTTTTAAGATGCTTGAGTTATTGTGCTACGTACCCATACAAACGCCTACAATTCACTGGAATATGGGATGTCGCTGAGCTTATTTTAAGCTCAAAACAACAACATTAACAACTTTAAAAACAACAACTAGATTTGAAGCTGTCAACTGGTACATACTGCTAACGTGCGCTGGCTAAAAAATGCAACGACATATTCACTTTCCTCTTTGTCAACCGATCTGTATTTAAAAATTCTTCAGATCCGTATGTAACATGCATGATTTGAAGTCAATCTTTTTATTAAAAAATCATTTTTCTCTTTTATCTGCCATAAGCGCAGCTCTCGAGGGCGTGAGTAGTTTTCCAGACGTACCACCTCCAGTGCGTAAATCAGAGTTATTGAGGCGTTTTAAGTAACCTCGCTAATCAATCCTATTTAGTCTGTCTCGATCGCGAACCTTTGCGTCATTTATACTTTAATGGTTCAAATATTGCCTGTTGAACTGGTTCCAAGCTGTTTTTGTTGTTTTTTTTTATCAGCTTTCTTAACTTGCTTGTTCCTGTTTTCATTTTAAATATTTATGGAAAGACAGGAAACTGTTCTGACGAATTAGCTCAAAAGCTGCCTGCCTGCCAGGTCATGTAGGCAATAGGTTCCATTGAAATCCGCAGAATTCTGAAAAAGGCATTTATATTCTGAAAACGCAATGAAAGTTATGCGTCCTTAAAAAACGGAAAATGTGTTTCGTCCTCACAAACAGTGATCATCAGCAGCGGAGACGCTCGATAGCATCTTTATACATGCGCATAATATGCACCTCATCATCCCACCGAAAAAACGCTAAACGTAGATGACGTTAGTAGTTGGACGAGTGAATTTTTGACTAGGGTTTAAGTTCTCAAATTCCTCTTCTGCTTTTTCGATGGACAGCTGACCCATAGGAACGTGGAGGGTAAAGCTAACCGTTCTGCTGTCGTTTTGCTAATTGAGTTTTGCTGTAAAATGTGTGACGGCGTTACTTTCATTTTTTTTTGCTTCACATTGTAGAGTGTAAAGACAAGGAGCGTGAAGCAAAGAGTGGAATGTGTAAATCCTGGGCAAAGTCTGATTTCTGTAAAAAAGCAAAGTCCGTGATGGAAACATACTGCCCGAAGGAATGCGGATTTTGCAGTAAGTTGCTGTTTACTCTCCAGAATATAATAATTCTTGCTCCACTCGTCACTCTTTTGGTTCCCCGTCTATTACTCGTGAGGGGGGAGGGGGATACAATAAGTCGGGTGGTATAAAATTTGTCGGGTGGTCGAAATTAAACTGAGGCTCCTTATACGTGACGGATTTACTGCGCGTAAAATAAAACAAAATGTCTTCAACACTCGGAGCAAACGTATTAAAAAGTGATGTTCTGATGTACTATATGCGAGTTGGACTGCATAGCTGGCAACAGCCGTGAGTTAGATGAAGTGAATCCTGTCTTGTGATTGGCTACTGGTGGGCTTGCCTTGATTGTGCTCGTAAAATACTGAAAAGTTGCTAAACATTTGTCAAAAATCCACATAGTTTCTACCTGAATATCAAAAGATGCTACCTAAATTTCTGGATAGGAAGTTACGTTATTACAACTTATTAATTTAAAGACTAGCACACGCCGTTACAGTTGGCATTCTCATTGCCCAGCGCTCGAAACAAACCTGTCATCTTGGTCCTTATTTTAAAAGCGTAAGATAAATCCATTATATATTGACCAAGCTTGATTAATCAAGGATACCGGATATTAACCTGATTCTTTTTTATTTGCGGTTTTGTGGATCTCGACTCGTCTTGGTCCATGAAAATAGAGAAAAAAAGAACTCAACCAATATCCAACCATCTCGACCTCGCGCTTATTCAGTATCACATGTATATGTAATCAGATTATAGCATGAACAAAAAGCACTCCTGCTAGAAATAAACCTAAGGGCTGAATAAATTAAAGTGGTAGACGTAACACTGTACAACGAGACATTTCCTATTGTGTTTTGCCAAGTTATGTTTAATATCGAAAGTAAAACTGATGATCTTATCTCATCTGTCACGCCACTTTGTTAATTTTTTACTCATATTCCGGGAAAAAGAGGATGTTTTGTAATTGTCGGGAGTTCGAGAAACAGAAGGAACTTAAATAATTCATGGACGGCATTCTAGCGACGACATCGGTTGCTTAAGCACTTACAAGAGAGCGTTTGGAGAGAGGAGAAGAAAATTTACAACAAGTTTACAGTCATGGCTGAAATTGTTGAAGAATTTGAGAGAAAAGCGAGATTTAAAGATGAAATTGAAGCTGATTTAATCCGAGAGAAGCTCGAAACACTGGTGATCAGCATCCTGACGAAAGTCGAGCAGAGAGACGAGCGGTTTGAGAGCACTCTTATCCAGAGCGGAAGTGTTTACGAAGGAGCTAAAGTTCGCCAGCCAGATGAATTCGACTTTATGGTGAAACTTAAATCTCTCGCGAACAAGCCATCCTTTCATCAGTGCGAAAAGAGTGAAGGTTACGTTAAGCTCGCTCTGGAAGAAAACAAATGGAGGGAATTTCGAGACGAAGAGGGCTTCTTCAGTCCAAACATGGTCTGTCGCCATTTTAAGAAACTCGTGAACGAATGTTTAAGCGAGGCAGAAGTACCAAAGGAACTTCAGATCCAGCGAGCTAGTCAAGAATTGTTGGGCGGGTCGTGGGGACCGGTGTTTTCTGACATACTTGGTAGCAGTGGCGCCGAAGACAGTGCATCTGGAGTGATGTACTCTGAAACTCACGGCCCAGCCACAACACTTTACATCGATTGGCAAGGCGGAGAGACTTACAAAGGCCTCACCGTTAGTGTCGACCTGACCCTTACAATAGAGTACCCTTCATCCAGCCTCCCTGTTCAGTTGAGGAGCATCCCGCAAGAAGCAGAAGCGATCTTTCATGAGTGCGGATTTCACGTGGTACCTGCTGCCTTTGATATGTGGCGTATATCGTTTTCCACGGCCGAGCGAAGGATGCTCACCTCTGCTCCAGATGGCTTTAAAACATGTTACCGAGTTCTGAAAACTCTGCGTGATGACATCTCAGAGAAACTACAGCTAGAATCCTCCCTGTTGCCGTCATATATGTTTAAAACAGTCCTTTTGTCAGAGCTCTTTTTCAAGCCGACCCATTTGTGGGAAAAGGAAATTCTGTCACAAAGAATCACTCACGTCTTAGAAATTATTTTGCAAGAGGTGAAACGGGGAGAAATTCAGAACTTCCTTATACTAAGATGCAATCTGCTGGCTGAGGGTGGTTATGAAAGCAAGCTGCGTCTTTGCATTTTGAGCGAAATGCTGAATCGTGTGAAAGGCTTAGAAATGACCCGCACTTTTAAAGAAGTTCAAGAAACAAAAAGGTGTGTCCGGCTTTTAGAGATGATTGATATAGTGGAGTACGTGTTTTCCAGCGCCCTGGCTGGAAAAGATCTAGGCGCTCTCTGGAATAAGATGTTTGTTAACATTGGAAACGTGCCTGGGTCGCGCCGATTTGGCTGGTTTTGGAATCAGTTTACCGATCTGAACACTACAGAGCTCGATGAAGATGCCTATGCGAATCTGATCGAAATATGGCACTTAGTGGAAGATGCCTTTAGGGAGTTACTGGGAACCCTCTCAGGAGAACTAAACTTGTTAGTTCAGAAGTTCTACATCAGGACCTGTGAAAAGAAAAGGAAATTCGAGATTGAGCATGCTCACCATGGCCTGTCCGCTGGACATAAACCACAACAGATTTCTCTCCACCAAATTTCCCAAGAGATGGTAGACGATCTGGCTGAATCCTACATCGATGAGAATAATTCATCCTGGGCAAACCTACATAAAGCAATTCCTGCCGACAGCAAGAATAAAGTGGAGGTTTTACGTAACGTAAGAGATAAAACAGAGGAAGAAGGGAGCGAGAAAGGTTTTGATGCCTTTAAACAAACCTTGAAGAGGTATTTGTGTATGTTCCCCGAGAGTGTCTTGATGTCCGTCATCGTTGGCTTCACTGGACAACTTTTTTTACATGCGAAAGAAACACTGACACTTAAACTTGAATACATCAAGATCCCAGAGTTGGATTTAGACTGAAATTTTATTAACTGTCAGAAGATCGGTGATCATCTAACCATGATGCAGTGAGGGAACTTGCACAAAATCAATATCATTAACTTTTCACTAATTTGACAAACTACGTTTTGGTTAGTACGAACAAGTCGATTCAGTTGAGCTCAAACGGACGTTATTTCAGATAAGAATTTGTGTTAAATTGTTACCCTCCTCTCTTAAAATTGCTACTTTACAAGGAATAAAGGAAATGTTCCACTAGACATAGATTGACATACTTTCAGAGGTTCTTTTATTCTGAATGGCCTTAGTAAATATGAATAAAGGTTTCAGCCGTCCTTGCTTAGCCAGAGTTCCCTTGTAATTTTTTGCTCATTGTTACCGAGTGCTGGTTTTGGTTGGGAACCACGCCTTATCAACACTTTCCTGGGGTGAACGCCCAGTTCCAGGGACAACCAAAAAATCTGGGCAGATGATGAGCACTCAAGCTACCCTTTCTTCCCATCCTCGTATTCTACGCAAAAACTTTGGCGACAAAAGAGCGAATTGCGGCAGAAGTGGGTAGGGCTGAAAGGGTTGAAACACTGAGCAAAATCACTTGCTCTGATAAGTTGCTTTCAGCAAATGTCCTGTTCTTCGAAAAGGGTCTCAGTGTCTCTCACACTGTTGTAGACCTGTAACTCCCACAAGGGATTGACATGTAATTTCTTCTAACAATATCTAACCATTTCTCAGCGCATTGACTATGAGAATAAACAAGTTATTAGCTTCAGGGTGTCATTGATACATGACATCAAATTCTCTGACCAAACCAATTTACGAGGCAGTGTATAGCAGCTAGAGGAAAGAATTATGAACTACAGCTTAGGGCTTGAGCTAACATTCTCAACAACTTTGTCAGGCTCTTTCTCAGGGTCAGGCCATAAAGAGTAGGATAATGTTCTATCACACAACATTCCCTTTCCTTCTTAGTCAATTGTGTCAGGGATCATAGAAAATTAATTTCCCCACAGCGTTTTAAGTGAAGGTTAAACACCCTTCCCCAATGTTGACGTGAGGGAGTTGGAATAACTGTACAGGAGAAGTGATTGGGAACAAGGCAGCAAGAGCTTGGTTTTCGAGTTGTTGACAAAGATATGTCTAATTGTATTTTCAAAATCCCATTCTCATCTGCAGAACAATTCAGTCCTCCGGGATGTCAATCGAGGAAACATGGCTGTTGTTGGAATAATTTACGTGCCAGAGGGCCAAATGGACAAGGATGTCCAGGTAAGTGACACCTTGGCAACCTCAAAATCAGTTTTCCACACTGTCTACCATACATTTCCTATACAGTCCAACTGTCAAAGTTCAGCCTTTGTTTAACAAAACCACATTCTAAGCCATCTCCAATTTAGCCGAACTTTTCATCCGAGCATTTAGTTTTGTGAACAGTGTCAAGAGGGCCAAAAGCCAAAAGTGGAAGGACATATATTTAATTAAATTAACCCTCTCAGAGAGAATCCCTGAGGCCCACTGCTTGCATCTAACCAGACCTCGTTTAATAACCAGTCCTCAGTGTTTGATGATAAATAAAACAATGTCCCCTAGTTGATCTGTTTCTTTATTCTCATTACCTTTCTACTCCAAATTGTGTTAAAATTGGGAGGAGAAATTATTCTTTTGTTATTCCTGGGAGTAAAAAGGTTAAAAATAAATAAAGAAATAAAAACCAATAGATTACTTTTCAATTTAACTCACATTTAATGACAATCAGCATATGCAACATTTTTCAGTAAAGCAATGGTATTCAGTGCAACAGCTCTCAATCCTTGATGAATGTGGAATGTTTCACGAGACTCCCCTCCTCAACTCTACTCACAATATGCTTATTTCTTGATTATCTTAGTCTGTCAGGACTCTTATAGACGCTTGTGCAAACTTTTTGGCCACCTATGCTCCCAAAAGGGAACAAGTGGAAAGTTTGTTCGATATCACTGCTTCCAAACATGTGGATGGTGTGACAAGTAGGTCATTTATGTCAATCAATCTTGTACTTGTGTCGTGTTACACCTGCCTGTCTGCCCACCTGAATTGTTCAAAAACAAATAATAAATTATTGTGAGTTGTTGGAGGCAACCTACTGGATAACTTAGAAAAGAAGTTGGGTTAAAGTTTGCATCATAGAAGGATTGTTTCTCGCTAACATCAGCATTGTGTGAGTGCTTCTCCTCAGGCCATTTCAAATAATACAGTAAACACCCTTATGAGCCTTCTACACTTGCCCTCCTCCCTCTAAAGCCTTCCAATCATCTCCTTGTCCCCCCCTCCCTCCTCGTCTCACCATATGGAGTCACCAATAATAATTGCAGATTGCAACAATTCAATTTTGGTTCTGCTGTTCTTCATCATTTGATGCTATAGTGCTTAACTGCTATACAAAAAAAAATTGTCTAGCAGCATGGCAGTCAAAACATAGTGAGCCAAAGTGTTATTAATAACTCTATATCACAATAAAACAAATTATTTCATCTAAGACTTGTACTAAAGCTTATTTACATCTGTAGGGTTGCTCAGCTCAGAGCTGAAGAGTCAACTGGTGCTGTGTAGTCTAAGGAAGTTCTCTGTTGCAACCAACTATTAACAGTCTCTTGGTATGAAACCTTTGAAGTACTGCAGACACAGACATGCTGAAAGAATCATCCATTATGAGGACTTGTGCACACTTAATCAAAGACATGTTAGCCACCCACAATGATTCTCAATATCATTGTGTATGTTTAGAGAAAAGGCTCACACAGCACAAAAGTGATTTCAAAGAAAAACACTTGCACAAAAATTTTGTATTCCACAAGTTAGCTACACATGGTGAAGGTTGTGAGAAATCTCAGTTTGTAGCATTTTGGTGTTTATATCAATCTGTATCTACAATTATAATTAAGGGAATTTGTGCAATAAAAGGCATATATTGCTTTTGGGGCCCACTTCCATTTTTCTGCAGCATCAAGCAAAATTTAGCCCTACTGACTTGTTTGCCAAGAAAAAGTCATTGTCATTTGTCTGGGCTGACTCAATCCTTGTTTTTGAGAAACATGTATGCAAACTGTTTTATACATTGGGGTATAATCATTTATTGGTGCCACTATCTTAGTCTTGAATGGCCATTTTAAGTCTTTCAGGCACAGTTTTAATGAAGTCATATGTGTATGTAAAGAAAACACTCTTTGAAAATGTAAGGCAAATGTTATTCCTACAGACAATAGTTTTTCAAGGATGTATAATAAAACAGTAATTGCATTCAGTATTCCCAAGATACTTCTGTCACTAACACAAATCATAACCTTAATAATTTTTGTTATCATGTTTTACTCTTTAACTCTCCCAAGATCTGATTGTTAATTCTCCCCTCTAGCTTATAAATTAGTTCAGAGAAGTTGGTGTTGAATCAAGATATCAACTTCTACCTGACAAGTTTGAGTATTCTTGTTACCTGCTTGCTGGAAAAGGTACAGATATTACTGGGAGAATTTACATCTTAAACACTTCTGAGAGTTAAAGATGAACATCACTCAATACTCTCCTCAATAATCATTACTAACACAGACCCAAGCCCTAACAGCTCCTTTTATATTGAATTATCTGTTCAGAAATAATAATAAATTAAGTTCTGTTTACCAGAATATGTCTTATTAGTCTAAGGCAGTGTACACATATATTTATAGAAAAAGTCACTGAATAATTTTATGCCCACTTTTTTTCTACCAAGAGTGTTTTCTGAATCAATTAGATTTTTTAATGAACCTCTTTCATTACAGCAGGCTTAATAAATATCCTTCATGTAAATTAGCCTTACCAGCCCTATCAACCTGAGTAAAACCACAAGAATGCTAGCTAAAAAGCCAGGCTGAGAAGACCTATTTGCATGTGTCTAATAATAAGATAATCATTCCTACTGCAACAAAAGATGTCTCTTTGTCCTACAACAGCCCAAGAAGCATTGAGGGTCATAAATCAATATTAGGAAGAAATATTTTTTAGGGAACCAAAGGACAGTACATTTTTGCTTAACTCTAAGAAAGTCATACTGTAATATATAGCCAATTGAATCAACATATACCATCTGAGTGGCACAGCAGAATATTTGGAATAAAGTAAAACTTAACGAATGGTATCTTTGTGATATTAAAATTCTGATATTTCCTTTCCCATGTAATTTAAAATTTGCTGTTAGCACTTCAAGGTGTTTAAGAATTCCCCTTTCTAAATTACTTACAAATAGGTCCTGAATAAACCACAACAGACAGTAGTTTCACAAAAACAGAGTTCTCACAATCAAGATGGCTACCCCCAAAAAGACTTGATGATCTGATAAGGTGACAAAGGCAAAATGGAAATTTGATTTTTACCTCAATCACAACCACAACTGCCAGTTTCTTGTTTCCCTTGCAATTTCCTAGCAAAGAAAGTTAATTTTGTTATCACAGGATAAAAATAGACTAACATTTCTGTTGTTTAGTTTAATCAAGGATTAAGCTGTAGGTGTTGATCTCACATGAAAAATATTCTCCCTTTGGGCTGATACCCAATTTCCTTCGTCTCCAATCCCTCCTTCTGCATTATCAGAGTAAGGTTTAAAATGAGGTTTTTGGCGTATTTTGAAATCAACCTTGATTTTAAAGGCAACTCATGGAGTTAACCTTGAATTCAAGGTTGACTTGAAATAAACCTTAAGTTCTTGCACATTTTGAAGTCAACCTTGATTTCAAAAGAAGGTTGCAGGTAAAGATTTTTGGTCAGGGAAGACATATCCCTTGTACAGTGAAGAAAGGGGTACAAAAAAAGCAAAGGTTGAATCCATCACTCACAAAAGAAATAAAAACTGCTCTTGATCCAAAGCATGAAGAGTTGATTGCTAAGAAGGATAACAATATCATGGAGTTGCAGAGGTCCATACAGGCGGAAAAATGGAAATCAGTTTGACAGGCGGAAAGATGGAAATCAGTTTGACTTCTTCGTGGCAGATAATACGGAAGATTTGACGTAAGCTGGGATGGTGAGACTGAATCAGTTGATTGAGGCATTCAATTATTGTATTCTCAATGTATAAGTCAAAGTCAGATCATCAATTTTGGGTTCATTAGGAAGTGCTGAGGAAGCCCAGCATGAGTCCTTCATTCTAGTTGAAGATGCAATCAGAAAGCCAGACATTTCAAAGAGTGTTCAGAGGTTTTTCAGCTCACCATTGATGAAGCAAAAGTCAGGCTTGATCTTGCAGTCTCACCAGGCACTTGGTTCATGCCCTCAATTACTCTTCTGAACACTCGGAGTACTGTTGGGTATAATAACACCTGAAGAAGGCAAGTTCTGACATAAAGCTCATAGTCAACAAATCAGTGAATTTGGAGATGAAATCAGTCGGAGGAAGGCACATGAATGGGGGCTCATCAAAAAATAACAGACCAACCTCTCACCAGTCAAATCCAATTAATCAGACTTCAACTGAAGTTCATGTGAAGACAAAATCATCAAATAAAGATAAAACACAAAGCTCAAGCAAGAGAGACTAATTATGGTAAAGGTCAGTTTGATTTCTGCAGGTCTGGTCTTGGCCTTCTTGATTCATCATTTTTTATTCTGAAATCACTCAACCATGAATATTGCAACCCCCAGGATCAGAAGCCACGCATTTTGACTGAGGAAGCTGATAACTGATTCAGCAGCTCTGGATATGAAGCCAATGATCAACTCATTAGACTGGGTAGAATTGCAGCAAATTTACCTCCAAGAGTCTTAAAACCATCTCAAACTCCCTTGGCAACAGACTTAAGGCCTTTTCCAACTACCAAGACAACAGCTGAAATTGTGAGACCATATTTCTTGAATATGTTTCTCACTTTCTCTTGGAGGGATAAGAGTAGGTAGCAATGAAATTTACCTACTTTCTTATAAATACTTGTAAATACTCGTGAGTTTGTTTAGCTGTTGCACCATCTTCTAAACAGGTACTGTCAGAAAAAATAGATTTGATTGACCTTTAGGCAAACGACAACAAGAAGATCGTTCAAGATGATAATATTCACATGTTCACTCATGGACACTTCAGAACTCATGAGTGAGACATTGTGAAAAATCTGAAGAGGGTGTGAAATTTTTCAAAGGACACAATTCCCTGAATAATTTAACTTGTCTTTGAAATAAAGGTTGACTTCAATTTGCAAGAACTGAACTTTGAAATCAAGGTTGATTTCAAGGTTAGCTTCATGAGTTGCCTTTGAAAATTTCAAAATGCACCAGAAACCCCATTTTATAACTACTTTCAGCCTTAGGACACTAAGGAAATTGAGAATTTATAAAGGCAAATTTTTTTTGTAAGATTAAACTCTACTCACAACATAAACAGTGAATTCTGTGGTTGAATGAAAGTAAATACTGATTCAGCCCATAGGAACAAATTCTGAAGTGAGAGGGCTTGAAACTCACCTTTATTTTGGTGAATCAGGTTGGGTCAGAGGCCCTCTCTTTTTTGGTAGGGTGGGGTTGGGAGGAGTTCTGAGGGTATCTCCCTCTAGGGGAATTGTTAAAACCTGCAAGCTCTTTTACCACTTGGGATAGTTTTACACACTCTCGAGGGTTGAGATAGCATATCAGAGAGCAATCTAGAAATGATGGACATCACACACTACCAGAAAAAATTGAACAAACATTTAAGCTTACACACTATTACGACATTGATGAAAAATAGCATTTTTGTCTCTAAGTAATACACTCAATGTTGTCATTAATTGTCTTTAATACATTTTCTCCCAGAGAGTGAAGCCATGCCCTCTCCTCCCCTCTGCTTTTGTAGCCCCACTTTAACAGCAAGTAAACTGAACTGAACTGGACTGGACTGGATTCAAACACGCCAATTTTTAAGTTGTAATAATTTGAATTTCTTTGAAAGGAAGAACCATACAAAACCCGAAAAATCAAATACCGAGATCTACGCAAGGGAACGAAGTGACCCATCCCCAGTACTATACATACAACAAAATCAACATTATATTGCTCCGACTAGAGCACCGATTTTTTTCTGTCTTAAATGTTAAAAAGCGATTTTTTAAAATTCCTACCATTGTTTGCGAGCATTGAGAGATGCATGAAAAACCTTCTTACGCAAACAGTGCAATATCGACTCTTTTTCTTGCTCCGCTGACGTTTAAATTAAGTAAATGAAATAAGTTACCTTTTATTTTCGGAACATGAGCGTTGAAATGCCTCCCATTCTTTTGTGCATTTAGATCTGTCACCGTTATTTCTATCCAAGCATTCTTTCAATGCTTTATGATCACAAGATGGCGTTACGGTCCTGAAATTTTCTGTATCAGCGTCCGCCATGTTGGGTTCAAATAACCAGAACACACTGCGAAATTAGCCGGCTGCTCATGCGCATTTTAGTCGCTTTGCATCATGGGTTGGCCGTTTTTACGAAGTGCTTGAAATAGAGCGGTGTTTGAGTTCAAAATTGATAGACTGTGAAGGAGAAATAGCCGATTCTGTGGTATTTTATGCGGTCGAAGAGCCGCTTGTGAAGGTGACGAGGATAATTCAAGGCGAATCTAAGACAAGGTTGGTCTTCATCAGAGTAAAAGCTTTGTAAATACGAAAACTGACGTAATTCTTGATGGCTAGCCAGCGCGTAGTTAGCTCAGAGCATGGGTGGGTTTAGCTTGCCTCTGTTAAAATATGCGTAATATTATGACTGTGTGGCAATCTGACATTCACCTAGCTTTTTTGTTCAAGGCATAACCCTTTTGAATTTCAACAGTGTTTCCTCTAACGCCCGACAAGTCTTGTTTCTAAAGCGAAAACGATCTTTCAACCAAGGCCCTTAGAAAGTTGAGTTTCACACTGATCATGTTAGGTGACTTTGTTCAATGATCTACTTTTATCAAACGATATTACGATATCCTAACCGGTACAATTGAACCGGTTTTCTCTCTTGTGGTAGGTTCCTTTAGATAAAGACTTGCACCTTTTGTTGATTTCTTGTTTTCTTTATGGCCCCTCAGAATAGCAGAGGTTGTGGCTGTGAGCGTTACTCGAACAATTGTGATGGTTATAGTGTACAGATCACCGCGAAAGGAATGTTTTCACAGCAATCCAAGGTCGTAGTTGCTTGATTTAGATGAAAGTTGATTGAGGAAATTAGAAAAAATTCTGAGCCATGGTGTTGACTCCCAGACAGAAAGAAGAACTGTAAGTGATTGTATATTTCTCTATTATTACGAATTGATTGACCTGTAGTTTCTAGATCGTGTGTACGATCGGAGGTGTACACGATTTTTCTCTGTACAATTTTTGATATGAAGTTTTTGCGGCGAGCAAGAACGGGCAAGATCTAACTTTTTGTCGACAGCTATCATGTCGAATACGTTTATTGCAAATTAACCTGGTAAATTTTGTAAGCGGTCAGGATCATTGCGGATTAGGGCATTGTACTTAATTATAAACAGGCAGGCAAGAGTGATTCTCTCAAGCTCCCGTTGAAACAAAGTAACCTCTCCTTATGGACAGCCCTAGCAGGTAATTTTTCTTAAAAATTTATTCCTTTTCTTCTACAGTCATAAAGCCATAGCAGATTATCTATACCAATGTGGCTTTGAAGATGCCTTGAATGCTTTCAAAAAAGATGCCAGCATGGTGAGAGACTTGCATTAACCTTGTTTTAGATGCACTTAGTTTTTGTCATATGTGTTCTTTTGTGGTGTCATATTACCTCGATATTTAAACAAAAATTTACACAAACCCTCCATTTATCGTGACATTCATAGATTTAATTGTTATTACAACCATTACAACCTCTAAACTCATTTTAGATGTGTGTGAACATACACTTGTTCAAAGTTCATTCTTCGCCATCAGCTCTAAACATTTGCACCTGTGATGTTGTGTCAAAAAGTAATTGATACAGCCCTAGTGGCTGTAATCTAATGGCACATATTTTAAGTGATGCCATAAAATTGGCATTGTTTAATTTCTTTTAATGTCACTGTTTGCATTTGTCCTTTCACTTAATGTGCTTGAATATTTCAATTAATTTTTTAGTCTATAACTGTTATATGGACTCTGGGGGGGTTCTTCTTGTAACTGTGAAATAAACAAAGAGAAGTATGTTAAAGGAATTTCAATAACCATAATTATTAATAATTAACTTTAGATCATATTGATGAAGTTATTTATTTGCATTGAAGTGTTTGGTTTAGTCTATTGTTGTTCAAGTTTGAAATAAATTGCTATGGATTTGGAATTTAGATTTGGCTAAGATTGTTTAAGTGGTGTATGCATGTGGCATTTGAACAAGTTCTCTACATTTAATTCTTTGTGTGTATGAAGTCAATCACTTCAGAATATTTTATTTTGATCATTGGTATTGTAACCACTCCAATAAACTTGTTGAAAGGGTAAGTAACCCTTGAAGAGGGCAGGGAGGAAACCTCACTATTTCTGGGTTTTGTTCTACCTGTTAGCCAGTGAAGTTATTGATTGATTTGATTGACCACTTCATACAATTTAAATCTTACTCAATTTTACAATGCCTGTAATAACTATGACAGACCAGAAATAAGAAACTCAAGCTCAGTTTTCACAGTAGAACATCTGATCAAATTCTGAAAATAACAGATGTAAATACAATTCTCTTTCATGTGAGCCAAAATGCATGGTTTAGTTAAAGAAAACGATTCATATTTTTTGTAATTATTTAGAAGATTTGTTTGTAGCAATATTCATTGTGATTTTCCTCACCTCCAGCCTGGTGAACTGGACAAAAAGTATAGTGGCTTGCTGGAAAAGAAATGGACATCGGTAATTCGTCTACAAAAGAAGGTTAGATGCTATCTTTAAGCAGGTATAAGTGATATTCATGCCTGGAGACCATTGTGGATGTTGTCTTTAATATCATGTTTTAATTTTTTCCATACTTGTGATAGTTTCCTTTTGCCCTGGTACAAGACACTTTTTGTTAGTAGACTATGTTGACCTTGAGTCAATGTAATGCATCTAAATATTTTCTTAAGTTCCATTGTCAGAGGGTAGTTGTCTTGGGTAGTTGTCTAGGGTAGTTTTAATCTAAATGTTAGTTGCCTTGGCAAGTTTTGAAATTACCCATATGCTACTATTGCTCTAGTCGTCTTATTTACTTACTTAATGTTTTACATCAGAGTTTTTATTCAGAGTACATGTGCAAGCCCAGATGATTACTATATGACCTTAGCTGAATCATTTATAATATTATCATGTAGTCCAAATATTCCATATATTGATTAACCATGTTAATTACAAATCATTAATAGTGTAGTGCCATTTTCATTTGAATATGGAAAATCCTTTTGTTAGATTTGAATTTACTCAGATGAAGAATTAGTGGAATTAATTAGAATCTTTGGATTAATTCCAATCTGATTAATTTGTTTTCAGGTAATGGACTTAGAATCCAGGCTATCAGAGGCAGAAAAAGAAGCAAGCACAGGTACACATTGTAGGGGTTGTTGCAACGTGTGCAACATCTTCATCTGAGGATGTCCCATATTTTCCAGCCACTTACAACAGGAGAACTAATTCTTTTGTCTTGAGCTGTCCTTTTGAGTGCTGGAATGGAAAACCCTGGCTGAAATTGTTGTTTCTTTTGCATTGGTAACAATTTTAAATATTGATCAACCAAATAGACAACGTACGGATCAAGGCAACAATGACCATTACTCTTTGTATAGTGACTTGACTAGAACTTGTAATTACCTGTAGTGCAGTACCTTTGTGTTGGCAAGGTAAGCAGTGCTAAGAAGGGTTAGCATTACTTCCAAATTTCAACATCTATTATGTACCAGAAACAAAAAGTAATTAATAAAAGAGAATGATTTTGGAGGGACAACACTCATAGAGATGTGGTCAATTTGTTTGCTTAGGTTCTACATTAAAGAAAACGCGTTCCCCTGAGGATTGGATGCCAAGACCACCAGAACGGTATGCATAGAAGTATTTCAATGTGTAATCTTAAAACAGCTTTGTGCTGTTCCAAGCATGACCATAATCCCTCTGAAGAGGTCATGTTTGACTTTGGTAATCCTTAAAAAACATCTTGATTTGTTTACTGATTTTATTTCAAACTGTGGCCTTTGAGTCACCCATTTTCTTGGTAATCACTTCTGTCTTTCTGGGCTGTTCATCTGTAAAGAGTGTAAAACTTTGACATAAATCTTGAGGAAATGAAGAAGTTTACCTTAAAATTACTGTAAAGTGCTTGTTGGCTTGTTGAAGATGATCGTCTGCTGAAATTTTTTTTCTTTTGTTTTACCCTTGTAGATATGCATTAACTGGCCACAGAAGCCCAGTTACAAGAGTGTTATTTCATCCAGTATATAGGTGAGATTTGTGAACTTTTACTTTGACTTCATGGGTGATAAACTTATTAAAGAAAGATGTTATTAATTTGTCATGAATTTGGGACAAAGAGATGATGTTGTGTTCACCACAACAAACTGAACCCCAAACCTTTGGATTACATGATGTTATGTTTACTGCTGAGCTACAGATAGCTTGTTAGTCTATATCCATCGAAAAAGTAGTAAAAAATTAGCATTTAGATAAGAAAACAACACCTGTTTTATTGAACTTACTTTTGCATTTCTTTTAGTGTCATGGTAACAGCATCAGAAGATGCAACAGTCAAAGTCTGGGACTATGAGACTGGAGATTTTGAACGAACCCTTAAGGGCCATACAGATGCAGTACAAGATCTCTCATTTGATCATACTGGGAAAGTTTTAGGTAAGATTTGATTGGACTATAAAAGGATTCTAGATGAAAGCAAATTTAGGAAAAAATGGTAAGAAAGAGAGGACGTTTTTTTTTTTGATAGATTATAAACCAGATGTTTCTCTCAGGCAGATGTTTTTAAAATAAAATTTCCTTTGTATTTTTACTCCAGCATCATGTTCAGCAGACATGTCTGTCAAACTATGGGATTTCCATGAATTTGAGTGTATCAAAACAATGACAGGTGGGTGATGTGTTTGTCATGTCATGTTTAGCTTCATAAGCTAAATTGTAATTCATTGGGGTACAAGCTTGCAAACAACAATGAGTCCAGCATTTTCTGTCAGTGTGTTTTTAAAGTTATTTATTCTGATTAGTAGACACATTGGAGCACTGTTTCATTAGTGTTTTTTTTCCGCCTGAAGGATTTAGCTTCAAATTATGTTGTGAGGGATAAAAAGTTTCATTTCTGGAACAGCTTATGTGTCTATTTGAGCTTTTGTTTGGGCTTTTGTTGAAGTAGTTTGTTCCCTTTTTTAATTTTTTTAAAATTAATTAATTTTTTTTACAAATAACACAAATACTTGCTAATCAGTGGGTGTTCATTATTTCAAATCTCCTTAAAAGTTTTCTTTTATTTTCTTTTTCAGGACATGACCATAATGTTTCTTCAGTGACGTTTTTGCCGTCAGGAGATTATTTGGTGTCATCATCCAGAGACAAAACTATAAAAATGTGGGAAGTAGCCACTGGGTGAGTTCAAGTTAAAAAGGCGAATTACACTAGTGGCAAGTTTGTGGATAAGATTAGCAACTATACAGACACTCAAAGTATTTTAAAATTGGGTGGGAAAAGGTAGATAAAGGCAAATGCATCAAAAGTAACTGCTTGCCAAAGTTCAGATGACTTTTTACCAGGAAAAAAGAAAAAAAAGCATATGAAACCTTTTTTTCCCCAAATAGCCAGTGGAACATATCACATACATGTAATTGGTAATTACGTATATGATGTACAGGGTTGGAGATATCAAATTCTTTCAGGGATGGTAGAGGGTAATCAAGTTCCTAATTGGGATTTCAGGCATTTAATCCAAAGCAAAGCAACACGAGATGACCTGATCTCTTGTTTCTTGTATTACAGGTATTGTGTGAAGACATTTCAAGGGCACAGAGAGTGGGTCAGAAAAGTTCGTGTTAGCCCAGATGGTAAGTTGTGTAATCATTCCAATGTCTTCTGTATACACAATGGGTACATGTTATTGTCATGGCCAAAATTTTGTTGTTATTTGATATCTTTAAACCGGTTTGGTTTTTTTGTCAAATATGCAAAAGTAACTGAAAACAATGGAATATAAGAGAAGACAAATGTTAAAAAATCCAAACCATATCATTTTAATGGACAGTTTGATTTTGTCAGAGATGTTTTAAAACTTACTGGTTTAAAACCTTTCAAAGTTCTTTCCGTGGTACCAATTAAATCAAGAAAAAATGTTTTAAAAGGTGTCGGGGGGGGTGGGAGGAGAATTCAGGAAAACTAAGAGATGTGTCAGAGGACTCTATCTATTTAGTTTAATTTCCAGTGTTGTAATTAAAATACAATGAGTAGCTTGTTTTTATTGTTCTGCAGGTGTGTTGATAGCAAGTTGTTCAAATGACCAGGTAGGCAAGTAGATTAGATTATTGAATGTTTCATTTAGAGCAGCCTTACATGGAGTTACTTTTATCTGCTGTCTTAGATTTAAATGCAGTCAATTGAAACAAAATCTCATGAAAGGAAGTGTTTGCTCTACAGACAATCCGTGTGTGGATTGTGGCCTCTAAGGAATGTAAATGTGATCTGCGTGACCATGAACATGTAGTGGAGGATGTTGCATGGGCTCCAGAATCAGCCCACCCACATATTGCAGAAGCTGCAGGATTGGAGGTACATTAGATATTTCTAAATAGCTGTGGAGGAAGGATCAATTTTGTCTCCAGTCCTTATGTGCTTAGTATCTGTGATCATTTAAATGAAAAAACAAAATAATATTGTTCTTATTAATGGAAAGGTGAATATGTTTCAATCTCTTTCTTTTGTGGAGTGTAGAAAAATTCTGTCGCTATCACAGTCATTAGAAAATCTTTAAGAGGCCAAAATATTATCACCTAGTGTAATGGCAAGATACTTTCATACTTTTGAATTTTTTGAGCTTAAGTATTTGTCATGGTGATGGCTTCTGTTATTATCTTGGCTTACTCTGATGTAGGGTGGAAAACGAGGAGGAGCTGCAGGTCCATATTTAGTGTCAGCATCTCGAGATAAGACAATCAGACTGTGGGATTGTGGTACTGGAATGTGTCTAATGACTTTGGTTAGTTAGCTATGCAACAGTTTCTTTGGCCAGTATTTTGGTTTGATCAAAGGCTGATTTACATTGAAAATGGAGTCAGAGCAAAACATTAGAGGCACTGACATATATGACACTAATTGTGCTAATGGCTCTTAAGTTTATGATCTTATGAACATTGGTTGTCACAAACATGATTTTTCTTCGTCCATTTTTATTTTGATTAGGTTGAAAGTACTTTCTCAACTCTGATTACAACTCTCAGTCTGACTTTGTAAAATCAGCCTCTTGTGGCAGAAAATTTATTTATGATTGATGAACTGTATTGTAGACCACAGAATAGCTTAGTAGGTGTTCATATAAATCTGACAAATAATTTTACACATTTGCTCTGATAGGTTGGCCATGATAATTGGGTGAGAGGTGTTCTGTTTCATCCTGGAGGCAAATATATAGTTAGCTGTTCAGATGACAAAACTCTTAGAATATGGGACTACAAAAATAAAAGATGTGCAAAAACGTTAATGGCTCATGAACATTTTGCAACAACTTTAGGTAAGTTTCTCAATATGTTATCACCATTTGGCAATGCTGTTTTCTTTTGCTCTTTCCCCCTTGTTAGGCCACTGAAGAACTTGTCTTGAACATTGTTCACTTAACTCTTAACTCTTAAAAGTGATCAAGACAGGATTTCTCCTGACAATAACTATTAAATATCAAGAAATTAAGTGATGAGAATAACAAAAAATGTCAATCAGGAATTGTTAGTTGATCCAAGACCAAATTCTCTGAACTACCATCATATGCATTGTATGGCAGACTGAGAGAAGAATTACTATTGTGATCTTAAGAGCAAAAGAGTCGAGTAGCCAGTCCTTTTCTTCATCAGCTTGTGGCATAAAATTTTGAGAAATAACTGTCAATCTTCATAATGTAATTTTCTCTTTTTATATGTGTTTAAGATTTCCACAGGTCAACTCCGTTTGTAATAACTGGAAGTGTTGACATGACAATCAAAGTGTGGGAATGTCGTTGACAGTTGTGGATGGAAAGCAAGCTCATAAACTTATCTCTAATTAGTACCCAAGTGGAAAATTGATATTTTAATTCAAGAAAACTTGCAGGACTTAGTGTATGAGGAGCAAGAGACTCAAACTACCCAAGAGAAGTGCTCTGATTCTCAATTAGTGTTTCTCGAAAGAGATTAGAAAACTGTACTGGGCTTGATCTCACAGAAGAACAAGTCTCGTATACAGAAAGAAACTTATCAATATTATATTTTGTATTTGGAGAAGTTTTAAAAAATTGCTTCTGTGAATTCATTGCTGGTTGTGGAGAATTCAGTTCGTTGCAGCGTCATTGGGCAGAAGTTGGTGTTTGATGATAGTCCTGATTTAGTTTTGTGGTATTTATGATGGTTCTTAACCAGCCGTGATGTCACTCTGTTAGTAAAATGTAAGTTTTGTTGCCTCTATGATAAAAATCTCTTGTGTGTTGTACATCATAGCAGAATTTAATCAATATGGACATTATGGGGCAGAAGGAAAGCTTCCAAAAACTAGCCCACAGTGACTATTCTAGCATATTTTCAAGGTTGGTACAAAAGACCAGAGGAATCTGCTCAAGAACTGTTGCCTGTTGTATCTGTTTTGGGGCTTTTTGTATTATCTCTAGGGGTACTGTAGGAAATAAGGCAAGCCCTGAGCTTCAAATGAAAAAAAGGTATTTTATGTAGTATTGATATCATTCTGGGTTAGGTGTAAAATTTACAGAAATGAAACTCGAAAGATCTCTCAACAGAGCCCTGAATCTTGTTAGGTGTGTTCACCGTTAGTGCAGTGGTTTGTACTTTTTTCCAAGGGTTATTTTGTTTGGTAACAGCCCAAGTTCATTTTGAACAGGTCAGCCTCAGCTTGCTTCCTTTCACATCATTTAATTTTTTTTTTTGAAGAGTAATGTTGGCTTTTGCTTACACAAATAACAACCTCTGGCAATTAAGCCCTCAGTGGTATTGTCTGATTGTCTTGCTCTCAGGGACTTTTTCCACAAACATGAGACAGAAAGAACAAAGTAGCTTGGGTCCAAGGCACTGCAGGGGATCCTTTTAATGTGACGACAATAAAACAGTTTCATTAATTACATTGATCAAGAATTTCTTGGGCTGATTTCTTTAACATATCCGCCTCTTTCTACCTCCAGAAAATATTTTGTTTGTTTTTCTAGAGGTTGAAAGACAGGTAGTGTTTATTTGAAATTCTCTAATATCGACCTTGAATTATCTGTAAGATCTTATTAAAGAGATGTGAATACCGTTTTATGTTTCATTGCTGGTACTATTTGATTTATTTGAAAATACGTAACTTTGAACTTTGTAGTGGTTTTTGTCTGTGGTTCACTAGTAATGGTCAAGGATTAGTAACGTGCCTACGATTAAGAGATTGGCGATCAATTATTCTCATCCAAGAGGATCGTTTTTAACATCAATTGACACAGTAATACACAAATTTTTCGTTTTATGGTTGGTCTCCCTGCGACGCTGCTCCTATTTGGTATGCGACTTGACTTTCTCACGGTGTTCAATTATCAAATCAGCTCACTGCGCCAGGATCATGCAAAACTTTTCAGGAATCTCGAGGGAGGCGGGGGCTTCTTGCGGGGAATTTCTAAGGGATCTTGCCGGGAGAGGAGAAGTGAACGTCGGGTTCTCTCCACAATATTTCCCAATGGACACTAGCTAAGATGGAGACAATTTTCTTTTAGAACCAGTAACGGTTCAAGAATTCTGTAATGCGTTTTATTCCTGTTTTCTTACGGGAAAGAGATTTACGAATAGCCATGCTCTTCTAGAATTGTTTCCTAACTATTACACTAGTGTTGTTTGTCAGTCATCGACCTCATTGCGATTCTACTTCAATCTGACTTTCTACTTTGTTTTAGACCGGGTTACAATCGTCGGGTCAGGCATTTCTTATCAATAGGGAAAAATAAATAGAATAAACTACACCCTTTATAATTACGTACTTATTAATTATAATACCGTGCACTAAATCGTTAATTTACAATTTTTTCTTGGTATTCATCTACCCTTTACCCCCAAATATTAATGTTCACGTTTTCCATACTGTTCACAATACATTTCCCTTTGGTAAAGAACTTTTTAAACAATCGAGAGCTTCTGTAGTTGGTGATCATTCCCTCTATTGTCATGACCCTAATCGTTGACTCACCGGTGAAACTGTAATTAGGTGCGGGTTTAACGTCTAGACAAACAGCTGTCGAGTTATGGATACTAATCTGACTCCCGAATTTATTTTTCTCTGCATATTCTTTCAGCAAACAACCTTTTTCTGTCTAAACCCGCATCGCACACTTTCCTTATTACAAGTACTTTCCATTTTTGTTAGTCAGCGGTGTGGATTTGGGGCTCAAATTCACCATAGTAACTTACAGGTTGCAATAACAAGAAGCGGGAACTTCAGTAGAGTGATCTATCAGCTATATATTTCATGTTTACCTGACTTTCTGGTCTTCTCAAAGCAAATATTTTCTGTGCAGAAAAGTGAATAATGGAAGAAGATTTAGAACAAAGGTCTGGGGCTCAATCGCGTGTAGCAAGCGCAACTTCGTCGCATGTAGATGGCGAAGGAGATGTAGTCGTGGAGGAGGTGAAAGCCACTCCGACATCTTTGGTGAGTTTTGCTACGATCTATGTGTATTTCATCTATAAAAAACGCACTTAATTCATAATCATGTTGCTGAATAAGTATTTTATTCTCTCTCGTAGAATATGTGTTGGTCGTTTGGTGTAAACAGGCATGTCCCAGTTCAGAATTTATCGAATGGAAGTCGAAAGGTACAAATGACAAAATTGTGTTTTAGTTGGTTTTGGTTGATTTTATCTTAAATTTACAGCGAAATTTCAAACTCTGCGACAAATCTATAACGTAAACTTAACTTACGTACCATGACACGAAATGAACCAACGTCTGTCTGTCCTACCTACAACACCAACTTATCTTGATGCACAGACCGAACACATATTTTCCTTTTTTTCAGGTGGCGTTCTATGTTTGTTCTCATGTTGGAATGATGTTTGACTGGGAAGCAAACAAACAACAACTTCTACAAGGCCATGTAAGATGTAGTCCTAAAATTTTTCAATTCTTCCTTTGGGAAAATGTTTAGTCGTTATAGGAGATTTTTCCCACAGATCAACTTGTACAGTTATGCTAACACCTTGTTACTCCCTCCCCTCCTCCCCTTAGGAATTTTTCAAGCATTTACGGTAAATTAACACGCTTGTTACTATGATTCTTTCTTTAGTGTAATGCTATTGCCTGTACATGTGTCAGTGAGGACAGGCGATGGGTTGCAACCGCAGACTGTGGTAAAGACAGTATGGTTATTATCTGGGACTCATTCACAACGTAAGAAAGTATCTGTTACATGTAGCATAAATTTGATAAAAAGTATGAAAGTGGCATAAATGTGCAGGGAATGCAGATATACAAGACATTTTTTTATTTCCTTAATTTTCTACTTTTTCATATTTTTCACTATTTTTAGGTGGACAAAACATGCACATAGCTACATTTTCTTATTGTGCTTTTGCTTACCAAGTTCCATTTAATGATATTAATTCTGCCCATCATCAAAATTAAAAAAACATACAATCATGACATTCTGTTTTCATTTTTATTATCCATCCCAAAAGTCCCCCATAATTACTGGAAAAAGCCTTAGTTAGCAATCAAATACAACCCTGCATGTACAAGAGATTTGTAAACATAACTGTAATTCTATTACTCTAAGTATCGATTTTTTGTAGCTCATCACAATCAAGTGGGGGGTATGGTTTGATGTGTATTTCTTGTGTTGCAGTATTCCAGTACAGACAATATTTGAAGCTCATCCCAATGGCTGTGCAGCCATTGCCATGTCTCCAGATGCTAAATATATTGCCACAATAAGCAGTACCCTACCACAGGTAATAAGTAAACCTACTTGTCCAAAATGGATAACCAAGCGCAACTTTGGTAAAATTTCTGCACAGCCCCCTCAACTATTGTAAAACAAAGTCTTAGCATCAAAGGCAGTCTACTATTGTTGCCATTGTTTTCTTTATCCAAGAACTGTATATGTAACGAAGTATATAACAGCTGTATTAATGGTTAATAATAATCCTTCATAGTAGTATGAAGGATACTTACCACATATGTGCCTAGTATGTGGCCTAAATTACCAAAAAGTTCTCTGTAGTTTAGTGGTATGGCAGCAAATAGGGAAATTCTGAGCTCTGAAGTTCAAATATTTGTGCATGATCCTTGGTAGTTTTCATTCATCCACTCACAGAACAAACTATTAATAATATTTTTTCATTGAGAAGAGCAAATTTATGAACATTTCCCTTAATGTGCTTTTCTGATGGGAAATAAATATTTGAGTTCAGTTATTTTCCAATTTTTCAAAGTTGAAGGGAAGTAGTAGCAGCAGCTAATCTGAGATCCTGTGTGATCCAAGAGACAGAAATATTTTCAATCTAAAAATATACACTTTGGGAAAAGTATTTAGAGTTAAAAATAGGGTGGGTATCAGTTTTTACTGTAATAAATGAATTATCAAGTTATCTTGGACAGTTTAATCATGACTTATCTGAATAAACTTTTTTATTCATTTGGTTGTTTATCAGACTGTATCTGTGTGGGATTGGACAGTTAATGGTGACATGCCGATGTGTTCTGTAGTGCTTGGTGATGACTTTGGAAAACAGGTAGAAATGTTAGCTTGCCAACAGCATTAAAGATGTTACTAAGTAACTTTGAATAGTTGGGAGAAATTGATAATATGGTCTGTGGCCTGCTTTTGGTACAAAATGAATGTGTCATGGACCCCCTCTTTTCTTTGCTTGTCTTTACCTTCTCTTCGTTGCTCAAGCCATTTGACTTACTTGTATTTTTGAAGATTATTTAGTTTGGTTGTGCAACAAAATGTACTTCTTCTTTTCTCAGGACAAATTTACAGTTTGGTTAAAATATTTGTTATTTTCACAGAATTACATCACATTTAACCCAGAGGATACAAGTGAACTTGTCAGTAACAGTGAATCTCAAGTTATTTTTTATCAGTGGGTAAGTCAACAGAGAAAATACTGCTCTAAGAAGTAACTTAACAGCTCACTCCATGGCAGATATCAGACTGAGTGTGATTTGCTTAAGGGTGAATGTTTAGAATGACTCCTTGTGACATCTGAACTTGTCCAGGGGTTAACCATTGGTGATTATCAAAATAGATTGTTTTTATGCTTTGAGAGGTATATAAAAATATTAATCACTTACATGTTGCCTTTTCTACCCGACCTTTGGAATCCAGAGCTCTTAATTTTCTCCTAAGAGATTCTTGAATGAATTAGATTTTGTGTTGTATGGTATATTATTTTGCCAAATACTAAACATTCTTCTGATCATTAAATTTTCAGAATGAGAAGGCTTTAGAGTTTGTTGCTCCACCCCTCACAGACAAGGTAATACTTATGGTCTTTGTTTATATCTTGAGAGCTTTTTTTCGGACACAATGTGTCAAATAATATCACCAAAAAAATTACTTTAATCAATCATTAATTACTTTACTGTAAGAGAAAAAAACCAAAGTTACAAATCTGATTAGGTGACATTGCAATTTAAGTGAACCACCAAAAACAATGGATTTTACAGTCAACATGCATTGTTGGAGATATCTTGCTGTTAGATCAAATCATTCTCGCTTGATTCCTGGAATATGAGCTGATGACTGGGTCTGAGTTAGTTTCCAGTGATCAGGGCAGTATTCTATTCTAGTGACAACAGAATTTAACCCTGGAATACCCCAGGCACCCATGTTTTATCTGAGCACAGTAGTGGGTTGATTACATGTTTTTGGTTTTTAATCTATTATACATGCGACAGACTGAGATAGACTCCACAGAGGGTGTGATATCTTATCCCTCCTCACAATATCACCCCTGAATCATTCATTTAGGTGACAAGAATCAAGGAAATGATCACCAACTGGAGGAGCTCTTGATTGTTACACAAATTCTCATTGTTAGCACATTAGGAAATATCTAAATAATAGTATGGGGAATATGCGTCCTGATGTTAGGTAAAAAAGGGTTAAACTTGAATTAAAAAATAATTTATTTACTCTTTGTAGGATTTCAACCGGAGTGTTGGGCTCTACAGCCAGTCAATTTTTCAGCTCCAGTCCCCCAGAGCACTCACAGCCACAAGTTGTGGAAACATAGTGGTTTGGGAACATACTGGAGGGGACTTAAAATGTAACAGAAAAGCATTCAAGATTGTGAAATTGCAAGAGAAAGCTCTTACAGTACTCACAACTACTAACAGGTAACTAAGTGTTATCAAAAGGCACAGGCCTGGGTTGTTCAAAAATTCAATAGCACAGTACATTTTGCAATCAGTTATCAGCTGAATGGTGATTTATCAGTTGGATAGTGTCATCTACCCTTTATGTAACTGGGTCCAGATCATTAAAAGTTGAAGTCCTCTGATGCACATGTCCTACTGCAAAGTTTTGAATCTAGACCTAGTCAGGAACCTTCATTTACAAAAAGGAGTAAGCAGTTCTTGGACAGCTAACATCTTATTATAAACATCTCTGTTTTTAGTGAACATAAATTAAAAGTTAAATTCATTTTTTAGGTTCATTGTGACAGGAGATGTGGCAGGTCATGTGAGATTTCTTGATCAACAGCTCAGGCTCACTAATTGGTATTAAAATCATTCTTTTTAATTTCATTCAAATTTATTATGTAAATTACACTGCAGTAAATTCCAATGCTTACTATAAAAATGTTAACTTCTAAAAATACTACTGATTCACTGTACTACTGAAAATTTACTTCAACATTAATTTAGCATACTCTCAAAAATGTAACTTGCACAGATGTTTTTTTTTAATTTGCTATAGCTTAGGGCCAAATATCTTCCTGTACATTCAGACCCAACTCAGTCAATTAGCACTTAACCATATGACTGCTTCAGGGCATAATTACTCAATTACATGTTTTTATTTATAGTCACCACAATTTGATATTTGTATCATAATGTATATAATTATCATCATTATCCTTTGATAATGATCATCACAATAAGTATCGTCAGGCATGATCATCAATGTTGTTGTTATCTTGATCAATTCATTATTGGAAATAATTTTATCCACCTCAACAGGTATAAGCACTTCAATGCTGGTCCTATCAATGCAGTATCATTTTCTTACTCACCAAAGACAGTTGATGGACAGTAAGTGTCAAATGGAACTAATAATCATTATCATATGTGATTGTTCACTAAAACCATCTAATGGCTTGAAACTTTCCAAAGTTTGCAAAAGTTATCTATATACACAGAAATCTCTCCAGTAATGATCCTATGACTTGAATATTTAATTTTGTTCTTCCTCTCAAAACTGATTATTCTAAATGAAGTAATCTCATTTATACATGATGTCCTCTCTTTGGTAATGGACACAAGATGTTGTGAATTCTTCAATTCTTTCTACCATTAAATTCAATGAAACGATATTGATATGGAGACACCTAAGCTCTTTTATAGTTAATTTTATAAACTCTTCATCTGAGCATTGTTTCTAGAATTGTCTTTTTAACTCCAAACTCATACATATCATGAATATTTATATTTTTTTTTTTCAAAATTGGATGATTCTGAAATTATTTTTTCAAAGGTTTTTTGAAACCTCATTAAAATTCGAGATCATGTGATGTAAAATTTTTATCAAGCTACCGACAAGTATATGTGACATTCTGAAAGTTCAAAAGGAAAAGTGACAGCTTTTAACTTTGTGATGTCACTTTTCATATCTTAATCTTTGTGATTTTTAAATTTGTTGTAGAACTCCCCCAGTTCAACCAAACTATCCTTCCAGTTCTACTTTGGATGCTGAACCATTTGTAGTAAATGATTTCTTAATTAGCACATCCACTGCCAACATTGCTCATTTTGCCACTGATGGGAGTGAACTTCAGGTACAGTGTCATATATGAACTTTATAATGGGCCTTGCTCACCAGAGAGTCTCTGTGGCTCAGTGGTAGAGCATCGAAGCACAGAATCCAAAGGTCTGAGGTTCGATTCCTCATGGGGACTCAGAATTTTTTCTTTGTCCGAGGCTAGTGATAAGACGAAAAACATCTTTCTCTAGTTTCTTCTTCATTGATTACTAGCCTGTATTCCATTTGACTCTAACATCCACAAATATATTTGTAACAGAAGCAGTGTGTCTCTTGTCCCCTTAATTCTCAGGTATCTCTTGCATTTTGAGATCAAATCACTTGTTAGATAAGTTGCTTTAAATATTTTCCTCTTGTCAATTCTAGTTTGTCCGCAGGGAGCATGATAGTGACACTCATGGCATAGCATGCCACCCATCTGAGTAAGTTATTGGACTTTCATGTATTACTTGTCATATTTACACTAACATCAATGGTGTACTCTTATGTTAAGAATTTAATTTCACAAGGCCACTTGCATATGTATCATGAAAATCCTTTAATCTTTAGTTCTGAACAATGTAATACTTTGTTGTATAAGAAACAGAATCAGGAAGTGGTGACTGGTCATTGAAAGTATAAAAACTACTGTCAGCACTATCTATCCTAACCATTTTAACATGACAACAACATACTTTATAAAACTTTCATCATAGGTGATCATTTCTTTGAAATGAAGGTTCTTAATAGGCAGTTCAAACAATCTTAGTTCTCCACAGTGGCTGGTTTAGATCTTCAATACTGTGCTATGACCCTTTTAATTGGTTAACAACAATGGGAAACTTCCTTCATAAACTTCTACTGCAGAGTTATGATTTATTTGTGGTTTTCTTTCTTAGAGACAAGCAATATGAACATGTTTGATTTTTCAGACCAAGGCTGTGTATTGGGAGTTACTCAGGTCTACTTCAGCTTTGGGATTATGAAAAGAAGTAAGTTTGTCAATATCTTATCTTGAAAGTAATAATTATATTCCTAAAATATAAGAAAACATCTTTTCCTAGAAGCACTGTGAAATGATTTAAGTATTTATGTAAGTATTTTTTAAAATTACATTGTAGTGATGTATCTGGATATTTTTTTATTGAACAGAGAACTGCTGGCAAGTCGAGTTTTTGATCAACGTCAACTGATGATCCAATGCATGACCTTTAACCCTTCAGGAGATCTTTTAGGTTTGTGTAATTAGCAAGATTTAAATGTATATTTGGAATGATTTGAGTGCTCTTTTTGAGGCCCTTTCACGTCCTGGTTGTATTTGAATCAATATTTATTACAATTAATGCCAATGAATTAACTCTGATTAGTATATACCATGTACAAGTGAAGTAAAGTGCTTTTGGTGCTGGTTGATTGGCTAGTTTGTAGGTGATTTAAACTAGTACTTTCACCTCTGATTTATTTAAGAGACAAAATTGCATGTGAAGAGTTAACTTTCTCACCATTTTTGTTGTAATGAACTAATTTTCTGGTTACTAAAGCAATAATTCACTTGAGTGTTGGTTGAAGTGATGGATATTTGCCTTGCTGCTTCATGGCTTGGTAAACACTTGTATCCACTGCTATTCACCTCCACTTTGGTGAGTGATTATTAACTAAATAAATATGAATTTCCATTGCTACCAAACTGATTGTACAAATAGAGAAGAAGTCTGGAAATGATGATATTCTTTTATTTATTGTAGCTATTGGATTTACTAATGGTAGTGTGCGTATCTTGGATGGATTGCTGCTGAAGGAAGAAGGGCATGGTGATGGCCTTGCTGTTTTCAATCACTGCCATGATTGTGTCACTAATATCAAATTCTCTCATGATTCCAACTATTTGGCCACATGTGTAAGTATTTACAACAAAATATCAGGTGTTACAATTAAAAAGAAGAAAGAAAGTTCAATGTTTTGACTGAAATGTCTTTGACCTTTAACCACACAAGTTTTTTATTATTAATACTATTTTCTTCAATGAAATAGTAAAGAGGGTCTGGCGATTCATTATCAGGTGTTAGTACAATTTTATGAAAGGTTTTCTAACTCATTTGGTAAAGGTTGCAACTCTGTCACAGATGTAGGAAATAATTGCCCAACCCCTATGAATGAATGGGTGAACCTACTTCTTAAAAAGTTGCCATTATCCAACTTGTGTTCATAGTCCTGATTTTGTCTTTAAAAGGATTTAGACCGCTGTGTAACAGTTTTCAAAGCACAGAAGGACAACTCAGACCAACCATGGGTTTATGTTGGTAAACAGAGAGCTCACTATAAAACAATACAAGGTGAGTGAATGTTGGTTTGCTTTCTTTAGGACTCAAGGAGACAAAGGGTACCATCAGCCTCCATTGTTCAACGCTTTAATTTGACAATTCAGAGCAGTTGCTTTTCAGCCATCCAGCATGGTTTTGCATGAGTTATCATTCCCCCCTCCCACCCTATCCTCTTTTCTTTTTGTCTTTTCCCACCACTCCAATTAGTGTTTGCAAGTTGCTGGAATTGAGGCTTTTGATTGATTAACAAGGACTTGCCAGCTATGGATGTGATAATTTTTAACTGGAGCTTGGCTGGATGCAGTGGAAGCCCCTGGAGATCCTAGGCACCAAGCTTCCATTTCTGCAAGGCAACCAGTTAGTTATTGTAACTTTCCATATCTGATACATCTTGGTTGTATTGTGAAGCCAGTTTTACCTTTTTACAGACGTTTCCTTTGGGATAGCTTTAGACAGTGATATCCCTCGGTTACTTTCTCTGGGTCAAGATAGAGTGCTGGTATGTAAGGGATCACTTGTAATTTTGCTATTGTGTTGAACCAGTAACTAAAAGCTATACACGCATATTCGAAGGAGCCCTCCTGAACCCTTTAACCCCCAGAGATGTTTTGGCATTTAGTTTCTCCTCACAATTTAACTAATACATAATTTTTATTATTGCATCTCTGGTGTTTATCTTCTGAGCAGACCATAGTTTCAAGATGTAATTCTCTTTCCATGCTTAAAAAAAAAAGACTTTAAATAATGCTCTTCTTTCACAACATGATTCTCTGTGTTTTGTTTATTAGGTGGAGTATGATCTTCTGAACAGCAGCACAGATGACCTCCATCTCATCAGTTCAGAGAGAATTGAACAAAGTGCTGTACCTCAATGTTTTACTTGGTATCCACCAATTGTCAAGGAAGATTTTCTAGTAGTCGCTAACGATCAGGTATTTGAAAAAGTTTTAGTGTAGATGTTTACCCATGCATCATTAATGAACTAAATAGTTATTGAATAATAATGAATTGAACGAAGACCCATCAATGATCGTTGGCAATTGTTTTCTATTACATGGAACAAGTAGTTTATTTATTTATTTATTTTTTTCATTTTTCTTAATCACAGTTCAAATTAAAATTGTATAACTCAACCACGAAGATGTGTAGACAAACACTGCTGGGACCAACATATGGCACCCCACTGAGAAGGTAAGAGGTGGACACAGTACTGAGAGGGAAAATTTAAAATAAGTGATACGCGTATTAAAATTCTTGTTTCTTTTGCTCATCATCATTATTATGGTCATCGTCATCATCGATATTACCTCGTGGTCGTCGTGGTTACACCCTTCTTTAAGACTGCATGTTGTAGCCCCTCGGAGTTTGGCGAAGGGATAGTAACGTAATGTGAGGTTTAGTAGAATCTTCTTGTGGAGTCGTTCAAAGTATTACTTCAGTAGCCCTTTTACGTGCGCGTTGTGGTACATGAGTCTGCTCTCTTCAAGGCCTTGACCCTTTACACCCTGACATCAGTATGCATATTCTCCATACTTTCTCTATACATTTCTTAAGGTTCTGAGCGGAGAATTTGTTTAACAATCAAGAACTTCTTTAGTTGTTGATCATTTCCCTTATCTCGTGACCTTAATGTTTTATTCAGAGGTGATCTTGTATGAGGAAATTAGATGCCAATCACTCTTAGGGGTTAAAGGGTTAATGACCTGAGAAAATTTCTGCGATTTCACCTATTCAGTCTAAGAAAGTAAATATTGAAATGTTGTTGATTGTAGGTTCGAATCTGAAAAGTAAATCTATTTCAGTAGTGTGTTCCATTCATATATTTGAATGTTAGATGCTTTTACTTTTTCCATTTACTTGTCGAGTTTACAAAGCTTTTGTGATTCATTTGCAGACTTATCGTGTTACCAACTCACGAGGAAAGACTGTCACGGTATCTCGCTTACATTACAGTGGACAAGGTAAGAAATTTAAAAACTTCTTTGGTGTTTGTCAACTCCTCTCAAGCTATCTTTTAGGGTCTCATTCCATTTTTTTTTAACAAAAACCTGGCAATAATTTAATCCCTGGTACCTATCTATCACAATGCTTCCAGGTTGGTCTTCAATGCCTACCATTAGATGGAAATCCGCACAAGACCATGGCTTTAATCGCACATCCAGAGGGGGTAAGGATATTTTTAAGAACATTGCTTTCTAACAATTTAAAGAAGAATTTTGTCAGTCGTCTGGCATAAAGTTTAGCTTTAATCTGATACTGTCTTCTCTATATATTATTTTTTTCAATGCAAGGTGTCTAACTTGGTTTCTTCATGTGATGGGAAGTATGTTTTCACAGCTGGTGGCGAGGATTGTAGTGTGTTAATGTGGGAAATCAACCTGGAGTAAGTACTGATTTAATTGTTACACTCTTGGTTTGTTCGGTTTATTTGGACCAGTCTAAGAAATCGCCTGGAAATATGGTTACGAACGTCATTATTGACAACACAATTTAATAATGGTTCAACTAGATAGGATGGATTCCGATAAAGGTGCTCTGTAGTAAATTGGTAGTTTCCAAGGGATGGTTGATCAAAGACTACAAAATGACTACTCGAAAAAGGATTAGTATATTTTGTCCTTTGCAACCGGTTTTTGCTGCCTTTTTGTTTTCTGTGGAACCTGCCGGAGGAGGACACGGGAGAACCCTATTACCGTCAGTTTAAACGAGATCACTCTTCATTATAAATTCCTTTTTACAGACGATAAGGACGGAGAGATTAAGATATACTAAGTCTGATGCCTGTAAGTAATGCAGGTTCAACGTTTAATGAAGATTTTGCAGGTTACTGTGCATCTAATCATTATAGCTAAGAAAGTAAAAATTGGCCTTCTTCTTCTTCTTCAGTGCGTTGGAAGCTGCGGCTGCTCTCGGCGGTGAGGGTCTGGTACCGTTCTACGGTTTATTAGAAGGTGGTCGGGACGGTGAACTGTTCGCTGAGTTGGAGGACTATTTCTATTACGCCCAGATCAGAAGGTTTGCTGTACTGTTGGATTTGTCACGGTAGATCTATGCACTGTCTTTGTCAGGGAAACTTAGGCTCTACAGAAATGTCCTTGACTTATCCTTAAGAAAAAAGCTAATTTTTAATGGGGAAATTTTGTGAGGATTTAGCTTTAAATTCTCAGGAATAGCTCAAAAAGAAATGTATGATCAGTAGTGGGGAGAATTAACTTTTGGATCTTTGGTGAAAGAGTCAATTGAGAGAAATCCCACTGTTGACGTTTTTGAAAAGGGGACCGGAAGGTGAATGTAACTATTAAAGGATGATGTTAGAGGAAATTCTGTCAGAGTGAATCAGTTTGTTTCTTACCTCAGTCAAGGTGTGGACACTACAGACACCAGACAAGTATCAACAAAAGTGCCACTAGCTCAGGTGCCGTATATCATGCGAGCTTTGGGATACTATCCTACGGAACAAGAGGTAAGGCTAATGAGATTTCGTTAATTTTTTCCAAGGCCTTTGATCTGCTTGCATTTCAACCAAAAATTCCTTTTCTTGGTATGCTCTTCAGATTGATGATATGATCAATGAGGTAAAATTCAGAGATTACGTTGCAACAGGAAAATACGTAAACGAGATTGATCTGGGTGAATTTATAAAACGTAAGTATTTTTGAATTTGATCATTAGCCGTCGATGAATGTTCTATGCTCGTTCTTTGTTGTTGAGTGGATTTTTCATTATAGTACATGTTATTGCTCATTTTTTGGCCTCGTGCTCTCCTTATTTTTGTAAGTGTGCCACAGTTATAGCGTAAACTGTAATGACTTGGCCGGGGACTGCTCACGCTGTATGGGAGACTGTGTCGCAGCTCTAATGATATCACAGGAATACCCCCAAACTTTTCAAAAGTTGGTGTGTCTGGGCACAATGTTGATTCATACTGGATATTCGCAGAGTTCTAATACGTGTATTGTTACGTCACCAGCTGAGTAAATTTGGTTTACGCACTGAGTGTTTTGTTTAGTGGGATTTGTTACTGATTAGCGAGAATATCGTGGAACAAAACTTTCTCGAACAATTACCTCGTCTCGCTCTCTATTTTCATGAGAAAGGATTAGAACGAGAGTGCTCTGTTCTTTTTGCAGTTTACGTCAACCATCGCCCTGCGTTTGGCTTATCACCGTTTGACTTAAATGAAGCATTTACCAAGCTGGGTATACCGAGTGACGAAGGATTTGCAATTGATCGGGACAGACTTTTGACTCTGTTACAGAACAAAGGTACGACAGTTAACTTATTTCCACAAAGAAGGGAATCATCTCTGTGATTTGTATTACTTAGAGTTAGATTGAAGTTCTGCTTTTGTTTTTGCGATTTTAAGATGGTTTTATTGTGTTTTGTCCTTCTCATTTTGTTTCATTAATTTCTCCTTTACGCTGAAATAGAACTCACAAAAGTTTTAGCTCTGATATTTACCCCTGGAGCGCTTCATGATTTAGTGTCGTAAAACCAAAACCAAATGAATCAAAACAGCCAATCAGAACAAATAACCCCATATCAAAAGAGGCATATAATATTGCAAAGTAAAATTAACTAACGTGCCTGAAGTGCGGGAAAACGAAAGTGATCAAGAGGTCATTAATTTTGATTTTGGATCGAAAATGGCGTAGATTTCTGGACCAATCAGATAGCGCAATATAACAAAATCGGTACAATCCTGGTTTACTATCCACACTTTGTAGATCTCACATATCTCGATTTTCTTTGTCTCAGGTGAACATATGACAGAGGCTGAGCTGGCCGAATGCATGTCCACGTTGTTAGGTCTCGGAGAGTTAGGTGGCAGTGCAGAGACTGGAACCTATGACGCTTCTAATGCAAGCGAATTGCTAAAAGAGCATCTGCCAGAGAATGTTACCGCTGACAGCTTTGCGGCTCAAGTGTTGGGTTTCGTTACTGAAGGAAATGAGACGCCCTCTAGCTAATTTATTATTGGAAAAGTTTACTTAAGATATAGTTACTTAAACGGTAGAGAGATGTATTTATTTTGCAATGACACTTCGTGAGCAAGCAGCCATTTATTCATTTTATCTGACGCACGTGTCAATGACATTCCAGGATGTAGAAAGCGTTAGAACAGTCTCATGGTTGTGTTAAAAGAGGTTTGGAGTAGCTAGCGAGTAATTCCAACACACCAGTCTTGTGATATATGCGTCCAGTAGAATTTTTTGCATTCCTGGAATATCATACGGTCATCCAGGCAGGATATTTTAACTGCTTGGGAAAGTTGTACATATGTAAATATTGGTAATCCCAGAGTGAAAAGCTGATTCTCTTTAGAGGAACTGCTTATAATAAAGATTTCCATTTTCTTGGAGTGTCGTTTTTTTTTCTGAAATAAATTGTAAGAGGACATCGATTTGAGTACTGTATCAAATAGGTTCTTTACATTGTAATAGATATACAAAACTATCAATAGTTACACTCTCTTGGTGCGGAAAACCAAAAACTCAGTCATCATCCTCGTTGCTCCATATCACTTATAAACGAGCTTTAATGTCTTGTCCATGTGTTGGCTTTTAAACTGGAACTATATCTTTGTTTTCTCCTCGCAACCCAGCACTGATATTGCACTACTCTACTATACAGAATCTTACATCACGATGATATGATCCACTTCAAATTTGAAAGTTTCGATATTTAGCTCAAATCCTGTAGTGTACTTTTTATGTTATTCTATTTTATTCGAAATTTTTACACTTGAAGGGGGCCCCCGCATTTAAATTCTAATCTTCTTTTTCTTACTCTTTAATCAAGGTCATCCTCTTGGCATACAGATAAACAATGCCCTTTGGTCAGAGGAAATTAAAGGCTCTATTGACATCAGTTCCCCAAAATACATTACCCATAGCCCTCTTGGAGATCGGGTGGTCCTCCCAACCATCGAGCCGAGTTTCGCGCTAAAAAGACGCGGCTACACCGCTGTTGCATGTAGCTTTGCTTGCCGTTTGTTCACAACGCAGCTGATCGTCTGAAAATTAACAGCAGAAAGCCAAAGTTGACGGTATAAGCGACAATTTTACTTCGGTGAAGACAAAGGAACGTAAGGTACGATAACAATTGGTCTAATTGTAATGAGGTTCTCTGTGGAAGTTCAGAAAGCCGAAACAGAGAAACAAGCCATGCTTTCTCGTTTCAGAAATTTTGACTTATGGATTTAAGATGTATTATCAGAGAGACATCGTTCTTTCAAGACTCGTGTACTTGTAAGGAAGTGAACTTGATGACGACTCGTGTTTTGATATTTAAAGAAGTAATATATACATATAAATGTTTATGTCATTATTCCTGCTCAGAAAGTGCGATTTAGTTTCATATGAACGCTTTGAAGTTCTATGACGGTAAGGGCTTCTCTTAATGCCTTCCTCCTTCCTGTGTTATTTACTTTTTGCTATTTTCGTTCTGTGTTATATTTTGCGTTTGTTATCCGCAGCCAGGCCACGTATAACATCATAAGCTTAACTGTTGTTGTTGTTGTTTTCTACTCCTGATAATTACAATAACTTTTCGTATTTAGAGAAAGGAATATTTTTGTTGTCGTTTTCCACTCCTGATTACAACTGTTTGCTTAAACTCAAGATACAAGAGAGAAAACATGGTATTTTGCAAGACTTCTTTCTATGAATGAGATAGGTGTAAGACGCTTCGTTACCATGAAGACTCTTAGAGCTGACGCTTTCCCTTGTGAGGTGTTTTATATAAGGGCTGCAAATCTGCCAAATCAATAGTTCAGCTGTACTTAGCCGAGAGCAATGAGAATCGTAAGACATCTACTTAAACCGTGCAAGGATGTCGCCTGCGTTTTACGGCTCGAGTTGTTCGATTAAGTTCTATCCCTCGTTCCTTACGGCTCATTCAGCCCTCCGTTGGGAGAACGCTCAGGCTTTCATTAAGGTTACTGACTTCTTTCATTTGCCATATATCTTAGTTAGTGCAGTGGAGACATCAATAAATTCATTGAAAATATCAAGTATATATCTTTAATTTTCATATAAATTATACATCAACTTAATATCTTAATTCTCTATGTACAACGGCGACGTAACGCCTAGAAATAGAATTCAGTAAATAATGATATAAATGCAAAAAATACAAATGAAAACTTTATCTAAAAGCTTTCCAGTACCATCCAGTCCTTCCTCATTTGTAAATTTATAACTTAGAGACGTGTAAAAGATCACATTTTCTCCATCCAGCGAGTCGCTAACATGTTTCTAGCAATATATTCGCGTATGATGTGCAATGGTGTAACTGTGCAATGCGATGACCGACTGTCATCTCGGTGGATTATTATTGTATCTGTTCTGGGTCATAAATCTGTGGTACTCTATTTGAGAGTCCAGCTGTTGTAGTTCTTGCCTCGTACGTTCGGCTAACTGGCGATGCTCAGCTGTAACCAGAGATAACGTTACGTAATTAATGAAGGTACCACCCACCAAGACACTATTTGCTACCATATAAAAACCAAAGTTGGTCAAAACTACCTGTTTTTTCTTGTTATGACCCTCGGGCACCTCCTCATTTGGTCTTAACGAGTAAGTGCCGCCAAACAGGGTCACTATAGTCTCTAGTTTTAAGTCGTAAGTCTTTTTACAGTCTTACTCAAATCAACAAGAAGAAAGAGCAACGATGTTCTACTGCGCACAAACTTAGCAGGCGACTGATAAGCACCTATGGGTTTGCGAATTATGATACCTACCCAACGCAGGGTTGTAACCTAATTGCATGTCATTTTCCACAGGCCCCCCGCCATTTGGTTGGCTATTGTAGTTCATTCCATCTACTAGAATTTGAGGATTCCGGTTTTCCATCGCAGCAGTTTTTTGATTTGCATCATTAGATTGAGGGTTTTTGCCTTCATTTTCCTTTGCTTCTTTGGCTTTCTTTTCTTTTTGAACAGCAAACATTCGAGCGTAGCTGTTACCAGCTTTTTGAGGGCGCTCCGATGTTGAAACAGATCTTTTCTTGCTATGGGGAATCGAGAAAAAACATGAATGACGCTAACTATGAACAACAATAATAATAATAGTAATAATGATATTAACAATAATAGTAATAATAATAATAATAATAATAATAATAATAATAATTCTATGGATCATTTCGATCCAGGAAATCCTTTCACCTTTCGGAAATTTTCGAGAGATCAAAAACCAATGTTCATTAAGACGATACCCTTAAACTACTCTCGATAGAAATTTCTCTTTGATTGCTTGGGCCAAAGGAAGGAAGAAACCTCATAAAGAAGGGTTTAAATAAACTGCAGAGGTTTGTTTGGATCAAAACCATTGCCGTGTGTTCCGCTAATTGATATGTGTTTGTCGTTCAATCAGGTTACATATAGAAAGTTTGTTTTCAAGGCTCGGTAACCAAAAGCTCGTAGTCCGTTCCCTAAGCTAAAACAAAACAGTGTGTCATCACTGATACATACGACTGAGATGTGTCACCGTTCCCTCCTTGACAAATGTATGTATTTCAACGTTTACAAAATGTTATGATAAAAAGTGCCACTCTCAAATCTAGTCCCAATCTACGAGATATACTATTGTTTTTAAAGGTGAACACTTCTATCACCTGCATGAGGCATTTTTGAGTGTCAGTTCAATCTGGTTACATATTAACTCAATTAAAACTAAACTACGGAACTCACGTGCTGGCTGTAAATTTTTGCTTGCTTGGAGGGTCTGAGGTGGTTCGAGCCTGCGGCGCTCTGTGCTGAACCCGATTAGATACTAAGAACAAAGAACGAAAGAAAAATATAAACATGAGGAACTGAACAACGGGGTGATGTGAATGAAAAATGATGACTAAGGTCATAAAAAGAGGGCTTTCCTTGGTCAATGACGAGGGAGAATTTAAAAAATGATAAACCTCGGTGTTAGCGAACCTCCCTTGTTACTGAAATACAAGATAGCGAAATTCATAAAAAACAACTACAATCAAATCATAATTTCTCACCAGGAATCACTTCCTGGGGCATGGCTTGCGCCTCCGGTACCTGCCTCCAGCCGCCTTGCCCAACATAGTTGGGATAAGGTCCATCTTGAATTGGCGGGAATCTCGTTGGCCCAAAGTTTGGGGGTAGATCTGATGCCGACCGTCGACGATCCTTAGACTGAGCTGAAATTTACAAACAATAAGTCATTTAGATAGAAGCGCCAATACCTTCGATCGACACTTTTAACGTTGCCTAACCGAGACACCTATATGACATACGTTCAGTGTGGGTTTGTCATTCATTGATGAGAAATATATTCTTTGAACGTGATGAAAACTTACAGTACTCTTGTAAGACAACGGTATTTTATCTTCTTGGAAAAATAATTCATTATTTAGATTGATCAGAATGTTGGGTGGATATTTCACATTTATCGTTGTTAGATTGTTAGCCACTGAAAGACAAAACTTTTATGATGCAAGGACATAACAAGGGAGTTTTGCTTACTTGGCAGAGAGTTCCGTCTTTCGAAATGGCCCGGTTGCAGCTCTGATGCGAATTGCGAGGGGTGCGCACCGGCAGAGTGGACTGGGATCGTACTCATAAAGCGCTCCTCCGGGAGAGAACTGGTTCGTTCGACACCTCGTAACGACTCCACACCAGATAAAGTCCGTAAGGACATAGGCGATGATACGATCACTCTTCAGTGAAAAAAAAAAAGACAAATTAAGCTGTGTCGACAATGAAAAAGTTCAGTGACTTTTGCAAAAAAAACAAAAACAAAAAGATAGAAGCGACGTCATAATCTTGGATCAGTACAAAGCGGGTATTGTCTTCAACAAGAGAGGATTGTCTTCTCTTGTCTTAGATCGCTTCTTCTTAGTTAAAAGAAACAGCAAAGACTCTCAAAGGTTAACATTTTTAGATGATTTTGACGGATCATTTGCTTAGTTTGTGCGTGCTAATCGAAGTAGTTTTTGAGGCGGTGGTGTATGACTAACCTCTCTAGCTCCTCCAACTTCTTAGACAATCGATCATTTTCTCTTGACAAAACCTGTGTTACAAAAAGCAGAGTTAACGGAGATGAAAGCAAAAGTATGCTTGCTACATAAGATTATCAGCGCAAAATTTTGTCATGAGTGTTCCCCAAGCCTCTTACCATTTGTTGCCTCGAGACTTCTTCTCGACTTTGAACAAGCTCAACGTTTCTTGTTCTGTAAAGAGGCGAAAGTGAGTTAGGTATTGAAGCCGAACCAATAAAAGCGAATATTCCCAATATTCGCTTTCATAATCTATTTTCTGCAAAAATATATTTCTCAGAATTTTCGGAGACATTCACATATCTACTAAAGTAAGTTTAACGACCACTAACTGACAGTGTCACGCGAGTTAGATGAAAACATAATATGGTGATACTCTTTCTATACCACCTCAACGGGAACAACATAACCCAGGCTAAGTTAAACAATTTTAAAGCGCTGCTTGAGCAAAGTTTAGAAAATTTAAACTCAGAGGTTAAACAGTTCACTTCAAAAAATTCGACACGGTTAACATGGGCGTTAATATCAAAAGTTTGCTTGGTTATTTTAGTACGCAATGGATGAAAGCACCAAGATATAAACTAAATTCACTGTCGACCAACCGAACTAAACGCACACCTGGTTCAAGTGCAACCAACAACTCTCACCTAAGGTTCTCGTTTTCCAGCATGTACTCTTGCAGCATATCGTATAAACCAGAGTTGGCTCCCGCGGCCATACTGAAACAGCATCAAAGTCAAGATTTGAGAGAAAAAGACTTGAATCAGACCATCAACTAACAGTACAAAAGCCGGAAAGATGGAGATAAAGTAAGTCATAGGCAAAAGTAAAAAGATCACTTACAACGCAGTTGTAAGTCTTTGCGAATCTTCTCCGGGTTTAAGCTTTCCCTCATCTTCTAAGAGGCGAAGAAAGTGGAAAAGATAACAACGAAGACATCAAAAACTCTAATATTAGTTTAATCACATAATATCATGATAACAATCCAATCAAAAGTTAAAAACTACGCGTATCTTGTTTTTGGATCTGTTTGTTTAGCTTTATTAATCGTTATTTCTTCCTTCGTTCAATCTTATTTCATTATTCTTAACTTTCGTTGGTCTTCACACTCTTAGGTTTTCTCCATTGCTTGCTGCTGAGCCTTCTTCGATGATTTTTCTCCGTTCAATAATTCTAACTAAGTGATTTACATCTCTAAATCAATCGCTTATTACTACTCACTTAGCGAAGGATCATTGAGCTTCGGTGTGCTACCGTCCTCTGTAACAATTGTCGTTTTACTTTCGTAGCTTGTTAAAGATGTTTGCGAGTCACTGCTAGGTATTCCGAGCTAAGTGAAAGAAAAGAGGTCGGATAAAATCTTTTTAGCTATGGCTATATTTTTTTCCTGCATAAACCTTAAGGGAGTCACAAGCAACAACTCCACTACTGTTAGTAGTTCTGTTTACATAATTTAATATTTAACTGTTCCTCTCCCCGGTTGGATGTACTTTTCAATTAGTGCTACCTCTAATTTCCTTATCAAAACCTACTAATACAGAAAGGTCTCCACGTCGTTCTTACCTGTTGTCGGAAATAAGCATTTTCCGTTCTCAACAACTTTATTTCTCGCTTTAGACTTAAAATAAGCTTTTCTTTAGGATCCTATAGAGAAAAATGACAACCTGAGTTGGCCAGTTCAACTGTCTTTATCTAGTGATGAAGGGCAAATAGCATTGATTTAAATAATAATTTTCACAAAGCACACTAAAAGTAGCGTATGTAAACCAGTAGGGAGTTTGTGTAAGTTAGCATGAGCTTACCATATGCACTACAGGCTTGTTCTTTATTCGTTTGGCTCTGTGAGCGTATCTCAAAGTGTTTAAGGTGTCCTGCACCACATAGGAAGACGGCGAGATACATGCGATCTGAAATATTTTAACGCAGGAACAGATAATGCGTTAATTTTATGACAAGGAATAGTTCCGCACGGAAAACCCGAGGATCGAAAACAGAGTTGAGTAACCCAAGGATCGAAAATCAGTTTTTATGAACCCAAATTTTAGCGGTTCGTGTGTATCAATTCTAAGTGTGTTGAGGAGCTAATAAATACAGCAAAAGAACCCTAGAGAACCCGTCACTCATTAAGACTTCTTGATTTAGCGATTTAACGTTATTCCCAAAGATAGCTTTACAAAAGGATACGCCCACTTAAATGATAAATCGGTGCACGTGTCACAAGGAACCAGTCTCATGAAAGTTCCAGACTTTTAAAAAAACAAACAAACGAACAAAAATAAATAAGACATCAGAATTAAGATTATGGTGAATTGACTTACCATGAGGGTGATACCATCTCCACCAAGGCTGTCAGCCAGAAGTTTGGTGAGTTTGCTGTCACGATACGGAATGTGGCCGCTTTTTTTTCTTTGGTCACTCAAGGCAGAAATACAATTCCCTGATAGTGAAATGCTCGTTGAAATTATTCGATCGGGTTGAGTTAACATATGAATATATTTCAGCAATTCAAAAAATTTGAAGGACCAACAAATACTTAAGGATACAATGTAACATTTATTTTTGTGACACTTGGTATGCTGATCACGTCAAGGCAATCAATTCAATGCGGTTAACTTTCAGATGTTACTAAGGGAACTTTCTGACACGTGTTTTCTCACGTAGCAAATAGTCGCTACATAACGGGTAGCAAAGGGTATGAGCGAACATTGTGTGATACAAGTTTTCCACCATGAAACTTAATTAACGAAGTGTTAGAAAGAATACACTTATTTAATTCCCAATGCTCTGTAATAAATCTTTAAAACTACAACAAAAACTTTTAAGTCGGGGCCTTGAAACGATTTACACGATTAACACAAAGAAACAAGCGCTCTGAAGGCCACGCTGACGACAAACATGTTTATCAACTTATTACAACATATCAGAGATACATCACAGTACAGTTTACGTAGCAGGGGGCGAGTAGAGAGTCAGTAGGTGAGGGTGTCAGGAAATATTTGTTCACCTTCAACTAAGTGAACACTCAAAACACAGTTACGTAAAGAACTGATAAGCCGAAACGTAAAGCCCACTAACCTAAAGTCAACAAGCTTTTATTGATATTTTGTGACTCAGTAAAAGTGCTTCCCACAGATTTTGTCTCTTTAACGCGTTCACTCCCTGCAGGAAAACGATACAATAAGAAAGTTAGCGAAGATCAGAAAGATATCAAGCCATGCGATGTTGTTACTCAGTAAACTAAGTAATTGAAGCGATATTACTTTGATAAGTAATAAGTGTTGATAAATGTTGATTTAGAATGCAATCAAATCATCTTTTTTTTTTCACTACTAGTTCACGACTACGATTTCTTGCAGAAGGGTCTGAACTATACTAAACAAGGAGTTTAATACGTCTTAAAAGTTATGTTGACGTTATAGAAGACAAACATCAACATTTAACAAAGGTTAATTGCCTAGAATTGTATTTGTGATGCTATGTAGATACGAAAAACTCAAAGGAATATAAATCATTATAAAAGATGGACAATTAGGGGGTTAATCTTACTCTAATAAATCCCTAACCTTGCTTAAACTTACAAGTTAACTCCCGTCTTTGATAACTCGAGGCGAGTTAATTAGATATACTCATCTATTCAGCGTTTTCGGTACTAAGCACGTATAATGAATTTTACATATTTGACAAAGCAATCATCGAACCATAGAAGCCAATTCGATTAACGTCATTTATGCAGACTTAAACAAAACATACTTAATATGCAAATGTGCCCTCGAGTCATCAGGTCAAAGAGACAATGATGTAAGGAATCAACAGAGCTTAACATGGTATTTATAGCCCTACTTCGTGATTACATATCGGTATTTTGTTCTCCATTGTTCTTTTCATTAAACCAATCACAAAGCTGCAGAACTTATCTCTGGCAATGTACAAAATATCCCTCTAACTATATGAGAACAACATATAAATGCCACTTTCCTCTTTAGCTCCATTCGAAGAACAAAAGGGAATATGAGATAAAATTCCTTCCAATTTAATATTTTACTCTTTATCAATCATACCAGGGAAAACCTCATCTCTCATTCCAAAAACATTTCTAAGCTCGGAGAACGCTTCCCTTTGTTTTTAGAAACGAACAACGCTTTTAGAATTGTTACTCAAACATATTTCAATTCCGAGCATACGATCGATTTCTGTGTAGTCAAAGTCTTCATGGTATTGTTAGAAACCAAGAAAAAGTTTCTCAAGCTTACGAAACGTCGGTGAGTAAGAAACGATTACATACCAAACGAACAACGCTGCATTTTGTTGTTGGAAACGAACGTTTCCCTTTGTTGTTAGGAACGAACAACGCTTTAAGAATCTTCATGGTGTTGTCGGAAACAAAGAGCGCTTTAGTGATAAAAAATTTCTCAACGTTATTGCCTATTTACAGTCTGAAATTCAGATCTTTTTAGTATTTGTTTCTTTGGGCGACTTGACTTTTTTCGGGCGACATGACTAAAATTTCGGGCCACATGACTCAGGTTTAGGGCGACATGACTTCGGGCGAGATGACTCTCAGGCGACTTGACCGGTTACCGTAAAAAGGTGTGACCAATTTCCAAAAATATTTTAAATACAAATAAGCAAAACGGAATTTTTCAAACCTTTTCGGTTTTAAAAGTCTCATTTCATTTTAGGAGAGCAATAACGACATCTGAACAAACAATTAAAAACTTATAAAGTGTTCTTGCAACTCAATTTTCTTGTTTTCTCAATTTTTCCCCTACCTGCTAAATCCACTAGACTTAGCTTTCCATGCTTAATCACAGGATAACCAGACTCATCTTCTGGGTCCTTCTATGTCGGAGGAAAGTGAAGCAACTGTTATTCACAACCAATTTCAAATTGAATAGAGAGAGATGAAAAGGGACTGAGAAGAACTTACAGCAACGAAAATTAAATTCTCAAACCGACACTAATGGCAGATTTACGCATTCATTGGACAGCATGACACAAAGATAACTTAAGAATGATGTGATGCGACACGATCAAATTCAACCCCAAACAAAACAGTTTAAATTTGCGTGAATCATTACTAATTCGTTGACTTTTCAAAACTTTAGATTATTCTTATAAACATAAGAAAACACAGACGAATGTAGAGGGAAAGCTGTAGGTCGATTTATTATTCAATTAATTTAAAACACTAAACCCTAAGTAGAAGGTATCTAATCATTGATTAAAATACACCTGTACTTGATTTTTGTTTTCAGTGAGTGAATGACGTTTTCCACACCCTGCAAGACTTCGAAAAGACAGTCCAAAGTAATAGGAGAAAAGACGAGAAACATGAATCTTTCAACGAAGGACATGGCTAGGTATGTTAAGAATACCCATAGACTGAAACTAAAATCTGCTATCAAAAATGTTTAGCACACTTGTTTAAACCATAAACTTCTGAAATTAATCCTAGTTCAACTGCACAACTACTCTTCATGTATTTTCTTAGTTTTTTCTCTCCCTCTGCAGCATTAAAGAGTCAGCACACATGCAAAGTGCAACATCCACCAAAAGTAACATTCAGTCCAAAAGGAAGCAAATGCTCACCGATTCAATATCAATGTAAACTGTGAGCATAGTGTGACTTCTACTGGAGTGATCATTCATTAAATGTGATCCAACATGACGGTTCCTCAGTCCTGAAAAAGCATTAAATATTGTTGACTTGAGAGGTGGTCAAACATGGTGGCATAAAAACAGAAATCCACTTTACAGAGTGCAAAAATAAATCAACTTGTAAACTGAAGTAGGTAGACTTACAGGAACTAATAATTAGAATTACTGGTATTTAAAATTTCTCATTTTCCTTTCTTTCATCTCCACCCTCAATTATACCAACATTGTTTCCATTTCATTCATGCTTTTACAATGGCAAATTGAATATTGCTGATTGCATTTCTTCTCCATTTCAGAATCTCTGACCAAACCCCTCAAAATTCCTGATTCCATCTATTCTCCTACCACTAAATGTTATTCTGAGCCCCCAAACCCATGAAAAAAAGATTGAGTGTACAATAAATTAGGGGAAGTGTTGGATGAATGGAAAGAGATGGGTAGAAAGAACCACTTTCTACTTATAACAGCCTCATCTCCACTACAATGGCAAAATCTTGAGATCACCAGGGAGGTTATGTTGATGATTCAAAGTATTCTTGCTGAGGTTGAAATTTCACAAACTTTCATTTTATTTTGGATTTCCATACAGCTTGTATTGTATGGAATTTGTTAGACATGTTGAACATAATTTGTAACTGATATCCCATGGCCTGTGTTGCTAACTGTTAAAAATTTGGTTTTGGTCAGTGCTTACTGACATATGAAGGTTACTTTACATACCTTCTTCCAACACAGCAGAAAGATCATCCACTGTGTCACACTCAACAAAAAACAAGTTCTCAACATAGAATCCCCTGTCTCTGGCCCAGCGTACAGGAAGCGAGTCTCTTGCACTTGAGGGGTTGAGCAAATCCTGTACCTATTGAAAATATAGGGCCAGAATCATAGTTTAATATATCTTTTCAGTTTATACTTTGCATCATTGGATTTATAAACCAGCACTAAGAATGTTAATGCATACACACACTTCAAAAGGTTGTCAATTGTTACATTTTATTCAAAAAAGCTAGTACATACTGAAATGAAAACTCTAATAGAGTCTGAGATACCCTTATTAATCAATATATACTTAAAAATATGGGGAAAATAAATTTTGTACATCTCTTAGGGTAAAACTTCATATTTTCACATTTGAGCTATTTTCTCCCAAAATGTATACTGTTGTATTTTACCCAGCTGGAGGTCATCTTTCTTCTGGGAAAGACAAAAAAATATCTATTATTATACTCTCTTTTAAATTTTTAAAAGAGAGTGTCACATTCCGCACTGTTCCATACCTTTTCATTATACACTTCAAGATACGATGCTTTAAGGGTGTACTCAACATCAGCACTGCTATCCATCAGCTCAAAGAGATACTGGAAAGACCTGAGAAATTATTATCATAATTAAAAAAATTGATAATATTAATGTTTTCTGTTGGGTTTGATAGAGGTAAGTCACAGATAAATCGCTTCATACGTGAATATCATTGCTGTTATACTAAAGAACAAAAATACAAACCAGCTGAAGTGAAACAAACAACAAACAAACAAAGAAAATACCAAACTTGATTTTGTGGGATATATCCATGAGTCGAATACTACAATACCCTGGAATTAGCAAACAAGTCGTCTAATCTCTCACTCACTTCTCATTATGCCCAATGGCATGTAGGGGAGGGGCAAAGGTTAAAAGGTAGGAGCCTGCCTGAGCTATAGCCTAAAAGGAGTCAGTTCAGTCAATGCTCACAAGTACTGTCACACAAACCTTTCTATCAGCCCTTGCATGTCTGGATCTGGAATGAAACTATCCATGTGTGCAGTATCTTCCTGTTGTGTTAAACAAAACATAAAGTACATTTAATGTATTACCATTGCTTTTGGCTCAGTATTGCACAACAGAACTTGACTACAATTATAGATGAAAAATTATCCACTTCTGAACACACAAGGCAACATAGTTAGGAAGAAGTTTGAAGATAAGAGTAGTGGGAATCTCAAAACTAAATTCATATCATGTGCTTGCAGCACGGTTACCTGATTAAGTGGTCCAGTGATCGTATATGTTTTCCCTGAGCCAGTCTGACCATAAGCAAAGGCTGTACAGGAATATCTTTTGGGAAAAGAGAAACTAACATTTGAAATCAATATATAGATTATCTCAACTTGCCTTCCCCTCTCCCTATCTTTCCTTTTTTTTACACATCAATGTCTATAAGCATTTATATAGTGAACAATGCTCATTTACAAATGGGATTATCAGCTAATGTTACAGATAAACTTAAGGAATTCTGTTGTAGATAAAGTTAAGAAATTGTGGGAGCAGTATATATATGACATATTGATATCTATGAAACAAATATGATTTATATTGCAGTGCATCTGTTCAGTTATCGATCAAATGACCTTTAAATGTGGCAAGAACAAAAAAGGTGCACACTGAGCACGTCAATAATTTGAAATCCTTAGTGATATATTTTTTACTGAATAGATGCAAGGCATCATTAAATCTATTTGTTCTATAAATTGGGTGTCCGTTCTCAAACATATCACTTTTGATCAGTCAAAAGGGGTGTATAATTCAGCTGATCATGTTTTGTATCTTAAGTATTAAACAAATTAATACAAACCCCTGCACAGACATCTCAACCAAATGTTTAATGCCACACCCTTCAAACATGTCTTGCTGAGAGGTTCCTTCTCCAAAAGCTGCATTGAAGGTAAAAGGCTTGATCTGACCGAAACTGTTATCAATCTGCACCAAATAAGAATCAAAAGATAAGAAATTGGCCTAGAAATCTCTTGACATAGGTCATATCTTATCATATGACAATTTTACAATTTACAATAATCTTTTGAAAACCTATGGCACAAAGTAAAATTCCGGAATAAGCTAATGATCTACAGGAGGTGGGGTGGGCTTCTTTGTAATTAAATCAATCAGAAAATATGATTTATCCAAAGGAAAATCTATTGTCGCTTGTTTCAACTTCAACATTTTAATTCTCAGAGACCTACATTGATAATCTGCCCTCAAATGGAAATGGACCACTTCCCCCAAGAAAGGAAAAACAAATGACCCCCCCACTGAGAATAACTCTAATGATACTTGATATCAGTTACAATGTTTAACTCCATTATAAACTTAAAATAACAATATATAATAATTGGTCAACTAACCCAAACAGCTCCATCACCAGGCAGCTTTAAGACATTTTTATCCCCTCTTTCTCTCTCAGTAAGATTCAAAGGACGTGCTCTAATGATAGCCAAACAAGAGATTTCAGAGATTTATTTGGTCAGTTACAGAGAAGCCAACCTTTCAATCTAGAGATTTCTGATTTTGGATCACACCTCCTCTGGCCCCTAAAAATTTTTAATCTTAGTTGATTGCTTACACCCAGTCTCTCTCCACAACTTACTACTAATGTATGTGTTGTTTCATAATCCCAAGATTAATATACAACAATTCCTTAACTAAGATCCTATATTTGTTTGAAAAGAGACTAAATTTAAATGTTTTACACCTTCTCAAGAAAAAAAAATTAATGGAAGATAAGAGTTGTAGCAAACTGTTTTGGAGACCGTAAGATTAGTTTTGTGTCTAGGAGGCTCTTGGATAATCTGGGAAAGTTAACATAAATGTAGAACTTAATGAAAATGCTGTCATTCTGAACAAAGGGCAATGACATCAAAACAAAATAGTTCAAAATTCAATTTAGTGCAAAGCCTTAGATTAAATCTAGGGACCTAAGTGTTTACTTTCAGGTATTTGGCAATTAAGATTTTGCATAAAAATGGCTAATGAATATGTAAAATAGCAAATCAATTAGGTTCACACAGCTACAAGCCCAAAATGGGAAAATGGGTAAACACAAAACATCTTTTTTCTTGCAAACTAAACACAATTATTCATATATGAATACCCTGATGTGAGCATTCCCTGAAGATAATGTAGTTTGTTTATGAGGGATTCAACCACCTTAATAGTGATTAAATGATTTTTTAATGAGAAATATTAAAGTATTCATGCTTGGGGTAATTAATGGAAAGTTTGGCATCTTTTTTTCTCTACCAACCACAGCACTTAAATTTAACCTAGGGAAAGAATAATTTAATTTAAAAAAAACTAGCATCTGCAAGACTCGTGAGTTTTCACATGGACTTTTCATGTAGGACCATTTACCATCTCTTGTGATATTCTTTCTTTTGAGCCCAAAATTATGCAACTTTATTTAATTTTCCGGAAAATGGTTAGAGAAGTACCAACAAAATCTAGAAAAAGGGATGTATATTTTCAAAGTTATCATCAACCTGATTAGAAGTAATAGTCAAAAGCAAAATTCATATGGTGGACTGGATAATCATGCCGAAAGATCATCCATTAAATACATGTAGTCATTGTCATCACCTTTGTAAGATTAAAATTATGATTAAAGTCAAAACTAAACTGAACTTTGCGAGCTTTGAGGGCAGCTGTCGAAAAATTTAATGGTCCGCTGAAATTAACTAAATCGAACACAAGTGGGATGGTCACGAAATATGACAAGGGCTATCACCGAAAAGTAAACACACCTAGCATCCAAACTTAATTTACCCACCTTGCTACGACTCTAACGTTATCTAAGGCTTCAATTTCGCCATCGCTTCCTGTAGTTGTTGCTGAGCGAGTTGATAACCCAGAACCCAGTGTTGAAGAGCGAGATAACCTCGCTGACGTTGATTGGCTTGCAGCACTGAGAAGAAAATTGTCGGAGCAAATGTAAACAACGTTGTTTTCTGACTTAATATTTTTGCAACTTTAATGATTTTTAAATGAGGCTTTAGTTCTTTGAATAAATTACTAATTTTCTTTGCTTTGGTCCATTTGCTTCATTTCCTGCTCATAGAAAGGTGAATAAAAGAGTGGACTATTGGCTGTACTAAAATTAGCCTTTGAATTCCAGTTTTGGGAAGCGACATTGTCGAGAGGAAATCCAGCTGTTTTTTCACAGCGCAAGTAATCTTTTCTCGATAAACACGACAGTAGCTTTGACAGCTGCAAACAGAAGCCTCTATTAGAATATGAAACTATAAGTTTTCGATTGCATTTGATAAAACGAACAACTTGGTAAATTTCATAGAAAATCCTGCAGGCAAAAAATGTCTGTGATTAAGAAAAAAATTTGTATCATCCTAAAAAGTACAAGATCGATCGCAAATAAAGACTGGGAGGGCAGTGATTTTTAAACGATTACTTAATAAACATGTTTTCAGTTAGCACATAGACTTGTCCAAAATTGAATTAACTTACCTGTTAACCGAAGGAGTACCGCTTGGAGAGTCCGAGTCATAAAAGGGAGGTGATCTATCCTCCACAGAGTTTGGGTTCAACTCGCCGCGATTTCTGCGATAATCGTCAGAATTTAACTGTTCCATCTCATGGCTCTTAGCCATTCCACTTCAACGATGATTATAACAATTAGTACGGGCCATTAAACACGGGAAGAAGATCAAATTCTCACCACAAACTAACTGGGAAGATTTCAACGTGAGATTATTAGAAGCACGGTTGTTACTGAAATACGATCCTCCTGTTCAATGACCGATAATGGTGTATCACAACGTCAAGTGTTTATATGGCCTATGGCTACTATCTTATGTTTTTACTGTGTAAGTCGAAGTTAAGTGATCCGTTTACTTTACTTGTCGAGTCTAAAATTCTCAGCTTGAGTTGGAATTGACGTCAAAATTGTGTTCCGAAAGCGTGACTGAGGCACCCAAGCAGATCCTCGCAAACTGTCCTCCTGAAAAGTTTCGTCCTAAAAGATTGCCCATCGGCTGTACCCAAAACCTCCTTTGGGTCTATCACCTTAGAGACTGACGCCTTCTGCTAGAATGTTGGAGCCCAGTGCAAAATCTCCTGAAAAGTGATTACAGATCGCAAAACATTCACCTCAGTGAATAGAGAAAAATCGGAAAAGGAAACGCAATTTGCACCTAGAGTTTTAAGCGCTAAATCAATCACTCCCTCAGGACAAAATAAAATTTAAAAAGCGATCTTACCCTGCCTGTTGACAAAGGCACAAAAGATTTGTCACGTTACCTCTGCAATTAGGAATTCTAAGTACAATGAACGATGAACAACTTATCACAAAAGGATGACAAATTCTCACATGCGATATGCGATAACACAATAACTGTTACCATAGGAACGCACTTGAGCCGCAAAGCGTGGGTAAACAAATTACCTGCTTAAAGGAGCCCTGAATGAAAGAAAATCACAGTCATCCGTCTTTTGAAGGGATTGGACCACTGCAGATTTTTAATTGAATAGAATAAACTCTCATTTCCCAGAGTTCTGTTTTGCTTACCAGCTGTCAACTGGAGAGGCAATTTTGTTCTGAGTTTGTTCATATTGCCTTAACACAAATGACAGTCAAAAACAGCTTAAAATAGCCAAACAATTTAAACCTTTTTTTCATGTAAATCATGCTATTGAAACAAAGTATACACTTTTAATAAATTTGAAAGATAGAAAAACCATTAGGTGTTACACTAAACACAAACTAAGAGAAGCACCGACAAAAACCTGTGTTTTATTGTCAATCTTGCAGACTATTTTACACTGATCTTGTAAATAATCCCTTTAATACCACTCCTAAAGCTCTTAGTGCACCTCAACTTAAGAAGTTTCTGATAGCAATGAAATAGCTGACCTCTTTTATGCCATGAGGATCAACTTCATCAACAGTGAATGTATCAGACATATTGTCTGACTTGCACAAGGCCTCAACCTAGTCCCATTAATCCTTCAGATTTATCACTGATTAATGCAATTTAATACACACAGATTCCCAAGTCCCAAACACTGTCAAAACATTCTCTTGCCAATATATATATATATATTTATATATACATATGACAAACCTACCCCATAACTCAAGGATGGTGAGGGATGACCATCTTGAAAAACTTTTACTCAAAATATTATCCTTATTTGGTCTTTCCTTTTTTGGTATTATTGAAATAAATTAAAAAAAACATATTTTGCACTTTTTCACCCAAGAATCATCTTTGCAGAATATAAATATCATAAAGTAAATTAACAGCTTATCTTTGAAGAAAATATAATATCCTTTTAAAAAAGTGATTAAGGTATCCTGCATATTTTATAGGTAGTGGTTTTTGTGGGATCTTGATGACAATAAAAAAGACAAGGCTGCACAAAGATTAACCCTTTGTTTTAGAGACTTCCTGTTATTAACAGACTGAAATTAAGTTGGAAATTGGCTTAAGTTATGTCTACATTATGCCTTGCAAGTGATAGTCAATTCCCAAGCTAAGTCTCTGATAGGTATTTGAGAGGTTACAATCTCAAAAGACTTAATGCTAGTGTAAGTTATAAAGAGCTTTTACATTACACACCTAAAATTATACATTGCTTAATTAAATAAAAAGCTACCGTATGGGTATAAATATTTTCATAGGCAATCAAATTTTCTAAGTAGTCAATAATTGTATTTATTTCAGATGCATGCTATCTGTTAAGAAAAAAATAGAAAAAACCAAAGTGAGTAGTTTGAGGCAAATTGACGACAGTAGGTCCATGGTGTTTCTTCTCAAGTGCTTAAAACCAATTGACCTTTGGTGCACGTTTTTTTTTTTTTGGCTTGTGTTTTGTAACTTTGAAATGGCCCTATTCCTGAACATACCAATGCAAATCACATGCTTCACCTCACCACTGAGAGTTTTCTTAAACCACCTACTAGATTCATATGTGACACACATTTCTACCATTAGGATAATATTTATCTATCGCTTTTGTAACATTTATTTTGACTTCTAGCATTTACATACAGAATGTCTAAGGCAGGCCGACCAAGAAAGAAAATCTCACCTCATTTATCACCTGACTGGCTTTCCTTTATTTTTCGCCCATTGACGCAAAAGTTGGTCCTATTTGAATGAGAGAAATAATGTGAATCAAATTATTGGTAATAACTTTGTAAATAGAATGTTTTAAAATAATTATTATTTGAGGCAAAATTGAACAACTATGCCAATGAAACAACTCTATGGATGTTGCTTTGCAATGTACACCTGGAGGTAATCCTAATATCTACCTGTTGCACAAGTTGCTGTTCCATTTTTGCACACAACTGCTGCATCTCAATGGTTACAACTTCTTTGTCTCTTAGTTCAAGAATTTTTGATTGGAGTTGTTTCTCCATTACAAAACAGTTTGGACACTTGCCCTAAAAGGCAGAAAAACAGCAATTCATAACTTACAACAAAAGAGTGATAAAATGCAGTTTAATTAGAATATGTTAGCTTATGTTTGACTTCCAGTGTGAAATAAAGAAATAATAGATGGTCTGGAGAGAGAAAAAAATTTGGTGATTTTGGTACCTCCATACATGAGCTGAGTTATACAAGTCATGTATTTTGATTGGTTCTTACTAATGATCAATTGGAGGAGAGTCACAAAAATGATGTCACCATTTACAAAATTTTGCTTATTTATCACATAAAACATTTATACATTCCATGTTGCAATAGGTCTGTACAATCAGTGTCATACTCAGCTACATCTTGCATGCTACTTTTTTAATCTTACCACATTTTCACTTCTCTGTGATCTCTTACTGAACATACATATGGTAACATGGAATCTGTTTGTTAATTATACCATAATCAAAATATAACTAATAATGAAGCAGGGCGTGAAATTAACTTTTTTTTCTGATAGCCACTTGGCTCCTAAACTTGGCGACTAACTTTCAGGATTTGGTCGCCAAAGTGAAAAATTTAGTCACATTGGCGCCTGTATTAGGCACAATTTCACGCCCTGTGAAGGGGATAATGATTAAACCATAATTATTATTTATTATTAAAAAACTACAATCATCTCTAGCTTAACCCTTTCACTCCCAAGATCTAATTAGTTATTCTCCTTAATATCTGCCATACAATTCTTATGATGTTAGTTCAGAGAATTTGGTGTTGGATCAACTAATAATCCCATGATTGATATTTTTCTCTATTCTCATCACCTGCCTGCTTGATATTGTATTGATATTGTAAGGAGAAATTCTGTCTTGGTCACTTGTGGGAGTGAAAGGGTTGAAGACAATAATAAAGGGCATAAAATAATCCACCAAGTACCTGATTTGATGATTTCATTGACTGCAATTTGGATTTCAACACATCAGTTTCTTCCGTAACTCTTTTAAGCTCCTTTGTGAGTTCTTCAAGCTGTACTTGCCTCTCCCTGTGAAGTAAAACATCAAAATTGTAATTAAATAAATTGCAAAGCCAACACCAGCAAGAAAGAAAACCTCAAAATTATAAACAAATTAGTTTTAGTTGAAGTCCAAAGATTTACATAATTATAGGCAAAAATTGCAAATTAAATACCGGGAATTATCCTTAAGAGCATCAGCCATGTGCATCTTTAAGATTTTCATCTTGCCATCACGCTCAGTGAGCTCTTGCAGATGTTGCTCTTTCAACTTGTTTAATTCAAGTTCAAACTGTGAAAAAAGCATACAATAAGCCACGAACATTCTGTATTTATGATTTATACTTTAAGAATGTTTTTATTCTTACTTGTTTTGTAATCTCTTCCTTTTCTTTCTCAAAGCTGTCTTTCAGTTCATTAATTTCTAAATCTTTGTTTTTTATAACTTTTGTCTTCTCGTTGAGTTCTTTCTCCTTTTCAGTGATAATGGCTTTTACTTTGTTGATCTTTTCTTCAAACTCAGCTTCCTATCAATGAAACAAGAGTAAATATCATTACATTACAGTAAATATCATCACAGTACAGTAAATAACATCACTCTCATTATAACTGTTACCATCAAGGTCATCAAAGGCAGAGAATGGACTTCTAGATCATCTAACACAGAGAACAAGGTAGTCTCTTTTTAAGTAAGGAAAATAATATTCATCCAGCATTTTGTGATATATTAAATATATAGGTGACCCTCTAGATATTCTGTTTAACTTTCATTTCTGTCATTTTGGCAGAACAAAAAACAAAAACTGAAACATTACTGTACAAAGTTCCAAAACTAACAACAGTAAAGAAACATTCATTTGTTTTCTGACCAAAACAAAGTCTTGAATATATTTATGTCCCCCTTGGAAGAAGCATTCTCCTTTTTTCCCCAGAAAATGATGTATCTCACCATTGAGATCTATGCTAATCAGCTAACAAAACACCTGATCATGACGCCTGAGGTTGGAAACCATAAAAAAGACTTACATTTGTCATTATTCCATGCTCTAAACAAATGTTAAACATCTTTTCTAACCTTTCCTTCTGACTCTTACCACGTATTAAGTGAAGCCTTTACCTGTGATTTGAGCTTCTCCTCCAATTCTGTTATTTTATGGGTTTTCTCCTTTATTTCTGCACGCAGCTGCTCAATGAGCTTTTGAAGCGATAAGATTTTTAACTTCAGTTTCTGGAAAAGATGAAAGTACCAAAATTGATACTCATCAAAAACGCAGCAATTAAGATTACCTTTGCTTATCAATTTAATTTACAATAAAGTGATACTTTGAAGAAAAAAAGATTTAACATTGCTATCTGTTTACAAAACAAAAGCATTACAGTTTGTTTGTTTGGAGTTTTAATCAGCCTAATATTCTCTCATGCCAAGATACACTCTTGAAGTACTATTATGGATAGTTTCTCAACATTGGTGCAAAACCAGCAATAATTTGTAAAGCATATATTTATTGTGTGAAAATGTCCAAGAGTATTATTTACCTTATTCTCAAAAACCTCAGGGAGAATGTATTCTTTAGAGCCGACAAGGCAGGGAGAAAGTCTCTTATCAAGACTTTTTTGGGAAATAAGCCCTTGTGCCCCCATAGAAGCTTGCAACCCAGATAGCTGTGTATCAGTCCTCCCCTCTCTCCCCTCCCCCCCCCCATTAATAAATGATGAATGGTGCATAGTTTACCTCAATTTCTTTATCCTTGGCACTTTCCCGCATACTTTGCTGTGAACTGGAAAATGTCATTTCCCCATGTTGTTTTGCTGAGGTAGTTGCTTTAACCTCCTCTAGGCCTACTGGAGTTTTTCTGGGAGAATGGGCTGCTACCAAAGGTGTCTTAGATGCTGTTTTTAACTGAATCCCTCTCACCATATCATTTGCCCACTCTGGTTCTCTACTGTTAGCACTCCCTGGTAAAGAGTTTGACCTCAAACCATTGCTAACAGGGGGAAATTTAGTTGGAGAATGTCTCATGGGCACTGTTGGCCTCAAACCAGTCCTCATTCGTGACATTGTAGAAAAATGTTAGTCTGCTTTTTTCAAAGGTTTTCACTGTTTGGAAGCACAAATCCAATAACCAAAAACAGAATAACTGGTAATCAATCTTTAAAAATGCATCTAAACGTCGGAATATTGAGTTGTTTGACGCGATGAGTTCATTGTCTATGTAAATACAATTTACTCAAGAGTACATAACAAATCAATTCTCAATGGTCTAGATAAAAGCATTAACGTATTCATTAATTCTTGTAAAGTACAACTGGTTCAAACCAATAATTTCGCCAAGAAAACCACTTGGTTGTTCTGAAACTTTTGGTGGATCACGATTGTGCGAGAGCCTCACTTAGCAACCGTTCAATGAAATAAGTTTACAGGTCGCAGGCAATGGTGATATTTCCGTTTCTTTATACCGACAACATCGAGGTATTCAGCGATCTTGCTTTTTCCCAGATAGTTTAGTTCACACGCAGCTGCAGTGTACCATAACAACCGTTATTTTCCCAACGCTCAGGATAGTTTGATGACCTTTTTCAGCCACATTCTTTGAAGAGGTGATTCCAAACGATCTCTGGCAGCAAATTACAATAGAAGCTGGCTTCTAATGTGTCATCAAGTTAGATTAAAGAAACAACAGCTACGAACGAGAACAAAAAGCTGCCCAAAGACTAATCTGCATCACAAAGTGAACAATATGCGAATGTCCACCATGTTTACTCTAAGGAGTAGGGAACTGGGGAAAGTTGTGTGTATCGAGCAGACCCTGGGGCAAAGCTTGCGCATGCTACTGATAAAACCAACTTATTCAAACTGACGCCGCACCACAGTTTCTTCATAAAGTTACCCTCCTTATTCATGTGTATACACTTGAACACAACACAACAGGCACAATTTCTCAACTTTAAATTTTATTTAAACATCACTAAATATTAAACAAAATAAGAGATCTTGAATGAACCCCAAACCACAACTTTTATGACTAGTGTTATGTCTGTTCTTCTTCACATAGTGGAAAAGACGAGTCAAATACCTTCCACTTCAGTTATAATTCCACTTCAATTATATGCTTGTTTTCCAAAACACTTGAAATGGAAATTTCTTGTACTTATATTACATCTCCGTTATAAATAAATACGATAACAGATAGAGAGTTATTTTTAAGCTTGCTAAATTTTTCATTATTTTTATATCAATTTCTTCCCTGGACCTTCTTCCCTGACGATGTGGCGGAGAGTTTAAGCGATTTATGCCCGGTGCATAACGCTATCCCCCACCCCCAAACAATCGTGAACAGGCGAATAGCTCATTGGTAAAAAATATTGTAAAATCACCCACAGGGAACATAAGTTTTAATGTTCCAGGTTTGACAGATACCAACCATAAAACTTTTTGAAAATTGGCGAATACTTCATAAGAAAAATGACGACGTTTTGACTCGTAGTAAATTTTCCAACCTTCATCTCTGCTCTTCATTTTCATTTTGGTAGAATGTGATTAATTAAGCCCCTGGTGAGTGGCGTAAAAACGGAGATGCTCTAATGGTGTTATGAAAATATTAAATTTCTCATTTTTAGCTTAAGCTGCGATAGAGGTTCTGTTGACGGACTACGCTTGAGTTAAACGGCGATAGGGATAAAATGGAGATTGAACTGCTCTCAGGTCCCTACACTATTTGGCAGATTTATTCAGAGTCATGTCGTTCCTTTTCCCTGAGTATACTACCTCCTTCAATCAGTGATGAAAATGCGCTAGCGCTGTGGCTCCAAGTTTCTTTTCCGAAGGTTTAAACGAACGCGCCTCCAAAACATGATGAAATTTCCGTCTGCCAAACCGAGTCAAGTATTGAATCGGCAAATTTTGGTTCATGAGAGCTCTGTCCTTTGTATTCGGTCTTTCTTTACTAGTATCCTTGGATTCGTTTTTACTTGTACTTTTTGGCGGAGGGCCTGTTTGATGACCTAAAACCCGAATAAATGCAGTTTCACATGGAAGTTTTCTTGCAGTTTCGTAAGATTTGCGGACGCGCTCTCCACATGACGAGTTCGTGGAGCTAAATATTTCACACTTTCCAACTGTAACGTGCGCTGGCTTTGGTTTCGAGCTTGCTGCGGTTAACACGAAACCTCCTATATGCAGATTTCCTTTCGAATTAAACTTCTGAGCTGTGATTATAGCGTTCTCATCGCTATCACTGCTCTGTAACGCTTCTTCCACCGGTTTCTCCTTCATTTCCACTTTAACAGGCACAGCAGTTTTCTCTGTTGCTATACGGTTATTTTTCACGTGACATTCCGTCCATTGAAACTTTGGAAGCCGGATTCGTTCCTTGTGAAATCGTTTCGAATCGTCCTCTGGTGTATGTTTGACCGGGTGTGAAATCAGTTTGTCGTCCACTTTATGCGGAAGGTCGGGAATGGAAGGCATACAGGGAAGAATGGGATCTTGTGCTAATTCGGGCGCGGTTCGGATTACATCTTGACGATTTTTCACACCATCTGGTTTGTCTCCTTCTGAAGTAGTGCTCTGTCTTATTCTTCTTCCAAGTTTTTGGGAAACTTTCTTCCCATTTGAAGCAGTAACAATGAACGGTAAACTTTCATTATTCAACTCGGTGTCACTGTTGAGCACTGTTTTGCGATCGCCGCTCTCTTGCCTTTTTCCGGTGAGACAGATCTTTTGCAAATCACTACAAATAGGGAAGAAGGAAATCCAAACGTAAGATTTAAGTATTGAGACTGTGATCACACATGATCTAGACAAAAAAAATTATTTCTCGCTCTTGAGTAACTTCCAAAGATACTTAAATTGATCAAAAGTTAGGACCCTTCAAACACTCATCATCAAGCGATGGATTTTTCTCTTTATTTTTCAGAAAAAAAACTTGTGAGATCCCCATCCTTTTCATATCCTTGAAGCCTGAAAATAGTACATCCCTCGGACGGAGCATCTGCACACAATTCCTGATGTTGAGCCCCCCCCCTCCTAATCTCAATAACTTTCTTACCTCCTCATAGCCGCAACTTTGTAGTAGTCTGACATGGCCTCAATGAACTTCACCCGGTCAAAAACAGTTTTGCTGAAGTGATAATAACAACATGACTGATAAGGAATCTTATTAAACTCAAGAATTTATAATATATTTTCCTCAGCGTTGAGATCACGAATGTGGAAGTCACGTTTGAATGACCAAAAGTTACAAGAATTAGGTGCGAACAACCTTATGACCAGAAACAAACATATCTGATAGGCCACGTCCTTAATGCATCAACGCTACAACTCCTAGAAGATCAACACATTTCCGCACTCATTACCGATAGAAATAAGTTTCAAGCTAACATGATTGTACCGTAATTTATAGCCGAATTCGACGAATGATTCTTAAGGAAAATTATCGCAACTAATGGGAAAAAAAGAAAATGTGAAGGATAAATATATCCTATACCTTATTGTGTATGATACTATCTTGGCCTCTTTCGTTCTGTGGGGCGCATAGAATGGTTACACACTATGTGATGTGTGATCAATGAAGTGAAATTATCTGCTTGTATAAGCCAGAAAAACGTGTGTGATGTGATGACGCAAAAACGTATTACTCAATATCCGAGGCGCAATATACAGACTTAGCGTAGATTGCGACATTAATTATCTATATCTTTGCAGCTGGTGAAAAAGCTGCAGAGAAGAAATAAACATAATCGACTGGTAAATCGAAAAAGGGCGAGTGTACTTTGGTGATCTGAGGGTAGACTAGGCGAGGAGCTTTCTATTTCACAGTGCTACTTGCCAACCAGAACAATACATAACTATAGTACACCAGTCTTTTCACACCTTAACCCTTTAACTCCCACGAGTGATTAACATGAAACTTCTCCCTATAATATCAATACATTATTCAGCGAACAGGAATGAGAATATTTAAACCTATCAGGGAGAAGCTGCTATCTTGATCTCGCTCCAAATTCTTATGGCTAATTTACAAGGAAATGTGTAGCAGCTAGAGGGGAGAATTAACAATCAGATCTTGGGAGTTAAAGAGAAATCGCAGAGCGAACACATAGGAACGTGTGCAGAGCGCGAGAGCCACTTTATTTTTCTCCCACCCACTTTCGTACATGTTCGCGTTCGTGAAAAAAAAACAAAAAAACCGCGGTTCTTATTTGGCTCGTGCTCTGGACGACGATCTATGTGAAAATAGAGAGTCTGTGGACAGACAGGGAAACCTGGAAAAATTCAGAGGTTAATTCGCGATGGACTAGTATTCCGTCCTAAGGTAGTACTAATACTTGGTGTCTCTTCGTATTAGAATGAACCTAGGATGAACTACAGCAGTTTTGCGAGTCAGTATCATATGTGAACTTGCTTTTTTATTTACGCATTTATCGAGAGGACTAGAAAAAAAGTAAAAAATTTAAGGAAAACTTTTCATCCTACCCTTAATTTCTAAGGGGAGCACATCGGAAAAGAAGAGGCGGAAACACGTTTTGTAAACCTGAATGAAATTATGAAATAGGTTGTATTGCACATATGAGCTGAATATAACCAAAAGTACGTGCTTGCAAGATCAAGCAATGAAATATGACGCCTATCAGTAGTGATCATAAAGAGGAAGACGTCCTTAAATAAAGTAATCATTTTAAAGCAATTTTGCTCCCTTTTACGTGACAGTAAACACGACATTCATAACTCGTAATATTTACCGACGGATGTACCATTAAGTACCTCATCAGATAAAGATCGCCATGAAAAATTAGTAAGAAAACTATACTTGTGGAAAAAAAAATTAAAATACGGTTTACAGGTATTGTAGTGTCTAATCACCTACCGGCCCCTTGGGCAAAATCAGCGCAAAATGTTAACCAGCGAATAAACATATTAGCGTGAAAATACGAGTGTACAGAAGAAAATGTCTAACACGAGGTTTCGCGTAGTGACAATATGTTGTTATTTATGTATTCAACCGCGTTTCGCAACTTCAAAATAAATTCTTCCGGGGAAAACAACGGATAAAATTTTTGTGGTTTGCTTTGCAGTCTACTCAGTTCAGAAGGTAGTTTCCTCAAACAACAAATGTCATATAATTTCAATCAACTTGTCAGTGTCTCTTTATATACCAAAGGCGAGCAAACCATGCCTACCAACATTGAGAAACGTATCAAAATTTTCAGGTTTTTTTTTAAGAAAAAATATAAAGGCGTGTTATACTCTGAAAGTTTGACAAATTTTGGAGTCATTTTGGCCGCATTATATTTCCCTTTAAGAAGGAATTTTCCCACTGATACAAGGGGGCTCAAACCAGATAAGGCTCCACATAAACAATTAAAAAAATCATGTCAACAAACCTTACCTCGAACTCCCGACCTTAGGCAGGTAAGGATCTGGAACATCAACTCCTAATACTGGCCTCCATTCCTCCCCACGTTCCAGAAAGGCACTGCTGTGATTTTCTCGGTACTGCTCGATATAGCGACTAGTTTTCTCATAATGTCGAAAAACAAATCCACATTCTGCCCGCGGTAATTTTCCATCTTTACGCGTGTTGCTTAACGACGCGTGTTTCGTTGGCTTCCGTGAAATTTTTCGCTCAAGCGACGGCGCCCATCCGCAAATGAATTCTTTTTCCCACCCCTTGCTACAAACACAGCCAGAACCTTCGGTTTTTAGCAGGCGATTTTCTGCGACGTCGCTGTCATCGTCGACTTCTTCACTGAGCGCCTCCATCGTTTTCAGTCGTAGAAACAGACCAACACATTTTATGTTAATACGCCGATCAAACTCTCGTAGGGGTGTTAAATTATTGATTTTTCTCTTGAGTGACTTCGTTATCGGTGCGTTGATTGGCTCCACTAAGCACTGATCAACAATGACAAAGAAATTGCTGTAGCTATGTTTTAAAGGACACAATTACAACCATTTTGTAGTGACATTGTTTGCGCAAGGCTTAAGCAATTTCAGTATTCTTCGGTGTTAATTCACACTTCAAAAATTATGTCGCATTGACTTGAAAAGAAGTCGATCACCTGAGCGAAGATGTAGTAACTTGTTTCTTTCATGCATGGAAAGGCGTATGTTGGTCTAGTATTAGCAAAAGATGAACGATAAGTCTAACTGAATCCTCAAAGTGACCTTTATTGTGTAGACAACAGGCAAACAATAAGAGAATCAGGACCCTGCAGAAGGCAAATGAATTTGTTTTATACCGCTACGTGCCTTCGTTTGTAACAATAAGGTCACTACAGTTGTTACCTCATAAATATCGTAAGAAATTTAATAACAAGAAGCAAATTCAAATTAGAAAGATGGAAATACACCTGAAAAACCGGGATTTTCATCCTTCAAAATGAATAAACGCAGTAATAACAACTGTTAAAGTTAAAGAAGACGATCGATGATTAAAAAAACCTTGCGTGTGAATGCCACATTAGCTTAATGGATAAGAAAAAAAATTTAAAAGAAAGAAGAGAAGAAACTTCAGTTGGCGAATTTTATTAGCTGTCTCCGCAATTTATTTATTATACATTAGAATAAAATAAAAAGAAACAGACCAAATTAACAGAATTTCAGTGATAACTAGTTTCTGACTGGTAAAATAAATTAACTATGTCCACGATTTCCACAGAAACACCGCAACAGCCGAAAAGATCACAGCAGTTCCGCCACACCTGGCAAACCAAGAACAAAGCAAATGGCGTGCATAAATCATGGTACAAATGACAGATATAAAACACTTTTGTGTAAACGAAAACATTGAACATCTAATGCATCATCTATGCACCGGACAAAAATATCAACAGCTGAAACTAAAAAAGTACCCCCGGCCGTCATACGTGTGCTGCATTCAGATTCGAGTCTAATTTCATTCAGATTTTTTTGAGATTCAAAGTCCGAGGGTTGTACTGTTCCAAGAAGAATTGTGATGGTACTGTAAATTTTGGTCTACAAGGCAAAAGAAATAAATTCCGCTGAATTTTCACAAGGGAGTTTTCCTTGTCAAGTCACTTCAATCTCACTACCTCAGTATAAATTCTCTGTACTGTCTGCAGGACAGTTCTTCTGATTTCAGCTCGGAGAATTTGGTTTTAAGTCAAATGATATACTCTGACTCGTTGTTTTCTTTTTTATTCCCATCACATTTCCTCTCGCAAAAGTGTTGATATTGGAACGACAAATTCCTTATAGGTCATCTCTGGTAGTTCAAGGGTAAGGAAAATTGGCATACATGAGCAGAGAAGTCTTTGACAGTTTTTGGATAAGTATAAACTGTCGGGTATAAGTGGAAAAAAATCCGACTTAAGTTTCCGTCCCCTTCCTGCAAAAGAAAACTTGCTCTTATACCCCAGTAATACGATGTCAGTTGGACGGTTTTTCAAACTCAAGTTTCATATGAGTCTTATGTTTTGAAAATACGAATTTTCTTTTCTCTTATTTCCTCCTGAAGAGGAGAAATGTTTTGAAGAATAATTGCTAATAAATAATTGTCGAAACAAAAAGAGCTCTAAACATACGTCATCTTCGAACAAGCTTCACTTACCACAGAGCCACCTTCATCTCAGGTGAATCTAAAAGTGGGTGGTACTGCCTTACACTGAGCGTTTTGTGGTGTCGAAATGTACGCAAGACCTCTTTTGCTCTGAGAGAGGACAAAAAGCAAGATTATGAATTTCAGATGTAAATTATTACTAAAAGAGGCCCAATATCCAATTCAGAACAATTCTCTTGATGAGATCATTCATTAAAAAGCCTCATATTGCGCATGATTCATAGATTGCTTAAGCAGGTAGTACTTAAACTACCAAGGTTACCCTACAACCATGAACCACGCTTTTTAATACATTCCTTGTGATCTCAATTTAACTGCGATGGTAAGCTTTCAGACATATTCAATAAAAAGTAATTGATGAAACATAAAAAGGCAATTTGAAACTAAGGCGTCAGTGGTCAGCCGGGCATTCTTTAATGAAGCAAAGAAGAAAAAAAAGAACAAAATGAGCCATCAACTTAGCTGGCCTCGTCACGGCTTGTCAATAATGGGGAATATTCAACATGGTAGCCCATGGTAGAAAGTGAGAAATGGAAACGACAAACCCTAAACTGTATGATGCAATGTACAGTTTGCATGGAATAAGCTCGACTTATGGAAAACAAAATAGGACCCGAACAGAATTCAGCGAATGCACACCTTGGGCTAGATTCCCACTACACTACAACATTTAAGCGATTGCATAACATTACTATTCAGCATTAAAAACCGCCTTAAAGTAGGGAAAAAAGTACACAGCACTCACTTTCTACGATGAGGGACAGCTACTAGTGCGTGTTGCAAGTCTAAAATTTTGACGTCCACGGAACTAAAGTGTGCAAATTCCTGAGCCAACTGTCAAAAGATACAATTTGCCAAAAGTAGAACTTGATTTTTACCACTGTATAAAGGAGTTTGAAAATATTACAGAGAAGTTATCAGATCAGGTATGACAACAAAAGAACTTACTGTCCTGGCAATTAGTGGCTTGGTTTTTTCTTTGGAGGTAACGTAAAGCCATTGAGGTCGAATAGAGGGTGTGTCCGCACCAGCTAAGTTCTAGGTAAAAAGATGGTAAGAATTTGTTAACGGCAATCATTGTGAGAAGGTTAAATTAAGCACAAAAGTTCACTCACATGCAATCGCAGTGAGTAAAGCATTTAAAACTTTACAATCATAAGTCGCATGCTGGGTTTTTACTGACAGGATACTATCGCCGGATACTATTCGGTGTTATTACTGATCTGATCATGTGAATAATTGCGACCAATCAGGATAAGAAATGACTATAACGATGAGGTTTCTACAAAGAGATGTTGATTGTTCAGACCATCTTACATACCACATATTGTACTTGTGCTCTGCTCAAATGTAATAGATTCTCGTACGGCTTTAACACGCGAAGGAATTTTGAAAATGGTAACGGTCCTTCGGGAGACCTTCTGTAGATTAACAGAAAACTTAAATGGAGACATGCCAGTTAAACAAGAAGCATCATAAAACATGGGTTTGTACATTGAAGATCCTAAAATTGCTCTGTTTCTGAGACTAGTAGTGATACTGATGACGATGTTAGGGGAAGCCAATCAGAAGACACTATTTGAGACTGCCATGAATCCTTATCAATGCAGTATGATTGGTCAAGAACGATAACGAGTCACTTACCTTGATCCCATATATGCCAGCATATGTGCCATCCGAAGAAAAACTGTTGAGAAGAATAAATACTAATACAGTAAACATCACTCTTTAAGATATACAAAAAGTATTAGCAACATCTGTTTGTTTTAACGTTGTTCTATTGAGTTCCTGAAATAAGTAGTCCAGCAACGTTTGCTAGACTTGGATAATGACAGGTGGTTACGAGTTTTCTTTACCTCTTAACTAAATTTGCTGCAATTCTTTAGAGGGTGGTGCTAATTGTTTGAGATCAAAGCGCGTCATAAGCAGTTAAATTTGTCCTTCAAGTAACTGTGCGCGCTTGGGTTCCCTACGTTTTATCACTGTCCTTTCAAAAGTAGGAATTCCCGCGATTTGTACAACAACTGGCACGGTTAAAAGAAAGTTATACTACTTACCAAAACCGGAGAGGAATGAGTCATACCCAGCTTCATGAGGCATTTTCTCGTCGACTAAAATAGCAGGAAGAAAAAAGAACAACAAAAAGTTTTTCAACATTTTCCAGCTAAGTTTCATGAAACAAATGTAAAAGTATGCATCCTTGATTTCTCAAAAAAAAATCGGATCAATATGATCCCCTGACCCAACAACAATCTATTGATAACAAGTTAAGGTTAATGTTGGGTTAAGGGAGGGGTAGGTGGGCAGTTTCCCTGATACTGATATTGATCAAAAAAATCTTTACTAGGCCTCTAGTACTGTCTCATAAGCATATAATTTAGCTTTTGTGACTCATGTACTTACGGTATCTGTAACATTTTTCGGAAAATACCACAGAGGGTGCGAAAAGGGCAAAGTACTGTGCGTCACTACTACAAAGTAAAAATAAAGATGTACATTCAATATAAAGTAACATATCTGTGGTAAAGTTTGTTAGTAATAAACTCACATGTGGGGGGAGGGGGGGGGCCGGGGTACTCCTCCCTTGTGTGGCTTGAATGATCATATGTCGTACAACAAGGTATGTTTTTTGGGGGTCTAGAGGAATACTATTTTACCATCAGCGTCTTGAACAAGATTCCCTAAGGAATCAGAAACCTTGAAATAGGTCACAACTATGCAGAACACGATCTAGTTATGTGGTACTAGCAATTTCTTTCAAATCTCATCATAAACAAGGGGATAAACTTCTCTTTTATCCCTCAAATACAGGCTGCCACACTTCAGTTTCATCTTACTCTCATAGCTTCTCCTTGTTCTATCCGAGCTTTAAAACGATTAAGTATTCTTGACTGTCAAACCAACCATGTTTTCCATACCTTGACAGCGAATTGTGAAGGTTTTCTAAGTTTGTGTCATCAAAAAAGTTACAGTGCGAAAAGACCTAAATACAAAACAAATGGACTGATTCAGTAAACATGAATGAACGTAACTGAGGCTGAAGTCAAATAAGTTTCATCTGTCATGATTCTTAAGTTCCCGATCTTGTCAGCTCAAACGATAAAGCATGGGCGTCTTGTGACCTTTTGCTTTGCCTGATTGGCTATTGCCATTGCCTTGGTTCTGACTTTATGACTATGTGATTCAAAACACGCCGGGGTCGAAACGTCAGCTTTAGAAACTCTTTACGGTGGTTAATTTACAATATTAACTCAGTTGATTAAATCAAAATACATGGAATGTTTCCTGACTTCTCGACCAATTAATAGTCATGTACTCACCGGATTCCTACTAATTTCAAAGGCAACCAATTTTGTGTCATAAACCACTGGAAAAATTTTGTGAAGTTTCAGTTTAAAATCTTTAAAACTCTCTGTAGAAAAAAATATATGATTAACAAAATAGTTAAAAAATACATGAAGCCCAGGTTGTTCTTAAGTAATTATACTAAACACACAAATCTTATCAAAAACAAGGAAACAAGAAAGAAAACAAGCAAGAAGAAAATTACCAAAGAATATAGGTTCGTACCTGGCAAATGTTCATAAAAATTCTCATATGCTAGCAGCAAGTCCGTTAAAACGTTGTGTCCTACAATAGGCTGATTATTCAATCAAAAAGAAGTTTTTATAAACATCAAGTCACCTCAAACACTATAATGCTGTTAATCATTGTTTATTTATTCATCTATTACAAAGTATGATAAAACAAATTATGGCTGTTTAAAATAGCTAAGAGTTTACCAGTACTAAAAATGATAAGCTTTTGACCAATAAGAGCATGTGTATTATCTTTGTTTGCTCATGTTTGCTTCTTATAAAATTTACTGGAGCCTGACTGAGAGACCATTTGCAATCATCAGACTGTTATAAATATAAGTACCTTTTTACATGATGTTAGAACTTGGAAAACTTTGGAAAACCCCAACAATGCATTCAAGATTCTATCAAGATAAAAACAAACATCGTAAGATGGATAAATAAAAAAATCAATACAGTAAGAAAAAAATGAAACAAATATTTCAACTCAGGCTTTTCCTTTGGAAAGCCCAAGTAATGAGCATAGGACAAAGAGAGAGGAGGGAGGTGATTACACTTATTCTTGTGCCTGATTCCAGAAAAACTTACAGATTTCATAAAATACTCATTTTTCAATCCCTCTCAACATCTGTTTTGCATGTGCCAAACGATTGTTACTAAGTGACACCAACAAAGTTGCTCCTAGGTGTGAATAATGTCATTTTATCACCTCCTTACTTTTCTTGTTCTTGAGAAATTAGATCTGTGTTTCTCTCTCCATCAGACTCAAGGTTTGTTAAGGGTAGTTTTGTAATTAGCATCTAGAAAGACACAATAGGAAATGAAATAATTCATAAGAGATCACAAGGTAAATTGCACAAAAATGACTGAGAAATTTCAAGGAGAATGGCAGGGACCAATTTTTCATAGAGATGTCTGTTTTATGGGTATGTCTGTCCCTGAAAATTGCTTTGGTTTTTAAATTGTTTTCCGAATTTCATAGACACTTAATGAGAGGTAATTGATCAGGAGTGTGCAGTACTGCTCTTTATTGCCCAACAACCCAAGAGACATACTGTTTGGGGTAAAATGTCTCTTTTCCTCCAACATTGTTTACCTTATACTGCCTCTTGATTGTGCAGTGGACATTGATAAATCTTGTTCTTATTTCTTCCAGTAGAAGATACTGGGCTTGATCTGATAAAAATCAGCAGTGAACAGATGTGATCACCAACATCTTTGATGATAAACCTGATATCAGTTGTCAAGTTCCTTATTTAGAAGGATTATAAAGGTAATCACTTAAACAAACATTTTTTAAATAACTTAATAATCACTTGCTTGGAGTACAGAAATATTACAGTAATTGAACATTTTAGATTGTGACCAAGCCCTCTTATGTGGAGAAGGGGAGGTGGTGGGGGTTTAAGGAATTGGAAAGAAAAGAAGAAAAAAAATTAGCTCTTCATCATCTTGACTCCTAAAATTTCTAAACAAAAATCTATGCTACTATGATTAAAAACCTGGTATATTGGTTCCGCACAAACCCCAGAATTATGAAATACATCTCTACAACTTTCAGATTTCAGGCTCAATTTTAGTTCTCAACAAGGCTCCAATTTATATCATTTTCAAGGATGAGCTGTTCCATCTGCATTCAAACTTACAACTGCCAAGGTTAAACTCAATTTCATCTCCAGCCTGTGCTGTCAAGATCCAGTCCTCCAGCCTTGCACAGTATCCAGTCAAAACATTATCATCTATGATTCTATGCAGGAAAAAGTAAATTTACATCACTTTTTCCTAATTAATAAATGAGTTACTCTCACTGGGAGTTTTGGGTGCTTGGTGCCTAGCATGCTAGACAAAGGAGAAAGAGATTCATGTCTCACTCCTTGCTTGGTCTTCATGTTGCATTCTTTCACACCAAATTCCCAAAGCAAAAATCAAGCAAAATGAGACACAGTGCAGAAAATTGATGTTTTGATCTTGGGAGTGAGAAGGAACTCTTAAAGTGCTTCTCTAGCAGAAGTATGAATTGATAGAGAAGCCCGTAAAAATGCTGGTGATGGACTGGTATTAGATGAGATGCAATACTCCGGGTAGCTTTAAGACATTGACGAGGGGAAGAGCATTCCAAAATTTCAGAGCCGCATGTTAAAGAGCTACCTGCTTGCTACAAACTTTGTTATCTTGAACCATGAACTTAACTATGAAAAACCTAACCACTAGAAAACAGAACTAGAACTAGTAGCAAGCAATTGTAATTTTGGATTTCCCTACCTAACAAAATATCATTGGTTAAATACCTTAGGGTTTGTGACTGGAAACTTTCATAAAGATTGTGATTTTTGTGGAACTTTTGTACTAACAATAACTGAAAAAAAAATTTAAAGATACTTTTCCATAATGCGATCAGTCAGCTGGTAAGATAATTAATATATTTTTTTTAAAACTCATAGAGACAATAATTTGCTGTACCAGCAACTATCCATACCATTCCCATGCTTGATTCCTTTTGTTTAAGGTCTTCCCCTTTGAACCCCACTGTAATTCCACGATGATGACACAACTTTGGTTTTCTCACTCCCTGACTTTTTTTTACCCTAAATGCTTTAAATTTTCAATCCCCAGTAAACCTCCACAGGGTGAATATCCATAGATATTTCTGCAGATCTTACATTTATGAGGGAGGGGGGAAGGTGTTGGTACACAAACAACAGGTTGAGACAACAAGAGGATTCTATCATACACATTTCTACACATACTGCAGTAAATTCTAGTCCTGTGTTTGCAAAAGACCAACTTCAAAACATGTGTTGTTCTCCTGAGCAGGGCATGTGAACCCCCCTACATAAATTATCACCCTAACACATAGCTTATGTAAACAATACAACTGTAAAAGAACATAACAAACACACAGCTACGTCGCATACACCCTACATAGTTCCTTATATATTTGTGGTAAACAAAGTGTAACAGGTACATGTAAAACATGGGAAGATACATGCCACAAGTAATTTACACTACCTGGTCATTATTTAAGAAGGAAACTCCATTATAAATAAACTGAAAGATAATGGAATATCAAATATGTCTTGAATAAATAAATAGATAAACAAATAACAGGACAAGGAACAACAATGAAACTGTTTCACTCCAAAATGATAAAAATATTATAATTATCTACTGACAAAATTTGTTTTAACACTTGCTGGTCTGAAAAGAGATCAGAGTAATAATTTATAATTATTTCCTGACTACTGATAGCCTGAAAGATGTTACTTGATGGAGTTGAAACTTAAAAATTGGAGAGAGTTTGATACTATGAGACACAAAATTAAAACATCATTAGTTTAGGTTTGAGCCCAAAACAGTTTATAATTGGGGAAGAATGGAATAATTTTGTGAACAGGCTCACTGAATACCTTATTGAAATCAAAGTTATGCTGACACAAGAATTCCAGACTTGATGCCTGAAAAAAAAGAAAAATATTGTCTGAGACTTCGCTGGTTTAGGCTTGCAGTAGGAAGACAGCCCTGTCCTTAAGGATAAATCAATAATTAAACTTTAGATCAATTAATAGAACTGACATTGTGCAGAACTGTCCTAATAATAGTATGCAAAGTATTGATCAGATCTATCACTATGAAAGGATAAAAGTCACCTGACAAAGAAATCTGACATCTAAAGGTCCAAATGAATTTGGAAATAAAGAGAAATTATATGTATGTGCCGCATATCTATAAAAGAAAACAAAAACAGTATTTTTAAAAGAAATTTAGAGGAAATTAAGAAACCCACAGTAGCAATACTTGAGAGCTACTCAGGGGGGGAGGGAAAGGAGGTAAATAAAGAAGCCAGGGTAGGGATCATAAGATTGTAGCACTAGTGTAAATGTTCCCTTTTTCCTTCACATCATCATGTGGTTTGCAAGGAAAGAGGAGATGTTTCCTGGCAGTCAAGGTTTGAAATCAGTGATAATAGAAAAATTTGAAGCATGGTAAACTGTATGGTATTTAACAAAAGAGGTTGGAAATGAGTGGGAAACATCACAAGGGTTATCATTGGAAGTGGAGGAAGTATAAATAGTGTACAAACAAAAAAAATATTTTGGCTCAGAGAATATTTTAAATTTCACTTTAAAGTTTATCAAAGCTATTTTTATAGTGGGCCAGATCAAAAATAATTAGTATGAATCTAGAAGTCCTTTCAAAAACATACCTGTTGGAATCATCTTTGGACTGAACAAAGGCAGTTAATCCTGAGGAAAGAATAAATCTTAAAACAATAGTCATTTTAAATATTTCTCTACTTTTTAATCTCAAGCTTAGAAAAACATGTATTGGTAATAACAACTGACAACTCACCAAACTGGCTGATCAGAAACTGTGAAGCAGTTTTCTTCAATTTTTTGTATCGTGTTTCAGGACCATCAAACAAGCTACACAACAACACAAAACCAGTTAATAAATGATCATTGTTTCAAAAAAAAATCTGTTTCCCAATCAAGCAGAAATCTTAACCTTCAGACAGCATATCTTTCAAACAAATTTCAGTTCAACAAGATAAGATAGATCATGAATAATTTAACAGACTGAGTATACCATGGGAAGGTGATGGTAAATAGTAATTTTGAGCAATCAACCAGTACTGATCTAAGAAGTAAATTTGCTGTTGCATGAGCACCAGACAGAAACAAATTTGTTTCTGATGATCTTTAACTACTGTAAGAGAACAACAAGTGAATAAGATATGAAATTTTCAGCAAGGCATCAAAAAAAAATGTCACAAATGAAAGCTTTACCTTGGCTGAGAACCATCAGTGGTATAGAGGCCTGTGAACTCTGTATCAATAGCTAATAGAATAAATAATTAAATCTATAATTAAATAAATAATGGATGATAGTATTTTATGATTAAATGGTACTATACCTGTTGAATCAGCTATATACCAATTTTTCAACAGAAAACTGATTTATGAATAATCAAGCCAACTCTTTGCATACAGGTCTGGTTTTAAATTATTTTTAATATCAGTCTGCAGTGCTATGATTTAAGAAGAAAATGTTTCAGTGTTTCAACTTGATCTCTGATGTGTTTTTTACTATGTTTAATATTAAGACCTAATTGAGGATATTTTTATAACTAATTCCCTATCTCGGAGGACAAAGTTGAGGGCTTTGGCAAAGCACTCCATCTGGAAGATCCCTCCTGCACAGGTACCCAGTACACCCTACAGTACACCCCCACCTGCACCCACCTCACCTACCCCCCACCCCCCCAGGGGAATGGGGAATGGCTAATGACATCTTCACTACTCGTTGTTTAAAATCTATCATTCTAGCGTTTTTATTTGCCAATGCAGGCTAATGCACCACAATCAAGGAGAATTAGGCTCAATTTCATCCAAAGTTCTGGCTGTCTTACGTTTGTTGGTATAATGGCTCATGTTATCGCCAAGCATGGATCGGACTGACGGATACTTAGTTTAGATCGCTATCAGGAACCTTTATCAGCCAAGATCGTTTCTTTAAGGAAACTCTTACTTACCTACGAAAGCGCTTTGCTCGATCGCTTCTTTGATCTCTGGAAAAAGATCCTCAAAATTGTCCCTCACAACGTCTACCATTATCAACCAACCAGCAGGAATTTACCTAAAAGCACTGGTTCTGAGGTCACGTGGTATGTATTTCGTTCTCCCGCCAAATTTGAAGATGGCGCCTGTAGCGTTTACGTTTGTAGTTCGCTTTAGCACCGAGGTACGTTGAACAACAACTTTGCTTTTGCAAATTTTTTCGTTATTTTTTCCTCATAATGATTGCAATGCTTCTTTTTAAATAGGATGCAATCTTTAAAGCTGAAAATTTATGCAAGGGAAAGACAGATGCCACGAGCGCTTGGAAATGTGCGAAAGAAGACACGAATTGTGGTCGCATGGAAGCTGAATTCCAGCTCGAAAAGGCCTCTTATATCAGTCACATCGACATTGGTGTGTGTTAGTCCTTCAATGAAATAACAGTGAAAACTTCTAAGCTGTATCAACAGCTCAGCTGATTATAAAGCCAAGGAATGCACGTGATTCCTCATATCTTTGTTCTTCTATTCATGTTTCTTTGTGCATTCATTTGCTTAAGTGTAACACCTTTGTTCGTTTTTGGTTTTTTGTCGCTTTTCTACGTACTATTAGTTTAATTTTCCATATTCTATAAAAGACATGATAGATATATAGATATCTGAGAAGTCTTCATTTCGTCCGCCAATTTTACCGGAGCTTTTTACTGTTTTACAAATGTAATCCGACTCCCTCGACAGTATGCCTTTACCATGTCAAAATGCAATGGTATATAAGGTAAACACGGGAAATAACGCCTCACTAGTAACCGTTAAAAGCGCCATGAGGGAGTTACACACTGAAATTTTTATACTGGAATCCCCTTCATGTTCGATGCCTGCATCTTAAACTTTGAGGACAAGCAATAAGTTCAAATAATTTTGCAATATCTTACTAAGTTACCTTAGAAAATTTTCTGCTGTAAAGTTTCCCAAGGGTCTTCAGTTCTTAATGCGAAAGATGTTTCATTTTACAGTAGAAAGGAGGATAGGGAGGTAGGGGAGATGCCCTGGCCAAGAGTCAAGTGTGCTAGAATGTCTGCTATTGTACACTGATTATTGCTCTGCCTTCTTGAGAAAACATTTTACTCTCAGTGCCTCTTTCCACACAGGAGTATAACTGGCTCCTAGAAAACTGACAGGGAAGCTTGACAAATTAAAAGCCTGTGATTGTCTAGTTTCACATCCTCAAAAATAGTTATACTTGTACTTTTATTTGCTTTTTACAACCAGCTTCATGAAACTCTACTAAATCTTTTCCCCAGGTAACTGTGGTTCTTCCTTCATTGAGATTTTGGTTGGAAACTCAATGTGGCCTCAGGAAAAGCCATTTTTAACTTTACTACCATCAGCCATGCTGATGACCCCAGCTGAGTGTAAACACTGGACTAAGACACACACTGTTAGAATGTTTAATCACAGTATGTATCATAGTGGATCACATTGTACTGAATGTTATCACACTGGAATATATGTAATAACATAATATGCGACTATTACAGTCTATAGTCTGTATCATTTTACACTACTACCTATGTTGGTGTAATAATCATGATAAATTAATATATAGTAAAAATAAGTTAACAGCATAAATTCTTACAGCATGGATATTGCCAACTAGAAGAAATTATACGGTTAGTTAATGGTGTAAAATCTTATAGTATGTATATTTTCAGGCTAAAAAAAATTACAAATGAATAAAGGGGGTAAGTTTCTAAAGAAACTGTGGTGCTGCATCAGTGGGAGAATATAGCAGGTAACTTACTGCTAACAACTGAGTTGAAAACGTAAATTGGCTACCATAAAGAGTGAAAAAGCTGGTGTTTCAAGTGTTAGCCCTTCATCATCCCTCTGACAAAGGGCTAACTGACTCTTTTCCATGGGAAAATGTACCCTATAGTTAATGAAGACTAAATAAAATATTTACAAATAAAGTTAAACAAATTTAAATGCCCAATGAAATTGAAACATTAGATATATATATATATATATATATTAAACTTGGTTGTGTCACCCTTTTTTATTGATGGTAAATATTTCTAATTCAGATTCCTTTTCCAAGCAAGCCCTAGGAAGTCAGTGGGATCGCATAAGAGTTACCTGTCGACAACCTTTCAGGTCAGACAAGCAATTTGGGCTGTCATTCATAAGGGTGGCTTCAGTTGAGAGTGACCCTGTATCAGTCCCTCCTGCAGGAGTATCTGGTTCAACAGCCACCTTAGGGCAAACTTCACATGATGTAAATGATGATGATGGTATTGTGCGATTGAAGATGGCATCGGGCCTCATGGGTTGCCTTAGGTATGAAGCAATTGTTGTAGGCAAATAATCTCAGTCAGTGCCTGAACATGCCATTGTGTTCTTTCCAACAAAGAAACAAGAAAAGATTAGTAAAAACTTTTTTTTGTAAATTAATTTTTTAGGAGTTTTGAGAAAGGAAGCCCTGAAAGTCCACTGAACAGAGCAGGAAAGATGTTACAGGCTGCTCTAGACAGCAGATCTCCGACAACTCCAAGGATCAAACCTGGAAACAAAAGGTCATCACCTGAAATTGCATCCAGTCCTGAAAGTCCTTACAAGAAAAGAAACTGGCACTCACCCAGTGATGGTAAGTCTGCTTGTTTAGACAAAGTTAGAGGCCATACAACCATTGTTACCAATAACTAACATTAGCTTGACCTAAAGTCTAAGATTACAGTAGAACCCTGTTGACTTAAACTCCCAAGAGAAGCAGAAAAATGGTTTGAATTAGCATGGGTTCAAGTTTGTTTGATAGTAAATGACCGCAAAAAAATGGATTGAGGGAAATCAGATCTTGTTCCAGTTACTGAAAGGTTTGAGTTAGCAGGCTACTACTGTATATTTGAACCACAATTACCACACTTATCAGTGTCACATGGTGATATTACCACTACTTCATACACACAGATTATAGGGACTAGTACAAAAAAAAACAGAAAAAGGTACGAGACATAAATTAAGCTACTGAGACACCATGCAAAAACCTTTCCAAAGGTGGTAAGATGTTTTGTTATACGCACAAAGTTATGGATTACAGAGGGAATCTGAGTACACTGGAACCCCACCAAACAATCTGCCCCTGACTGGAAACTTTATAATTGTTTCCTGATGATATTCCAGAATCTTCTTTAAATCATAACCTGGCCCCGTCATCATGACTGACCCGACAACACTTTGCATTGGTATCCCAGTTACTCTCTGCAGAACTTGACATTACCTCTTCCCTCTCATTGACATCTATGTTGAATAAAAACTTCTCACACCAGAAATTATTCTCCATTACAGAAACAAATTTAAAGAAGAAAAAGCAAGAGAAGACATGGAGCCTTGCTGGGGATGTAAGAATAGCATTTCAATCTGTTCTTTTTGTGCTTAAAAAAAACCCTTCTATTTCACATGCCATAATTTCAGGAATGTTTCCAATCCAACCATTCAAGTTAAATTTACTCTTCAGTTGACAGTTAAAGAACAATTTTTGGAGAAATACATAATATATATATATATATATATTTTTTTTTTTTTTTTTTTTTTTTGTTTTTAGATACGTGATGAAGTGGAACTATTTCTTGAGGATATTGACTTCACAAAAATTGATCTTGGAAGTGTTACATTTAAAGGTAATCAATTTTATCTTCAGTTGTATTCAATCACAATTTAGTAGGATACCTTCAAACAAGACTCTAACTTTTGGCTCAAAACTGACGTCTGTCAAAATTAAATGACCAGCATCTTTCACTGGTTTCATGCTATGAATATTAACCCTTTAACTCCCAGGAACTCCCAGGATCTGATTGTTAATTCTCCCCTCCAGCTGCTACACATCCCCTTGTAAATTTGTTGCAACAATTTGGTGATAGATCAAGATAACAACTTCTACCTAATACATTTGAGTATTCTCAATACCTGTTTGCTGGATAGTGGATGGATATTGTAAGGAGAAGTTATGTGTGAATCACTTCTAGGAGTTGAAGGGTTAAATAGACATGTTTTTATGTCCTTTAACAGTTTGTTAGCATATGGAGAAATGCACAAAGTTTCCTGTTGGAGTTTTAGCCTCTTTCACTTGACTAGACCAGGATGGTAAACATTATCTCCATTTTATCTTCATCTTGTAAACTACAGCTTTCTCTTTTTGCAAGACATATATTAGTATTTTTGTATGTATTCCAAAATTTTACAATTTATCTATCATAAGCTTAATTGTCTTAATAGTTTTTTGCTTCAGCTACTAGCACTTATTTATTTGTAGAGGGTTCATAAACTCTATTGATAAGCATGACACGACTGTATGTCAGGTACTTTGTGTTTCATTGTCTATTTCAATGTGTTTTTTTTCTTTCACCCAGACTTGAGAAGCCAAATGGAGGCACAGAGGGGTTGTTCTCTCACCAGCCTTGAGAAGAAAGTTTTTCTTCAGGTAACCTCTGACTAGACAACTGACAAAATTAGTTGCAAATGTTAATAAATGGTGAGATTTTGTTTGAATTGTCTCTTAATATCCAAAGTATTTTCTTTTTCACAGATGACAAAGGCTGCCATTGATAAATTACAGCCAGCTGCCGAGGACAGTGATAGTGATCTAGAGGTAATCTACACTGTGTGCACCTTTATGCCTGTCTGTAGTGATAAAATTAGGACTGCTACTCTCCTAATAAATTAACAGAAAGAGATCTCCACTTTAAGTTCATTTTTTGTGATGGCTAGTGATTCTTAATTTTCAGGATGTTTTGGAATTGTCCACAAACAAATGTGATACAAGTCCAAGTCTTCAAATGGGCAAAAATCCTAGCAGAGCAAAGAAACAGCTCAGAGAGAGGTTAGTTATTCAGTAAGAACCACCTAAGTAATGCATTCCAATAATGATATATCTAAATCCTCCTTGAGCTTCTTTAAGTGGAATTTTAACAAACAAAAGGTCTGGTTGAGAGAGGCAGATGCACAATTAGCATTAGCAGGCCCTGTTATTGTTACAAATGTTACTTTTCTTTGTTTGTTTGTGTGGATGACTTCATACAGGGACTTGTTGGGGAAGAACTGTTACATTGTGACTGCTCATAATACAATCTTTGCTTGAAGTTTTAGTAATGCAACATCTGCTTCAGAAGAGAAACCCTCTGCAACTATGAACCAAAATCAATCACCAGATTTGACATCAACTGTATCTATGCCTGAAAACAAAACTCATAGAAGTAGGAAGAAGCCAATTCTTTCTGTTGACATATTTGAGGAGGACATCCCATCATCTTCATCGAGGTTTCTTGAGGATGACACAGAAGAACTCCCTTCTATGTTAGATTCTTCTGCTAATAAGCCAGCAAAAGAAGAGCTTTTCCACTGTGGCAACTATGAATTGTCACCATCACTTGCCAAGAAAGCATCATCAATATCTTTAGTGGAATGCCCAATCTGCAGCATGTTCTTCCCATTAACAAAGATTGAAATTCATGCTGCTTTATGCAATAATAAAACAGATGTTTCTCAAACTAACACTACCCTTGAAGATGACCATATTCCATGTCCAATATGTTCTAAGTTGTTTCCACTGGCTTGGATTGAACAACATGCTGATATTTGTGTGGAAACAAGCAGAAGCAATGATAGCAATAACATGGGGAGAGAAGTAATTACTACTCAAGGGATTTTATTATGAGTTAATAGATAGATATATCTATTTTTATTATGATAGAAATTTGTTTGCACATGAAACATTGACATACATTTCATGTCAATTTTTTCTTTGAGTGCATGCTGACACAGATAGATATATCTATTTTTATTATGATAGAAATTTGTTTGCACATGAAACATTGACATACATTTCATGGTTGATTAGAGAAATATTAATTTCCTTTCATAGATCAATATATTTTGTGTCTAAAATCCTTTTTTCGAGTTTGATTTAGACAGGTGATCTTTGAAACCTGCCTAGAGTAAGAGTAAAGTGAATATTGTTTCCTAATACTGTTTTGTTGTGTTTAGTAAGGAAATTTAAAGTCAGTTTGCTCTCAGTGAGAACAGTCATTTAACTAAAGCAGTTTATAAATTATGATCCCTGGAAAATGTGACTTGTAATGAAAGTTTTTAGCTTTAAAATACTGTAAAGGTACAATTTTTTCTTTGAGTGCATGCTGACACAGACAGACAGTAGTACTACATGTACACACGTTATAACCCTGAGTGTAAAATATCTTCAGTTACTGATTTATAAGAAAATATATTTGAATTAGATACATGGCAGTTTAATATAAGCCACAACTAGGACTGTGTCTATTTTGTCTACAAACTGGTGGTCTTTTTCAATAGATTCTTAAACATCCTAATCTGTGTTATTTACCCTTAATCACTTTTATTAATCTTAGATAAACATGTGTATACATTTCTTCTGTACTGGTTGGAATGTCCACATTTCCATTGTGTGAGTAGGCATGTCTTTACTCAAAGTGTTTCACTTAATACTTGTACTGCCTTATCATAGTGCAGTAAAAACAGATTGAAAGAGTAAATGCTAATATCAGTGCTCTCCATACTTACCCAAACCTTGATAAAAGGAAAAGGGGACATGCATTCGTAATTTAAGGACTGAATAAGTTTGTGGCAATTAATATGCACCTGCAACACCCAGCTACACTACCACATTAGAATGCAGTGTGACAAGCCTTTAATGATGTAAACAGTTGTCAACATAAATACAAGATATAAAATCAGGAGAAATATGGTTCTGTTAAGCTGGCCTAAGTTTTCAATGTTTAAACTTTCAACTTTCTTAGATACAGCTGTCAGGTTTGATGAAGCAAGACATTGATGAAAACAGGTAGAAAATGTACTTTTTATGTAATTTTGCAAAACCTGATATATTTACAAGTTCAAGATTAAAAGTTGCTAACATGTAAATACATGGTTCAAAATTCAAGTCCATCCAGGACAGACTGTGGTATATCCACCTCAAGTGTTGGTTCCCAGAAATCTATGGGTAAAAAGCTGTCTGAGGGAATCAATTCATCTTTGTTGATAGGCATTACTTGGCAGTCAATGAGAAGCTTAGCTACATCCTCCCAGCTGGTCATTAGACTATTATTCATGCTTGTCTTCTGTTGACAACTGCAAAGTAATTCCCTAGAGGTAAAATTTAATCAGAGTTTATGAGAACTAAACATTCTTGAAAAAAGGATTCAACAAAATGTGGTTATGATGCAAAATAATTTAAAACTCGAACAGACATTGAAGTGAAGAAGTGTCAGTGGCTTCCTAAACTGCTCAAAAAAGTCCCATGTTTTTAATTAGATAATATTTTATTATAATGAAATTGATTGTTTCATATTTTTCATAGCCTGGTAGGCACATTCTTTCATTCTTTTTTCCCTGAAATACAACTTTGATGCATAGACATTGCACAAAGCACATTACGAATATGGTTTTATTTTTAAAAAATAGTCTCCAGTTCAAAAAGATTATTGTAAACACTTGGAATCATTATACAAAGCTCTTCCTTGGGATATGAGAGTAATTGCTATTAACACCATCTTGCAATCCCCAAAATATTGCTTGTAAAATTTAAAAAAAAAAAAACTGAATATTATAAAGGTGTAATAGGTACACAAGAGAGAAAACAGACTAGAGTACCTTGTCATTGTGGCCTGTTTTTCTTTGTTCCCACAAGTGTCTGCAAAGTTAGAGGCAAAGACAGCAAGCATGAAAACTAAAAAAAGACATGTTTTTATGTAGCTGGAAATGGTTATGTATGTGTACTGGTACCTTTTTCTTTGGATGGTATTGCAAATAACACAAGAGGTTTGCCTTTATAATGGACCTGTAAAGAAACAACTAAACTGATTAAAAGCCATGAGATAGCACAAGGAAAGCTTGCACTGCATTAGATCCCTGTCAAGTTGTTCAATTGGGTGGGGGGGGAGGGAGGGGAGGGTTTAGACAAAAAAATTTGGGTCACCACTCAGTAGAAGTAGATGTTACATAATTTTGTAGATACATTTTAAATTTTATCACAACATCATTTTTATCATCGATAGAGCCATTGTCATTTGTGTTAGTACTAAATTACATTTGCCACTTGCTTTAATTTGTTTTAACCTGACATTTGTTTATCAAATTGTAAGTACATCTTTGCATCGTTAATTAGAAATTCCAGTCGTTGTGTTGGCTTAATCGTAATTTTGTATCTATTTACCATCTTGTATGCATGAGATTGCTTAATAGTATTCCAACTTCCTGTCACTGCCCTCATCCAAGCCATAGGAGTGCGAAATGTCTCTCCACCTGCAGACTCTATTAAGCCATTTGACCTCAGAGAAGCCTCAAAATTCCTTCCCTGTGGGGTAAATATGACAGAATAAATGACATTGAAAAAGGATTCAGTGGCAAGTTTTGAAGCTATATCCACAACACTGGGTAAATCATGAATGCATTCAAATACAACCCTTTACACCCAAACATCAGAATGCATATTCTCCTTGCTGTTCTCAATGCATTTCCTAAAATGCTGACAACTAGATTAGAGCTTCTCTGGTTGATGATCATATCCTTTATTCTCTCAATGTAAATGTGTGACTCAAGGATGAAACTGTAACAAGAAATTAAATACTAGTCACTCTTATTGTCAAGGGGATCACTTTACCAACTCACAACTGTTGTGAGGAGATTAAATCACCCCAAAATTTGAAAACTATGCTTAAGATATATAATCTTTTTCTTCCATTTTTAACATTTTATTTTCATCTGAACATTAAGCCTACAATTCATCTGCAAAGTAATAAGATGGTCTGAGATTCAAATCTTATGATTTTATCCTAAGCTTAAAGTTTCTGGAAGTTATGACAGAATGTTGGTCATACAAAATGTTGAGAAATTGAGTATTGTTGAGCAGTATTGGGCTGGATATGACTCAATTTTTTTCAACAAGGTCCATGGAAGATAGATTATATGCTTTTGTTTTAACTGGTATTAACGACAATAAATATCCACCTCGTGCTGTATTGAAAGGACATTCATGCCTGCTTCAATAACATTGTGGCTAAGAAGGCTTTTTATGTCAGGAAGGTCTGAGCCAAATGAACCTTTTCTTTGTAAACCTGAACTCCTTCTCAACAGTGCTGACTGCAAAAGAATTGTTATGCTCAACTGAATATTTGCCCATTATTTCAGTGGTAAATTTGTTTAGAGGATCTTAAATTCCAGAGGGAACTAATTAATACTATGTGATGGCAGGAAAATTACCTGAATTCAAAGCACATAGTAAAATCCTGTTTATTAATCCCCTTTCCAAAGCTAATTCACTGACAAAACAAGCAGAATTTGTAACAGTATTTGTAAGATTTCATACACCTTTATTTCACCACAAATTTTTTATTGGTGTAGTAACCCCAATTAAAATTTCCCTAATTGTGAACAAGTTTAATGCATATAAAGTAGACAGTACCTGTGTGACCTAAACTAGTTAAGATTTTTAGTGATACTCACTGGTCCTTTCAATGGAGTAGAAGTTGTTTTAGTGGCTTGTAATTTACTTGGTACTGCAGAAGTAATCTGGGAGGGTATGTTGACTGATGATTTGGCCCAGGCTCTTGGTTGAAGCTCCGATACTGTCATGGAGTTCATACTTGACAGTTGGGAAGGAGTGGTTTTTTGGCCTGCATGGGTTGCTTGTGTAAGCACTTGACTACTATTTTCACTGCTAAGCATAAGTGAGCTTTGCAAGGTTGAACTGGTACTTGGATAACTCATTGGTTGCAACGAAACAGACGAACTTAATACAGGAGTATCGACACTGGACACCAAGGAAGACACCATAGGTATTCCACTGAGCCAAATACAGCTTGTCCCTGATTGTGCATCAGAAACATTTGCTGTGGTGAGCCTTGTTTCTGTTGCTGATGCAGAGGTCTTTGTATTGGAAGACAGCCTTGCTGTGGTAACATGTGCCTGAGGTGGTTGTATGAAGGAATATGACTTTGCAACACTTGTATCGAGTTCTTGAGGTAGCATATAAACTTGCTTTCCTTCTACATAATGTACCTGATGGCCAGTTAAGACCGTATCTTGAATGCTTGATTGGAGTAAGGGACGGGTCACTGAAGTATGAGTTGTAGTTGAAACATGTCTCCCATTTGTAGGACTACAACTTGTCATCACATGACAAGGCTGCGTTTGATCTTCCAAGGTTGTGAACTGTGAGGCAGTAGACAGTGTTAAGGGCTGTAAACAGATACTGGTGGCACAATTAATGGTTTTTGTACATACTGTGTCTGATGACAAATTTATATTTGATGCCAGCATAGTCATTGATGCACTTGACACAGCACTATTTTCTTTAATTTCTAGCTGCATGTTCTTTGCTCCATAAGATTTACAGTGCATCTCTACAGCTGGTAAAACATTCTCAGCAACTGTCTTGGCCTTTTCTTTCAGCATTTGTATTTTCTCAAAAAGATTCTTATGACCTTGGAATAGTTTTAACAACTCCTTTTGTTGCGCAGCAAGTTCAAGCAGCTTACACTTAGTTTTGTTAGTCCACTGTGACGAAAAGCCATCTTGGTTGTTCTTTGACTCAACAGTAAAACTTGCAATTTGATGTCTTTGTTGTTTTTGGTATCGGGTGAAGTGAGCAAGTTGAGTCTTAACTGTAGTCATCAGTTGTTTGACTTGAGCAAAGATTGAACTTTCTTTAAGTGGAGTTCCTAAAACGTTATAGATAGAACTCATATTACTCTAAAATCAACAAGTGGAATTTTCAGACCCTCCTTAACCCTTGAACCCCTAAAAGTGACTAGCATCTAATTTCTCCTCACAATATCACCCCTAACTCATGCAGTCAGATCATGAGAATAAAGAAATTATCAATGGCTAAAGAAGCTGTTGATTGTTACACAAATTCTCCTTGTCAGCACAGTAGACAATGTATGGAGAACAGTATGGAGAAAACCTTTACTGATGTTAGGGCGTAAAGGGTTAAAAACAACGCATTTTCTCCTTTACCAAACTTCTGGCTAACATTTTTTTTCTTTTGTTTTGTTTTGTTTGATTTTATTCCTACCTCTTGCCAAGTCTGACTCGAGTGTAACCAATAACTCTGCAATTTTATCTTCGTGTTCCTTAATTGATGATAGTTTTTCCCCTGCTACTTTGTCTTTGGTTGTCGAGGAAGCCTGAGAGCTCTCCAGATCTTCACAACCATGTGTTTTTGCAGATCCTGTCTTGTCTTTGATTGCTAGTTTCTGGACTTTTGCATCCGGAGGGAGGAACTCTGGGGAGCTAGGGCAATCCCTTGTGGTTGTAACATCAAGGTTAGCACTTTCATTCAATACGAATTTCCTGTATAAGAAAGAAAAAAGCGCAAAACTCACTTATCATCATCCGCAACTAACCTACTAAGTAACAATTTCACCTTGGTTTTGTAGCGATTATTGAAGGTGACAATTTAAACGAGCTCTGTGTTGCTGGATCGTCAATTTCCTCGCACACTGTTTCGTCGCTATCACTCATTGTCGGCAAATGTCCAACTACTGACCAACTACTTTGTTAACGAGGTACCGCATTTCATGTAGCCGAAGTAAAAACTTACAGAAGTGCGAATGAAGGACGGATCCAATCCTCTTTCGTTCCCAGGACCTCTGTGCGGAAAAAGTTTTCAAGATGGTGGATTGATTTTCAAAATAAAAATTCATTATCCTTTCCGATACTTGTATTACGTTTCGTACCACATATTTTAAGCCTCTTTCGTTTCGGGAAAATTAACTCATTCCGTTTTAGTAACCGGCTTAGGGTTTTCCACAAAATGACGGTATAGGCTTCGCCTTGAGCGTATCTGTTTTGATCGTAATGTATCATTTGTAACGAGAAAATCTGGAAAATCGGAGTGTAAAAATTCGAAATATTCATGAAACAAGATCAGAAAAGGATTAAGAAAAAAAAATTAAAAAAAAAACTATGCCGAGACCCGGGATTGTTCAGGGATCGTTCGAACCCTCCGGTTTGAACCAGGGACCTTCAGATCTTCAGTCTGACGCTCTCCCAACTGAGCTATCTCGGCATCCTTAGTTATGTGAGGTTATCTTTAGTTAAAAATACATTTCTGCTTTAATCTGGTACAAGTTCTCCTGGTTCTTAGCGTTTTGATGTTCAGTTGCCACGCACTAGGACTCTTTCCTAACGAAAAAATGCTGCATTTTACGAACGTTTATGAAATAACTCCTCATTTGATGAAACAGCCAGAAAGAGTGAGGACTGGGTATGGGTAACGCAAATATCACAAGCTGATGGGTTTAATGTAGTCTACCTCTGTCTACCTCAGCTACACTGTAGTCGCTATTTTACAGTAATAATCATCTTTGCTTTCTCCTTAGCTATCGGGTTTTAGTGATAGAAAATTTTCTGAATTTCTTTGGAAATTGATTTGATAATTAGCATCCTTGGCATCTTATGAAGAGTAAATAATCGGCTTGGCTTCGATTGAAAATCAGATAAAAAGCTAGTTTTTTTTAGCTCGGGGCTGGTGCGTTCAATTTGTAATACAGGCGAGAAATTAGCTCCTACGCGAATCTTATAATTATCGGCTATGAATCGTTGCGCTTTATTGCCAGAGACGGATAACCAACAACATTCTTATAATGAATCACATCTTTCCTGTTGACGAAAAAAAAGTATGAATTCAATCGAATAAACGTTTTGACGTGCGTAAACTTTGCACTCGATTTTGCGTGGTATCAGAGAAACATTTTGAAAATAACCTCAGCATATCTTCTTGGATTGTGACCTCACTTTGATTTGTTTCGTCTGGTCTGCCTTTCTTTTTCCCTCCTTTATCAAGTTTTGCTGAGGATCAAATCGCTCGCGGTTTCTTAATGCTATTTTCCGAAAAATTTTGATGACCTCATTTACCAAAGCCTACGGAAACCCACTATTTACCTCCTTCACCAGAACACTTTCATGGCTTTGATAAAAAAAACAAAAAAAAAAAAAAAAAACAGTGCATCATTTTCGCAAGTTGAATGAATTGGTGAAAATCCTGTATTCGTAGCCAAATTAGTGTTGTTTTGTGCATTTCTCACGTTATGATTAGCACGTCAGCGGAAGACAATCGTTTTCCCTGTTTTTAATTTCATCTACATGTCGGCTTTTACGGAGAAAACATTGTCATAAAATTGTTTCCGACACCGGAAAATAGGCTGGTTGTGTTTAGGGTGCTAAATTACAAATAAGGGTGGTTTGGGAATTTTAAACGAGGAATAATGCACTTTCCACCAAAGAGATTTTCTTTAGTAGGTTAATGGTGGTTTCCTTCTCTGCGAGTGTTTTTTACTGAATGTTGTCGCTGCATATTTTACCCGCACGACTAGTTCATAGGTTTAGGAGAAGCTGGTGTTATTGTTTTAGTCGAGCCAATGAAACAGGATTATTATAATGGTGTAATATGCTTTTGCGTAGGAGCACTCGGCTAGCGGAACCATTTTGTTTTATTTACTATAGCGAAGACATTAATGAGAAAAAAAGTGAGGTCAAGTGACATGTTTTCAAGAGGAGACACGCTCAATATCTGATGTGTATTTTGCTTCATGGGAGCTCACGACCAGTTCCATCTGACTTCTGTCTGTTCTCGTTGACATTCGAAAAGTGTGGCAAAGCATACCCAGGGAAACCTTTAGCTTGTGCTGAATCAGAGCCCCACGCTTCAATTTTTCCCTGAAAAAGTCCGACGAGGAAAAATACTTTTGTGCAATCGGGAACATTTCTCAGATTCACTTGTTTTAGCCTTTGGTGAAGTTGTCATACCATTTCTATAATGGAAACCTTCTTGACTGGAACTGGTAACAACGACGACTTGTTTTCAAACCAGAATGGGTGCTCTTACTCTAAGCTTCCGCGTTTTGTTCATGGCAAAAAAGTGAATAACAATGAGAGCTTCACTTCGGTTGAGGAAGACAGTTCAGACATTCTGGTGTCGGAAGGGGACGGCAGTGGTTCCGAAATGGACATAACCGAGGATTATCCGAGCGAAACACGAGCGATTACGAGAAAAGATTCGACATTCTGTGTTCCATTGATTCGTGTCGAAGACTGGAGCTTTTCTGAAAGTGATATGGAAGATGACTTGGAAGACTCCTTGCCACCATTTAGCTTTGTCGGAACTAAGGAAAAGGTAAAAGTTTATTCAGTTTTTATTTTTTTCGTGTAAATTTTTGTTTTCGTGTTGTAAGAAGATGCAAGAAAAAAAAATGTGAGGTTGGGAGCGGACAGAGCGTTTGATTTAAAGGTAAACAAAAGTATCTGAATTACACTTCGTGGTTTATGTTGAAATGACGTAAATCGCTGAGGACAATAAAGGCTTAACTTCACACGGGTTTCGTAAAGTTTGTATCACCGAAAAATAGCTTACAAAACAATTAAGCCTTAAGAACTCACTGTTGAATTCTGATGAAAACTGTTTATATTGCACGAAACTTCGTCGCTTCAGAAAACGTCGAGAAACGAAACGTGTTTCAAAATACGCGTGAATTACACCGACCGTCACGGATTTTTATTGAGAAAAAAGGTTCACTAGTTGAAGATTGCTAAGAATTGATTTGCCTCGGCGACAATAGTTTCATTGTTTTGTAGCAAAAAAAATATACAGATACATATTATTTTATTTGTCGTAATGCTCTTTAAATTCACGTGGCGTTTTTAGAAGGAAGTACAATTTCCGACCATGAAACTTGAATTTAGTTAAGTATCAAGTGACTTTTCGAGTATGGAAAATATATATTAATGTTACATACTGAAAAACATTTCCGAGGAGATAGCTTTTTTGAGCCTCTTTTAGAACTAACGTCACGAGGCTGAGATTTATGAGGAAAAAGTATTTTAAGCTGCTTTAGTTTTTCAAGAGAAAGTTGACCAAAATCATTTTGTTGACTGTTTAAGTCTTTTGGCAGTTATTGATGTGCAATACGTTCAAAACAGAAAGCCCACATGCGTGAAAGAATGGTATAAAGGAAAATAAACTAAAAAACAAGCCTGAAACCAAAAATACGCTAATGTACCCTTAAGCCGCAATAATGTAAAAAAAAAAACAAAACAAAAACAAATTGAGGTGCTGTGTTTTGAAAAAACTTAACGAAATGAGATTTAATTCCGATGATGGAGCACTTAGTGAAAACAGACATTTGTAGTACGCAAAACACGATAATCGCAAGGAAGAAATGTAACAATTTGTGAAAAAAAAATAGGACCCACTGGACATCATTACAGTCTCAAATAAAAATTCTTTACGGTTGGTAAAAGACACAGGACAAGAACGGACTAAAGTTTCACTCGTACGAACTGCAAAAATCGCAAATTAAATTCTAATCTTTTATAAATTACGTGTTTTCAAAAGTTTTCTAAGGAAGAGTTGAAGGCCAAAAAGGTATTAGGTAAAAAAATTATACTGGGAGAAATAAACAGCAAGATGTACTTGTTATAAATTTAGTCCTTTCATTACGTCTACCATTAATGGAAACAAATTGCGAAACGACGTAGAAAATTTTTCCAGAGTATACGATTTCAGGGGCCCATTAACGATTTCTCTCGAAAAGTAATTCTAAATTGAATGGACAACATCGACAGATAACATTATACTAATTACATGACTAGATTTTATCAAAATGAAATTGAAAGCGTGGTTAGTGAATTTAATGTCAAAGTATGAACAAATTAGCATGAAAAAGAGAAAAGTGCAGTTAGCGATGGATTTTCACCTTTTTTTTTTTTCGTATAATTCGTTTCGATTAGATAACTTGGCAGTGAGCTTCCTTTTTGAACTTCACGAAAAAAAACAACGAAGCAACCTAGTAGTGTTTTCACCTGCCTCATTCATTTTGTTTCCTAAATATAAATTTCGATCTTAAAGTAAGTGATTTTGTCCTGTTTTCCTTGCAGAGTTCTACAGAATTTGGAAAGTGTCGAAGCAGATCTCGCTCCATCTAAGGAGAAGCAGTAACCATCAACAACAGCGAGTGTTGGACTTAAAACGAAATCAATATACTACTTATGAAAACGAAATTGTTTGTTTGTATCATACAGTTCAGTAGTAATAAAAAACACTTCTTTATTGGGAATAGGGCCATGCCCTCATATTCCCTAAAAGCCTAGAACCTATCCCGTCTCAGGTAATTGAAAAAAAAAACTGCATTTCGTGTCGTATGGTTCAATTTGTATCACTGAACACTGGGTCGAGGGTATTGAGACGCGCAGTGGACTAGATATGGGTCTGTGTTCAACTTGAGAGTTTGAGAGTGCATGATTCAACAATGAAAGGGTCAACTTCTTTCTTTACCTCGCTATTGTAATCAGTACTCGTGTTCTATGATTAGTCAAACTGAATGAATATATTCCATTTTATTCTAAATTAATCTAACGCAGTAGTTTATAGAGGGCGTCAGTTTAAATAACTAATATCTCTTTTTCGGCTAAAACTGATTAAACTTTGAGATAAAATAACTTTTTGAGATAAAATAACTTAACATACCAGCTGAAACAAAACAACAGAAAATGTTTTCTTAGAGGGAAACATCTGGTCACTTAAAACGTTGTCTATCGCGCACAGGTTATTGCTTAAAACATTCTAGGAATTTTAGACATTTTGCACGTACATGGTACAACTGTGCAACTTATAATGGAATTAAAATAATCATATACTGCTTCAGTGTGTCTTAAATTACGAAAAAAAATACCTAAGATGGCAAATACTACAATGAAAGAAAAAGTAAGATATTTCAATGGAAAAGACATCGGTATCGTACATTTTGATCTAAAGAGCTATCACATGAGTTTTTTTCTGAAGATGACGACTTTTTGACGCAGCCATACGTTCAGTGTTCTAACTAAAATCAGAACAAATGGTGTTAAGTGAAAGTGAACATATTCCCATTTGCGCTGATCATAAACGAAAACTATTGAACTAAGTCTTAAATCGAAATTGCTTGCAGTGAAATAGGATAAAGACTGCCACAGTGTGTGTAATGTCAGAATTTGTCAAACAGTTACGTTTTCATTTAGTTGATAAAAGTGAGTGTAAGCATTCCATCCACGGCAACTACAAACGGCGATAGTCACCCAAAATTTTGTGACTATTCTTCTTAACTCTTTAGATCAACCCTTGCGCAATTAATCACTTGTTCACACTTAATGCCAGAATTTTCACTGAAGTATACTAACGACTGAAAGGAGACAAAACGAATTCCAACTTCATCCTATCGACGTTTTTGTAAATATCATACTCAGCTTACATCACTGAACCCATTACTTTGTTCACTTGTTCCTTTATAGCGTTATATCGTGAAATATTATTGCGGCAGCATGTGAAAACTTAGAATATATACAAAGCTAAGAAACTATTGTGCATTAATTTTTTTTTTTGCAACGAAATGAAAATTCCTTGTGTAGGAAAATACTTTTATAACCGTTCCGTTTACAGTAAACGCATATGAACCCTTCAGCTTCCGAAACGATTAACACGTAACTTCTCCCTACATATTATCCTTACGTTATCAAGCAAATAGGTAATGAGAATAATCAAACTTATCAGGCTGAAGTTATTTTCTAGATCTAATACCAAATTCTTGTAACTTATTAACAGGAAAATGTATAACAGCTAGAGAGGAGAATTAACAGTAAGATCTTGGGATTTAAAGGGTTAAGCTCGGCTACTCAAACATCTCGCGCTTAATGATCCTTCAGCTCATTTAGTAAAACTGTTTACTTCCTGAAAGCCCACCGCTCCGATTTTTTATAATTAAAACCCGGCTACTTAGTCAGGTAGACGATAAACTTGAAAGCTTTTGTGAAAAGGGCTGGATTAAGATAATACTCACTTGTCAGACTAATGAAAAATAAGGAAGTATATTTGCATAACATTTAAATGCTGCAATTGAACTCAAAGGCTCGTGCAAATTAGTTTGGGCCATTGTTGTTTTAGTGTACGTTTAATAAACACGCAAGAAGTAATCATGTTTCCTTAGGGTACACCAATCGAAGAAGAAGGAAAAGGATAGTTGGAGGGAAAGACATTTCACTTGGATAACCCAATACGAAGTTGTGAGGAGCTTAATTTTAACGGACCTTGCATAATGAAGGAAATTGGAATGAAGCATTTAAATGATTTCGGCGGCTTTGTCGATCCCAGGTGTGTGTACAAGTTTGACTGCTAAGTGATATCTGTTTGTTGATGCTATCTCTGGCATAGTTCTGAAACAGGAAGACTTGACACTTAAAACGTTTCTGTTCTTTGGATTGACGGAAATTGCACTGGAAGGCAAAAGAAATCGAACCTTTTTGTTCTTCAAGTAAGGATCGTTTTCACAACTAGCGCGTCTACAAAGTTTAAAATAACCAAATGTATTTGCCAACTAGAATCTTAAGCTACCTTTTAATGAAAATAACGGAGATTTATCAACAACTGATTTAGCAAAGTGTATTACTTTTTGTGACCAGAGGTGTAATTAGACATGGCATCAAGTCACTAACAAAAAAGTATAGACTGACATACGAAGCTCTTCAATTATTCTAACGACTTACTCTTTCCAACAAGTCTACATTTCAAATTTAATACTCTTCGACGTCGATATTGTAGATCGAGGAAGGTGAAAACCTAAGCGGTTGTGGTCTCAAGTTTGTCTGATTGTTGAGGAGTCGGAAAAGTATTATCAAAGAAGCTGAAGATGTTAAAACGAGTAAGGAGGCGATCGAGTAAACATCAGGTAAACATGTCATTGTTTAAGATTCCATCAATGGATAACTCTAGATTTCTTCGAATACTTTCAAGTTCGAAGATTCTTAAAGTCCAATTCTCTCTTATGAACTATGGTCGGCGTATGGAAATGACAATTGTCCTTAAAAAGAGAGGGTTATTGTAAACCAATAATAATATAAATTTGGGATGTTTTCTGTATCGATGGGCTGACAGACTGCGGGCGGAAAAAAGTCCGCAAACTCACACTACATCAACAAAATTAACTCCGGGCTTCTGCTCCAGCATCATAAGGGTTTAAATTCTAAATAATTCCCAGTCGCCTTATTGAGGAAAACTTTAACAAGAAGGGTGCACATAGAAGGAGCGCCAAACACTGAAACCGAAGTCCAATTAGCATCTGATAGATAATATTGGTAATACTTAGAGACCATTATCATTTGTTCAAGTATACACAACAGTCGTCGCACTGACGCTGATTTTGAGTTCAACCATGTAACTAGCATTAATGAGTTCAAACCTTACACAAGAAGGCAGCTTATTTGAACAAAGAATTAATGAACAGAGCGAAGGACTAACGCGCTAAACGTCAGCTCTAGAAACCTTTCACGGTGGCCAATTTACATTATCAACTCAGTCGATAGAACCAAGTTACATTATAGTATCCCCCCTTACACAGTCCCCCTGCATAGCCCCACAGTTTATTTAGAAACTTACCCCCTTTATTCATTAGTGAATAGTTTGCAGCCAATCAGCGAACGGATTTTCGTAGGAGTCAATTACTCCCTAGCAAAATCTGGGTAAATATTAATCGAAAACAGTGAGGAAATGAAGGGGTAAAATTTCAACATCTCATGACAGTTTTGAAGGATGGTTCTGGAGTCTCTCGGCAGCACTTTTTTACATTGCAATCTAAACCATTTATTTATTTACTTCAAAAATAAAGGTGCGATTTACGTCAGTTTAAACAAGGGTAAATTCTTGTTTTCAGAATAAGAGCCTGATTAGCATTGGCTCTGAAAGTGATAATGAAGAAAACATTTAGGAAGTAAGCAGCGCACATGGTATTCATTAACTTTCATCAATCATAAATTTTAAAAGGATTTGTTCGGGTAATTAGTGATAATAAGCTGTCAAATTCTGTTTTTCACAGCTCATAGAAAAACCTGAAGATTTAAGTAATTCAGGGAAGAAAGACAGTCCATCGAACGAAGAGGTTTTAGAAAGAATTATCTCGGAGCTTCGAACTGAGGTGACAACTCTTAAGGAACAGCTGGAACAAGAAAAGAAAGCCGGGAGTGACGTGAAGAGTTTGAAAACACAACAAATATGTACTCTTACATTTAAACTGGCAAATGCAGTGAGACAGAGAGAGTTAGCCGAAGGAGAACTAGCTAAAGTGAAAAAAGAAATGGAAGAGCTAAAAGAGGTGTTAGGAGCACAACATGAGGAACTGAAGGCTGAGGGTGAGGAATGTGGGAATGATGGCAGCCGGCAGCAGGAGGAATCTGTCCTACAAGAGTGTGCTGTAGAAGAAACGGGCGAAGTAAACGAACAAGAAAAGATGGCTAAAGATGACACCATAGTTTTGTCTTTTCCTGACAAGGACGAAAAAAACCGACTGAATGATTGTGTGGACAATGGAGAGGTTTTTTCAGCTTTCGGCGAGGAACTGAAGGCTGAGGGAGAGGAAGGTGGGAATCATGGCAGCGGGCAGCAGGAGGAATCTGTCCCACAAGAGTGTGCTGTAGAAGAAACGGGCGAAGTAAACGAACAAGAAAAGATGGCTAAAGATGACACCATAGTTTTGTCTTTTCCTGACAAGGACGAAAGAAACCGACTGAATGATTGTGTGGACAATGGAGAGGTTTTTCCAGCTTTCGGCGAGGAACTGAAGGCTGAGGGAGAGGAAGGTGGGAATCATGGCAGCGGGCAGCAGGAGGAATCTGTCCCACAAGAATGTGCTGTAGAAGAAACGGGCGAAGTAAACGAACAAGAAAAGATAGCTAAAGATGACACCATAGTTTTGTCTTTTCCTGACAAGGACGAAAGAAACGGACTGGATGATTTTGTGGAGAATAGAGAGGTTTTTTCATCTTTCGACAACAAATGCGATAAGCTTTTAAACGATGACAGTTTGCATGAAGACTGGCCAACAGAAGTACACAGTCAAGACATCCCTTGTGATATTGGTTTATTGAGTTCGTCATTAGCATTGACTGATGACGACTGTACAAAAGGGAATTTGTCCATTCGAGATGAAAGTGAAGATGTCCACCAAGTTGATGCATCATTGCAGAGTTCGTTGTCCGGACCGTCTGATACAAATGAGGAAAGTCCTAGAGAAAACGGTGAAGAACTGGAGAAGATTCGGGAAGATGTTTGCAAAGTACAGGAAAACGCAATTAAATTGTCAGACACAAGCTATGAGTTGGTGGAGGATACGCAGAATGCTACTAAACAGAAAAATAATACCTTAGAAACATTAAGCCCGTGCTCAGTACAAAACTTTCCGCGAATTTTCTCAAAGATTATCGAGGAAGATCAGATTTCATCCCTACCTACCCTTCCCAAGGCTACTGATTACACAGAGGAAAAGTTTGGAACGTTACTGACGGATAATAGAGCAACTAATCAGAGCCCTCTCTCGTTCTTTGGGGAGGCCGACGAAGAACCAGATGTTCACCTTAAGGACTTTTTGAAAAAGGAAGGTGAAGAAAATTTGACAAGCGGGCCCGGAACAGTGCAAGAGGGAACAACTTTAGAGAGTTTTCTCAAGAACGAACCGGTTCTCAAAGTTTTTGAAACTGGTGATTACAAAAGTTCAGACAGGATTTCCATGATTTCCAATACTGCCGAAAATGCCACAGAAAGTTACATCCGAAAGGGCAGCGAAAACGAGTTCTTCTCCCAAACTGTGAGCCAAGAGGTCGAGGATTTGAAGCAACAGTTAAAAAGTGCCATGCAAAAGATTGAAGAACTGAGACTTGAAAACAAAGAAATGAAAAAAGAAATTGAAAACCTATCCTCCTCAACAGCCGAGAAAGCATTCCTTTTGAAAACAACAAAATTTACGGATCGATTATTGCGAGACATGAAAGAAAGAGAAGCAAAGGTGCATGTCCCTCAGCTTAGGTCATCTGCCTCAGACAAAATTGGATTGGAAAGGGAATATGGTCATACAGGACTCCCAGCGCAAAGTCAAGTTGGTTTAACAGGAGATATTCGAAGAAAGACGTCCATACCATTGAAGATCATCGGCGAAAAATTGAAAGAAATCACAAGGTCAGTGGAAAATATGGCTATGGATCCAGAATCATGCGAAGAAACCTCCACAGATGTCTGCAAGTCATATTTTGTGGATTTGAAGTCGCCATATCAAAACTACCCTTTTGAAATGGAGGAGCCTTTAATCAGACCATCAGAATCTAAAACATTTAGTGCACAAAGCTCACCATTTTTTCAAGACAATCCAGGGCAAACGCAAAGGGGATGTTATACTTCTGTGCAGAAACTTGGGGAGGAGAATTTAATCTCTCCAAAAAAATTTCAGCAACAGCTCATAGAGAGAGATCATGGCCAGAGAGAAAACGCGCTCAAACTTACCGATGGACTCACGCATGCGCCGGAACGGTGTGTCTATGAAAGCCCCCGCCGCAGGTGGAAGCTTCATGTCGATGCTCCAGACTACGTTCAGCGGTATGTGGTCCGCTCTTCTGCTCATATCGCTAACATGCGAGACCTAAAACCAGAAGAAATTGCTTTCTATTCAAAGCAAACTTATAAGTAAGCGGCTTGTCACTGCAGATTTTGTTTACATACAAACATGAGATCGGTCCAGCCTGCTTCCCTTTCACAGAGGTTTCCCACTTTTTACAAACATTTTTGTCATGGTGGCATTGTCTTGTGTGCTTGATTGGAACTGAAAATATTTGTGTGACAGGGGGTATAGCTAGGATTTTTAAAAAAAGGGGGGCGGGGGGGAGGGAGGTCATTCAGGAGAAGAGAAAGACCGGCAAATAAAGTAACTGGCCTCTTCTTATTGCACGTCTTCGCCAACTTGAGGATTTGTGTGTTGCTGACTTTTAAGTAGAAGATTACCTGCGATAAACGGACACAGCAGGGCCCCCCCTGCTATGCCATTAGTGCGATCTGAATAACCTCATATCTACACCGCGGCCTCTGAGGCTCAGCAGACTTGGTGTTGACAGAACTAATCGTTATCATATTCTTACCACAACACATTGAGCTTGTTATACGTTGCGTCTCAAGAAGAAGATGAAAGTAGAATGTTGCAGGAACCCATCAAGTGATGGGCTCCTGAATGTAGTAGGTTTTAAAATATGACAACACTATCTTGAGTCCTTATGGAGTACTTACATGAAAGGTTGATTTCATTATTCAAAAAGGGACGAAATAATCACGTTATTTATCATTTGTTGTAAACAACTCCTTTAATTTGCATCTGGGCTCTCAATTAGCAGCTTTCGACTGTCACTACGTACACATTGATTATTTGAAACAGCGCTGACCGAGTCGACCGATGCGTCAACTTATCTTAATCCAAAATCCAAACACAGTCTTGAGAATACTGTGCTACTCCAGTGAGCTTCCCATTCCTGATTGCCAAGTACTTCTTGCCATAATTTGCAAACAACACGACCGCCCGGAGGCCGTCTGTGGATTTGTCATCAGCCTTTAGAACCCATTCCTCTGCTCCATAATGCTGGCCCTTGGTGTAGATGTAATCGCCGTTGGGGTCATATCCTGTCAAGAAAATAACAACAGTGATTTAGCGAACGATAAGTTTTTCTAAGGACTGAAAATTCCCTGATATTTCAATAACTACTTCACGTTACAAACAAACTCACATACTGAAATTGAAGCTAATAAAACCACCTTTTCTACTGCCTCATGCAGCCTAAATTCGAAGAACGTCTTTCGTTTTCCACACCAATCTTACATACCTGTTTCTATGGCACTAACCTAGATATCCATTGGTAGCGTAATTTTTGAAGAAATGAATCTCTGACTTGGGCTGCTTTTCCTCGACCCAGTAGCTTGTATCCTCAGCTCGGTCTCTCATAACCAAAGTGCTGCGGTTGCCACTTGCTGGGTGAAACTTCACTTGGCCTGGATTGAAAGAGAACATCCGAACTCAGAACATCAAACTGAATATTCTTATGGTCATCAGAGAACGTTATTTGGAGAACTCCTAGAGTTAACTTGTCACTACGAGTCAATTCTCATAAAATGAGATTTTGTACCTGACTCCGCCAAGAATTTTCCAGTGAGTTTGTGTTGGAAGGCTCGTCCAGGTTTCTTTTTTATCTCGATTTTTGGAGCATTCGCGACAGGTGCTTTTGGCTTCTCCGAGGGATTCAGCTTGATATCATCTACGGGCACAGACTCCAGGGAGTTAATTATCTCCTTAACTAGGGACTCGAGTGAATTCTTGAATACAGTTCCCTCCCTATTATTAAGACAAAAAAGCAATCACTCAAATGAAGGCTAAGAAGCCTTAAGAGAACAGTCTGAGAGAAATCGACCGTAAAGGAAGCAGTTATCTCGCACAGGCGCAAAAGATTTGATTCGAGAAGACAGGGCTGTACATTACCGCGTGGACACCTCGCACAGGAATGAAAGAAAATGTACTGTATTCATTCATGATGAGGCCCTCAACAACATGATATGACAAACAGAGTGAAACACGAAACCTTTTTGATACAATGTCAATAAACGAGCTCATATCGAAGAAGAAGTGGCTTATTTACCTAAAGTCGACCCACAGAAGCCCAGCAGTGATAACACCTAACCAGCCTGTCGCTTTAAACCCTTTCTCGCACATCACAGGGACGATGGCTCTTGATTGAGCGTCTGCGTAGTTCAATTCCTTTTTGCAGTTCTTTGAGCCCTAAAATGGACAAAAGCGAACTGTATTCAAACATGATAGGCTTTTTTAAATTTCTCCTCCCCCTCCCCCTCCCCCCCCCAGAAATTTGACAGTCTGGTCCGGCTGTTGAGTCAATCGTTTCGTGAGGGATCAGTTATCAAAATCTAGGTAAGAAAATTATCAGCTTTGTCCGAGTTAGTTGTACTTAAAATCCTAAACTTACGAAATAATCCGCTGACATGAAACAGCAGACGACGGCCGCTCCATCCACTCCCTTGGCCATGCTAGAAATAGTGAAATTAAATAAGCATTTTGTTTCCGGCAAGGATTATGGACTATGGAAACATAGCATCTGATCGCAGGTAAGGCATACGGTTAACAGTAAAATCAATTTAATGAACTGATTATGTCAACGGACGGATGACCAGTGAACAGTTGTTTCGAAGTCAGTCGCTCACTGAAAGCACAACTGCATTCGAATAACATGCTTTAGATTGTTGATAAAAAAGTTGCCCTTGAATAAAACTTCATTAATATATTATATGGTAAAACAGAAAAGACAAACATGAGGCAATAAGTAAATGCGAGTTTCGCGCGTAGCGCACGCGCACCTGTCATTAATGTTCCCCGTGACTCCACCGTGAGTATCCATCCAAGCATCTATCCCGTGTTCACGTAGGCCGTGATACACTTTTTCCACCAGATCCTGTTTGTTCCACTGGTAAGACAGCATTATATGGTGCTTTCCCATGGCTACTGAGTGTTTTCTGAAAATATAGGGGAAGGGTGTTATTGGATTGTTTGTATTGAATATCTGATATCAGTCCCACAGGAAATGGGTAGTTTATGTTTCAGTGGGAAAGTCACTGTTCGGCGTGAATAAGCTGAATTAAAAAATAACAACAACATATCTACAAGTGATGAATAATTTAAACAAAGACTCGAAGTACGATGCCATAAAAGGAATAAGGCTTTTAATTCTTCAAATTCATTAGCATAGAAAACATAGTTGTCCGTTGAGCTAGCGGACAGTTTTACCAAGTTATCTTTGAAACCGTTAATATCGTTCAACCAAGAAAGGAAAGCTTATCAATTATACTCATTTCCGCAATTCAAGAACTGGTCCATGAAGGTAAAAAACTGTGCGTCCTTAAACAATCTTTCTCTCCCTCACTCAAAAATTATACCGCATAACGCAGCCTAAAGCTAATCCTGAAAGATAATTGTTGTTTTGTTATGTCTGCTTTTGTTTCAGTCTCACACCCCTGGATAAGCATGTTGCTAAGACTAATTTGCATAATTAGAAAATGAAAGTCGACAAGCTGTTAATATATTTTAAGCTCTTTCTTCCTCGTAAACTTCGATAAAAGCGCCATTTTTCGCAATGAAGTCGATGTCTAAGTCGTCTAAGGAAACCATGCTGAACATTTCCTGGTATCGATTCACTCAAAAATACATGATATTGAATTTCGATTGAAAAGAGATCCGCTTTGAACACCATAAAAGATTACAAAGATTACCTTTAATTCTTCGTCTTATTGGACGTACCTCCTTTTTCGTTTTAAAGAAAATCTTGTCTCCTTTCGACCTTTTCCTGACATTTTTATATCTCATCCATGAAAAAATAACGATCTAGACAGGATCACTTAGATAACCGTCGTTAATGTTTCAGCTGATGCACACAACATGGTGTAAATATGAGGGCGTCCATAACAACAAGTTTGGTTTCTATGGTTTACCTAACGGTCTCCGCATCAAACGTTTTCCCGAAAGAATTTAGTTTCCATGAAGCTTTTGGAGCAAATGCATATGTCTCGGTCGAGGCTGGCTCGATCAAGAAAGCACAGCAGGCAAAATTTAGTAATCGAGTATTTTGAAGACACAATCCAAACATACACAAATTTGCCAGCGACTTAGCAATTTCCATGTTTTGTCGGACTCATTCATGATAACTGAACTTTTTCTAAATTAAGTCTGCGCTACATAGTACAACATCATGCAAAGGATATGATACTAGAGCTCAAACACAGCCTCTTTGCACATAAATGAAAACCCATCGTATTTATATCTTGGTATCTACCTAAACGTTACCTGATTATGCAGGATTTAAAAAGATAACGTGACAGGTTCTCAACCTTCTTTTTCCTCGAGAAATGTCCTTAAAAGACTCCAACACTGAAGAGCAGCTAAGATGAAATTTTCCGTGGTATTATCGACTGGATTCTATTCTTTCAAATACGGTGTTAATTAGATGTAATTATTTCAGATATCATACTTTTTTCTATCAATGATTGGTTGGAAAGTCTACACCTGACTCCCTACACTCATTTGCAAATGCGAGCGGAAATCGTCACGCAAACAAGTAACGTAAAGAACTACACACACTCTCGTGGGGTGTTTCAGGAACGCGAAGGATATGGTGAGGGGATGGGTGGGTATTAGGCGCTAATGCCTCCAGCAGTTTTGATTTCCGTTTCCCGCCTTTTATTACTAACCACTGTTAATTATGATTAGTGCATTATTGCATTTCTCTTCCGCATCCCGCCATCGTTATTGCAAAGGTCCTCTCCTACACTATACCCCTCTCATCCACATATTTTCCAAACTTTCCCCTCACCGAAATCTTCCTTGCTTTCTTTTAATTTCCTTTTTTTTTGGCAAAATCAATAAGCAGATCAAAAATATTATTCTTGCCTGTATTCTAGTTACTACGTTTGCCTTACCGAGGAGAACTCGCTAAGTTGATGGTTTGAGAGGTTTTGTTCTCTCTTCCCATTTTATACTTTGACCAAGCTTATAAATATCCTGGAGTGTCGCTGTATACTCGTTTTTTCATTTCATTACATTTGAAAAGGTTCCCTTCCACCTATTGACAAGTTTACCCTTTTTCTAAACTCTTAAATCCAGGGTATGCATCGGGACGCTGCTAAATTTGAATATTAATTATTAGTTCAAATAACAAAGATTTTCACAAAGGTTTTCAACACTCAGTTTTCCACGGAATATTTAAGCTTTTGTTCCTTGCAATAGATACACTTGTTACATATGATCTTAAAATTTGCTCTCCTTTTATGGCAAATTTCGCCGCAGCTCTGTGGATAGAGTATTGTACCAAGAAAGCGGTCCCAATCATGGAGATCCCGTTTCGAGGAGCTTTCCGATTTTTTGTTTTGTTTTGTTTTTTCGTCTATTTTTTCCGATGATTTGTTCCTTTTCCTATTTTGTACTGTGACCAAGCTTATAATGATTATAGTGAGAACATTTAGTTTTACACAGACTCTCTGTGCGCTTGTTTCTTGTACGTTCTCCACTTGTGACATATAACGTTATTAAAATTTGCTCTCCATTCATGGCAAGTTCCCCGCAGCTCAGTGGGTAGAGCATTGTACCGCGAAAGCGGTCCCAGTCAGGATGGAGATCCTGTACCGGGGAACTTGCCGTTTTTTTTGTTTGATTTCTTTTTTTATCTTTTTTTTTTATGTTTTATTTTTTTTTCTCTAGATGATTGTTCCATTTCCCATTTTATTCTGTGACCAAGGTCATAAATGGTCCGGACTGTCTTTGTATACTCGCCTTTTCACTTCATTAGATTGCCGAAGGTTTTCCTTTACTTACTGGTCAGTTTACCCTTTTCCTACACTTCTGCGTTGAGGACATATATCGGAACACTACTAGGTTTAAACATTATTAAATCAAACAACAAAGTTTTCATAGTGACGTTATTTTAGAGTCAAAACGCTTTTTCCTTAGAATCTTTACACTTGTTCCTTACACAACGTACCCACTTGTTACATATAATCTTTAAATTTACTCTCCAATCATGGCAAGTTCCCCGCAGCTCAGTGGGTAGAGCATTGTACCGCGAAAGCGGTCCCAGTCAGGATGGAGATCCTGTTCCTACTTTTTAACCCTTTTTGTGAGTTGTTTCTAACTTTTTTTGTTTTATAGCCAGTTTATAAACATTCTGGAGAAGCTTTGTTATATAGTCTTTTCACTTCAATATATTAGCAAGGGCTTTCTTCCACTAGGCAAGTTTACCCCTTTCCTTCTCGTTCTGTTTTGTGCTATGTGCCTATCCTCTCTTCATATCAAGAGGGAGACGGAGTGGGGAGACAAAAGGAAAAAGGGAAAAGCTAATCTGGTGGTCATTTTAATATGCTCCAGCAGTAACAATTGCATATACCGTTTTCAACATCCCCTTGATTTTTTTTTTTGACGTATGTCACGATTTCAAAAAATTTTTTTGGTCAAGGGACGTAAACATTAGTTTGCAATATTATGGGATACATTTATAGCTTTAGTGGAAGGAAAATCTAGGTATGTGGCATTCAGCCATGGCGTATATACCAAAATCTAAACTTTAAAGCGTTGTTTTACTCTATGAATCAAGTGCTCAGGAACTATTGTCATTAAAATTTTTTTGTCGGGAAAATGTTTGTCTGTTCTTTCTGTTTCTTTCTATCTTCTGAATGTAGTTTCTTTACCTTTTTGACCTTAAGATTGACTAGCATCTAATATCTTCTTGCGATATTACCTCTGAATCACACATTAAGGTCCCGAGAATAAAGGAATTGATCACCGACCATAGAAGCTCTTGATTGCTAAACAAATTTTCCTTGTCAGCACTTCAGGAAATGTATAGAGAATAGTTTGGAGAATGTGCATTCTGATGCAAGGGTGTGAAGGGCTGAAGAAGTAGCTAAATAACCAATTCTTGCTCCCTGTGTACCAATTTTCAAGCCGGGAAATGCGTAATTTCCAGTTGCCTCGGTTTTCTGTATGGCAGAGTACCTCGATATTTTTTTTGCACCAAGTATTTCCCCTAAGTTTATTCTTTTATTTTTCCATTACTCCTTGATATCGACTTGAAATTTTCAGTATTTGATTATGCAATATTATTATCCTCTCTAACTTTCCCGGAACGTTTCATTTCTGATTGGAATCAGTTTTTACATTTTTTTAAATGCGGGCTTTACACCGATAACAACATCTTAGTCGATTTTAATTTACCTCGGGTTTTCATTTGCATGCTACAGGGCGTGTTAAACCAGCAAGTTTTCGACGTATTCGACAGTGATTGGTTTATTTTCCTAATCCATATTCATGGTCTACTGCAGAATTTGCGCCAAACCAAACTGGCTGTGAACGAGTGAAGACACGTTACTGAGCAAGAAAGTTTAGCCAAAAGTTTGCTTGATGCCAGAAAGCTGGAGGCACAACTCAACCTTGTCACACTCAAAAGTGAGTTTAGTTTTCGTATAAATTGTTGGTTTAATTTTATTCCCCTTGCTGCGGTCGAAATTACCAAACTCTCTGAACACGTGCGCTCTCGAGTCGCTTGAAGTCGCTTGAAGCTTCGCCTTAATTCGTTCGCGATTCAAAACCAACTAACTCTGTTCTAAAGATACAACGAAGACTATGTTATATTTTGGGTGAAATTACCTTTAATCAAGTCTTTAAATATTGTATGGAAAAACATTGAGTTGTGTACATATCAAGTGCAACGCAGCCACGTGTGTTTGATGTGTTTGCTTTTCTAAACACACAGAGGAACTGCGTCGGAAAATTTCCCAGTAGTCTTGTCCAAAAGTTTCTAAAATAGATTGTACACTTTGTTACCACCCAGGACCTCATTTGTTGGCCTGAGATACCATTCGTGCTTGAAGTTTATTTTATTCGTGTTCCTTTTAAAACTTCAAAACAATTAGCCAAATGAGGAGTAAATCTTCTGCTATTTCTGTTTACAGGAAACAAGGAAGAAAGGAAGACAAAATGGAATCACCGAATCTAGAAGAAACTCTGCAAAGATAAGACAGAATATATTTCTTATACATAAGGGATTTGCCTTGGTACTGATGTTGAAGCTCTGCACAAAGTTAATATTTTTCATTCTTAAAAAGAAAAACAAAACAGAAACGAAAGTAAGATCAAACAAAATAAACAAAAGATTTTATGTCTGGGTGATCATCCCACTGAACGAATTTAACTTGATAGTCTCGACGAGAGAGGGTAGATCCAACAACCTCGTCTGATTGGCAATCTTTTCGCTTTACAACCAACTAAAAAACACAAATCAGTTACGCATGACTTTAGTTCTTGAGCTTTACCCTTCGTGCAAGCTGCAGTCATTAGCACCATAAAGTAGATACTTTTAACAGTTTAAGGTGGCACCATAAGAGAAACGGTACTTTCAAGAAAAATCTGAAAATACCAACTTAATTAAGAAATGTTCTAAAAAAGGCCCTAAGCCTTTACTGAAAAAGTAACAATTTCCTCGGACTACTCGTTGAGACGTTATGTACCACTTTGTGGAAAGATGACAAGTGAAGGTTAGTGTGTAAAATTGTGTCAATACATTAGTCAGTGCCACCTTAAATATTTAAAATGACAAGAGAACACTGGCAACCAAACCTTGCTTTGGCAAAAGAATATTATTCAAACAAGTTCATTCAATTCGCGTAAAAGAGTAGCTAGTTACTAACAATCTGAGCAAGACCTTTATTGCCTCTGTTACGCTACGTGTACTAATTCCTTACTTTACATTTGACGTTGTTTACAATGACGAAATTCGACAACCATCTTAAGGAACACATACAATATACGAAAGAAGTTGAAGACATCAACTTGGGATTGATTGTTGGCGACGGACAACGGTTTACTAAAACTGACACATACTGACGGATTACTTCAATTATCACCCTGCACCTTGATCTTTTAAAAGGCTATGATTATTTGGAATCTCCAGCGACAATCGCTCCTAATTGCGAAGCACAGGGAAATTAATCAGACGAAAACAGATACCTTGAGATTTTTTTTCTTCCACGACGACAACCTGATAGGACTTTGAAATCTACTGATCAGGCCGCAATGTTTGCGGGCGCGTCAGAAACCATCTACTGTACTCTACATCCTACAAAGTACGACATATTCTGACCAGTTACCGTCACTGACACTTGGCTGCTACTCACAAATTTAAACCGGTGGCTGTTATATAGCTATTGATAAAAAACAAGAATGATTTGCTTAAGGTTTTACGTAAAGCCCACTTGCCAACGTTCTCTTGTCGTTTTGCTAGTTTAGTGTATTAAACCCCTATGTCTGGCTCGGAGTATTCTAAAATAAATTTCGTTTAACAGCGTTGATTTGACGTTATACAGACCACTCACAAATATTATCAGATAAGAAACAAAACTACTAACGAAGAAAGTTTCTCGTGAAAATTGGACGATTAAACAACGAGTGTAAGCTTATATTACTTTAGAACAGAGGATCACCAAAGATTCATTTTCTCATGACCGATAGAATTTTTGAAAGCTGTAGTGATCTACAAAACACGATAACCTCCCAAAATGAAAAAGTTTTAAGAATCTGTCGAATTCAAGAAAAAAAGAAGTAGAGAATTTATTCAATTCAAGTTTTCTGTGAACTAAAGTTAGTCATTATTAATTTACAACGTACATGAAAATTAGTTATCTGTTTAGAAAAAGCTCCTACTTGACGGTGCTTATAAATTGTTGTTCCGCTGGAAAGAATCTGATTTATTAGCACAAATTAAACAAGCGTTTCCCTACGAAATTTGTCTGCTTTTGTACGTCGCTCATCGTAATGTCACCCAAGGATTGTAATTCGAAGACCGGAATAGAATTGCTTGATGTTTTCGATTTCATAATGGTCTGTATAACCCATTTCGCACAAGATATAATATTCTTTGAGCCAGTTATAGGGTTTTAACGTATTACTTGTAAATGAGAAAGACCTCTTTCAGCCAACGATTAATGAAACAAAAGTGTAGGAAATTTTGAAATCGGTGAAGTGAAGTGAAAAAAAAAATTTGTCTCGAGAAATTCTTTGATTGTCCGAGTCTTTGCAACCAAAAGAGAAGAAAACAGTTCAAGATTAATTTGGCTCCAACACATCAATTCTTTCTTAACAAATACTGATCAGTTCGCCTCAAATTATACTGTGTAGCAACACAAAAAAAGATATGGCTGAAAAATGTATTTCTTGTAACAACATGGCAAGCTATATTTATCATTTTTAAGTAAAAAATTTAAATTGGAAACACGCCAGTTTGCAGTACACAAAAAGAAAAGCTTGCCTTGTTGCTCATTGTAAGAGTAGAGTGTATATCATTTTGTGCAAAAAAAATTCAAAGACAAATTACACGGAGAAAAAAGTCGTCAACGCTTACGAGAGGCTGTTTCAAAGTTTTCGTGACCAAAAATTTTGCACAAGGTGATGTTCGCATCAATTTTGGCCGAAAAATTAAGAGGAAGCCGTTTAACTTTTTTGTCGAAAATGTTGTCAGGGGAAACTCTGTGCAAATTGCTCCAAATTTTCCCGCCAAAAGTCTTAGTATATATTTGAAGAAACTTTAGTTGACACCTTTTTGATGATTAAAAATCACTTAACTAATTAAAGGAAATAAGAAGAGAATATACTTGAATTGTTTATTGACTTATATACTTTAAGAACGAAAATAAAGATGAGAAACACAACAGCAAATAACATCGTCGAGTTTTTTACTTTATTTAATACCAAAAATAAAATTTTTATTGTTCTAATTGCAAAAAAAAAAAAAAACGGCGCATGCGTATTTTGAGCGCCTGTATTTTTCTAAGTTTTTTGGCGGGAAAATTACGCCGCTTTGAACAGCAATTATTCACAGCTTCGAAAAATAAATTTAAAGAAAACTGGCGCATGCGTATTTTAAGCACCCCGTATTTTTTCTAAGTTTTTTGGCGGGAAAATTAAACGGAGGTTTGCCTAGAAAAACGTGAGCAAGAAACAACACAAAAATTCAATTTTATTCCTGAATTTATCCTAAGCTTAAACTTCTTGAACTTTCGCGACGGTCTTTAATAAAATTGGGTTAATTTTCATCCTAAGAATGAAAATATTTGCGAGAAATTTTGGATAATTAACAAGCATAGCTGCAATTCGTTTCAAATATCCGTCGAAGTAGAAACCAGTTAACGTTGTTTTCTACCTTTGCTGTAAACTTGTCTATCGCTTGTGAAATTGTTTTTCTTTCTTGTTCTTTGAGTCTTGCTCGACTTGAAACAATACGGTGATCCAAAGAGCTGTGAAAAAGAACAGTTAAAAATAAGCTCTGGGCCTAAATAAGTACATGGAAGCAAACGATAATAAGAAAACCAAGTAAGATTATAAACTAAACAACCTAAATAGCAAATAATGAATCTTAGAAAAAAATTTAACAAAAATTTACATTTGTTCTACAAGTGCACAAGAATTTGTAAATGTGGTGTTTCGTAAAAGCCTGAATACGCTGTAACTTTATTGAATAAAACCTAAAGGTTGTCTTCCTGTATCGTTTACAATACAAAGATCACGTACTTCTAAATAGTCGTATACGATCAATTTCTAATATCAAATTTCATAAAGTTTCGCTCAGCGAGCGACGTGATTACTTAAACATTTTCTTTATCTGATTATCATGTTAAAATTGCCCGAGATAAAGTTAAGAAAACACGGACTTCAAATTATCACAAGAGCTGATGTTTATATTTGTTTTTCGGCAAGATTTTGGTAGAACCCCAGTGTTGACTATGCATACATTTATTTGTTAAAAGGAAACAATGGCGAATACAAAAGTTTACCTTTGGGAGTGATGCTTTTTTTTGGAATAGCAGTGGGATATACGGAAATCTTTTCTGTTTTTCCTATTCCACAAATAATATCATTTACGCCTTCTTGTTGCCAGCTTCTCCTTTGATAACTCGACAACATCTCTTTCCACTTCCGCAAAAACTTACTTATTTCTCAGGACGGATAAAGAAACAATTCAGTGTTCTCGTTCATGTGCAAATACAGACGAAAAAATGTACCCAATAAAGCACCCATTTCAAAACGTCGACAAGCTCTCTTTAAATAACGAGAAATACACACGACATTACCAGTTTGAATGAAATAACCAACTTACCGTTTGAAGGGTAACCATCCTAAGAGTTTCTTTGCCTCCTCAACAGATCTGATCTTTTCTCTAGGACCAGTTCATCCCCATCATATCGTCGCCTCTTCACACAGACTGTACAAAAGAACGTGATTGTTAAATGATGAAGCTGGCCGTGTAAAGAAACTTAATTAAATAAAGCGGATTACAGCCTAAGACTTGTCAAGAGAGAAATAACCAAAATTCATTTCATTAATTTCTTGGTAATGTCTGCGTTCCCACACGTATTTTTTGAGGAAATTAATGTAATTACCAGTATTTCCTGTAGAATTTTCTCTTATACACCGAAATCCGTATGTTACAAATACATTTGCAGACCAGAAAACTTGAGACTGTGAAGATAAAAACCAATTCTAATCTTCGGTAAAGGAACAAGAGTTGTCCATCTTAGACATAAGAAACCCAACCAGTAATACCACATTTTCAGATCCGGTTAAGAAAACAAAGTTTTAGTGAAAAACAATGTCATTGCTGATAATCACTGTATAGAGGAATTTCTTAATAGTTCTTCGGTGCATAATGTCTCGTTTTCCAACTGCTGAATTAAATAATTCACCCTGAATGGACAGAAAAGGATTCCTTTTGCATTTCTGACGGCTAAGTTTAAATAAAACTGAAATGACAGAGAAGGTGGGTAAATAAATTGATGATGAAATAATTGTTCATCAAAAATTTTCATAGCGACTTTTGATTCTTCATTTCTTGTCACTTAAATTCAAGTTTGCATACGCTATTATCACCTTTAGAGATTTTTCAAAGACTGATATAAATAAAAAAGAAACCGATCAAATTCAAAAGGAACAAAACTTTGCTGAAGTAATATTTTCTTTCGCTCACTGTAAGCCTGCAATTACCACCCCCACATTTCTCTGAAAAAAATGTCAAGGAGAACTCGTTAGTACTAGGGTCGGGTTTTATTGTGATCCAAGTGATCCAAGTGATCCCATAATACCTCCCCCCTCCAGGGATCTTCTGATCTCACTCCTCCCACATAGCAAACTGAGATGATTGAGTCCACCATTCTTATAAAACCACTAGTTATTTCTAAGGACTAAAACTATCCGTTACCAACAAAACACACTAACCATTCACCAAAACAAACGTCAAGAATACAGTATGAGTTACCTTCAGAGCATTTGTTTCCAAATCTTTGACTTTCCTCGCCATGTCATGTCCACGTGCAGGCGGTTATTTACCTAAGGCTGTGTTCTTTTAGGGCCACAATTCCACATTAAACAGTGCACTTCTTCTTTCAAACATACTGTTTCCCTTACAACGTCGAAAACGTTCACGTAAGAGAGCTCTTTGGCAGGCTAACGACTTAAGATTGTCTGCCATGCTCGTTACACGTTGATAGACGATGAATAATTCAACATTAATTACCTGTAATTTATTCAAAATAATTTTCTTTGCGTTTCTGGTCGAAAACGCGCGAACCCTTGTTTGAAATGCAAATCAATAAGAGGTTGTGTTTTGACTTCGACGAATAAGATATCTTAGTTCAGAAAACCCAGATCTCATAATCTGCGCATCAGATATGGAACAGAAAAAAAAGGACAGAGTAATAAAGTAATCCCACCAAATATTTATTTACAAAACCCTCATCAGAAAGTTGACACATCATTCTTACTTTAAATAAATTTAAAACTAATATTTTACAAATATATTTCAAATCTAACGATTAATATTATTGAGTCCAGTTTCTACAGAAAATACCATATTTTGATCATATAGTATTCTCAGAATTCCCCAATCTACAACACTGCTAATGGAAGAGATTTCGCCCATGATTGCCGCTACGGATTCATATCAAAGGTAATAAAAATTCAATTACACCGAACAGAATTTAAAATTAGTTTGAGCATGCATATGCTGCTAAGCAATAATAATTTAATAATGATTTTCCAAAAAATAAAAATTGGCCGATGACGCAGACGCCTGCACCTCGTGTGACAATTATTCGATCTCAGCAAATTTTCTCTTCATCTTTGAGCTATTAGTAAACAGAGACACTACAACAGGTGAGATATGTTCCTATAGCGATGATTTGTAGTTTTTTCCCGCCGCTAATTCTTACCTCACTATTATCATAAATTCTAAATATTTCTTACAGCACCTCGACCTAACCACTTTGCCACAATGACAAAAAATATTAGCAGGCTTTTAAATAACTCAAAAATAAAGCCCTTGTTTAAGTGGTAGACCTTCATTTAAATAGTGTTGTGTCACAGACAAACACGGTTAAGCTATATATTTATATAAGAAAAAAATGTAAACCATTTTTGACCCCCCCACCCCCACCCGTGTGCTATTTCTACAAGTTCAAAGTTAAAGGAACAGGGTCTGAGGACGTGAAACACAATACACTGTTGTTGGATAATTTAGTTCTAGCAAGTGAGTTGAGAATGTCAATTAGCAAACGGCTAACGCTGAAAACGTCAGCTTTAGGACCTCTCTACTGTGGCCAATTTACCTTATCAACCCAGTAGATAAAACCAAATTATCTTGTCATATCCCATTGAGCAGCACCACAATTTCTTTAGAAACTTACCCCCTTAGAAACCATTGTTGATTGTGCATTTATTTTTTTCGGAAATTTAAATACTTTGTAAATCAAACTACTAAGTACTAAACTATGGTGTTCTAAGCAAGTAGAGTCATTTTGTCACATTTCCTAAAAGAAAAAAAAAAGAAAACGAAAAAGGATAGTTTCAAAGTAAAATCAATTCGTAAAGTACTAAAAGAATTCGTGAAATACCTCAAACATTTTTACAACTTGGAAGGCATTCGGATGCACTCACCTGCATAGGTCGTCCCTTTGTTTCATATGGAAGCAGTAGTGTTGCAACTAAAGACATCAGGCTTAAGGATATATAAACAACAAGAGACAAGTTCCAGGACACTCGCAGCAATACCTGCAGCACCAACATGGAGGAAAAAAAAAAATACTCAAATCACCATTTAACCCATTACACTCAAACATTAGAATTCATATTCACCACACTGTTCTTGTTACACATCTTATGATACTGACAAGGAAAATTTGTTTGACAATCAGAAGCTTCTTAAACTGTTGATCCTTTCCTTCCTTCTCACATTCTTTCCATCTTATTCAAGGAAGAAACTGGGTGAAAATGAGTGGAGTAATCATCTAGCAGTAACTGACTGAAGAGGACAGGCATGGAAAAGTAGAAGGTAAAGTACCCTTGCTCTGACAAGCTTTGCACCAACATTATTCACAGGAGGCCATTGTACAACTGGCAGCGAGGGACAAGACTTGAATAACAGTTTGTAACTGAAGGGTCTAATGGGTATGACAGCTCCACTAATCTGTCTCCTACCTGAGCTATGTAAGGTGTTAACATTCCTCCAAAACGAGCCCAGGTAGAACAAAAGCCAAATCCTAATGATCGGATGACTGTAGGATAAACCTAAAATAAACCAAAGAACAAACACCAGTGCAGAAATTTTACATGAAGTGTCTCATTAAAGACTGGATTTCAAAACTTTTGTTCTTTTCACTTTGATCTTTTTGAAGGAATAACAGCAACTTTAGGATCACCCTCAGGGGGTGGGTAATTCAACTAAAATGTCATACAAGGAAAAAAAATAATTATCCCGTAAAAGTATTCATGTAATAGCTCTCCACAGTTTTCCTTGAGAAGAAAAAATTGAAGGAAGAATTTCCATCAAAAGAAACAAATTCCGTGTGGAAAATTTGACCAAAAAAAAAAAACCATGCAGCTCAAGAAATGGTAAACCAAGTCTAAAATCTTTCCACTGTTTGTCTGCACTGGTTCTTATTCATTACTAAATATACGCAACAATTGGTTGCAAATTACAATTCCAAACTGCAAATATAACTAATGCAAGAGCCTTACCTCAGGGGCATAAACGAAAAACCCTTGGAAGACACCTAATGACATCCCACGAGCCAGGAATAAAAGTACCAACAGTAAAGTTCTGTTGAAGGGAAAAAAGTTCCGTCAAAGGGGAAATAGTTCATTACAATTGTGTTTATAAAAGCACAAATGGTTGATAATACGAGCAAGAAATGGTTGGGTCATAGTTTCAAATTCCACACAATATTGTTGCTGTTTTTTGAAATACTTGGCTTTTCAATTCAATTTTCAGTCCATCCCCTTCTCTATGAGGAAATCCGAGACTTGGGATACACTTATAATCGACCGCTGGAGTACCATATTTGTTACAAAACTGACATGAGTCCTTGGGACCATCCTACATAATCATACATTTTAACCCTTTAACTCCCAGAAGTGATTAACATAAAACTTCTCCCTACAATATCCATACATTCTTCAACAAACAGGTCATGAGAATATTCAAACTTATCAGTTAGAAGCTGCTATCTTGATCTAGCACCAATTCTCATTACTAATTTACAAGGAAATGTGTAGCAGCTACAGGGTAGAATTAACAATCAGATCTTGGGTGTTAAAGGGTTAACTGTATTGACAGCACTCACCTTCCTGTGCAAATAAACATGAGTCCCAAACATGCAGCTATTATAAAGAACTCTACAGCCAAAGTTTTCTTTCTACCAATTCTCTCTATAAAGAGCATTGTAAACAATATTCCTGACAAAGAGAGAAAAAGAGAAACCTTTGACAAACTTATTCAACATAATACAAACATGGATTCTTCATTACTATAGGCCTTTTGAGTAAGAGCAGAGTTACTGGTAAAAGCTTGCCTTAAATGTCAACTCCAGTGGTCAAAAGGTTACAACCCTTAGTTACTCAGTAGTAGCAGTTGTACCAAATTGTAACCACAAGGTAGTAAGGAAATACTGTGTAGCCTTTTCATGTTATAACAGTAGGGAGGGGGGGAGAAGAAGGATATTATGGACTTACCAGGATACTCCGCAACTGTTGTCCAAAGAAGATTCATATAATCATTGACTGTAAGAAGTTGGCAGCCACATTCAGTAGTAGCAGTAGACAAACTCTCTAACAGAAATTAAGAAGGAAAAAATTCTGAGGATGAATACAACAACAAAATGATAGCACTGTTGACAACCTTGTCTTTGAGGTTGCATGATTTTTAGCTCTCCATTCTAACAATACTTTATGGTTTAACATAAAGTACATCACTAGAAACAATGAGCAAAATGTCTGCTCGTATTATATGTTAAACATATTGTTGCATTAATCTGACAATGGTAATAGCTGCAAGAGGTAAATGCACATGAAAAAAACAACAACAACACAAAGAAAACCAATTGGGCATCATTTACTATTTTTCATTTGAGCTGCAAAGTGGTGAGGTAAATATCCACCACTTTCACCAACATCGAGGTGAATTATCATTCAACTATTTGCCACACAGATACCAAAAAAAAAAGTTTGTTTCTGTCAATATACTGAGAAATGGTCAGAAATAAAACTATTGATGTCTGATTGGCTGCTCAGAGGTGAATAGTACTTGTTATTCACTTCCAAACAAGCCAATCAGCATGAGCAAAAAACACTAAGTCTATTCACTTGTGTGGTATATACTAATAGTAGTTATTTCATCTCTGAGTCACACCAAGTGAACCTCTAGATGTTGTGAATCATTCCCCTAAGACTCTCTGTCTTGATCTTCACATTTAAGAAACAAACCTAGATCACAAATACTTTCATCTGGCCTGACTTGCTGAAGAACTTGGGCTGACATCAACACAACACCATAGTACAAAAATCCAGAAGCGAAACTGTCAGAAGAAAAAAAAGACCAGAAATGAATAAAATTTTATTTTACTTGTGAAATGTTTGATTGGCCTTTCCTTCAAGCTGATCCACAAGGGATCAGACAACATTGACAACAAGTAAACAAAAAATGATTTACTCACAAAGTTAGCCAGAGAAGAAGGGTTGTCAATCTATATTCTGAGTTAAAAAGAACTTGGATTTTCACTTGTTCAACAGTCTGAAAACAAATAGAGTGAAAAACATAAGTAAAGGAAAAGGAAGCAATATCATCAGTATCAAAACATGTTGGATATAACAAGTCACTAATTGGATTAATACTTCTTGGAGAATATGTACCTGTGTTTCAATTTTAAGAGTTCCTGGTGGAAGCTTGGAGCCATTGATTCTGGCCATGCGCTCCAATACCTCCATTCCTTTTTCTTTTTCACCTGCAGTGATCAGATACCGAGGTGATTCTGGCAACCACTAGGAAGAAACAAATATCTCCAGTTAATTATTTCATAACTTGTAAATTTGTTATCACTTTGTAAAAATTAATAATTCATAAATTATACCATGGGTGGTTTCATCATGCAATATTCCCAATCACAATGTTTTTACTCTACGACAGACCATTTTATCTGACAGCTTTGTTTAGAATAACTATCAGTACTCGTGCAGTAAAACCAACACTTCAAACTAGTACATGTAGCTTAAATTTGAATAAAATAAAGTTTTCATATAGTAATAACAAATCTAAAGAGAATATATCGCTCTCAGAAAGGAGTATCTATAGTGAAATCTGGGATATACAGAGATAAACTGTGACAACAGACTCAGCTGTTTCAAGGAATAGAAAGTGAAATATAGCATTTGGAACTTTTCAAAACATTTACTTACCCTACATAAAATAATGAATATAATAACAGGGACTGTTGCAATAGCAGTCATCCACCTCCAGCCAAGTGTGGGCATGACAATAAGTGCTACAACTACCATAAAAGTTGATCCAAGTGCCCAGAAAAACTGGAAACAGACAAAAACACTCTAAGTAAGCAACTTAAATTTCAATGGTAAAATTTTTTTTTTCACTCCCATTTCATTATTATGTACTACAATTCCCATTTTTTTCTTTGGGAATTCAGATTTTTTACCATCTGTTAGTGCCGCTTATGACAAAGCTTTTCTTGGCTGGCAAAAATTTAATAGCAAGTTGTAGCAAGGCATTGCTTTACATTTGCCTTTAAAAGTCCAGAGTCTGGAGCAAATCTCCAATTACCAATTAGTCCTTTTCCTTGTTAGGTTGTGTTTTAGTTTGTTGTTCTTATGAAAAAATATTGACCTCTGCTGATGGACTAACTCACATAAACTAATAAGTCCTTGTGTAAGATCAATGACAGAAACACTAAAACACACATTACATTTGTTGACAGAAACTTTTCTGAGGGTAGCAGACAATAACTCCACTTTGTGTCATGTAGTAAAGAACAATACTTACAGCAAGGCACAAGATAATGTATGACCTCAAATGGATGGGGAGAAATTCAATTAGAAGTGTGTACCTATGGATACAGGGAGAAACAGACTTTCAATTATTGGTTTTCAACCTTCCAAATCATTAAATGGTCTTATATTAATCACTACTCTAAATTGAACTAATAAACTTTGGAATAGTAGGCCAGTTCTTGGATTTGAATGGTTATTAAAACAAGCCTTTATAAATCATTCAAATTCTACATTCATGTGACAGTTCTCTTTTGTTTAGTTTATCATCTCTCACTTGCTGGATTTAACACATACTTTCACTTAAAGGGGGTAAGTTTCTAAAGAAACTGTGGTGCTGCATTGGTGGGAGAGTATAACAGGGTAATTTATTGTTACCAACTGAGTTGAAAATGTAAATTGGCCACTGTAAAGAGTTTAAGGGCTGATGTTTTGAGCGTTAGCCCTTTCTAAGAGCAATTGGCAAAGGCTAGCCTTAAAAATCTTTACAGTGGCCAATTTACGTTAATTTTTCAACTTAGTTGATAACACTAAATTACCCTGTTATACTTTTACTTACATTGTTGGTATACCACCAATTCCAAATCCCACCAAGCATCTTAATGCAACAAGCCAGAAGTAGTGCGGTGAAAAAGAACTGATGAAACCAAAATAGCACAGCCAGCTTGCACTTATAATAATCATCTGAAAGTGAAAATCATTTCAAAGGTTTAATCCTTAATTTACAAAGCTGCAATGTTGCAACATTGTCACCCAATCATGTTAACTTACACTTTTTCGTCCTAAATTATCAGATAACCAGCCCCACACAGGACAGCCAACAGACATACCAACAAAAACAATCTGCAATCACAAGAAGAAACAACTGTGAAAGCTATAGAAGCAAAATAAAGAGGTTCAAAATTGTGGGAAAAGCACAGGTGTGTGGAACCCTGAACTATTTAATTGGTACAAAATCAAAAAACAACATTTTAAGAATATATCTGTTCAGGAGAAATATACTTTGAGTCTGGCTTTGGTTCCATCTGTTATACAGTACAGTTGCAAAAATGATTTTTTTGTATGAAGGTAATCTTGCATTACACTGGAGAAATATAACTGCCACACAAAATAATTTGCAAATGAATAAAATGTTAAAAACTATGACAATTTAAACAAAGATATTTTCAAAAGAATTCTTAACAGAGGGGGACATTACTGATGGCTCTAATTACTAGCACATTGAAATAATACAGAGAAAGTTCATTTTATCCCTCTCACTCCTGCGATCGAAATATCATTTCCCTTTACTGTCTGTCGCACATTCCTTATAATTCTTGACAGTCTTCTTAACATAATTATATTAAAACACTCACTGTAGTAATGAAAGCCTCTTCCCATGATGACAAATGCCACAGACAGTGAATTGTTGGACTCAAAACAGCAAGCAACAATAGCTCCAAGGAATCGCACATCTAAAAGTTAGAAAATTCCGCAAAAAGGATTCACTTTTTGACTTTTTTAAAAAACTATTATTATATACTCATTATGAACATAACTAAACTGTATTTACAATACAACACACATTACTTTTACTTCTTATGACACATTACTTCCAAAGACTTCATCTAAAACTATAATTGTAATCACTAAATCTCCTGTGTTAATAAAACTATAATTGTAATCACTAAATCTCCTGTGTTAAATTTTTCCTTCCATGAAAGTTTCCAACCATTGTTTTCTGGTCCCTAAGACTTTAGTGATAGACCTTAATATATAAAGTAAAATGTTATCATAATTCAGCTAGTTTGTGAAATTTTAAAATTAGGTAAAATTTGAACCACACCATTAATCTTACCCAAATAATCTGTCACAACAGAACTCTACTGTGCAAGTGCACCATATAATGTACGAAACAATATCAAAATAATCATGCATAAAGCTAACCTCTGAAACTAATGGTAAGTATCTGTGATAAACCTGTTTCCTAAAATTTTATTTTTACTGATATCATTCTAAAAAAAACAAACAAACAAAAAAATTTTTCTATAGCCTGAGAGGAAATCTCACTTCAATGAAACAAGAAATGTAGGGCTACAAATGCAAACTTACATTGACAAAGCCAGCCATAAGAATAAGTAAGATCTGGAATTTTCCCATCCCAATTGCTTCCACAGCTTCAGACAAAGTGAATGTTTGTTCCACATTTTCTGAAAAAGAGATTAAGCCCAATATTTTTTTCATCCAGACACTCAATCAATAGGTACATGATAGGAACCTTAATGAGTGAATGTCATTACCCTCCAAAACAACGCAAGACCTCATAAAATATGTGAATGGCAGTCAGAATAGAAGCATAAATAATTTGTTGCCACGGTTTCCTGTCTCAGACCGAGTAAATTTTGTTGATTTCAAGTTGATGTTTTACAGAGGAAGGGAACAAAATGAACAAGGTTTTAAGACGCACTAGCTGAGCTATTGATGAGCTCATTGAATCTATTGTTTGACCAAATGCTTAAGATCTGAAATATACTTCAGAGGGACACCCCATAAAATCAAGAGTTTTGGGTTAAGTTGTATTAATGTATCATTTAGAGCACATCCTCTCTCTCTCTCGTTAAAGATAAAATGAATAAGAGGAGTACAGTGAAGATGAAGCTTGTTGAAAACATCACAAAATGGTCTAAAATGCCACACACATAAAAGAAAACCAACCAAACAAACAAAAATGCTCTGTCGTGCATCAAGTGCATAATTAATCTCAGTTATGTAACTCAACAATGTAGCTTAAAAACAAGTAGAGATGTTCTGATGTGGTCAGATATTCTGTTGGGAATCTAAATTTGACTTTATAATTGTCAACCTTCCATTAAAGTAATTAGATATACAGCTTATTAGACTAACGTTTAACCCCAAACGGCTCGTGTTATGAATATAAATAGATACATCAATAATTTAACCAAAATCATGACAACGTTAATTTCTTCCTTGACGGCGTCCAAAAAAATCAGTTAACTAATTTCCTTATCAACCAGTTCAGATGTACCACTAAAGAAAGTGAAGGCGGTCTCCATGATTCCATGAGCTCTTCGTTGCACGTAAACTCAGAATTTTTGACTTATCGCTCACCATTGTTGTCGTTGTGTTCTTTCAGCGACTCGTAGTTGGGACGCTGTGTGCTCGGGGAGCTCAGCTTTTCGCTTCTCGTTACTGCAACATCTTTCAATTCTAGTTCAACACCGTTTTCAGCCATGTCCACGCTAACAAGTAATTTCCCAAAACGGACACGTCGAGCCAATAGCCCGGGGGAACTGTTTAATATTTTCGTGACCTTATAAATGTTGTTCTATGACTCTGCGAGTCGTTTAACTCAGTGAAACCTAGAGCAAAGGCCTGTTAACCAACACGTTGTCCTCCGTGGATTAAACACAATCTCTGGAATCATTGTTGTATTAACAATTCACTGCTAATTTAGAGAACTTCAACGATAACAAAATCCCCGCCATCAAAAGAACAATCAGCTAGACTAAATAGGAGTGGAGACTGGAAAGAGTCTACAAGTGCAATCATTAACCCTTGCGCACAGGTTAACCAATCGGAAGTCTTGGGGCATGGGGATTCACCTGAGATGAAAACGACCACAAAAAAAGATTGGAAGAAAGAAGAATGAGTAACTTTATCCATCGCTGAAAACTCTTTTTAAACATAATGGTTGGCTTGTTAGCTCAGTTGGTAGAGCACTGCACCGGTATCGCAGAGGTCATGGGTTCAAATCCCGTACAGGCCTGAATCTTTCCCAGGCCTTATTTTCACTACTGCTCAAGTAGTGTTCATTATTGCGAAGTAATGAACATATATTCACATTCATTTCGAAAGTCTAAGCGAGTGAAATATTGCATTACAAATTTTAAAAGTTGGAAAATATTGTCTGGAAATCGCTGTGATTCTTTACAAGTAAGTCGGGCTATTTCTTTTAATTGATCGAATCATTAAATTAAACAATTAAGTGCTGTCTAATTGAAACGACGATACGCTACGTAATCAATCGTTTAATGACGAATGCTTTATTTTAGCGTGCGCTTTTTATCCTAGAGCACTCAAATCTGTGCGATGGTTTCTCAAAAGTATCACACTCCATTCTGTAACAAGAACTGTAAGATCGAACATCACGACTTAGTCACCGTTTTGTGCTTGGATAGTTCGCAAAAATCCGACGAGCTTCCCGACTTACTGAAGGAATGCATTGAATCGTACGGCAGGAGCTGGGATCGCAATAGCAATGTCCCTGATCCCTTAGAAGACCTAAGATGTCCCCTGTTATACCTTGCCTCTGCATTCGGCAAGGCAGGCCTGGTGAAAGCACTCCTACAGGACGGCTTTGATCCGCACGTTCTCAATTCCTGCGGTGAGACCGCCTTGCACGGTGCTGTCGAGTACATTTACAGAACAGGTTCCTTGCAGACCAGAGGCTTGAAAGTGGCATCAACTTTAGGGCCCATTAAAAACAGGAGGAAAGCGTTTGAGCGAATTTTGGTCGCTTTGACTGACAGCGATCCCAAGATCATATTTGTACCAGACAACAACGGAAATACAGTTTTTCATGCCGTAGCTGAAAATGTTTGGAATGATCGACAAAATGACCGGCTTGGAAAAAGTGCCACGTTTTACCAATTCTGTATGAGTAGTATGGTGAACCGGCTGTTAGAGATGGAAGAAGCTGGACAGGTCACAAGAACCGAAACGTTAGAGGGCTTAAATGCACAGAACAATGAAGGAGATACGATTTTTCACATCTTGGCGCGAGATTATGCCTACGGTTTTAAGACCATGAAACAAATTCTGAAAATTTTCTTTCCTGGTGAAGTGCCGTCCATAGTCAACAAAGAGAACCAGACTGTCCCCGACATCGCGTTGGCACGCAATCGTAAGAGAGCGACGCAAGTTTTTCCGGAATTTTTAGCGAAAAGTAAGAGTAACGAAGAAATTTTAAAATGTTTTCTTTCAGGGAAAAAAGTGATAACTTCGTAGAGATGCGCCGATTTGGTAATGATCCTTAGTAATATAACATGAACAAAATTTTAACAAACTCAGAAAACAAAAGACAAGAAGTCAAAGAAAGATTATGTCATCTCACTATATTCCAACCAATCAGAGCGGCCATTCTTATTTCATTTCAACACAAAACGACTCAACCACTCGAGAGTGATTTTATTCAATGCCTTCTCTTCATTTCTTGGGGTAAGCCAGGTGCCTTCATATGGATCAAAACTATTTCAAAATAATGCTTGTTTAAATCACCATCGTTTTATTTCATTCAAAGGTGAGAGTGTGATCACAATCAGCTCAGAATCCGACATTTCGGACAACGACTCACAAACTCCCAGCACCTCAAGGGACTCGGGACCTTCTGCGATCACAAACAGAGATCGTCCAATTGTCATCTCTGATAGCAATGTACCACAGATCACCCACACTATCGAAGAAGAGGACGATGGTTCCGATGAAGCCATCACTGTTTCACGGGAGACTGACGCTGGATCAGTGTTTGGAGACACTTCTGCTCCAATTAATTCAAACGTTAGACGGCACGATCTTCTGACAGTTTCGTTTGATAGCAGCTGGGGTAAACTATCGCAGATGGATATCCCTTCGTTCAACAGCCTTTCTGAGAAGTCCAATCAGATCATCTCCCCCTATGAGAGTGTATTAAATGTGCCGGTTGAAGCAGAAGTCATGTGCGCCTCTCAAACTATCCAGTCTACCGTGAACCTGACTTTGGAGGAAAATACCGAGCGGAATAACGCATCTGAAACTGGGGACGCACTTCACGCCGCATCAAAACGCCCTGAGGTGTCAGACACTTGTACTAACGGCACAGATAATGCTCCGTCTGACCCAAAAGCACCCTTCACCCATAAACTCTCTTCCGATGATTCTAAAGTCGCCAATAGCATTACTAAGGACGTAGCTATTGTCATATCTCCCACTGAAGAGCGGATAGCCTTAAGCTCTGTGGAAGTTGCTGTATGCAGCGCTACTGTACCCGAAAAAAGTAATAGTGGGCCTTGTCTAGGAAAAAGCTCTGCGGCCGAGGGGTCCTGTAGACCCGAAGCTCAGACAACACAGGTAGAAAAAAATGACCAATCTGATAAGAACACGATTGAGTTACACGATTCTCCAGAGTCAAAAAGTGGCTCTCCGGACGTGCATGACAAGCAAATCCCATTACAGTCTCCAGTTACTCTCACTAGCATAAGCCGCCAAGACGATGTTGCCTCCAAGCAGCAACCCTCTGTTTCCAAAGTCCTCGAGACCAGCCGCGGTAAGCAGGCTGCTAATTCTTCCCAAGCCAAGGTTACTGGTGAGTCAAAAGCTCGGGATTTACCCAGCCGCCCTCGGAAACAAATCCTAGAGTCTTCTGAATACATGGAGGAGTACACCTATGGCATAATGAACACGCCCGTATTGAGCCCACGACGAAACATTGATCACACCAGCGCACGTACGCACCACACCATTTCCGCCACTTCCTTAACGTCGGCCAGTACTGAAAGTGTCCATTCCCAGTCTTTTGAACCATTGGACGCTGATGACGAGGCCTCAGATGAAAAAAGTACTATTTTGAAGTGCATCACAGACAACTCCTTCCTAGAGTTCCTCATAACCGAGGGGCTCGAACTGGATGCGTGCAGCAAAAAGGGCGTGGTGGAAGTGGTTATAGCGCAGTATAATAATAAGCTTGACAAAGTAGAGAGCACTATTCCTAAACTGGCTGCACAGTTAAGGGAAACAGAATCAAATATTACTCAACAGAAGGAGAAAGTCAAACAGCTGCAAGAAGAGATAGAATTTGTGAAGGGAGAGATTGTCAAAAACGAGAATTTGTTTCAGGACTTTACAACCGAGCAACAAGGGTTAAGTAAACAGAGAAAAGCTCTTAAAAGGAAAGTTGCCCGTTGTGAACGTACCATGACAAAGCTACTAGGAAAAGCTAAGAAACCCCGTGTGGAATGAACATTTTATTCCAAACTTTTGTTTCGTTCCCTGGATATTTCGTGTACCGCAAAGGTTTTCTCCTCCTATCTGGACTAATTTCAAATACAAGTTTCCTTGCTTTTTCCTTACCCTCTTCGCTTTCTGTTGAATTTCCACAATTATTCCTTCGAAAGATTTCACTCGTATTTTTAATTCCAGTAAGCATAAAAAGTGCTGAGTTTTTAATTTCTATTTTTTATGCTCCCACAACAAAGTGGTTGAAAGAAAAGAAGCTAAAAGATGAACCAGAAAAAGAAATCGAAGTATGTCTCCAAATTTTTCTCGATTGTGTAATTGTCATGATTTTGACGATACAAATAAATGACTTGCTACAGTTCAGTCAACAATGTATTTGGATTATCACTCACCATCAGTGCACCGTCCCTGCTCACTGCACTAGTTAGACTAGATATTTTCCCAAGTTTCTTAGCGCTGACAGACTTTGTCAACAATGCTTGTCACACTCCAAGCCTGTTAATCATTACTGAACTTTAAGCCTGTAAGAGGAACTAGCGCATAATTTCTCTTTACATCACTACTTAATCAAACATGAAGGTAAGAATACAGAAAATGACCACCTACACAAGAAGCTCTTGATTGTCAAGTAAATTCTCGATGTCAATATTACTAGAAATGTATAGGGAACAGTATACACATACCCATGTAAATTTTTTTTACATTAGTTTGATCAATATGAGAATAATAAAATAGTAATAATAACTTTATTTACCCTAAAAAATGGATCAGCTAGTTCCATAGTAGAAGCTGGTATCAAACCATGTGTAGCTATTAATAATAAAATACACTCCATAACTTCTATCTCTATAAATAATTAAAAAACTAATTATAGAACCTTAAAATATAACCCTAAAATATAAAAATCGGATATTTATATTTAAATATAAAATCTAACATATCAACAACTAGAAAAAAAATCAACTATAAAACCTGGGTTTGCGCGCAACAACGCAATTGAACATCTAAATCTCTAAAATAACCATATAACTCAGTCTTAAACCTCTTCAAAGAGGTTATATCTCTAATGTACTTGGGAAAACTATTCCAATCTGCTGCTGCAGAAAACTGAAAAGTTGCTTGGCTAGTCTTCGTTTTGATCTTGGGAAGATGTAATAAAGTCCTATCACGTAAATTTCTATCATGCATACGATATCTACATATAAGACAATCTACCAGTTGGTCAGGAAAACTAATATTATGTACGGTCTTAAAATTAACAATTGGTTCATACGTTAGCGTGCTTTCATCGGGATATGAAGCACTTGGGAAGTTTGGAGAGCACGAAAGATGCGTGAGAGTTGCTCTGGGCGTAGCCTCGAGCAACTTTAGCTTCTTGAGTGCTCTTCAAACTTCCCAAGTACTTCATATCTCGCTGAACGCACAGCTGATGTATGAACCAATTGTTTTATAACATTTTCAACCCGATGGAAAATTTTTTTCTCGAGGGATTTGTCTGCTGACGTCGTGAGCGCGCACAATAGAAATATGAAGCACGCTCGCGCAATTGAATTTGATTACACAAATTTACAAGCTATGTTATAAGACAATGAGGCACGCGAAAAACGCCTACGATTTCCTAAAGTAAGAAGATCTAATTTACAATGCATTTATTGTGAGCAAGTTTTCCAATTGGTATTCAATATTGAGTGCATAGCCTGATTTTGCAAGCGTTCAATCTTTTAAGATACTGTTTTAGAACAATCTACTTGACCCATAATACATGATGGGCGAAATGATTTGCCTATAAATTAACAATAGAATATCCTGAGATAAAAAGGTAGAAATTCTATTAAGCATTCTCAGCTTTGGATATACTCTTTGGCAGATATATTTCATGTGATAATCCCAAGATAGATTTCTATCTACATATACACCTAAATATTTATGGGAGTGTTTGTGATATGGGTCTAAGTGCCTTGTTAATCCCAAGTGTCAAGGGAGGAGGTGAAAATGTAACCTCATCCCTAGTCTACAAGGTGGGGTAAGTAGCATTTTGAACCAAACTACCATATTACTGAACTTGAATAACACCCCATCCATGAAAGGGATAATGTGAACTTTGGGAACCCTGTGTAACCCCTCTTGGTTTAGTTACATCCTTTTAGTGGGGGATAACAAGGAAACACACAAAGAAAGAAAGATACGCAAACCAACTGAAACAACAAAAATGCTCTTTTAATTAACTTTTATCAGTCAAAAGCTTGATTTCTAAGATAGCATTAACTTATCCATTTTAATCAAAGGTTTTTGGTAGAAAGTGTAGTTGCAGATTTTATAATTCCAAACAATTATTACCAGCCAGCCATATTCAACTACATTTATGATCAAGTTTCAGGCCACATAAAGTAAGGGTGGGGTTTTCAAGTGGTGTTGCAGGGAATGGGAGGGGAGGGGGAAGGTCTAACCATAGTTCTCTAGGGAAGGAAGAACTTCTTTAGGCTGTGTCCTACTGTAATTCTATGAATAATTTCTATGGTGTGCTACGAAATAACAGTAACTCAACGAGTTCTTGCCACTGTTTTGCAATTTACTCTTCCTGTATAAACCCAAACTGTGCAGATAACAAACTGGGAAAAATGTCTTCTTGTTTGAAGTTATTTATATCTGTAACAATAAAAATATACAAACGTTTATATATTATGTCTGTAGATGTAAATAGGCTTTTTGTATAAATATATGTTAGCCATGTTAACCCTTTACACCCTAAGGTCAGTATGCATATTCTCCATACTGTTCTTAACAAATTTCTTAAGGTGCTGACAAGGAGAATTTGACTAACAATCAAGAGCTTGCTTAGTTGGTGATCACTTCTTTAATTCTCATAACCTTTAAGTGTGATTTAAGGGTGATATTGTAAGGAGAAATTAGATGATAGTCACTCTTAGGGGTTAAAGGGTTACACAGCAAATAAAGATAATTCATTTATGATCAGCTTCACTCTTTTCAAATATAATCAAAAGTATACCATAAATAGTCAATATCAACTTATGAGCCATAACATCACTAGTACAAGCATTAAGACAAATGAATCATGTTGATCTTCAAAATGTTAGGTGCCCAAAGTTCAACATAGGATTAAAGCTACTCTTTGTAATTTAAATTGTTAAATACTTTGAAGGCAAGATTAATTTTGGTTACAGTAGAAAAGGAAAAAAGGTGTCCTCCCTTCTGCAATTACAAGATCAAGAGTCAAGGGGGAATAGCTGATACATAATATACTTGACCCTTGAGAGTTTAACTTGAAATTGCTGACCCATACACTTATCTAATCCTAACTCAAGAAGCTTTTTTTTTGTCAGAGTAAAAACAAGGGAAAGACTTTAAATGAACCTGGTGAACACATCAGATCTCCTCTCACAACTAACAGAAAATTGGGCTAGCTTGCTTAAATTTTTGTTTTGAGAAGAAATCTTACACCTCAATGTTGATTTTTACCAAGGAATGCAAAAGGAAAAACATGATTGAGCATTTTTTTGAATCAGTGTCCATAGAAATAGCTGCTACATTGACAATATTGATCAATTACTATGAAAAAATTCTAAAGATTTCCTCTCTCACCCCAAGAAGAATAAATTTTGAAGCTGATGTGATAACAAAGTAAGTTTGCCTCTCCACTGTATTCTTTGTTTTTGATGACAAAATTTATCCATCTATTATTTACTATCCAAAAACTTTTGCATCTTAGCAGGGGTACCAAAAAGTTCCTTCTCTACTTCTTCACAGGAGGAAATCTTTCGCTTTACAACTTCCGAATCTTCTTTCAGTTTCAAGGATTTCTCTGACAGTACTTTGTGTTTTTCTGTTGCTTGCACAATGTTCCTCTGAAGTTTTTCGATATCTGCAAACAATCTGCGTCTCTCTTCCTCTTTTTGTTGCAACTTCAGTTTGGAGTTCTGAATTTCTGACTCCAAATTTTTCTTCTCAGTTTCCACCTTGAAGATCTCCATATTAAAGCCTGTCATCTTTTTTCCAAACTCGCCCTTAATCAATTCCACAATCTGCAATTTCATTGATGGGTTAAAATCACTTCCTTGTGTCAAGAGAAAGTCAAAAAAGGCACTATCCCCTGAGGAAGATGCAGTTCCAACTGGCCGTTTGTCTTCTGCACTATCAGCTGTGACTTGACCATTCTGTTTAGTTGTTGTAGTAGAGTCTAAATGTTTGTGTGGTGGTGACTGCTGACTAGAACCAGCCAGTGATGCTACACAAGATGTGCTGGAAGAAGCAGTGGCTTCCCTCTCACTGCTTAGCATCCAAGAATCTGGAGTTGAGGGTGACATACCAACAGAATTCTCCAGTTCTACATTGGTTTGATGTGACGAAGGTGGACAACATGAGGAAAATGTATCTCTAACCCCCTGTTTTTCTATGTCGGATTCACTGCACTCCACTTCAGATTGTGAAAAATTTGGCAAGAAAACAGGGTATGGTTCATCACCAGAGAAACGTCTTGCTGGAAAGTCCTCCACAGCATTTCCAGATATTTGGGATGGCACCTCACCTGATCCAGGTGAAATTGTTTCATTGTCAACAAAACCTGATGAATTTTCCTCTCCAAAGTCTGACCCCAATTCCAAGCCCACAGGATCTTTGGACTTTTCATTAACCAAGAAGGGATTTGGTGAAAGCACAGAGAGCTCATTTTGGGTAGGGGAACTTGGGCTTCCTGTGTGACTCTTTCCAGCTGGAGTGGCTGAAGATTTTGCCGTATTGCGTAATGAAAGAACAACAGACTCTAGTGACCTAACTGGAGTGACTTTCTGCATTCCTTTGGATGGAGATCCAGATGCTTGAGGGGCCTTACTCCACACAGCTTGGACAGTAATGTCATTAGTAAAGGATGGTGATGTTGTAATCCTGGTGAGACCTGAGGCTTCAAGGCTCAGTAAAGGATCACAGTTTGTAGGTGAGGAACTGCCATTGACATCTGTAAAAAGAAATGTTTTACAATTGTTTTTCATAGTTTAAGTTACAACTTGGGGACAAAGTCCTTGTAATAAAATGTTAAATAACAGCTGAAGAAATTGCTTTGCCACTTTTTAATTCAGATTGGAAAACCAATCTACTGAATCAAATTGTGAAGTTTTGCCCAGCCCAGAATCTTATTCTCAGGAATGGTTTACCATACAACTGTAGGTCTCTTGGTGTCCTAGACTATTTATTATAGCATGAATGACTGGGAAAAAGATTAAATGGCTGGATTGCAGGGGATTAGGAGGACCTAACACCTCATGCCTGTAGAATTATCAAGTAATGAACTGAATTTTTAAAATGATCAACAGATATTCTTGATTTCTCCATATGAGATCTGGTTTTTCCTTTTGTTTTCTCTCTTTTTCCTGTGGTTTCAATTTTTCGTTTTTTCGTTCACACCGGCCAACTTTCAAAGTTCATAGGGGAGCATGGTTAGTTGAAAGGTCATCTTGATTGGGAAAAAAAGATATCTAGAAGTGGCGAGCAAATTACAGTTATAGTTACTGTTAAGTAATAACCTAACATTCTATTCATACAAATTCATCAATTACCTTGTTCCATTATCATCTCCACATCATTGGGGTGAAACAACCTCTTCGCCATAAATCCGTTGAACTGTGAAAGTATGTCGAATGCCGTTTTGGAGTCCTTATTCCTTTTCTGAGGGAATTCGCTATCTGCGAAATTTTTCAGGAGATATTGAATGGATTCCCAGCCCGGGAGGGTACGGCTCTTTGCCAGGATGTGTAAAATAGTGTTACCCTCGTTATCCTGACTTGAAATAGTATTCATCACTTGAGAATCCGTCAGCAGAGAGTTACTTCTAAGTTCAAGAATGTGACCCAGCATGACTTCCAAACAGCGTTGAAAGTATCTAGTCCTTTTCAAGGGATCGCATCTTCCATCCACTCTGGCATGTCTACTAGTACAGACTACACTTTCGGCAGCCATGTGCAAAGGAGTACGTCCTTGAATGTTCTCTCTGGTAGAGAAGATATTAGGGTCACGGGAGCAGAGAATACTCACCACGTTTTCAAACACTTCCAGTCTCTTATCAATCGCCATGAACCCACCACATTGTTTCATGTTACCCACTCGATAAAAATGGTCGACCAAGGCATGAAGTCCGTTTGCCCCATCCTTAGTAACAACAGCAGGGTTAAAATCTAGCTTCACCAGTGTCTCTAGAACTCGATGTTTCCCGAATGCACAGGTTAAATATAGCAGTGGGTGTCTTAGATCTGGTAATGAATCTGGCACGGCGCTGTTTCGATCCCAACCATTTTGTTCGTACGAATGAACGCACTGTCGTAGCAAAACGTGGGACTTGGAAGAAAAGCGGCTAGAGGTTTCTCTGCGGTTCCTCTCAATGCACAAGGCTTTGATCAAATCATGATGAACTACAGAGCAGTCTTTAGGACAAAACGGCGTGTGACACTTCGTCTCGTCGTTCATCACACAAATAAAATCTGACTCAAGTTGTTATTTGTAGCAATCATACTGAATGAATGACAATTGACAGCGAACACAATAGATTAGAACAGGAGGGGTCCGCACGCGCGCTAAAAAAAGGTGCTTCGCTCCATTACCTGAAAAGGTCCCTTTGTCTGCTAAGTTCAAAAAAGCATCCGAGGCAAAATTTCGCCAGGTTAAGGAAAGTTTAAATCGATATCTTTACCGCAGACATTAGACTAAGTTAATGATGTTTTCCTACTAGCATTCCCTCCTGATTCCAGATGTATGTGCCCTTATAATCTTTTAGGACCATAAATAAATTCCCAAGATTTAAACCCTACATTGAATCTATCTCAGCTATTTGTTCTGCAAGCTTGGGCGTAGAAAGCTCAATATTTAAATGCTTTAATGATCTATATTCTTTCTTTCTTGTTTCCTCACTCTTATTGCAAAAACGAAAAAAGCCTTTACAAAACTATCTATTAAAATATACTACACTTGTATTTCCCTGGAAAGACTTGACCCTTTCAGCTTAAATTTCCCACCCCACCCCCCCACATAGCTAACGGTCGACCATCCTTAAGTTGCCGGGCAGAGGGAAGGGATCATTGAAACACTTCCAAGAGGCTTTGGGATGTGGAAGGGGATGTTCACTTTTTTACAACCCAATAACCACAAACCAAGAGGCAACTACACAAGTTGTCTTCATCTAAGATGATGGACATATTCTTACCATCCCACTAGTTAACATTTCCATTATCAAAAAGTAGATAATAGATTCACCAAGAAACCTTATTAAAATCTTTATTAACATGTCTGGTTGACCAATAACATTTTGCAAATATGTAGCAAAAAATACACAGCATAAATATTGACAAAACTTAAACCAAATGTTCAAAATTATCTGAAAAACAGTTTACCAACATAGAATTGTTTCATAACACCTCAAGATTCCACCCAAACTAGATACTGGTTCTACACAACATACGTAGAAATGCATGTAGTCATAACTTTTGGTCAATGCTTTAGCAAAGGCACAGAACTGTGCCCTCCACAGAATCTTTTGTTTTCAGCTCTACCAAAAGGAATTAATGTAAGAGATGTCAAAATCCCATCCGGGACTTTAAAGAGCAGGGCTCTTAATAACAATAAAAACAAAAAGGCAGTGATTCAATTAAAATTTCACTGCTATCACCACGCAGACTAAATCCTACTTTAGTTTTCTAGATTAATTAAAATTAGTGATATGAAAAATCAGGTAAATATCAATAATAATGTAATGTCCAACATGGACCAGCTGGTTTGCTCAGTCTCCTTTAAAATATAATTGTCAATGTCCTTTGTCCTATGGCTGATGTCACAATCCATTTTATTTCCTCTATCCCTGATTTTCAAAATGTGAAATCAAGGAGCCTGGTGAATCACATACAGTATGTAATCCCTCCACAGGCTTTGTATAATAATCCTATCAATCAGTTAGGGAGCATCCTACTAGGAGAGATCTTGTAAGAATTATTCTTTTATCAGAAATGTGAACATTAAAACCCTTTGTTTCCAAAAGGGGACTTGAACAATTTCTGACTGCATCAGAATCATTGCCTTAAGGATGCCTTCCTTTTTAAGAAAATGGACTGTAAGGCACAAGGCCTGGTGATGTGAAATTATTTGCTGTCAAAATAACTACAAGACTATCTTTCCTTAGAGTTTTCCTGTTTTCCACTCATTTTACTATTCAGAGCAGCTGCTTTCCTCACTTCTATTCTTCTTGGCAGGTGGCTCAGGATCTGCCTCTTGGAGAATAAGGAGATTTTTTTTCAGTTCTGCCTCTTCTTTTGTAAACTGCTCAAGGCTGCTCTCCAGAGCTTGAATGGCCTGATTCTTGTGCCACATTTCCTTTTGCATCTCCTGCAGTTCTTTTTCCAGCTTTTCCACTTGAGCCTTTCTCTTAATGATAGACTCTGTGAGTTCTTTTGTCTTTGACTTGTGCTTAGAGATGTCTTCCTCAACTTCATGCCTCCCCTTCACAGCCAATTCCAATCTCTCTGTGTACTCTTCCCTTAATGCTTCAATGATCTTCCGTTTAGTTGTTGGTCTCAGTGTGGTGTGCACAGGGTTTGCTACCAGTGGTGTAAGAACTGAGTTGAGGTTGCCCACACCGGAACCCGAACTTTGTGATATTGCACTAGCACTGCTGTGTAGGGGTGTGGCTGGAGAGGGAACAGAAATGGACTCGTCAGCTATGGACACCTCTGCTAAGGGGGAGACAGTAACAGGTGTTTCTGAAAAAATAACATCTGAAGATGGCTTGGGTGACTCTGGTTTGGAAGGTTGTGCTCCTAATGAAAAATAAAGTGCACATGCAGTTGATGATAGCACCACACACAGAAGATATAATCATGTAGTACAAAATATGTCTTGACTCAACCAGCCACAGCAGTTCTTAATGTCTGTTTTTTCTAGCTTGATCTGTGCCTTTAATTTCATGGTCATTAAACTGTTTCACTGTAAGTTTGTAAGCAACAACCATTCTTTAAGCACATGAAAATAGGAGTCTAACAAAATCAGATTGTTGTACAGTTAAATTTAGACTTGTCTGCTGGTACTTAAGCTTTTAAATTTCAAATGGTTTTCCAGGAGCAACCTAGATCAATCCACTACTGAAAATTAACCACTACACCAAAAAAAATTATTTTTCTCATATTGTGGACCTCCTTGAGTTTATCTTAGTGTAGGTAGAAATACCGCACTCAAAGAGGTGCCATCCAGGAATTCAAGAGCATTTAGAGAAATCATCCTGAATTAATATTGTGCAGGAAAATCACAAAAGTTACATCATGAGCAGGGCAAGAATGGTGCACTGGTGAAGAGCTTGCCACAAATAATCATATAGAATCAAGCAAAACATCTCAAATCCCAATGTGGTTGTGTTGATTGATGTTTCTCATTTTTTTCTTGAACAGTTTTTCTCTGAGTTTTTAGGTATTATTCTTCCCTTAATCATAACCATTACAAATTCCTCAAATATTATTGGTGTATTCACAGCTTCATTTTTCACTAATCATTCTGTACAATTGTAATAAGACAGTGTAATCGGATAGTTGGCTGTAATGGCACTCCTGTAATCAGACAGTTGAAGCAGCCAATCATACTAAGTCCACTCCACTAGTCCACCAATCACAGAAATTATCACAATAACCATAGCAACAACCACTTATCCAAAGAAAAACTAGGGAATTTACAAAATGGAGGAATGTCAAACAAAATACATTGTCTCCACTGGAGATAATTGTTCTAGGTGTATTTTTTTGGGGGGAAAATAGAAATGGTTATGATTAATTGCTAACAGGACTTCTTGTTGTCCAATTCTGTCTGTAATCATTCTCATGGTTAACAAATTGGACTCCTGCTTCATGCTCGTCCAATTTTGTTAATCACTTGTATGATTACAGACCGAATTGGACTCCACTTGGTCCTATTACCATTGTAAACATCTAAGATTACAATTCAATTTGGGAATGTTCAATGTTCAGTGATCAATGATTACAAAGACATCACCACAGTTTCAGTCTTTCAATATACTACTTAACACTTTTGGTAAAGTTACCTCTTTCTTTCTCTGGTGGCATGGACACTTCCAGGGGAGACGACACAGGTTCATTTTGATTCGACCCACAGTCAATCTCATGTTCTTCATGGAGGTGCCGGTTCTTAACAATGTCAGGCCAACAGTCTTTTGGAATACACTCCTTAATGCAGTTACAAAACACAGGGAGGGGGAAATTGGCGAGCAATGAAACTATACCATTCATGGCAATGTGATGCTCTTTGCACATGATTTGCAAAAATGTTTCTCCTTCCTTGTTTGTAACTGTGAGTACAGGTTTGACTACACTGAGGACAACTTTACGATTTTCTGTGGCAACTTCACGGAGTTTTAAGAAAATGTAAACCAAACAACCTATGTAAAAATTAGCTCTGTGTTGGTGGATTGTTGTAATCCTTGCTCCTGAGTTGCAACCTAAAGACACCTGAGTAGTTGGTTGAGCTTGGGAACTGCAAGAGTGACATTCTTGAGTGGAATCAGGGCTTGATGGTACTATTATGTTTGCCGATGTTGTGATGGGACCTGGTCTTTCAATAATCTTCTTAGCTGCAACATGTAGAGGTGTATTTCCATTTCTATCTTGCTGTGACAGTAGCTTCAACAAACTAATATCCTTGGAAAGACATTCAAACACCTTAGGAAAAAGCCTCTCAAAGTATCCAGGTGACTTGTAAACTTTCACACCAGCTTCGTAGCAGTGACGAAGAGTTGCATGCAGGGGAAACTCACCTGTTCTCTGGGAGCAGGAGTCCAGTTTAAATCCAAGATAATTCAGCATGTCTACTGCTGTGTACTTTAATAGCAGTGCTGCTACATGAATCAGTGGATACTGGAAAATTTCCAAATCATTGCAGAGATCATTATCCTTGCAAAGACCCTGCATGAGGTTCTTCTTCACACATTTGAGGAAGTTGACTTTAGTATTTTCCAAAAGCACCAAAAAACTGTTTGCTCGTCTTTTGGAACACAATCTGTTTGAGGTGTTCAACAATGTCAAGATAAGGTGATGATGGGAAATACTGCAATTTTCATCACAAAGCGGTGTGTGAAATAAATCTATAAAGGAAAGAATATAACTACAATTTACACAGTTTATAAAGAGGGCAAATCATAAATGTCTCTTTCCATGAAATTAGTTCTTGAAAGGATCATACCACCATTAACAAAACACTTCAGCCCAGTTTATAACTTATGATTACTAATTAGCTCCTTAACTCTCAAAACCTGATTGTTAAGTCTTCCCCCAAGCTGCTACGTATTTCATTGTCAATTAGTAACCAGAGTTTGGTGTTATATCAACAAAACAAATTCTACTTGTCATATGTTTGGATATTATATGGAGAAGTTACATGTTCATTACTTCTGAGAGTTTCAAGGTTTAAGAAACACTTTCACCATACTAGTATGGAATAAAGCAATCAGTATAAAATGTCTTGCACGTCAATTAGATTAGTTTGATTTAATTATAAATGATGAAAGTACAATGCCTAAGAACAAGTCACACTTCTGTACTGTAGCATGCTAAGGCCTAATCTGATAAGAAGTTGTGCCCTACTTGCTTCAGTTTTGGTGACATGGTTGAATATAACGTTACTGAATTTACTGAAATGCACAATTTACGAAACTAACATTGCTACCTTTTTACCCATAGAAGTACACCCACCATGATGCAGGAGGAAGGAGGGCAATATTTTTAGTTACCATACCTAACTTGTAGTCTGTGTCAGATAAACTATCCAATGATTCTGCTACAATTGTGTCTTTAACTGTTAGGGTTATCTTCTGTAGTTCAGTCTGTGACAATGTCTTTGTTGCTGTTTGGCCAACAGCCGCACCTGTACTACTGCTCTTTACAGCTTGGCAAGGTCGACCCCGTCTTCGTCGATGTGGTACAGCTGTTGTTTGGGTACTGACAACTGATGGAGGATCAAAAGCTGCTGTCCCATTTCTTACTGCCTGGTTCATTTGCTGAAGCGATTCCAATGGTGAAGAACAAAACAAAGATGGGTTTCCTTGCTGAACCCCCTCTTCAGCTGTCTGTGTTGTTAAAGGATTCTGAACTGCAATGGAAACATCAGGGGTGTCTGATGTAACTATAACAGCATTCTGTTTTGGTGGGGGAGCTCTGCATTGGCTACTACTGGTATGAAAACACTCAGCATCACATTCTTCACCATCCTGTTCCTGTTTTATAATGACCACAGGAATATGGTGAGTGGGTTTTGCTACAGGGAAAGTCTGCTGTAAGGAGTTGCCTGCTGTTGCTTGTCTAAGCACTTGAATGCTTTGCACTTGTGCTTGGGGCCTTCTTGATGTTGTAGCTGCTTGAACAGCTTGGATTTGGGCTGGCTGAGCGGAAGAATACTGAACAGGCTCATTGTAAGTAACTTGTGCAGGTTGATTGCAAGAAACTTGTGCAGGTGGAATGCAACCAACTTGCAACAGTTGACCGGAGGTAGCCTGAGCAGGTTGAACGGGAGTAAGATGGCAAGATTGGCTGTGAGCAGCTGGTGCTGTTTGGGCGGAAGCAGCTGGTTGAAGCTGTATGGTAGCCCTGTGGTCTACATGTGGTGACAGAGTTTGTGAAGATGACACTGGTTCTTGAACTGAATTTGATCTTCCACCTTTGGTTAGAGGCAATACATTCAGTATTAGAACATCTTAATTCATAAATTAGTCCATTTTCTTTTTGCAATTAGTCAAATTTTTGTATCTTCATTTATTACAATTCCTCTTAATACATTCCCTACTGTTTCAGTAGGAGAAAAAAAAAAAACCAGACAAATAAAAGAACCCAATTTCCTATTGTTGTCTTCAATCTGCATGTACTTTGCCTTTCAGATTTGTGAACTGATTAAAAAAGTCTCCCAGGCATGGTAACTCACACCACCAGTGCTTATTCTAGCTTTTGCAGCATTGAAAAGACTATTTCTCCTATCCCCCCCCCCCCAGTTAGCCTGTATCTAATTCAACTCCAGGGTGGGAGATACTGTTACATTTAATTGTCTCTCCCAAGAACACACTTTCAGCATTAACCACTTGAGTGATGATCTCTGAGTGATGATAAGCATGTAATATCTCCCAACTGTATTATCCCTGACCCAAATATTAAGGTAATGAGAATAAAATGATTGCAAACTGAAGCTCTTGATAGTCAAACAAATCCCCCTTGTAAGGAGAACAGAACAGCATAGCGAATTTGAATACTGATGTTTCATTGCAAAGAAATGACTTCACTCTGTAATGTGGACAGTGATGATGATCATGATGATGTGAAAGACATGTTGTGATAGTCTCCGCCTAGAATGCAAAACATTGACATTGGCAGGTGGTTGTTCTGATTGTTAACAGAGTTGACATCATTACAGTTCTTAGAAAACCCATGGTATCTGCCTAAAATAGTCTGATCATGTTTGTGCCATTGTTGGCACTACCACTGGACATTTGCATTTACTCCTTATAAAAGTCTTGACCCTCTATCCTTGTGGGAGTAAAGGATTGAAGAAATCTTAACTTCTCCTTTACTCTGAGAGGGTTTATAATTCTCAAATAAGTGCAAAAGAAACAGAAAAATGAAGGAGATACAGTGTTATTTATTTATTCAGGTAATTCACTCCTCTTCTGAGAATTGTGAACCCTACATAGAGCAACTAAAGCAACAAGTACATCACATCTACAGAAATTTCACAGTAGACTGCTCCTTTGCAAGGGGTAACAAACCTTCTGATTGAGAAGCTTTCATTTGACTACCAAGGTTCTTGGTAGAAACAGCTTTTCCTTTGCAAGGACATGATGATGGGCATTCTGTGATGACTACATCAAAACTTCCATCAGCAAAACAAAATGGCAATTCCTCCTTCACATGCAAAACAAGGCTCTGTACAATTTCGTTCACTGAGTCTTTACGAAGAACATCGATGAATGTGCTATTGGCATCATTCTGAACAGCCAGCAATTCGCAAATTAGTCTTCTACAAACCTTGTCCTCTGACTGGAGATCTGTCAGCTTTTCAAGAATAATTTTCAATGCTTTCATGTAGCAGTTCTTTTGTCTGAGCTGTAAGCTACGGAGGTAAGAATTCTCACATGGCCTTGCAAGGACTTTGAAAGCTGCAATTATCCTATGGCTAACAACATGAAGCACTGATTCATTCTTAGCATCAACTTTGAAAAGAATTCCTTTGTCTTGCTTGACAAGAAAGTTCAAGACTGACTTGAATGTGACATCTGCAATAATTTTGTCAGGATATGTTATTGGGAAATACCTAGCAGCAACATGAAGAGGAGTTTCCTTTCCCTCTGAAGAGACAACAGGTCTTAGCTTTATTTCTTGAGCAAGTTTTTCTGCTGCAGAAAAGTTTCCTCGCATGCAAATCAGGTGAAGCAATGGAAGACGTAGACTCTCTAGAGGATCTGGAACATCCATATTTTGTTTCCAGCCTGCATTAAGACAAGACTGTAAACACAACTTGAATGTCAGAGGAATGCTAGCATTAATGTCTGTGTGGAATACAACTGAGGGGTGGAAGACAGCACATGTGAGTAGGTGATGCTGCAGATCACATTCCTCTGGACAGAGCGGAGTGTGGGTGTTAAGAATAACATTAACTGCTGCCATTGTATCAAAGCATTCTTGAGAACATGTGTCTGAAAAGTGTTTTGTATGTATAGCACATTGCTTTTCCTGTTTTGCTGAGTCACAGTTTAATGATGCTGGTTCAGAGCACAACCCTGAAGCTTCATTGGATCTCTCCTGAATGAGGTTGACCTGCTCCTGTGATTCTTTCTTGTGCTCACTTGAGCTTGGTGTAGTTGCTGTACGTGTTCTGTCATCTGCAGCTAGGGTTGCATGAACTAAGGCCATAGTGTTTCTTTTCCCTGTAGTAAATAGATGAAGGAATGTCAATGTTCCTCATGATGCTGGATTATATTTCATTTCAATGTCAGACCCACTGAACAGTACAACTCCAGTTAAAGAGACAAGGTTTTTAAATTAGACTATTATAACTACCTTAAGGAAGTTTGAGCAAACAAATGATTCTTGCAGATGGACTGCAATTTTGGCAATTGCAGAAAAATGCCTTGAAGAATTCTGGCTTCAACAGGATTTTAACTGATGACTCTTGAACATTAGTTGCTAAGGACCCTGTTATAGATATTCTGTCAGTTCTGAAACAACCATTTTTAGGTCAGCTCTTAAAAGATATCATTTATGTATAAAGCCAAATTGTTGGTACATAGTTTTGCATGGCTGGCCAGTTGGTGGCATTACTTTTGCATTGTTCTCATGAAAAATTACTTGAAGGCAGCTTTGGACCACCTGAGGACACTGTCACTGACCAGGTTTGCTTGGCCAAAATCACTTAGCTTTCTTGTTCATGTTTCTTTCTTATTAGCATTTTTTAAGGAAAAACTAGAACTGTTTCATCCACATTAAATTAAGTTATCCATCTACCTACTAAACTATCTATCCCATTGTTATGTTAGTCCTGACTAATGTAAAAGAAAACTTGTCAAAATACAAGTTTGGTTGCCAACACCTCTAAGGATGACAGCCTCACCTTCCTCAATAGCAAGCAACTCCTTTTCATGACCAGGATAACATTCATTCACGATATCTAGCACAGTCCGATGTTTACTATTCTTTACTTTCATGATATCAGCAGACCCTAGAGACTTCACCAGGTATTTGAGCAGTTTGTAGCCATGTACTCCTGCCCTGGCAATTATGTGTAAAGAGCTATCGCCATCACCATTTCTAACGCTTAGTGCCTTTACAATATCCCTTGTTGTTAAGCGTTTTGCTGCCAGTAGAAGTTTAAACATGGCAGTAATACTCTTTGAGTAGAATACCAAGCACCGATCTTCTTCTTTTAAGTCATTATTCAGGAAAGTAGCTTTAACCAGACAATTTCCAAGAATATGAAAAGCTGTCTCCCTATTCAAGCCATCTTTTGCCCAGAAAAGGCTCACTTCTTTCCTGACGAGAAGTACAGCTACTTTCTCAAAATTGACCGCTTTAGCAGTGGCAGTCATGTTCTCCAGCCTTGATTCACGAGCTGACAGTGCCTTGTAAAGGTGACGAGCTACCAAATGCAGTGCAGTCTCATTGGTTGTGGAGGTTCTAAGGGTTGCGTCGAAGTCTTCTTCGTTTAACAACCATTCAACTGCCTCATACTTTCCAAACATGCTTACCAGGTGAAGCAGTGGCAACTGCAACTCTTTTCCATCCTCTGGGACGTTCCTGTTCTTCTTCCAGCCGCCGGAAATTAGTCTCTCGACCTGTTTTCTGAAGTCTTCTTTATTATTACCACGGGTGGCCCTGGTTGGACTGAATGGCGCTGCATTCTGCGACGAGTTTATGCGTGGAGCGAGACCTTGAAGAGCAATGATCACATCGTGGTGTACGATATCACAGCCTTTCGGGCACAAAGTAGTGTGGAACATTTTGTGATCGACTAAACCGAGAGCATAAATCGATCGATCGTTTGAGAACCTCTGCACGACTTCTTCTTGCACAATAGGAAAATTATGCTAACTCACATGACCGGATTCATGTGACACGTTAAAAACAGATTTGACGATAGCAACTGAAATTTATGGTACCATAACTAGAATAGTTCAAGTCCGCAAACATCGATGAGGTGTAACACAGATGAAAAAGTAAAACTTATGGATGACTTTCTCTCAGTGGCGCCATTTCTTCAAACGAAATCACCACCAGCGCAAAGTATTACGGGAAGGAATTCGATTAGCAAGAACCCGCGCGCGGGAAAACAAGTGTTATGAAAATTTTGTCGAAAACGTTGCAGATCTTCGCAGATTTACGGCTATCCTATGAAATTTCGAGTCATGACATACATCCTTCAGTCCTTTACAGTGTTAAAAATAGTTTTTGACTTGCATTTAACGACAAAAATGCGAAATATGAGAAGAAATTGGTGGCAAAATATGTAAAACCCCTCAACCACGTTGGACCTCGTGGTAGAAACTGAAACGTAGCTGGTTAAAGCTTTGAAAACGTTCTCACCTCTAATAAATGTTTCTTCGGAGACAGTGTAGTACCAGGGAGGAAATATATCAATGCCTCTCCGAGGGGATGCCATAGAAGGAAAATCAATATATTTAGTTTAGTTAGGGAACTTCCTCACGTGCCACACAGTACTGTAAGGCTACAACGATAATAGGGCTGTACTATTTCAGAGAGTAAATAGTTAGTTCGTTACTGCTTACGTGGGGTGGTTCTATTGGTCAAGCCTGTTCTCGAAGCATGGCTGCGATATGAGTGGTCGTTGACTTCAGAGAACGCTTGGTAGGGGGCAATGGAAATTTCTTGAAACCGAAATATCTGGTGATATGGCATTCAAATTCGACACATAAATTGTATGAAACCAAAGATAGCAGACGATAGCGACAAAGACTACTGTAACAATTGTGAGACGTTAATGGCGGTGATTATTCAACTAAATGGATAAGGACAAAAGCCACAAAAGACCGAAATCTCAGAGAAAACAAAACAGGCGTGGTCAGCTTCTATCTTGACGGGTAAAGTTACGTCATTTGCGATCAAATGTAGACATTACTCAGGATGTTAGTGAAGAAAACAATTAATTGAACATGGAAAAATGAAACAGGTTGCTGACAACTAAATCATCAAAAGGAGGATGACAGGGTTCACATTAAATTGTTGAGAGTCAGAGAGAGATGCAGAATTTTCCAGCCAAACATCATAACAAAAACTGACTGGGCCTGATACTCTTAAAAACGTGGGAGACACTATGACAAATATTGAAGAATATCCTATGGCTTGTAACCTGGGGTGTTTTCCATTCGTATGTTACGTTTTGCCTCACAGACGCTCAATGATATTACATTGTAACGCGATGATCTTATGTTTTCAGCGTTTTCTCGCATTTGCATCTGATAACATTAAATTTCTAAGTTTTCTGTCTCGGAAAGATATATATCAGAGCGTATTTTGTGAGACAGCAGGGTTTCTTTTGACTGATTGAAATTTTAGATATGCGGCAATGAATTCCACGAGTTTTCTTTGACAGAAATGCGCAAGATTACTTTCGTTAAAAGAGGTGTTACAATTACTGATCCAGCCGCAAATGTTGCTATAAGAATAAGGGGGAAAGTTTCTAAAGAAACTGTGATGCTGCGTCGGTGAAAGGTAGTACATGATAACTTGGTTTTATCAACTGATTGGCCCCCGCAGAGTATCAAAAGCTGATGTCTCAAGCTTCAGCCTTGCTTTGGCTAACACTTGACACGTCGGCTTTAGAAACTCTTTTAGGTGGCCCATTTACATTCGCAACTCAGTTGTTAAAACCAAATTATTTTTATGTAAGATAACTGAATCCAATCAATCAGCCAATGAATAAACTGTACGCACGGCTCTTGTTTCAAATAAAGTTGTAAACAATCCAAGCGATTCACAGCAATAATAATAATAATAATAATAATATTGATAAGCTTTATTTGAAATGCAAAATAATGGATCAGACTATCTGGTATTAACCCATGTGCATATATATAGTATAAAATCTGTATATAATAAAATTGTTATAAATACATAAAAAAGGACTAAAAATATCATGATACAAAATAGTAAAAATAAGAAATTATAAGAATAAATAATCGTGATCCTCTTGTAATAAAAATTCAAAGAGTTTACTTTTAAAGGTGCTGAGATTTGTTATAGTTCTGATATCCCTAGGTAGAGAGTTCCAGTCTCTTACAGCAGCGAATTCAAAAGTTTTTTCACCAAAACCCGACTTAGCATTAGGAACATTTAGTAAAGAGTCATCTCTCAAAGAGCGAGAGCGAATACTAGAACGTTTTATAAGATTGTCTTGGAGTTGCTTTGGACAGTTAATATCATTCACTATTTTAAATGTAGTTATAAATCGAAACATACGTCTACGGTTGAATAGAATCAAGATCTTTACTTGGTCCCTTAAAACTTGTGAACATGTTCTCCTATTCTTGCAGAAAATAATTCTTAAGGCTTGATTTTGAAGTCTTTCCAACTTGTTAGACAAATTCTTTGGACAGTCCATCCATACAATACAAGCATAATCCAGAATAGGAAGGATAGTAGCCTTGTAGATCTTAATTAATACATCAGAACAGAGGAAACAAGATAGCCGGTTTAACAGCCTCAGTTTGGGATAAGTTCGTTTGCAAATATGATCAATGTGAGGTGACTAATTTAGTGAACTGTCTACAAACACTCCAAGGTACTTACAATATGATACTTCTTTAAGTTTGTGGTCATTTAATTTGATTTCAGTGTCACCTGCTTTTTTTAAAGCTTGTTTAGTTCCAATCTTCATGGCCTCTGATTTAATGAGGTGGACTACCATCTCATTGTTAGATAGCCAATCATTGATATCTTTTAAATCAGAGTTCAAAAGTTGTGCAGCCACTTCTATTTCGGAATGGGCTGTATGGATTTCGGTATCATCAGCAAATAGAGAGGCATCTCCATTTTTACACGATTTAACAATATCATAGCAGTGTATAGAAAATAAAGTTGGACCCAATACACTACACTATTGGGGTACACCATAATCTAATGTAAGAGTCTCAGATTGTGCACCATTCAAGGTGACAAATTGCTTCCTGTCCAGAAGATAATTTTCTAACCATAAACCACTATGGCCTTCAATATCAGCAACTTTAAGCTTTGACAAAAGAATTTTGTGATTTATTATGTCGAAAGCTTTTTTGAGATCCAAAAATGTAGCAATGTTAATCTGTTTCTTGTCTATGGCCCATTTCCACTTATCTGTAAGAGTAAGTAGAGCTGTAGTACATGAGGGATTCTTTTGGTAGGCAAACTGTTCTCTGCTTATTAGGTTGTGTTCCAAAGCAAAGGCTTGTAACTAATTTTTTGCAAATTTCTCCATGACCTTAGGAAGACAGGGCAAAAGAGATATAGGTCGAAAATTATCACACAAAGTGTTGTCTTTGCCTTTGGGTAAAGCTGTTACTTTTGCAGTCTTCCAAATGTTGGGAATACACCTTGCTCGAAGGACTGGAAGGACTTTGCAATAATCAAAGTGAAATTTTCCTCTTGAATCTTCGAAAGTGAAAAAAAAAAAAAAAAAAAAAAAAAAACAGAACAGGCCAAGATTTATAACAATTTCTAATAAACAAATGTTATTACTTTAATTTTTATGTTATCAATGTTGAAATTTTAGGACAAATTCCAATTCATTGTTTCAATATTCAATTGGTTGCCTCTACTTAACCTCAACTTATGATTTTCTCTGAGTATTCTCCAGTTCCAAGTTTGCCTCACATGCAAATCTCAGCTTTTCAATGAAATGAAGTTTATTTTTAAGGCTTAACCTATTATTATTATTCCCCAACAACCCTCGTTTCAAGGGGAGTTGGAGAATTCCGTACAAATAATCGTCTACGAAAATAATTATAGCATTGCAGTAAAATGCGTTGCATAAAATTAAGTATTGAAGAACCTTTTGGTCTCCTAACTTCAAATTACTGTTAGGTAACCATGAGATCGACCGCCATTCTTGATTAGCTCGTAACGGGATACTGATACTGAGATCTCCCACGGGAATGTTGGTGTTCTGTTACACCACAACTGCATTGTTGTTCGTAGTTCAAAGCCAAAATGGTTACTTGCGGGCAGGTGTGTGACACCGTACTAGCGGCGGTTTTCGAGTACGATACAGCCAAGATAGTGCATATAAAAAGCAAGAAGGTTGGAGTAATTAATCGCTTGATACAACTGGTTATTATTGTTTACGTTATAGGGTAAGTATTCGTACCGATTTCTCACACATGCATGCGAGAACCAGCTGTTTCCATGGAATATCACAAATTAAGCAATTTTCAAGTACAAGTTACTCAGCGCTATTGCTAAACTCGGAGATCGTTATGTCACTTTGTAGCCAATGTATCTGAGTTACATGGTCATATTCCTATTAATTCCAATGAAAAATTGGCCCTTTAAGCCTTAGCGTGACTCTGGTGCTCGTTTGAGCATTAAATTCTTACGAAACTGTAATGAATAATTTTTTAATTTTTTTTTTATTTCATTCTTCACTGACTTTCGCTGTGAAAGATTCGTGGGTTTTATTCTATTTATTAAAAACCAGAGTAAGAAAGGTGCATATGAAAATGCAGGTGTAATATTAAGAGATTGACTTACCCTCGTCTGCATGAGTGCCGATGAATTTCCGCATCAAAATCTAAGTACAAGGTTGCTTGCATATGCTTCCTCGTAAAAAGACTGCAGCGCTCTGAAAAGATTCCAAAATCAGTCCCTTAACCCTAATAAATACCTTAATTTTTTTATGATAGATAATAGCTACATTTCTTATGTACAATAATGAACAATTCAATTAATCTACAAAAGAATGGTATGTTTTTCTGATGCTTTTAAAACTTGCAGATATGTGATTGTTTACAAGAAGGGGTACCAAGAGTCTCAGAAGCCATACAGTTCAGTGACCACAAAAGTCAAGGGATTGTCATTCACAAACTTAACAAACAAGAGCATGGAACTCTTTCTGTACGGCGGATTTCATGTTTGGGACTCATCTGACTTTGTGATACCCCCAGAGGTATACTAAAACTTTTCAGGCTCTTTCTTTGCTTACCTTCTATTACTATACTATGAATCAATAAATTACATTTTTATCATTGAAGGAGTGTGTGAAGGAGCAGTGTTTTCTATATGCTCTGCAATTTGAAATAGACAGTGCTCCAATCTACAGCAGCAATATTGGGTGCCAAAACCAAAAGTTGCCAACTAGAATTGGTGACTAGCATTTAGCTTGGGTGGAACAATACTGAAGGGTCACACTCACTTGTATCCTATTTTTTTCTATTCATATAAAGGAAAATAATGTTGTGTTTGTCATGACAAACATGATTATCTCACCTAACCAAAATCAGTCCACATGTCCTGAGGACCCAAGCTTTCCAGACGTGAGATGCAAAAGTGACAGTGATTGTACACCATTTGAACCAGTCAAAAATGGCAATGGTAAGCCATGAATTTTACCCTTTGGTGTTCATTTGAAGTATAATTCTTATTATTTAATCCTTTAACTCCTAAAACCTGATTGCTAATTCTCTGCTCTTGCTGTTACACCATTCCTTGTAAATTACTCATGAGAATTTGGTGTAAGATCAAGATAAAAACTTCCTCCTGATATAGTATTCTCATTGATCATTTGCTAGAAAATGTATAGTTATCATAGGGAGAAGTTACATGTTAGTCACTTCTGAGAGTTAAAGGGTTAAGAACACTACATTCCTTTGTTAAACCCTTTTTGAATTAGATTTTAGCAAATGCCTTTGTGGTGCCTCAATGATAAATGTTTTCACCCATTCATGAAACTGAAACTAGACTAAAGGGACCCTTTTGAGAAGAACCTCCCAAGAATCTCTCAAAAACCAAACCAACCAGTTAATTATGGATAATAATGAATAACAAACTAGGAAACAGTGTCCTTATAACAGTAAATAACTGTTATAAAAAGAAACTTGCAGACTTAAGGAAGAGAATTTAGAACTTGGATCATGTAGATCCTGTCTTGTGATAAAGATAAAATTTACATTGTGTTATGGTTTCCTTCATTTTTCGCAAAAAGGCATCAAGACTGGAAAATGTGTAGATGCTGATAGAAAGCCCTTTGGTAAAGTTTGTGAAATTTATGCATGGTGTCCAGTGGAGATTGACGAGCTTCCCATGCCAGGGTACAACTTAAGGTGTGTTAAACAAACCTTTATGAGAAGTAAGAGTAGTTCCAAGTCATTGTGTTTAAGTCATGGCATACCTCGTAAACCTAAGGTTGCATCAACAATATAAATTTCTTCCATAGTAACACTGTTCCACTTCTTGATGCTGCCAAGGATTTCACCCTTCTCATAAAGAACAGTGTACAGTTTCCAAAGTTCAACAAATCACTGTAAGTATCCCATAAGTGAAATAGATAATCTTGAATTAGTGGTACAAAAGGAGTTATTGTTGAGTTATAATATGTGTTTGTTTCTGTACTCTTGGCTGATTTAGGAGAAACATCATGACAGAAGATGAAAGTAACTTGAAGAACTGTAATTATGACCCACAAACTGATCATCTTTGTCCAATTTTCAAGCTCGGAAAAATAGTTGAATTGGCAGGTGTGAACTTTGAAGATATTGCTTTTAAGGTATGTCTTGTGGATGTAATTGAGGAATTTGTTGAGTGAGGTCTCTTACTTTATGTAAAAAATAAGGTCCAGGTTACAGACAGATTGTGTATTGATCAACCATGATTTCAAATAAGAGAGAAAAATTTCACTTCAAGTTTTGGTTTTTGCATGTGTATTCTTCTCTGGGTTCCCTTCCACTTCAAATTATAAAGAGCCCCTGATATTCACATCCTCGCTTTGCTTTTCTTTCAATTCAATAAACACCTGCAATCCTTGTTTTTTCTTTTCCTTTTCTTTTTAGGGTGGGGTCATTGCCATAATCATAACATGGAACTGTAATTTTGACCCCCTGGCATATTTCTGTGAACCTAAGTATTCATTCAAGAGGTAATTGATTTAAAATTTTTCTATTTGGAATGCATCCAATTTTAGTTTTTCTATGCTATAGTTTACACAGCATGTATTATAATGGAAGCTTCTTATCATGTTAGTAAGGAAATAAATATCTTTATCACACCAGATAGATGGGTGTGTTTACTCTTTAATTGAAAATCACTGTAGAAAAATCCCCATGTGAGAATTGTATGTGATGGTTTAAGCAGGGCTGGAATAAGCCATGTGACCCAATAAGATGAAGCTGGGAGAAGAAAGACAGAATAAGAAAGATTGGTAAAGATTGGTAGTCACATGATAAAAGGCTTATTGTCTGAGTTAGGTCAAGCTTGGGAGAATATATTTGACATACAGTCTTGAACCACAGCTTTCACTGTTCTCTGACTGTATGTTATGACCTGCAACCAAATATGTACCTACCCAGCTGCCTACTTAGTTAATAAGTACATATTATCTCTGAGCTTATGATATGAAATATATATGGCTGGTTCAGGGAAAAATGGTTCTCAGAAGTAATAATTGGACACATAATCACATGATCTTTAATCTATTCAATGAGAATTAACACATGATTCATCAGAAACCTAATAGTGAGCAATTCTTGAAATTGCTGGCCATAAGCAACTTGTTTCTTAAAAAATTACTTACTTCTGTGGTGCTATCCAATCAAAACTATTCCAGTAGACATTACAGGTTAGCAAAAGGGGTCAGCATAACAGGTCAGCAGATCAAGCAGAAACACACTAGTTTCAGAACACTTTTATAAGAACATGTCATTACTTTGAACTGAAGATCAACTTACTTAGTGATTATGTCATCAATATGTCAATCATGTGGTCAATTATAAAATCAAATGTTAATCAATAAATTAAATGTCAGTTAAGGAAACAATGACAGATGATTATTTGGGAACCATTTCTGCAGCCATGGTTTGTATTGAACTTTTTTTTTTTACCTTAAAAGTTTGCTGAGGTGTACCTTACTTTTGGTTTAAGTTAGATATATAACTGAATGGTTTTCCTACCTCTAGATTGGATAACTCTAAATCACCAATTGCACCTGGTTATAATTTCAGGTATGTGTATTAACTAGTGACCACTTTTCATGTGTCTCTGTTTGAAATGGAGAACATTGTCATTACTTCCCTTGCATCATGTGATATATCAGGACCATGAGTACTAGACAGATATTTGCACTACACTATTCAGCAAGAAAAAACCTGAAAGTAGTTGCTGTATCATTCTTTTTTAGCAAACTTCCAGCTTTTCCTCTCACTAGGGATAAGGAAGTGACTATGAACAAAGTTTGGCCTGTGAAGCTTATACATTATAGTAGTAACTCTGTCTTGTTGGATGCCGGTCCATCATAATTTAAGCCTTCTCTTGGCAGAACTTTTTAGATATTCTTGGCTAGAATCAATATTTTATACATGGCAAAAAGAGCTGGCCTATTTTTAAGATGGCCAGTAATGTTCAAAGTCGGTTTGTGTAAATTTAAATTTTTTACAGTTTCCCAGAACATAAATTCTAATTACGAAAGGAAAAATGATGTTTTTGCAGCTACGGCTGATACTGAAGCTTGAAGCTTAGCCAGGGGTTTACTGGACTTGTAAATAAATAATATGATTACTTATAGCAGATTGCTTTTAGTTATCAATAATTTACTGTATCCTTGGTTAGTTCAAGTCCAATGACTTATGTCAACTTTGTTTCAGATATGCTAATTATTATGTTCAAGACAATGTCCTACACAGGACTTTGTTCAAGGCCTATGGAATACGCTTCATGATCATGGTGTATGGAGAGGTAATGTCTAAAGTGTAGAAATGAAATTCTCTGTAATTTAAGCTGTGAGCTTATTAGTTTGTGGTATGCAGGTATTGAGTTATTTTCTCATTTCTGCAGGGAGGAAAGTTTAGTGTAATTCCACTGTTTCTTAATTTGGGTTCAGGTCTTGCCCTGCTTGGCATTGTAAGTACCAGTAAACCAGGTAGTACTTCTACAGTAACTTGCAAGTAACATATTTGTTCTAAAATGATAAACTTTACAGATGATAAACATAACAAGGATTGTCTTGTATTTTGATGTAAAGGGATGACTTTGTGGGGAACACTGATTCATCTAGGGGGACATTAAGTCTAAAATTTTTTTTTTCAAATTTTGCAAAAACTAGAAGGAATGTAGGTAGGTAAGAGTAAACTATGTGATCATTATTGGAACCCTTTCAACTGACATTTTTGTGTATGTAAATAAAATCTGGGATCTGTTTTATGAGATCTTGACTTGATTAAGAGGAGAGTGAATGGTGAATGGAAGAAGAGTGGGATTGGGTGCTAATGGAGAGGTTGGTAAAAAGAGGAGTTGGATAAGTCAACCATGTCACCGATGGAGGGCAAGTTTTTATGGCAGGCAATCAATTGAGTAAAGGATATTTTAGGGAAATATGTAGAGGTATTGCACTTAAATTAGGGGCATCTGAAATAACATATTTGGGCAAGCATAACAAATGTAAGCCACACCATGTACATGTTTTGTCATGAAATGAAATGTCATCACACCTTGTTTCTGCCATTGTAGGCTACAGTTTTGTGTGACATTGTAGTGCTGTATGTGCTGCAGAAGAAGTACTTTTACAGAGAGAAAAAGTATTTAATGGTTGATACTGATACAGACTCTGAACCTGAAAGTGAACAGGTAATTCAAAATGTTCTGTTAAACCCTTTAACTCCCAGGAATGATGAACAAGTAACTTCTCCCTATAACATCTAAACATTATCCAGCAAACAGGTCATGGGAATATTAAAACTTATCATGTCAAAGTTATTATCTCCATATGACACCAAATTCTCATTACGTATTTACAAGGAAATATGTAGCAGCTAGAGGGGAGAATTGACAGTCAGATCTTGGGTGTTAAAGGGTTGATTAAAAGCCTAATTTCAATTAATTAATGCCAGCAATAGTCACTGTTGTGCTTAGCAAACTTTAAGCATTTAACCCGCATCCAGTTAATATTTAATAGAGGAACAATTACAAATTGCATCAAAGTGTATATGGATTTTACCACATACATTTTTCTTGTCTTATTCTGAAGTGGCAGTTTGGGTATTTTGTGGTATCCAAATATTTATGACCTGTAAAAAGTTGACAGAAGTCAGGGTAACCTTTTTAAACATTGTGTAGAAAGTATTCCATGCTCTTTGGATTGATGTCTATTAGTCCAAATTCAACACCAACAATGTTTAATTTCAATCAAGAGAAGGATCTTTTTCCAACAAGTTTCCTTTCTACGCTATTTATTTTATGTGCCCATGGGAACAGCAACTTATAGAGCAATCAGATGAACTCTAAACCTGGATCAAGCCCCAAATACCTGTATGTTCTTAGAAAGGTACATTGACCATTAACTCTTAATGGAACTTCTTATTAAGCTTTTACACCCTAACATCAGTATCCACATTCTCCTTACTCTTTCTATACATTTCCTCTGGTACTGCCGAGGAGAATTCATTTAACAGTCAAAGCTTTTTTGGTCGGTAATCATTCCCTTTATTCTCATGGTCTTAATGAATGATTCTGCTGTATTACTTTAAGGAGAAATTAGATGCTGGTCACTCTCAGGGTTTAAAGGGTTAAGTAGATGAGTCACGGCCAGTATAATTTTCTCCTTTGTTCAATTGTTTAAATACCCATTTAATTGTATTCATTAAATTAGCCAAAAAAGATCTTGTTTATGCCATTGTCATAAATGGTTTAACATGTGATGTGATTTTGTGGGTGCAAAAAGGCTTTTGACAGCATAAGACAATAAACGATCCTTTGACAATCTGAGCAGAATTCATCTCTCAGGAATTATGAATGGGTTACTTTGAAATGTGTGTTTCCGTATTATCTAAAGATGCTCTATGATACCTCTTTGCTTCTTTTCAGTCTTCAGATAAAATATTGTATGGCCAATAATAAATCATCAAAACTAGTAAACATTGTTTTAACTACATATATAAGTGGCAGAATGAAATTAAGAGTAACAAGAACTGTAGATGATGAGGAGGGCTTTTGGGGATGAAACAAAACAGCTAATGGAAGGACGTGGCACTCAATTCAGGAGTGAATGATAATTACTTATTCACAGCTTCATCACCATTAGAAGTTTTTCAATATTGTTTGTGATTCTTAGCTAAATACCGTCTTACTTTTGACAGCAGCATTCAAGAGCACGTGATCTCCACAGTGCTGGTAGCATGGATCGTGATGCACGGCGGTATAAACGGATTAAAGATGATAAGGAGCGTACAGAAACCTCCGGTTTTGTGAGTGCAGAAAGATGACATTCCCTCCTTACAAAAGAAATTTTCATATCACTGGAGTCCCGTGCATCTTTTATTCCTGTATACACTGTCAGTAATTTAGATTTCTATTCATATCTTTGGTAACTTGTGAACATAGTTAAATCGACACAAGGTTGTTCGAATTTTTGGGGGATTCTGGCCAAATATTCCACTGTATATTTTCTTAACTTTTTGAGCAAGTAACAAAGGATTTGAAAACACCTAGTCTATTTCCGACCTAAATACCTGAATTGTTTGGTTTCCTCAGCACAATAAATGCGTTTGTATTTTTGGGACTTCAAAGTATTCAATGTAAAAAAACGTGCAGGGATGTTTAAACTTATTACAAAAGAGGAAACTGTAAAACTTTAAGGCCATGGAAATTAGATATTTGACCACAAAGTGATTTACACCAGAATCTCCCTCAGGAAAACAACCAGTAGGTAGGAAAGAATTAGTTATTCATGAGCAAGCCTTAAGATACCAATATTTGCCTCCGTTTGATGCGAAAATATCCACAATAATTTGTACGAGACCGTAACCAATTCTGAGAACCCGTAAATTTATCGAGGTTCGGTTATGTTTAAGGAGAAACAGCAAATAAAGATTATGAATGATACCGCTTTTTTGGTAACGGTGATCATTTTTCCTAAACATGATAATGCGAGCATCATTTTTTCGAGGATCATTGCAAGAATTGAGACAATCCCATGCAATGTATTCGAGGAGGTAGAAACGTCGGGTTCGTTTATATAGTTTTCAAATAATACTAATAATGATAATAGAACTGCGGCTTTAGGTAAAGAGAATTAGTGTTGTTAGACAAGGTATGTCGTTAGAGAGAATGTATTGTTAAGTATCTTTCTCCTTCAATTTTCAGTGATTGCAAATTCTGTTTAGACCTGGTATACGCGACAATGTCACTGAATAAGGACACAAAAATCTTCATTATTTCGACGTAAGCATCTGTTTTCTTACTTTGATAGTGTATGGCTGGTCGAAAATTCCCAGATTCGGTCATGTAGGATGTAAATATTGAACATCAATTATATGTAAAAATGTATCCGGATCAGTATTAAATTAGATCATTTATTCTGATATAAAGTCATCCTGACTAAATCCTCAGCTGAAATTAAGGTAGATAATTTGTATTTCGAGGTAATCATAGCTAATGAAAATGTATAGAATTTGAAAATATTCTAACTATGTTCTTCCTAGCATAAAATAATGTTAATAGGTAGGTGGTATAAGGGAAGAAATATATATATTTCTTAAGTTAAAGTGTCGTAGTAATGTTCTACCGTCTCAGTCCTCAAGGACTCCCTAATCCTTCCTAAGAGTGCTTTACAAAAAAAGCAAAAAAAGAAAATGAAGCAACGAAGAATGCGATCAAGGAAGAAGCCGTGGACATGAAATAGTACCACGCACGTTTTAATCGCGTTAATATATATTTATTCTCGGCAATAGCCCATAAGCGAGCGAAGCAACCAACCTGTCTTACGCTCAAATATGTTACAGGATACACTTTCTGGATTGATTAGACTTTACCATAAATGGTGAATTGGACAATTGGAAAAGACACTTGGCATGTTTGTCGTCTTTGTTCTGTATTATCAAATATCTTTTTTAGCAATGTTTGCTGCGTCCAGAGAGCTGAAAATGACTTTTCATACCATGTTTCCTCATTGTAAAAAAGAGTGAATTCCTATCACTTAACTTATTATTAAGTATGGGGAGATATTCATTGATTTCAACATATCTTCCTGTTTAAACTGTAAAAGGCCGTTGAAGATTTTTCCAGTCCAGAGCCACAGAACAGTTCCACGGTCTAGAACCCTAGGTTCACGAAAACCCATGAACATTACTTAAAAAAAGGATATCTTTTGCAGAAAAAAGGAAAAATTTGCACTTTGTTTATGTGCGATAACTGCCGAACGGATCCAATGTCTAAGCGTGAGGAAGATTAGTTGGAACCCAAATGAACTATGATCACCCGCATCTGTGGAAAATTGAGAGCCGCCTTCAGCATGAAAAGCGACATTTTCCGTAGAAAGGCGATGCATTTATATCACTGTGCAAAGGCAGACCAGTAGAAAAGTTTATCTTCCCCTCCCCCCCAAAAAAAGAAGAAAATTTACGCGAGGTTTATGAAACACGATACTGAGAATCAACCTTTAAAAAGGCCCGATTTTTCTCCTCTTTCTAATAGGCCCCCCTCATCAAATCCCTTCATCTATCATCTCTTTACACCCCAACCAACATTAGTGTTCACACTCTCCACATTATTTTCTACACGTTTCCCATGACACTAACAAGGAAAATTTCTCTCACAAACTAGAGCGACTGTAGTTGTCGATCACTTTCTTTATTCTCACGATCTAAATTTTTGATTCAGGAATGACACTGTGGGGAGAAATTAGATGCTAATCACTCCTGGCGGTAAAAGGGGCTGAGCTCCCCAACTTGGAAAGCCCTCGAGTGCGAAAAAAAACAGACAAACAAAAAACATTCACGAACGCAATCGGTGAAGTCAGTTTTCAAGGTATCTGGACCGTGTCATCATATTCAATTCAAAATGGATTAGGAGTTCTTTGTCTAACTGGGCTCTTTATTGTGTTGGCGGCTAGACTCACATGATATTTACATGATTGCAAATTACTCGGCAAATGTAATTACTGACGTGGCGATTTTTTATTTTCTTTCAAAAATTGGGTTCACAGCCCTGGTAAAAAATTCAAAATTAATTCAGAGATTTGAACACAAGCACGGAAATGGGTTGAAAACTTTGACGTCACAGAGACACCCTATTGTGCGGAATCTGCACGAAACACAAATCGAAACTGGAAAAAAAAATCGGATATCTTTAGTTTTTGGAATATTTTATGCCAGTTTACAACTTAACGCATTCCAGATGCAGCTCGTCTTAAATTTTTTACTATTCCGCCTGTTACAATGATTGTGGATATGTATGGAACGCCCGCGGATAAAAATAGCATCATTTTAATTTGACACTTTGTCTTCATTTTGCTAAGAGGAGACAAAGAGAGTCTTAATTTAAACTGATAATCATTTGGAAAACAACAGGTAATCATTCGCGTTTCGAACATTTCATCCTCATTTCTCAACAATTGTCCCCAGGCCTTTCCCAAAACATTGATAACGAGGCAGATAAACAATGTTTTTTTCTGACGTAACGCGGCGCCAAAACAGAGTTCTGGTCATCTAAAATGATGTTCAAAGCGACGATATGAAGAAACGGCGATGGAAACGTAATCAAAATTGAGCCAGAAAGCTACTTAGCTTCCCCATCTTCAGTTCTGGAGATCGACAAGAGCTTTCTTTAGCTCTAGATGATGTCTGTGGACTCAGTTGCAAGACGAATTTCGCGCGGTGGTGGGATTGTCGTTCGACCTCAAGCAATAAGGTTTTTAACCATTTGACGGAATGTTTTGGGTTTGCTTGATGTTATAAATCTCGTTTAATGCTAAGATGATGTTGATCTCATTTTTTTTCAGCGACAAGTCCTACGTGGAAAGCGTGGTAAACTTCCTACAAGACGTCGTACCCCAGGCAAGTGAAGCTCTTTGTTCGAAATAAAAAAATTTGTATTTCTATAACGTCATCTAATGTTAGTTGGCGATTTGCTTCTTTTTTTTTCGTATTGTGCTGTTTTAAATCCAGTTGAGGGGTATTTTAGGTTTATCGATCCTTTTTTCTCGAGAAATTTTATAAACAACTAGGAAAACCACTTCAGTAGCGCTCGGGATCGATCGAACCGAAAACTCAACCGAAATGTACGTGACTTTCCATCGTTAATGGGCCTACAATAGGTGTGGTGGTTTTACTTCTCTTTTTTCATTTCCTTTAAAATTGTCAAAGGTTACAATAAATCCTGTAAAAGATAAACATATCGTCCTTGAAGTCATCTTGATTTGATCGTGATTGACAAAGTATAAGTTCAATTAAAACGAATACATGCAATACAGTGAAATAGGATGTTGAACTCTACCAGAATTCACTTCTCAAAATTAAGTAAAATATGAGAATATATTTTGTAAACATGGTGTGATTAATTTTCTTTGTGATTCTTTTCGATGAAACCATTATTTGAAGCCTAAGGTTGTGATCATAGAAAATAGTTTTAATCATGGGAGATATAAGTACTGGTAACAAGTTCCTTGTGACCAGACTTCAGCTCCATATTCCTTGTTGTAATAAAATTATATTTTCATTCATGAATATACAACGTAACAGACATGTACATAATTTTCTACAGTCACACAATTGACCAGTGTCTGTAAACATTTTCTAAATGTTCTCTTTGAATTCTTAACCTATCCAATTTTTAAGTCAACATTTCAACTGTGTTGTCAAAGTGTAATTGGTCAAAGTGGTATGAATTATCATACACTGTGGGGAATAAATACTCATAAGATTTTAATCTTGATAAGTCACATGGATTTTTCCCCATGGTCTATTCAGGGATAATTATGAGAAACCAGAGTTAGTAGAGGGTAAATGGAGGAATCTATGCTTCAAACAGCAGTTTAATTTTTCTGATTATGTTACATTATGTTACCTAGTTATTACAAACTATGAAAATGTTTCTAAGTTATATTTTGTGGGTGGTTGTTGTTATGAGTTGTGGTGGGCAAGTGTTTTGCATTTTTATTCGACTGAAATTTCTGCAGGGAAATAATTTGCAATTGTCTGTTAAAGCAGCAGGACATGGAAAAGGAATAAAAAATGATATTTTCCATTTTATTACTTGTTCGTAATACAGTATGAAGGTACATGGTCAATTTTCCAGGATTTTTAAATGTTTATTTTTAGTGGGTTAGCGTATGAAGTGGGAGTGTGGAGTTTTATATGGGACTCAAGGCAGTACATTTTTATAGAGCAGTTTATTTTCTTTCTCTTTTTATTTGACATTTTCTTTTGTATCATGATTGACAAAGAAAACCTGCAAGGTCAGCAAAAAAAATCCTTGAAATATTTTATGCTTGTTTGAGTATCTGTCAGTTTGCCTCCAACAGGAAAAAACCAGTGACCTTTGAAATTTCAAGAGTTATAAAGGTCATTCCTTTAAAACTCATATTTACTTAAACTGGAAATAATCAACAAAAAAATCACCTGTGGATAAACAATTGTCATATGATTTACTTGTGACATTCAATATGAACTCATGGGAATTAGCCTATTAAGGATTTTGTCAATTGATCTCTTTAATTTGGCAGTACAAGTCATGCATTCTATAGGCACTTTAGCATGAAATAGAATTTCAATAAGGAACTACATAAAAATTGTTGCTGAGTAGACAATTACACTGTTAATATTTGTAGGTCAGAGGGGTTGGTTGGGGAAGAGCTTTTCAAAGATTGTATTTTTTGTTGTAGGAACAAGATTGTGATCATCTTGTCATTGATTTTTGAAAGACTTCATTATTAAAACAGCTGTGTTACTCTCTGTTTATTGTGACAGTGCAAACATCGTTTGTTATAACTTTTTTGTGAATCTGAAATTAATAAGGAAAAGCTCTAGCAGGTGGTGAATGAAGCTGGCAGTAGCTTTGTTTTTTAAATCTGTTAACCAATGCAACAGGCTTCATCAAAAGTAACTCTTTATAGATTTACAAGAAGGGGTTAAGGTAAAGGACAAAAAAAAGGATCTTAGATAAACAGACTGTCCATGTGGTAATTATATTTTTACCATTTTAACCCTTAGGCTGTCACAGGAGTTAAACAGGAAGAGAAAGAGAGGGTGTTATGGGTTAAGTTTGAGGAAGCAGACATCAATGGTGAGAGACAAAAGAGTTTTGTTGAAATTTATTTTAAAAGGGTAACAGCTTTGCAAATAAACTGTGCTTAGGTATTTCATTATCTCAGGTTAGTGTCTCTTTGTTTTATATCTAGGCTTTCCTTACATCCCATGCTGCCAGCCCAGCTAGTCAATATTTTTGTGTGTGATGAGTTAAATTTGTTGATTTATTGTAGTGACTGGCTTTGCTATCTTAATGAGGGATAGAAGATGTCATTTTGTTAAACCAATTAATTTATAACTTTTGAATTATTTGAACTCAGAGTTCTGGCTTCAAATAATTTTTAGCTAATATTTGTTATGGGGCTGTTTTGTATCTCACAGATAATACAGTTAACCAGGAAGAGATTTCATCAGGAGTGGGTGTACCATTACTGTTGATTCTTGGTTACACTAATGGCTTTCATGTCTGGACCATCCCAGTAAGTATAGTCTGTGAGGATTGATAGGTCCAGTGACACATCTGCAGAGGCAATTTTTCCTAATCAAGGAAATTAATTATGTGGCTTAGGTGTCATTTCTCGGTTTTTTGTTTTTAACATGATTTGTGATAATTGTACACTGTAATGGCTTACTTCATGTTGTATTTTTTGCAGTCAACTGGTGAAGCACAGGAGGTGTTATCTCTTCGTCAAGGGCCAGTAAGACTTGTGCGCATGCTCAAGACACCACTGGAAGGTATTAATTACATTACAAGCTTTCCAGTACTACTGGTTGGCGTTAGGTCACTCTCTTGGAAGGCAACTACATAGTGTAGAGATCTATGTACATCTTAGAAATAAAATATTCCTTTCTCAGCCTTCTTTATCAGATTGTTGATTTGGAAGTCATTCTGAACTGAAAAATATTTTTAAAATACCTCTCATCCCAATGGAAACATTCTGAGGAACTAAAATTCTCCCAAGTTCTGAAAAAGAGGAGTTTTGAAATCAGTTCTTACTACATGTCAGATACTCATTGATTTTGATGGACATTCACCCTTGGCTGTACATTGTATTGTTCGTATGCATTTATCAATTGAGCATGAACTTTTATGGTAGTCAACCAGCAAGTGGCAAATACTCTCCCCCTCAAATTCTACCCCAACAGTGTCACATGTTTTCAACACTGATACTGTTTTGGTAACATTTCACTTCCAGCAACAAAATCAAAGGATGAGTTTGCAGATGTCAGACCTCTTTTTGCTGTATGTGATGCTGCAAGGTAAATAAGGTTTATATTTGCAATGCAAGTTAATGAAAGATGGATGTAATGTTTCTTTATAATTTGCTTTTCACCACTGAGACTGATTAACTGAAAGGTTACTGAGACATGTAACTGAAAGTATTTCTTTAAACTTTTCAAATGTTATAGAAACCGAGATCTAGAATTGTCAGTCATATGTTAAGGGTCTTCCAGATTGTGAAATATGCTTTGCAAGTCTGTGTAATTGAATGAAATGTAACTCTGTTTCTGCAGCCCCTCCCTGCCATTCTCCACCGTTAATTTATGGTCCCTCAGCAGTGGTGAGCAGGTCCACTCTATTGGCTTCAAGTCTGAGGTGTATGATGTACTTTGCAATAGAAGGTACCTGATAGATAATTTATCTTACTCTCTTAAAGAAGTACATGCACTTTAGACAAAGACATGTCGTGGTGGTGAGACCTTTCATGAATCATCATAGAATTAAGAATTGTATGAAACTTTTTTTTCTTCTTAGGTTAATGGTTGTTGCTCTTCAGGAAAAGATTGCAGCCTTTGATGCATGTACCTTCAAAAACTGTTTCTGTATAACAAGTAAGTATTCTCTTTTGAATATCTAATTAAAGGTAAGCTGGTTTTCACAATGTGCTAGTCTGTGTAACAACAACCCAGTACGTTATAGCCAGATATTCATTTTTCTAATAGATGTATTCTCTCACCACCAAAATCTTTCATTCAGGGTGTTTGACTTGATCTAATATGTACTATGTAGTTTTTAAGTGATACTTTAACCCTTTAACTCCCATGAGTGACCAAGACAGAACTTCTCTTTACAATATCAACACAATATCAACCAGATAAGTGATGAGAATAAAGAAAAATATCAATTTGGGGATAATTAGTTGATCCAGTATGAAATTCTCTGAACTAACATAATAAGAGTGGTATAGTTGACAGTAAGGAGAAGTACAAATTTGACAGTTTTGGAAACCTGGGAATTTTTCAATAAAGTATATGACAAATCACATGTATGCTTAGATTTTAAGTTCACTGTGTTCACCCTGAACCCAGTATTTGTGATATGAAAATATGTTTAAAAAGCACATCTAACCTCAATTTTAGGTTGCTACCCAGCCCCAAGCCCTAACCTCAACCCATTGGCACTGAGTACCAGATGGCTGGCATATGCAGATCGCAAGGTACCTTAAAGTGTTGGGTCTTCAATTAAATATTTTCACAACCTTTTTTTTGGACTAAGGAATAACACTGAGTGTTGTGTTTGTATTGTCAGTTGGTACCTAATCATCAGTCCTGTGGGGGAGTGTGTGGGGATAATTCCCAGTCATATACAGCCACAGTTATTAGTGCTGCCAAGGTTTGTATGATAGGATAGAATATTTACAAAAAGTTCATGATCTGTAAAACTCCTGTGATTACAAAGATTGCACATCTGACAAGTTCTTTCAAGAATGTTAATCATGAGATGATTTTGAGATCTCAACATGTTTCTGAACACCCATTAATAAACATTTAATAAATAACTGACAAACTTGCAGTAGTCAGATCCTAACTTGAATTTGTCAGTAAAACTTAACTAGAGCGCTTGTTTTCTGGTGGGTCTAGTGGAAACTCAGAAAATCAGAGTAACAGAAATATGATCAAAGTTTTCCTTACATTTTACATTCAATAAACCTGATAATAGATCTTTATTGACTCATTATTATTTCCATTTTCAGACAATCACTAGAGGTCTGACAATTTTAGGTATGCGACTATTTAGTTTTGAGCTTTAAATATTTTTACTATAGCCATTTTTTTAGTGAAGAATGTAGTGAAATTGTTGCTGATATCAGCTGTTTTCCATTATATTTTAGGACGATGGACAGGGACAGAAATTTCAAACGACTATTTAAACCAAGTGAGTCGCAATGAATTATTTTGAATTTTTACCCTCTGGGAGATTGGGCACAAAAAGCAAAACATTGGGTTGTAAGGATCAGCTTCAGGACTAGATTAAGGGAGTATTTAAATGCTTGATATAGGATTGGAATAAAAGTAATTGATGTTGTGTTAATCTTAAACCAATAGAAGTTCATTTTTTCTTTTGTTACAAAGTAAAATTAATGTAGGTTTTAGATGTCGATTAAACATGCACTTTCCTATAGGAAATACTATGAAGTGGATCAAATGGATGATGGACATAATTTTCAAATAATAAACCCTTACTTTCTTTTAAGGTTGAAAGGAATGATCATACCCCTATAGGGTATATAAAACTCTTTAGGGAGGGCTGAAAACTATTTTGGTTTTCACTATTTTGTTTTGCTTTGTTCCTAGAACTCCACAATCACACCAGGAGTTGTAACCATTATAGACACACAAAAAATTGGAAATGGAGAGGTACAGTTGTCAACACTAATTTTCTTTCAAGATCAGCTAGCCAATTTGTACCATTCATTTTTCTTTTGAAGTGAGATTTAGTTACTGGTTTCACTAAAGACATATTTCTTAAAACATTAGTTAGAATATAATTACTTAGAGCAAGGCTAAACAAGGCTATATTGTCTCAGAAGATTGTATGAACTGATAGTCAGGAAAGACAGTACAGAGGTGTTAGGCAGCTTTCTTGTAAATTATTCCTAACTGAAAAATACGATTTTTTTCTTTATGTATTTGTGCATTTTTGATGGCAGTTCTGTGTACAAGAGGATGACCATGAAGGCACTGGCATAGTGGCCCATTTTCTTGCCCATGCAGGACAGCCCCTATCTTGCATGTCCTTTGACCCCAGGTGTGATATTTCATGTGAAAAAACCCTCATAATTTTGATATTTAATGAGATTTAATATTTCCAAAATTCTGTATTTTCATATTTTGTCGGTATATCCTATGTAAATAACCAATATTTTACAGTGGTTAAAACAGGTTATCTGTGTTCTATGTGTAAAATCGAAATTGAAACTTTTCAATTTGTGGAACTGACTAAGGTAACACATGTCTATGTGAACAAATGTCAAGTACATAACTGTGATTGAAATACATACACCTATGGTTGACATTGACTTTAAATTTCAATATTGTGACAGTGATTAGAAAAACAGCAGTATGGTAACAATATGTTTAGTTTGTATTTTTCTTGAACATCGTGTGCATATATGTTCGTGACTTATTTGCGTACAATTCTTTTCCAAAATAAAAAACTCTGAAGATAACCTTGTTCAATATCTCTCTTATTTCTCCAATGATTTTGTTTTGCTTTGTTTTTGTGAAATATTCCTTAGGTTTAACTTACCCTTCATTTTGTTTCCTACTCTTTAGCGGTTCACTGTTGTTGACTGCAGACGTTCTGGGAAACAATTTCCACGTGTATCATATTCTACCGCATCCCATTTGTCCTTCGTTAGGCGCTGTTCATCATTTGTACACTCTGCACAGAGGCGACACCACTGCAACAGTAAGTCCAGGCAGTACACTGTGTAGAATACAAGTAGCAGTCTTTCTGGTGACTTGGTAAAGTTTCCGCACAGCCCCATACTATTGTAAAACAAATCTGTTTTCCCAACGGAAATGTATTGTTTTTGTCATTGTTTCCTCTGTTCAAGAACTGAATGCATAATGTAGGATGGGGCTGTGCGGAAATTTTACCGGTGACTTTTTACCTTCCTGCCGCACTGTTGTTGTTTTTTTTCCCGCTTCGTTAAGTTCTTAAAAAGTACTTCTCGAAGCGTGTGATAACGACATCCGGGAAATTTCATTTTGTCGCAGTCATGGATTGAAAAGGGGGGGGCGCTTTGACGGCTAATGTTTTTCCAATTTTGACGGTTGACGGATGTTTGAAAGAACCTCGTGGTGTGGTAAACAAATTATCATTGAAGTATGGTGCGTAGTATTTTCAAACTGTCAATTTAGGCGAAAGTTAGTGGAAACTAAAGTAACTATAAAGGGAATATACTTGGAAGGCTGGTTTGATAGTGTAAAGAGTGTTCGAGATATTGAGGTCTTTCAGGAATCGTTAAAGTTGCCAAAATTAGAGTCAACCTGAGTTTTGTTCTCATCTCATTCCCAGGTGCACGGAATGGCATTTTCCTTCGACAGTCGATGGGTTGCTGTATCAACTGTCCGTGGAACTGTGCATGTTTTTCCAATTACTTCGTACGGAGGTAAGCTTTACTAAATAGAACAATTGTTTCCAAGAAACCTCTAGGTTCCTCTAGTTCTTAACTGTAAACTATCTTGAAGTGATTCAAATTGCATGTTATAATTTCTCAACACAACTCTTCTTTCTTATATTCTCGTAGGTCCCATAACAGTCCGCACCCATTCTTCGCGTCGTGTTGTAAACCGCAGCAGTCGGTTCCACACCAGCGCTGGATTGGATGACCTTGACCAGGCGACCACAGGCTCAGGTAGACACAGTCCATGCAACGGCACAGTGCCCAACCTTTCTTGTTCACCCAACGGAAGCCCACTCAGCTCCACAGGGACCCCACTGGCAAGAGAATCCTTGACATCCACTTCAACCAGCAACAATGGTTTGGTAAATCCCCGCCTCCCTCCTCTCCCTCATTCCTACCTTGTGCATCCCTTAGCGCAAATAAGGACCCCTGATGGCCCACGATGCGGTGGATCTTGCTGCACTCAGAGCTCTAACAAGTGTAATGGCCGTGTGGGTTTGGAATATTCAGTGGGTGCGGCAATGACGTTTGCTCCTTCTAGGGGATGGTTAGGTGGAAGTTCGAACAGTACCAGAGCAGGTAAAGTACATAGCCAACTTTCAAAGGGTTCGTTTATCTCGGGCGTGCCCTGACATGTAAACAGTTGGGGTACAAAGACTATATTATACTCTTTAGACTGATACGTTCGTCTATTCTCATTACCTGTTAATGGGATTATTTAGATATTTCAAGGAGAAGTTACATGGTAATCACTGGTAATAATTGACGGGAGTAGTCAATAAGCTGCTAAATGACTGGAGTGAAATACAGAATCTTTTACGATCAAAAGTTTGTCGCCTCTATAGGTGTCAAAAGATAAACATAATCAAGCTGTAGCACCAACTGCAGCCAAATGTAAACCTAGTAAGTGAACCTTCGTTTGTAGGCTGAACCTTTTTTTTCCGTTTTGTTTTGATTTCGTTCTCCCTTTTTTATGTAGAACCTTGCAGATCTTCAGCTGTTGACTCGCTTTTTATACTTGACCTCCATGGGAACTTGACGGAGTACGTTCTGGAACCGCAGGCAGTGAAAACTGTTCCACAGAGTGATGACACCCCCCTGGATCTCAGCACTACTGCAAGAGCGCAGTGGACGCTTGCCAGGTATGGCGGATCAAATCCTTCATTAGTTGAGCAGGAAGGGCTGTCGTAATGCATGTCGCGTATGAGAGGCTCATAGATGGAGCGTGAGGCAATGTGGCCTCACTTCGCGTCCTTTTTTTTTACGTACTCTTACTTTTCGTTCAGAAAAAAATTATTTCAAAGAGCATGAATGACTTTCATATCGTTTCTAATATTTGCTTCGCTTCGCGGACACATCAGACTTAACATACTGTTCCTTTCTTGTTGCGCGTTATAAAAGCGAACGTGATTAAAACTGAAATTGAATTGGTTGCACCTGATTTCAAGTTTTTTATATCGCGCTGTTCTCCGATCGACTCACTGTTGTTGTAATTGGAAAGTCCTACTCACTTTGCCAGTAGTTCTGCTACAGACACTGGTGCTCAAGCTTAATCTTCGATCCCTCAGAACAACTATGATGTTTGTCCTAATTGTTTTGTTTTTGTCAATTGCAGGTGTGTTACTTGGCCTGAAAGCAAAAGTCCAGTGATCAGAGATGTTGGTCTGTTGCTGGGGCGCCTAAAAGTTTCTCCCAGTGAGCTTAGTAACCACACCGTCAAACAAGGTAACATTGTTGACACGATTGATCTTATGTATCAAACTACACTATTACATGATCTTATGTATCTTGTGTTCGGGTTCCAGTGTTCTACATAAGAACAAACAGTGTTGAGATATTCATAGCTATCTCAGTGCTTGCATTAAAAACTTTGGGCGTATATTTCCCTTTGAAGAAATTCGTATATGCATTTAGCTACTATCGAAAAAATTGCATAGTACAAGATAGTCCGTTGTCTTTCTTCAGAAAAGAAAATCGGCAAGGAGAGTGAATCTCGCATCTCGGACGATCAGTGGCTGGCAAATATAGACATGGAGACTCACTCTGCCCCTCATCGGCGACTATGGATGGGACCACAGTTCTCTTTCAAGACTTACCAACCGCCAGGCTCTTCATCAGCTTCATCCACCCATAGCTTAGGAGACTTCAGGTCTGGGTGCTCAGGTAGTGGGGCCACTATAGCAGCTCATAACAGGGACGGCCACTCCATGGGCTTCTTCTCTGAAGAACTGGATTTGCAGAGTTTGAGAATGCAGCCTGTTCGTTCGGATCCAGTGCCCACTCCATCAGGTCAGTTCGCGTTCACTGGATGTGCGTCGCCGAATTTAGGGGGGAGCATGCCACTTATTGTTGACAATGGCCCAGGAAGTCTGAACGACCCTTGGCCGGGCTTGAACAACGATATGTTCGAGGACAAAGAAGAGCAACTTGTGGAAACATTGGCAGACGCCATGAACGACAACGCGCTCTTACCCGTTAAAAACGACAAGAAAAGAACAACTTCAATTAACGGAGAAAATCAATTCCAATTTCAATCGGATTTTCGGGGGGGAGGTGTAAACGCGTTTGCTTCTTGCTCCCCCGCTGAAACTAGCCCGCTGTTCCCTCCCGATTATAATAATTGGTCTTAAGGAAGATTGGACTGATTGATTTGTCTTATATAAAAGTAGCTGTTAAGTGTTAGCAGAGATTAATATATACTAGCATCAATAACTACTGAAAATAACTTAAACAAAAAATATATGAAAAATAATCTTATTCCATGAGATAATTTGGTTAGGTTTTCTCGAGTGTGATATCTCTATTCGGCTTTCACTTGCTGAAGCGACAATTCAAATTAGAGAGACCTTTTGTCATCACTTAGAGAACCGATTTGTAATAGACTTCTTTCCCACACTTCGGGTATTTATTTCATGAATGCAATCACAATCCTTGCTTTTAAATTTCCTACTGCCTGGTGCATCGCTTTTGAGAAATAGAAAAAGCCAAAGTTTTGATAATTTTTAGGGCATCGACATGCACTGGATGTGTTTCTAACTTTCTAACTGCTCTGGACTTTTGAGTGTCCTTCGTGTGTATTTTATGGGTTGTAAAGGTGCATAAAATAACAAAGAAAAATATATAAAATATTGAAAATGTAAAAAAATGTATAAAATGGAAAAAAGTCCCTGGATTCTGGCCGCACTGTAAAGGGGCAAATTTATTTATCACAACTGTAAATTGATGTATAGTTTTCCAACCGTTAAACGTCGGTTTTGCTGAAGTTTAGTTCTGGTTTTTACGATTTAACTAAGGATATTTGAGTAGCTCTGTGTGAATAGTGTTTATAAAAATCAAAGAGCAATTGATCAATCTGTGTTCTTGACCTGAAATAGTGTCATTATCAATCAAGGAATTTTATTGATCGTTCTGTTCTTGGTCTTGTATGATAATGTTAAAAGAAGGCTTCTGTTTCCCTTTCTAGCTGTAAATAGGGATTTTGTAAACTTTTCAATCTGAATTTTATGTGAAATGGCCAACTGTAGCTTCCTTGAAATAGTAAAAGGGTTAATTTATGAACAAGCCTTATACAGTTAACTGTAGATATAAACAGAATCCAACGGGAAAAAAAAAGATTGTCTCTATATTTTTAAAATATTCATGGGTGAAGAAACAATAAAACGTCATATGAAGCTTAAAAGTATTTTGTTCCTCTTCTTTCCTTGCGTAAGACGACAAGCCTATCTAGTCATCTATTTCTCCCCCACCCCCCTCCCCCCGCTTACACACCCATTTCTCTCCCACCCACCGAAAGTTCCGGGCGGTACTCGATATACCGTCACCTGGAAGAGAGATTGTACTAAAGGTCAAGGTATGGCATTATGTGCATTCCACTGGTGGAGAAGTCGACAACTCAGAAAGCCGACTACAGTTGTAGTCACGCAATCCTATATTCCACTCACGCAACCTGAGAGCGATGTCGCGCGGGAATCACGCTGAAACGAAGAAATAAACTGACTTCATCATTGCAGTCCTGCATCTAATTCCAGTACTGTAAATGGCACCCACCATAGTACCAGGTAATATTCGCAAAAGAGGAAATTCATATCCAGTAGTTAAGTACTTGATTTGGCTCGCTCTGTTTGTTTTCATCGCTAAGTTGCAAATCGTCAGAATATCTGTAGCACTCGGTAAGAAATTTGGTTTGACCCGATTTTTAATTTAACTTGGCGATTTTCGCTGCGTAATGGAAAAGAAGTTGGAAAACTGGAATGAAATGAACAGAAAATAAGGACCAATTTGGGCTATTTTTTCATCGGTTGCGATAACTTTCTCCTGTCGCCTTGCATCCGTAATAAATTACGTGGCACTTTGGAATCACTTGTTTTTCTTTCCCGAGATATATGATGCTTTCAATATCGCATCAGATAATTTCCAGATTGATATTTTATTGCGTCGAATGTTGATTGATAGGACGAGAGCAAGGCACAAAGTGGAGAACGTTCGGTTCTAGGAGAGTCAGGAGAGGGAGTACTGTGAAAGGCAAACGTGTAACTCGAAACCAGGTTAATAAAAAGGTTGGCAGTCACACAACACTCCGTTACACGCCAAGATTGGCCAAGAAGTACTACAACTTGCGGCCAAGAAAATCTACGCAAGGTCAGTTTTAACGAATAATTAATGATCCCAAAAACTCAAGTAGAAGGCAAACTATATTCTTATATATTGTTTTGCTTGAGGTCTGAGATCGAGGAAATGAAATGGGAAGGTTTCTATAGAAACACGAAAGACCTGTAGAAGCACCCTTAGTTTTAACTTTCTGTATGACGTACAATTAATGATTCCCAAAAAATAGGTAGATGGAAAACTATGTTCTTATATATTGTTTTGCCTGAAATCTGAGATCGAGGAAATGAAACGGGAAGGTTTCCATAGAAACACGAAAGACTTGTAGAAGCACCCTTAATTTTAGCTTACTGTAATGACTTGACCTAAAAGACCTAAGTTTCTAAACCTCCTTTTACACTGTTACGTTGAATTGTAAAAGTTTCAAAAAATATATATATCTATCTGCATCACAGGATCTGAGCCACCTCGCTCCGTTAGTACAAACTTTTAATGAGCAATACTTTGACAACTTTTCGATACAATTTTCAAGAAAAGGAACGAAAAAAGGAGTAGAATCAGTCCATCAAATAAATAGTGTTGAGTGATCGCTTAAAGCGCTTTGAGCCTCCCTAAGGGAAGTTACTGAGACAATTTTGTAATAAACCAAAACAAATGATAGCTGTTTAGAAGTCTGATAAACTTTAAATTTAGCAACGAAGTGAATCCTTGATCCATCAGTGTCTTACTAAAAGAGTCTCTGGCATCATTTTATCTTAAAACTCTCAGATGAATGATTTCCTTAAAAGAGACATGATGTTTATGAGCAAGAACACTCAGTAAAATTTTACACCAGACTCCCCGAGGGTCTTGGTCACGAGTTCTGAGGCGCATCAGCACGTGACGCTAAGGGTCAGGACGAATTTTTTCAGAAGAAAAAAATATATATACAAATAAAATGAATTTTGTACAGGTTGGAACGCAGTGAACTTATTAGGTTTGGTGCCAGATAAATTTAAAACTTGTATATAAGTGTATAGATCTCGATGAATTACATACTTCCTTGAGTCGACTTGAGTATAAATGTGCTTATTCTGACTGATCGACTCGGCGTAAGGTTCGCCAGCTATTGTCACACCTGGCCCATATTGTTTGACGAATGCACCCTCAGCGTGTTTTCCCTCAGCGAACTAAAAACAGCTCCGGGGCATGTGTGGGAGACGCTAAATTTACCAAGCGTGTTATGAAATTAGAAACTTGTATTGAACGCGTTTTGATGCAACAGCGCAATATCACAAGCCTTATCCTGTATTTACCAGCGTTGCCACCTCAATTTTCAACTGGGGGCTTGCCGGAGCGCCTGCACATCCACAGTATTTTACTTGAAGTGTCTGCGTCTGTGTTGGTCGGCTAAGTTTTTGGGCTTCCAAAGGACTAATTAGGCGGTAAGTACAAACTTTCACCAACAATCTCATAGCTCAGTGATTTCGTGGGGGACCGTAGGACGTTAAAGTTTAAACTGGAGCTTACGCGTTCCGAAAAGTTTCACAAATGCAACTGTTATTGCTTCCAACACAATTGTGTCGTTCCTATGTGGTGTGAGTTCGCTCCAACCGCTGGTCGACTGGCTTATCCAGTGAAAACGGTGCAATTCACGTTAAATATTGTGCGCGGAGTTGTAGTTGTAGTTCTTCAGTTAAATGAAAAAAAGGAAAAAAGCATCGATAATTGAGCAAAACTATTCTTTTCTTTTCTCCGTTTTATGAGCGTAATGCGGTGTCCTTTTTCCACTGTGCCAGCAGGAACTCGCTGAAGTGGCACAGAGTTTACTCACACACCTCTCCTTCAAATAAGATTTTCTTTCTCTGAAATGGGAATGTGTTCCATGGTATGGCTGTGATCTTGCAATTTACCCTTTTACTATGTTTTGAGGTTAAGTAAACTTCTCTTATAAAAATATCGCTAAAGCTTTGCACATGACAAGTTTCAATAACCCAGCGTGTAAACAGCACAGTTTACATTCCGTCGACATTGCGTGAGGAAATGGTAAGGAAAACTTCCGTACTTGCCACTTAAGATTGTGTTTCTTGCTAAAATTTCCATTGTAAACAACGGTGTTCTTTCATGTCTTTTCTACGTCATTCAATAAGTACTGGTTCAACTCTTCAATCACTTAACTAGATATTGCTATCTCTCTTCTGGTATATTAAAAATGTGTGAATACAATCGATTGTGCTTTTCAGCCTGATTATCTAAATCATGTAAGTCGTTAAACTTGTCCATCAGTTAAGAAGAACCCTTTCTTTATTTCACACAATTTGCTCGGGAAAAAGTTGGAATCATATCACATTTTCTGTCAGACAGAAAAAGGGTCGGTTGGACTTCTATAAATTCTTTCAATAAAGCTCACGTTATGCAAAAATAATTCACCGCTGGGCCGGATAAGAATTACGATTTTATCGTTCCTATTACGGATGGAGGGAGTTTAAGTTTAATAGTTTAAGAGGGTTAATTTCTGGTTTGAGACCAGTATTCTGGTAACTTATAAGGGGACAGTTTTAAGTGATACTATCGACAAAGAGTCCTTTGCAAATTTCCCACGACCATAGAGACTGTTTAAAAGTGACCTGTTGATTGCTTTTTAAAAGAATCTAACCCATGTGACCTATTTTAATAATCTGGTTTCTGCAGAGCTCGGCCATTATACAAGTCCTTCAAACATGGGTTTGTTACGAGACCAACTGGAGCAGTATTTGGCCAGAATGGAGGATGAGCTTGACAAGACTATCAACTTCTGGCTTGAAAAGTCTGGTGATAAACGAAACGGGTGGGGAAGTCAAACATAATTATTATTTGAGTTTATTTTAAGGGTCATGGATGATTTACCAACTGAGACGAAAGGCCTCAAAGACCGCCTTCTATGATTAGGGTTGCATGATAACAAATTATTTCATGTCGCTACGGATAATTACGTTTCCTCGAGTACATAAGTGATTCGTCTCTCAGTTTAGGATCAGCTTTCACACTCGGAGCTGGTTAACCACGATTGTGAAGAGATACTCAGAGGAATAACGTCATCATATTTGAGGTTTTCTCGTGACGTGTTAAACTTAATTGAATTTGAAGGAGACTATAAATATTAATTATGTAGCACAGAAATACTCAAATAAAGCAATAAAAACCAAAGAGAAACAAGGGTGACTAAGGATGGAGAAGATTGAAAAGGTTTGTGAAGGGTGACATCGCTCAGTTTAGCCTAAATTTTTTAAGATGGTCAAGCCTTACCATAGACCCTTCTAACATAACCTTTCCAATTGCAATTTGAAAATCTCATGATGTAACACTTGAGTTTATCCACCGACTAACTGAGTAATTTCGATCTAACTTGGGAACCGATTAGGAATTAAATGCAATAAACGCACCAAATTTAACTTTTCATTGCTAAGTAGAGTAAACGGTATTGATTAAGTATTGTCCTTGCTTAAAATTCCATTCATGAGTTTACATCGAACATTTCGACGTTTAAGTCCAATATTGACAACAGCATATACAGAGCCAAAATATTGTGCGCGGATATTGAACTTACATTTAATTTAAACCTCAAAAGAATCACAATTATGTACTAATGAGGCTACAGTTGACTTAACCTAAGCCTAAACACTTATGATCATTGAGGCTTACATCTCGAAGTTACCGTAGAAACAAAGAATGTCGTTACTATGGTAAAGGAGTACGTTTCACGCTCCTTCGGTCACGTCAATTTTTCCATTTATTTTCCACTTGTGTAGAAGAGTTCTGCACTTCGTTAAGTTATGGATTCTCTCAAAATACACAATATCCTCCTTAAAGTGCGAACTTTTGTAACGATTGTTTTATTATTTTTCTTTTTGTCTCTGTGAGCTCTATCAGCGCAAACCAAAATGTGCAGGACAGTTACGAGAGCCATAGATTTTCTTTCTCTTATCTAGGTAGATATGTTTATTTTATTGCTTTGATACTACTCTCCTCTAAGAAATTGCATGCAAAGACGTGTGTGTGTTTTTCCGTTTACGTCGTCTCAACTCTGCTAATACCTCCCTAAAATATATCAAGGATATGGCAAACAACGCATTCGACTTGTTTGGCTATTAATGCGGGAGTAAACCCTGTTTATCTTTAAATAAAAAGCATTTCAAATAAACTCTAACCTTTTGGCTGTTTTTCGATTGTAGCGGTTATTATGTATGTCTCGCTAGAGATGGCAAAGTTTACGATGACTCTAAGTACGGCTGGCTTGAAGGCAGACAGGTTAGTCTCGCTGTACGATTGAAAATATATTCGTATGTTAATTTTTTTTTTAATCATCAAATGCTCATAGCAACGTCGACATCTAGCCAATCACAAAAAAATAAAATCCATGCTAATGAGATTAACCAATCAGAGGTCGAAGGAAACAAAGCAAACCCGTGCTAAGCGCGGGAGAACACTCCAAAACTGATAGAGGCACTACCGTGATTTGATTGGCTAGAAGGCAAGGAGCGAAGTAATTGCTGATTAACAAAACCAGGAGCCCATTATTGTGATTGCTAAAGGACTCACGCCAGGCAGCGATATTTGTCTTTTTCCGCAAGTTTTGAAAGTGTACTACAATTCATTAAGGTGCTATGTTAACAAGAATCTAATACGACTCAGTTGACTCAGAACTTGATTGGTACAAAACTCTACACAGATTCTTAAGTTAAAACTCAACGTAGTTGTCAAATTGGGGGACTAAGATCTCTGAGGTACTTTAAAACTGAAAAGGGCGCAGTTTTCCATACAACTGCCCCTGTGATACTTTTAAAACCTATTAAAAAAACACTAAATAATTCTTAAGTTCCAAAGGTATTGAGCGAGTGGGGCAGAAATTGCTTGCATTGAGATTATGAGCCATGACTCAGCTTTAATTACCTGAAATGAATTTAGAGATGTAATGCATTTGTCCCTGACTTTCTCTTAAATATCATATTTATAAAGTATTTTTCACTGTAGGTATGGATGTACTCTAAACTTTACAACGAGTCTTGGAAATACGGCAAGGTGAAGATCCTTAAAGCTGCACTATCAGGTAACGACAAGAAAGGACAAAGAAGCGATAGTCAGATTTGATTTTACCGACTACTTTCTCTTTCAAATTTGCGTGAAAAAGTGGTAATTCAAAGCGGTAAAATGCGATTAAAATTCTTCTTGCGAATTGCTCAATTTCAATGCCTTCCATAACTATATAATACGTTGTGGGAAACTTAAAAAAGGGGTGTGGCTGAGTGGCTCCTGGGCTGCCTGTGTCAAAGTTAAGTGGTAACTTACAGAATAATTTACGATACTGGAAAAACATGGCATGCTCGCAAATTCCAATAAAACGCTAGTATGAAGAAATTTATATTTCCTGTAATTTCAGGTGGCGAATTTTTGTTAAATCATATTAAAAACCCTGAAGATGGGAGATGTTACTTTCAAGTCACAGCTGAAGGGAAGCCAATTAAGATTCAGAGGACAATCTTCACTGAGTGTTTCTATGCGATAGCGATGGCTGAGCTTTATCGAGCTAGTAACCTTATTAAGTATAAGGTAGGAACGAGGTTAGGTACACAATAAACAACACTGCGCTTCTTTGTCAAACTACTTTGGGAGGACAAACAACAAGAGTGGAAGAAACTGAAGCAACATTTGATTGAGTCTGACAATGTGCCACAGAACTGTCTCATTCTTATTGCACCATGTTATGTTACCATAGGGGGCTTTGCTAGAGAAATACTAAAAACGAATTAATAGAGACATGTTCTTGAGCGAGGCAATCTAGGCGCTCTCTAAACTAGGGAGTGAACAAGAATACATGTTAACTATGACGAAAAAGTATCAATGCTTGGGGTGGGGTAGCTTTCAGTGAACTGAGAACCCATTCCATAGGAGCAGCAATTCTCCTCCTTACTAGAAGTTACGTAAACCGAGAAATGCACCACTTAGCTCGAGCGATTGTGCTGAGCAATGAAGACGTGCTCAGAAAATCATGCATCAATTTCATTTCAGGAGGAAGCTGTACGGATGCTGTCCCTAGTAACACATTGGGCACGAATTGATGACACGCAGCTTGGCCGACCCAAGCTGTCGGGCCAGGAGGCAGCAAATCCCCTGGCTGTACCAATGATGTTGTTGTATGTGATCGACGAGGTTTGCCGCGAAGACGACGAGCTCCGTCAGGCGTACATTGAAGATGAAGAGTGGGCCGTTCAGCAGATTTTAAAGCACTTACAGGTAAACTGTACAAATTGACATTTACAGTGCTTTTGATGAAGTGTCTTGAAAACAAAATCAAAGTGAACACAAGTGAAACACGCGGAGTGATTCCAAAGAAGTCGCACCAACAAAGTGCGATAACTATCTCAAAATAGCACGTTACTAATGACAACGAGAGGCCAACACTAAAAACTTCAGTTTTAGAAATTCTTTACTGTGTCAAACTTTTATTATCAACTTAGTTAATAAAAACCAAATTGACCTAGGACAACATTCTTTCGCCACAATTTCAGAGCAAGCTAAATGCTTTGAATTTGATTGAAGCAAGTACGAGTACCGAGATGTAAACAAAATTCTTCAAATCATACATCTTTCTTCCTATGGGGTTATGAGAAACAATGTTGTAAATCACTTACAGAACTCCTCTAACTTGTACCAACGTAGGAATAATTTCGATTAACTCCTTCTATCCTAGAGAAAGGGTAGAGTGGTATTAGAAAAAGTCACAGAAGAAGGAAAAGAGATATCTGGTGCAGAAGGTCGACTCATCAATCCAGGACACGCTATTGAGGCTGGATGGTTTCTCCTACAGTATGCTACACGTACACAAAACGACGAACTGGCAAGAATTGCCATCGACAAGTTTATAGTTCAGTCATTTGACACAGGATGGGATGACATGTACGGCGGGATTCTTTATTACTTGGATGCAAGTGGCTTCTCGCCAACACAGCTGGAGTGGAACATGAAACTTTGGTGGCCTCATGCGGAGGCACTGATTGCACTCCTCATGGCTTACAAGGAGACTAGAGAGGAACGCTTTATGGAGAAGTTCGATCTCGTATTCCAGTACACATTCTCGCATGTAAATACTGGGCTTACCAATTGACCCTTTAACACCTAGACGTGATTAACATGAAACTTCTCCCTATAATATCCTAGCAATCTGCCAAATAACCCGTTTTCTCTCAGTTTTCAGATTCACAATACGGTGAGTGGTTTGGATATCTCAATCAGAAAGGAGAAGTGACACACACCTTCAAAGGAGGACCGTTTAAAGGTACGTTTGTAAGACAACTTTTCAAGGAACCACCCGATTGTATTTAATTGTTTTACGTCGTTAACGGATGGGGATAAACGGAAGGGAACTGTTAAATAATTGTTTGTCAGGGTTGAAAGACACTTTAGGGTCAAGATTAATATAAAACGGAACGAGGAAGGTCAACATTGGAGACGACTTATACGGATGGCAAACAGGCAATATGATGCGCCTAGGGGTAGATCCACCGCAAGGCCCCCACCCCTCCCGCTTGCCCAGCCATTTGAGTGATACAATGCGATCTTGTCGTTTCAAGAATTTTGGTGTCAGACACGTAGTAAAACGAACCCACAGGTATGAGGGAGGTTGGGGGTGGGTATGCAACCCCAATACCTTCCCTCTGGATCCTTCAGAGCAATAATTTCAAGTGACACAATCTTCTTCATGCTGTGTTAATTCTTAACCCTGTCTGTCACTATTCAAAATAACTGAAAACAATATTAACTACTTTACATAGTTGCGCAGTTAACCTTGATAAATAGCTCACAAAATGCTTATATATTTATCATAGGCTGTTTTCATGTTCCTCGTTGCTTGCACATGTGTATCAAGATGTTGAAGGAATTACTTGAAGAGAAAACACTAACGAACGGTCTAGCAAACGGTCTAGCAAATGGCAACGGTGTTGTTTAGGTCATGAAACAGAATGGACACATCAAACTATAGGATAATATATGAAGTGCTCAAGATTAAGTATTTTATTCTTCTGGGTTGTCTAATGTTTAAGAGAGGGTGACACCTTCATTCAGTATAAAATCAAATTGCATGTTTGGAGCCACTCATTAAACCTTCATTGTTACTGGTGGTGCATTTAGAGATTTGTACACTCACATTCAGTAATCTTTTATCCGAGAGGTCAGTTTTGCAACATTCAAAATTCTCCTCAGTACAGTAGCAATTGAGATCCCAATTACAACACAATGTAAAGAATATTTCATCAACAGTATGTAGAACTTGTAATATTAAGGCTGCCTTTTACAGAATAAGTTCTAGAGCATCCATGATTTTCCCATTGCCTTAAACCAAAGGAAACCATCACTTGTTGTAATCCCTTATGGCAAAGAAGTTGGTGTATATCATAGATGTACACTGGTTGAGATTTTTTAAATAATAAAAATCTATTATTTTAGAACTGTGGTCATTTTAGGTAAAACAATGGTGAGTTGAAGGGTTAAATAATATGTAGATTACAAAGGCAACCCTTAAACACAGCAATAATATTGATTTTTTTAGAGAAACGTTTTTTTAAATTCTGGATGTTCATGGACACACAACAGAATCTTTTCTTCAGATGGTGTCTTTGTGACACCAAACATCTGCTGTTTTAATTTGGGTATTTGAATTACATTTTTCAAAAAGCTTTAAGGAAAAAGTTCTTATCATACCCATAAGACAAATAGTTCCTAAAACCATAACAGCAAAGGACTTGTATATTTTTGGGACAGAAATTTTCACAATGTCTCAACAACATTGAAGGCTCAGAAACTAAAACATCTCAATTACCTATGGTTGCATCTTGGAAATGGTGTTGTTCCTTCCGTTTCTGTTGAAGTTAAATTCATGATTTCATAGCTCCTACACAAATTTCCCTCTAAGATAAATAACTGCCTAGATGACTGATGGAAACTTCTTGAGATCACCTGTTGGAAAATCCAATTTTCTGTAATATTATTTATCCACAATGTGAGGAGAAAACTCTTCAGTCCTCAGACACAGTATCCTTGCAAACAAAAATAAAACAAAACAGTAAACTTAAAATTTACAGCACTGCGCCAGTTGCATAAAGGGTGGATAATGCTATCCAGTGGATAAATTGCTATCTGGTGGATAAGTGATAGCAAAACATATAGTGTTATCCACTGGATAGAGATTTACTTAGTGGATAGTGTTATCCAATCTTTGAACGACCAGGGCCAGGTATCCTTACAGATGATTGGTGTGAACCTGTTCCTGTGTGTATAGCTCACACTTTGAGAAAGGTTTACTAAATAATTCATCAAAGGGGCTATTTTCCCTTGAAACTTTGGTGCTGCAGCAGTGGGGGATATGATAAGATAATTTGTTTTCATCACCTGAGTTGATAATGTAAATTGGCCACCATAAAGAATTTCTTAAGCCAATGTTTCAAGCATTAGCCCTTCCTCAGAACAAAGGACAACAAGCCAATGTCTAAAATGTCAGCTTTAGAAACTTTATGGTGGTCAATTTACATTACCAACTCAAGTTGATACAACCAAATTATCTCACATAATTCATTATTTGCAAGTAATTACTTGCTTAATTGAAACATAAATTGCATGCAAATATGCAGCATCTTTTAAATGAGTTAAAGATGAAGTTAATAATTAAAGTTTTCCCCAACTTCTTATTAAAGAAATAACTTGTAAGTCACACAGGACTACTCCTTATAAACCATAAGCAAAGAAATTTTACATATGGTACTCTATATCTGCCACAGCCAAGTCATCATTGAAAAAGCTTTTGCACTAATCCAAAGACAGTTTCTTCAGCAATAAATATATTCATTTTCACTGTTCTTTTGGTGGTGTTATGCAGCCTTTGCAATGTATAGAGAGGAATGAAGATGCTTAAGATATTAATGATCAACACTTTAAGAAGAAATGTCATGATCCAGGTTAGGCTCAGAGGTGTTGAAAGTAGTCTAATAATGTGAAAAAAAATAAAAAACATCTTACTGGTATTGCAGTGCTTTGACCAGTGAAAAGTTCCCTAACTATACTTTCCACTGCTTTCTCTTTGTCATACCCCATGTTCACTTTCTCCATGCATCCTTCCACAAATCTGAAATTGGCCATAAGTGTCACTTATACAATTGTATAAAATTTCGAATGTAAGAATCAAGTTAATATATATATATATATATATCCTAGATAACTTTTTTAAGGCTAGTGGCCTTCAATCACCAATTGGTTGCCAGTAGAAATGCACAGTGCCACGGAAAAATAATTTATTTTTGAAGTTCAAGCACCATCTCAAGGCATAAAAGTCAGTCGACAACTAAAAATTATCTTAAAAAGAATGACAGAGCACTATGATAACATGGTAACATTGGCTGCCTGGCATTTTTAACTTGGCTGCCTGGCATTTTTAACTCTTGGGTTATTTCGGGCAGCCAGCGCCCCTATCATTGTCTGTACTATTATTATAAATTTTTCTTTCTTGTATATTTTGGGGTGAAAAAATAAAGTTGTTGTTGTTGTTGTTATGGTATGCAAATATAAGCAATAATCATGCTACAGCTTACTATGTTAAACACAGGTTCCTAACTTAGCACCTTTCACCCCAAATTTTGTCCCCAAAATTCTTTCCTCCCTTCTGTTGAGGCTAAAGCAGTTCCAGCCTAGAGCCATGGTTTTAGCTGAAAGTTCTCTTTGTTCAGAAACATCCATTTCTCAAGCTGCTTACCTGTCACAGTAAGAATGATGTTCTCCCCACAGGGACAGAGGCTGGCTTGTATTGAATCTCTTGTAAAAAAGCCTGATATCAAGAAGATATCAATAACATTACCACTGAGTTTTGTACAGTTGCTAGGAGACACTGTGGATGTTGGAGTGATGAGCGCTGGTGAAAGACCTCCAAGTGATAATTCAGTTTAATTCACTCTCTCTGTCAATATGATACTATTAAAAGAAATTTCAGAATCACAAGGAAACTTTAAATATTTTTATCACAAAGCTATAGAAGCATTATACCAGTACATGTTTTTCAATAAGATACTGTTAGTATATCAGTACCAGTGTTCTCCTTTTAAGCAGTAACCAGTAAAATGTATCTCTTCATATCGCCTAAAATCACAAGGAATTCTTGAGAATTTGACAAGTAAAAAAATTCTTCCACTGGTTTAAAAAAAATTATTGTACCCAATGTGCTTAAAACAAGGGAGAATACTGGATGCACGTCATGATTCTCTCATTCTAATGAGTGCAGGATGACTCCAAAATTTCAAACATGCCTACAGGGGATTTAAATTATTTATACTGATTATGGAAAATGAGGGGTTTCTGAAAGAAGGCAGGGTGGTTGGGGGAGAGGGTTTTACTAACATCATTTTCCCAGCTCAAGGCCATCAGCATAAATTGTTTCATATCTCATCGAATTTCCTCTAAAAAAAATTAGAGTGATCACTATTTCTCCTTTGCCAAAAAAAATAGACTGGCAATGGGAAACAGAAAAATTCATGTGATCATCTAATTTTTTTCAAGATCCCATGTTCTCTTAAATCCAAGCTACAACTGTTGGGCCAAATCCCACTGTTTACGAATAAAAACCCATTTTTCGATCAAATAATAATGGAAAAGGCAAATCCTAGTTTCCAACTGCCATATCCAATATCCTGAGCCAGCGTGATACTAACTTTGATAAAATTTACAATTCATGAAGCCTTACCTTCTGAATTCATCTTCAGGGTATAGAATCTTGTGCATCAACTCTTCGTCACCTTTTCTAGTCAGTTTCGTCTCCTTTAAGGGAGGAAATGCCTCGACTACTGGAAACCAAAGTGGTGGCTTTTTTATTCCACCCGAACGAAGAAGGTTGCGAACTCTGTAAACAAAGAAGTAACGATAAAAAAGCTATTTAAAAAGCTGAGATATTGCGAAAAAAATAAACAAAGCATAGGTCTTACCGTGAGAGTACGGTCCCTCGCAAATGCCTTGATCCAACCATGCCGCAAATTGTCCAAGTTTCTTCAACTGGCCATGTGCACCACCATCTTGGATCAATAAACTTTTAGAATAATCCGCTGAACAGACTAACTTTTAACTCCTACGCAAAGGAGTCTGGGAACGAAGACTATTCGTTGTGGGATATTAGTGTGGAGGGTGGGGGGCCGGGGGAGTCGCTCACATGGAAAAAAGGAGACAATGGGGGTTAGAGAAGAGACGTGGGAAACAGGATAGAGGAATTAAATTGACTGAACAAGTAGTGCTGAAAAAGGAATGACCCAAGGCATAAGCTAAGGAAGACTTGGGGTAGGAACTATTCCTCCTCTCTCTTCATTGACACAGGTAGGACCAAAAACTGATGAAAAAGAGAAAAGGATTGTTGCAGGGTAGTTTTCTTTGCCTGACAGCCCTTTCTTAAAGAATTGAATGTCCACTTCACATGAGATATAAAAAAGGTTGTTTAAGAGGGCATGGCTCTCACATGTTTCACTCAATTTGCTTATAAGGGGAAGTAAAAGACTGCACTGCACAGTTTAGTGAGCCTTTTAACCCAGGATCTGATTATTAAAGCTCCCCTCTAGCTGCTACACATTTCCTTGTAAATTAGTTAAAGAGTTTGGTGTTAGATCAAGATAAAGACATTTACCAGATAAGGTTGAGTATTCTCATTACAATTATGCTGGATGATGTATGAATACAATAGGGAGAAGTTACATGTCGATCACTTCTGGAAGTTAAAGGGTTAAAACCCAAACTCCTATAATAGATCAAGTAGAATTAGGGGTAAACGATTTCTTTAATGTCTCAAGGATGACACCAGGATTATTTAGTTGGCTTTAATCTGGAGTGGTGATTGTGTTTATTGTCTTCATCATGAGCACCATCTAAGTGATAACAGAATAGTGGTAACAACAAATCTTGGCTAACTTGTAAGAGGCTAAGTACCGAGTTAAAACAATTTTATCAAATCCTAAGTTTCGATCAGAGTGAAGATTTCTGCTGACTAAACTTGAATCTTGAAATCTTGAAAGGTGTCAAGTCATGGGTTGGTGTCTCATTCATGGCCAGCTGTGCTAAAATCTTGCCACAAACAGGACCAAGCTTGAATCCATGAGCTGAGAAAAAGATACAAACAAATTGTAGACAATTTTAACAATTGAAAGGGATGGTAACCAGCTGTTATTGAAACCTCTATATGTAAGGTCACTTAAATTAAGAAGTTACAATGTTTAGAGTTTTAACATTAAAAGCAAATCTATTTTCCTCTGCTAGAAGTGTCAAAGGACTATTAGATCACAACAATGTAGAATGAATTACCTGAAAAGCCAGCACCAATAATAATGTTAGAAAACTTGGGATGTTTATCCAACACAAAATTCTCATCAGGGGTCAGCTGGATTTAAAAACAATTTCAGATTAAGTTTGGTCAACCTTATTTCTCCTGACCTTTTTTCCCTGAAGAAACATTGAAAAAGTCTTTGAGTCAAATTAAAAAAAAGTGTATCTGGCTTGTAAGATTGATTCATTGCTAAAGTGAATTCTAGAACTGTCCAAGTAATTGCATTAGGTGTACCTCCTTTTTCTGCGTCACAGAAATGAGATTATAACACTGGGAATGCCAAGATTTTTTGCACAGAGCTCAGTTATATCTAGACAATTCCTCATTTCTAAATTATTGTCAAGGGGTTTCCACATAAACTCCTCTTACTTTTAAAATCAGAGGTGTGTGATCTCAATACTTTGGGAAGGGGTGGTCACAATACTTCTCTTTTCTGGAACCTCTAATCTGAGTTTCTCTCACTAACATCATTAGAAAATGTGCTAAACAAAGCTGTAACACAAGTTTTTTCATCAGGCATGAGAAAGTAAGTAGTAGGGGTGAGCTGGTGTGAGATAAAAGATTTTTAACTGCAAGTGTAAGTCTCACACCCAGCTAAGGGGAGATGGTAGAGCTAAGCACAATGACCCCTGTGTTAACTTTTTAGACTCAACACATACTGTGTATATACAAGTTTCTACTATGGTTGGCTCATGATGATCAAGGTATGGAAAGTGATGCTGGATGTATTCTCTTGTTCTCTGAATAATCCTCTCTTCAATTTCTCTGTCCCAATCTCTTGCATCTGGATCAATTTCCATGCAAACTTCCGGTAATCTGCATCCACCAGTGGGCCCAAACTGTGACAAAAAAATCAATCTTTTCAAGTAAGGGTAATTCTGAAAATAAATTGACTGATTGTTTTTAGTGGCACACACTTAATACAATTTCGACATCCTGGGTAGAATTCATGGTCAGACTTCAAAAGACAAAAATCCACCAATGATGAGATTGATCTGATGATTATTCCTGATTTCTCACTTCATAAACAACTCTTACCAGGATTACCTCTAGCTATTGGAGAACACAAGAAAATTCTCAAACAATTTTTTTGAATTTTTCTAACTTTTAAGAATTTTACATGGGAACATAGCTATTTTTTTCAGACAAGGAGAGTATTCTCTAGTTCCTCTACACAACTCTCCTGCTGATTCGTTTTTTAATGAAAACCCTGTGATACTCACTTAAAGCTGTATTGCCAGTTAGTGTTATGTTAATGAATATTACGAATGTTACCTTCAGTAAGTATTACCTTAACCATGTCAGGATACTCAAATGAAGGGAGTGCATAAAACTTGCGAGGGTCAGATGCTGTATCATCATAAAATGTAGGAAAACCACTCTGAAGACTGTATGTGCCTGTTTTTTTCACCTTCCAGTAAAAAACATTGGCTCTGTGTGGCTGATGGTTAAAAAAAGAGGTGAAGATCTTCAAAGGTCAGGGCCTTATGCAACAATAATCTGCAAAACTGACTATGTCACTGAGAAAAATGGAAAATTACAAAGAAAACTATGAGAATTTTCAGTGTTCAACTCTTACCTTTAGAGGCAAGGTAATTCCCACAGGTTTTAGCAGTTTATTGGTCCAGGGTCCTTGAAAAAGTATGAATAGTATGAATAATAAGTAAAAATAGTTTCTGGCAAAATCTTCTGAAATAAAGATTCACTTTAAGATTTCAACTTAGAAGTACATAATTAGATTTTACCAAAAAAGGATTGAATCATTTCCTTTGTTCATGGTTGGGTGTAGGGTGTAGCAGGTATTCTAGTAGCAATGGTGAAAGATCACCAATTACGGCTCTAGTATGCATGACATTATTTTTTAAATAACTCACATACAGCTTAAAAACTCAGTTCATTCACCTTGTAGTTTTTACTACCTGTGACAACAAATTTTTTTATTTTCAGAACATTCACAACCATTTAACAATAATACATTCCAGCAAGGTTGAGAAATTTCCCATTTAGGGAACCCCAACTAAGCATTCACTGCTTCCTGGTCTACAGCAAACTTTAAAAAACCACAGATCTAAATAAAAAAAAACCTCAAGTTTCATGACAGAGATAAGTGGTTTACCTGCTGTTAATATCACTTTGTGAGCTTTGAACAAATCCTTTGTGGTCTTTATTGTAATTAATGATCCTGGATGTATTTCAACCACACCCTCACCATCTCTTAGTGTGCCACCAAATGCAATAAACTGATCCTTCAAACAATTCAGACAACAGGACTAAAATAACTTTTTGGCTCCAAGTTTTCATGAAATCACAAGAGCTATTGCACAAGGTATGAAACAGAGCTGTACCTGCAACACTCTCAAGCATTTATCAGCTTTTAAAATTCCTGCTGAGTGTTCTAACAGAGCTTTGTAGTGAGGTGGAAAGCTCAACTCTGGAAATCTTTGCTTAAGCGTTTGGTTTGACAAAATATCATAACTTGCTCCTGCTGCATCAAGTGCTTCTCTAACTTCTCTCAAATTTTCACCAGAGCTTCCTTCCACTGTTAACAGTCCAACAGTTCTGAAATTATTCATTCAGAGTACTTTTAAGCTAAGTCCTTCTTGCATACATAAATCAAGATTTACTGAACTTGGCTAAGTTCTCCTTGCATTCATAAATCCAGATTTACCACACTTGGCCTCTCATGGCCAGGGAAGGGGTTGGGAGCACTTGGGTCAATTTTTGCAGAGTATGTGCCACTGGCCTCTCAGAACACCCTGCCCAATTAAAGTCTATTCTGTGGCTAATTATAGACCACATATCATGAAGTCACTATCAATCCAGTTGTGAAAATGCAACCCCATCCTGCAACACATCCTCATTAGCCTATTATTAGAAAGTAACCCCCCCCCCCACCTCTCGGCTGGCTGTTTCCAGGCACCTACTTGATAAGAATTTCCTGCTCTGCTTTTTCTTCAATCTCCTTCCACATTTCACCAGCTTCTCGAACCATTTTAGAATAATAAGGGTTAACATAGGAGAAACGAATGATTCTAGTCTGTCCATGAGAACTGCCACGCCAGTGAGGAAGAGGAAACTTGATTAAAAGAAATAAAGCTGTTAACAAGGACAAAACTCAAGGGCATAGCTAGGGAGAGGGGGTCCTGGCGTGACCCCTTTGTAAACCTTTTTTTTAAGCACACAACATACTATATTCAGGTGGCGAAAACCGGTCCATCCTCCCCTTTGAAAATACCTGGCTACGTCCCTGCAAGTGCTTTCTTTTTCATTGCAGTATCATAATGAGCTCGTGACCTGCTCGTGACCTGCTCGTGACTCGCGTTGTGCTGCCAATTTGTTCTTGCTTTTTTGAACGCGTTCTGTCAATAAACTGTACATTAAATGGTCAATAACGAAAATGAGTTTATTTTATCACTTTTAGCCCCTACTGAGTGGAAGTTATAACTGACGGATCACTCAACGATTCCCCATAGGCCCCGAGGCTGGCCGATTAAGACCGCAATAGCAAAATAAAAGCAGTAACAACAACTAGTCGTATGAGAGACCTTTATCATCTTAATTTTTCAGTTTAGGTGGTTCTGAACCTGTAGACTATTGTAAAAAAACGGATCTTAGTATACTGATTGAAATCATTTCATAATCACTACATGATGCAGAATACTCTTCACAGTGTTGAAAGATCCTCACATGAATTAACCTATATTTAGTACCTGCTCCAATAGAAGTGTTCTTTGTCCTCGGGAAGCCAGGTAACGGGCCGTGGAGCTGCCCACCACACCAGCACCGATGACACAAACGTCGTAAGTTGGATTTGAAGACATTTTTAGGCAATATTGCCGTTAACAGTACCAAATATGACGTAATCACATTTTCGATACTCAGCACCGGGACCGTCAGATGATTTTGAAGCCGTCTCGTCTTTAATGTCACACAACCATAGCTACCAGACTCTCTCCTCATTCCCTCAAGAGGATGCTGAACAAAGCAGGGAACAAAGCAGGGAACAAAGAAAATAACGCAAAGAGCTCACAACTTGTGAGTTAAAAGTCTGGTGGAAAACATCTCTCCGAGATCAGATGAAAATCGGTTAATTCCACCAATTGAAAATGTTCCTTGTCTCACGGATAGGAAAAAGAAAGAAAACCGAAAACAGACAAATAAGGAAATTTGAGAGAAATAGAAAACTGGACGGGCAGAAAATTTCTAAACCATAGAGGTATTTGCTGTCGATTCAAAATATCATATCCTTCGAATTCTTACTTTAATCACAGTTCGTAACCATACATCGAACAAAAGTACAAAAATGGTTGACAGGACGGTAGTAGGGGGAAACTAAATTCCCATGCTAAGACATACCCTCCAAAAAAACAAAAACAAAAAAATATATATATAAAAAAAAAACCTGGTATTTGGGGTAATTATGAGCGGAGGTACTTAATTAGTGAAACTGTAAAAGACTGAAGGCTAGGGGATGACATTACTTCAGAAGGCAAACAGTTCCAATCGTTAATATATCTATTAAAAAAAGAATATTTAAAATAATTTGTACGAGCAACTTTAGGCCTTATTTTATACTCATGCTTACTTCTAGTTCGAGTTATTCCAATAATATCAAAGTAATGATGGCAATTGATATCACAGTAACCAAATATAATCTTATACATTTGAACTAGGCTAAGGTATTGCCTTCTCAGTTCTAAAGAGTCCCATTTTAACTCTAGAAGTCTTTCAGGATATTCTTTGTCTGGGCCACATATTAGTCGGGACGCTCTTCTCTGAATTGCTTCGATTGCCTTGGTGTGTTTCACCAGATAAGGATTCCAGACTGGGCAGGCATACTCGTGGATAGGTATCACTAGTGCCTTAAAAGCTGTTTTGATACCAGTCTTGTTTGAATAACCAAATGTCCTTTTTATCAAGCCCAGGACCTTGTTAGCTTTAGCACAAATTGAGTTAATGTGATAATCCCATGATAAAGACGGCGTCAGCCAAAGACCCAGGTGTTTGTGGTGGTCCACTTCCGGTAGTAAGATATGATTCAACGAATATTGATATCTTACTGGGTCATTCTTCTGTGTAATGTGTAGGACTTCACACTTCTGGGTCTTAATAGTAACAAGCCAAGACTTGCACCAATCAGAGACAGATGTTAAATCCTCTTGAAGTAGATCGCAATCCGATCCATTTGCTATGTGTCAATGAAGGACAGTATCGTCAGCAAACAAATCAGCGTTGCAGGTTACTGAGTAAGGAAGATCGTTGATGTATACAAGGAACAGCAAAGGCCTAAGTATACTGCCTTGGGGCACGCCAGATGTAACATTTAACCGGTCAGATGCTTGACCCTCAATCACTACACGCTGTTTCCTTGACGTGAGAAAATCCCTTAACCAAGTTAAGATCTGGCCTTTTATACCATAGCATTCCAATTTGTAGAGAAGAGGGGCGTGGGAGACTTTATCGAAAGCCTTGGCAAAGTCCAAAAATACTGCGTCTATAGATCCGAGTTTATCCAAGGCCTGAAGCCACTCACGTACTAATTGCAGTAGCTGGGTAACACAAGATCTTGATGATCTAAAGCCATGCTGATTGTCATTAAGCAGTTGGAAGTCAATCAGATACTTCATAATGTGCTTGTGGATCAAGCGCTCTAACGTTTTCACAACGACGCTAGTCAGTGAGATCGGACGATAGTTGTCTGCCAGGTTATTTTTGCCAGATTTGAATATTGGCACAACATTTGCAACTTTCCAATCAGTTGGAATATTCCCCCGAGACAAAGCGAAGTTGAAAAAGATTGTCAGGGATAGGACCAATTCCATAGCACATTCCTTGAGTACTCTTGGAGAAATATTGTCAGGGCCAGATGCTTTATTGACATCGATTGATTGAAGTAGTTTCGTCACTTCTTCTACGCTACAAGATAAGTCTCCTATAACATGTTCGGTCAGCTGATTAGGATTGTGGAAATTACTTGCTTCTGAGGCCTTGATGTAAACAGACTGGAAGAAACTGTTGAAAAGGTTAGCTTTATCGAGTGGTGTATATGCTCTTTGTCCCTCGTACTCGATGCACCTCGCCACGCTACGATTGCCTGTGCGCGCTTTGACAAAAGACCAGAATTTTTTTGGGTTGGTCTTTAATGAAGCTGTTAAATCGTTGACATAGTTCCAGTAGGCCTTGTTTAAATGGTCTTTCACGCAGTTACTTAGTCTTTTATATTTAACCCATTTAGCGGGGTCTCCAGAGGATTTAGCTTGTTTCCATAATCTGCGCTTCCTGCGAATTAATTTCCGTAGATCGGCCTTTAATCATGGTGCGTTACGCTGGGGTTTAAGTTGTTTTGATGGAATATTACGTTCAACAGCCTGGAAAAATAATAATTTCCAAGCATCCCAGACATCATCCACAGACTCCATAAGATATGAACAGTCCCACTGCAGATTACAAAAATCTTCACGTAGACTTAGCCAATCTGCGGCACGATAGTTGTAAACAAGTCTACAACTACGTTTTGGTCTCTGAAATTTTAATTTTAGATTGAATTCAATGGAACAATGATCAGATCCACCAACAGGTTGACAGGTTTGATGGAAAGTACTGTCCGAGTTAGCATAATAGCGAATCCTGAAGGTGTAATATTTTCTTCCACGTGGAGAAGGTGCAATATGGCGGATCCGACTCGCAAGCTGATGAAGTTGATATATCGGCAAAATGCTTTCCCTCACGAGGTCAGAAGAAGCATAGCCGCATAATGAAGCTTCGGGCAAACAGTTCCAGTCAGTTTTTCGATCCGGTAAGGGTTGTAATTCAAGAAAATGCAGCAAAACTACGGATGTAAGAAAGAAGAAAGCTCAATAATCACAATGTACCGGTAGACTGAACCCAATCCACGAGAACTACGTCCAACTGAATACACGAAACGAAAGAATATGTTCCACATAATGCTGGGCTAAGCCTAGATCAGCAATTAACTCAACATTACTCCGCCAATTCAAAGTAATGAGACATTCGAAAAATTGCCTGCGTGAGTCCAAACGGTTTCGGAGTGATTACAATGACATCTTACGATATGTTAGTGGTATAAAGAAGAGCAATGCACAATTGGCCAATGCAGTGCGATTAAAGCTCTTGTTCCTCCACGAGAAGAGAAAAAGGAAAGAAAAAAGGACAATTTGAATATCGAAAGATAGTGATATATATATATTATTTAAAAGTACTGATTTATTCGCTTACCTGCAAAGGAAGACATTTTCCTTACCAATAATAAATGCTATTAACTACCTAAAATAATTTGAGTGGAGCGACAGTATAAATAGGGAAATGCAAATAGTGTAGGTCTCGGAGTTTCCAACAGGACCTTCAGCGTCTACAACATCTTGAATTAGCCACCTCTCTAACAGGCTCATGGTGTGTCGACCCAGCCCCATCCGGTTCAAAATTCAATTGTGTGTTCGCTTTCCTTTCATGATCGCGAGAATGTACGCGAAGAAAGACGAAAAAGACTGCAAGCAGCCTGTGCTGGTCATACCGAGACAGTATAATTGTAGCTAAGAAAGAAAAACAATTATTATTCTCGTGCATAGATGGCAGAGCAATAAAGCAGGGGGTATTATAGCCTCCCCTAGGCCTCTCCCCTGCGTTTCATAACGGGAAATATCACTAGCGGAACAGACAATTGTCTCAGACTTTTCTACGCAAAATTTTCAGTCTCGTGACTCATGACGAATGGTTTCATTTTTATTTCAACTACCAAGTAAGTTTAATCGACCACGAACGCACTTGACAGTGGTTAGATTGCGAAGAGGTTTGCTTGAACCAACAACTTACGCGAAGGACAGATAAGGAAATCTGAGAAGAGATACCAATTCGGATTGTTTCAAGAGATTTTCACCAAAACAGTGTCCCTAGGGCTAATTTAGCTTTTTGCATCGCATCTTTATGCGGGTGGTCGAAATTCTTTCCTCTTTTGAAAATAATCGTGGAAACGGAATCCAACCAAAACACTGAAACATCATCAACTTCTTTATAGACTTGACAAAGTGGAGAGTTACGTTTTCGTCAAAATCCAACCCGCCACTTAAACACTGTTTCTTTTTAATTTAGTAGGGTTTTATCAGTTTGTCTTTAGTTCGGATAGCAGTCAAACGCAAGGATGACCATGGAGGCAAGGTAAGATAAAAAGTTACCCTGAAAGCTATCTTTCTCAATTTTAGAACTGTCGAAAAGGAATGAGATTAGTAGTAAATATTGCGATTATTGGTAAAATTAATAGATTTTCATCCCCAAACTAGATCGTGTAATCCTCTCATGCGATTCTCGTGATCTGAAACATCGTGTTTTTCACAATTGCAGTGACCTAATCGCTGCCTTGCAAATTGAATTAATACTTCTCCAGTATTGTAATGAAAATAGATAAGGAATGCATAGATTGCTAGACGTTTTCGACGATTTGTTACGATTCTCAAGTTCCTTGGACACTTAATCACGTAACTTTGGTCACGCTAAAAACATCGGAACTGATGTTGTTGTGTTTTGTTCTTCCCGTTGTCTGAACCAACAAAAAGACACGGGACAAGGTTACACCTTAATTGTTTCATTAATGATGGGATTGAATTGTTAAGCAACTGTTCAGTGAATTTCAATGGTAAATTGGAATTGTAAGTATTTTGCAACATGGCTTGATCCAGGCCATGTTGTTGGAGAACTACTCCAGCGCAAAAGTGACACAAATCACGACTGAAATTCACCTTTTTGCTGATTGGCAGCTCTTTTACCCCGGTGAAAGGGTGGATTCAGATCCCCCCCCCCCCGTGGGGTTTTCAATTACTTGTCTGACGCCAAAATTCTTGCAACGACAGGATGTCACTATACTCAATATGAAGTACAGAAAACTAACTTGTCTTGAAATATTTCTTGGCCCATTTAGGCTGTAGTGTAACAAAAAATGACTGTATTTTCTGAATCAAATTTGGGCCCCAAACACCTGAATCCACCCCTGAGTTCACCGAAGTGTAATCAGTGATTTAGGATGGTACATAATGTGCTTTTGGGGCCCCTCTTTGGGTGAGATACTTAGGTGTTATAAGGCAAAATGGGAGATGTATGGAAGGACGTGCATGACACACATGATCAGGACCAATGATGCATTTGATCTGAAACACAACAAATAGTAATGATTAGCTTCATTTAAAGGGAGGAGCCCGTCTCAATCTCCTCCTAAACAACCGGTTGTTTACTACAGATGTACCTCCCGCCCTTCCCATGATTCTTTTAAGATCCAAACAAAAAAATCATTAATTCAATGCTCTTAGTTTTCTTTTGTTTTTTTCCTTTTGTACGCTGTTGTATGTTATCACAATTTTTCATCGCTGCATGGAATGTGTCATGTTGTGAAGTTTATTAGCATAAGTACTTAAAGTTTGACATAAGTAGTTTCTTAGTTACTTCGTTTCCCTCGTTGGAGGCAGTGGTTCCTTCTCGTAAATCGCAGCTCAAAATCGCGGCAAGAGCCACCTAAGCAACAAATGCGTCCCAGCAACAAATGCATCATTCATAAAGTTCACTCTAATCCTTTCTCGAATCTTCTTTTAAAGTTTTTTAACTTTCTATTTTAATTTTAACCACACTTAAAATATTGATCCGTTAACCGCAGTCGCCTCCGGCGTAGGATATTAAATAAAGCAAGTTAAAATTTGCAAGACTCCTCCCGATAGAGAGGTGTATTCATTTGGTCACGCGAGCGATATTGTTGCAAATATTATCGTTTAACTCTTTTAAATTCAATTTATGTGTGCTAAATGTATTAAGAGAAAACTAATTTTCTAATCTTAACTTTTACTGAGATTCACTCAAGTAAACGTGTGCACACGACAAAACTGATTTATTTCGGATAAGTAAAGGTGTACAATAGTTACAAAACCTCCTGAGATGTTCCTTTTTAATAAATTCCGTTTGATGCTTCCTAAAAAATGTTAGGCGGGTCGAATTAGTATATTTTAACTTTTGGGGCAAAGTACTGTCAATTAACTCACTAAGAAGAAATTGAAATCCCGACATAAAGGGGTGTAATTATAGTACACTATTAGAGTGTAGAATTCCTTTAGTATTGTAAAAGTTCAGTGCAGTGTGAAATTTGCAAACAACATCCGCTCAGTCTCGGAAAGAACTCGTTCGGCGTTCTGCACCGGATCAAGACAATTTTCATCGGTATAGAGGACAGGATGGGAATAATACATTCATCAAAATCATACGATCTCCCTTACATCCCAGATAATAAGCCACAACCCAGGTATGCACTCCGAAAACAATGTAAACAACATTGCCTTTGAAACTTGTAATGCTTAGTTAACACTAGTTTTGATGGCCACGAACAAAAAAGTGGTTAAAAACCGATGGCACTCTTCGTTAAGCCTTTTTTGATTGTCAATCTCTTCATTTCAAGCGTCACTAAACATTTGATCCTCTCATTCGGCAATGTTCATCTCGATTGAATTCTTGGCGATTTCAGTTTTAGTTGTTTATTGGATGAAATTCTTTCGTTTAAACCCCCCAAAAATCGATATTCTGTTCTGCAGAGTTAAAGAGCCGTTGCCACTGAGCTCATGCTGCGACTGATGCCAAATGCATTCCCGAGTGTCGACTAAAGAGTAAATTTAAACTAATCACTTCTAAGCTTTTCTTGCGAAGCGACCCAAAACTTTCGCTCATCAAAGTTCACATTTGGTTCACTTACATGTAAGCGTTTTCCCTGTAAAACTGCAAATACCACTTAAAAGTCTTTCCTCTATTCATTAAGTATGAATTATCAAAGGAGAGGTCAGTACTTTAACAATCACACCTTGCATGCAATAGCTTACTAGTTTAGATTTCCGCAGATCATTTAATTTTTTTATCATGTTACTGCACTTAAGGTTAAGCAGAAAGTTAGTGGCATAGGTTATTCCCTTCATTTAATTGAATTGTTTTCTTCTGTAATTTTTTTTTGCTATTTTGATCATATTACGCAGCAGAATATTTGAATTCCTGAAATAGTGGTGCTGAAATTATGTCTGCGATCTATAACCTCGCTGGAGGTTGTTTAAAAATAGGTATGCAATGCGTACAAAGGTTCAATCGCAAGGCTATTCCCAAGCCCTAGAGATCGGGATGAATTGGAATATTTGTACACAGTTAAAAAATGACTGAGGCTGAATCATGTCGTTTTGACTTCAACTTGCAGCGGCGGAAAGTCATCTGAGTTGACTGATCTTCAGATTGAATTGATCCATGGCTCCTGGGAAAAAGTCAAACCAAATAAGAAGTACCATGGTGAACGGTTATTTCATAAGTGAGTAAATTACCTCCTCATGTTGGCCATTATCCCTTTAAACCCTAACATCAGTATGCAGGGGTGATACTGTAAGAAGAACTTGAATACTGGTCACTCTTCCAGTTTAAAGGGTTAAGTGAGGGGTAAAATAGTCTTTTCTCAACAGTGATTACACTGTCAGTAATAATTCCCATAAGAAAATGGTTGACCCAAGTACTTAAATAAAAAAACATCATTAAGGGTGATACCACTACATAGAGACAGCTGTGTCTGAAACTGAAGCTGGCCTTTGATCTGCAAAATTAGCTTCTTGCAATATATTGGTGCCGTGTCACTGAATAAACATTTGTCATAATAGGCATTTTCATCTCATAACTTTTATTGTCAGCTGTCAAAAAAAAATCAAATCAAATCAATAGCCTTATACACAAAAGCAAGATGTAAATCAAACCCTTTCTGGGTGCCTATGTCATCTCTCAGGAGAATGCAAGTACAAAGAAATGCGAATTAAACAACAAAGTTTGTAACTTGTTTGGAGCTTGGACTGTATATAGTAACTGACAGGACTATCACATAACCTCAGGGTTCATCACATGATTCATCAAACTGAGGATTGAAAGAAACGCACCCAAGTTCTGCATGACTCGTAGACAACTTTGAACTTTTTGACAATGTTGATGAAGCTGTAAACAATGTTTCTCTATAGCCTTCTTCAGTCCAAGCAATAGTCATAGTTACAAGACTGGACTGGTATTTGTGGTTAGGGCTGTCTTACTCAACAGCAAAGGGTGGGAAATGAAGAATATGAGACTAGAAAAAAGTAAGATTGCTTAGAGCTTAAGCAATAGACAAGTGGAAACTTTTATCTGACACACCCTCAAAAATTTAAAACCAACCCTCATAGCTAAAAAGTTATTATTTATTCTTAATACTTGCAGGTTATTTAATGTGGCACCTCACTTGCAGGAGCTATTTCCATTCGGCAGCGACTTAACAAATCCTATGTTCACTATGCATGCCTTGAATGTCATGAACACGCTAGACCTTGCAGTACAACACTTGGATAAACTGGACATACTCATACCTAAGCTAAGAGAACTTGGACAGATGCATGCAGCATTTGAACTTACAGAGGTGGAATTTCAGGTAGTATACCATTTATCTATCATTATTCATGCACGTGAGAAAGTGCGAGGGTGCATGTGAGTGGGGCAGGGAAAGGGAATGGGAAGGGGTAAAGAGGGAGACTCTCCTTTTGTTCCTTCTTATCCAATCAACACTGAAGTAGTGCTAGTCTCCCACTACCACATATGAAACTAAGAGACAACCGGGGACAAGTCAGGCTTTTCACCCCTGATGATTATTGTACTCTCTAGTGTTTCCTACCACACCTCCAATCCTTAGTTCTGTGTCATGGAAAATTACCTCTCAATGCTCTGAACATTTTCCGTAGCTAAGATTGAGGTAATTTCTATTGATTTCCTTTTCTTTCTCTACAAAATTATTCTTCTTTCAGTATGTTGGTGAGTCTCTCATATGGGTTCTAGAGACAGGCCTTGGAGATGACTTCACACCAAAGTTAAAGAAAGCCTGGTGTGATGCCTTTGCGATCATCACTAGTGTTATGTTGGGTGCCATTAAAGATATCAATGGCTAGTGAAAGACATCTACAACATCGAATCTAAGTAGTTCATCAGATTAGGATCCATTTTATGTGATTAAAAGACAAATACTCAGCCCAAGAGATAACTGACAGCATAATAAAATTTTGCATATTCAACATATCAAAGTGTCAAAATCCCTGACTCTGAGTGATTTTTTTCATTTGAGACTTTGGGAGTTTGAAGAAGTTGAAACTTCATGTAAGTTGAACCATAGTCAAGAAATCACATATTAAGTAATTGAAAAAAAAAAATACAAGGACACCTTTGATTTTTCAAACGTTCAACTTCTAAAATTTTACAAAAAAACTGTTACAAACATATCGCTTTAAATATTAGTATTAAGAAAACAGTAAGAACTTCTTAACTGCAATACTTAAAGAATAATCCATAGAACAAATTGTTTTGTTCCTTTTTTTTTGAAACAGTGTACATTTTTACTGTCTCTCATTATTGTTATTCTACACTGAGAAAAATGTGACAAACAGTCTTCTTTGTGTTTATCTGAACAGCACAGAAAAGACATACTATTTCACAAATGGTTGAAAGTACACATGTATCACATACAACATACTGTGATGTGCTTATGTACAAAAAAGGAACCATAACAATTCTATTTACAAGTAATTTAGAACTGGTTAGTTAACAGTAGTTTTATACAGATAGCATCTGAAAAAAAGATAGAAAATACTTTACAGAAACATTCATACTTCTACTGAGTACATTTGTGGCAAATGTAATGGAATTCAAGGTTTCTATCAAATTTTTAGGTGTCATAATAAACAAAACTTTTCTAGGCTCAAAAGCTTTTTGGCTCATCATGATCAAAAGTTAGTATGTCTGATAACAGCACTCAGCCCTACTCCCCTTTATTAATAAGTATCACCTGTAGCCATTATCATAGTGAATGTTTCTATTTGTGCAAATGGCACAAAACTTAATTCATTGTTGCTATGTTTTCAACATATTAAGAAAGCTAAAATGAAAATCACAAGAACAGCCTTTGAAAAGTGCTGACCAAGAAAATGACACAAATGATGTAACCAGAATAATTTACAGAAACAATTTTCAAAAACAAAAAAGTTGCCCTCTTACCTGGGAAAAACAATAATTATTTCTGTAAAATGAACTGCTCTATAAATTCATTTTGTTCACTCTCAACCTTTTGTAAAGCTTCATGTTGGACACGGAAACTAAAATAAAACATCAAACAGATCTCATTACATTCTTTTCAAAAACTATGGTACTCTGTATATCACGAGGAAGACCAATCTAGTCCTTGCTTAGGAAGTATAAAATCAATAGGAAATATTATCAAAAAAATGGCAGTAGAACAACACAAATATAGTTTAATCAGAATTATGAATAAAGGGGATAATTTTCTAAAGAAACTGTGGTGCTGTGTCCATAGGAGTTATTACAAGATGATTTGGTTTCATCAACTGAGTTGATAATGCAAAATTGTCAATGTAAAGATTTTCCTAAGCTAGCTAATTTAATCAGACTTAGTCTACTGGACTGCCTTGGTGGTTGATTCTTACCGTTCCAACTGTGTTTTCTTTTCAGCGATCAGTGCTCGTAGTTGTTGCTGCTGTGCTTCTCTCTGCTTTGCTATTGACTTTAATAGATTTCTTGAGCCAATAGCCTAAGGGAAATTTTGTGATTTAATTTGAGAGGTTAACTTCTATTCGCATGCAACTTACTATCCCCTTTAATAATATAAACAAAAAATAAATAAAATCCAGCTGATTGTGCACATAGAATGTTTTTTTGCACCTAAATAATCAAGTCATAATTAGCATTCAAGCAATTATGACTAATGATACTTGAACAGAAAGTACATATCAAGTCCTCTTCACAAACCCACTTAATCTGTTAGCAGCTGTATCAACTTGCTTCAATCACCAACTATAGAAGACTGCTAAGGTTACTGCATGACAGAGGGCAAACTTAGGTAAAAAGAAAAAGCTGTTAAATGCCTCTGGGTGGGGGAAACCTCATTACAAAGATTTGTTCAGCAGGACTACTTACCTTTGTTCAGAGTTTAATCATCAATCCTTAGGCAACATAATTAAGGGAAGTGCTTATTTGAGAAGGAAACCAAGCTTTTAAAACCCTAACCTTGTTTAAGACAAAAATTGTTCATTTTGTTGCTTTGCTTTTTACTGAAAGACCCAGGGTCGGCTGGTGACTAACTTTTATGTTTGGGGAGTTATTGTCATCATTATAGCTCTAGAACACTGGGCAACACAGATTCCTGAGGCCAAAGCCGTCAAGTGACAAATTATTCTACTTAAAGTACAGCTTCGCCATTTGAGATGGCAACTGGGTGTAGAATTATTAATATCACACCACCTATCAACAATATCAAGCCCTGTTGAAAGCATTCTTTTTATTTACACAAAACCCTATTCAATTTGTTAAAATTTTGTAACCTGCTTGAGATTCAAAACCCTGAAGAAAACAACCTCTTATGTGGCACATAGCTGTTTAGGCCGAGCAAGGGAGTCGTTCCAAAACCCCAAGCATCACTTTCGGTCACACTGTTTTACATTGCGTTAGTTAGGAAGTTGTTCAGCATAATGGCCATGTATATCAATTAACAAAATGTTGTCAACTCTCTGAACAAGAATAAAACGTCAACAAAGAGACTTTGGACATTTCATTTTAAAGGGTCAAATTGAAAACAATCTTACCAAACGCAGTATAAATATATGGCTGTCGCCAAGGTGACTTGCTCGGTGTTTTGATCATGTAAACAATAAGACATCGAGGAAGAGCAAATCATACCTTCATTTTCTCCTTCTCGACCTCTTTAGCTAAAGCATCAACCATATCGATAAATCCTCCCACTATTTTTTGAAACTCTCCAATTTCTAAAGGGATGAAAAGATTAATCAGCCTTAAAAATTGCGGCGGTTGCTAGAGGCCGCAAAAGCAATCAATAAATTTAGCAATAGCAAGTCTGTAGCAAAACAATTCACTTTGCACCGAACAGTGCCCATCATAAAATGAGTGAACTTACTGTCAACAAATTCTTTACATTCTTCCTTGAGTTCTTGTGTTTGCTGACTAATTTCAGGCTCTAAAACCCGAACTTTGTTTAGCTCATCGAAGTGAAACCCAGCCGGGCCGTCCGCCATGTTTGTTCGAAAACAATATCCCAGAATACCACGCGCATTGAACGCGGTGGAAACGCTTTCTTCAGACGAGAGGCTATGGGGCTGAGTTTCCGTGCATATTCTTAGTCCTACTCAAAGTACCCTTTCCTGTTAACACCCAGCCTCTAGTCCCTCTTGATGAATTTTTTCGGCGGGGAGAGGGGGTGACTGCACTAAAGTTGAAGCCAAACAGGTCTCCCATGCCTAGGTAAGTGTCGTCACACAGGTAAGGGATTATACAAAGTGATGTTTCACAGGACGTTAGATTGAATCTGGCCACGATTTACCCCATTTATCCAGTCACAATTGTTTAAAGTTACATTCACGTGTAATCTCGGCGGAAAATCTTTGCTAAATCCTTCTTCCCCTTTTATTAGTGTGGTTGTGTTTTCAAGAAGGACGGGCTACGTAGATGCAAAATCTTTAAAAACATTTCTTTAATCATCGACCGATTTAACTCTCGATATCCACATACGCAGCCAGCAAAGGAAACGTACTTGCATGCACAAGAAAACAGTCCTCAATGAAAAGTATTTACAGCCACCTTATGCTTCTCAGAAGTCCCGGCTAAGTTTACACTGTTATTTAGTCTACAAATAGTTTTTAACCCAACTCTTCCTGCAAAGAACAAAGCCGTCAAATGATACTAACCCAACCAATCATATGTCCCACCAAAACCATACAACCCACCCCGGGATAAGACCAGGGCTGTGACGAGTGGCTTTGACTCTTCCTCTAATTTTAATTCAAACACAAATTTCCTCGGCTTGATTTAAGCAAAACTTCACGAGTTAAACCAATCAGTCCTGATACCGCACTCATATTGTTAATAATGGCATATCTACTCCAACAATAGTCGACAAACTGGTTTAAACTTGTGTTTCATTTCCATCCCGCTTATAGACTGATATATGTAAACCTGAATTGTTGTAATCGTTCTAATCTCAATTGGCGGTTAAAAATCAGCCACTTTCCTATTACGATTACATACCACGGGGAGTAAGGTTTTTCTCGACCTTTTCCTGAAATATATCTCTTACCATTTGGATTAAAGCAGGATATAAATACTTAGAAACCTGGAGGGGGCCTACAGACTGCAACTATATCCAATTCTTAACTTCCGCGAATTTTGTTCCAGTTCGTCAAAATAGAAACGAAAAGATTGTTGACTAAGAACCTGGGTTGAAATGCATGGTATTTCGTAAGGCATGGGAAGCCTTTTAATCCCAGGTAGTCTAGCCCCTCTGTGGTTTCCTTAACAACTAGACAATAAGAGACAATATAACAAACAGATACACAAGAACATCGCACTATTTACTAATCTAAAGGCATTGATTATACGCTTTCCTGAGAAAGCAATGCGTCTGTTATCCATCTGATATAACCAAAACATGTGTGTTTTGTAAGAGACTAATTCTTCAATGTTTGTTTACCAAAAGAAACGGAAAAATCCAATAAAGGCACATGTTGAATTCGCGTTGCTAAACGTTGGCACGTTTAAAATTACGGATTCTGATAAACATGCAGACCAGCGTAGTAAAAAATCAAGTTTCTGCAGTTGAAAACTGCAGAATAGTCGACTAGCTTCTTTATTTAACGGTTTTTGTCTTGTTTTCTTGACGAATCGTCGTCATTTTCCGGAATAACTCGTGGTCCGACGGCTCTACGAGTTGCACTGAGTAGTTCAGCATCGGGAAAGTTTCCATTTCCTCTATGCTCGTACAAAAGAACGTTCAGGGACTCCTCGTAAATTCTTGAGTCCGGAAACTCGACTTTTGTCTGCGGTTTTTCTGTGGCATAGACAATTGACGTGCAGCACACCTCAGCAAGCTTTTTCCCGTTTCCGTAGAATGTCCAACAGCAGATTTCGCTGTTTCCGATCAAGTCCTTGATAAATAGAATTCGTCCATTGAATCGAAGCGACAGCTTGTCGAAGAGTTCAATATTTTTCAGCAAGTTATCATCTGATTGACTGTTTATGACCACAATAAAACAAAAGAAAAATAAAAACAAGAGATGCCATCATTTGCTAGTTTCCTTTTCAGTCGAGATACGCTACATCACGCGACACTAATAAACAGGGGATTTGCGTAATAAACAAAGTGGGGGGGGGAGGGAACGTTTAGCTTCTCATGTTTTTTTAATGAGGGTAAATACTAAGGGAAAAACTGAGCTGTTAGAAAAATGTTTCTCATTTAAAAAGCAAGTAAGGTCACCTAGATGTACAACCCTAAAGTACACAGATAAGAATTTCTCTGAAGATCTACACTGTAAGAACTTTTCCATTGCCACTGGTAATGACAAGTTTGAAACTTACCCAGTATACGAATATTTGTTATTTGATCTGTTATATGACAGCTTCACCACAGGCTGTAGAGAAAGGGATAAAATTAACACTACCTTCACATGTTTCAGTTCCTATATCAACCAACACATTGTGATGATTTTTAGCTGAGAATGCCAAGTAACAACAAATACATCTGGTCAAATTTTTCACTTCAAGATGCTCTTTGTTGTCACAAGATGTAAAAGCCTGTTCAATTTAACAATTCAATTACCTCATTAATATTTTTTACCTAAAGATGATAACATGTGTTGAAATGATCCCACAAGTGGACTGCAATGAACCTTTTACGCCCCAACAGCAGCATGCTTATTCCCCATACTGTTCTTCATACATTTCCTTAAGTGCTAACAGGGGTAAACTTGTTTATCAAACAAGACTTTCTTTGGTTGGTTATCCATTTATTCTTGTGGCCTTACTGTGTGATTCATGGGTGAAATTGTAAGGACAAATAAGACACTGATCACTCTTAACCCTTTCATTCTCAAGATCAGATTGGTAATTCCCCCCTCTAGCTGCTACACATATCCTTGTAAATCAGTTATGAGAATTTGGTGTTAGATCAAGACAACAACTTCCACCTGATGAGTTTGAATATTCTCACTAACTGTTTGCAGGATAATGTAAGGATATTATTGGGAGATGTTTCATATTGATCACTTCTGAGAGTTGAAGGGTTAAGGGTGGCAGGGTTAAATACCAAGACTAAACTTTTTACAGACCTTTTTACCAGTGACAAGTTGTCTTTCCTCTTTGGATGAAGTTATGAGTGGAACACGGCAGATAGGGTCATGTTCTTCCTTTTTCTTTTCAAGTGCTTTTTCACACTGTTCAACTAGTTGCTCAATCAAGTAATACTTGGCCTCAATCAAGATTTCTTGCAACTCTACTTCATTTTGTGGTAATGGTACAGTTCCATCGCGCAAGAAGTTTAGGATAAGAGAAAAATGTTTTCCACAGCGATCAATAAGAATCCAGCCTAATCAATGAAAAGTAGAATACATTTGGCATTATCCATTTACCATATAACAATCATCTCAAAAATATGATTGCATTTCCAAAGTTATGAGATTTCCATCACAAGCAGGTGTTGCCCCAGTTTTCTCCACAAATATAAAGGAACTTTAAGAACCTGTTGGGACTAATATCCCCACAAAACATCAGTAATACACATATGAACATTTTGTCCAAAGCAACTTCCACCAAGCCATTGAACGCTTTTGAGCCCAACCAAGTTTCAAACAAAAAAATCTTAGTTTGTTTCATTACAATTAACTAATCACAAGAAGGGTAAATGTTTTGTTTCTTAAGGTAAACTGTTTTACCTCAATCACCAGAAAGGAAAAAAGGTTTCCAAAGGAGAGACTGAAAAGAAGTGAGCAAATCCCTCAAATCTACATTACTTTAAAATCTCATCTTTCTTAATTAGAAATTAACAAGAATATAAACTTTTTGTATATAAGTTTACATATGTATGTTTCCCTTTTCGATTCCCCAATCCCTGAACCAAATTCACCAACTGAAATTGGTGGATAAAATTATGATGGGCTTAAAGACACCACTTGCTGAAAAAGACAACACTGTTAAATTAGTAACCTGGTGTTTCTGTATCAGTGTAAGCCATAGGCTTTTTTAGTAATGGAGTATTTCCTACTTGAATAATTTCCCCTTACCTCTGAACAAGAACTTGGAATATAACTATCAACTTTTGAGGACTTCCTTGGTGTGAAGTTCAAGGCACTTCCCTCAAATACCCCTCTATATTTAATTCTTTCTGATTTAATTTTTTTTCCTTCTACTTTCCTTTCCTTTCCAGCAATGTACGCAACTTGAGACAGTGTACTATTTTTGAACATCAGATATTTATGAATGTATGTATGTATGCATTTATATAAATGGTGTCTTTTTGTGACAAACAACACAAAACCAAATCAAACCGTTTGAAAGACATTTCATTCACACCTAAAGCAAGCATTGTAAACATGGACGCTACATTCGTGAGACATTTTAGTGGGAAATCATACAGAGAGTAATGAAATAATAATGGGCAGAGTGTGAGATTCTCTTTTTGAATTACCTTATTTGGTGATTTATCTCTATGTATATAGTGTGAGAGTACGAATGCAGAAATTATTGCGTTTCTCGATCATTAATTCTACGCCGCAACCAAATGTCGGTGTTATTGTACAGTCCAAATAGCAAATAATGGTTCATTAGCTTCGTTTATCTCTGGCAGCAAGACTGAAATTATGGCTGACAGCTGTTTTTATTCCAAATATTAATATCTTAAAATAAAGCATACCTTCAGTATCTGTCAAAACTTCCAGTCTACCACTAAACATGGCTCTCAACATGCTGTCTTGCTTAGTGAGTGTTCCGATAGTCGTGTAATGGAGAGACCCTCCGACATTCAATTTAACGTATTTTGTCGGCGATCCATGCACAGTCATATGATGAGTTGCCTCTCCAGACATTCTCCTTCAGCAATTGAGCCTCTCAAAGGTTTCCCTGGGAGGTGTGACGGACCTTCGCACAAAAATATGTAGTTATCGAGTTGTCTTGGTTAAATACCAGCTTCCCGAAATAACTCTTACGCGGCTCATGTTCAGCGGATCATACATAAGTGTGGTATATGCCAAAGTGAAGTGCCATTACTAGCGATGTTTCAAAATTAATGTGACATGGCCAAAAAGAAAAACCCAAACAAACAAACAAAAGAAAATAGAAAAAAGCTTCCACGTCCTGTACTGATTAATTTTCTAAACGAAATAAATTTAAACATATTACTGCGCAAACGAAGGCTTTGGCCTCGTCAAACAAATTCCTCTTGATGTTGACAAGGTTGAACACGTTTCCCTATCTCCCTTATTTCTCAGTGGTCAAGACGTACAGGCATGAACAGTATGTGTTCTCAACCAACTCTCCCAGCCAACGTAAAAAAATCCTATTTATGAAAGAAATTTTGGCCTATGTAGGTAACTCTCTCCATTCTTCTTTCCCCATATGTGTTTTTACTTTGTCTCATAGTAACTTTGATTGGGTTTCCCTTTTTCATTCGTTTTTTTCTGTTGGTCTTGTGAGTAGAGTTACGTACGACCAGCCATCTCCCCTCTCCCCACCCTAGAAAAAAAGTAATAGGTTAAAATATATTTTTTTCTTGTAATCCTGTAAGTTCTTGATGGGTTAGGATTAGGGTTAAATTAAAGTGTCAAGCGACTAGTTTGGATGGGTCCTTATCATTTGTTTCTACGTCACGATGGTGTTCCCGGACTTCCTGTTTCACCAATGTGTAACTTTTTGCAATAAGTGCAAGTTATACGGTGTATGACATTGGCGGAGGTGTACGTAAAATGATCAGTGATCTTGATGGATCTCTTCGGTTCCGAAATTTTCTCCTCGTTATGAATGAGAGGACAACTTTTGCATCGTGAGCGAGCGTATTTGAAAGTTCCAAGTTGGTCATTAGTTTGAAATGAACTTCTGACCAAAAAGTTGCCCATGCCGGTTTTTGTCGCATTTGAATGGAAATCAGAGGAGGTTGCGAAAAGATAGCACCAGTCTCTGAATCGTCTGATATCGTGTTGACGATAGGTGCCATAATTTTGTCTTAATAGCTGGAGATAAATTTAGTGGGACAACCACAGCCAGAGACGATGGGTTGACCTGGGTTGTTAGGTTTGTGTATTCTAGGTAAAAAGTGAATACACGAAGTTTTAGGAGTGATGGTGGTGTGACTTTTTACAGTGGCCGGCAATTCTTGTTCAGTTATAAGATCGTAAATCGTGTTTTTAACAATAGTTTGGTTGATGAAAGTGAGATCCTCGTCAGAAAGTTGCCGTAAAGCTTCTCCTTGGTAGAGGTTGGCCCGCCAAACAACGACTGCGCCGCCTTTGTCGGCCCCTTTGATAACTATGTTTAGACATATTAGTGCCGACCACTCTTCTGAAGAAATGTTGACTTTGAATTTAAGTTTGTTACTATCGTGACGACATTTTTTTATTAAAAAAATCTAAAGATACGAATTGGCCCATCGGGGGAGTCCATTCAGACATTCGAAGTTCCCAGTTTGTGCAGCTAGCATGACATCACGTCAAGGCCTGTTTGCTCAAGGGATTTTACATCGCATAGCTAATTTTTTAATACAACCCTACGCCTTAGTTTTTCAGCTGGAAAACTGAAATAGTCATACTATGCACGGAAATTATACGGGAATATGATAAAAAGCTCTTCTTTCCATGTCACGCTGTGATATAACACGTGTTCTTCACATGTCTCCAGTTACGTCAATCTAATTGGCTAGCGCGCCTGAGACCGCGCTCTCGTTGCGTGTAAATAAAGTAAAGAAGTTTCACGAAAACCCTGAGGCGTAGACAAACGAAAATGTAGACCCCGAAATAGGTCAAGTGCATTCTATACTGGTTAAAAAGTGTTTTTCTATTACCTTTCTGGATTTTGCAGTACGTCAACCATACGGATCGATTTCCGTGCGAGAGAGAAATGGATAGATAACGGATCATTTTAACAACAACCATCAAAGGACTTTACAGTCTCGATTTCTCGCTGTTGTGTACAAGGAACACGTTCATACTGCACGCGGTCACAAGGTTGTTTTGAAATTCCCTGATAGCCAACTTATCCTCTTATCATGAGTCGGCTATTCACGAATCTGTCCTTCGAATCGTGGCTGAATCCGAACTGTCGGTGGATCTGCCGGAGTAGCGTAACGCAAATAAGATGCAATGCTTCGGTTTTTGGCTCCCAAACACAAGCTTGGTCTTACGTGAAACAACAAACTTTGGACGAAGCGTCTGCGAAGGTTTGTTTGAATTGTAAAGTAGTTGTGATGAGGCTTTCACTGAAGTTAATCTGAACCGGCGTTTTTTTAATTTAGTTTGACGAGATGAATAATCTTTTACCATTTTGTCATCTTCACGAAAGACGATCTAAAGTTTGTTTAAAATATAATATTTAAAGCTGTCGTTAAAACATCGTTTGTGGTTTTGTGGACGGAAGTTGTATTCAATAAGTGATCTTTTTTTCAGCCATCGATCCGCCTGACCCCGTTCCAAATGCTCTGGGCCGGAAGATTCAAAGATGGAACCCACTTACTAGTAAGATAAAAGTAACTTGGAGCTTTCTCCAGAGATCAAGAATTTTACATTATACTAAATAACTGTGGCTGGAATTTTTTGTTTCTTTGTGTGTTAGGCTCGTTTAAATCTAATATGCTTTTTCTTGTATGGACATGTCTAAATTTTTTAAGGTATTCACACGGTTAAATGGATCCTATGTATTAACATAAAAGTAATATGTTCCTTTTTTAGTTATTTTACAAGAGGAAATTGTATGTTTGTTGCTCATGCGTCACCCATTGCCATTTTATTGTAGTTCTGAAAGAGAGTATGATGATGCACTATAAATAAAATCACCCTTTGTGGGATAGTTTTACACCCAGCGGGCTTCTCTTTAACCAAAGTACAACAACATACATTAAAAGTGGTCTTATCCAAGACAGCAGGGTTTGTACTCTTTAGTACTTTAGAAAAAAATAAAACATGTTTCCTTCTGTTCGTGGGAATTGGAGATTTAAAGAAGCTATGCTCTATGCACTGGTGAATGCCCCCAAGCAAAAAAACATGTTGTAAGTGACAGTCAGACAATGCTTTATCACCTGGTACACAGGAAAGAGTCTGGAATAAAAGCTGTGATTAATTTTCCACCTGAGGGATGACAAGTAACCAATATACCCAAAATCATCCTTTTATTCAGATAGGTAGTTTTAAATTTTTTAAAAAATATTGTCACCCATGATTGTTTTGACTAACTATTTATTACATTTCTGTATAACAAGAAAAGGCATGCAAATTACTTTCTGTTTGGCTTTGCTATGAAAACCTTGAATATCTGCTTGCATTGGTTTTCGCTGTAGTTGCAACCTTTCCTCTAAATATTTTGACTGCTCCTAATTCAATCATTTTAGTAAGTAAACCTGAAGTTACAAATATATTCTGCTCTTGAAAATCAGGCAGATCAATTGCTGTACATAATGCTAAGTATTTCAATCAAGAAGACACAAACATGGAAAGAGTGATTTTTTCAGCATTAATTTTTCATCACAGTAAATATAGTGGTTGCTTATCATAAAACAATTTGTTGAGGCAAAGTAATTTTTTTGTCATGTGATGGCTTTAAATGTTTTGGTACTTTATAGCCACAGATAAGAATTGTTTTTTACAGTTTTAACCTCAAAATAACTTGTGCAGAACATTATGAATTCTTGCCAAGCAAGAAGAATGCTTGTAAATCAATAACAGTATGCAACTATCTGGATTGGAACTTGTTCAAGAAGATTGTTTGAGTGTGATGACTCATGTAAGAAGAGGTTATTTTTAGACAGAATATTTAATTTGCTGTGCTAGCCCAAACTCTTGGCATATTTAGCTTTACCTTGGAAATCTATTGGTTATTTTTCAAGTTTACTTTGCAGCTATGAAAGCTATTGCCTCCTCCCTCTGTCTGTTTTAAAATATGCAGTGGATAGAAATTTTGAAATAACCGCATCTTTTCCATGGATAAGTGGAAAATATCTAATGTTTGAATCTTTAATAGCATCAGCAGCTCCCTTAAAAGTGGAGATAAAGTTTGTTTATGTTAAAGAACAGTAGTAGTTACTCAGTTGTTTTAATTTTTTTTTTTCAGTAACACCTGGTTGTGAATTTGTTTTCTTACGATACACCTGTGTATTAAGGACTAAAAACAGTTATATAATTAAGCCTAATTAATGCTTTTTAATCTGACTTTGTATTTTGTGACATTTTGTTTTGTCAGAAAAGTGCCCAGTTTCTTCAAAAAGAGTTACCTATTCGGGTTGCACGTCGTGTTGTTGACTTTCAAAAACTGCCTCACATTGCTCTTTGCAATCCAGTCATTCATGATATGGTAGGTGAACTTTGTACTTTGCTCTTATCATTTATTTATCACATATGAATTAGGAATATCAGCAATGTTAAAATCCAGTGGATTAGGAGAGAAACTAGATTTTGTAGCCATGATGGGCATTTAACTTGAGTTTGAAGAGTTTGATGCAGCTTGACAAGAAGGATGGCCATATACTGGGTGAATGTACATGTACCATGATCAGATTAAGAAATAGATATCATGTTGACATGTGCTTGTTTTGCATCATGTTATGAATAATTTAGTTCATTTTTAAGATTTTAAATTTTGTCTTTTTCTTTTAGTTCATTTCTTGAGATGAGTTGCGTTTACTTAACACCCATTAGTTTTCTTTTAAATATTTGGAATCTGTTTCATTTTTATTTCAGTATGAATTATATCTTAGAGCTTTTAGTATGCTGTACAAATTTCCCAAGGTATGTTTTATTCTTTCAAAGGACTAATTTGTGAGACATGTTAGTAAAGCTGCAAGTTATCAGTAGAGGAAGTACAAAAAATGCTATTGATATACTTTTCCTCAGGCACCCCTAGTTAGCTTGTAGTCACTCTGGTTATCAGACTAACCTTTCATTCCCCAATGTTATTATGCATATTCTTGATTCTGATCCATATACACTCATCATAGTAATGACTAGGAGAATTTGCGAAACAATCAAGAATGTCTCTACTTGATGATCTTTTCTATAATTCTGGTGACCTTGATGTTGGATTACAGCAGTGATGTCGTAAGAAGAAATTAAGTTCTAGTCACTCTGAGAGGTTAAAGGATAGAGGGTTCATGATATAAAATATTTGCTGCCTTTTGTAGATGTATCATTTGCTTCAACTCTGGTACGATGAGCATGTCTATTACTTAATTTCATAGGTGGAAAATCTTGAAGCAGAGGAAAGATATTGTCGTACTATCAGACAACTCTTAGATGATCATCAAAGTGTTGTCACCCACCTAGCAGAGGGATTCCATGAATGCCAGAAAAATGTTCCAGTAAGTCAGAATTTTCAAAAGATTTATTTAACTATCATCTTTGTTCTTTTAGGGATATCTAGATAAGAACTCATTATCAATGTTTTTATGATTGCAGTATGAAATAATAGATGCCTTTTTAAATCGTACCCTGACATCAAGGCTTGGAATCCGCATGTTAGCAGAACATCATCTTGCTCTAAGCATGGACAAGGTGAAGTATTTTAGGTTTAACTGTAGAGATAAGAAGCCAGTGATAATACAAAATCATGTAGTGGTGCTTTGTTCATCGTGGTGCAAGTTTCAAGTCTCATTTTATCATTGCACTGCTCTTTTGGCTTGTTCTGTTTTTGTATTGTTCCCTTAAGACTTTATTTACATGTATTCATATTTTGATATCTACTGGTATTCTTTTCATTCTAACTTGTAAAACTTCCTGAAAATGAGAAAACCTACATACATTTAGCTGCAAAGCAGCATAAGTGATACAGTAGTCTAGGTTTGAATCATGATATCAAACCTGAGAATGGTTTCTCTCCTTGCTTTTCAATTGTTTGCTTATGCAGAAGCAAAATTTCTCTCTTTCTGGAAATGGAATAAAAATTTATGACATTTTAATATGTGTGGAATGTTTGATTTCTGTCACAGCCAAACTACATTGGAATTATTTGTACTCACCTAAACCTTAAACAGATTGTTGAGAGGAGTGGTGACTTTGCCAGGTAAAATTTATCATGTACAGTCATGTTTGTGATTACTTCAGTGGTAATATTCACAGCCTTTAGTTAGCTTTTACTTAGGACAAGAAGATGTTGACACTTAAAACTGTTGAAGAAAAAAAAAGGTAGTTTTTGCTGTCTTGAGGCTGAGATGAAAAAATGTCAGAGCTGGGACCTTGTACTTCTTGTTAGTAGTCACTTGGATCAGGGTTATTCTGCAAATTTTTTTGGCTTCTTCAGTCGTCAACTCAAAATATCCAGATAGAAGATATCTGTATTGTTACTTTAAAACTTAACAGAAACCCTGTGGGTACTGATGTGTTTATACGAGCAATGTAATGGAATAAGGCGAAAGAAGATAGTGGGATGGCAGATGTTGTGTTTTGTTTTATAGGCAAGTTTGTGAACATACTTATGGTGTAGCTCCAGGACTTATTGTCAATGGCCACACAAAAGCAATCTTTCCTCACATTCCTGCACCTCTTGAATACATTCTTCAGGAACTCTTGAAAAATGCCATGAGGTTAGTGAGTTTCTATTGACCAAGGTTTCCTTTCTAATGCTAATTTTTATAATCTGCATCCATTGTTTGATATTTGTTTGTCTCAAATCTCAAATAAAAAGGCATCTATTTAGAATAGGAAAGCTCTTTGTGTTTTCATCTGAATTTTTTTCCTATGTACTTTTGTGATAAGCATTTTCAATTGTTCTTGTAATAGTAATGGTATGATTGCTATACTTGTAACTGCTAGACACAGGTTGACTGAATGGGAGAACTTCAATGTGTTTGCTGACTTATTCTAGGGCCAGTGTGGAATTTCACTTAGACAGACCTAATGAAGTGCCCAATGTTGTAGTCACACTCTGCAGCAATGATACTGAATTCTTTGTCAGGTAAAAACAACTTCTTCAACTTGCATCCACCTTTGTAGCTGTTGTTGATCAGATTGCACCTTGCTTTAAAGTTTTCAAACAGTTTGAATGTAATTTTTCTTAGTGAAGTATTCATTATCTGAGACAAAGGAAAAGATTAGCAAACTGGGTTGATACTTTTTAACCTGGGAAAAATTTAGATTAGAACAGTTGATTGAAATAGCAACCAAATCAAACTTCATTCAAGTTCTTAGTTTTTTAATCATTAATCATTGTGTGGTATTGAATGCCTTTGAGCTGTGGTAAAATTAGACAACTATGCCCCTTTAGCCAAAAGATCCTTCACGACAATAAATAAACTCGTCTATCTTTGCAGGATTTCTGATCGTGGAGGTGGCATCCCAGAGTCCCAGCGCCAGGATATCTTTAAGTATTCGTTCACCACTATGGGTGACCGAAGCACCATAAAGCCCTCAGACAGTGACAATATCCTCTCAGAAATGTGTGCAGGACACCCAAGCAGTTCACCTAGTGGGGGTCCCATGGCAGGATGGGGCTTTGGTCTTCCTACGTCTCGTGCTTATGCTACGTATCTTGGAGGATCACTTCACCTGCTGTCCATGGAGGGCTTGGGTACAGATGTGTATTTGCGGTTAAGGCACATTGATGGAAAGAAGGAGAGCTTTCGCATTTAGTGCAGGAGCACTTCAGCTCCCAATGAGCATGTTTTGACCTCAAGGAGTCTGCTCTTCTTGCCACCAAGGGTACTGATTCTCTTAGACAATTGTCCTTTTAAAAATATTGCATGTTAGGGAAATATCTGTATGCCAAAAGAAATAAATGACAGGAGTTCAGCAAAGCTAAAAAATCATTATCCAACAAAATATCCCATGTAGTCAGCCAATTAATCCAACATAAATCCAAGTTATTCTCAAATGAAGTGGAACTTTTCAGGCTCTACCCACAGAGTGCAGATGTTTTACTTCATTCTATACTTTGCATAGATCTGTCATTTAAGAATTGAAGGTTACAACAATATCCTACTGGTTTATCATAGCATGGTCTCAACTCATACTGAATATAGGAGGTGAATATTAAGGCATTTTCGGTTTACCGTGTGACTTATTTGGCAAATGATTTTTCCGTTGTAGGCAAATTAACTTCCATAAAAGTAACAAGTGACAGTCTTTCAATGATTGCTCCAGTGTGGTAGTCAATAAGTAGGTTCAATGTATCTTATTGAGACCGCAAATCGCACCCCATTATGAACAGTACTGTGAGATTACACAGAGATTACATTGCAATGATTATTTAAGTATTAATGTCATTAAAATTATTAAAAAGAAGATCAGATTTGTTACATTAGTCTCATATTGAAATAGCTATTTTAATGCCGTGAGTTTGAAATTAAGTCATATTTATGTTTTTGGCTTCTTAATCAGATTAAAATTGTAATTATTATTTAATTCTAAAAGTCTGTAGTGAGACTTAACTCGCTGATTATTTTTACCACAGAAGGCATTTATTATCTTTTATTGTAATAATGAAATAAATTAGCGCAAAGTTTATTAAAATATTATTGTGGACTGGACGTTTTTGTTAACTTCTTAGTTATCGTATGTCGAAAGAAAGATCGTTTTTGTTTGTTGCTGTATGCGCTGTTCCCTGTCGTTCTCCAAACCTCAAATGTTCAGCGGGCGATCTCGAGTCTCGAGTTCGTTTCGTTGCTTCCAGTTAGAACCCTCCGTGATTCCTTAAGAATATTCTTCATTTAGCTTTGCTTAACTACAGCGTCTTTGTCATTTTTAAAAACCTACGAAACCTGTTTCCCTACCCACAGCAACAATATTAGTACACCTCATCAGTACCTTAAGTGAAACATCAAGTTATGGGGCTTGGCAGACAGAGTGTCCATATCGAATAGGTGAGGGCAACTGAAAAGGGTGAGGTGTCGTAAACAAGAAAAGGGAAATTGAAGAAGATTAGCAGATGCGGCAGCCTTAGAATTCACCTTTGCATATTTTCGGACTCTTTTCTCTCGTTTCAGAGACGGCTGGAGGTCAAGCGAATTGTGGACGTGCACCAAGGTGAAGTGGCGTATGGCGTGACGCTTTTGTTCAATAATTTGGAACACTAGCGCCGTCCCACGTCCATCTGCCTGTCAGAAAGGTTGGGCAAAGTCAAGGAGATTGTGTATCCCTTCAAGACTCGTCCAAACAAAACAGAACGATTCGATTGTAATGATGAACATGTGGTGACAGGTAATCCCATCATCAAATGGGTGTGTCTGTCTGAGAGCCTCTTCACTAGGTGTTGATCTCAAACTAAACGGACCTCTTACCAAACTTGTGTTGCAAGGCTGCTACTGTTTAAACTATGGGCTTGCCACACAAGTACATGATGCAAAACTACCACTGTCTACATCAAAATGAGACGGCGTAAGCTCTCAAACACGAGGCTCGCAAAATTTGCATAATGCATGCCAAACAGTTACAAGGCCTTCCTTAAGGTCAACTGAGATTGAATCCGCAGAAATTTTTCGATGAAGATTTTCCGGAACGATTGACAGCTATGACTCGCACAGAAAATCGGAAAAAATTGAATAGCAAAGAACGGATGTGGCTCCTTCCGAAGGTAAGAGGATTTCTCTTATTTTGTCACTGGTGTAAAATCGTGTTTCCGTCACCTCGTAGAAAAGCGCTATTTTCATAGTTGTTGAAAGAACCAATTATATACTTCAGTAGACTCCCACAGAGTAAGTCTATAAATGTACCCGTGTCGAAAGTTCAATCTCTTTGCAATTATTTTCGGCGTCCCGTGATCAACGTCGTGATCCCATACAATTCATCAGTAAGATACAGCAGATGACGAAGAATTTAAAGTTTATATTACCCTGTTAACAATTAATAATAATAATAATAATAATAATAATAATAATAACAAAAATATTGATATTTGAATAAAAATAAGCACAAGAGTATCGTGATAAAAAGCATGTGTTTTTACAACGTAAGATTAAAGTAATACTCGTAGAATAACATACCAAACATCAAAAGCAACTAAAAGGAAAACGAAGCAAAAAGGAACAAAGAAAAACCCGAAAAAAGTTCGACAAGAGTGGACCCGTGAGTGGACACATGATTTTTCAAGTTTCAGAAAAAAGGAAAACTGGCTAATGAAAAGTCTTTAAGATCTCACAATAGAGAAAACTAGGGAAATCTACCTTCCAAACCATTCCAATAAAAATAATGATTTTAAGAGAATTTTCAGCTTCTTTGCAAAAGTATTGACACCCTTAATACGAGTGTTCTCTGAGAATTTTTCCTTCTCTCTGATGCGCTAATTCTTTTTCGGTACCCATGAAATGTAAAGCTCCTACACGTGTTGTATCATTTTTTCCTTCGTTGACACTTAGTCTCCAAGAAACCCTAGAAATTTGCCAGGGATTAAGAACAGTTTTATCTTTGGTTTTGTGGTCTTATCAATGGCTATGTCCTTATCGCTTTTCAATAACTAATTTTCGCCTCACGCATAGTTTATGATATGACTTATTTATCATCACGTTCAATCTTAAAACGTATCTTGGCTATTCGGGCCAAAACTTGCCGATAGATTATTACATATTGTGCTTTATATCCACGCTCTTGAGATGTCGTTCAAAAATTTGACATGCACATATCGATTCTCGACCCACAAAGCTCTGAATGGCTAAATCTTGTGATTCCATTGTCTGTTATAATTGAAGAAAAAAATTCTTTTGTCACACAAAAACAAGTTGCTTGGAGGCGAGAGCATAAATTGCAATTTGAAAAGTAAAAGAGTCTAAGGATATTACTTAGCTAGAAGAATTATATCGCCTTCAAGTTCCGGAATTCAGAGGTAAAAGACAACCGACTTGTACTGGGCCCTAAATATCAGTTTGCCTTTGCCGTCTGACGTAACAGCAAATGTTTGTGTTCAATTGAATGACAATTAAGTTTGGGTTCAGCGCAACAAAAGGGAGTTTTGCACGTCATTAGAGTGCAGAAAGTTGACCGTCAACAGATGTGACGGAGGGCTAGAGAACTTTCGCTTTTATTTTGGTTTACTTTGTCACAATACTTTGTTTCATCTCCCAAGTCAACGGCGTACCAACTACCGGCCGCTTACTGCCATGGCTTTTTCTCCTTGTGAAGGCTACTACAATACCGGAGATCAGAGCAGGTTCGAGAATATGATGAAATTGTTGCTGTTCTTAGAGGCAGAACTTCAACTCAAAGAGGAGATCATAGAATTGTTACTGGTTCGTATTGTACACTTTTGATGTTATTTTTGTCGTGTTGATCGTTAAGTAGCTGAGATATACACGCAACTACGCGTGTATGAGCTTGAATGAGTTCTTTTCAAATGGTTTTCTTTTCGGTACGGAATAGCTTCAACATTCAATATTAGATCTTCGAGTGTTCTATTCTACGAATGTTTTCGATATATGGATATTAGAATTTTGACGTTAAAGACTATTTTCTGAGCGCAGTTTCAAAGTCCCTCCGCTATTCTTTCATAACCTGCTTTGTCACGTAAGTGAGCTGGATGCAAAATATGTTGCATGTCGCTTTACATTGAGGAGCGAATTTGCGTTAACTTTGCGACATCACACAAGCGTATTGTTTTCATCACTAATTTATAACCTCCGTCTTGAATTTACTATTCGTTGAGGCGACCGAACTTCGATCCGTCCTTCGCGATCAAGTATCGCTTTTAAAATCTTGTTTGATAATAAGCTAGTCAGTGATCGTTGATAGTAAAGCCCGTCGTTCTCTTAAGTTTTTCTTGAGAATGGCTCAACTCGACCGAGTATTTTTTTGTAAATAACACTTGCGCGGGAAGCCACATGCAAGCTGGGCAAAACTCCGTTTCCGTCATTTGATAAATGAGTCTACATTTGTATACTTGCTTTAATGGATTCGATCATATTCTTCTTTCGTTGTGTGGTCATCAGGTTCGGAGATTCTTTGATAAGAATTTTGTAAAATTAGTTTTCCATACTCGAAGAAAAAACGCTGTGTTAATCATCGATTGCTGTAGCTCCCTTACGATTCAATCAATTCTCATAATGGAAAGCGTGGGAAATGTCGCGCATAGTTTTTGTTCCTTCTTTACGAGAACGTGAGTGTACGAAATGACTTCTTATCGGAAGGTCAGGGAACTATAGTCTATCGCCAGCTTGTTGCAATGGGAATTGCGTAGATCTCCAGTTTCTATTTAGGAATTTGCCGTGATCTTCTAGCTTTTAAATACAGATTTCGCTCTGATTTTCAATTAACCGCTTTCGTTGTGACTTAAAAGTTTTCAGTCGATATTGAGTGACCTGATTCGTCAACGGAGCTAGTGATAAAACCACAAAGTTTCGGTAATATTGTTTCAATTTCGCTCCTACCCTGAGGGTCTAGCGAAATAGTGTCACAAAATTTGTTCCACTGAGGCTACGTGGGCTTAATTTGCCGTTCTAAATTTTTTTTTTGACAGACATCAAACGTATTTCTAAAGACACTGCTGGAGCCCCGCTGTTCCGTTCAAATTTATCACATATTTCTTACCCCAAGGACTTCTGAGACGGCATGATCCTGACATTTCGCTATTGTTCGTGACAAGTGAACTTTCTATCTTCATCAAACCAAAAGATCACGTTCTGATGGTTTGAGTTATTTTAACAGTGGGGGCTATAGAAGAAAATAGATTTTTTATCACGTGCTGGAACTCTGTGGTTTTAAACATAAATAGCGTGTTATTCAACATATTTTTGTTCGTTTCACAATGCAAAGGAAACCATTTGTTTGCCTATGAAAAAGATGCGTTCTGCACAGCAATGATAGTAATCATAATAACATCTGCTTCAATAATTGTTCTTCATAATTAGAATTTCGGATTGTTGTTAGCACGGGTTCTTAATGTCATGGATCTTGGAAGCATGAATCATTTATGAGGTATTCTGTACGATTCAGTCTATGTTTTCTTTTCAGTGCAATCGTTCATTTAATGAAGAGGTTTAAGTTAATCCGATTTTTCACAGACAAAGATTCTTTCTGCTTTCATCATAACTGCCGCCGCTTTCAGACGTTCCTCGTTAGTCCTATAATAAAAGTTATGCGGTTTAAGAACTTTTTAGTATTATTTATCCGATTTTAAGTGAATCCTCACAATATTTTTTAGTCATAATTGATATATCTACAAGTAATATTTGCTAATAAAACTTATAAATCAAGATGTAAAAACCTGACTGTCAATAAGTGCCTGACAGTACAAAGGCTGTTCCAGAACAGTATCAAACAGTAAGATATCACATACTACTGTAGCGACCTCCATATTAGACTTCGTGCTGACCATTTGGTATCAAAAAGTTTTGAGCTGCAAACCAACTCCATAAACGCCAAGTATCAAACAGTAGTACATGTATAATAACATTTCAACGACCTCTGTGTTATGCTGTTTTCTTCTTCCTCTCTTCTCTTTCGGTCGCGTCAGAATAGTTGAATCGCCAGGATATCATTGAGTGAGGGAACCCTTAAAACATTTCCCCGGTTTTTTCTTATCAGCGCATTGTACTTCTACTTCTACTACTACTACTACAAGAATTAATAAATACATTTTCAGCCTGAGAGTCAAAAGACTTAATCTCCTAACAAAAACTTAATTTTTTAGAGTCTGCTCAGGTTAATGTGGAAAATGTTGGCTGTGTACTATAGTTTCTTGTTCGCGGTTTTTGTTGATATCTCTTTACTCATTTCATTCTATTTACCAGGAGGACGAACGAAATCAGGATATTCTCAATGAAAAATTAACTCTGCTAAACCGGAAAGAGCAGCACGACCCCGTCTTAGCCCTGGGGCGAGATAACGTCTATGAAGAAGAACTATGGGAAGAACATTTTGATGAGTGGGAGTCTGGTAAGGACTCCTCGTTTGATCACTTGGTCAAGAGTAATGCCAGTCAGCTGTGTGCAGTTGCTGCCATGAGAACTATAGAAATGGCGCAGGTGCAGCATGCAAAATACATCAAGACCTACAAGTCTCTTGAGAAAACTGGCAGGAGTTACAAGAAGGTAGGCTTGCATTTAGACTTAGGATGCAGTAACTCTCTACTTCAACGTCTATGAGAAGGAGTTACTGCACGATTGTTTGGGTTATTTCTTATGTGAAGACAACTGCTTTTCTATAGAGTGAAACCTGAACGTAATGGTTTGCTTGAGCAAACAAGTGCTGGAGAGTTGGTTATATACCACAAAGTAACGAGGATGGTTAGAGATGGAGAATGTATATCTGTATTCTAATGACAATCTTAACAAACTTAAAATACATTTACCTTACATTAAACCTTAAGGTTGCTCGTAAGCCTTAAGGGGTCTACGCTTACCATGCCCGCTCTAACTTGAGCAAGACTCAGCCCCAATTGAGAAGAAGAATTGATTCTTTTTGTTTGCATAGTTAAGGCTATGAAAGTGTTCTACACCAACAAAGCGTTGACGATTGTTTAACTTTCTCTTTTGCAGTTAAAACAGCAGTTAACTGCGAAGGAAACCAAAGTAGAAGTGAAGGACACGAATCGGGAGCCTGAATCCGATTGGGAAATACGTGAGCTCGAAATGAAAATCGGAGAACTGTATCTTCAGATCGATAGTGAACGCGAGAGGAACGAAGAACTAGAAAGGAAAATCGAAGAACTTAATACATCGATCAACAAGGAAAGAAGGAGGTGCAAAAAAGTTATCGAAACGCTGGCCAACGAAGTGGAAAGGCTTACAAATCTGGTTAAGGCACAGGGGCGTAATGGACACCATTTGAATGGTTTTAAAATGAACCATGACAGACAGGAATCCGCCAAAATGGGCTCAAATAATCATATGAAGACTTTTTCCATATCGAACAACAACGAACTTAAACAGTTTTGCGTGCTATAGGAAGAACCCTTCCTGTCCTCGTCTCTGACACTTATTACAAATGCGAGAATCATATTCAACAATCACACTGGCACGGAAATCGCAACTTAGCCCCATGAACATAGGAAAGAAATTCGTGACGAACCTAAAGAGAGAGTTTGCTTGAGAGAGTAGAGACCCAAATGCTCTTAAAACTATGGTCCCATGAGAATCCCCTCTAATCCTACTAAAATCTCCCAAAACTAATCGGATTAGCTGTTGCCGTGGTAGTCAAGTGTTAGCTTTTTAATCGATCAATCAATCAATCAATCTATTATTTGCCCACGTAGTATCTAGTGATCTAGAAAGCTCGTTCACCACACGTACGTGCTATTATGTGTTATTTATCACTGAATAGGGCAAGGTGCTCTAGTCAAACGGTTTTGTTGCTTCCGATCGACAATTCTATACGTTAGGCTCTGCGTTACGTTTTGCGTAAAAGGTTTGAAACGATACATCGACGAAACATTGCTTGGGTGCAAACTTAAAGTTGGTGAATAAATTCATTCTGTTAATAGTGTATGTTGGGTCTATTACCAACTTTGGTTATTTCACTTCGAGCAGATCAGTTGTTGGATCTGTATACATCATGATTATTTCACATCGTTGTGGGATTTCTTGCGTTCAATCGACGCCATCAGTTTTCTTTCCTTTTCGTTCAGTAAATGTCATCCTAGATTTCCCCAGGTCTGTACAGTTTAAAATGATTGTAATTTTCATGAGCGTTGTCAAAGAAAACTCCTTTACATTTGTATTTTCTGTTATGGAACCAATCTGTTCCCTATTTTCTTCCAACAAGTTTAGATCCGCATTGGGAAGTTACAAAATAACAAAAGAATGACGAGTGAGTTCATTTGCGGTCTTCGCACCTGTTTATCTCGACTGTTTAAATATATTGCTTGTGTCAAACATGTTTCTTACATTCGAGGTGAATAATTAAAGGAGATTAGGTTGCCAGAATGCTTTTGCTTCCCTTTCCTATGACAAAACACGTCATCGTCAACCGATCAATGTGCAACGTGTAAGTATAAACTGCGGTTGGGTCACACGTACATGTTTATGGCGGCTTGCGCTTCGTTCTGTGATAGTTCCATGTCTTAATGTTCATCGTTGTTATTGTTTTGAATCTAATTTGCTCAATTAAAGTTGAAAACCATGATGAAAGGTGTAGAGGCTAAATTGGCGTTCTCGACACTTTTATAATAAGCAATCAAAAAGAGATATGAATGCGCCTTGAAAGTTTTGGTTCCGTCTGTCAGTAGTTTATCTCTGTCCTTAAACACTTAATAAACTTAAGGGTAAGGATATAAAAGTCAATATTGACTCGTCTTCAATAAGACTCTGTGAACGACAAAATTGTGAAAAGTACATTTCATAACTGAACAAAAGAGCTGATTGGTGGAGAGATAAACTCTGCGGGCGGCAGGTGCTATGGTTAAAAATAGATTAATTCTGATTGGTAGTTGAAAAAGAAACGAATTAGAGTACGCTTTACACCAACGTTACTTGTTACTTGGTTAAATTGTCTTTTCGGGAGGAAACGAGTTTCTTTTCCGTTTAGAATCGCTTTGAAAATGGAAAATAAAAGTGAAAAGTCACTGAATGAATTCATCTCCGTGGCAAAAGGAAAAGAGGTAAGGTAAAATATTTGTTTTAAAGGGCTCAAATCAGAACGTTAAATGAATGCAATACACTTTAATTAACCGGCCACTCATAAAAAATTGACTTCCACTTTTTGCTTTACGACGAGAATTACTTAAAAGACGTACCGTGGGGCTCCTTAGTAAAAACACAGATAAAAAATGACCTTTAAACTAATCAGTATAGTTTTCTTTTCGAAAACCGATTTCGTAGTACATATTCCCTCTTAATTGTTGGTTGTCAGGTCAACACTTCAATGCGGCACTGACAAAATATTTTGGAAGGATAACTTTACTTAGAGTACTTAATTTGTTCCCTCTGCGATACTTTTCTTTTCTTCTTGTGTCACGACTTTTCTGATCTTGTAATATTTTCTGAGGACATTCGATGATAAAATTAAAAGTTGGCAAATAGTAGCTCCGAAAAAAAATAATAAATTTTTAATATGCATAGTAGTAAATGAAGCTTATGGTTAAGAACCGTTTTGTTTTAGTCCGTGCTGAAATTCCTCTTAGTTGCGAGTATTATCACGTTTGTTGTAGTATGTGCGAAACTCAAAACCTTATCCTCGCTTCATATTATAGAAATGTCTCATTACAATCTTGTATCATTGTTTTTCGTTGTTGTTGCTGTTATCACTATTGCTGTTATAACTGTTCATCATTATGGTTATTAGTGTCATGATGATAACGATTATTATTATTATCAGAATCGTTATCATTATTCCTGTTTCTTAACAATAAGGATCGGAAAGAAAGTACGAGCCAAAACTTCCATTACAGAAGGAATTTGAACCCGCGCTTGTTTGTTCGTGGCACTTCATTATTATTCTTTTCCATAATTTTTTACGCTCTCCCTTTTGATTTTTTAATTTGGCGTCATTTTTGTTCAAGTTGTTGTCATTGTTTTTAATTGAGTTGGTTCTATTCTTGTGTTTTGTGCTCGCTTGATTTTGCTTTGCCCGCCCTAATCCGCCGTTATGTTTGATTTGCCTCATTAAAAAACTCCCAAGCTAAGCAGAACTTGATATTTCCAATAAACACAGGAGGGACTAATTGGTTCCGGAAGCTTACCTAGTCTCATCAGTCCTAGACCAACTAGCGGTCAGGCAAGCCCAGCCTCTCCGAGCCAGCAACAGCCAAGAGAAAAGATTAACGTGACATTCGTTTTCCCATTGGATGAAAAATACCAATGTCCCGTTTGTAAAGATGTGCTCCTAAACCCTGTGCAATTTGAAGAATGTGGACACAGAGTATGCGGGAATTGCTTCCCATCGATAATAAGGTGAGGTTACCCACATTCGTTATAAACTCCCCTAAACCCTGAACTCTCCCTTCCGTACCCTGCAGAGGAAACCGAGCGGTCGAAGAGCAAGTCCAGGACAAGTCCACCATTTTTTCCATCTCTCGTCGGCCTCCTGGGTTTAATCGATCGGGTTTGGAAGAAGGGAAAAGCAGGTGGGGGGTAGACTGAGGGGAAGTAAGTTCTTGTGAATGAGTGAATTTGTTCCGGGATATTCTTTCCACATTTACCCAAACGCAACAGTCCTCCTCCGCCACAGCCTATCAAATGGTCTGCTCATAAAATCTTGTTTCCCTGTTCGCTGTATGATCACGAAGCGAAGGTTCCCCTGCCCATCGAAATGTTTCCTGTTCTGTTTGATAAGATCATTATAAAATTGGAACATAACATTTCTGTTTTTTCTTCACTTGAGGGACGGTTTTAGCTTGGTCATGAAAAGAATAATACCTTAGTCAACGTATATCTTAACAGCTTATGATTTATTACGAGATAAATTGTTTATCCGCAAAACTACATGGATGTAGTTTGGAAGTTAATTTCACCCACATGAAATAATTTCTTATCAACAGAGTCGAGCCAAGATGCCCAATCGGCATGCATCCGATTGACAAAGACGCGGTAAGTAACAAAACATGAGAAAACGGATGCCACATCCATATTTTGAGTCAACCGGTCTTTTTATGGGAAACTCTGCTTGCTTTTTTTTTTCTATTAAGAGCTTTCAAAGGAGCAATTAGAAAATTAGACCTTTTTTACGATTGTATTGTAATATAAATCTTAAGTTTCCAATGTTCCGGGCTAAGATCAATTTTAGCCGGACCGATCGTCCTGAGCAGTAAAGAACTTAGACGTCCGCTGACAGAGTACTTCATAATAGCATATAATTTCACTAACAACATTTTTCTCCTCTTTTTTTTTAGTCATATGTGGACAAAGCGTTCCATAAGGAAATTTTAGCGCTTGATGTCAAATGCAACAATCACGAATGGGGCTGCAAATGGGAAGGCGAGTTTGAAACTGTTCAGGTAATATGAACTATTTGGTTTCCAAGAATGATTTTCTATTCTTAATCTCGAGGAAATTTAATTTACAATGATCAGTCAAAACCGATATAACAAAGAATTAAGATCCTCTCTTGACCCAGTCATTCTGTAGGGATCTGACAAGAATTATCAGAAAAATACCATTCCATTTTGAAATCCCTCAAAACACTTAGTTGATGCAGGAGCCCATTAAGAGGTTGAAGTGACGATACTCTCCCCTTGAGGTAAATTCACTAAATATAAAGCATACAAAAGTATTTCCGCACACCTTTGCATTTGTTTTTAAAAAGCCGCTCTATCAGGGTTTTGTTAAAATAATACACTGCGAGTTTCAATAACGTCGAGTCTTTTTTCTTTTGTATTTGTAGAAACATGCTGCTGAGTGCGATTTTGTGGAAATGTTGTGTTCGTACGAGTGCGGAGCAAAATTTCAAAAACGATTTTTCCAGAAGCATGTAGACAGAGACTGTCCAAAGAAGATAATTGTCTGTCCTTACTGTGATGACAGACATCTTAGGGAGGAAAGAAAGGTTGGCTTATTATCCAGGTTATTTGAAAACTGAGAGGTAAACCGAGTCGAGGAAATTGAGATATCTCCTACTTCATCGGTTTTTCAAATCTGCACGTCAGGTTAAGTTACATATATTGAGTTGGGTTTTAAGTGCTTTCAGTAACTGTAGTTCGATTTTTCCCACAGAAATTCCCTATAGAGCACTCGAATTATACTGTCAAAGTGCCACAGTGATAAATGAAGCAGTGCAAAGAATTGTGACGAAAAAAGGGAAAGAACGTTGCGGTTCCAAATCTGACTCTTTTTCTTTGCTATTCATTGTGTCACTTTTATCCAACAAAACGCCAGAAAAAACTATATACAAAGCCGATAGACTATTTTGATGACTTAGTACTTTCCTCGCATACAGTAATGTTTTGAGAATTGACTTCCCCTCTCGTCACCTTTTGACTCAATGCTAAGCTCTCTTGAATGTATTACCTGTTTTAGATGCATATGGAGGATTGCCCGAAGCTTCCAATGCCGTGTCCCAACAAATGCGAAAAGAAACTGGTTATCACAAGGGATCAGGTGAGGGGTACATGCAAGGGCGAAGATTTATATAGTTGTTACTGTTGTTGTTAAAATGGTGGAAACGATGACGGCAATATCACTGAAGACAATCGCAATAAAAACAAAAACGTCGAAGATGATGTTAATGAAGACGATAATAATTGCGATAAGAATTTGATGGAAACAATAAGGAGACTGGAATGAACATAATAAGGACGAGGATATAAATCATGTTGAAGCAAGAAAAATCAGAATTGTTTTCTCTCGGTTGAAGGTATCGACAATGACGTTTTAAAAAGAGACAGGTTGTCTTCCCAGAAAACAACTAACATTACTTTTTTAAATATGAAGTTCTTATGCTCATGTGATAATTTACGTTGCAGCTAGATTATCACGTCGGCGAGGAGTGTCCCAAGACAAAAATGACCTGTGAATACGAAGACATTGGCTGCGTTCACAGAGTAAGTGCAATCCTAAAACTGCAGGTTCATAAAAAAAATCGAACCATGCTCTCTTTAAGTGGTCGAAGTATTTATTTCTTGCAGTGCAACCGAGAAAAACTACCCAAACACCACAAAAGTGAGCTGATCAATCACGTAAGAATGCTCCATGGCGTTGTCATGGACCAGAAAAGAGAACTTCTGGAATCCAAAGTCCTTCTTAAAGAACAAATGGACACAATCAGCCAACAGCAAAAGCGCATCGAGGACCTGGAACGCATTACTAACAGCCAGTTGATCTGGAGGATCGACGACTATCACCGGAAGTTAAAATCGGCAAAGAGCGGAGAGTTGGACACAATATTTAGTCCAGAGTTCTACACGAGTAGGAATGGATACCGACTAATGGCTTCCGCTTGTTTGAACGGAGACGGCAAAGGGAAGGGAACGCATTTATCTGTGTTTATTAGCGTTGTTCAAGGTAAGTTGGTAACGTACGATATACGTGGGCCTCAAACAAGAACGATCTTCAGAAAAGGCTATTGAAATAGGTCAAGATTGGCTGAGGTCGCGTCTTTACAAAGTTTACAACTAAAGGAGCAATATATGTTATATTCGTCAGTCACCAGTGATAAAGGTTCATGTTGACAAAGGATGGTACGCGTTTCCATTCCGATAACAATTATAAGACGTCTTAAATAAACGAAGATATTTTTCAAGGAATGATATAGGAATACTTGGAGGAAGAAAACTCAGAGTGCTCCCAAATGGAGTCGACCTACGACCTTTTTATTAGTACTTCGGACCCTCTACCACTGAGCTAAAGGAGGCTCGTGGCAGGCTAGGCTGTTTAGAAGTGTTCGCTCTAAAAAGGGAAATAATTATTTTTGATACTTTTATTTGTTGTATTTTATAGGAATATACGATTCGCTGTTAAAGTGGCCATACAACTACCGCACCACGTTCTATCTATTGGATCAGAACAAAGACCTTTCCAAACGGAAACACATTATGTTTTCAGTTAAACCAAATGTGTGTCCTGAAAACGAGCCGTTTCTTGGCAGGCCCAGGACCAACAAAAATCCTAGCTTCGGTTCTGGAAAATTTGCTGCACACGAAGACATGGAGAAAGGAGAGTACATCAAAGATAACACAATGTTCATCAAGGTTGTTGTGGAATGCGACGGAATGAGTGAACCTTGATGATATGATCAGGAAAGGCTGGGTTGCCGGGACAAACACCCATGAATCTCTAAGAACGAGACGTGAGAAAGCTAAAGAAATTCAAGGCGACTTCCACGCATGCTTTTCCGCTCCTCAGTCTCTTCTACTACCGCTATAACCAGTGTATGAGCATAAACACAGTAGTCAGAATAACTGCTTTATATATTCAGTCATGATTACTCGGATAGACCATAAACGATCACCTCGAACTAAAATTTAATATTACTTCGAACCCTCTTCCACTCTATTTACTCCATCCATTTCTTACGTTTACCAGTCTTAACATTTTTTAAGTTTGAGTTGTATTAATGAATTCTCACGGGAAGATCAGATGTCTTATATGGCTTAGTCCCAAGCCTGCAAACATCTTTCTTTTGACATTAGCCATGCTTTACGTTTTGCAGATTTTGTTTTGTTTACACTAAATTTCCAAGAGAGCTTTCTTGAGCCCCATGACTGTCTCACCTGCAAAACAACTAATAATTCAAGGGATAAGTATGTACATATACTCCTGTAATACATGTTCTGAGAAAACTTTCAACCTCAGGTGGTCAATATTTAGATATACTCAGGCTACATTTGTTCTCAATAGCCATCAATTATTGATCAGATCTCCAAAGCGAGTAAAAAGCAAGTAGATGTCCATGAATTGTATAATTATAAACCTTCAGTAATGGCTGAGCTACCACAGCATGAGCTTAAGTTTCGGAAACTAAGAGAAGAAATCTTTTTTCTCCCCGCTTCCCATCGGCGGGAGTTATGTATCTGAGAAAAACCTTCATGTATGCCCTACTTACTCTATGTATTTGTCCTGAGGCATCCGACATGAAGCGTGCATTACTGTTACGATGTTAATAGCTGAAAGATGATAATACTTTTGCTCAGCTCCATTTGCTCATTATCACGATGACCTGGCAATTAAAATTTCTCGAACTTGATAAGACAGTGAGCTTTCATTTCTTCTCTGAGTAATGAAGCAGGTGAAACACGTATACCACTCTGAAAATTATAATTACTGCTTCGGCAATCAATTCTTAAAAACACATGGGGGAAAAATATCAGATATTCAAATGATATTACAACATCCAATTAGTTATAGAGAGCAACTATCATGACCGAAACTTGTTAAGCTGTAGTCCTGCTTAGAAATCCTCTCTCATTCAAGGGACGTCATACAACTGATTAGTGGTACTCCATGCAGAGCTATCAAAGTGTTAGTTCATCTCTGTTTAATAATGAAATTAACAGAGCACAATTCGCACTTTATGTAAATGCTTTCATCCGATCCTGCTTGCCACGTTATATTACATACTTTTTTTTTTTTTATCCCAAAAATGAACAATGACAAGAATGAGAAATTATAAACTAAATCAAGGAATGCAACCATAATACCAAAACTCTCTTGTTGGTTACCGTGACGACAGTGTTCGAATTTTGCATTACAAAATGGTAAGTATGAGAAATACCTTCCAGATAACAAAGCAGAAAATAAGTGAGCGTTCCTTCCCTTCGACCTTGAACCTGGTGACGCGTTTATTTATATCATGACGCTGTAGTTGTCATGAGGATTTCCTTTATTGATTTTAAAAGTGATTTAAGATGGGAAGATTTTGAAATTTTTTTAATAAGTTTCTCTATTATTAGCTGTTCTATTTTTAATCTTTTAGAAATCTTTGAAAATAATGTTTTCTGTTAAATTGTCTTGGTGATGCCGTGGAGAACGAGATTCAACCGGCGCTGAATAAGATAAAATTGACAACATTACCTCTTATCATTTCTATGTATGAAGGTTTTGTAGCTGTAGATTGCAAAATCACTTTCAGTATTTCATTGTAAAAACCAAAATTATTGCGAGTGAAAGTTCGCTCTCGGTTTATTTTGTTAAGCATGACAACAAATACATAATCATCTTTAAACCTTCGGCCTGATTCGTTGAGTTGCAAACGTTTTGAAGTGGCAGGTGAAAAGAACATGGTACGCCTGCTGTGATTGGTCAGTCGTGGAACCTTACTGAAGGCAGGTGCTGTATTGCGGTAAAATTGGTTTTTATAAGTTGCGTTCGCGGCTTCTTTCGTGTGGATAGCTTTCGATAAAAAGCTACGATCTTTGAAGTTGTTTAACAGGATGCCTGACATCGGATCAAGCCAAACTGTTCAAGAATCACCACACTTAAACGGAAACGTTTCTCAAAATGGAGAGAAATACCCCGACAAAGAGGTATCTGATAGACGAAGTCGTTTAACTAAGAGCATTACTTCTTCCGCTCCGGGAAATTATGCAGAACATAGATGAGGTTTACACCGATCATTTAGTGTGATCTAAGAGTCTATCTTAATTCTTGCTGGCACGCTAATTTTTTTGGCTTTGTCAGTGCACTAAGATTATGATTCTTAGCTTGGACCGCAGAAAACATCTCCCCAAATTTACATTGGAGTGGAAAACATCACGTAAATTTTGCACTCTGTTAGGAATAAAATACAGCGGGTAGTAAGTTAAAATAGGGTCGAGCAAGGTCATTTTGCGATAAAATTTCGACATAACTTAGAAGATATTGCGTTAAATTTTCTCGAAGAACAGTACCGAGTTTCTGCTGACAATGTGTTATGGCCTTTACACACACAGCACTTCCTTGCGTAGCTGTGGAATTTTTAAAAATCCTCAAGATGAGGTGGTCTAGTTTGATCACACATTTTAAGGAAAGGGGAGTTGTAAGAGTCAGTAATTTGTGTGTCCTCACGTTTAGAATTCCATTCCTCCTGGTAAACTGTCAGAAGAAAGGCTAATTAATGCTATCGATACTCAGTATTATGTGAATTGCTGGCTGAGTGTAAGTGCTAGCTGGCTGATGGATATAGTTATACTACTGTGGAACAATGGTGAATAATAAGCACTGTTTTTAGCTGAATTTCACCGCTAAACTGACGGGAAGCGGAGCACAATCTTTATTCTGACATTTTTGCTGAGGTATTAGTTTCAAAAATCGGCGTGTTCGGTAAAATTCGTACAAACAAACTACTAAGTTTCAAATTGAACGGTAGACCTGAACTGTCAGCATACATAGAGGGATTTGATGGATGGAATTGTGAAAATGTTTCGGAGCGAAATCACTTCATGTTCACCAACGGTATCGAAAATTGTAAAGTTTCAATGTCGAAGCTTTTGAAAGTCGGCTGTTTTTTAATCTTCAAGTTTTTATGTTTTCAGAGAGGAAAAAACTATCACTGTAAAGTTTCCTTAATGGTCTTTATTGAACACGAACCTAGTAAAAATATTTTGAATGTTGGGCGAAAACAATAAAGATGTATATCGGATGAACTCAACTCAGTCACGAAGAAGTTTACGATAGACGTAAAAATGTGCGTAATTTTAATTTATAAACAAATCACCTCAAAAGACCACCAGAAGAAAAATTATTTTTCAATACATTTCATATGCATTTTCTAATGATGCACAAGATCATTGGCCGTTTTTGTTTCGTTTATTTTTTTGGTTTTTCGGAAATTTATTATCACCGCAAACTGTGAAGTTAGAAACAAACGTATGAAACATGAGTTCATTCGTTTTCTATAATTTACTTTTGTTGTTATATCATAGTTTTCGTTATTAACTGCCTCCGCGATGAATAATTGTATATCCCACTTTGTGGCTCATTCCGTTTTCCGCCAGTGGATGTTAGTTTCCTGAAAGAATCAAAACTTATTGAACCTATAGTTTATCAAAAAAAAATTATAAAAATGTTCTCGCTTAGGAAACTATCGTGATCTGACAATTCAAATCCAAGTGACAAAGGTTTGAGTATGGCGTCAGTGAAGATATTAAATTGAAGCGAAAAATGGAAGTAGTCGATCGAGGTCTGACGTTGCTTGCAAAACACCTTTGTTGATTGACGCCTGAAAGCAACTGTCGACTTTCAGCCAATGATATCATTTCATTGCATAACATTCTATTCAATAATTTATCATACCTGATAGAATTGACTAGCAAAACCTTGAAGTTATTTTGAACGAACACACTTCATCTATCTTTATACAAAGGCGTCTGGTATATCACACGAAATGTTTACGCTCGTTTTCATCGTCGTTTAAAATTTAACGATTTGTTTTCATTTACCGCAGCGTCATGAACATGACTCAAACATGGCTGAAATTGTCTTGATCTTTGAATGTTAGGAAAGTAACATGACCGGAGGAAGTCACAGTCCGACTGGAAGTGCGAAGTCTCGGGGAAGCAGTCGTGGAAGCCCTGCTCCAAGCCAGTTAGAGCGGGAGAAGTTTGATCTGTCACTATTTGTGTATCCTTTGGAAGAGAAGTATCAGTGTCCAATTTGCGGGGATGTTCTCCGTTATCCAGTTCAATTTATAAGGGAGTGCGGACATCGCGTTTGTTGCAAGTGTTTCGACGAACTAAAAAGGTGGGTCGTTAAGATACAATTTTGACGCGCTATTGTTTTATCTTCGTGAAATAAAGATGCACATTTTCAGTTTCTGCAGTTATTAGTTTCAACCGCATTCTAAATTCATCATTGCTGCGACGAATTAATTTAACTACGCGTTTTCATATCGATTTTCAAGCCGCTTTGCTGATTGAATTTACTTGGCGAAAATTAAAGTTTCCATTTTTAGCTTTCACTTAGTAACCGCGATCGCTTCCATTTTGACAAAATTAAAAATGCAAGGATTTTGCAAAAAGCAGTTTGGTCTATTTACGTTAAATTTTCAGAGCGTGTTAAATTTTGCAAAATAATTTATTCTAATATTAGCAATTTTAGCCTCTTATTATTTGAAAATGATTTCGTATCGCGAAAAGTCGTGAAACGATACAGCCGCGCGAAATGAAAATCTTACACGTTCGTTATTTTAACTCAATTGTGAATTAATGTAATTCAAAGTACTTACGTAAAGGAAAAACCAATGCTAAATTGCTTTCGCGTTACATTCTAATTATAACCCTCATTTCTCGGACAAGAGGGGTATAGAGGCATTCTTAATAGAATAAATGCGAAGACTTAGAAGTAATTTTCGTTTAGTGTAATACGTAACTGAGTAATGAATTTCATCTGTTCAACTCTCAGGCGCTCGATAAACAAACACAACTTAAATTCGTGCAATTGGGGGTCCATTTTACGCCTTTAAAACGGATCGTTCAATTTCTTTCTTTCTCCCTTTTAACCATCCAATTTTACGGTATGAATTCAATGATGTTTTTTCGCTTCCCCTTTTACAGGGTCGAACCGCGGTGCCCGGTGGATCAAACACCAATCAGCAAAGATGATGTACGTGAAACATTAAACTTGAATGTCTTTTTAAATATTAAGTCAGTAGCAGGAATATCTTATTCCCTGCAAGTTGCAGTTTGCATATTCACTTTTTAATCTGTTTGTATACAACTTCAAAATCAAGGTTCTCCATCCAACTAATTTGATTTGAAATCTGAATGAAATGGGAAATCAGGATGCGATCAAAAACAGATGTTTTTTTATTTATATTCATATTGAGGTCTTGGGAAAATAAATACTTGTTGTTGACTGTCTTCAAAGCTGGACATCTCCACAGGTTTTCCCCACCAACTCCAAACAAACACTTTGAAAAAAAAACGTGATTGAACAATTGACTGGGTCTAACTGGCACGTGAATCAAACTGATATGCGATTGTATCGTTCATCCTTACTTTCATAAATGAAAGTGATTCCGACCTCATCTGAGGTCAATGCGTAATTACCTGAGTTGAAAATCACTCTGTGGAGTTATGTTACGAGCAATTTAAGGATGGATAAAATAGAGCACCAGCCTTAATTGCAACTGAGTGAAAGTCATCGCTATGCAAAGATTTGTTAGTTTCTCTGTGCAGCGCAAAAATAAGCAATGTGTCTACCATGTTCTTTACTTCTATTTTTTTGCCAAAAAACAAAATGCTAGTTGTAATGACTGTACTGAAGTTTTAGCTTCAAATAATAAGAAACATATAGAAAAAATATATCAAAGCACTCTTAACATGCAGTGATCGATAATACACAGGGTTTTGTTTGAGGATGTAGTGGTAAAAGAGTAGGAACAGGGGAATTTTCTCCGCGTGAGAATAGAAAATGGCGCAAGCCATCAAGTTTGCCAGAGAATTCTGGGAAATAGAGCCAGATAATTCTCCCCTGAATAATCATCATTCAATTTCATGGTTACACAAACTTTTTTTATTGCTTTTTAAAGTCTCTTTTTTACTCTAAACCCTTTTTTACTTTAAAATCCTTTCGTGTTTTGTTCAAAGGCTACAGAGTGATGTTTATTTTACTTTCATTTGACAGGCCTACCTTGACAAGGCTTTTCACAACGAGATCTTAGCACTTGACGTAAAGTGCAAGAACAATGAATGGGGATGCAAATGGGAAGGAGAATTTCAGAATTATCAGGTAAGTAGCCGGCCATTATTGCCTTCCTTTCTTCTCTTGATTAAAAAATGTATTTCATATTTAAAAATAGTTTCTATCGCAAATAATTATTGAGGAACAAGACTTTAACAGTCATGTTGTGGGATTGTTTTGCTCAGAATCGACTGATATTGAAGCTGTCGGATGAAGTTTATATCACTTGCTATCTTAGACAGTGATTTGTTGGCTTTTCTCGCTCTTGTGGTTTTTTACATCCACGGATTTTTAAACTACTCTCGCCATTCGTTGTCATAATGTGTTTAATATAAACAGTATACTTCCTAAGTGACAATATTGTCTAAGTGTTGCTGAGATCGCGATAATAGAACTCCTTATCTTTCCTTGGATTAAAAACAACGCAAAAGATCTGCAACAAATGTCAGTCCCTCGTTTGAAAAAACAATTAAGAATAAACAGAGATTCTGCTATATCTAAAGGGATACCGAGCAGTTTTTTTCGAAAGCAAATCAGATGGATTAATTTCCTGTAGAAACTATCCACCAAAGTTAAGCCTCTGGACGTAACACAAATTGAGAGGGCCTCGATGATTTGAATAAAAACTTGGATATGAATCATCACAAACAATAGAAACACCTGTGCACTGCAAAATATCCCGCGTAGAATTGAATTTCATCCTTATTTATGCTTTTCCTATTTTATTGTTTCGAATTTCTAAATTACTCGTTGTTTACTCAGAATGCTGAGGACCGCCATGAACACGACAATAACTGAACTAACTTAAATCCTTAACAACACTCGGGAGGGAAAAAGAAAATATTTTGAAACCAAGAGACGGTGACCAACGTTTTTTCCGCTTTTCAAGGCTAAATATAGAAGGATTTTCATTAAAACACCGTTTTTGGTGTATTTTTAGCACAAAAGTAATTTCAAAGTTCCGGAGAACATATCGCACAAGAAAGTGGGTTTTCGCAGAATGAATTTTATCCTAAGTGTTCTGTGTTTACTTTCTTCCATCACTGTGTTAAATGATGTAAATTCAAGCGAGGTGTCGTTTCATGGGTGGTTCCCTATGGAAATCAGGAACACTTTTCACACCCTCAGCAGCTCGCACATCTAGCTTATTTTGGACAGATTTGGCTTTCTTTATCACTGTCATTGAGTCATTTCTTTCATAAGTCAAGCGAGGAACCATGCACACGAGGCGAGCGCGAGAGTAGGGGGTCGCTCACTCCTTAACCCCTTTGAGTTCGCCTCCGCGTGTGCGTTCGTTGAATCCCACGCTGTTCTTATTTTGTGAACGACGATACAGATTGATATAGAAGGTCTGTGACCAAACTACAATCATCTTCCCCTCCTCTCTGCAACACCAACTTATACTAATAGTTTTAAAATTATATTGCTGTTTGTGTTCACAGGATCACGTAAACTCGAATTGTGAATACGCGGAAATTCTCTGCATGAACGACTGTGGTGCAAAGTTCCAGAAGAGATTTTTGCAAAAACATCTGGACAAAGATTGCCCAAAGAAGATCATTGCTTGCCCATATTGCGATGATAGACATCTCAGAGAGGACAAAAAGGTAAAAATCAGGAGCATCTCCCTGTCATGTCTCAGGCTGGGCAAATTCAACAGCATAGTGACTTCATCAACATTTGTTATTTGTATTCGCAAATTTATGGCCTGACGAGAATCACACCTGGCCTATTTCTTCACTTATAGTACACAGTTTTAAGTATACCGAAAAAGTGGCCGCGAAATTAATCTTATCAGTGGCATAATTCCTAAAATACCCATACCCCACCTCAGTTACTATACAAATATTCCTAAAGACAAAAGCCCGAATGGATTACAGCAATGATGACGACAATAATGATGACATCGATGACAACAACATACTTTTAATTGGCCACTCTCTCAATGGATCAGTCACATATTACATATTTCTCCTACTTTATTTGTTTGGCGCTTGTTTAGGCACATCTGGCAGACGAATGTCCCAAACTACCTCTTCCATGTCCAAACAAATGTGACAAAAAGCTGGAGATTCCTCGAGATGAGGTACGAGTTTGGAGGCGTTTACAGTATTAGGTTTTTCATGATAGATGCCGCCAAGCAAAAGCATCCTCATAAGTTCTGGTTGTTAATACTCATCACTCCCATTAAGAATCGGGAATTTTTTGGGAAACCAAAAGATATTATCTTAGTGGGTTTCACTGAGTTAAAGTTGAGTTGTATTTAGGAGATGTGTTTCTGGTCATGGGTTCTAGTGCTTCGAGTTCAGATATAAGAGTTATCTTCGAATAGAGACGTTGAGCCGTCTTCTTTTCCTTGGTCTGATAAGATTAAAGGTTTTCTCAATTGTTAAATAATACTTCGTTATACTAGATGAATCATGGTTTAAGTTAGAACGATTGATTTCAATTCTAGTTCAAACTGTAAACATATCGTTGAACCTGAATTCTTTCACAAACAGCTGGATCAGCACATCGAAGAAGTTTGTCCGAAGACAAAGATGATGTGTGAATTTGAGTACATCGGCTGCACACACAGGGTATGTCTTTCAGCAATTGCATCCTGCCTCATAATCAGGTCCATATTGATCAGTTTTCTAATATGTTTGTGTCAAGGGAGGCCTGCAAACGATGTAAATGGACTCAGAAAATTAGGGACTCATGGTGGAACCCTCGCTGCTTGCCACGTGTTCCAGTGCCCGTAACAAAACACATTCTGAGTTCCTTTACTTTCGGAAAGTATAATTTAGTTATCATACGTTACTTTCTCGAATGTACTAATCAGTGGTAACTCTGAAGGTTTTCAAAAAAAATTAGAGATTGTAATTCCTCCACATACTATGAGGAGGTAATGTAAGATGACTTGATCTTTTCTGTAACAGTGCAGCAGAGAGAAAATGCCTAAGCACTACAAAAGCAACATGATCGAGCATGTTAAAGCAGTCTTTACGAAGATCCAAGAGCTAGATGAAACACTGGGAAAACACGAAAACACCCTTAAGGAGCAGGCTGACCTCATTAAAGCACAGGACAAGCGTGTAGGAGATCTGGAGAAAATTGCAAACAGCCAACTCATTTGGCGAATCGAGGACTACACGCGGAAGCTAAAGGAAGCCAAGGCCGGAAATGGAGACACACTGTTTAGTCCTACTTTTACGACCAGCAAGCATGGATACCGCTTATGTGCATCAGTTTGCTTGAACGGCGATGGAAAGGGAAAGGGAACGCACATGTCTGTATTCATCAGCGTGTTGAGAGGTAAGGAACCATAAAAAGCTCAGATGAAGAAAATGATAGAACTGTTCTCTTTATCAACTGATATGAAGGAAGTTTTACGTAATGAATTTGCCACCTGACAATACTAATCCTTTTTTGAGAAATGCCACTTTTCGGATGGTTTCATTGTATTGGAACAATAGTCAAGAATTAGTCAAGAGTCAAGAATTAGAGAATTCAGGCTCGAGATCTATTTGTCTTCACTCTGAAAATACCCCTAACCCTTTGGTGTTTCATCGATTTCTGTTGCAGGCGCTTTTGACAGTTTGTTGAAGTGGCCTTTCGACTACAGGGTATCATTTTACCTTCTTGATCAGAACGAAGATCACGCACAGCGAAAACACATCAAATTCAGCATCAAACCAAACCCGTGTCCAGAGAATGAACCGTTCCTTGGTCGACCCAAGCTTGAAAAGAATGCTAGTTTTGGAGGAGCAAAGTTCGCTAAACACGATGAGATTGAAACCCGTAACTACATCAAGGAGGATACTATATACATCAAGATTTCAGTAGATTGCGACGGGTTGAGTGAGCCGTAAGATAAAAAATTGTGTACTAAGAACTTAAAGAGTAGTACAACTTTAATTACCAGTGCACCTTTCAAGGCTCTAAACAGTTAATCGCAGGTCGATGTGCACGCAACTATTGAATCACTCGCAAGCACGCATGTACACTGAACTGAGAAAGTGTCGGGCGGGTAAAAATGGAAGGTTTTTCGCAATAAAAGTATAATCACACCTTAATGTCCACTTAAGGTCGTCCCTCAGAGGAGGTTTGATTGTACATCAAAATTATTTCGCTGATATCTCAAAGTCGCAAAACGCCGAGAGGTTTGTATTATAAATTAGGGGGGATTTCCTTAGAAAATCAGAACGTGGTGCCTATAAAGAGGAATTTTTTAGATTTGAAATACATGATGTTATTCTTGCTATTTAAGAATTTTATTTACGCGGCAGTTTTTAGGACTGATTAGCTTTTTTATGCGCGAGATGCCTTCTATATTTGAGTTCTCGTTGTGAATATATCTTACGATCATAAAAAAAACATTCTTTCTCTAGAGCAAGAAGGTGATTCCCAGGAAAGTTTAACCGATGAGGTTGCGATCCCAATAAAAATAATTATAATAGAATTTATCTAATTTATGGCATCGAGTGTTACTCCGCCGCTCTAAGTGTGTTAAAATGAAGATGTTATGTTGCAACAACAATTCCGTCACATAAGGGGAAAATGGAATTTCCATTTTAAAACTGGTTAGTTAGCAGAATATGAGGTGACGGAGGATTGTCGTTGTTAGATACACATTTCCATTTCTTTCTCTCTTTTGCATGGGCTTTAAATGAAAATAAACCCTGATTTTGAGCACTTTAGATTAATTTGTCAAGATGAAAGAAATCATCCCGCACAACAGCCTTGTCTTCGTAGCTTAGCTTTTCGTCTGAGATTACGCTCCAATATGTTCGATTACCGATTACGCAATCGTGGTTCATTTGCACGGCGAGCAGCCGTTCGTGTATTGTAGTGAAACAGTTAAACGTGGAACAATTACTTATATAATACGAAAATAAACGTGATTTTTAATGTACAATTAATTGCAAGCGAAGTAGAAATCAATTAAGAACAGCAAAGTACTTTTCCTGTGTATGTTTAACTTTACGCTACGTACTTGTAAATAAAAAGAAACGTTGGAATTTAAATCTTGATGTTTTTCTAAACTTGTACTGAAGTCATATATGGCTACCATCTGTGATCTACACACCTTCAAGCGATTTCCGCCGAATCAACTAGACTTCAGACGCTGATTAAAATGTCCGTGATTTGTAAAAACCGTTTAAGACTTGAATTCATTGAAATCTCGAATTCATTGAAATCTTGAATTCATTTAGTCAACTGTTCATGATAGCGAAAGTTGGCAGTTTGTATCGGAAATTAGCTCCTATTCGTATCATCGGGTTCTATGTAAAAGTAAAGTGTCCTTAGGACGTGACGTCTGTAGTCATCACATAAAACCTGAGCTCTTAGTTCCTCGTGCTATTGATAATATTTTAAGATTTAGTGTAAGCAGTCAACTCTCGCCTGACGGACTCCGATTTTCGTTATTATTGACACTATTTTGGAGCCTCGAGGTCATTTGCATAGATGGAGTTGATAACTGAACTTTCCAAGGAAGATCTCAGTTGAAGTCGGTGTCCTCGTTTGGGGAAGAATAACTTACTGTAATTACTAATATCAATATCGTCATCATCCTCATTTTCATTCTCGTCATTTTCAACATCACTAGTGTTATTACTATCTATATCATTATACCTGTCATCATTTATGACAGGAATGACAGTTAGGGCTATTTGCCCTCCATCCATCTATATCAAGTTTCAGTATTACGAAGTGGGACAAGCATTATTACAAACGCTACTGCTTATTTCATTTCAAAGTACGATGGTCTGTTATCACAAAGTGCGACAACTAATTTCATCGCAAAGTAAGAGCTTTTTTAAGGCCTGGCCAAACGCACACGACATTTAAACGCAACATCTTGCTACATTGTTGGATCGTGTTGTAAGATGCTGTGAAGGAGCGCAATATCATGCAACGTCCAAAATGGTTGCAACGAAGTTTGACCATTTTCAAACTTGGTCAAGCACCGTCCAACATCTTGTAACATGTTGCTATGGGATGGTCAAACATGTGCAACACGTAGCGCGCCACAACGTTGTAAGATGCTATGTTGAAATGTTGCGTGTGTTTGATTTGACAGGGCCTTTATGACAAATTGCGATAAGAGGTATTACAAAGTGCGACTGGTATGACAAGGTGCAGTAATTGTATTTAATTACTTTTTATTATTATTATTATTAAAAACTGCGACTGAACATCGTGACGTGTGAGAATATGGAACAACAGCTTGGATGGAGGAAGGAGTCAGTTTTCCTTCTAACATATTCATGGCTGAGTAACTAGTGAGTGCCAGGTAGAGCATTTGTAGCATAGAGTAATGCTTGAGGGAGTCAGTCCGACTTCGAGTATTATCAGGGTTATTAATTTTTCGCTATTGGTGCGTGGGGAAAATTTCTTTAATGCGCAAGCCATTTACAAATTTTCTCCTGAGGTTTTGAATTAAGCAATACAACTCTAGGCATATTTTTGTGATAGTTCCAACGACAGGAATGTAACAAGATGTGGTATTGCGGCTAAGTTAACAGTTTTTCTGTTAAGATAACAAATTTTGTCGATGAAAACTCGCCAATTGCATGTTCAAGATGTCTTGTTTATCAGTGCAAAAATGACAAAAATTGCCAAAGAAACTTTCCAGGGAAGTCTTAGTTGTGTGGAATTCGTTAAGCCGCGTTTGTTAATAGTCTGGACTAAAACGTACCATCGATATCACCTTCAAACAATTTCATCTTACCATAATTAATTCTTCACTTGTCCATCTTCGAAGTTGTCGATTGGACGGAGAAAGTCCATCTTTCTGTGTTTGTCTTTCACTGTTATCTTTGAAAAGTTTGGAGTCATCGACAACTTCGGAATGTGGAAACTCTTTGTGGTAATGCTGCCGTCTTGTGCAGCGCCTGCAGCTTGTGCAGCCGCATTTTGGCGGGGTTCTCTGATGAACTCGGAGCCCATGCTTCTCACGGCCAAATACCGTAGAAAATCCTAAATGAGTGGGAATGAGTGGTACAATTTGCATTTTTTTACATCTGTCTAGTTGTCAAGTACACTGTTTTCCTGAATTTTTTAGATATAAACATGAAAAAAATTATTAATTATTTCTAAAATTCGTAGATCATCAAAATCTTTCGGCTTATAAATTTTTTTTAAGATAAGAATCTCTTGATTTGTTTCTGCATCTAGTTTCAGTTTCTTTTAGAGCTGTAAAGTGACAAGAAGAAAGGAATTAGAATTTTCGAACTATCATAATGAAAGCGGACCAGCTATTTGCATGTTAGTTGGTAAAATTTAATTTAAAACTTGGACTACAATAGGTTTGTTAAGTTTCAGCTTCTTTTCGAGAGGTTAAGAGACAAGAACAAAGGAATTAGATACTCGAACCATTATAATGAAAGCGGACAAGCCATTTGCATGTTAATTGGTAAAATTCAATTTAAAACTTGGACTAAAATATGTTTATTTGCGTGCAGTTTAATGAAAAGGTGTTTTCTTGCCAGACAGTCGCGTGATAATCATCGAAAGGGTGATTCACGACGCTACAAATCATATGATTCTACCTTATCACGCGACATGCGTGTGTGCTCGCTGTGAGAGCCTTGAAAAAAAGCTTGATTTGTTTAAATTGTGGCACAATTACAACACTGCAATACTTCCCAAGAACTTACATTACACTACATTATGACGTGAAGAAAAAGGAAAGGAAAAATGATATCTATGAGAAAATATAAGGGGTCCTTACAACACAAAATAAGCAAGAAAATTAATTTAAAAAAAGGGGGTGGTTCTAATGCCTTAAATCATTCTTAACAGTGTTTAGAGACTATTTTGAGAATATTAAGCCTTTAATACATAAGATTAGTTTACACTAGTTTTGCTAGGTGCTCGATGAAAATAGTCAAAATAAAGGCGAGCAGCGCACTTCACGGCCACCTGCCATGCACGCTAAGATAACTGATTATACATGTCACGTCACTTGCGCATGGGGAAGTGGCGCTGTTTTGTCATGAAGTTTGAGAAGACATTAGTTTGACATATGACGTGCATGAGGGTGCATTTGCTGGACAATGTTCTGGAATTTAACATAGAGAAACCAAACATTGGGAATTTTGAAGCTAATTTTAAGGAATATATAAGAATGTCTTTGTAGGTAATATGCAGCATAAAACAGTTCTTCTTACGGTTAAGAGAATATAGAATGTAGCTTATATTCTCTTGGTACGGTTATGGGTGTTAGGAGTAAAAATTGCACCTTTCGGTCGAGAATAGGGAGCGTTCAAAAACGTTGGAGGTTTCCACCCGCTTTTTGTGGAGATCAAGAGTTACGCCCGATGCGAGATGAGTGGAACTCGACTGAAGAATAATATTCGCGTTTGAAAAGAAGTGTCCTCGTACTGCACGGACACAACTGAAGCTAAAATTACTGACATGAGTTAGAAACACATCTACAAGATAACATGTTCGCCATAGCGATCACGAGCGTTTGGTATGTTCGTTTGTTTAGGCAGAGTGACTGAACCGGCTCGGTCAGGAGCCCAATCGATGGGCTTCTGACAGGGTAAAGTACAAAAGTTTGCTATTTTGTTTTTTATTTTTACTGGTAGAAAAATTCGGGCTGCACAAAAACAAAAAAGTAGTGAAAGGATAACATGTGATCAGTGGTACCTTACCGCTGTGCGTCTTTTGTCATTTGAAAAGAAAATTGCTGAAAAGACCAGTTAGAGTGACAGTGGATAGGATCAGTTTATTCCAGGCAGGTTCATGGTAAATAAGGGATTTTCCTTTTAAAGTTTTAAATGTTCCTCTTCATTCCTTCTGCATTATTTAGCTGCAAATTGGTGTTAAACACTTTATCTAGACCCATACGGAAAGTGCGACAGGGAGAAAAAAACAAAAACAAAAAAACGCGCGTTTGAAACGAGAGGGAGATTGTAAAAATTCAAAATTCTTATGATTACAGGTCAAAAGATGGAGCATAACTACTCCAGTTTAAAAAGCTAAAAAAAGCAGTTTTTGTTCATTTTTCTCTTCTGTAAACAGTGCCTGGATAAAAAAAAGCTTGCTAGAAAATTGCGCAACTTATTTTTTCGCCACCATAACTCAGCACATTGTCTAATGGGCTTTATCTTGCTAAAAGCCACAAGTTTTGTATCAAGTGACAAATTAATTTAAGGATGTTAAAAAATTGCATTTACACTTGCGTCATCAAACCAAAATTTGTTGATGGAAAAATTGTATTGCTCATTTCACAAAAGGTAAAATGTCATATTTAAGATTTTAATCAGGAAATCGGGTTTATTTTCTTCAAAATGACATATGCCTGATTGAAAATTGTCTAATTCTTATGAGTTTCTCATCCAATATTTGTCATTATGTGCTTTTCTGACTAAGGAGTCTGACAAAATCAGTTCGAAATTTTTGAACGCAAGCAACATTGCTCGGAAATGATTCATAGCGGGGAATTTATTAGACAAAGTCGAGGACTCAATGGAATGTTGAAATATTTCCCAATTTTTGTCAACTCAACAGCGGATATACATTGAATTCGTCCAAATTCGTCGATGACTACTTGAGGTAAGTCTAGGAGGTGCCGGCTCGAATTGTTTCCGGACATCTAAACAACAACAACTTGCGGTGAAGTGAAAATTACGCAGGATATCTAAACCAAGAACCGGTGCATTGTTTTATGATCACTTTGGTTTCCTCGTTAAAACCACGAGCTCTTTATTCAATATTTTACAATGAACAGGTGTTTTTTCTTCACCAGAAGAACGATGCTTTTGATGAGAGACGCATGACAATAGTTAATGGATGTTTAGCAGAAAGTATAATGAACATTTTTCCCTCTGGAGTGACAGGTTGATAAAATTTAGCATAGAAACACGCTTTCTTTGTGTTTACTGAAGACTTAATAGTTTCGTGTTGACAATGACAAATTATTTTGAGCTTTCTAGTTTCCGTAGACGATTCATAGCCCCTCAAACAACGCAGAAATGTCCAGAAATGTTCGTCGTAAAAGCACCCACATGTGTGTACACAAAAAATTGTATTTATCTTAAAGGGACACTAATCCCAACCGGAAACATAGTTTTATCCCAAATAGCCTGTCATGTAAATATTACACCCCAGCTCTGTCACGTTTTTGATGTGACGCTATTGTTCTGGGCATGCCCAGTCAAGACATGTAAGCAAAATGTATTCAAACAACAAAAACTTCTCGCAGGTCAGTCACAAAGTACAGCCGTGATGTGAGCAGGTAGCATTGGAACAGATGAGAGCAACAACTCTATTCTCCTTGCAGTGAAAGTATAAGAGGATCTTCTTCAAGACTATGCCGGGGTACCGCGCGTATTTTGTCCCGGCGGTGAGAGAAAATTTATTATGCCGCATATGTCATCTTCCAGTTCGAAACGCCGTTCAAGTGTCCGTTTGTGGACACAGATTTTGCGATTCTTGTCTTAATGGAGCCTTCAGTAACACGAGGTAAGCTACTGTATTGTTGTTCCTCTTGATCGTTTATAGATTGATATTGTAAACTTATAATCTTAAGCTGGTTAACTTCTTTTGAGAGAAAGAAATCTGGTGGATTTCAATTCGCACTTGAGATGAGATCTTGTGAAACCAGTAAAGTGACAGAAGAGAATTTATTTCTCGACGACTTCTGGGATTTATATGGACGATCGGCTAAATCTCAACTAATTCGTTGTTGCAAAGATTAATGCTCCCTTCTGTCGGGTCTTCTGTTGCATTGTTTGGCGAATTATGTATTACGCGTGAACCGAATTTTTGAATAAAAATTTGATAGAATGTGCAAATATTTTTACAAGCAATTTCATGACACTCGGTATTCACAGTGGGGGTTTCTATTAAAACCTGCAAGCTTATTTTTTCCAATTGCGTTCGCACTATCTTTCATTTGTTAGCTGGTATATGATCGCAAAAATTACAACGTTGTTAGTATAAATTTATCTCGGTGATATTTGGCTTTTTGAACCAATTCTGACACTGATCGTCGGCGAAGTTGAAGTCTCTCAGCTGCGATCGATATACAAAGGGCCTATTCAGCACAGAAGATTAAATCGTAAACACTCATTGTGTAGAGTATTTCGAAACAGGAACCAAAAATTAGCGATTTTTTCCTTCAAAAGTCCTTAGGTGTACTAGGGAATAGTTGGCAACCTGATTTGTAACGGTGGCGTTTGTTTTGTTCATTTAGGTGATCTCGAAAGGCTTTTAGTTTCATTCATTTCGAGCTAATTTGAATTTTCCCACGATTCTGTATATTGTCCTAAATATCCATAATTGTTTCAAAGTTTTGTAAATAGTCGTATGTTTCTGGAATATTTTTGACATCAAAGCAACAACGTAGTTGTCTTTCATGAAGCATTTTGGGAAAAAGTAGAATTTTGGTTGTGTTTAGGACGGATCACGGGAAGGACTGTCTCACAAAATTTTGTACGCGGTAGGATCGATCCTGTCTAGTTTACAATGAACAGAGGTTGAGGAACTTTCGAATAACGAATATATTTTTCTGACAATGTAAACAGTATATGTTGTTATGGTGCTTCTTACAATTAAGAAGAATTTCCTTTCGAGCTATTGAGCCTGTCGTAAACAAAAAAAAGTCGAGAGATGTTTATCTTTATGAATCAATTTTACTCCATAGTTTACATTCCACTCAGTTGGTCTGTTGGCAATTTTTCTATTTTCATCAAGTTCGGATTAGAAATTTGCAATGTGTCTTCGAAGGTGTGATTTGTATCAAACTCCTGCCCAGGAAATTACGTGTTTCTTTCCTTGACGCGGAAATTTCATCTTTCCGATCTCGGTAATTGGAACCCAAAATCAAACCAACCATTAAGCTTTCCTGATCAATTCAAAAAGTGAGCCAGACTTTTATTTTCGGTCGATAGGCAGCTTCAGTCAAATTACTCAATCGTGAGATGGAGATAAAAAGAGTATTGAGATCAGTAACAGCAACGATGACAATTACATGTAAATTACACCAGCCGCTCTAAGGAATTGTGGTTTTTGAGCCAAGGAATATTGTACATAAAAGATTGAATTCTCTCCGTTCGGGCGGAAGAAGACAATAATATCTTGCATCCATGAGGCATTTCACACCCTTTCCTAAATTAAAAGGTAAATTTTAATTAGTGGCAAGAAAGCATCAATACTCTGGAGTGTTTGCCGAAAGAAATACAATTTTTTCATATTTTATTGAGGTGTTGATCTTCATAGCTAAGTACTGCTCGGAAACAGTTGCGTGACAATGAGTGAAACTGACATAAAATGACTGGACTCGTGACAAGTTTACAATTTGTGGTGTTGTTTGCAATATTGCTTTGACAGAATTCTCTGCAGAACTAATGGTTGAGTCAACACCAATTCTTTCTTCCAGTCTATGAACGTCATGTCCAGAAACTCAACACAATTCAACGCACGCAAGCGTTTTTACTGAGTAAACGAACTAATGCCTGGAAGTAAACAACAAAAACGCACCGGAATTGAAATTTTTACTTTGCGTGCCTCAGTTCCACGGTATCTCATGTTGCGTGAGAAATCATATCGCGAAACTGCATTATCAATTTATCCGGGTCGTGAGAGCTGTGACCTTGGTTTTTTCGTTGCGTGATCTATTGTTATGCCTGAAAAACTGGGCTTTTAAGAAGAACAATCAAGCAGGGCATAACGAGCAAAATTTTTGCTTCGCTTTGATCAGATACAGTTCTGTTTACTCAATAGTTTACTTTTTGATGATGCCAACTCAAGTGCTCTTTTCACAAATAATGTCATTTGCATGAAAAGTGGACGTATCCAGTCTTACCAAATTTGATCGCGACGTATCTTTCCTGTCGATGGTTGGATTAGGGTAAAAATGCGGTAGGTTGTAGTAGTGAGGTCATTCAAGAAGAAAAAAATTGTTTATACAGAAAAGGAATTTAACTTCTGTAGTTGTTTGCCAAAGAGTCAGCAAACAACTTATTAAAATCCTCATTGTTTTTCACTATGCCTTGAAAGAAGAAATTTCAAATCGGTGTTCAATATTTAGGATCGCGATAAAGTAATTTAGCCCCAATATTGTCAACGCTGATGTTTGCCATTTAGTACCGTAACATTATGCTGTCCGGGCCGGATAAATTATGCATAAGACACAAGGGCTTGAGGGATCGTAATATTTGTAATGGCTAAAAATATATTTTCCACTCATCTTTTTGTTATGCCATTTGGTTAGTGATACCAGATATGGTAATTTACGCAAACTGGCCCTTCTTAAAGTGATTAACAAGAATTATTAAAAGAAGCCTTTCGCGGTTGCATTAAACCTTTGAATATTGTCGCGATTGAACATATTTCAGATCGAAAAAGCATATACTAGGCCACTCTTTTTTCCGCTTCTCCTTGTTTGTCTCCCTTTTCTCCTTTTCAGTTTTCAACTTTAACATTCATACTATGACATATTATTGTCAACATTTTCCACGGAAGTGCTAACATTCTCGCGGAAAAGAATTGTCAAACTTAATTTTTGTTGCCCTTTGTTGCGGTCGCTCGCGTATCACGTTGCATACAATGAGACCTTGCGGCAGCAAGTAAGCCCATTAGTACGCTCATTCTGTTCACGAGGAAAAGTATTGCGCTTTTCTTCTTGTATTTTAAGTATTCATAATTAATGGTGACGCCCAATTTCCTTTTGTCAAGTGGAAAATGATACCCATTTTAGTAGGTCAGTTTCGACGCGATTGAAATGAGCTGTCAATTCCATATTACCGCGTCTAGTGATACGGTTGTTTGCTAAAGCGGTTCAACAAATCGACAAATTCTCGCCGATAATTGCAAACGAATTGCTTATTTTTCTATTCTGCCGGTAAAGCAAATGAAATGCCGCGACTTTACATTTGGATTGATCCACCTTCTAGGCAAGCAGCCCGACTGAGATGTCCCGTGGACAGTTCAAGTATCGATTTATCTCAGGTAAGAATTTTGTTTGTTGGTGATACATCAACTTGAACCTCTTCGCTACACCTTCAACAAAAGGGTTCCTGGCGCTCATCCATCGCGCGTTTAAATGCTAGAATTGAGTGCGGCGACGAGGGAAGGCAATTAGTAAATTTTGTCAATAGACTACACCGCCTAGCTTAAAGCAATAAGAAACTTAAAGGAAAAACTCTGTTGGAACATTCACAGCTAGACACTGTGTCTGTTTCACTAAGGACTTTTCAATTGCGCGTGTTTTTTTTTGTTCCAAAATAGTACACACACGGGGTGAAAACACGATCATAAAGCGCAGAATTTGCGAACAACAATAGACGCCGGAATTTCCACCAGTGACAATTCCAGTGTTTAAAGAACTCTTTTACCGCCGCGCCAACTGTTTAAATACATTTCGGTGCAAATACAGAAAACAAGAGAAATGCAAATGTGGAATTTAGTTCAAAGGTTAGCGCCACTAAGTATAATCATAAAGACAAATTTTATACAAATTTCAAGGATGCTGTTTTTATTCCCACGCCATTTCACGGCTTCCTTATTCTTTTGTGGTATTTATCTCCGGAGGCACATTTGTGGGATGACGTGAAACCGCCGGCGCAGAATTTACACGAGACACCCACTTTAAATACAGTCGCGTACAAATCAAAAGTTATTGTGCTTTTTGTTATCCTATCATAAGCGAGGGATTAAACGGAGTAAATTCGGATCTAACATCTGTAGATAAAAAAAGTGAAAATTGATCATGACCTCGTAACGACTTGACCATTTAGGCGTTACCAACCGTGTTGCTTTGCAATGAGGTATTTGTCACGTAGGCTTAAACAGCAGTTTTATTCGAAACGCATCATGTAATAAAAATGCATTTTAAGAACCCTATGTTACGAACATTTCCGTTTCTATGATCTAACTGTTGCTATTTATGCCCATTGCGTGACAGATTTACGCAGATGATGTGACGAATCAGATGATATTTTCACTGAATGTTGTGTGTGACCACTATCAACTTGGCTGTAAGTGGAAGGGACAGTTAAAGAAACTTGAGGTAATATTCCCTAAATTAAAACCGCTTTTGTTTTTTTTTAACTCAACATTTTGGTGCAGTTTCTACTTGTGACGTAACTGTTCTCGCTACGCTATGAATCAGCTTTAGACCAACACTAGTTAAGATTACGTTACCATTTTCTGTCGCGATGTAGGATCACATGGCCAATTGCAAGTACGCGCAAGTAGATTGCATTGCGGGTTGTGGTCAGAAAGTTCAGCGGAGGAAGATCACCGAACATGTGAAAAAAGATTGTATAAAGAGATGGGTAAAGTGTCCCCGCTGTAAAAAGGAAACAACGTTTGAGAATCTACAGGTAAGTGTTGTGTCTAGTAGCTGTTCAGCAATATCGTAGATAAGGTGAGCCCACCATATCTAATAAATTCCACGCTTCTAACCGCGTTCCTTGGGGTGCGCACGCATTTCGACCTTTCTTTCCGTGTGGGAAAAAAGATGTTTTATGTTCGATTAGTTTTTCTTGTCGGCAGCGGCCTTCATATCTCATACCTTTCCCCATTATCCCTCCCTAGGGCCTCCTAGGCAATCCTGGCGCCCCTCCTCTCCAACCATGGATCTCCCCCCCTCTCCACTCAACCTGAAGACCTTGGGTGCAAATGTATTAAAACCACTTATTCCCTTAGAGCCATAACTGTCCTGCCGCCCGTCGGAACCCGGACCAGGAGATAGTGACATGCAGTAATGGATGTGGGGTCCGACTAAAACGACACGAAATGCCGCATCACTTGAGAAATGATTGCTTACACCGATGGGTCTACTGCGAAAACTGCTCTGTAGAAATCGTCTTCAAAGACAAACAGGTTGGTATTACTTCTCGTCTTTGATTTGTCCAAAAGAAGGCCGCATTCTTCTCTCAACCAATCAGATACAAAACTATGATCTATTGCGACTTGGTCACTCGTATTTTCCCGCGCTTCAAGTAGCTTGCGTTTTCTTTTCCAGAAAAATTGTAAAAAGCCGTGTGCCGTTATCTAAACATGTATGCAAATTTTAGCATGATTATTTTGACAAAGCAACTTACTTTCATTTCAGGAACACTTAAGACGTTGTCGACGCTCTGATTCCCAAACTGAAGAACCAGGAATAACAAGAGGAGGCAAACGACAGAGCATGCCTCACTCAGTGCGCTTCGATCCACGTGGCCTGCGCAGCGGTAATCGAAGCAACAGCACCTCGCAAGAAGCCCTGAATTCCAGTCCCCCTGCACCCATGCGCTCTGCCTCGTTTCCAGCTTTCCTCAATTACGTCGGTCGCGAGGAGATCCCAAGCGAGGTGGTCTACCGTGGGTCAGAACGAAGCAGGTCTCGCACAACGAGCCAAATCGACATCGAAAGAGAATCTGACATTTTTACATGCACTTGTGGTCAGAGAATATCACGTGGTCAAATCACGAGTCACATGTCAGAGGAGTGTCCGAGGAGATTGACCAAATGTCAGTATTGTCGTGCGCAAGTCAAGTTTGAAGACATGCAGGTAGGTAGCTCTATTTGATATTATTCATACACATATTCATCATATCATCTCGCCAAAAGTGATATGTCAACTTTCCTTTGGTTATAGTTGTCTTTGTTGCTGTACGATGGTGAATTATGACTTTTAATCTCTGAGACCCCTTCGAGGAATCGAACGTCAGTCTTTCGGATTTCGTGGTCTGATGCACCACCTCTGAACTATAGAGAATTCTGTTGTGATCTAGAAGACTGTACAGTAGTTCAATTCTTATGTGACAAGGGTCCTACACGCTTCTAGAATCAGCAAGATATCCATGTTCTAGATTTCCTCCCATAGTCTGATTTTTACGCGGAACACCGATTGATCCTCTGTAATGGGAAAGTTGTTATACGATCATAATTAAACGAGGATGTCGTCCTAGCAATGTTTTGGCCTTTCTTAACCACCAGTTGCTAAATATTCTAACAACTTATCTATGTTTGGCTAGTTGAAATTTCTGTTTATGATACATCAAGGTTGTCTTGTGTCTTTCCCAACAGAGCCATCTTCAAGTGTGTCCTCACTTCCCCTTGAGTTGCCCAAATAGTTGTGGTGTGTCACAGATTCCACGAGAAGAGGTGAGAACTGCGGACTAACTACACCATATACCTGTAGGAACCGCTCAGTTCCCATTATATCCATTCCGAGAGAAGACAACGTAACGTTTTAGCCCAACGCTGTTTACTTCCCACTAATTCGAGACACCTTGGTTCAAGGGACAGAACATGTGGCCCAAACTGAAAAAAGGCTCCTAGAGCCTTTGTATCTGTGAACCCCTCTGTGCAGGGTCCTAGTTCTAGGTGTTCCTCAAATGGAAGTTCCACTACATAATCAGTTGCAATGGCTAGCCCTCTCACGCCCAGAGGTGACCATTAAGTACTTTCTCCTTACGATATCAACACATTATCAACCGGGGAGGTGTGATGAGAAGAAAGAAATGTATCAAAAGGGATACTTTTTTATTTAACACTAGATTATCCGAACTACAAGTAAAAGAAATATTTTGAAGATCGACAGAGAGGGGAATTGATATCATGAACAAGGGTTAATGATGTACTAGTTGACCTGTTGCTTTCTTAATTATACTATGGAATAAAAGTCTCTTAACACTGTGAATTTTATGAAGTATCCTAATCAATTGTTCACCGTTTTATCCAAGGTGGATCGCCATCTTACCCACGAATGTCGCTCAAATCTCATTCATTGTCCTTTTAAGCATGTTGGCTGTCAACATCAAGTAAGTATTGACTTATCTCTCGAGATACTAAAGAACTCATTCGCATTCGATATCCACTCAGATTGTCTCGACCTAACTTCTTATACCTTTGTCAATTGTGTGTCTTGTGTCGGGTGGGAAATCCAACCTCACAGAGACGGAAAAAAACATATCTAATTTATATGTTTTTTTTCTTTCAGTGTCCACAACGAAGCCTCACACAGCATCTAGAAGACGGCATGAAAAAACATCTTGAGCTCGTTTCACAGCTTGCTCTTGATCAAAGAAAGGAAATTGACCAATTGCGCGAAATTGTCAAACATTGTAAGCCTTTCACCGATAGTAAACTCTATTGGAGGATCGACGACTTTTGGAACAAATTTGAGGACGCCAAGCACAAAACAAACGTAGAGTTGCACAGCCCTCCTTTTTACACAAGTCCTTATGGGTACAAGTTCAAAATCGTGGTGTTCCCGTACGGAAATGGTAGCGGGGAAGGGTCGCATCTTTCACTCTATGTTCGTCTTCTCCCGGGAGAATACGACACGCTCTTGAAGTGGCCGTTTGAGGGCGAAATCACTTTGTCGCTTTTGGATCAAAACAGGGACTCTACCAGGGGCCAAAGAAATATTAGCCAATCGTTTAGCCCGGATCCTAACTGGAAGAGCTTTCAGAGACCTGGTAAGAATGGTGCCACACTCGGCTTCGGTTACCCACAATTCGTTTCTCATCGAGGCTTGGAATCTACGAGTTACGTCAAAGAAGACTGCTTGTTTATCAAAGCGACTATCGACTGCAAATATTCTGCTGATTTATAACTCATAACAAAAAAAATATCAAAGAAGTCTATAAATTTTCATTGCATACGATCAATTTTATGGCAAAAATTCTTACTTCAAGAAAGTGGACACATTTTTAATACAAACAATCTACAATATCTCATTGCTCAAATTGTTTCTGTAGATTAGATAATGAAAATAGTGTTACGTTTAGACTAGAATAGTAGAACATATTATATTTTACCATTATGATCTGTCACTCCAAAATCTGTTTTTTCTTTGTTTGTATGCGAAATGGTGATAAAAATGTTTAAGAAGACTGAACTATCATATTCAAACCAAGATTTACGCTTGCGTCCGCAAAAATAGATCCGCTGTATATAGAGATTTGAACTTCGTGGGCGTGTGTGTTTTTTTAAATGATTCCTTGCTTTGAGTCGAGACCAGCAGCGAACAAAGGACACTACAGTTTTGAGTCCTCGTTTTAGGAATCACTTGAGATCGTTATCATTTAACAGAAGCGTTGTGTAGCCTGTTTATGATAAAACACGCGCGAGTATTGGAAAGCACTTTTACAGGTGTCCAGTTCGCATGTTGCCTTACGTAGGGCAGAAGCACTTTCGATAACAATTGTGGTTTAGGTTATAAGAAAGCCTTTCGCTCTATTAAAGTAAGCAAATGTTAATGCCAGTAAGGTTTTTTCTATAAAACTTTTGAAAACCCATCATGAACAAAGCTTTCTCCGATTTTGCAGTGCATCTTCGTGGAAGCGACAAAGCATTCGTGATTGTCAGTACTCCCTATAAATCTTGTTTTCAGGCGCTATGCTTCACTCTAACGTTGAACTGTAACTGACCATAACGTCATACGAACGGCCGTAAAGTATTTTCAGTAAGATTTCAAGATCCAAGTATGAATTCTTCTCATCAACAGTAATTGTGTTATTCAAAGTCAAAGGGCGAATTACACGTCAATCCTTGGGGTTAACTTTTCATTGTGACAGCTGTTTGAGAAAGTTCATTGCACATCTTCTTTTATATTACTCTTGTCCTAATGCTTCCTTAGATTGATGTTATTGATCATAGATATTTAATAATTAAAACGATGTTTGCATACTGCTGTGCGGGAAAATAACTCTGTCCAACAAGGACGTAGCAATAAAATACAGAATTTAAAGCATTCTTAATGATTGATATATTTGTCACTGGTGTAGCTTTACTTTGCATCTTAGCCGCGCCATCCTTTTTAATCGTTTGACCCTTACGAGTGACTGGCAACAAATTTCTCCTTAAATTATCGCCCCTGAATTACAAGGGTCACCAGAACAAAGGAAATGATCAGCAACTAGAGAAATTCTTGATTGCTAAAGACATTCTCCTCGTTAGCAACTTGGGAAATGTATAAGGTAAGGTATGTTGGGGTTTAAACGTTTTAAACCAATCGTAACCTGGTCACTTGCGTTTTCCTGCGCTTCGGGAAGTTCGTTTGCAAGTGGAACTGCCCTTTCATTTGCCATGAACGAGGCCTTCCAAGGGTGAAGAAGAGTAAGGATAATGCCCTTAAAAAAGCCCTATTTGAAGTCCGAACTTTTGGAAAGCTTGTTAGTCTGTGTAGCCTTCCCTCTTTGTATAGGGCGTAGCCCCCATGGTTGGTCGTTACTCACTAGGTACACTTTCACTACACCACACCTTAGGCTTCTGGTACAGGTTGTCATCTGTCATGACCCTTTGACCCCTTGGAATGACTGGCGTTTAATTTCTCCTAACAATATCACTAAATTACACATGAAGGTCAGGAGAATAAAGGAAATAATCACCAACTTAAAAAAGCTGTTGATTGTTTTATAAACTCTCCTTATCAGCACGTTATGAAATGTAGGAAGAGCAGTAGGGAGAATGTACATACTGACGTTAGGGTAAAAAGGGTTAATAAGTTTGTGCGACTTTTTTATGATTGCATGTCAAAGCAAGTATTTTACCTCTTTCTTATCCAGTCATAAATACGTCCAATACTCAGAAAGAAGTGATTTGATTCTTGACTTATTTCTTTAATCTTGTGTACCCTTGTAGTCCGTGAAAAGTTCAGTAAGGTACATAAATAAACTATATATGGAAAACGTTATCAAATCTAGTTTATAAATAATCTTCCGATTTGGTAAATTTACTTAGGGCGTTCAACAGATATGAACGGAGGCTTTAAAGGGTTTCAACCCAAATTATTCTCATACGCAGCAAAACTTTTAACTAGCTTGCAATCACAGTTAGACCCTTTGTATCGCAGAAGCGATCAACACGTCATTTCCCCTTGCAAAACTGACATTTTCTCTTAGATAATTAACAAGAAAATGAATGGCAGCCAGAAAGGAGAAATACAAATCAGATCATCAGATTTGAAGGGTTTTGAGGGTACCAAAAAAAGATTACATATGTTAAGTTCACGAAGATAAAGTCTAAAGGGCATTGACCAGCTCACAAACCTCATTAGAAAGTCAAGCGACCACAGTAATCTTAAACGAACTTTTCGGAGGTTTAAGAAAAAAAATTAAAATATACCCTACGATAGTAAACCATGAAACATTTTTGCAGTGTTTTCAGCACAAGTTGAATCGTTTTTTACACAGGGCGACTCAACATTTTGATTACCTATTGAATAACATATAAATGTATCAACCCGAAGGAGCATTTTAGTAGTTAAGTCACTTTCAATTTAATCTCTGATAAGTTTCTTTAAAACTTTCTTTTCCTCGGTTTAAATTTTGAGGAGTGAAAACGACGTGAACGTCACGTTTAACTGGAAGGAAATCAGGGCGTTACATAAGGAGGCTCCTTAAGTCACCCCATTGAAGTGATTAACTGCAAGCATAAACCACCTAACTAAAAATCCTCAACTTGAAACTCCTTCCTACAAAACACGTTAACTAGGCATTGACTTTCTCTTATCAAGGGAGAGACCATCCGTGAGAAATGTTTCCGGCGGCGTTTTCTATCACAACTTGCTACGATCTCTGATAATAGGAAGTTGACGACACTCCTTCCACCATGAAATTCGTTCCTTGTTCTCTGGTTTTTGCATAATCGCAGCATGCAAGTTTTCATGAGCCTGGGGAAGAGAGAGTGAATCATTAGTTTCAAATGGTGTAAAAATAACTCGGACCAGACGGTCTGACGCTTTTCGTGGGCCGAAGTTCCAACTAAATTTCACAACCATCTCACTTTTGCTAAGAGTGGTATTTAAGTAAATAAATAAAAATTAGTCAAGATCAAAATGACCTACCTTTCCATTACTGTGACCAATGGGTGAGTTAAGAATAAAATCCGGTGGGGCTAAGGCATCCACCAGGGCTACAGCTTCGTTCTTCAACTGAGTACAAACACAAAAATACCTGAATTATCCCAAAATCCTATTGCACCATTTGTTTCATTCCACTTACACTATGATACATGCACGATGTACAATGAAGTTAATGCTGGTTATAAGCTGTGGAACCAAGTCTCCTACAACAAAAGTCACTTCTCTGTAAAGGGATGGAAAACAATTCTCACCATTTTTCCTAGCAAATGGAAGCATCTAACATCTCACTGCATATATCAAACTTTGCTCACTGGATCATGAGTGGTTCTGGACTTGGATCAAAGCTTGAAAACCCTTTTGACTCAAGTTTTAAAAATCTTAGATTCTAATGTGGAAGGGAGAGAGTCTCAATTCCTTTACGAAACTCTCCCTTGCCTCATTGTGCTTTAAGGATACCCCCATTTAAGCATGACATACATATAATGAATAATGTGGAAAATGTTTGCCGCCACATTTCAGGGAAGGCTGACAAAAGCAAATAGCTTACCTCACAACAAAGAGTAAGTATGGCTGCTCTCACAATTCTGGCATCATTCACTGAGCAACAAAAGCCACCTACAGTAAATAAACAAAGAATACCTTATTTCCACTTCAGAGCCCTTTTCAATAGAGTTTCAACATCCTGGAGAAAAGTTCCCTTAAGTGCAGTATCACTATATACAGTACACAACTTTGCACAAAGAGTCAGCAGCCTAGCTTTCTTTATGGTAGCCTCACCTTGGTATAGAGTAGTGAGATGTGTCTCTAAAGAGGACAAGCCATATAGTGAACAAAGTCTGAGAAGAACTGGTTTAAGAGCTTGTGGAATTTCATCCTCATTGAAAATTGCTTCCTTGAATCTCTTCAAAATTGTACACTGAAATGAAAAGTAATTAGCTGGCTAGCCATTGTTACCAAAAAGGATAAAAGTGTTTGTGGTGAACACCATAAGAGGCACCATAATCCAAGGTTTTCATACCAGAGGGATACTGTTCACAATTATCCAAAATAACCTTATAATATAAGAACTCAACTGCTTGAGATTCCCATCCCCTAATTTCAAAACTTTTAAAATTGTATGAGCTGACAATGAATAATAAGTTACTTAACCCTAAAACCCCTAAGAATGACTAGCGTCTAATTTCTCCTTACAATATCACCACTGAATCACACATCAAAGTCATGAGAATAAAGGAAATGATCACCAACTAATGGAGCTTTTGATTTTTGACGAAATTCTCTGTGTCAGCACCTTAGGAAATGTATAGAGAACAGTATGGAGAATATATATATCGATGTTAGGGTTTAAAAGTTAAACAAATAGTAAAATGTGACAGAAGACAAACCTTACCTCAATGAAAGCAAGTGCCAATGACCTACAGTAAAATACTTGGCTGTCATTCTTAGCTGCAAAGGAGTCCTTTGATGAAACAAAGACAAATAGATTGTTAACTTCATGTTTCTGACAAGCTTATAAGGCTTAATTGAAAACTATTGCAAATTAATAAGTTTGAGTCTTATCCTTGCTGGAAAAAAGAAGCAAACATACAAGCAGAACAAAAGCAAAAAGACCCTGTGAATGGAACTGCAAAATCACTCATAATCATCAAATGAGGTACCTTTCCACTTGTAAGCTCTTGCTTAAACTTCTGGGCACTCTCTTTTAGTAGGTAACAAACAAGCCATTGGTATGCTCCAACAAGAACTGATCAGGAATAAATCATTTGAATAATGTGATCAACAAATCTCCTCTTGGAAAAAACAAGCCATTGGTATGCTCCAACAAGAACTGATCAGGAATAAATCATTTGAATAATGTGATCAGTATTCTCCATACTGTTCTATATACATTACCCAAGGTGCTGAACAAGAGAATTTGTTTAATGATCAACAGCTTCTTTAGTTGGTGATCATTTCCTTTATTCTCGTGACCTTAATGTGTGATTCAGGAGTGATGTTGTAAGGGAGAAATTAGATGCTAGCCACTGTTAGCAGTGAAAAGGTTAAGAACATTATTAACTCACTCAATCTACCAAAGGGGTTATTCTACACAACATGTCATTAACCTCTCTCTCCCAAAATCCAAGCATAACAGAATCTAATATTACCAAGACCATTACTTACAATCAGGGTTTCTACATTCTTGCTCAGTGCTTGCATGGAATTTATGTGTCATAATTTGTTCAATGTCATTTATGAAGTCAGCTGTGTGAAGGGGACTGGAAATATGGGAACCTGTGGATAAAAGCAATGTGTATTGTGAGGTTTTGTTTCACCTGTGTTCCAAATTTAATCTTTTTCAGTTTTACATCCTTATCACATTCTTGCACAATTCTTTCCTGGTCACTCATAGGAGTTCAAAGGTTGAGATATAACTCAAGAAAATTTCACTGCAGTTTACCTTTCTGTTTAGCATCCAGCTGGGATAAGAGATAACTACTTGTCTGCCACAGAAGCATGTTATTATCTCCTTCATAAGTGCAGTTGGGGTCATTATCATTTCTTAATTCACCTAACCTGTTGACTGAAAGAAAATAACTGATATGCAAAAGCAACTAATTCACAAGTAGTGCACCAAATGGCAAACTTTTCTCTCAGGAGTATAGCAATGTCATTCTTGTTTTTAGAATTGTAAAGACACGGCTAGTAAAACCTCTCTGTGCATGAATGACTCAAACTATCCAAGATTTCGTAGCATTTAAAATTGTCTAGCTTGTACAACCTAGAGTTATGGACAAAGCCTCACCTTATCAGAGAGGCCTTCCCTATAATTATGGTAGTTATAACATTTAATTGACCACTCCCCCAATGGGGCTATTTAGGGCCAATATGAACAAATTGTATATCAACAACGTACAAATTATATAGATTACGTAGAGTTTAAAAATCCCAACTGGCCGGAGGCAGACCAGTTGGCCACATGCAAGGTGCGGTCAGAAAGTTGAACTTAGGTAACAGAGAACAAATCCAGTAAGGTAAGCAGGGTAAAGGGCTTGAACCCTGAGACCAACGAATTACAAGTTCATCGCTCTAACCACTGGCCCTACTGTTTGTGTGTGTTAGGGAGTCAGCTTGATATTAGGGCTGTGAGTGAGGGCCTTAACCTGTAACATCCATTACCACTTAGCTAACAGAATGTTACAGGTGGAGATGTTAATGCTGTCATGTAACATTTGGGTACATATTACACCACCAGGGAAAGTATGCCCAATGCAACAGCAGCTTCAAAACTTAGTGACAGCCTTGGATATCATATTTAGATGGAAATCATGTCACTTAGATAACTCACTTGCAAGGTAACCATGGCCACCACAGGCCTCACGACATTCCTGAATAGTACTTTGTGCAATCCAACTGGCCAGAGGTTTGCTAGCAGATGACAAGGCATGGATCTCACGTCCTAAAGCAGCCTGAAACATATATGTCAAAATTATATTGAGTGATAAGCTAAGAGAATGTTATTCACAATTCTGTGGAGTATTTACCCAAACCTATTCCAACCATTTCATGTGATATGCTCAAAGAAATTGTAATTTAAGTTTTATACAATGTTATTAGCAAATTTTCCCTCAGAAATTAATATTGAGAATTAAAATTATGTTTCGGGTTGCAAAAGATTAAACCACATAATTTTAAGGCAGCAGGCTAATATTAAAAACCTCTACTTAAGAAACTCAATATGGTGGCCAATTTGTATCATCAACTCAGTTGATAAAATCAATGAAATTAACTCCAATGCAGCACCACAGTTTCTTTTACAATTACTCTCTTATGTATTTTCATGTACAGTTCTGTGGATTGTGAGTTTGTCGAAGAACATATCAGGAAAGGATTGTAATAGTTGCAATTGTGGTTTGATAAGGAATTAATTTACTTTTAAGACTATTGATGAATTTTTTTTGGCCTCTCTTTTCAAATCATCTGGTGTTTTTTAGCTAATTTAATTCATATTAACTTACTTGTGTTTCACCTGATTCTCCCATCATCATACCAACTTGTAGCTCAACAAAATTCATAAAGAAGGTCCTTGCAAAATAAGCTAAAGCATATGTTGCTGCTAACTTGGGAATCAGTCTCCATTGCTGGGAAGAAGTAAAAGTTAGACTTCATTTAGCGGAAGAGGGTTTTTGTGTTTTATGAAATGCATCTACCAGTAATACCAAAAATTGTAGCCTGGGAGGAGACATTTGGTAGTAATACTACAGCATGTGTATGTCTTTTCCAGTGAGAAAGTTCAAACACTTTTGTTGAAATACTCTTTATTTATATGTTTGGAAACAAAACTCTACCTTGGTTGAGGAGTGAAGGGGGGGGGAATGAAAAAATGGGGTAGATTAAGGGTATCAGGTATGCTATAATTTCTGAACAGCATGATTGCATTGCTAGTCTGCAAACCGTTTTTTACAAATTGCATTCTGCATAATCATAAAACTGAACTTTGTAAATTTTTGCACAAAGTTTAGTCAGCTATCAGACAGTACCTAAACTTTTAGTAAGTGATCTTCCGACAGAAAATACTCTAATAGTCCTTTGCTAACCTGCATTTGATATTCTAACACAGGAATTTCATCCTTTCCAGGTGGGCCAAACTGTTTTCTAACAGCAGAGTACCTGGGGTAGAATTGGAAGGATATAAGTTTCACCAAACTGTAAATCACTACATCTGCCTTGGTTTTGTATCACATACCACAAGTACAGGCATAATTATTTAAGGGCCTACCCCAACCCTGAAAAATGAGCTTCATGTAGATCATATTTCAGGCTAAATTAATTTGCAACATTCTGAGTAAATACTGGCTGGAGATGCCCAGTAAGAACAACTCAATATCATCATATTATATCTTTTAAAATAATGTTCAGACCTTTGATTTTTTAACATCTAGTTGATCTAAGCATTACTAGACAGATAACTGCATACTCCTACCTAATAGCAATAGGCATACACAGCCGCAAGTTGATCACAGCCATACTTGTTATCCCAACGCGCCCACCAGACAAAGCACCCAGTGCAGCGCCAAATCTTTTGTTTGGGTCTTTAAATGGTGTAACATACTTCCCTGCAGGTGTCACATCAGCTGTTCTGTTCAACAAGTGTTCCCGTGGAATACGAACATGGTTAAAAGACACAAACCTAAAATCAAACAAGCATGTTAACATCAGTTATTCTGACATTGGTCGATTCAAGTAATGAACAGAGATTCCAACTCCTGGATATTTTTGGTCTTGCACCTGATCTAGCCCCCCCCCCACCTCTTCCTTCATAAGACACTTGATTTGGCCTACCCTTTCAAAATGCCATCAAGGATGCCGACCCTCTCCTCTTGAACAAGAAGGCATGCCCTGATGGTACAGATTACCAGCCTGCAATTATCAACTTTGGCATGACCATCATAGAGGTCATGGAGGTCTGATCTTGTCAACCCTTTAACTCCCAATATCTGATTATTATTTCTTTCCTTTATTTCTTTCCTTGAGCTGCTACACAATTCTTCGTTAATTAGTTAAAGAATCTTGCACTAGATCAAGATAACACTTTCTACCAAATAAGTTTGAAAAATGTCATGACCGTTTGCTGGATATTGTATGGATAATATGGAGATAAGTTACATGTTAATCACTTGTGAGAGTTAAGGGTTAACTTACCCATTATCTAGTCCATTTTGACCCAGTTTCTCTCCAAGATCTCCTACAGTCACCCCAGGCATGGGTAAGAGATCTGTGGTGTTTCGTACTTGAATGACAAATGAGTGGAGTCCATGGCAGACTCCATCAGGGGTGTAAAGCTGTGCATAGACTATGGCATGGGTTGCAGTTCTACCCAAGTTGCCCACCCAACACTTTGTAGCTTCATAGTTGGGTGTATGGATCACAAACTCCTACATGTGAAAAAAGAAGAATAGCACCACATTTAGTTAATATGAAAATATTAAAAAAGAAGTGCTCCAAGCTGCAACTGTTGTGGTTACAAAAGGGAGGAAAAACAATTGAGGGACTAAATTTGTCACAAGAGTCACCAATTTTGCAAAATTGTGTTTGGCTGTCATGTTGTGAGCTCCAACTTTTTTATAATTTGGTGTTTGTGGCATACAGTTGAAAACAGGTGAATATTTGTGTAAAATGTCACATTACTACTAACTGCACAAAATCTCCTTTTAACTCTTTCTACCCCAACATCTGCATGCATATTCTCTGCACTGTTTTGTTCTTTAGCTTAAGCTTCATATGATCATTTTCTTTATTCTCATGTTCTTAATGTGTGGTTTGGGGGTGATTTTGTGAGGAAGGATTAGATGCCAGTCACTTTCAGGGGTGAAAAGGTTAAGTCTTTCACAGGTGACTGAAATTTTATCTCTGTTGACCACTAATATTTTTAGGTCACCAAATGGTGACTTTGTAAAGGGTTGAGCTTGGAGCCTTGATAAATATAAAATACTCCATGATATTTAGCATTATCATCTACTTTTTGTTGGTCAAGTTAGACTTTAGAGTAGTGGTTTTTGCAGAGTCAGGAAAACTGGTGAATGCAGAGAAAATCCTTTAGAAAGGACTGAAGCAAAGTAAACAACAAAATCAATTCACATGTGATGCCAGGTTTCCACATAGATATCAGTTTGTCACAGTGTAACAACTTGAGACAAATTTGTGAAATGGGTTCTTTGTTGGAAGCACAAGTGGTGCAGTATTGAGGACATTTACCTCCTGCTACTGAGTTTAGGAATAATATTTGTTTACTGAGAAGGCTAACCTGTGATGATGGATCATAAGTAGCTGTGGTTTGAACACCCTTAGTATTGCTTCCATGTGTTAACTCAGTCAGAGCAAAACAACCGAAGACCTGTGAACACAGGAGGAATGTAAACAAAGTCAGTTACTATCACTGTATTAACCAATGTATACCACAGGATAAGTTGAATAATACACATATTTTGATCAGTTCTTACTTATCACCTGTTGGAGGATAGATGGAAAGATGACGTCACCACTAAAAAAAAAAGCTTATTAAATGAAACAAATAGACTCCACTTTGCTGCATCTCGTGTAGCACTTTTTTTGTTCTTACCACATTTTGATGTTGTTTGTAAGCTACTACTGAACAGACAAACAGCAAAATGAAATCAATTTGTTAATTATGCACCCATGTATAATATATAGATTTAGCCAAGCCTAAAAGCGGAACTCGCACTTTATTTCTCGCACATCTCAAGGGCACAACACCTTGCCCCAGCCAGGACTAGAACCTCAGTCGTCCGACTTGGAGCCCAGTACACTGACCACTGGACTACTGAACAAAGCCGTGGCATTGGTGTGCCTGCAGTACAGTTGACCACACATGTTAAAAGTAGCATCTTGTATGGTTGTACAGTCGGACAGTCGTACGTCCAAATTTTTTTGGCTTGATGGGCTACTACTGTTTTGTATAATTATGGGGCTACACTCTGCAAGCTCCACTATTATGACTGCATCAATTATTGTTATTGTTATTCTGAAGTAACATAGGCAATTTTAAAGACCAACTCAAGAATCGGATATAATCAGCATAACATTATGAAAAAAATGTGAGAGCAATAACATCCTATGTCATGCCAACCTTCTCTGACTTACAGTTATTTAATTCAAAATGCTTAGAAAGATTTTTTTTACATACTTCAAACCTCATAGCTTTATCTGCAAGCTCTTGGATGTGTTCGTGTGTGCTTGATGTTCTAACTTGACGAGCAAACATCTGCATTGAGAAAATAAACGTTGTTTCATTACATTGAAATTCTTTGTAGGGAGGTGGAAAGATGTAATATGCTACTTTACTTACAGGGAGATGCGGTTGACATTCTTAACTAAAGCAAATGTTGTGAAGTTTGTGGGGAAAGAACTCTTATGTAATATATATACCCTTTATGAAAATGTTTGTGCAGGACATGTACTTTCAGAAAGCACGTCTTACCGTAGTGTTTAAAGTGAATTTTGTTGATAAACTCCAGTCGTACATTCCTAAGGCGTCACCAAATGCCTGAACCAAGAGTGGTGCTGCCATAATATCATCGTCTGTCAAAAAATTGTACTCCGCAATTCTCTTACATCGTTTCATTGTTACACGCCTGCGTTCGTCCATACTCAATTTCCAATCGTTGACACGGTCAAATAACGAGTCTTTCTCCATAGTTTTCCACATATTGTGCTGGAATCTGACTACATCTTCTCCCCCATCTAAAAACACTTTCATCTGAAACCAGTCGAAGGAAGCGTGCTCTCGATAACTATCCAACGGTCCTGGAGGAAAGTGTCCTACGACCTCATCTTTGTTTTCGCTGTGCGAAACAGGTTTCATCGAGAACTCTGACATTTAAACGAGATCTTGATGCACTCTGATGTAAAATAATTCCGTTCTGCACGATTGGAACAGACTCCCCTCTCTGGATTATCGTGACTTTGTGCAATGTCTTATTTTTGAGGTAACAGGTTGTTCGATCTCAAGATGGCCGTACAACCAGAAGGTCACTCAAGGGGAACACAACAGACAGAATTATATACGTAGTAGGGAGGGGTAAGTTCTCACGGACATGGCTGTCACTCATTTTGGGATATTTAGGCCAATATATCATAGAAGACGGCATTTCATGGATTATATACTAAATTTTTTAACTTCCTAATAAGCGCCAAGTAAAAAGCAGGGTACTGTTAATCAAAATGTATAATTGAATTTCTTTCACCCCTGTCATCCTATCCCTATTTTTATCATGAGGTGTCATTTTAGGGGTGTTGCTGGGGGTCATGTCATGTCAGGCTTCACGAAATACAGAAGACTTGTAAGGGTGGGGAGGTCAGGGAATGACTTGTCCATATAGGATGGAACTTCCTCTCCGTTTTTCGCTCAAGAAAGGTGAGCAGAAAATAACTAAGCACTATGTACGAGACAAGTGTTTTTTTTTCTCTTAATTGATCAATTTTTGGGTAAAAAAAAAATTTAGGGTATGTCACTAGCTCTCTGTACCCCCCTGCCAAATTTGTGTTCCAATCAGGTCCTATCTTTGTTCTGAAGGTTCAAAATGGCAGACGAGTTGAGATTCGATGGCCGTGTAGTTCTTGTAACAGGGGCAGGAGGAGGGCTCGGGAAGGAGTATGCACTCGCCTTCGCTTCCAGAGGCGCCTCGGTTGTTGTCAATGATCTTGGTGGAGACGCAAAGGGCGGAGGAAAAAGCAGTGCAGCGGCCGACAAGGTTGTTGAAGAGATCCGCTCTCGTGGAGGAAAAGCGGTAGCTGATTACAACTCCGTGGAAGACGGCGAAAAAGTTATACAAACGGCATTAGACGCATTTGGTCGGATTGATGTCCTCATCAACAACGCTGGGATTCTTAGAGATCGATCGTTCGGTCGCATAAGTGATGTCGATTGGGATCTCGTCCACCGTGTTCACCTCCGAGGATCGTTCAAAGTGACCCGAGCAGCTTGGCCTCATATGCGAAAACAGAAGTATGGTAAGATCATTATGACTTCCTCAACCTCTGGTGTGTTAGGGAATTTTGGTCAAGCGAACTACAGCGCAGCTAAAATGGGTCTTATTGGTCTAACTAACACATTGGCCATTGAAGGAGAAAAGTATAATGTGGTCTGTAATACTATTGTTCCAACTGCTGGATCAAGGTTGACTAAGGGACTACTGCCCCCTGATGTCTTTGACGCCCTTAAACCAGAGTATGTTGCTCCTTTTGTTGTGTATCTTTGCCATGAGAGCTGTCCAGAGAGTGGTGGTGTCTTTGAGATGGCTTCAGGTTGGGGGGCACAGTTAAGGTGGCAGGAGAGTTCAGGGGCAATGCTAAGAAAAGGTGGTGTTACTGTGACACCAGAGATGGTGAGAGACAACTGGGGTAAGATCACTGACTGGTCTGGTCCTGTGAAGCCAAAGTTAAGGGGTGATGCCATGACTGATCTGATCCCAATAATCCAAGAAGCTAACACAACAGTACCAGAAAGTGGAAAAACTTCAAGCAAATCACTGGAAATTCGAGAGTCACAGTGTACTTTTGAAGCCAAGGATGTGATCCTGTATGCACACGGGGTTGGGGTAACTGTGCAGGAAGACTCATCTCACCTTAAGTTTCTTTATGAGGGATGTGATGAGTTTTGCACCTTACCTACCTTTGGAGTAATTCCAGCTCAGGTGTGTCAAATCATTGAAGAGCTATTTTCAATTTTTGAGAGCAAAGTAATCTAAGATTGCACTGGTTTTGCATTACTATGCCTTCTGCTTGGTTAAGAAGAATTATATTATCTTTATAAGAAAACAGTTTATTTAATTTTTTTGTTTTTCCTTGGCAGTCAGCAATGAATAATGTTATTGTGAGAGCAGTGGAACAAGCTGGACTTCCTTTTAATCCAGCAAAGGTAAACTAAGTAAAATAAATGATCTATGACTTTCCAATGACATGCCCTGTCCTGGTAATAAACTCCCTTTCTTTTCACCACTTTGTAACCCCCTTCAGTTCTAGGCTCATCTATTTTTAACCTTTTCACTCCCAAGATCTTATTAGTAATTCTCCTTACTGACTGCTGTACAATTCTTATGATTTTAGTTCTGAGAATTTGTTACTGGATCAACTGATAATCCCCTATTTGATATTTCTCTTTATTCTTATCACTTGTCTGTTTGAAACTGTATGGATATTGTAGGGAGAAATTCTCTCTTGGTCACTCATGGGAGTTAAGGGTTAACATTAATCCCCATGCTTTAACATGTTGTCACTAAAAACTCAATCTAGAGTTAAATCTTTAGTTCATTTTATCACCCTTGTTCTCTTATAGCTCCTCCATGGGGAACAGTATCTGGAACTTTATAAACCCTTGCCTACTTCAGGAACCTTGACAAGCAAAGGAGAGGTTGCTGACATCCTCGACAAAGGGAAAGGAGCCATAGTGCTGGTGAACATCACTAGTTATGACAGCAGTGGTGAAGCAGTGTGTTTCAATCAATTCTCCATCTATATTGGTGGTGCTGGGGGGTTTGGAGGAAAAAAGCGCTCAGAGCATTCCAAGCCTCTCGTTACAATGCCAGCCCGTGCACCTGATGCCAGTGTCAGGGAGAAGACTGACGTTTCTGTAGCAGCAATTTATCGGTTGAGTGGTGATCTTAATCCAATACATATTGATCCAGATTTTGCCCAGTTAGGAGGTGGAGTGAAAGTTTTCTTTATTTTATGTTTCTTCCACATTGAATATGCAGTTCTTAAAAAAAAAATCAATTGTCAAGCTAATAAAAAATTCCTCACCAGCAACATGTATTGTCCCTGAGAGCAACTTAAAGGTTTCAATAACTTTTTCCATAAGCTGCTGTTAATGGTGCAGAAGTAGTGTGTGGAAAAGGGGCATAAGATGAAATCCAAACACAAGTGCCTGCTTGCAGGCTAAACAGATGGCAGTAAGAGGTCTTATAAGCAGTGGTAGACCACTGATAAATGGCTTTACCCTGGGCAGGGAACAGTTAGGCTAAGTTTAAAAAATTAACAACACTCAAACTTCTTGGGATTCTAAGATTCAGACTTTTATTCAAATGCTCAACCTCCCTGTGTAGAATTTACAAAGGTCTTGGACTTGAAGGATTGTTTGGGTTTGATCTCTTGAACATCAAAATTTACCATTTCTTGCATTGCATATTGAAAATTCATCAATTGTTTGTGACTGTTCACAGGTTTTTCCCACCCTATCCTTCACGGTCTTAGTACATTTGGTCATGCTGCTCGTCATGTGCTGAAGCAGTATGCAAACAATGATGTTAGCAAATTCAAGGCCATCAAAGCAAGGTTTTCTAAACCTGTTTTCCCTGGTCAGACACTGCAGACTGACATGTGGCGTGATGGCAACAGGATTTCATTTCAGTGCAAAGTGGTTGAAAACGGTAATGTGGTGCTGTCAGGGGCATATATTGACTTGAAGGATGTCGATGTTGCTGTAAAGAAAGTGCCGGTGAGTAACGTGCTCCGGTCTAGAACTTCTGTACCTAAAGAATATTTATGCTAAGAAATTTGGTTGTGAGTGGCTTGAGAGAAAATCGACAAGGAAGAATTTGACAATAAACAGAGCTACATAGACATGTATGCTTTTATAGACTTCCAGCAGCATAGAATCACACTTAATTAGTGGATCATAGTGTTTAATTTTGGTATTCATGTTGATTCTCCCCTCTAGCTGTTACACATTTCCTTGTCAGTCAGTTTTAAGAATTTGGTGTTAGATCAAGATAACAACATTAACCTGATAAGTTTGAGCATTCTCAATACCTGTTTCCTGGTTAGTGTATCGATATTATAGGGAGAAGTTACATTTTAAGGATCTACATATTTTTCAGTCTCTACAGGACATAAATGCATTGGTGTCCCACCCATGCAAATCAGGCCTTAAGAGTGAAGCTCTGTTTAATGAGATCAGCAAACGAGTCTCAGACCACCCAGAACTTGTCAAGAAGGTCAAAGGTGTCTTTGAATGGAACGTGACAAAAGGGGGGAAGACTGCTGGTCAGTGGACTGTGGACCTTAATAGTGGATCTGGGTCTGTGACAGTGGGTCCTTACAAGCAAGGCAAGCCAGACTGTAGTATAACTGTGGAAGATGACGACCTTTCCTCCATGGCGACGGGAAAGTCAAACCCTCAACAGTTGTTTATGAAGGGGAAGTTGAAAGTGAAAGGAAACATCATGCTCACTGCAAAATTGGCGCAGTTGTTCAAGGATAATGCCAAAATGTAATGGCAAAGAAAAAGTGATGAGAACATTACTACTGTGTGATTGAAGATAGAGTTAATATTGCAAAAAAAAATTGTGTAGCTCTTCATCTTAATGAATAACAGTGACTACCTACATCTTTAAATAAATGATTACATTTTTGGAAAGGGAGGTATTGTAGGTTCCCTTTGAGATCTGAGTTTGACCTTTAAGAGGCCTATTTAATTTATGAATTCAGTTGATAAAACTTATAATTGATCAAAGCACTGGAAGTTGCACAGTATGGTTAGCTTGCTTCTTGACATACTTACCAAAAGGTGCACCCTGATCTGCGAGACAACTGGTAATTTACTGAAGTTTCACCCTGTTCCAAATATTATTTTATACCATGATATTCCTGATGGTTTTGGGTGTACTATATTATGTAGTTTTCCACGGTTCGGAGTTAACATTCATTGGTGATTATAATATTTCCTTTGTAGTATTATTTCCAATTTTTAAGGCTCTAACGGAAGATTTTTTTCACAATAAATACGAGCAAGAAGTATACTTCTAACCTCTTTACGCTCGGATCGAATCTTAACTATGAAACTTTGATTAAGGAGAAATATTTATTACGTGATCAACTTATTTTAAGATTGGTCTCCTCCTGGGGCTCTTACTTCTTAAGATTCGACCAATCACAACTGACGCAGCCTAGTGGGCTAATTAGAACACCCCCCCCCTCCCCCCCGTGGAGTTTTTATTTCTCATCAGACACCAAAATTCCTGCAACGACAGTATTCAAAACTTCTCTTGATAGATTTCTTAGCTTGATTAGGCTATAGTGTAAAGAATCTGTACTTTCTGAGTAAAAAATCGAACCCCCCCCCATCACAAAATCATGGGTACGCCCCCGTCTTTTCCCTCGCTTTTTTACTCCCCGAGACAGTTCCGCGCGTTCCCGAAGTTCATCATTTAACGGCGACTAATGCCACAAGATGAGTACTGTCATGTTTTGCTGTATTACTTCCTCTCACTAACGCAGCCTTCAAAATGACAGCTTTTGATCTGTTACCTAAGTAAGCTATTGATCGTGTTTCAAATAAGAGCCTAGTCAAGTTGGCATGCCCGCAGACTTCTGCTTCCTGTTTGCGTTGAAAACGGGAAGTGTGACGCTTTTGTAGATGGAAATGCCCTTTGAAAAATGAGATCTTTTCTTAACGAAACTGTTTTCTTTTCATTCAATAAGTCAAGAGAAAATAGAGGGCTGATTCTGAACACCGTCTAGCATTTTTCGGCCAGTCTGCCTCGCAGTTTGATTGCGAGTTCTAGTATTGCAAGTGAAATGACTATGTAAAGTTCAATGATAGCGATCTCGTTAGAAATTCTGAACTTGAACTTTGTTGTTGGCCGAAGGCGGAAGAGGCAATTGTTTTTCATTTTGCTTTTGAAAACCATAGTCTTCCGCGAAGTACTGTCAGAATGAAAGTCTCAACATCATCCCCACGTGATTTGCATACTTAATTTTTGAGTGAGCGCAAAAGCTGTGCAAAGATTCAACTTGAAAAGCTGACTGCGGAAAAGTCTATTTTCGACCTTTAGTAGAAGAAACTGTAACGTATTCTTCCGAACCAAATTTTAACAGCTACTTCAGCTGAAATTTATATGAAAATAGAGATGCAGAAAAAGTTGAGGTGTCATTTAGCCTTTGATTATGCATTATTTACAGCATAAGACTATTACACCTGTTTGTTCTAAATTGAGAACATTGTGTTTTCATTTCATCCACCAATTGCGTTCGGTTTGGTTAGCAACGAAGCTGCGAAAAGTTCTCATAACGTCAGTATCCCTCTTAACTACCAGAATTTGGAATGACTTCTGTTGTTTACCAAATGGTTTCCACTGGAGATTAAGTTTAGAAGCTCAATATTTTTACGGAATTTTCATTAGAGGTCATTTTGCGCAAATCGTATTTCTTGATTTGGTCTGTGTTTGCCTAGCGAATTATATCATAAAGTTTGTTGTATTTTTAATACTTATGCCGGGTGACAGGCATATTCAAGTCGGTTGTAAGTTTAAGTCAAGCTTGGGAGAGCTAATCTTTTACTCTGGTAAAAAATTAATCGCGACAATTTTAGGACGCTAGCTGGCGCTGTGAAGACTTGAGGAATTCGCTTGGAAAACATGAATTCACAACGCGCTTGGGAACAATACACCTTCTGGTTCTCGTATCATCTCAATCACGTTCATTTTCAACGAAGGAATCATACTGCTTCTAGCAAAAGCTCTTGGTCAGACTGTGATAAATGCACAAATGCACTCGACAAAACGAAGTTCGAGGACCGAACTGGACGATTCGGTCTAAGGTCCAAACATGCAAGGGAAAGTGCCAAAAAGGTAGGACTTTATTACGTATTCAAATTGTATCATTTCTACGCTGTGTCTTTAATCTATTCTTTTATGTGGGAAAAAAATACAAAGGTGACCTGTCTAGTATTTAATATAAGAACGAACATTTTTTGGCATACTGGTCTATTCCGGTTCTAAAATAGCTTGTGATAAAAAGCCTTTTGCCAGCTGGCTTAAGATCCGTTTGATAGCTTTGTCTCTCGTCTTTATGAATTTTTCAGACGTCATTTTATCCTTTATTCTAAATCAATGTATTATATTTCTCAATATTTTAGTAGTTTTTGGTACTTATCATCACACTGATGTTGTGTAATTTCAGTTCCTGTCACCTTCGTCTGAGATTCGGTTATTAAAAACATACTGCGATCGTATTACGACACTCGTTAGGCATAAATAGTTGACTGCGGTACGCTCCAAGTTGTTACTGTCAATATTATAACAAAAATGGAAACTGAGTAGGTTTTGGAGGGAACCAGCTTTTTCCTGGGAATTGTGACGAATAACTGGCTGATCATGGAACAATCTTATTTATGTCATATGGTAGCGGCCTTGAGAACTGAGAAACGCCAAACTTTTAATCTTACTCGTCATTCACCAATTATCTAAACGATAAGGTGCAGAGATACACAGACTTTTGACAGATTCATCAGCTGAAGTGAGGTGTTATCTTGGTATTAAACTCGATTATCTAAATAATTCACGAGGAAATCCATAATAGAATTGAGAATCAGTCCTGGAGACCACATAACAGACAGATCATCCTCGCCAACTTTTCGTCGAGAAATGGAAACTTTACGAGGTGGTGCTCTGCCCAAAACCTAAAAATTGGCGAAATAAGTAATTCAATCAATGGTGAAAAACGCCTACCCCCTTTAAAATAAAAGAAAAAGACTGGCGAGAAGATTCCCCTTCTTTCCTTTCTGTAAACAAACTCAGAGAGGTGTTGTTTTGTCAGGCCTTACAAAATGGATAAACTATTTAAGTTACATGCATCCTCGGAGGCCAATGGACAAATAAGCGGGCGAGAGGAAAATACGAGGGCGCTTTCGGTCGGACGCTCAAGTTTGCTTAGAAGGCAAGAGAGCTGAGTGTGGCTCTATCGCCTGTCGATTGACCGTCGAACAGAAACTGCTGTTGTATATTCCTCTCCCTGGGTCTCTGAGGATGAGTAACGCGAGGAAGATCGTAACAAAAGGCAGATAACTTTAGCTCCCCACCCCCCCCTCTCCAAAACGGTGCATTCTCGTCTGTTTGGATCCCCACGGCTCATATTTTCGTTGTGTTGTACACTGCACGATGATCTAAGTGAAAATTGTAGATCTTTGAACTAAATAACGAAATAAATATGTAACTCACGTTATGGATATAGCACTTAGGGAATAGAGCTGTCCTATCGGTTGATCCTTCGTTTTAGAGATACGGAGAAAATATCCGTTGGAGCTTAGAATATAATACACAAAATTTCGCAACCATTAATTTGCACACAACTACTCACCAATTAGTCGTTAACAATCATTGGAAATCTTTCGAAATCAAGTATTCCCTTTACTTAACTGTGCTCTGGGGCGCGGCTATCGCAAGACGCATGTAGATAGATTCTTTTTGACTGAAGATCATCACCTGAATCAGGGCAACCCAATATTATTCTTAGCCACCAAATATTGAACTTAATGATGCACCCTGTCACAAATAATATTGAACCTGCTGCTGCGTTGCTTATTGGCGCGTGTTCTTTAGGGGAGGGGTGGGCTGAGGGGTGTCCTCATAACGTTATGAAAATGTGAAAAGTTTTGTCTCCCCCTTCCCCCCAAGGGAAAAATGAGAAAAAAGGCAAAACAAAATTAAGCCGGCTAACTTGCAGGTAGATCACAATTGTGATCAGAGGGTTTCATTTGTTTAACTCAGAAAAAGCTGTCCCATATTGGACCAGGAGCAAGTAATTGAAAAAGGATCAAAATATTTATGCAGCATTGTAAAGCATTACAATAGAACCTATCAAAAGAAACGATTTAATTGTTTCTACTCCCAAAGACACGCGTTTTATTAGAATCTCGTTAATGCACACTCAATTCAATGCTTTGACTCTGTGTTTTCTTAAAATCTTCATTTGTTATTCCTTTGCATTTCGTCTTTACAAACCTCTTTCATCATATCGTGATGTTAACAAGTTTTTTCTTCAATCTCAAATCTGTCAAAAACTTAGTTGATCTTTATGTACCCAACACTTATAGTAGAGGACTGCTAATTAGCAAAATACATTGAAAACATTGATCAGAAGCAGTCACTTCTATGTGTAAAATATTATATAATCGCGTCATTTTAAGATTCAATGTATTCGACCAACTAAATTAATCTACAGACCGCAAAATCAACAAAACTGACAAAGTCACCTCTGTAAACACGCCTCACTCGCAGTAGTGTTTTTCATAAGATTGTCAAATGCAAAGGCTTTGAAGTACTTCTCCGATGTTATTGTTTTTTTCTTCGTCAATTGTTAATCATCTTCACTGACCTGAAAAGTGTGGTCGCTATTCAGTCTTGGATTTTACAAAAAGTACAAGTTTAGATAACATTCAGATATTACTTTACCACAAATATACAGTTATTATATATACAGTTATTAATAATTAAGCGACATAGTCTGTTGAGGTTAAAATCATCCAGAGCGCAGAAGTTCCAACAAATCGATCCAATTTTACGCTTCGGTTCTTGGTTGGGCATAATTTTCAACTGCGTGATAATGCATTTGGATGTTCTTCAATGGATGTCTTCATTTGTTGATACATATGAGCTATTTGCGAGTTTGCTAGAGGTCTCCAATCTTCACAAGGACTTCTTTTCTCAATGTGCCAGTCTTTCACCAAAGTCCATTGTTCCGGCAACTGCTGGTTCACTTTTATGAGTGAGTTTACGTTTATGTTGGTTGGAGAAGGAGAACTGCTTTGAGACATGATGCACAAAGGAACAAAATTTTTTCTTCCTTCGAAGTGCCTTCTACCTTACGAGAGCGCTTACCTTGAATATATCACTCTTGACAGTTCTACGTTGTCACGGCAACATACAGAGCGGAGACTGGAACATAGTAGCGTGTTTTTTCAGAAGCCTTTGTTCCTACAGCGTCTCTGATTGGCTCAAGAGATTTTTACCGGCTGGAAACGGCAAACAGTTGATGACAAATTTCGCTGTGGCGACAAAATAATATTTACTTTCCTGCTGGGGAGCGTATTATCGCGTCTTAGCCAAGGGACATTCCTCCAAATTCTGTGAAGTTAAGTCAGAAATAAGAGGAACATGGAGAAAAATGCTCGTTTCCAAAACACTTGGACCTGGTAGTACCGAAGCAAGTAGATGAAAGGTTTGTAAGCATCTTTCGTGACTTTAGCATCTCTTCCCCTGGTTTTGAATTGTCTTAATTATCCTCTGAGCGTTTGTTCTATGCTTTTTTCCCTAATGTATATGTTGCTATTCGTATTTCACTGTCAAAAACCCTCTTCTTAGTTATGAACTGTTTCAAACCTAAATAGTTAATTAAGTTCGAATCATGATCGTGGTCTTTCAACACAACATGCAGGCATTAACGACATACATTGTATTGTGTCCAGGAGAGAATTGGTTTATTAAATGGATGGTTATTCCCTAGCTTTAATTAAAAGTTCTCTTGATTGGTAATTGCCCAAATGTTATCTTAGATTAATCTCAAGAGAGGAAATTAAATTCTATTTCGTGTTGCAGACGCTTCGTGTAGTTACGTATGACATGACCAGCTGATACGATTAACTTTCAATATTTTTTAAATTGGACATTTTAGGACATAAAATAGGCAATGAATTCTTTCATTACTGTTCGTGCTGTTGTTGCCCCAATCAAATCATTAAAATTTTTTCATTTTTTTTTCACTGCGGCAACAATGTTAAGAATGCCCTTTGTATACAATTATTGTTTATTTTCTTTGTGTGAGAATTTTTAATAATGCTAATTGAAGAGCAGATTAGCACTTAAACAAATTTTGCTGCTTTTAGTCATTATTGAGTCAAACAGTAGATGATGATTGGAAAATGTAGAACATTTAAATTAAGAAAAAAAATTGGAAAAGTAAGGCGCAGATTATATTTGTTAAATATAATTTTTTTGACAAACTAGTTTTAAGGGGATAGGTGGAACTAATCTTGAGTGATCTTCCCATTTGTATCAGCAAATAGTTAAAAAAAAAACCCAGCCATTTGTCACTAAATAGTGTGACTGGAGATATTTCGTTTTCATAAAAATATTTTAATTTTATTCTTTTGTGAGATATGAGAAAATAAATTTAACATTTTCAGTGATTTAAACCCCAACAGAAATATCAGAAAGAGCATTAGTTTCTTACTGATCGGACTATATTCTTTAAAAATCTTGTGGAAGCTATTTGCAGAATTTTTTTTGCAAAATTCAGGATTTCTCATTTTTTATGTACCCTAATTTTTTTTAAAAAGATGAGGTTTGGTTTCAGTGAAGTTCATGTAATGTTATGTCTGTTTGGTGGTCTGTCTGTGCTTTTTTAACTATTTCATGGATGATATTATTAATTTACAGATATTCTCTAATTAATAACTATGATATTTGTCTGATAAACTTTTGTTTTGTTTAAATTTTTTTTTAGGTGCTTGTAAAAAGTTTGCTGATATGAGTTAAGCTGAGGTCTGACACTGAGCACCTAAATTGAGAACAGACTGAGAGTATCTAACAAAATCTCACCACTACAATGAAAGTTTTCTTAATTCATGCAAGTGACTTATTAGTTTGTCAGTGGTATTTGGTGGCCAATCTGATGTAAAAGATCTTTGACTCAATTTCCAGTATTGTGATCTTATGATGGCTCATGATCAACATTTATTATGGACAACGAAAGGAACAAAGGCTTCTAAAGATAATATGGATCCTAACTCACGGCACATTTTCTTCAACTCCCCAAATACTGGTAGGCCTGGACAGAGAAGACCTATTCAGCGAGTCAAAAGTGCAGCTCCTAGAATTGGTGGAAGACATCCTGGCGGTAAAGAGTATAACAAAGTTAATGCAAGTCCCTTGGGAAGTCATTCTTCATTTTTTCTCAATCCATCACCAACTCCTGCAACCTCACGCCCCTTGTCGTCAAGAAGTGGAAGAAGTTCTTACAGCTCAGTGCAAAAGAGTAAACAAGAACCAAGTGCATCTCCTACATCGTTATACCTTCAGCTTCATAAAGCAAGATGCAAATCAGCTCCCCCAAGACCTGCTGACTATTATCTTCCCCAGAAATTCAAATCTTGGCAATCACGTGGTGGTTTTACCTCCTCCTTATCTCAAAGTGCCCCAAAACGTGCATGGCAGAACAGGACAAGTTCTGCAAAGAGTCAGAATTCTCTCATGTCCCGAGAAGAAGTAGAAAAACGGCATAGAGAGCGCTGTAAATCAGCTCCTCGTCCTTGTGATTTTAGCTCTATTGAAGTTGTAAACTGTGTTCCCAAGCATGGTTCTGATATTCAAAGATTAAAAGCTTTTACTCGTCCTTTAACCTGTATGCCAGATGTTATTCAGAATGTTCTTTCACACAATGGTCTAAGACATTGCTGTTCTGCTTATCAACCCAGGCCTAAATCATCTCCTTCGGTAGGTGGTAACATCATTGTTATCACAGTTGTGGTGGTTTTTGTATTACTTAAGATAGAAGAAAATGAATTGACTGTGAGTTCAAACCCAAAGTAGAAAAAAATGTTCAAAACTTCTCTTAACATATGAATTCTACATAGCATTAATAATAAGTTAATTATATTAAATTACTGTAGTTAAAATTTTTTTTTATCTGCTCTACTAGATGTGTTAATGGTACATGTACATGTACATGATCCTTTCAACAAAAGGAAGAAATGGTAGTATTTATCTACAACATCACCAGTACAAAGTGATTGAATCCTGTCTGGAATACTTTGATTTTGATTATAGGACCCAAATGTGGCATTGTTGGTTAAGAATCATGTATCACAAGGATGATATAAATAGTCCAATTCGCCTTTGATATGTTTGGTCGCTGATTACTGATCTTTTGGCCTTTTTGCAGAGACAGCAGTTTTGGCCTGTTGCAAGACCCACTGTGGTAAGTTAATACATTATATGCATTTACAATTTTATGTACTTATCAACTGATTGATAGGGCCAGACAGGAAAATATTTGGCCTTGAGGTATAATGATGTACTGACAGAACACATCATGATACATGGTCATGCATTATAACCAAGAGCTAATATTTTCTTGTCTAGCCCAATCAAACTCAGTCAATAAGGATTTTAATTGTCATATGACTACAGACTACAATGAGTTGTCATATGATACAATTAGTTGAAATAGGACATGATGGACTGGCACACCCATGTCATGCAATCATGAAAAAGACTTAACCTACAATATTAATTTTTCCTTTGTTTTTTTGAGTCAGAACAAGAAACTCACAATCCATCGAAAAACATGACTTTTTCCCCCCCTTTTCTATTTTCCTTAAAGTTTTTGCAACAAAGCTGTGTGAGTGTAGGGTGGAACAGCTTTTTCCAGACCGGCTTACATCAGCCCCTTCAGCCCTACTCATGTCAGCTTTCACAAGTGGACTAAGATTTTCTATGAGATTGGACCTGCAGGGCTGTATGGGTCATATGATAAATTAAACATTTTTTCAGTTTCTGTGGTATTCACAATGGTACTGTAACAATTAGTTTTACGTAGAGTATGAAAGGTAATTACCCCCCATATACTTCAAGTACTTCTAAATTTATCAAGTCCAACTTTACATCTTAAAAGTTCATAAATTACCTATACACAGGTGTGCATGACAAAATATATTGAAAATGGTCTTTTTAAATTTTTTTTTTAATGGTATTTAAAATTAAAAAAAAATTATTTTGAATGACATTTTTAGCATTGAATTGTCAAGAGCATTTTAAAAGTACTGTACATCTAGAAACAAAATTGTACAATTTCATGTATCTCTTACTAGACAAAATGTGACAAAAAAACTGTAAATGAGTTTGATGATTTTCGGTTATGATCTGGTTTGTTTCAGCAAATGAAGTAGCTTTGACTGTTTTTTTTATGTAGATGAAAATTATTATACTTTATTCATGACAACATTTGCTGTGTTTGAATTTACCAGTTCCAAAGGGGAGATGTTCCAAAATATCTTCACTTTGTGAAACCAGCAGGATTTTGGGTACGTGGGGAAGGTGGTCATCTTAAAACTGGTCCTGATGATGATCTCTCTTTACTAAATGACAATCAAGATGTGTTGGCGAGAGCTGATTTCCCTTTAAATTATGAAGATGACTTGAATGAAACAGTGCTGTTTGAAGAACAGTTTATTGTACCTGCATCACCCTCCGAGGCATCATCAGAGAGGGAGTACTCAATAGAACCAAGAGGTATGGATTAACTCTTTAGCCCCAAAGAGCGGCTAGTTTCCAATTTCTCCTTAAAATCAAAATGTTAATGTCTTGAGAATAACGGGGATGATGGCCAAGTAAAGAAACTCTGTATTGTTGAAATTTTCTCCTTGTGAAGAATATCCATAGCGGATAATAATGAGTAGTGATGGAGGTGCCAGCTTTCCACCAGAAGAGCTTGCCTAATGCTTGAAATGTCAGCTTTAGAAACTTTTTACAGTTATGGCAATTTACGTTATAAACTCAGTTGATAAAAACAAATTATTTTGTAATCCCATCTGACACAGCACCACAGTTTCTTTAGAACCACCATTATGATTTGGGTTCATTTCTTGGGGTCAACATTGTCTTAGCCAGAAGTCTTTGCTGGACAGGAATAGTGTATTGATATTGCTTGGAAGAAAGTGATGTAGATGTGTAGGGTTTTTGATGTGAAAAACTTGTTGCACACTGACCTGAGTATATTGGTGGCAGCATAATTAGCTTGAACTAATATATATTTGGAAGTTTCAGCTGGTTTGAAGTACTGAATTATCTCTGGTTTTGAAATCACTTTACTTGAAAATTGTATCTTTTTGCGAATTTTTCTGGTCTATCTCTAGATGAAGAGTTACAAACAGAACAAGATTTAGATGCCACCCACTGTGAAGGTCTCGCTGAAAAATATTTGGGTGATGATGACAAAAATTGGCCTGATAATCAAGTGACTCTTGAGCCACCACTAGAAAAACCTCCAGCTGATATCAAGACTTCAGATGCAGATCCTGTGGAACCTGTTCTTGAAATCATCATAACTAAGTTAGAACCTGATAAAAATTCATCTCCTGAAATCAACAAAGAAGAGCAAAAAGAAGGTGGCACAAAGGAGGAAGGTGATTCTGATATACAAATTGATGTTCCAGAGATTCCACAGTGGGCAACTGAAGAAACTTTGAGTCCAACTGAAGATGTTAGGTTAGATGATGTAAAGGAAGAGGTTGTAATGCCAGAGCCTGTGGAAGAACCTGCTCAGATTGAAAAAGAACTAGAGAAAGAGGTGGAGAATGAGCCTGTGGCTCAAAAGCTCAATGACGTTCCTCAGAAGACAGAGGTGGAGATGCCCAAACCACAAACACATCAAGTCAAGTTCTCAGATTCTCTGATTCTTACGAGTTTCAAGTCACCACCATCTAAAGAAGAAGAGAAGGAGCAGGTGATTAAACCTATTTTAAAACCTACTGTGAGTAAGGCAGAGTCCCCAACACTTAAACGCGAGGAACCCAAAGTAGCATCAGCCACACAGAAGAGAACAACACCATTGCTGGAACGCAAGGTGGTGGAAAAACCACCACTTCTGAAACCACCTCCCGTAGCACCAGTTCAACCTGTAGAGGAAATGAAAACAGAAGAGAATAATGAGGAGAAGAGGCCAGAGGAAGAAGAGAAGGTGGCAGAAGAAAGAGTAGAGGTGGCACCCAAACTTGAGCCTGAAGTGTAAGTTAGAATAATTAATTTATTCACTTCATTGGTATTCACCTAACTTAACATTTGGCCATCTCTTGAAGAGAAGTCTAATAAAAGGAGATATATTTCAAGACATTGTCTTGAAATTTCTCTAAAAGGTGATTGTAAATTTTAAACCATGAAAAGTCAGTGTAAAATAGAGTGAGGATTAGAAGCTTCATTTTGCTATGTTTGACTCACTGTGTCAGGTTTGCATGAAAACTACTAACAATGATACACTCCTTATAATCATCAGTGATTGTCTTGAAAATTAAAGATATTTATAACTTTTCTCTTTCAGTTTACCCAAACCTGAGTATATAAGAGCACCTGGAGCCTACAGGATGTATGATCCAAAGGTTTGTTTCATTGTGTGAGTTTTGGACTACAATAACTATATAGATTGTATGGCTGCTGAAAGCTCATCTACGCCGTACTGCTTCAGTGTAGTTTGCGCTAATCATTATGTTAACACATTTCAGACCATGGTAATCTGGTAATTTTTGTGTAGTTTATTCCAGTCTGCACTATTTCATACAAATATGTTTTAATAGTCATGCTGAATCTTGACTAGTATCTTGTCATGTGCCTTCTCTTGTTAGTTTTGTCCCTTCTAATTATGAACATTAACCTTGGATTCTTATCCTTGTCTATGCTTACTATTAATATTGTTTCAATTAGCAGAGAGAATTTTTGAAACAAACCTGCTTCTAGCAGGGAACCCAAAATTTTCAGAAAATCATTTAGGCAGCCTGACTGTAATAAATAAATGTAGAACCTCAGACTTTCGTGACCATGGAGGTTTTGCAATGATTAAGATATGGGAGAAGCTTTGACATAGACAAAAGACAAAAGCTCTAAATTTGACAGTTGTGGCTAATTAAAAATTCTATAATTATCACTCATCATATGCCAATACATTGTTGTTTAATTATTGTGGAAAAAAAATTGATATAGGGTATGTTTCACAACAGTGTTGTAGTTTTCTTTCTTGTGGTAGTTTTTACAAATTAAATACACTTTAGTTGATTTATTTGGAGATTAATGTCAGTAGCAGTTTTGTTGGTTTTATAATGCTATAAACTATAATTATACTATAAGTGAAGTATTTTAAACATTCTCCCCTCATTATCACAAACTTGCTAATTAATGGATATACTTAGAGACATGTTTATGGACATCCTTACGAGTCAAAATATTTTGGTTTTTACATCAATGCAGCATGGAACTGATGAACAAATAGAACTGAAGGATCCAAAAGAGATTGAATAATGATATAAAATTCAGCATTAAAACGTCCGTTTTGGGACTCTGTTCAGTGTACTTTATGTTTTGAAGTTCTTCTTTCCAATAAATTGTGATAAATTATTTATAATTAGTTAATTATATTCACTCTGGTGGCATTATTCATTTTTCGAAATAATTACTTCTCATCTTCCAATTCTAAATTAGTTTCTATATAAGATTGGAATGACTTTGTTTAAAAAAGAACTAAATTAAATACAGTCTTTTTCTTAGTAAAAAGAGAATTGAAGAGAAAAGTAATATATATTTCCTTGTATTAAACAATATCTAGTTCATGTCCTTGTTAACAACTTTGAAATGTATACTCCCCCCACTCAGCAAATATAATAATGAGTATTATCCATCTTGAAATTATCTTACCACCTGTCCAAACTACCTTAAATATAATATTGTCACCAATTAATTATAAGTATTGCTTCCAGTTACCAGGTTTTTTAGAATCTGCAAGGCAATTTATTCCAATATTTATACATGTGCTATCTTATTTGTAGTCGCAGGTCAGTTTGGAGGTAAATGTATATCTAACAGTTATAAACATAAATTCAAAATTCCTTTTTGTAAGTTTTCAATAACTCTAACTTTAAAGTCAGACATACAAATCAAGTGAGGCCAGGTATGCTACAAAAGCATACCCACGAAAGCAAACATAGCATACCTGGCCTTACTTGATTTACTTGTCTGACTTAATAACACTGTGCTACTCAAGGACAACATCAAACACTTGATAACTCTAATTTTATTTTGTGTTTTAATGCACTTGACAAAACATACTTGAATCTATTATAAACAGGAGTTTGAGCTTAAGGCTTTGATGGAAACAGTTTGCATTTTGTAAAAGTAGTTGGGACATTACTTGATTTAAAACACTGAATACAAGTCAATTACAAGATAGGCAATTTGTGCGAAAAAAGGTTTTCTTTTGCCAAATAATGTGTGTACTCCTGAGGCTGTTTTAGAATCTTTGTGAGTTATTAATTACCCTTTGCATTTAAATTATAATAGAATGTTGAGATATGCCTATCTGGTAGTCAATTTCTTTGCATAGTTTGCTTTCTTGTCCTTGTTAACATTGAATATAATCACACTCTGTTACTCTAGTTAAGGTGTAGTTTTTTGAGGTTAGAACACTGTCTGTTTTACCCAAACTGCCCTGCTTGCTCCTTCTTTGCAAGTTAGCTAGTTAGTGCCCTTTGTGCTTGTATGCATATAAGGCCTCTGCCATAGAATGCCATTGATTTCTGTTGGTTGCCTGTTGGTCAAGCTGCCCTCATGTCCAAGCTCTGTCCTTTATTTCCTTGGGCCATGGGGAGTCCATCAGAGTGAGTCTGGGCAAGGCTGATGGTGGCATTTGGAGCACATGGCCAATTCATCTCCATCTTCTTTTTTGGACCCTTTAGATTATGGGTTCTGTATTTAATAATGTTAAGTAATTTTCCAGGACCCAGGCTTTGAAAGAGTGAACAAAGCTATCCAATGCAAAAATGGGTATCCAGTGGATAAGAGTCAACTACACAAACTAATTTAAGTTATTTTCACAGGACCTCCTTGAATATCGGTTGGAACAAAAAAGAGAGTCAAGACCTCTAAAGAAATCCTTAACCAACTCATCAATGCCACGGTTTGTGCCTTCTGCTGAGAGCACTGAAGTTATAACATCTATAATGGATGAACATAAGGTAAGTTGATTGTTTTGAGGTCTATTTATGTAACTCATATGTGATTTAGCTTTATGCAGTAATGTGAGATTTATTTCATTTTAAGTTTTAGACTTTTTGACACTCAAGTATGTCAGTTAACTTGATTTTACCACTCTATTGACCAGGGAAGGAACTATTTTCATGTACATGTACAGAGTATGTACTAGATGAAAGTGTCACCAAAGGTTATTTTTTTTAAATTAAACTTGTAATATAGTTTTAAGTTGGTCTGATATAGGGGTATACAGTTAGGGGTGATATTTTCAAGAACAGCAAAAATCTCAGAGGTAACCCTGGTGTGATTGGTAGATATGCTGCCTGGCATACTGTGCAAGTTAATAACATTCCACAATGCACGAAGCTGCCCATTTTAGGTGTTATATTTCAGGAGAATTGTAAATATAGTGAACATGTACGTGCTAAGTTGATTAAGCCAAATAAGAGTCTGTGTTAAGACCTTTACAGAAGGAAGGTTTCAGTCAAGGTGAAGTAGACCACCTATTTAGTGCCTTAGTTTTTCACTTATGGTCTGCCTGTTTATGGTGCTATAGACTCAGATCTCACAGTCATACAAAACTTTATGGACAGATGCATTAAAAGGAAATACACATCTAAGAGAATGGACATTCAATGCAGTTTTAAGTTGGTCTGATATAGGGGTAGTTAGGGGTGATATTTTGAAGAACAGCAAAAATCTCAGAGGTACTTCTGGTGTGATTGGTAGATATGCTGCCTGGCATACTGGGCAAGTTAATGATATTCCACAATGCATGAAGCTGCCCATTTTAGGTGTTACATTTTAGGAGAATTGTAAGTATAGAGAACACGTACGTGCTAAGTTGATTAGCCAAATAAGTGTCTGTTTGTATTAAGACCCTTACGGAAGGAAGGTTTCAGTCAAGGTGAAGTAGACCACCTATTTAGCACCTTAGTTTTACCACATTTCACTTATGGTCTGCCTGTTTATAGTGCTACAGACTCAGATCTCACGGTCATACAAAACTTTATGGACAGATGCTTTAAAAAGGAAATACACATCTAAGAGAATGGACATTCGAGAACTTTTAGAAAAGGTAGATAAGAAGATTTTCAGGGTATGTTCAGTGGATCCCTTTTGCCCGCTTAGTAACATCATTCTAAAGAAGAAACAAAGTACAAACTCAGAAACAAAAGTGCTCATCACCCAGATATAAAGACTGACAGATTTAAAAATAGGCTTATCTTTAAATATAATCTTTAATCTTTCTATTATTTTATATAGTATGTCTTATGTGTATATATACAGTATGTCTTCTGTATTTTTAGATTCCTAACTGCTGATGTAACTTAAGATATGTCTTTTTATCTTAGGAGGAATAAAGATTGATTGATTGATACTCAACACAGTCATTATGATAGCCATTCTCTATATCAGAAATAACTTTTCTCATTTTTCTGCAGCAAAGGAAAGAAGGAATGAAACCCTGGCTTCAGGGAAGACTAGCACTTTCTAAGCAAACAAGTAGATTTGAGCTTCCTATGGATGTTAAATTACTTGAAGGTAATTTGTATGGTTATCATGATATTTTTCTGTGAGTGTCTTTAACCCCAAGCAGTGTAACTTATCAATGTTGTCGTGATGAATTTTAATTTTAATTTCCTCAGAAATGACACCAATGGAGTATTTGACAAAGTACTGTATCATAAGGTTAGTTGCCTATTCATCTCAAGTGAACCTTGTCTCTTCATCATCAAACTTTGGAATAATGTTCCGCTGCCATGCAATTCTCAAGAAGTGATGAAATGAATGATGTTTTGACCTGAAGTTAATTTCAAAGGAAAGAATGATCCTCTCAGTTGAATTGCATTCAAACAAATTGGCTCAGTAGCTCATTTGTTAGAGCAACAAACTAGTTAATAAGAGGCATTGGTGCAAACCTGGGTGAAACCTGAAGTTTTCAAACTTATCTTCTGCAGTTTCTTTTATCACAGTGAACCTGTGAGAATAATTCTTCCATTCAGTCATTTAGTTCCACAATTTAATCATCTGACTACAGAGCACATATCTTCAGATTGAATTAATTCAGTATGTTACTTTCTAGCACAAGAAGGAAAGCACTTTACAAACATATATTTCAGAAGGTGGATAAAGATAGAGATAATAAAATAACTTTTAAGGTAGGTAATTCAACTAAAAGTATTTTGATCTATCCATATCCTAGTTTTAAAATTTTTGTCAAAATTCAATGAGCTTCTTTTAATTTGATTAAAAGGAGATGGACAAGGGCTTAAGGGAGATACATGTGGACTCTATATCAACAGAACAGGTCAAGAAACTAATAGAGGTAAGTCTGATGTCATTGTGCCTCCATTTTTTCCAAGAAGATTCTGTTAGTACTTAATATCTATTCACCAAAGTGAAGGTGGCCAGTGGTGCATGTTAATAATATATGCTCAAAAAGATAATTTTAGTTAATTTTATACCTGCAATGATTACAATATTTTTGGGTGCAAATCCTGCATGTGTTGCTTGGAGGTGAATGGCAAAGGATATTTGGAGTTTGAGTTGCCAATCACAGCACACCTTTAACGCTATTCAGCTGTTTTACAATGATGTTGTTATACCTTGATACCTTGATATGCATCATTGACTGAGCAGGAAGTAATTATTATCATAATAACTGATGAAAAAAATAGTTATTGTTTTCAGCTCAAGTTATAAGTTAGATAATATTTTTTCTCAATTACAGATGGTTGAAGGAAATGAGAAGTCTACTTTCAGTCTTGCACAGTTTTCAGCAATTGCTGCATTTTCTGAAAGGTTCCTCTTCTCAGAAACACAGTAAGTACATAGTGAAGTGGTTAGCTTGCTTGGATCTTAAACATTTCGGTATAACTGTATCCTGTGCCATGGTTGTGTTTGGTGTTGTGCAAACAGCACTGCACTGTCACAAGTCTATTGATATATAAGAAACAAACAGTGATTCCAACTAAATTTTGTTTTTGCCAGTCATTGCTTTGGACTAAAACAAGTAAAACATGATAAGAAATTAAAATGGGATTCAGTGTTAATTTTGAGTAATGAGATTGTTCAGTTCTACGTTTTTGATGGGCTCTGATTCACGTAACCCCAGTTGTATTGAGAACAATATTCTAAAGTTCCTTCAACTGCTGATCCATGCTATATATATAATTATATATTTTTTTTTTCATTCTAGGGTAACAGAAAAGAACAACCCATACAGCTCAAAGGAAATTATTGAAGAGGCTGACTTCTGTGGATTAAAATCCAAACTTAGTGGATTCCCTGTAAGTTTTACAACTGTTGTATTTTTTAGGCAGGATTAGGTAAATTTTCTTTTCCAAAAGAAGGCACCTAGGAAATGAAATGTTGCTAAAAGTATCATGTTTTTTCAAATCAAAGGCACCATAAGAGTAGGTAGGGGGCTAGGGTGAGGCTTTTGTGCGATTTTGTTTTTGAGTCAGGCCCTTTGGGTTGGAAGATTGCAAAAATTAGTTCTCACCAGAAATTTCAGAAATCTTGAACAGCAAAAATTTTTCACTTTCTGTTGAAAAAAAAAAAATTGCCAAAAGACAAAATGAAACTCAAAAACAAAACTCTGCCATAGAGTATTCAGGCTGTGGGAGAATTGTCTAGACTCTGGTTGATGATAGATGGATGAATAAATTTTAGCAGGAGGAAAGGAAAGAGGATTGTTAGTATACAGATTAACTCTGTTATATTTTCATTTATTCATTTGGATGCTAACATGTGTTCATTTTTTTCCTCACCTGATGTACTTTCTTTTTCCATCTTTTAAGGTGAACCCCACAGTGAGGAAAATTTTGGAAGTGCTCTAAGTCAATAACAATAATATATTTATTACACTTAATTATAAATTTGAGGATATTTAATATATTGTTGCACAATATTTAAAATTTGCATAAATGAAATTTGTTGTATTTTAACAATGAAGAACCTTTTATAGTAAGCTAAATTGTACACAGTGGCAATCATACAGTAGGATCTGACACTTTGGTACTGATCATTGAATTGGAGCCAATGCCATTTTGTAATGATACAGCAACTACTGCTTAAAACAGTTGGGTTCAAACTCTTTGGTGGGAAGAATCATCCTTTATCCACTTTGGAAATGCAGAATAATTTAATTCCTTCAAAGTTGTAGCAGGAGAACTGAAATGTCCTTTAGGTTGTCACTTTTCTCTGCCAAAACAACAACTGGTGAAAGGTCTTTGTGTACAGGCTATAAATATTGTTGACCTTGGGGATAATCAGAAAGCTATGTACCCTCAGCTGAAAACAACACAGTATATTGGAAAAAATAAGTCACTAGTGTATTTTGACAGTATGAGTCATCCAGGAAAAAAAATCCTTTTTTTTTTTTTTTGTAGAATAACTGCAGTCCTAACCCTAACCCTAACCCTAAGCAAAAGTAAGGGGAAGTCTTATTTCAATTAAATATTAAACACTTTCCTATACACATAAAGATCATAGAGGGAAACTCAGCTACATTATTCAGTGGTTCATGTTCCTCAATTTTTTATTAGCTAGTTTCAAGGGAGTATTTCCACAATATTAATGGTCAACTAAAGAAAAATATCCATTCATGAAGTATTCCATACACAGAATATGTAGTTTTGACACTGTTATTTTATCTTAGGAAGGAACTTTATTTTGTATAAATTTGGTTTAAAAATAAATCAGTGTATTAAAGGAAAGTATGTTCTTTGTCCCCACAACTTTTTCAGCAAATAGTAACATCTTTATTTTCTTGTAAACAGAATAAGAAAGATGGTAACTTTCTCATGGGGACTCAGAATTTATTCTTTATCCCAAGCTCGTGACAAGACAAAAAATATGACTTTAAATTATTTTCTCCTAGCTGACTGAACTTTTATCACTTAGCTGAACATCCTTTAATTGGTAAACCCTTCAGTTTTACAATCTGATACTTAACTCTTGGCAACAAAAATGTGCATTTAAATTGTGCTAAGAAACCAGAGTAAAGACTAAAGCCAATCAGAGCAATGGAAAATATCCCAAGTTAGCCCATGAGAACTCAGATGATTTTCGTTTAGCGTTCGATTGGTTGAGAAAGTAGACCACTTGAGGAAGAAATCAATCCAAACCTGTATTACTCTGACCTTTCAAATTGGAAATCCCCTACAGAAACTCACTCGTAATGTTGATCAGATCCTCAAGTTCATTTTCATAGACAATACACAGTTCATACTATCCTTTTTCACAACTGAAGTCGAACAAAGAACACGTACTGGGTTAAACACTTCATACGGGGTGTACGTAATACACGTCGACGTCACCTGTCTATGTCTTGTTACTGAATCTTTTTAACGAATAAGTCTTCCATGCTGCTTGATAACACGTTTGTTTTTGACCTCTGGTGTAACGGTGATCTTGATTTGTTAAAGAACATGTTTGATATTGTCTCACCGTAAATTTTCCACGCTATACCGATGAACACGAAGTTGACTACTGTACAAACAATCAAAAACCAAGACAAACGAATTTGCCAATCGTCGTTTCGCCAGAGATCCCTAAAGTTCTCTCTGATTTCGCTCCATTTTACTGTTTTATTTGAGAGAAGATGTACAGAATCTAGAGAGATGTTCCAGGAAGCAAGCCACGGCTCTAAATATCGAAAATATTCCATTCTATAATCCAATCAAACTCTTCACGCAGGCAGCCATGTTTATTTTGATAATTTGGTCCCAGATTACTCGCAGTCTTAATCTTTGATGATGGAACTTTTTATCAGGAGTCATAAAATCAGTTGTAATTAATGAGGTTATTTATTTAACATTTGATAAAACAAACAAGTGTCCAAAGAATTTGCAGATAAGAATATTTGAAAAGGGGCTAGGAAACAAAAAGGTGTCAAGTCTGAATGGGTACTGTGCCATTCACTATGTCAGGCCCACTTTCAAGGGTTTGTGATTCACCAGATTCTCCCTTCTTGACTGAACCAGAACCACACGGTTATGGCAAAATACTGGGCGAAGCACTGAAATGTGGATGTGATTAAAAAAACCCGGGAACTAACAATTGTACAAAGGTATTCGAACTGTGGCACAAAACTGTGATATCAGAATGGCTAGATGAGGGGTTTTGAATATTAAGCTAAAGACAAAGCAACACAGCATGTACATGTCTATGATATGTCGGCGGAAGTAAAAGAATAACCATTTAAAGCTGTTTCAAACTCGTTTCAATCATATGGGTTCACGGGGTCAGCGATGACCGGAAACTATCGTCAGGCGACATTGGAATGTGATTGGTTAATCCGTTAGCGGTAATATTAGAATTCAAACGTCAGCTAAACTCGTATATTGATTTCTCTAAAATGTGCCTCTACATGTAGCCATTTAAGGAAGGAAAGATTTTCTGACAGCCACAACAAAGTCGGCAAGAAATTCAAATATATCTCGCCATTTGTGGTGATAAATTTTGCGGTCAGAGATCTCCGGTATCAGGTTAAGTGGTCACAAGCCCTTACGTGCGCCAGCAAACTTTTTGGGGTGTGAATAGAGCCGTCAAACTTTACTTCAACCGGTGGTGAAGTTGTTTCGAAGCTTTTTTCTGACCTTTCAGTTCTTGAATGCAAAAGTTTGAACGAAAAACACTAGTTTACCGCCTCAATTAAACTTTATTCTCTCGTGAGTTTTGGTCTATCACAAGGAGGAATCATTTTTCTACTCAGACAATCTTGCATTCCTAAGTTTTAGCCGTGAGTTTAGTCATGGAGAGCGCTCTGCAAGCCAGGGATCGCATTGGAGTTCAAGATTTCGTTCTTCTTGAGGACTTTAAAAGCGAAGACGCCTTCTTAGATAACTTGAGGAAGCGCTACAAATCTGGCTTGATTTATGTGAGTATAGAAAGACGTGAAAATTTGCTTAATTATACGAAAGTATGATTTGATTTGCGAGGTGCTCATTTGCAGCGCGCTAGCCATTCAACCCTTCATTCCAGAGCTGAACTTGATAGCTCAACACGATTTTTTTTGTCCCTAAGTGCCATTATAATCTGTATTTGGAACCCTATTTTAGTTTCAGTACCAAAGTGTTGCTCTAACTGTAAATACTCAGCTGTTTTCGCTAACTTTACAATTGACAAAGCTTCCACGATAATTCAGCAGAAACTGATTACCTGAACACATAGTGATAGTTTTTGTGTATTATTGCTTTGTGTCAGTGTTATAATTAGAAGCATTTTATTTTCTTCAACAGACCTACATCGGAACAGTGGTTGTTTCCGTAAACCCCTACAAGACTCTTCCAATTTACAATGAAGAAGCTATCGAAAAGTACCGAGGGGAAAATCTTTACGAACTCCCACCCCATGTGTAAGTTAACTGCAGGACTCATTTATGTCATTTACACCTTATTATACAGAAATCAGATTATCATTTATGACGAGTATTTTGGCTTGACATTAATTGGTTATTCATCGAATTGCTGAAGCAATTTCATCGAGCGATCGCACAATGGTTTTAATCGCATCGTAAATTAAATCTAATTTTTTTAAAATTTAAAATGCATGTAATATTAAAGGAGTAAAACATACTGAAATTCATAAAATGAAATTTTAAAGCTCAAAACTTTGTACTTTCTCTTAGCAAGTAGCTCATAGCTATTGAATTACCTTATAACAATATTTGTTTTGATTGATATTAATATTGTCCAAAGTATATGCATTTGAATTTAACAGGTGAAGAATTTGAAATATTTTTAATTTGTTTAAAAATTAATGACAGTCACCTTTGCACTGTGATAAAATTTGCTTTTTTCAACAGTTAATTATGGTATCTGAAGACTTAAATCTTTTTCAGTTGGTTCAATTTCCTCATTTATTAGCTCTTTACAATTTGAATGATACCATTTAAACACTGATAATCCCAACCCCTATTTAAATCTTAAAGTTTTGTTAGGTCCTGCATTCTGACATGCCTAATTCTCCCTCTTCTGCTTGATCAAAAACTGATAAATGGTATTTTATTGTTGGTCATTTTAGGTAGATAGATTTGTATTACAAAATATGCTTCTATTTTTATTAAATTTTGTAGGTTTTCAATCACAACAATGAATTGATATGCAAGATTCATAAAATGTTGATTACAACTCAGATAAAAAATAATGAGTTGCAATCTGGCCTTTGATGGGTGACCAGTGAGTAATTTCTTCTTACAGTGTGATACATTATCATCCAGAAAGGTGATGAGCAGAGAGAAATTTATCAACAAGGGGATATTGATTGATTTAATCCTAAACGGTCAGAACTAAACCTATAAGGAAAACATCAGGAGTTAGGAATTGATACTAACACCTTGAGAGTGAAAGGTGTTATAAAGACTCCTTCTTAAACTGATTACTCAAATTTTTTTGACACCCCTGAGGTGTACAACATGTTATGTAAACAGCTGTCATGTAATGGCCAAAGTAGTGCAGACAACTACATGGTGAAGCAAGGGGGGAAACAGTCTTGTTGCAGTTTGGACATGACTTTAAAGGAAAGTAAAGGGTGCATTAACCAAGTAGGGGACTTATGTCCTATTGTTATACACCTGTACTTGTACTTGTACTTGTACAAATCCATTAAATAAATAAATAAATAAATAAATAAAAAAGAAAGCTGTACTTGTCTGACATTTCCTCACTAATGTAAAATTAGAAAAAGAATATCAGCAAAGCCTGTCTTTCTCTCCAGACTGGATAAGACAAAAGAAACTCATGAGTAGGGTAATAGGTCATGTAGCCTCATTGCACTGTTGTGCTATGTCACATTCCCAGCAAGCCATGTGACAAGGCATACTACATGCTTCTCAAGTTGTGTTATATTGACTGAAGTTGTTGATTACCTATCTTTATTTACTATGGTGGTGTTAGCTTATAAATATTCATTTTAATTGGTAACAAAGTTAAAGAAGAATTTCTTGAATTCATTGGCTAACCTTAATTTTTGGCTCTTAAAGAAGCCATTTGTTATAAGTTTGGTGATCAATTAGATGAAGTGTTATTCATGAGGATGAAAAACATAACATGGTGTCAAAATTGCGGATAAATTGAATTTTCTCGACGGTGGAACACATGCTCCATCTCAAAAATTTTTCATTTCAGTTAGTGCCATGTCCAACAAGATTCTTAGAGGAAACTTTTGATTAATTTTTCTTTAGGATGGACACAAAAAAGCTATGTAACACTTACTATAGCATTGATTAAGTTATAATGTTGGGAGCATGGAGAGATCAAGTTTATTTATTGCTCTGATAAATTTAAAACAAATAAAATACTACTTGATGTTACTGGTAATAATGCGTTGATTTTTATTTTTTGCCAAAGGTATTTGACCACATGTGAGGTCAGGTTCACTCTGCTAGGAGGAAACTTGACTTGAAGCATAAGTGCAATATAGGGGCTGACATGAGCTGCTTTTTGGGCATGTTTCTCCTCAGACTTTAATCATCTACAATGAGTTACCCTGATTTACTCGCAAATATTAAAAGAATAAGAGAACCTTTATTTTAAGAGAGGACGGGTAGAAATTCTTAAGCTAAATGTGTACTCATGCAAAGCCATCAGCCAGATTATTGATGCTCTTTGACTATGGCTTTTGTTTTAAGGCAGTGTCTCAGAGTTCTACCAGTCGTGGTAAATAGAAAGCAAGGAAGTGTCTTAATTGTTTGCTATCACAAATGCACGGGCCAGTCTAAGGGAGGCTCAATAATGTGATATTTTTCTGGGACTAGAAAAGGAGATAAGACATGAGTTGTGTTTGATCAAGGGCTAGAGTGAGTGCAGTTGTTCTTGAATAGAGCATTCAGTGTTGTTCCTTTGTGTAGGAGGGCACTGTAAATTCCAAGGCTTTTGTTCTCTTGTTGCTTAGCAATAAAGGTATTATACTTGAATGATAAGAGGTCAATTTAGAGACACTTGCATGATTTATTTGGAAGCAATTTTAAGTGTTCCTTTTATATAAACAAGATATTCCAAAAATAGTAAAAAAAACTTTTCTGGCCTTTGGAGTGTTTAAAATAAACTAAACTACACCTTTCTGTTACACAAGCTTTTCTTTTTCATGAGCATATTGAATTATGTGGCTGCATAAATTTTAAGCTTGAAAGGTTTTGTTGCCATCGTGACACAGCAACTCTTACCAATAATTAATCAACGATATTGCTTGAGTGTGAAATTAAAAAATGCCTATGTGCAATTTGCATGTAATTTGGTCGGTGGATTCCTAGATATACAGACAGGTGCAGATGGAGTTATTTTAAAATCTTTCACTAGATTTAATCAATCTTAAGGCTTTTTATAATCAAATTGAGTACCTTGGAGAAATGTTATGATTTTTTGGTTGTTTCCAAAATCCAGGTGAAATTCCAACCCTATATAGGTGATGCAGTTAAATGCGCTCCTTTCATATGTCTCAACCAAATGTCCAAATTTCTTCAAGTAATATTGTGTTAAGTTCTTTTCTTTTGCTTTCCACATACTAAAATATTAATGAAGTCAAGGCTCAAATCTGGTGGGTCAACGTCGTCTTGTTCATCATAACATTCCAAAACCCAGCAGATTGTTGATAAAGTTGGAGTCAGCTGTGTGGATGAGCCTTCTTGAAGTTTTCCTTTTGTTCTCTTTAAGGTTGCTTTGTCATCTCTTATTAAGCTTGCTGGGGTACTTTGTTGCCCTCTTTGAAAGTCTGCCTTCTCTCTTTGCCTTTTAGATTCTGATTTAAATTCTTTGAGATTATAGGAGATCTCACTTAAAGCCTCTGTCATGGCGAGATCAAACCTGACTTTTTTCTTGATCTGCTGACTTTTTAGTTGGTTAAAGTTTCTATTCATAGTTGATAACATTTACAGCATCTGAGCAAACATGTAAGCTATTGGTCTCCAAACATGTAAAAACTGACCTCCTGGAAGAAATATTTATATACTAACCTGTATGACAATGAGCACTTAATTCTTGTAATTTATTTCAAGAACCAATGACATCCATTCTTCTTTTTTATTCACATAGCCGTGACTTTGTGGGCGTTGCAAGAGATTAATAAATGTTTATTGTTATTGATCACCTCTTGGCTGAGTGCATTACTGATTCACTGCCATGCCAAGTTTTAGAATTATATGCCTAGTCTAAAACCAAACTATTACCACTAGTTGTTGCTAACCCTAAGCAACACTTTAACCCTGAAGAGTGACTAGCATCTAATTTCTCCAAATAATATCACTGCCGAATCACATATAAAGGTCACAAGAGTAAAGGAAATGATAACCAACTAAAGAAGCTCCTGATTGTTAAATAAATTATCCTTGTCAGCACCCTAGGAAATGTATAGAGAACAGTGTGTAGAATATTTGTACTGGATGTAAAGGTTATCAAATAACAATAATCAACTTTCCAAGAGTGCCTTGAAGGTGGTCCTTAAACATTTTGAAGGGCACATGAAGTGATAGAAGCCTTCTTTTGTTTCAAAAGAATATTTCTACAGTTGAAATCAAGGATTTCCAATTTTAAATGGCATTGGAAACCCTTTCACTTGCAAGTCTCCACACTGTTTACCATGCATTTCTTAAAATGTTATCTTGAACAATGTGGGCAGTGGTAAATGCAGCAATTGATAAATTTTTTTGCTCATCACCTTCCTGTTCGAAGATCTATTTAATATACTGTTGGGAACAAATGTCATTTGATCATTCCTAGCAATAAAAGGATTAGTCCTGAGAGTTGTGCCAGTAATGTTCTTGAGTAGACATGCTTCCAATTACCAAAAGTGGCTGGAAGATGTAAATACAATGGCCCACTGGTCTTGAAGACCTAGCATGTATTATGTTCTAACAGTTTGTAACAATGTTTATTAGCTATGCCATCTCAGATTCTGCTTACCGTTCTATGAAAGAAGAGAGAGTTGATCAATGTGTTTTGATTTCTGGAGAGAGTGGATCTGGAAAGACAGGTAAATTGCCCACTTTGATTTTATCCATGAACAGTGTCAAACTTTTCTTAATCAAGTTGGTCAAGTTGAGAGGTGATAGAAATTACAAATAAACATGCAGCTGATAGTTTTTATGATCTTTAAATGTACTTTGTCATCTCAAGGACTCTTATTTCTCTTAAAAATGGGTGGTACAAGGTTGGAGGTGAGAATCCTTTACTTGCCAGTATCTGATCTCTGCATCTTTGACACCAGTGTCTAAAATCAGACACCAGTGACTAAGGTAGGACATTAGTATCTAAGATTGAACGCTAGTGTCTTAAACTGGATATTCCTGTCTAAAATCAGATCCTAGTGTCCAAAAATGGATACTAGTGTCTTAAATTGGACACCAGTGTCTAAAATGATTTTGATTAAAAGGGCCATATTCACTTTATGCCCTCTCATCTTTTCTACCCTTGCTGTACCTGCCTCCAAGGCATTTCAGGTTCCCAAACCCATCCCCCTTTAATACATATTTTATTGCGATTGTCTGTCCTTGTAAAATTGCAATCCTTTTAAGAGTGAGGATACCTCAAGGTTTCATAAGGACAGTTTCTCCACTAGATATTACACCTTTACCTCATTGAAATGTGTTTTGTTTACATTGATTAATTAGAGGCATCCAAAAAGATCTTGGAGTATTTAACAGCAATAAGCACCCACTCAGTTGATGTGGAGCGAATTAAAGATAGGCTTCTGGAGAGCAACCCTGTTTTGGAGGTATTGTAGAGAAAATTCAGTCATCTCAAGGCATTATGAATATCAAAGAAAATTCCTCTTGGGTGAATTAAACTTTGAGATAACAGTGTGATAAGATAAAGTAGAACAGTAATGAGGATGGTTTGGGCTTATGAAAGGGGCCAATCTGTGATCCTGCCACGAGAGAGTGTGGGATATTTCTGGTAATGCTGCTTCACCTGGATTAACCATCTCACCCCTAAGAATTACTAACATTTAACTAAATAAATAATTCCCTGAATCACACATGAAGGTCACAAGAATTAAGGAAATGATCACCAACTAAAGAATATCTTGATTGTTAAACAAATTCTCCTTATCAGCACCTTAAGAAGTGTATGATGAACAGTATGGAGAATATGCATATTGATGTTAGGGAGTAAAGGATTAAGTGAATGGTTGTCATGAGAGCCACTTGTTATGAATAGTAGGGATAAATGAATGTGTATGTGATTTTAAATTAGCTGGATTTCACACAAAAAAGCTGCCGTCTTAAAATCACAACAGAGAAACAAATGCAATGTGCAATGAGGTTAACCAATTGAACAGAAAGTTTTAGCAATGTGCACAAATGAGGCATGCCCACTTTGGGTCTCTGACAATATAGCTTTGCTTGACTTATGTTTTTGAGAAGAAATTACTCTATCATGCCTTAAAGTTGACCTCATGCTAATGGTATATGTTGTTTTTCTTCAAGTTATTGTTATCACTGGGCTGACATTAAGATTTGAAAAAATTGTGAGAAATTTTGTGTGTCTTGTTTCTTCTTCCCCTTCAATTTTAAATTAAAGATTTACAGTTTCATTTTTTCTTTCTAGGCTTTTGGCAATGCAAGGACAAACCGTAATGACAACTCAAGTCGATTTGGCAAGTACATGGATATTCAGTTTGATTTCAAGGTGAGGAACAAAGATTATTGAATAAGGGAGATCTGGTGGCCTAACAATAGGTGCATATTATAGTAATTGTATTCATTGCAGAGTGTGTACAATTATTAAAAGTGTTACTGGTATTAATTTTCAATCTTTACTTTTTTTTACAGAATAATGTGGCTCTAAATGCTCTTAGCAACTGATTCATGTGCTCTATTTTCCCTAGGGTTCTCCAGTTGGTGGACATATCATAAACTACTTGTTGGAAAAATCCAGAGTTGTCCATCAGGCAAAAGGTTTGTTGAGGTTTAATCCTAAACTTATTTTAAAATGTTTATATTAATTAAGTTTTATAGATCAGTTTTTTACTCAGTGTGGAAGGTGTGGTGACCCAGTGTTTATCTCAGTAGACTTGGGATCCCATGGGTCAGGTTTGAGCCCTTGCACTGATTTGTGATGGATTTGTGTTCTTGGGTGATGAACTGTGTTTATCTCCCCAACCAACTGAAATCCTCTCGAGTACACTGTCTAGTTAAGTCCAAAGAAATCTTTCAAAAACCCTATTGCCCTATATAAACTATGATATGACTTAACCCTTAAACCCCCAAGAGTGACTAGCATCTAATTTCTCCTTACAATATCACCCTTGAATCAAGCACTAAGGTCACAAGACTAGAGGAAATGATCACCAACTAAAGCAGATTTGATTGTTAAATAAATTCTCCACTGTCAGCACCTTAGGAAATATACAGAGAACAGTATGGAGAATATGCATACTGATGTTAGTGTATAAGGGGTTTATGTTGTCAAGGCAGAGGGTTTAAACCTGTAATGGACTGGTATTGTGGGTTAGACTTCTATAACTACTTAACAAATAGATTCCAAGTTGCTGTGTGTCTGTTCAGTAATAGATCACAGAGGACGTCAAAATGTGGTAAGAACAAAAAAGTGGCACACAAGGCACAGCCGAGTGTTTCACTGATGTTCTTACCACATTTTGATGTCCTCTGTGATCTATTACTGAACAGACACACGGCAACTGGGAATCTATTTGTTTTATAATAAAGAATTAAAAAATGTTTCAATGATGACATCATCTATACATCTGTCCTCCAATAGATCATAAGTGAGAAACAATCAGAATGTGTGCACAACTGAGCTTATTATATAATACATGCTTGACACTATCACAGCTATGATAAACTCCTGTAGTATGGGTAACTTGGTTCATATGATGACATTAATGAGTTATCCTTTTTTTAGGTGAAAGGAATTTCCACATCTTTTACCAGTTATTGCGTGGTGGTGGTGAACAGTTACTTGAGAACCTTGAATTAGAATGGGAAAGTTCACAATATTTTTATCTTAACCAGGTATTTTACCAGCAGTTTACTTAAACTTAACATTTGTATGATTTATTCATGATTTGCAGGTTCTGTTCCAACAGGACCTGTGCATGATAGTTTGTCATATAGGTGTGATTTCTCATACTGCAAACCTTGAAATTTATTGTTTCAATCACACAATGTCTGTAACATAATGTCCAAATTTTCTATTGTTCATTTGAACCATTTAAAAATTAGATTCCTACAACTCTGTACATTTTCACTTTTTCAGGGTGGTGACCCTCATGTTGAAACACTGAATGACGCTGCAGACTTCAACCATGTAAAGAAGGCTTTGTCTGTAATTGAATTTTCTGCAGAAGAGCAGAATGCTCTGTTTGCCATCATAGCCTCAGTCCTCCACCTGGGAACTGTTGGGTTTTTGAAACCAGAAGTTGAACATGGTGAAGTTAGACTTGAGAATGGGAGGCCAGTCAATATTATTTCAAAGGTGCATTACATTTTTAAATTATTGCTGTAGGAGATATGTCACCTTAAGTGTTAGCACCCTGGGCTAGACATAAAAAAGTGAGGGTTTGAGAGGCTAGAGTTCAAAGGTTAGAGTTTGAACTGTGGCTTGATCAATGTGGTAAACCATACTTAACTTTTCACAATGCCACACTCCATACTTGAAATGGGTCTTAAATATTGAGGAACCGACAATGGTTTTAAATGAGATGGTTTAAACCAGGTTTAACAACACAACAAATACATTAATTACAACATGGCGGCTCTCCCAGTTGGGCTGCCTTTCAATGCGTATGCGTGTAAGACAACCGCTGGCCAAATACATCATGGTGGGTACTAGTTAACTCATATTCACTAGCAGGAGAAGTGGAAAAATTACTGGGGGTTCCATTTATGGACTAGCAACCTGTTCATGAAGACAAGCTGTATACCTTATCACCACAGTGCAAACTATGTTAAACAGTATATTAAGCTCTACCTGCAATGTGTACTAGGCTTGTAAGATAAAACCTAATCAAACTATTGCTAATTTCAAGCTGATATTTAGCTTCTTACCAAAATTAGACCAAGGTGTCAAAAATACAGAGGATGATGACCATGAGAGTGGTAGTGATTGTAACACTGCCTAGTGCATTGAATGCTAAGAAGCATATTGTATTTGTGAAATAACATCCTGATGTTTCTCAAAAGTGGTTTGGAAATTCAGCATTTAATTAGTATACAAGACGTGTGTTTAATCAATCTATAGCTTGAATTTATTCAATTTTCAGCTTTTGGGCTGCCCAGAAGAGGTCCTAGAGAAAGCACTCACCAGCCGTACGCTTGAGACTAAAGGAGAGAAGGTATTGGAGAACACTGTATTATACAAAAATAAATCAAATTCAGCTGATTTGTGTATTTTACAGTTTGTTGTCGCTAACTAAACAGTGAAATGGCTTCCTACAAAATTGTGTGACAACTCGTGCTATTGACTTTAATTATTCCTAATAAAAGAATATTTTGCCCTTTATATTATATAGAGATGCTTTTTTCCTCATAAAACAAAGTATTAGTAACACTTGTTTTTGCAGAAGGTTTTTTAATTGCTGAAATTGCCCTTGGGCAATTTCTGCAGAAAACATACATAATTACATTAAACCTTAATTTTACTCTGCCCCATGCTATTACCTAATATATTAATTTGAACTCTGCCATCCACCTGCCTCCTGATGATAACTCTAAGGAACATCATAATACAATATATTCATTTTTTCATGAATTGTTATTAATTTAGGTTAGAACACCATTGACCATTGAGCAGGCAGTCTATGCTCGTGATGCATTGGCAAAGGCTGTGTATGACAGAATGTTTACCTGGCTTGTTGGCCGAATTAATACTTCTCTTGAGAACAAGGTATAGCCAAGAGGACCTTTAAGTGATGTGTGTGTTGTTAATAAACAGCTTTTCTAGTTTACTTCTTGACCTACAAAAATTGGAAACTCACAGGATTTGAAAGCTTCTCCTAGTTGGCTGGTGACTGCTTTTAGTTATGTACCCTATATTCATTAAACATAATTCAATATGACTGTTTATTTTGTTCTTTGCAAAATTTTCAATCTGAGCTATTGATATTAGAAATTTGATAGATTGACTTTACCATTTCAGTCGTATCGAGGAAAAAAGACACTCATGGGTCTTTTGGATATCTATGGCTTTGAAATTTTTGAGTCAAACAGGTACAAAGATGATTTTTGCTTTACTTTTCTGCAAGTGTCCCTTGTTTTGAGACTTTGCCTTTGAAACAATGAGGTTTAATTTTTTTACATTTTTCTTTGCTTTTTTCTTTTCTTTCCTTCAAGCTTTGAACAGTTTTGTATTAATTATTGCAATGAGAAGCTTCAGCAGCTTTTTATTGAGCTGACACTAAATGAAGAACAGGAAGAATACAGGAAAGAAGGAATCAAGGTAAATCTTGCCCCTCTAGAGTTTGAACTGAATATTACTCCTCTATACCTCTAACATCAGTATGTGTATTCTCCATACTGTTCGATATACATTTCCTTAGGTGCTGATAAGGAGAATTTGTTTAACAATCAAGACCTGGTTTATTTAGTGATCATTTCCTCTATTCTTGTGTCCTTTAGTTAATGTTTGATTCGGAGGTGATATTGTAAAGAGAAAGTAAATGCTATTCACTCCAAAGGTTCAAGGGTTAAAGAAGCTCTATCACAGAAAGTGAGAGCAAGTTTAAAACTACTATTTGTTCAAAACTTTCCATGACCATGGATATATTTTGATATTTGTTTTTATTCAGCTATACACAGTGAGGCTTCTCACTTAATTCAATATCCATCTTGGAATAGAGTAGCATTGCCAATTAGATTGGGGCTTATAAAACACTTGTAGATTTGTGCTTAATGGCAATGGCATGCTGGATGCTGCAATTACCAGTTGTAAAGAGGGTTTTACCAATATTTTGATGAAGAATTATTTTATTTCTAGAGGTAAATGTTTTACTCTATTTTTTTGATTTTAGTGGGAAAAGGTTGAATTCTTTGACAACAAGATTATTTGTGATCTTATAGAAGCAAGACATCAAGGTGTCATTGCATTGCTGGTAAAGTTACAATCTGTGTTATTTTACTCAAAATAAATAGTGCACAACTTATGATCTGTAGGCTCTGTAAGGGCCTCTATCCATAGTCAATGAAATCAGAGCGACTCCTGCAAGGATGTTACTGGTAAACTGTATAGCTGACTTTTGTGTAAGGCTGACTTAACTTTGCTTTTATGAAAGCTTTTCAGAGACCAAAGTGCTTTAGTTGATTGTTCTAGGAAAATTTAGCTTTGAGATGTTGACTTATCAAATATTACAAGTAACATCTTATTCTTATTATGCAATATTTTACTTCCAGCTTTGATAGAGATGTTTTTGTTACTGACAGTTATAACTCTTGTGTTTTTCGTCTGGCCCAGTGTTCTTATCAAGTACATTTACCAGAGAGGAATGCTCTTATCTTTAATGAGAGACATTTGTTTTGTTACTCTGCTTAGTGGTGTTGTTGAACATGTGGAGCATCACTGATTCTTTTAATCAACTACCCCTGTTTTTGAAAAAGGAGGAAGTAGGAATTCTGATAATGTTTTGATGGACTATAAGGGAGAGATGTCATAATAATAGGAACACTAATCAGAGACTGTGATGCAAGTTTGCTGTTAAGGCAAAGTATCCATTGCAGATCTTTGTTAAAAAAATTGATTTTGATTTATGTTCAAAGGATGAGGAATGCTTGAGACCTGGAGAAGCCTCAGATTTGACATTCCTTGACAAGATGGAGAAGACCATAGGAAAACATGCTCACTTTGTCAGGTAAGATTGATAATTTATTAGTTAATGCAAGCTTAATACTCAGCATCCGTCAATCTTTTAAAAACATTACATTAACAATGAGGGTGCTCAACCCTTAACACCCTAGTATCAATGTTCATATTCTCCTCACTAATCTCTTTACATATCTTATGGCACTGAAATGAAGAATTTTTTGACAAGAGGAACTTCTTGAATTGGTGATCATTTCCTATATTCTTATTACTTTTATATTTGATTGAAGCATGGTACTATAAGAGAAATTATAACCCAGACACTCTAGGGAGGTAAAGGGTTAAGGGAGAATTGGCAGTAAAGGAGCTTGTATTTTTTTTTCAGCCATGCAACCTCAGGGTATAATGAGAGGAAAACTATTGAAAGAGGGGTAAGTGTTTAATGGTTTTGCCTCAGGACACTTTCCCGTTTATGTTTGTGGAACACATTGAATGCAAGTAATTCTGGAACTAACTATAATTATGATGGCTTAAAATGTTAATTTTCTTTCAGGAATTTAGATTGAAGCACTATGCGGGAGATGTCACATATTGTGTCAATGGTAATCCAATAATATGGTTGTCTTTGAGAAAAGTCTTTGTTGAGTGTTGCAACTTGTTTTTGTTGTGGCATATACTTTGTACAGGAGATATTAATCTAAATATTTTCCATGCAGGTTTCATGGACAAGAACAATGATCTTCTGTTCCGGGATTTGAAGGAAGTAAGTGTTAATGGAGTTCATGTTTCATTTTTTCTGCTGCATGCTGTTGTTGATATTCCTTGGAGTTCTGCAGGCTACACTTTGTGTTTTACATGTAAATAATGAATTAGTTAGAGTGGTGTTTCTTCATGGGTGAAAATGATAGAGCTTCAAACAACTTTTAAATTAAAGATCTCCACAAGCTCACTTAGTTACTCTTTTGTGAAGGAGATTACTGGCCTAACCCTGTGACCCCTAAGAGTGACCATCACCTAATTTCTCCTCACAATATCACCCCAGAATCACACATTAAGGTCAGAAGAATTAAAGAATTGATCATCAACTAGAGAAGCTTTTGATTGTTAAACATATTCTCCTTGTCAGCTCTTTAGGAAATGTATAGAGAACAGTATGGAGAATATGCACACTGATGTTAGGATGTAAAGGGTTAGGGTTTATCAGCAATCTTCACTCATTGGTCTTCATGGAACATCCATTAACTCTGGTTTTAAAAAAAACACACTCACACACTGGTCATAATTAATTTGAAACCTGAATATTTCTTAATGCCCTCTTTTGTGAAACTAAGATTAAACTATTATTTTTTATAACTTCCAAGGCAATGTGCAGCAGTACCAACTGCATCACATCAAAGGTGTTCCCCAAGAAAGAAATGGAGTCACTCAAAAGACCAGAAACAGTGAGGAGCAAGGACTTACAATAATTTGCTAGTAATTTATAGAATTTTGGGGTGCAGGGGTGTGTTTGGTGTCATAAAATAATGTGTAGAATGGTTAGAGGCTACAAAAAGCTTACACTTAGTTACAATTTATTTTAAATGGAGTGGAGCAGTTGCTAGGAATGACTAAAACTGCCTGTGAAATCATGAATTTCCAAGCTCTCCTCCCTACTGATGTTTCAGAGAAAATGTAAACTCTGTTTCTTCTGTTTTGCCACTTAATAGGCAGGAACTCAGTTCAAGACAAGTTTAAACAATCTGATGACAATCTTGATGAGTAAACAGCCATCATATGTCAGATGCATCAAACCAAATGACTCAAAGAAAGCAGGTGCAGTGAAAAACCTCTCTACACTCAATTGCAAAAATGTTGACACCTAGTAGACAGAAACAATACGGAAGGAACCTGGGCAGCATTCCTTTAATAATTAACACAATCAATAAGTTATCATTTTTTTCTCATTATTCATGGAAAATCTTTAATTTGACTAATTTTCTATAGGAAAAGCTTGGATAGCTTTCATTATTCATCATGTATCATGGACACAAATACCCCATGAAGTGTTTACTACATGCTCAGAAATATGAGACGTTGAATGTAGGCCCTAGCTGTTTGCTTAGTATCTGTCATATGGGAAAAAAATGCACTTATCAATGTCATCAAGTATAATCATCTGTTGTTTTGTCACCCTCTAAACTTTGAATATCAGTTGCTTCAAATATTCAGCTTTTTGCTTGTATTTTGTACAGGTGTCTTTCAAGATGATCTTGTGCTACATCAGGTAAAATACCTGGGTCTGATGGAGAACTTGAGAGTGAGAAGGGCAGGTTTTGCTTACCGCAGACCTTTCCCATTCTTCTTACAAAGGTAAATGACTTAAAGGTTATATAATCACCTTAAGAACAGTGGGACCTTTACTTATTCTTACCACTCTATATCCTTCTTTTATTCTGGCAGGTGGTTTATACATTCACTCTTATTTTAGCCTCTCGACAGCAGCCACCTCACTGCAATAATAGAGGCCACAAATTCATGTTTTATTAATGAGGAAATGCTTTTGAGCAATCTCAAGCCCCTTTAAAAAAATTAACAAGGCCTCATATGGAAATTTTAGGTTGAAAACAAATTTCTCTATAATTATAGATACAAATGTCTGTGCCCAGATACTTGGCCAGTGTGGTATGGTAAGTTGATTGTTGTTGTGTTTTGTTGTTCAAATGTAGTTTAATTTACAAAAGGAAAGCCTATAAAGTTGTGGTTGTGGTTGGTGTATATAAATTACAAATATCGACTGTATAAATGTTCTTACCAGATGATCCAGGTGAGGGTGTCAAGAAAATCTGTGAGCATCTAAACTATAAACCTGATGAATACAGGATTGGCAAGTAAGTCTAAAATAATGTAAATAGTTATCATCATTTTTATGGATAACTCCTGTATGAAAGAGTCAGTGATGTTTATCTTCCCCTTTGGGATACAAGTCTTTGATTTTGGTCTTGCCCAGATTGTTAAGTTCAAATGTAAGCATTTCTTTTTTTTTTATATGAAAAAGGCAGCTTTACCATGCAGCACAAAGAAATGGAAGAAAGGCATTTTCATAATACATGATGGTCTATGCCACTTAGAAAAGAGAATTGATATCTTTAGGGAGTTGACTAAGGGCTGGTAAGCTACATCTTGATTGGTCTCCTAGGGGTGAGGGGTGGAAGAGAGGAGTTTTCTTCAAAATTTTCAAGAGGCTGTCATGTTTCTTACAGATAGAATTTCCTTCTCCCCTCTCTGCCTTCTAGGCACCAAGTGTTGAATGTTTTGTATTTCTTCAACTAAGTATTCACAATTTATTTGATAGGTCAAAGATTTTCATCAGATTTCCCCTAACATTGTTCACCACAGAGGATGCTTTTCAAGCTAAGAAACCTGCCCTTGGTATGGTTCTTAAGATGGCTCTCTTAATTAGAGAATTGCTTAATATTTAGAATAAGAGGCCTACCATGAATTATGGAACTTGCAATTTGTACCTTTATTCATTCTGCGTAAGGAGAATTGTGTTCGACAAAATTGAACCGTAAATTTGATGTGCATGTGTCATAATATGAAGTGAATTGGGCTAGGGAGTGTTTTTATTAATTCTTGAATAATGTGGCTTGTTAAATACTTGTACTTCTAATCTATTTAATTAATTGGAAGTTGTGATCACAAAACCTTGCAATTTACTTTGACTGTTTTGTATCTTAAATTTTCATTCCTTCTGGTTCCAATTGCAATGTTTGTCATGGTCATTTAATCTTTTATAAGTTAAGTGTAATGCATATATTAATTAAGATAATGAGAGAAATTTTAATCATAAAACAGCTACAATCATCCAAGCTCAGTTCAAGGGCTACAACCAGAGACAAAAATATGTTAGGATGCGGCTGGCTGTCATCGTCATTGCAAAACACTGGAGACGAGTTCGTGCCCAAAGGCTGCTTGAACGACGAAGAAAAGCTGCCTATCGAATACGCAAGTAGGTGTTGTTATTTAGCAACATCTTTCTTTTGGTCTTTTTGGTTGTTCTTAATAATTATATATTGATCACTTTTTTTAATCTTTTAAAGGTTCATAAAGGGTTTCATAACAAGAAACCAGTCTGCAAGTGAAGAAAATACTGATGTGAGTAACAATTTTTATGTTCTACATGGTTTAGATACTTACTTTCCATGAATTGTATTGTTACTGTAACTCCAGAAAAGGGTTTTCCAGTAGTGAAAGGGAATGGAAGGTTTCATTGTGGTAGGGAGGGGATAGCTTCTGAACCTTTTGCTTGGAAGCATCTTTCTGTATCAGTAAGCCTTTAACTTATTCATGTCTTGACTAAACTTGCAATTTTTCTTGCTCCACCTTTACACCTTGTCTCATAATTAACTTACCAAACAGTTCCTTAAGCACATGTGTATTTGGAAAAAAGACAATCAACTGCACAATTTTCCACAGGAAACAAATTACAGGGATGTTTTCTGTTAAAAAAAGGAGGGAATTTTACTTAAGTTCCAGTTTTAGTTGGGAAATGATTCAAAGGCTATCAAAGCAGAGCTGTATATTAGGATAATGATGCAAATTTTCACAACACCTCTAAAATAAGTTGCATTTTTTCAGTTTATTGCCTATGTAAGGAAGTCATATCTTCTGTTGCTGGCAAAACGTTTACCCAGTAGTGTCCTGGACAAGAGCTGGCCAAAGCCTCCTGGATCAATGGTGGAGGTTAGTTGGATACAGTAGCTTTTGAGCAGGAGGAAGGCTGATCTGGGCCCAGTTGTTCAAAGGCTGATTATTGCTAAGCCAGGGTTACATTTAAATCTGGTTTCTTTATTTTTTTGTTCATGAGCCATTTGCTGAAAATTTTTCACCAGATTGTAGACAAAAAAAATGGTGCTGAATTTTCATTTAAAGCTTTCAGATTAACCCAGCTTTGAAAAACTGGGTCTTGATGTTAAGGTCAGTGTGCTGCACTGGGGGTTACGAGGTTCAGGTGTAAGACTGGGCTGCAGCTGGGTCCTTGAATTCTGTCATTGGGCAAGACACTTTTCTCACATTGCCTCTTCTCATCTAGGAGTATGAATGTCCATAAATGGTGGAAAGGGAGGAGGGGAGTAGCAATACACCTGATGCTCCATGCTATGGATGATGGGATAAGCACCAGTGCCTTGTTTTCCACTTGGCTTTTGAGTGTAAACTTCATCCCTTTTCAGTGATCTTCTTTCCTGAAGTTTGCTCAACTTTCTCAGAATGTGAGGATGATTTCATTGTTTCTAACAGGTTTCTGAACAACTTCATAAAATGCACACTCGTCACCTTGTAAGAAAGTATGTTCAAGGCATCACACCAGAGAAGAAAGCCCAGGTCAGTATTTGGCCCTTCATTCTTTATTTTAATATGCATATCTTCTATACTATTCAATATACATTTCCTACAACACTGATGGGGAGGACTTCATCACAATCCAGACTCCCTTTAGCTGGTGATCATTTCTTTTATTCTCATGACCTTAATGTTTGATTCAAGGGGGATGCTGTAAGGAGATACTAGATGCCAGTCACTCTAGAAGATTAATGGTCTTACACCCTGTGATTATTATTATTAATCTTTGACAACTGATGGCAAAAACATGGTTCTTGAAAACATTCATTTAAAGACATTTTTATCATGTAAATTTTTTTGGTATGTATGCACATGTGGTATTAGCCTACCCAAGCACTATTCCATATTTTATTCAAGGTATAAATATCTATATTCTGTTGCAAGCATTTCCAGATACAATATTCTCCAAAGTCTTATAGACAACATACTGTTAAAAAGATTTGTTCAATTAATTTCCTCCATGCAGTGAATCAATCAGTTACCTTTCTTTCTTCAGCTCAACATGAAGGTCACAGCCAGTGAAATGTTTAAAGGAAAGAAGGCCAGTTATGGAGAGAGTATACCAATGCCATTTGAGCCTCACAGGCTAGGTATTGCCTTCAGTTATTTGTTTATCTGTGTGTTTATTTGTGTACTGATGTAAAATGTACATTAATTTGCCATTCCAATGCTCATCATGGTAGATTCCATGGTGTTTCATGATGAAAAAAAATTCATATTTGTAATATATCGACCAAGTAAACTTCTATGTATTTTAAATCAGGGTAATATCCATTTCACTCATTTTATTTGCTTAAGTAATAGTCCTGCAAAGCTCTCAGTGCATAAAATAAGACATTGTTAGTTTTTTGTAAGGGTGGAACTACAAATAAAGTAAGGAAATTGAATCCCTGACTATTGGATTTTGTGGTTATTATGTTTTCACTGTATCTTGTACAGGTGTTGCTTTGGAAATGCTGAAGAAGACTGTTGTAACAGACAAACAGATCATTCCATCATCAGAAACCATTAGGGTGAGAACCCATTTATTACTGTTGACAATTGACCCTCCTTCCCTAACTTCTTCTTTTACTTCTGGATGTCTTATCTTTATCTGCCCTGTGGAATATTCTTTCTGTTTAGAAATGAAAAGAATGCTAAGGATTATGAATTTTGTTTAGTTATGATCAGTGTATAGTAGATTTTATGACAGAAGAATGATTATTGAGGCAGATAATGATATTGATATTTGAATAATCAGCTTCAAATTTTACTTTACATAAGAATGCTTGTGAGTAGCTTCACTTAAACATGCTTCTTTTTCTATCTTAGTACTGCACTGGAGTTGACAAGTATGACAGAAATGGGTACAAACTGAGGACACGTATATTAATCCTAACAGAACAGGTACTGTTTGAGAAAAAAACATCTTCTCCCTTTTCCTTACATTTCATGTCTGGTCCAAAGAGACCCAGTGGCTAAATGGTCAGAGCACCAGACTCAGGATGGAGTGGACTGGGTTCAAGACCTGGCCAGGTCACTGTGTTGTGTTCTTAGTGAGACACTTCTCTCTCACAGTGTCTCTCTCCTCCCAGGAATATAAATGGTACTCATGGGGAATTGTCAGGGAAGCCTAGTGAAATGCTGGGTGGTAACCTTACAGTGGACTTGCATTCCATCCAGGGGGAGGTAGTAATGCTCTTAGACACTTCATGCTATGGAAACTAGATAAATATTATCAATATTGTTAGTAATATTAATATTGTGATCATCTTTGTTGATCTGATTTAACTTTTATTATTATCACTATTGGTACTGTTACTATAAATGTTATTATAAAGTATTAAATCCTTCATAAGTTATTAAAATTAATATTGTTATTAATTATATAATAATTCTATCACTTATTTCACGTCTGTGATGTGCTTGTTTCATTGCAGGCAATTTACATTCTGGATGACAAGACTTACAAGCTGAAGCATAGAATTACCAACAGCAGTTTGACAGGTGAGTGCAGTATATATCTGATTTGAATGATTAAATGCTGCCTTGAATTTTGCTCTGCCCCACCAAATCAAGGCCACATCTAAGAATACCATGCTTGTTTGGGGACTTAAGATTCATCTGTAACAGCTGCAGAAGTTTACTTTCCTCCAAAACAAACAGTTAATCTGCAAGGAATAAAGTTTTAATATTTGTGGAAGGAGGAAATAGTAGAACGGTAGAGACCACAGATTTGAATGGAATGTCATGAATCAGGGATTCCATGAATCAGAGATTTAAATAGATTATTTTTAGATAAATTGCAATTAGTTATTATGACTTCAGTGCTGTAGATGCCATCACGGGTTCATATTTTAGCATGGGCTGTTATAGATTTGAATCACAAGGAAAGTTTGGAGAGTATCAAATTAAGATGTGTAAAAGTTACTTGCAGCATAGGTATTCTCCAAACTTCTCAAGTGCTTTATTTTTTTGATGAGCCTACAGTCAAAGCATGGACCAATTGTCTTACAATATTTTCAATATAGCATTGATAATATTGTAGTACGGGAAATTCAATATGCTATGCTTCATAGGAAAATAATATTTTTGAATTGTGCTACATTCTTAGGTATTTCAGTCAGCTCTAAAACGGATGGAGTTATTGTTCTTCACTTACCAATTGAAGGCAGAGGGGACAAGGTGAGCTTAAGCATTTTATGGAAATATTGATTTTACCATCATTTGCACAGTTCTAGTCATACTGAAGTGAAATGATTTTTTTTCAGGTTTATCATGTGTAATCCACAGTGTCTTACCTGATCATCCCTTTTTCTCGTGAATACTAACCCTTTAACGTCAATGTAAAACAGAAATACCTTTATTGACACTTAAGTTCTTTAAAGTATTGTGACATAGTTCTTGATCATTTCAGGGTGATCTTATACTGACGAGCACTCATGTCATTGAAACAGTTGTTTATATCCTGAATGCCCTGAACAACAATCAGCTTCTCAAAATTGAGACAGGAGAGTAAGTCTTCATTTTTTGTTTGAAAATCTATTGCCTTGAGCACTGAAAATCTTTTGACAACCGGGCAGAGTGTTTTTTGGTAGTGATTTAGTTTCCTCCTGCTGATCATTCAGTATAAATAAAACATTCTTACCATTACAGTTATCACCACTATCATATTGCATTACTTTAATTTCCATCATTATCAATATCATGTTTAATATGATTATTATGATTATCCAACTAGAATTTTGGAAGCTTTTCTTAAGAATTACCCCCAGTCACTCAAGTAAAATCCTCATCTCTGGCACTTTGCTTTCCAGCCCTCTTCCTTCAATGTCAAGATTCTTTGTTTTTAGTTTGAGGTTTGCTGTTCTAAATAACACTGAATTAAAAATTTTTTTCTCACTCAGAATAAAACACAACATGGCCAAAGATAAGACAGGGACAATTTCATTTTCTGATGGGTATGCTGGATATTTTCTATCTTATGTTGTGTAGAAACTTAAAATAAAACTCTAACTGCAAATTCTGTTTTGATTATTTTTCAGGCTTTTGTTAACATTGACCTTGTAGTGGTTTGTAGGGATATTAAATGGGGAAGGGGTTTGAGAGGTGGTTGAGGGCCTCACACTTCCGGTACTGTACCATCCTGTCCCCCACTCTTTTTCATGAAATATGGCAGATTAACCATAAGCAATTTTCCGCGTTTTTTCAGTCCTCTCCCAGTTCTTGTTCCTTCTTCCCTCATTTCCCTTATGCTGTGCAAACCCCATTACCGTATTTCTTCACGTATAAGCTGAGTGATTTTTCAGTATTTGACACAAAAGTTTGAAAATTTTTTCACAAGAAACGGGATTCAGCTTAAGCTGAAGGTTTGGGATTCAAAACAATTACAAATTTAATGTTAATGCGAAATGACCGTAAATTTCGTGACTGCAGCGCTCTTTACGTGATGTGCTTTTAAATTGACATGATAACAACGTATTTCTGACCACCAATCAGATTCTTTGCTTCCCACGCATGGAAAGACGCCAAAAACCCTCCTCATCGCACATTACTTATGAAATATTTGGTCTCTCTGCCGTGAAAGTCACTCCATCGCTTGCTCGTCTAGTTCGGGACACTTGGGACTGAAACGGCCTATTTTTACACGTTTTGCAGACATCTTAAGCTTGCCAGAAAGAATAGTCGCCTAGTCTCGTCTCCAGCGTCGCACCATGGACTCGATAAGTCCATAATCTCGAGCGATTTCCGAGCTGTTTTATACAGCTTCAGCTTCCGCGATAACTTTTATCCTGAAAGCTATAGTATACGAAAAGCGGCGTGCTTCTGGCATGATGAGAAAAATAACAGTGACGAAAGAGATACTCGATTGAAACGTTTGTCAGGCTACAGTAACTGTTGTGTTTCTGCAGTCGCGTAGTAGTATTTACATCTTCACTGATTCGCCTTTTTTTCTTTTGGGTTTATTCTCATTCATTAGCTTTTGTGTTCATTGAGCCATTTCCCAATTTTTTCCGTGCGATTCGCACACTGAAATGGTCGGTTATAATCAAGAATTTCGCTCTCGGCTCATAGCCGATGGTTTTGCTTTTTCTTTTGGATAACACGAGTCTGTTGGAAGGTCTCTAACTTTTAGGGTCTCGGCTCATAGCCGAGGTCGGCTTATAGGTGAAGAAATACGGTATCTAAGGTTTCTGTACCCCTGCTATCCCTACTTATTGATAAACCTATACAGAAATGTGTGCCTCTGTATGGAATGGGACATGTTACATATTAAGAAACTTTAATATCATCTTCTTTCTTTAAACATATCTATCAGATGACTTAAGCTGAGAGAAAATCAACAGAAATATCACTGACCACATTTTACTGCGGTTGTTCAAGGATTTGTGGCTGATTTTAAATTACATCAGGAAGTTTTGGTTTAAATTGTTATCTTTGCCTTTTTAAGTTATTTGTAATTTTTTTTATTTTATAGCTCTGAGTTGTTTATTAAAAAGGGACAGACTGGTAACTTGGAAGTGGTGAGTATTTTCCAAAGTCTGTGACTTAATGTCCTTGTGTCAGTCTTAAGATCTTGAACTCTCTTTGAAAAATATTTCATGATGATGTGTGTCAGTCTGATGCTCCATATTGGGAGTTTGGGCATGGGGCCAATCACCTTACCTGGTAAAATGTATTAAAGCTTAATTACAAAAAGAAATAAGATACTGAGGATTACTGGTTATAACTACTGCAGAACAAGGTTGCACCCAGGCCCTGGTTGGCTTGGTTATTGTGTTTTTGTGTGCTGATCCTGGGCAAGACACTGATGTCAGTACCATATGAAATTTATGGTCAACATTATTGAGAATATGCGTACTGATGTTAGGGTTTAAAGTGTTAACCCTTCTGCTCCTGAGGGTGTTCATCTCACAGATTCTCCTTTCAATTTTGACACACTGTCAATTGGACTGGTAATGAGAGTTAATGTGGGGGTAATGTGAAACTTGAGGAACTGTTCTCGGGTGACCTTTGACAGATCCATATCCCATTCAGGGAAAGAATCCACATTATTCCTAGTCACTCTACTGTAGAGAAAAAAAAAGGGATAAGCTCATTCACTTTTTGTTGTGTAATGGCAATTCACAAAATAAGATATTCTTGGCCAAAGTAAAAGTTATGGGATATTTGGCCTTATAAATGGCCTAAGGGCATCCATTTGGGCAAGAAAAGAATGATTGAGTCAGTATGGCAGATGTCATACCATCAGTGTAAATCTCATACCTGTTTGCTTGAATCAATGAAAGCTTTAACCCTTTGCTGTTGTTTTTATATCTTAGACTGCCCCAGTTCCCAAAACTGTGAAGTAGTCAGTTTGATGAAAGCTGATGGCTAGGCAATGATGAAAATCCATGAGAGCTGGTATAAAATATGTCTAAATCATATCAATGTATTTAATGACCCCTCTGAAAATGCTTCTTGGAAAATTATTAACTAATTATCACTAACAAATATTTTCCCCCTAAGTCAAATCACTTTTATATGAAAATCAATTTGCACTTTTTATAACATTATGTGGCCTTCCAGTGTACCAGCCATTAAATCTAGGCATATCTTGCATGATAGAGTACAAAAAGTGCTCATAAGAACCTGTAAGACTAAAATTTCCTAGTCAAGCACTCTTCACATGAGAACCATTTTAGGCTAAAATCTCAACACAGGCTCTTATTTTGGTAACATAGAAATTTTCAAATATAATATCATACATTACATGCAATACAAAAAAGGGTAACAAAAAACTAGCCAGAACACTGGCAGTGTTATAAGACCTCAATACTGTATTGTCAATACCTCTATAGTGGCGTAACGCATTCAACTGTGCGTGTAGGTTAACCATGTAAAGCAGGGCGCTATAAAGCTTGAATAGCCAACAGTACCACACCCATGCCTAAGAATATAAATTGTGGTTTCTTTTTTTTTTGTTTTGTTTTGTTTTTAATGATAAAAACCTAGGTAACCTAATTTCACAGATAAAAACCATTTATTTAAGAACCTATGGAGGTTGACTTGAAAAAACCTAGGTTTTTACTGTACCTGACTGTTTGAATTTTATTTTAAGATGATATACAGAATATATATTTTGTGTCAGTTGAATTGAATTGTCCAGATTTTTTTGAATGGTAGTGTTACACTGAGAAGAAGAAATTTATTATTGTGCAGTAACCATGATTGAATTTTTGATTCATTATCAGTTATTTTGGCAAAAGTAAATGGGATAAAAAAGATGAATTACTGATTTTTACAAGACACAGGTGCTATGTTCTCTGCCTGATTCACCCAACTTCACAGATTTTAAACAATAAGCCCTCAGTGTGACACTAAAATGTTTCTCACCATTCATTTAGAATATTTCAATTGATACAGGATTTGGAAAAAAATTGTTTAAAACATTGTGAACAGTTTTGATATTCAGCTTTACTTCACTTAACAGTCTTTTAAAAATGTTCTCTATTGCTTCATTTTCTCTAAAGGGCACAGGTTGTATTTTACAGTTTGCCAAAAATATTGGAATCTTTCTACAACCTTGAGTATTAAAATGAAAAATTACCCAAGTTTATTCATTGACTAACTTTGAGTACCTTATTGTTAGTTGTAACAATATTATGAAAATAAAGAAACAATTTAGGAATACATTACTTTTATACCAGAAAATGTTGGATCATTTTAGATTTAGTGTTCGTTTTGCCCTCATAATAACAACTTTGTTATATACACAATGATTCGATTTACCTCCCTTGTTCCAGTAAGGGCGCATTCGTTCCAATAAGCGCGCCCTCGTTCCAATAAGCGCGCCCTCGTTCCAATAAGCGCGCCCTCGTTCCAATAAGCGCGCCCTCGTTCCAATAAGCGCGCCCTCATTCCAATAAGCGCGCTCTTGTTTCAATAAGCGCGCCCTCGTTCCAATAAGCGCGCCCTCGTTCCAATAAGCGCACCCTTTTATCCATCAATTATTTTTGCCCACGCGCGGTCGGTTTCAACGAGTCAAGTAATCAGGTATGCCATGTTGAACTTGAAAATACAAAACAAATCATGCGCTATAGCTTCCACTGGAATAAAGTTTTCCTCTTCGCTCTCGAGAGATCCTTCACCTCTTGAACAAACGATGTTCGAGGACAACTACTCGTGCGCGAAATGGAGGCTCTTTTTATGGATTAATAATTCTCAAAGCATTACTTTGCGTGGGTGGAACAAAACTTTTACACAGTTTTTAATTTTCAAATTTCTCATGTACAATCCAGTGAGCAAAGAATATTCTTACCTTTGTAGCAAACTTTCAATATGCTGGCGTTTCGAAAGTTTGTTTTTGTGCTCTGATGAAGGGTTAATGTTCGTAACGATAGCAACTCAAAGTTCGCTCCAGGGGCTTAACATTCCTCTATTTTAGCAAGAGATAATCATCCGCCCACGAAAGCACTGTTTCTGGTTTACGTCTATGTCTACCGAGTTCTAAGTTAAGCACACTTTTCTCCGATGCGAACTGGTTTTTAGAACATTGTTCCGTTCAACCCTAGTCCTTCTCTACAATTCCAATCCTGAATTGTGTTTAGTCACGCAATAAATGATTGAGAAGTTAACCCTGGGGCCTAGGCTTTAGTTTTTCCAATCACGCAATATGCTCAACTGAATTCAAGCGTCTACGTGCGTGCCTCAAAATGCGTTCTAAATTATTTGTAGATTGATTTTTCTTACTGTAATGTACCGTGCGCGAAGACTGAGATTACTGCTCTCTTGGGCGCTTCTTTTTTTCGTTGTTTTATTTCTCATCAAAAACAGAAAACGCCGAGGCGAGAGAATGGCTGATGGAGAGGACGTTCTTTCGTTCCGGAAAAGTTCTAAACTTTCCACGACTGAGAGTAATGTCGACGAAAAGCTTGGTGAAGGACGCTTAAATGTATCAGTTTGGGAAGAAATCTGCGGTTATGAACTAATGTCACTGAAGGAGTTCCCGCTTTTCCCACACTCGCCGACATCACGCCGAAGCACGTCGACCTTGCGATTACGCTTCAAACAAAACTTAGTAAATGTTGGATTACGAATTTTCGGATTTATTTCGCCGGTAGAATCTGGGAATTACAACTTTCATTTAGCTTCGAGTGGATCGACGGAATTGTGGATTAGTTCGGATACGAACCCCGAAAATAGCAAGCTTGTGGGAAACGTAACATCGGGGACAACTCGGACACATGATGGAAATATTATTTCTTTATCAGCGCTAAAGCTTTACTATTTAGAAATTTTACATAAACATGGCCTTCACAGCCAACATAATTTCATGTACGTTAAATGGCGATCTTCGACTTGGAAAGAGCAAGGTTATAGAGATATTCCTTCAGATTTACTTATGCCATCCGAGGACGATCAACATTCAAATGTATTTGGTAAAATCAAACTGCAATCGTTACTGAATCAGCGAGTTGTTCAACGGGATACCATCCTTCCAATGCACGTTCAACAAAGTGAACCATCCTTTGTAAATGAAGAAGTAAAACGTCGTTCAGAAATGTATTTCCTTCCCTTCATCACCGAAGAAGACACTAAAGATTTATTCCCGCCGTGTCAGTATAATCCATCCTACATAGTGAAAAATTCTTTAGATAGATACCAGTCCATGTGGGAAACCCATTACACCTCGATTTATCCTCACGACCATGCAGATATTATGAGAAAGAGGTGGGAAACGGACGATTTTGTGACTTTCGGTAACGATCAGTTGGACGAAAATGCAGCAAGGAAGATTGTTGCTCAAGTCTGGACGCAAATTCAAGTCAAGTCCCCAAGGTATATAAGTTTCAATTTTTAATGTTTTCTTTTGACTGCACCTTTTTACTAGCAGATTGTATTCGTTCTCGATTAGGTTAGTCAAAGTTTAACAGGACTATTATCATGGGATTCACCGTATCTGATTAATTTAAAAATTTTCGCTCTTTGATAATGTGATTCACGTCGAAAGAATGGGAACTGCGATTTCATGCTATTGACACGGTTCATTCATGCGCATTTCAGTTTCATTTGAAACGAACTAGCGAACTATCGATCGACTCGATTCAACAACTAACGTGTTAGAGAATTAAAATTTTGTCATGCTCTGACAATATGGCTATCGCATATGACTTCGTAAATTGTTCAATCGCCTCGTCTATTTATGCTCGGTTAATTTTAAAAAAATTTAAAAGCAGCACTCAGTTTTCCTGCAGTTTGGTGAAAGTACGGGCAACTTGAGAAAATTTGGTTCCCTTCTTGAACAGCAATGAAAAAAATGCCGAATACTTAAAAAGTTCAAAGGTAAATCGTCCAAGTGGAACCAGTTGTGATTATGGCATCGGAAAACTACAATATTTTGTCAATGAAATTGTGAAACAGCTGAGCACGTGGCGAAGATATATATTTGATCAGATACCTGTTCGGCTGCCTTATCGGCTAATAATGTTTACTTGAAAATTTTGATTGCTTCAACTTTTTGAAGCTGGCTCACTGATTCGATTGCAATCATCTTTTACGGTGTGAAGCTTGTTTGCTCAGTGATTGTGAAAGACACAAAGTCTCCGACACCACGAGCACTAAGTAAGTAAACAAAACATCTAATTTTGTGTTTTTGACTGAATTTAATTCCTTAGGACCTTATCCTTCTCTAAGATAAAACTGCAGGCACAAAGGCAATCTATTTTTTTCGACATTGTTTTATTTGTCCAAAAATTGTATGCACAATGAATTTGTGAGCTCTTAGAAAATCTTGCCTTTTTCGTTGGTATGGTAATCATTAACGATGCCTTGTCGAAATTTTATATGATGTTGGGATCGTAGATGGAATCTTTGGGGTCAATCTGCAGAATTATTCCTTATCTTTTCGCAATAGTTTACAGCATAGACAAAATACGTTTTAATGAGTTATCGAAGCGACCGCAAACTGATTACAAACAAAAGGTTTTTGTGCACGTTCATGAATGGAATAGTGACAAAGTCTAGCAGTTTCTAGATTATAATGAAATAAAGCAAATTTATAAGTTAAATGTTGAGGGGTAAGAATTAACCAGAAAATCTACATTTAAAGCCTTAGCCGAAGCCAAAACGAGACGCGCAGGTGTCCTACTGGTATACCAGTTGCATTAAAAAATGTCTCATTTTGCCCCACTCGACCTGTTCTCACATCATTCGTAAAAATGGCGTTTCAGTCCTTTGACTTAAACTAATTAACTTTCAGTGGAAACTCAATGGATTGCGAAAAATATTGAACAAACAAATCAAGCAAAACCGAAAGGCCTTTATTATAATGTTTTCAACTTCGTTTATTTCATAAAAAAAACCACCAGAGGCAACCAAAAAAAAAATACCCAACAGCTGTTTGATAAAAAATTAATTCTCGTCAGCATCGTCAATAACCCAAACCTCACCTGGTGAAAGAAGTCGCATATAGCTGTAGTCCCAAGCTGAAAGATAATTTTTAGTGAAAGGTTAACCAGAATTCATTCCACTCTTGCTTGAAGAAGTGAAAAAATAAATTTTGCTTTAGTTGGAATCGCTTAAGGATGTATCTTTTTACACGATGTCGTATGAATGTAGACCGGAAGTAAAACTTGTGACGTTTAGGTTCCGTTCTTAAAACAGGCGGGGCTGTTAAGACTTCCGTTTAGGTGACTTACGCAACAATACAGACGAAGAACCAAACGTTTCCATTTTGACCTCATGGGTTTGGAATGTAGAGCTAACAAGAAAAATTTCTCAGTTTCCTTTCTGTTGCATGGTAGAATCTGGCTTGTCACATCGTTTGGTATGATTGCGTGACGCAGGAAAGGACGTAATCAAAAGTATTTCGAACATTTGAAACATGCATGCCAGTGTCATTCGCTGAGTAACTTCATCTTTCATTTTAAATCACCAGTCTTAAAAATTGCTATCTTCATGTACATCATCGATGCGCAAAAGTATTACATTCGGCATTCCTATCGTAGCAGTATGCATTTTTCACCATGGACCTAGTCAAACGGACCAGCCTGCCAAAAGTTTCCTAAAAGCTCAGTGGTGAAGCATTTAAAGTACTCGGAGCACTCGGAGTTCTTTTTTCCGAATATGCCAGTGTCATTCATTGAATAACATTATCATTCACTTGTTTTCCTTTTTCTCCTTTGCATTACAGGAAGTATATCCTTGAACACATCTTGAATGTGGAAGAAAATCATGATCCTGGAAAGGGTGACAGATATTTAGTAGAACTAGAACTGAAAGAAATTTCAAGTAGAAGATCTTTGAGGTTCTCTGAATATGTGTACCGGCTTAAGGAATCGGGTGCTTTTTGCATCCCTGTGGGCGTGGCATGGAACAAGAGGGCTGTCGTCAATATCCTTCTTGCAACCGGGAATAATCAGGGGCGATGGACTCTCCATTTTCTTGATCACATGTCAAGAATATACAATAAGACCATGGATTTCAATTTTAATGTAATTATCGCTGAATTCGATGGCATCGATGTTGACTTAAAGGAAGCTCTGAGGAAGAGTGGAATCCCACAGTATCGGCATATTAGACTTCGAGGAAGATTTGAAAAGGCAAAGGGGCTACAGCTGGCTGCCAGTACGGTTACAAATCCGAACTCAATAGTGTTTGTCATGGATCTTCATTTAGATATTCCCTATCATTTTCTAGATGATGTCAGAAAGGTTTGTGAGAGTTTTGCGCACATCGTTTTTTCTCTTTTAATATCTTGTCCATCAACTAAGAAAAACAACCTTTGGAGCGAGTATGAATCATCGAAGAGCCAGAAACCTGGTAACTAGAGTATAACAGTTTTCACTGAGCAATAGCCCAAAAGAAAAGAGAAATCTCTTCATTTAGTTAGTAGTCGGACATAGAGCCGTTTTTTTCTTACTGATACTTAACCTCAGTTCCCCTGACCCTAAGCGTGACCTGCTTCTAATTTCTCCCTTGAGTGTCACCATCGGTCAAACTTTAGCAAATCAAGTGCGTCTATTTTCTCTTTCCCTCTCCTCAAGCATTTACGTTCGTTAGATTCCCCGTGGTTCTTACCTTGCTTACACAGTGATCTAAGGAAGAATAGAGAGGTCTGTGAATAAGCTATGTCCTTTGTTTCAGGATTGTTTCATGAAATACTGCGCCCATATCACGGACGATTTCTGAGTGTTCCGTTTTCAGTAGATCTAAATTTGGAGGGGTTGAATTTCCTCGCCAGCGTAAAGCAGATAGAAGATTTGCAATTGTAGTCTGATTTTTGGAAACATGTTTCGGTGTTTTTCTGCAGCATTGTGTTCAAGGCAAGATCGCCTACAGTCCCATACTCGTTCGACTATCTTGTGGGGCGACAGCACGGCATCGCAGAGGCTTTTGGGAACACTTTGGTTACGGTTTGATGGGCATGTACAAAAGTGACTGGGACAGAATTGGAGGAATGAATGTAAAAGAGTTCAAGAACAAATGGGGTGGAGAAGATTGGGAGATCTGTGATCGCATTTTGATGAATGGTATGGAGATAGAGAGGCTAAAAATGGTTCATTTATTTCATTATTTCCACACCAAAAAAGGCATGTGGTCTGATGTTAGAAATGACACAGATATTGTCGAGTACACAGACCTCTCCTGACATAATAAATGAGTGTGATTTGCAGCCGGAATGCAGTAAATGAGATTTGACAGACAAATAGGAAACTTTTGAAATTGGCACTTAAGTGTAGATAAGATATTCATATATTTTAACTGAAGAATAGTATTATTTTCTCGTTGACTTTCATCGAATTTATATGTGAAAAAGAAATAAAAAGGTATGCAATTCATGAATTTATGGACAAGTTCACCTCGATCGATTATACAAAACGAATTCTTTTTTTTTTTTTTTCACTATATACAACAAATTTTGAGTGTGAAAACGATCAAACTGCATGTTATCTTGTGATTGGACAGCCGCCACTGGATAACCTCTTGACATCGATCTGCTGATAACCAATCAGAATCGAGAATTTTCTCACAGGTTCGAATAGTTTCGAAAATACTCGAGGGGCTTATGCCAATTATAAAGGTCGCCACACACACGGGGGGACTAGTCCCTGCGACTAGTCCCAGCAACTATTCCCCTGAAGAGTTTACACGAAGGGACTGGTCGCAAGGACTAGTCCCTAGTAGTGTTTACACGCAGGGACCAATTGCACAGGAAAGTAGCAAAAATTGGGGGCAAATGGTGTCATTCTTTCACTCTACAGCTTTCTTAAGAAACCAAAATTCTTAAAATAGCAATGTAGCATTGCAATAAATCAGCTCAGTACAAACCGCAGATTGTTCCGCGAAATTATGCAGTGCTTGAATTGTTTCTGATTCAGTTAGGATATAAGCAGAAATAACGCTTTGTTACCGATCAGATGTGGCCAATACAGAAACAAAAGGGGCGGAAATTCGATCAAGATTTCCAGTACTCGTGTAAATTATTTCAGAACTGGTTTAATCCCGGGAAGTAAACATCAAAGAAATTATCCCGGAAGTCACGCAATCGCCTCTGTACATTGTGCTTTCAGGCGGGAAAATATGGCAAATATGATTGTGATACCTATCTGTGATTGGTTTATTTAAATTTGGTCGCAGGAACTAGTCCCACGAACAGTTCACACGAAGCGTTTTGAGGAACAAGTCCAGGGACCAAATTTTAGTCCCTGCGACTAGATTTTGTGGCAAAAATGGCTATTTCAAACGATAGGACTTGTTCCCTGGACTTGTTGCAGGGACTAGTCGCAGAGACTAGTCGCAGGGACTAGCCGCGTGTGTGCCGACCTTAAAGATGATATGCTTTACTTTAATTAATTTTTGATGCTAATACATCAAGACAAAAATACTACGAAAAAGAAAGTATGCAATCAGTCTTCTCTTGTGTTTCAATTTGCGGTTCGTTTACCCTTGTTTTTGTTAGTTCAGTTATGTTTTCATACGACATATTAAGACATATTATTTTTTACACTCCATGGTAATATGAGGTGTTACAATGTTGTTAACCCTTTGATATATGAAGAGTGACCGGCTTCTAATTTCTCCTTACAATAATACTGCTGGATCATTTGTTAAGATCATGAGAGTAAAGGAAATTATTGATAATCTATGTAGTTTTGATTGTTACACGAACTCTCCTTACAGCACTAACGGAAAAGTATTGAGAAGAGTATGGAGAATGTGGATACTGATGTTAGGGCGTAAAGGGTTAAAGGGGAAAATGGTAAAAGAACAGAAAGCCAGCAAAAGTTTTGACATATAAAACTTTTGAGAAGTAATCAATGTTTCAGTAGTTTTTCGAAATTAGCTTGGAAGAAATAAATTGGAAGTACATGACATTAACTGATTTAGCTGTAGCTATGAGCGAAACCATAGCACATCACGGAGAAACAACATCAACGAATAATAGTCCATTAAGAAGTCCTGACTAGTTCTCCTTGAGGACATTATGAAATGTTCGACTGCTTTGTCTACGTCTTTTTCGCTTTGTGTCTTGCGCGTGAAAATTCCGCGGTAAAAATGACAAACTTCTCCCTTACGATTCAGCAAACTAGTTTCGCAAAGGGAGGAAACACACATGGTCGCCTCTGGTTGAACCTTTGGTGAGAGATGGAATTGGTTTGTAAGCCGCCGAGACATTTTGCTTATCAGAAGTACGCAGACCATATTACGCCTGCTTCCAGTAAAGAGGTCAGCGGTGGCCCGTCTTTCGCTAGTGGCGATAGACGGTACACAACAACAATTGCAATACAGTCTCAGCCACGAATAGTGCGACTGGGCGTGGCCTAGTCCTCAATATTTATGGGCCTTTGGGGTCGCCTGTTCTAAATACCATAAGACAGCTTTCGTCGCCGGAGCACAAGGAGAAGGTGGGGGGGGGGGGGGGTTGCTTGTTTCTTGGTATATGAGAGGATCGGGCTCCTATCTGTCAACGTTTGCGCTCAAATAAAGTCACCCTTCCTTACTCCTCCTTTGTGCACTGGCCACGTAAGCTATCATACAATATATTTGATGGACCCTCTAATGTTGATGTTACATGTGGAATCTGACTTCACGCACAATATTTCAATCACTGTTACCAGAGTCATACTAACCCTGCTTCATTGCTAATCAAGTCTCCGAGCCGTCGGATTTGTGCTCATCAAAGAATGCTTGAATTTTGACCATCTTGGGTGCCTGGCCAAAAACATTTAACAAATCTAGTGACGGTACAAAATGTGAGGTGTTCATGTCCCTAACAATAGATCTTTGACAGCCGGCTTGTTAGATTTTAGGGAGATTATGGCGGATCTTCGTCCTGGACGGGGAGAGCGTGGGTTTGTACATGTTGTATCCCATCGAGAAACTGTTAAACGCCTCATGTCTCGGTGATCACTCTTATGCAGTTACATTCAACTTCGAGTTTATGCTCCAAGAAATATCATTTTTTCGAAAAGATTTCGTAAATCTTGGTTATGGTGTTACTCGATATCTGAAGATAACATTTGAGCGGAGGGTAAGTAGCGCCAGGTCTTTTCGCCACAAGCGAGTTTATCAAGGCCTAACGCGAATGTGCCAACATTCCCGCCGTAAGCGAGTTCGTCAACTTCTGGGGCAGTTCCCCAACGTCTTAGGTCATAGAAGGAAGGTTTTGATGCCGATGATACCTCTTAGGTTTTTGTTGTCGTAGACGGAATTAATTATTTAGGATTGGAGAGACATCCGAGTAGGCCCTGATATATATCGGTGGGGCGTGCTTGCAAAGCTGTGTTCAGTTAATTACAAACAGGAACTCTGGTTGGAAGGAACCTTGCTCGCTGACGTGGCGAGGCTGTTAACCAGATCAAGTGTAAGATTTGTAACTGTCTGTCTGGAGTATTGCGTCTGAGAAAAGTCCTTCAAATTATTGATAAAGAGAGTGCATTGTTTGATTTTTGTCGGTTTAGCACCTACAATGCTACGCTGATTAAATCAGCTTAAGTTACTACATATTTTCATCGCAAATAAAGCAGATGCTGGAGATAATGCGCAAATTAAATCGATTTGAAGCTTCCATTCCATCCCACGCATTTGACACTCGTCCGTGACCGGGGGGTGGGGAATTTGAACCTTACCTGGGTGGGATGGGAAATTTAAACCGGAAAGGTCCAAATATTTCCAGTGAAAAATGCTTGCTTTGTAATTTAGTTTGGACGTGTTTTAAGGAAAAGAGTTAACTTTGGAGAGTGGATGGCTCAGAAGAAAAGGTCTGGCACACTTGGCTGCAGAAGGTTGGGGATGCTGCTCTTAACTGTTGCTGGGGACACCGTACCTCATCTTACACAAAGTACTACTTGAGAATTTGACCTGTTAAGGCAATATTACAATATATTCGAAAGCTACGACGTTACAATCTCTACCATTCGTGCGCACGTGTATTACGCGTTTATTAAGCACGGTCAGCTCTGAAGTGAGAGTAATCTGTGATTTTTGGTATCTTCAAGGACAATATTTTAAGATTGTGAATATTCAAGGCGACGTTTTGACAATAATGTTGAGAAGAGAAAGAAAGAAACTTCTTTTGATGCTTCTCGTAATTGGAGCGATAGCCATTATTTTGGTAAGGTTTCATAACAATAATAATAATAATAATAGGAATGAGTACCAAGTGGCTGCTAATGCTAAAGGTTTAAACGTCGCGGTTTGGAAAGATCTCTGTGGCTCGGACATGCGGTCGCTGAAAGAATTTCCTCTGTTTCCTCACGCCCCGGTGCTTCGTTTAAAAGCAAAAAGATTGCAAATGCACTTCACGAGGGAATTCGAGAATTTTGGATTACGAATGTATGGATTTCTTACTCCTGATGAATCTAGCAGTTACAATTTTCATTTAGAGTCAAGTGGATCGTCAGAACTATGGTTGAGTCTGGATTCAAATCCCGAAAACAGCAAATTAATTGCAAATATAACATCAGGTACAAGTTTAAACCGTGCACGCGAGCAAGATTTGATTTCATTATTAGCTGGAAAGCGTTACTATACAGAAATTTTACTAAAACATGGCCACCATCACTGGTGGAATGATAATTTTCTACACCTTAAATGGCGATCGTCCAAATGGAAAGACGAACTAAGAGATATACCGTCAAATCTACTCTCTGCATTTGAATATGATATGACTTCAAAGCCGTTTGATGGAGTCAAGTCATACTCAGCTATGATTCAGCCTATGCCATCTGAGGTTAACATCCTCCCAATGCACATTAGACATCGGGATCCATCATTCATAAATGAAGAAGTAAGACATCGTACAGAAATTTATCATCTTCCCTTCATCAAAGAAGAAGACATTAAATATTTATTCCTTCCTTGTCAGTACAATCCATCCTACATCGTGAAGGAACCTTTATACAGATACCAGGCAATGTGGGAGACCCATTACACCTCAGTCTACCCATATGACGTTTCAGACATTGCATCAGGTATGATGGATAGAAAAAAAGGTTTTATAAGCTTTGGAAATGATAAGATGAATGAAGATGAAGCAAAGCATGTTGTGTCTCAAGTTTGGAGGCAGATAGAGAGCAAACATCCCGGGTAATTGTCTTGAGTTTTTTTCTTTCCTGAGTATTCTTAATACAAAATTCCTGAAGGAGATGTGGTATATAAATGCGGCTCTTACTTGGTGTAGAAGACACAGTATATGCCACTATAGAATTTCATCACAACTGGGAATAAGAAAACAATGAAAACAATAGTGTGACATATACTGTGTCTTCTACACCAAGTAAGAGCCAAAAATACTTGGGGTAGTTGTAATTCCTTTCAACTTTTTAACTCCCACTGATGACCAAGACCAAATTTCTCATTACGATATCAATACAATATAAAGCAGACAAGTGATGAGAATGAAAAAAAAAATTTCAACCAGGAGATTATTAGTTCAACCAATGCCAAATTCTTTGAACAAACATCCTAAGAATTTTATTGCAGTCAGTGAGGAGAGTAACAAAGGTTCTAAAATTCCTCTGATAATGGTCAAATTTACTTTAATTTTTACCAGTTTTATGTAGGGTTACTATTGATCACCCCAGACCAGTTATATGAAAAATTGGTACCAAGTTACCTCCAGTCACCTTTGCAAGCTCACCCCTAAAGTTCATTCTTACTTTGACAGTATTCAGAAGATTGTAGAAAGTGTCAGTTGTAGTTTCTATTGATTATACACTGGCAAACTGATGAAGGTGGTTGAGGACACACTTGGAATGGGGTCAATCCACCATAAACTGAAAAAAAATAGTATCTGTCTGGAGAGACTCCCTATTTCAGGAGGTGTCTAGAGATGTTTCTCTTGTGATCTTATAGTTAGTTGGACTAAATCAATGGAGAGAGGGGCTGTGAGAGTGTCTGGCTCATGAATACAACTTAACACTTGTGACCTTTGGGAAGAAGTCAAGTGGGTTACTTTAAATGATATTCACCATTAGCTTATATTGAAATGTGTGTCAGCATTCAACCTGTCTTATTGTGATTGAAAATTTTGGGTATTCATTCTTGATTTCTGTAGGAAGTATTCTTTTAAGAAAATCTTGAATGTGGAACAAAATCATGATCAAGGTACAGGAGACAGGTATTTGGTGGAATTGGAACTTAGAGAAATTTCAAGTGGGAAACATGCGAGATTCTCTGAATATGTGTACAGACCCTGGGATACACATGTGCTATGCACCCCTGAAGGTGTGACATGGAACAAGAGTGCTGTCATCAATATCCTTCTCACCATTGGGAATAAACAAGGAAATTGGATCCTTCATTTTTTGAATCGCATGTCAAAAATATTCAAGAAAACCAATGATTCCAATTTCAATATAGTAGTTACTGAATTTGATGGCGTTGATATTGACATGAAAGAAGCTCTGAAGAAGAGTGGAATTCCACATTATCAGCATGTTAGACTTCGAGAGGGATTTAAAAAAGCCTGGGGACTACAACTGGCTGCTAATATGGTTACAAATCCAAACTCAATACTGTTTGTTATGGATCTTCATTTGGATATTCCCAACCATTTTCTGGATGATGTCAGAAAGGTGAGTCAAGAGTGTCATAAATAGTCTCTATAATAAACCAAGACCTTCAGTAGATCATGGTTAGTTTAATCAAAGATGAAGACAAAAGGTACAGGGAAACTGACATGTGCTTGATTGCACAATGTTTGATATTTAGTTACTTGATGCTATACATGTGATTAGATCACATTTGAGGTGAGTGGCACAGGTAAAATTACCATAACCTGGTTAGCTGGTGTTGGAAAGAAAACAGAGCACAAATTTTTGAGGGATACAAATGGGAAGAATCGAAGAACAAGACTGTTCTTTTCTTTCACTTTTCCCCTTCTCAAACCCACCCCTTAAAACTTGTATTCCTAACACCAGTTTTCTAATTGTGTATTTACTTTTTGGTAGAATTAATTGCCATATATTGATCTGTTTTTGACATGCAAGGAGTTAAAATTGTTAGAAACCTTACTTTTGACTTTTATCACCTTTCACTGTTGTCATCATCATCTATCTTGATTTTCTATGAGTATCTTAAATGAGGTGTTATTTATTTTGTCACAAGTATGGGACCTCAAAAGGTTTGAATCATTTTAGGGGACTCAGACTTTTTCTTTGTCTCTCACTTGGGGCATTATGAATAACATCTTTCTTTAAGAGTTGCTTATTTACAACAATGCTAGGAAGCAAAAGCATCTTCATTTTTTTCAAGATTAAGCCAAACATTTACCTTCTCTACTCAAGTAAATCTGCTCTCTTCTTTTAATACAGCACTGTGTTCAGGGTAAGATTGCTTACAGCCCTTTGCTTATCCGCCTATCATGTGGGGCCACAGCTCATCGTCCTGTAGGCTTTTGGGAGTTCTATGGTTATGGTTTGATGGGCATATACAAAAGTGACTGGGACAGAATTGGAGGAATGAATGTAGAAGAATTCAAGAACAAATGGGGTGGAGAAGATTGGGAGATCTGTGATCGCATTTTGATGGATGGTATGGAGATAGAGAGGCTGAAGATGGTTCATTTATTTCATTATTTCCACACCAAAAAAGGCATGTGGTCTGATGCCTCTCATCATAATGAGAACAGTGACTCTACAGATAGATACTGGCAGTAATTTCTTTAAGCAATGGATTGTACTTTCTGTTATTTTACTATGGTGCTTTTCTCCAAAGTCTGATGACTTAACATACCCAAAATGACATTTTCAAATCAATCTGTAAACTAATGTTAATTAATGTTAAGGTGATCAGATGAGAGAAATGATTTAGTTACAAGCTTTATAAGTGTTCTCCCAATAACCCAAGTGGGTTATTGTACATGGGTGAACTGATAGAAAGTACAGTCTTCTGCTTCTTATATATACAGCCATGTAGCCATTGTAAGTGATACAATGAACTGATGAATTGATCTTTGAGCAATTAGAGTGCACATAATATCTTATCTGTTTTATAAACAGATACAACTACTGTTATAAAATTAATATATTGAAAATTAGTGTATTTATGAATGTTTTAGCTCAGAGTGATTACCAATAGAATAACAGATTTACTCTTAAAATCCCAATCTCTTCTTCTGATTGGGGCCACTGATTTCTTATTTTGATGTTCATATTTTTTCTCATATAAGAGCCATTCTAATTTTGGCAGGCTGATCTGGTTCATATTTTTGTACTTATTTTCTCTATTTGTAAAATTTCAGCTTGAAGGTTAGTAATCCACATGTTCTTGTATGTGGGTGTGTACTGTATTTACTCAGTTATATCCTTAAGATTTTTTTACTACCAAAACTCTGTTGGAGAGAACAATTGGTTAGTAAGCCATAGCAAGATTTTTTGTATTTTTAATCAGAGGGTTTAAAAGGCAGATGGACTCTAAGAATTCCAATCCCCCATTCTGGTTAGGGTCACTGATTTCTTATTTTGATGCTCATATGCTATCAGAGAGTTTAATAGGCAGCTAGAAGAGAAATAATCATGGAGAGTGAAATGGGGAAATAGTGAATCACAGACTTAAATTAGTTTTAATGATTGAATTGAACTGTAAGTTATAGAAAGTTATTTTTTAAGGTTATATGTGTGTACAGATAGAATAGAATGATAAACAGATATAACTGTAATGAGTATTTGTGAAGTAGGCAATAAAACTATATTTAATTCTTTTGAAAATTATTTGTTTGAAAATCAGTACAGTTCTATAATTAACCCTTAAACTCCCACAAGTGACCAAGACAGAATTTCTCCTTACAATATCAATATAACATCAAGTAGACAAAAGATGAGAATAAAGAAAAGTATCAATTAGGGGATTTTAAGTTGATCCAATACCAATTTCTCCAAACAAACATCACAAGAACTGTATGGTAGACAGGAAGGAGAATTACTAATGAGATCTTGGGAGTTAAGGGTTAGGACATGGCTAACCAGTATTCATGGTTCTTGATTATCAGATGAATAGGAAATGTGTGGTTGCTTCAGACTTTTTTTGTTTTTGGTTTCAATGGTTTAATTAATTGGGGGGAAAAAAAAAAAAAAAAAGGTTTTGTTGTTTTGCTACTCCTAATTCTATGTAAGGGCTGTGTTGTTCAAAACCAAATGAACATTTCAAGTAATTAATTTATTAAACAAATGAATTATCACTCACCTACTCTTCTTTTAAAATTTGTGAGTAGGAAATAAGCAAAGGCATATTTTTGACCTTAAGTTCTGTGTGAATCCTTCAATAACTATAGGCAAAACTCTACAGTAAAACTCTACTTGTCTTAAACTACTGGTAAGTGGAGAATATGTAAGATAAGATAAGAATGCTTGAAGCCAATCGGCGTGGTAGTCTTGTGCGAGTCATGAGCAACAGGTCCTCAAATAAAAAAGTGAAACCACAAGCAAAGCAGTAAGGGAAATGGTCCTCTCTTTTCATTAGGCATTTAGGAAAGCTTCATTTTCAGGCTTCTATGCCAGGAAGTACCGGGATGTCAATGTATCGTTGACTGTTAAGAACGAGGTAAAGTGGGTTTCTAGGCATATGTTGTTATCGAAAAAACTTTATAAAATAATTCAAATAGTACGCGCGCTCTGATTGGCCATAAAACCATTTTACATGAGCGTATGTAAACACAGTTTTCGTTCCTCTTTCATTAGTTATTTTATAAAAGAAATGTAAAATGGTTTCCGTGTTTACATAGCCTGATGTAAACACTTGGGAGGTTGGGAGAACACGAGATAAGCTGGAAACCACTCCGCTTCGCGTCGTGGTTTCCTACGCTTATCTCGTGTTCTCCCAACCTCCCACGTGTTTACATCAGGCTATGTAAACACAGAAACCATTTTACATTTCTTCATTTTGAAGCTAACTTAAAATTAAGAAAAGAAATTTAAAACAGTAGAGGGAGGAAACACTTAGACCACAAAAGAAAGCTTTCAAAGATTTTCATGTCTGCTTACCAGTTCGCGCAGGTAATGCCTTTCTTTGTCTGTTTGTGACCAAAAACGGAACGCTTTACCTGTAACCTGCCTAAAAACCGCGCCCCTTTCCCTCATGATTTTATTGTTGTCAACTATATCTTCTGAATCCTTTAGTGTCTTCTGTAGCTCAGAAGTCACCGGCAAAAACTCTTTTTCCTCAAATTGGAAATCGTTTTGTTTCTGCAACCGTGTTAACTATTTTCCCTTATTTATTTCTTCTATGTTACTTCTGTATTATTTATTTCAGTTCTCAAATCGATATGCAATGCAAGTTGAAGCTAAACCCTTTCACCATGTAAAGAAACGAGTACATACCAAAAGAACGACGCTTCATTTTTTTGTTAGAAACAGAGAACGCTTCCCTTTGTTGTTAGAAACGAACAACGCTTTTAGAATCGTTACTCAAGCATATCTCAATTCCGAGCATACGATCGATTTCTGTGTAGTCAAAGTCTTCATGGTATTAGAAACCAAGAAAGAGTTTCTCAAGCTTACGAAACGACCGTGAGTAAGAAACGATTACATACCAAACGAACAACGCTGCATTTTGTTGTTGGAAACGAACAATCTTTCCCTTTGTTGTTAGGAACGAACAACGCTTTAAGAATCTTTATGGTGTTATCGGAAACAAAGAGCACTTTAGTGATAAAAATTTCTCAACGTTATTGTCTATTAACAGTTTGAAATTCAGATCTTTTTAGCGTTTGTTTCTTCGGGCGACTTGACTTTTTTTTCGGGCGACATAACTAAAATTTCGGGCAACATGACTCAGGTTTCGGACCGAGCATTTTAGTAGGGAAAATGGAGCATTAGCCATTAAGGTGGAGCAATTTAGTGGAGAAATAAAAGCATAATGCGTCGTTAGCAGTCGTGTCTGACAAAAATCGTAAGAGCGCTCCCTTGTCATTGTCTCGCTTGTCTAAACTCCCGTGAAAAGCGTGCGCACGTTAATTTCATTATCCATTTAGATAAGCTCGGACATCTGTCCGCTCATTGGGCCCATTTACATGGAAAGAGGATGATCCTAGCACTAGGATCATCCCCTTTCCATTTAAACGGGCCCATTGAAATGTTCTGAATGGCTCGGCAACTAGAGTTCAGCAGGTTTCAGTTTCCCAGTGAATACATTACTGCTTTTTCAAATTCCATTCTTAGATTTTGTTTATTAAATATCACTGTTAAGTTTTTTACGGGTCTGTTTTGTTATATTTTAGCCTTGTTCGACTTTATAGCTAGAACTGAAAGAGCTTTATAATGATAATGCAAATTTTGTTATTATAAAAGGACTACTATCTTCTTTATTGAGGGAATCATAGGAGCCAAAAAGGCCAGAGAAGATTCCCCAATCTGAAAAGGGATAATTTGTACACCAAAATTATGCAATAGAAAATATAGGTTAGTGCTCTCAATTAAGAGCTAAAGACCATCTTACCTTTTAGGCTGGGCCATGGATTAAAATAAAATAAGTGCGCTTATTCGCCTAAATGATTACGTGGTTTTTATGCGCAGTAAAAGATGTGCCATACAGTAATGAGGAATCACGTTAACGACCTTCAGCAAACGAGGCCGTCCGCCATTACAACATATGCTAATATTCCTCGTGTAGATCGCTTTTGTCAGTTCTTTGTTTGACTTATTTCCTTTATTCTTGACCGGAAACGGTCGATTGCACTCTCAGTAAGACAAAGCTCCTCGCCCTCCCCCCCAACCTGGTTTTTTTAAAACTCACTACACCGACAATTTATCCTAATATAATATGTAGTTTCGAGATGGTCGAGCGGCAATCGTAGGCGCGCAACGAGTGCTAAAGAGGTCATCGAGGTCGCGGGTTCGAATAACGCTATAGGAGTTATTCTCAATCTGGCTTGGGGGCCGAATAACTTCTCCCCGAGTATGATTTAGAGCTGGCAGACAAGGAGTAACTCTCAAACTGGCTTGGGGGCCGAGGAACTCCTCCCCGCGGAATTTGCATTTTGCTTTTGCTGTTTTTTTTTCTATTTTTTCTCCTTACTATCATCATCTTTATCTTCTTTTTTCCTTTTGTCTTTCTTTGTTCTCTGAGCAGTTTCTTTTTCGGGCCACTTTGTTAATTGTTAGTTATATTCTGAATCCTGTGGTGTTTTCTGTTTCTCAGAATTCGCCGGCAAAGACTCTTTTTCCTTAAAATAGAAATAGTTTTGTTTTGCTTTAACCGTTTTAAGTATTTTTTTACCTCTTTTATCATCCATTTCAAGTTCGTCATTCTTCGATAGGCAATGCAAGTTAGAAGGAGGTAAACGTTTTCTCAGTATGTCTACGTGCCGAACTCTGAAGTGAAGATGTCGATGTCCGATCGTAAACTGCAGTGAAGTTGTCTTTGTCGAGAATAAAATGAAGAAACAGGCTGGTAAGTGTTTGAGGATCCGTGCTGGAGCACATCTTCGACATCAGCCTAACTTTCCGTAATCATGCGAAATGTCATGTATCGGTCATCGTTCAAAATCGTATGCAACGAACTCATTCAAAATTGGAAAGAGTACCATGATGTCAAGACAAGAGAGAAAATGACCCCAATACCATCTCTTGACAAGAAGCAAGATTCAAAACATGGAATTAAAGGAAATATGTCGTTCTTGACCCTTGAAACGTTGCTTTTGTTTGCTATGCCGATAGTGTTTGTTCATGTCTAGTAAAGATTTTAGTTTGCATCAACTTTACGATTTGTCGTGGCTTAACCAGATACAACTGTACTCTAGTAACTCACCTTGATTACTGAGTGTGTTTGTAAACTAAATCAAGTGGTTAAGTTCTCTATCGCCGTCTATGGCTCCTGATACCCTTCAGGCCTTCCTGTTGGAAGTAAGAGGGAAGGAGGTTTGGGCAAAGGCACCCTCTTCTTATTTGTGATCCAAGTTCATGAACTTTGTACGGACCTGAATTACATTACACCAGTAGATGTGGTTACCGGGAGCGAAATCGAAGTACTTGAGATTCCTGAGAGGCTTTTTTGGAAAAGTCTTAGCAACGTTACACGAATGGTTATGGGTCCTGATGGCATCCCTGTTTGGGTTTGGAAGGAACATGCTGAGATTTTAACACCAATTCTCAGTCATATTTGGAATTTGTCTCTGCGGACGCATACCTGGCCTATGTCATGGAAAAGTTGAATATCAATCCGACACCTAAGGTTGACATACCCAAAGAAAGAAAAGTCTGACTACCGTGGTATAAATATCACTCGGGTTATAGCCAGGGTGTTCGAGAAAGCTGTTTAGAACATCTTTGTGAAGGAGGCTGTGGAGGAAAATCTTAGCACCACTCAATTTGCTTATCGTGAAAGTGGAAATTGCACTAGTGCACTATTAGCGATCCAGCACTTTATCGACAAACACATAGATAATCCAGACTGTGAGGCAGTACGGGTATTCGCAATGGACTTTAGCAAAGCGTTTGACTCAGTCAGGCACGAGCTGCTATCTAATAAACTAAAGTTGTTGCCCCTGAATACCTATATCATCGACTGGTATCGCAGTTTTCTTTATAACAGACAACAACGTATAGTCCACAACTACTACCTCCACGAGTGGAGAGGAGTTAATAAGGGGACAACGCAAGGAAGTGTGAGCGGCTCCTATTTATTTAACGTGTTCTTAAATGACCTTGATATAAAGCTATGTTTCACTCCCGCCCTTTTTAAGTATGCAGATGACTCGACCATTGTCGCACCAGTGTGGAAAGGGGGCAGTGACACGTCAAGTGGTTTAGTGGAGAAATTTTGGACTTGGGCGAACTGTAATTCCATGAGCTGTAACCCTAACAGATGTAAAAAACTTGTCATAAAGAAGAAATGGAACTCCACATCCTATCCTGTTGTTCGTAATATACCACAACATACCACTCTTAAGTTATTAGGTCTGACCTTCCAGAATGACTGTAAATATTTTGCACATATAAAAGCTAAACTGCGCAAGGCCAACAAATGTCTACACGTACTGAGAGTATGTAGAAAAGAGCCCTACAGCCAGACAGAAATTGATTGTCTCTTCTATAGACAGATGCTATAAGTTGCGCTTTATATCTATGCAGTTAAATATTAGATCATAACTAAAAAAACAAGATAAAGCGATTCTTAAAATACTTCAACAGCGTGATAGCCACCCTCTGAAGGTTTGCTTACCGCAAGAAAAGAACAATTTAACCAACAACCTTAGACGTAAAAGCTGCCAATGGCCTACGATAAACGCTGAACGTTATACGAACACATTTGTCAATAGATTAATTTTTAAATATAACGTTTTATGATATTTTATGCCAGATGTATTGTATCTAGTTTGATCTTTTTATTCTTTTTATTCTATTGTAACTTTTAGCTAAATCTTGAATCTTTTTATCATGTAACATTAGATATGTATTTTTATCTAATGGGCAATAAAGACATTTATTATTATTTGAACACCAAAATCATGCAATAGGACATATAGGTCAGTGTTCTCAATCAAGAGCTAAAGACCATCGAGCCTTTTTAGCTGATCCATGGATTAAAATACAATAAGCGACTTATCCGCCTAAATTATAACGTTATTTTTATGCGCAGTAAAAGATGTGCGATGTAATACTAAGCTATCGCCGTCTATGGACCCTGACACCCTTCAGGCCCCTCATGTTGGTCGATAGAGGGGAGGAGGTTTAGGCAAAAGTACCTTCTTATTTGTGGTCCAGGTTATTGGAAACTTTACACCTCCTTTCTCTCAGATAATGATTTCGTAATGATAAATTTCGGACGACAATCAGAAGTGTTAGTGATAAATATGCTGACGACGCTTGCATTAATCCCACTTTAAAATTGAAGATGGTTAAATGCATAAGTACATCGGTTATTTTTACGAAGGAAATTTGTATCTTTGGTCACAAATAATTTGCGAGAAAAATGTGAAGTCTACCGATCACTTTCTCTCTTTGCTTCTGTACGGCATAACTCTCTGATACGAACCGACCCGTGTTTTTAATCATGGTACTCTTAAGCCATTAGTTCAGTAAGTTGCAGATTTCTTCAGTTAAAGTCTCGAACGCCTTTTTAACCTTGCATGAACTGAAAGAGCTTTTTAATGATAATGCAAATTTTGTTTTCAGAAAAGGACTACTAACTTCTTTATTGAGGGATTCATAGGAGCCAAAATGACAAGAAGAGATCCCCCAATCCAAAAGGGATAATTTGTTAACCAAAATTATGAAATAGAAATCATAGGTCAGTGTTCTCAATCAAGAGCTGAAGACCATCGAGCCTTTTGAGCTGGGTCATGGATTAAAATAAAGTAAGCGCGCATATCCGATCGCCTGTATGATTTCGTGATTTTTATGCGCAGTAAAAGATGTGCGATGCAATACTGAGAAACTGAAAGAGCTTTTTAATGATAATGCAAATTTTGTTCTCAATTTTGTTCTTCTTTATTAAGGGTTCATAGGAGCCATGAAGACCAAATAAGATTCTCCAATCTAAAAGAGATAATTTGTACACCAAAATTATGCAATAGAATATATAGGTCACCGTTCTCAATCAAGAGCTAAAGACCATCGTACCTTTTAACCTGTTCCACGGATTAAAATAAAACAAGCGCGCTTATTCGCCTAAACGATTACGTGATTTTTATGCGCAATACTGAGGAATCACATTAACGAGCTTCAGCAAACGAGGCCGTCCGCCATTACAACATATGCTAATATTCCTCGTGTAGATCGCTTTTGTCAGTTCTTTGTTTGACTTATTTCCTTTATTCTTGACCGGAAACGCTCGACTGCACTCTCAGTAACACAACGCTCCTCACCCTCCCCCCCAACCTGGTATTTTAAAACTCACTACACCGACAATTTATCCTAATATAATATGTAGTTTCGAGATGGTCGAGCGGCAATCGTAGGCGCGCAACGAGTGCAAGAGAGGTCATCGAGGTCGCGGGTTCGAATCACGCTATAGGAGTTATTCTCAATCTGGCTTGGGGGCCGAATAACTTCTCCCCGAGTATGATTTGGAGCTGGCGGTCAAGGAGTAACTCTCAAACTGGCTTGGGGGCCGAGGAACTCCTCCCCGCGGAATTTGCATTTTGCTTTTGCTGTTTTTTTTCTACTTTTTCTCCTTACTATCATCATTTTTATCTTCTTTTTTTCCTTTTGTCTTTCTTTGTTCTCTGAGCAGTTTTCTTTTTCGGGCCACTTTGTTAATTGTTAGTTATATTCTGAATCCTGTGGTGTTTTCTGTTGCTCAGAAGTGGCCGGCAAAGACCCTTTTCCCTTGAAATAGAAATGGTTTTTTTTGCTTTAACCGTTTTATGTATTTTTTTACCTCTTTTCTTCCTTTGACGTTTCTTATGAATTATCCTGATTTCAAGCTCGTCATCCTTCGATAGGCTATTCCCTTATTTTTGTTTCAGAATAGATAACAATGATAATAAGAAGAATAAAAATGGAAAAGTCAGCAAAAACGCATTTTTCTGTGAACGTATTTTATTATAGTTGTACCTATTGTAGACAGTGTGGATAGCTGTACCTACTGTGGACAGTGTAGAAAGCTGTACCTATTGTAGATAGTGTAGATAGCTTTACTACTGTAGACAGCGTAGGTAGCTGTACCTATTGTAGACATTGCAGATAGCTGTACCTACTGCAGACAGTGTAGAAAGCTGTACCGACTGTAGGCAATGTAGATATATGTAGCTATTGTAAACCGTGTAGACAGTTTTACTGTACACAGTGTAGATGGTTGTACCTATGGTACACAGTGTAGAAAACTGTGCCTACTGTAGACAGTGTAGATAGCTGTACTTACCTTTGACAGTGTGGATAGTTGTACCTACTGAAGACAGTGTAGATACTTGTACCTACTGTAGACACTGTAGATAGTTGTACCTACTGTTGACAGTGTAGATAGTTGTACCTACTGAAGACAGTGCAGATAGTTGTATCTACTGTAGACAGTGTAGATAATTGTAACTACTGTTGAGAATGTAGATAGCTGTACCTTCTGTAGACAGTGTAGATAGTTGTACCTTCTGTAGACAGTGTAGATAGTTGTATCTACTGTAGACAGTGTAGATGGATGTACCTACTGTAGTCAGTGTAGATGGATGTACCTACTGTAGACAGTGTAGATAGTTGTATCTTACTAGTCAACACAGTGATATGTCTTACATAACTGTTCTACAAATTGAAACAACAATATAGCCTATATGGAGAGATTTTACAAAGTGACTGTATGTTGTTCTACCATGCAGTATACACCCCTTTCCCCGCCCCTTGCCCAAACAGTAGTCCCAATGAAACAGTGATACCTTGGTCAGTGGGTGTTCGTGAAAAAGTAACATGGCGGCCAGTAAGGGAAAGATTGAACAATAATATTTATTTCGGAACTAAGCACGTAAACAAGGCTCAAAGGCGATCGATTTCATTTTTTTTACAGAAGAAATATCACTAAAAATATATACAAATTGATGTTATGAGTTTCCAACGCGCGGAATAGCTGAAATGTCTTATGAAGATGACAAACTGTGCTGGAAAGACGCTGCTCGTAGGATTTTAATACTGCAGGAGTCGTCCTCTGACGGACCATTTAACTCAAACCTTAACGTTATACTGGACGAACTGAATTCTTTGGATTATGCAACAAGTGTGGTGGACAATGAAGAGGTGAGTCGTTTTCTCATTGGTATTTTATTTGTATTGGTATATATATATACCACTAATTGGTTCATAAATATCAAGCAATATTAAGAGAAAATAATGATGAATTATTCTTTAAGAGGCATCAAATGATACGCGGAAATCTCTTGATTTGCCTCCTAAAAGTTATGTGTAAGGCATTTCACAAGCAATTGAATGTGTAGAATGATGCGGGACAGCAGCTGACATCGGTTTTTCTCAATACACTCATTTTTTAGAGTACTTGTGGGTTGCTTAGAGCTTCTCCATTGTTAAAAATTAGATCAGATTGACCCCCGTGGTGTCTGTGTGATCTGGTGCTTGAATGCAGAAGGCCTTAAAAAGTTGGCACATTGTTTACCAGCATTTTTATTTCTGTCACTGGATCAGGGATGTGGTGGGGTAGAGGAAAGTTCATTGGATTGCTGGCTGAGAAGCCTAGGATGACAACCTAATACAGTTGGTGTGTTGTGTTCTTGGGGAAGGAGACTTAACTTGACTGTGCCTCTCTTCCCCTAGGGATAAAAATGAGTTCTAGTATACGGCTAGTCAGAGAAACTGGACTAAATTTTTGGGAGGGAGGGGAGGGGGTTTGGCTAATCTATGATGGACTGGCTTTCCATCCATACATGGTAGCAAAACTCCTAGCCACTTTATACCACAGAAATTGGGAGAAGCTCAGTGGCTTGATGAGGCAGTTGACTGGAGAACAGACTTTCCCTTTGAACCTTTTTAGTTGGATAGTTAAGTTTAATTTTTATGATAAAACTTTTGTTATTTCCAGAGTGCTTTACAAGTACTGTGTAAATGTTGTACACTTATACAGTCAGGTGGAAATGATGACTTTCTCAGCACAAAGTTCTGTCAACTGATTGTGAATCTGCTGGCAAAACAAAAGGTATTTAATTTTTTACCCAAAGTGTAATTCACCAAAGAGAGTCATTTTGATCTGTTAACTGATATTTCTAGTGCTCAGCTCTTAACACTTTACCTGTAGTATTTTCATATTTTCAGTAGGAGCAACTTTCTAGTTTTCTAAGTGTCTAGCTCTAACCCTAAGTAATTGCTTTTATAGTGCATGAATTCAGTAATTTGAAATCAAAAGCTACTACAAATGAAGTGGTGTATAAGGAAATCTGCAAGCGTGATCTTATATACTCCCTTAACCTTTTTACTCCTAGGATCTCATCAGTAATTCTCCTTACTGTCTATCATACATTTCATTTGATGTTAGTTCTGAGAATTTTGTGTACGATCAACTAATAATCCCCTAATCAGTATTCTTCTTTATTCTCATCGACTGTCTGCTTGATAATGTATTGATACTTTAAGGAGAAATTCTTTCTTGGTCACTTATGAGATTTAAAGAGTTAAATGACAGGAGGTTCATGTAAACCCACTGGGCCACCTCAGTATACAGTCCAGTATTGATGTTTTTGTGTTTATTTCTTCCATGTGCCTATAATGATCTTGACTTTTAATTACAGGTTGGCCTCAATCAAGAAACACTGAATCATCTCGCCAGCTTCCTTATTAACTGCATCAAGATTTGCAAAAAGTGGACAGTACTGAACATTTTACGAGCTTTAGGATCTACTCTTTATGAAAATGGGTCACTCTGTGAACAGGTATTTGATAAAAGTATGGGTGAAGAAATGAAATAACTTATTGATTTTTATGTGTGTCAAGGTAAGGGGCAAACGTCATTGTGTTTTAGGTTTGTTTTACTCTTAACCTAGCTTTCATTACCCTTAGAGTTGGACTGCAATGGAAATCATTTGAGCAAAATCATGTGACACTTTTCAAGCATAATTTGTAATTTTTTATTTACTTTTGTTGGAAAACCCAGGAAACCTACAATCAGTATCAAAATTAGTTGACAGATCCTGTTTGAAGAGTCCTAGTTATGAGTAGAATAACAATCCTGTCTCTACCACCCTCTAAATCATTGACAAGGTTCCCCTTCCTCATTCAATGTTGCCTAAAGGTTCATGGAATCACGATACAACATTGCTTTTGAGGGAAGGGAGGGGAGGGGTGAATAGGTTAACTTAACAAGAGGAAAAGAGATAAAATTGTAGTAATAGGGAGGTAAAAATGTTCATGTGTCAACATTTTTGTCGCCGATTGTTGGTTGGATTGGTCAATTATATACTTTCCATGCACAATAAAATTCAGGACATGTGGGCATACCTTAAATTGTTACCTAAGGGTTTGAAATATAAGTTCAAAGTTTATACTGAAAATTTCATCTCTCTTTTAGTTTGGTGATAGACTGTTAGGTAAAGGTGGGGTGCTGGTGGACCTGTGCAGGGACAAGTCACAGGAAACTGATGTTCTCTGTAGTACTATCCAATGTGTGGCTAATATATGCATGAGGTATTTCATCCTTATTGGTTAATTTTTATTCACTATACAAAAAGATGAACTAATCTGCACTGGGAAAGGGCTATCTTATCACAATAATGGCACTGACATTGCAATTTGATTGGTCAATATGACCCTGTTTATAAGAGTATAGACAACACTGCTTGCATTAATGTGTCATGCAATGCCTTTATCAGCTCTCAAGCATGGATGACTTGGAAATTTTGATGTCAATATTTGGTAAAAAACAAATCAATAGTGATTAAGCATGGTCTGCACTCTTATTGACAACAATATTTAGTCATCACAGTGGTCAAAATTTGTTGAGGACTCACTCACCTTGTGAGCCCGCAACATTTTGACCATTGTACAGACCACACTAAACCACTTTCGTTTGTTAAGTAGAATGATGGTATCTCAAGGGTATTCATTAACCCTTTAATTCCCAAGATCTAACTAGTAATTTTTCCTTCTGACTGCCATGCATTTCTTTGAGAATTAGACAGGAAATTTTGTCTTTTATCAAGATAACATGGTCAAGATGACAAACTTTTCAATTCTCATAACCTGTTAGCTAAATATCATATATGAATCGTGAGGAGAAAGTACTTGTTAATCACTTCTAGACATTAAAGGGTTAAGAAATGTAGTAGTAGGAGAATTGTGTTGAGTTATGGGAGAATATTCTCAGTTAGCAGTGAACACAGCACCATAAGCGCCCTTTTACCAATGATTTCCTTGTTTGTCAAACACTTGAAATCATGAACTGGAAGACCTGAACAGTCGATGGTCTTGGGCTTAAGAACAGAAAATTTAAAAACCATAATCTTGCCTGATTTAACAGCACACAAAGCGAGCACAAAGCAAACTTCTTGCAGCACGTGGAACTTGCGCAAATGCGAAACACGATCTCTTGCTCGTAAGGAAGAGGTGTGCGACGGGGTGTAATCGAAGCGCGTACGCGTAACTTTTCCATGTATATTATTTTTTAAAATTTTGAAGCAAAGGAACTGTATTACTTGCGATTATAAAACTGCTGGACGACTATTTCGGCATGGATATGCTTCTGTTCTCTATACGAGACGGAGAGTCTAAACATGTTTAGACGCCACTGGAAAACTGTCATGTTGGTGCAACATGCCAAGATGTTCGGTTAAATGTATTTTTGTGACATGAAAGAGGTCACGTTGTCACCGCAGGGGTGAAATAGTCCATTTCGCAAAATAGTAACTCTCCTAAAATTACTATTTTGTGAAATATATTTTAATACGGTTTAAGAAATGAGAGAAGGCCAAAATGTTCGGTGATATACTAATTTGTAATGTTTAGATGTATTTTCGTGACGTGAAAGAGGTCACGTTGTCACCGCAGGGTGAAAATTGTCCATTTCGCAAAATAGTAACTCTCCTAAAATTACTATTTTGCGAAATACATTTTAATACGGTTTAAGAAATAAGAGGAGGCCAAAATCTTCGATGATATACTTATTTGTAATGTTTAAATGTATTTTTGTGACATGAAAGAGGTCACGTTGTCACCGCAGGGGTGAAAATAGTCCATTTCGCAAAATAGTAACTCTCCTAAAATTACTATTTTGCGAAATACATTTTAATACGGTTTTAAGAAATAACAGGAGGCCAAAATGTTCGGTGATATACTAATTTGTAATGTTTAAATGAATTTTTGTGACATGAAAGAGGTCACGTTGTTACCGCAGGGTGAAAATTGTCCATTTCGCAAAATAGTAACTCTCCTAAAATTACTATTTTGCGAAAACATTTTAATACGGTTTAAGAAATAAGAGGAGGCCAAAATGTTCGGTGATATACTAATTTGTAATGTTTAAATGTATTTTTGTGACATGAAAGAGGTCACGTTGTCATCGCAGGGTGAAAATGGTCCATTTCTCTCCTAAAATTACTATTTTGCGAAATATATTTTAATACGGTTTAAGAAATAAGAGGAGGCCAAAATGTTCGGTTATATACTAATTTGTAATGTTTAAATGTATTTTCGCGACATGAAAGAGGTCACGTTGTCACCGCAGAGTGAAAATAGTCCATTTCGCAAAATAGTAACTCTCTAAAATTACTATTTTGCGAAATGAATAAAAATCCTTCTTATTAATGAACGATTACTCCAAAATCCTTGTGAAAGTTATCTTTACCTTATTGGAAAATATATCTGCATTATTCCTTTTTTTTTATTTCACATGTTTGATCATGTTTGAATAAAAAGGTGTCCTGAAGGTCTGTATGTTTAGCTTCTAATAAGTTGTATTGGATTGACGACCAACTCGCCGACGTCTCTACTCGATTTTAACGTCGGCGAGTTGGTGTCGGCGAGTTGGTCCGTCGGCGAGTTGACCGTAAACCCACTCACCTTGTGAGCCCGCAACATTTTGACCATTGTACAGACCACACTAAACCATTGAACTTTAGCTGAAGATCGAATTGTCTGATTTCCCATGCCTATCAAACACCCTTTACTTCAATCATGAAATGCTTGAGTGTAACTCGACTGGTAAAGAAACTTTTGTGGAACTTTAGTGGCAAGTAACTGACATACTTTTACAAAAGTTTGCTGCAGATTTTTGGAAGTTATTCACTGTCAGCTTCATACATGTACTTGGCATTTAAATTGATTGGTGTTTTCCATGATTTTTAATGGTCTTACTATTGCCAATCTCCTGAGGCTTACCAATAGAGCATCTAGACTAGTAGTCTGAAGTTTGTTGGCTTAGTATGGATACCACTGTTCCCTTGAACCATTCTCATATAAAAGTAATCGTAATCTCCAGCTTTTATGTGATTTTTTTTTAAACACTAGGTCATCAAATGGATTACATTTGGATGATAAATTCATTGCACAAGCATTCAATCTTCTTCTGGATCTTCTGCAAACTTCCAACCCAAACTCATGTAAAACAGAGATCGAACATTTTAGGGTTAGTGTTAGTTTTTTTTCTATTGAAGATCAATGTCATTTTGTACACCAAAAATTATTGTTTTGATACCAATATATAGACTTGTTAGTAAGAAAAAAGCTACAGTGCCTATGACATAACCAAATGAATATTCAACCTTTTGACCCTTAAGAGTGACTAGCCTCTAATTTCTCCTTACAATATCACCCCTGAATCACACATTAAGGTCATGAGAATGAAAGAAATGATCACCAACCTAAGAAGTTCTCAAAAGTTAAAAAAATTCTTGTTGTCGGCTCCACGAGACCAGTATGAAGAATATACATACTGATTTAAGGGTGTAAATGGTTGATACATGTTTTTAGAATTTTTAACTACAGGTGATACATGATCAGACACAGAGTCCTATTGGACTCATTCTCACCTTCAAATCATAAATTCCTCCCATTATCTTACTTTTAGGTCATCAATGCAGTTTTGCGTGCTTTGTTAAATGTTCTTGTTCTCGGGTGTTCAAGTCAGAGTTATGATCTTGGACCTCTCTTGGCGGCTCTTAAGGTAAACTCTGACACATAAAAATGGCTACTTTACTTAAAGACCTCTTACTAACCAAGTTAGGGGTCGGCACTTTAAGTTATGGATCAAGTATTCCCACTTGGTTGTGGCCCATGTGAGTGGAAAAAACAAGGTTGCATTACTTTTAGTAAAGATCAAGAAAATAAGGATAGTAAGATATTTAGTTTATCTCTGGGTTCAAATAGAGGGGTAAGATTTCAATTCAAACAAACTTTTGAATGTAGTGGGCCCTACAGTGAAATACAGCCTGCTAAATTGACCAGTCATAGCACATGTGGCAACTGAGAGATAAAATTATAATACTCCATACAATCTCATTGAGCTGAAGCACATGGTAAAAGTTTCTAGATATTGCATAAGTTCTTTCAATGTGCTCATATATTTTTTCTGGCCTCATAATGGCCCTGAGTGTAGTTCTACTATTTTTGAATTAAAATTCTTCTATACTATTTTTGTAGAACTATATGTTTTGTGGCTTGCCTGGCTACAAACCAGTGTATGCTGAGAAGAGGAACCAGCAACCAGAGGATCAACCAGGTATCATAGCTGAAATTTCTCTTTGAGGAAAGCACTTACTGTACTTAGTTACATAGAGCCCTTGCCATTCTAGTGTCCATGAAAGTATGTATGTAGGCACACTGCTTTCTTGAAACAGAAATTGTATAGAAGGGTAAGGATAAATGTCAGTGGTTTTTCCTTGGACATCTTAAACTTTCTCTGTGGGGGTAGATTAGCTGAAACAGAGCATAGCAGAGCAGGGATATAGAAGCTGTGAGTGCCTGACAGGAACAATAGATATGCTGGTAAAGAACTGTTATGGCAGGACTACAGTGGGTCAGTCATCCCCTTAGTTGAATTTTGTTACTCTGGAAACTGACTTGTTGAACACTCAGAGGAAGTATGGGTTTGCTAAAGGTTTTCTCCACTGCTTTGTGATATTTGATGCATGGAAAGCAAAACCAAAAGAAATGACAGAGCTACAATTCAGAAAACTTGGGTTAGAAAATTTTGCATGTTGTCTAATTGTGATTTCTACAAAATTTTCCATGGGTGTGCGGTGGCGGCAAATAGCTCTCTGTAACTTTATTTATTTGTATTGATAGTTAACCATTACTTGAATAATAAATAAATCTAATTGCCAAATGAAGTAAAGGGAGTAAGGTTGAATTAGTACATGCATAGGTTCCCCTTCTTCAGAGGAAAGGATCATTGTAAACTTTGATTAAGAAATAGCCAATGCCCCAAGAGCTGTCCAGCTCTAACAAGTATGCTTCCAAACCTTTGTTAGACAACATTTTTCAGATGAGATGATAGTACTACACTCTCCAACTAGGTGAGGAAAAAGTGCCCTCCTAAGGGTAGCTGGACTCTGAAGTTATGGAATTACATCTTGGGTGCCACCTTGATCTGATTTGTTCTTCTCTCTACAGGGATTGAGCCAGATGATTTATCTTCAGTCCATTTAGACACAATACCCCAAAAAGATCGTACCTACTCTGCCCTTAGCAAGAAGAAAAAGAGACGCTCCAACAACAAAAAATCGAAACAAACTGCCTCACCTGTGGCACCCAAGCAAACATCTGTTGGTAGCCTTTCAACAGAAGTGCCAACACAAACATTTGCAGCAATGAATTTACATTATAGTTTGAGTAAAGAGGCTGGACACCAGGAGGACCAGTGCATTAGTCTCAGACCCAGAAATATGCAAAGACACACTACACATTATTCCAGAAGTAATAATTTTACTCAAAAGAAAGACAGTGCAGCTATGAATATGAACACTCTTGATAGATCAGGTGCAGAATCATCAGGCTATCACAGTGCATCAAGCTTGTCCAATGCAAGTTCTGACTCAGAATATTCTGATAGTGAGGCAGGACAGACAGCAAGGCTAAGGTACTGCTAACTTCACAAAATGTTTTTGATTGTGCATGTACAAGGTATGGTTGCCTGCCTATTGTACTTGAGATCAAAAGGTCTTGGTTTGCACCCAGCTCAGGGTGTGCTGTTGGGAAAGACACTTTGTTCTCACAGTGCTTATCTCCTTAGGGTATAAATGAGTACCAGAGAACTGCTGGGGGGGTGGGTACTAACTTGCCTCTCTTTCAGTTTGAGCTACAATAATAGCACTCACTCCATGCTAGAGAAACAGACAAACAGGGATAAACTCCTGCAGCTGTGGATGATAGACTTGTATTGAGACCTACTTTTCCAAAGGATCTTGATTGGGAAATGAAATATTAAAGAGATAAAATGCCACAGGAACCTCTGTTCACAAAATTAAACTCAATTGCCCAGTGAATAGTTTTTTCTAACAAGAGCATTTTTCAGGTCTATAACATTGAAAGTTCGGCTGAATGTTCTTCTTTGTCTTCAGGCTGTGATTAAAGTAAGCGCCATATGTATCAATATGTCTTTGTATCTGTTTTTTATTGTAATATAGATTGGAATAATTTTAAATTGAGTGTTCATCGTAATCCAAGGCTGATTAAATCTCATAGTGTGATTGCACCCCTTTATCAACCAATCAAATTCAGCAGTAAAACAAATTGGATTTTGGTCACTCTCCTGTGATATTTGTTTTCTTTGTGACAGTGTAGTGAAATTGTTGGAAGAATTCAACATCATGGCAGGGAATCAAAAGGTCAAAAGATGATCAGAGATTTTCCCTGAGCCCAATGCATTATTATTATTATTTTAAAAAACAAAACAAAATAAAACAAAATAAAGAGAGTCCAAGACTACTCTGAGCAAAAATCTTCATGATTCTCAAGAATATTTTGGTTTTTCAGAGCACAGACAAAAAAGTTCTGTTTGGATACTGGTCCTCATTCATTCCTGATAATACAATGTCAGCATCATGGTCCCTTTTCACAATAATTCTGAAGGATCCCACTCCAAAGGTGGGCATATTTTCTATAAAGTAGTAAGACACTATAGCAGTGTGGGATGCATAATCTCAATCTGTTTTGTTTTAGTGTTGTTGTTGATGAGGATTACAAGGATAGTGATGATGGTAATAAAGTCATGAAACCACAGAAGAAAAAGTAATCATGACTGTATGAATGTAGCTAAAGCTGAGGATGTTTGGATTTTTTAACAAAATTTTTTACAAGGTATAGAATGTAGCCTGGCTCAATTATGAGTTCTCTGTCACTAAGTCGATGGAGCAGCTGTGCATAACATCAGATTGTTAGAGGTTTGAATTTTAAGAAGGGACTCAGATGTATGTTTTTGTCTAATGCGTGTGAGGAATGTTCAACCTGATTCTTTAAAGTAATTTTATAGTAGCTGGGACAGGATTGGATTGTGGTGAACATAATACTTTTTTTAAACTTTGTTTTTGTCTGACTTACAGAAATGACCCTTGAGCAGGTCAGATGAATTTTTGGCTTTAAAATTGTTGTGATGTTGACACTGTTAATTGATCTTTTTCAGGGCCGAGCTGCAGGTGTAACTGTCCTCATGGACTTATTGGATGGTTCAAGACAATTCTTGGTGGCTGCTGAAGAACGGTACATAACTATTTCATTCCTAGAATGTTTTTCTGTGTCATCTGCTGTCTTTCTGCAGAGTTCTTAATTTTTCAAGTTCATGATTAAAGATGTTGATTTAAATAACATAAATGTTTAATGCATAATTAGGCTAAAAATAAACAAAACGAAATACATTGTAACTGAAAAACGAACAAAAAATCACAGATTTTCGCACATGTGGAATGTTTATATGAGAGGAATTCTTTTAGTTTCAAAGTGAAAGAGGTGATTTTCAGAGCTAAGAATATTAAAGAATCTAGGCCTTCAAAACAGATATTGTTGAAATTGTTACTTTCAACTACTAGATGAACCTTTGGCAGTTTGCAATTTGTTTAAGGATTTTGTTTTTATTTTTGACAATCATAAAACTACTGAATGAAAATCATCAAACAGTTATTATTATTATTCTTTACTTTCAGAGAGCAGCATAGTAGTTCACCGTCATCGCGACCTTACACTTCATTCTCTGCGAAACTGAGCGGAATTGTTCATGAACTTCACAGATGTCTGCTGCAAGCTTTAGTAGCAGAAACATCAGCTACTACTAAAGCCCAGATACTAAAGGTAAAGTTTTACAGTTAACAAGTATTTTTTGTCTTTAAGAGTGTACACTTTGACTGAGTGTTGTCAGATCAAAAGCAATGTAATCTCAATAGCCAATCAGAACGGAGGAATATATTTTAAGGGCCAATAAGAACTCAAAGTAAAAACGAGCAGTGCTTAGAGCGCGGGAAAACGCAAGTGACTAAGTATCTTATTTTAAGGTCTGCATCATACTTTTAGTGTGATTTTTAAAAGTTGTTGTCCTTACCAGCTCTTCTTCTTTGAATTTTTAGTGCCTGTCCCTTCTAGTGCTGAACTCGCCATACAACAGATTAAAGGAAGGACTAGTCACCAAAGTTGTCAGACAACTTCGGCCTTTACTTTTCCTTAAAGGTATGCTTATATTGAAAGGATTCTCGGCTGAAAAAAATAAGCGTACCTCGAGAACCCTCTTTAAACGAGAGATTTAGGTCGATTTGTCGAGTGAGCTTTTAAAAAAAAAAAGTTTAAAAAAGCTTTAAATACCTTTTTTCAAAGAATAGATTACAGGAATGGGTCGGAAAAACCTATGGTAAGCACGAGGAGCCAATCAGAACTTAGGTATAGAGCACGAGGAGCCAATCAGAACTTAGGTTTAAAGCACAAGGAGCCGATCAGAACTTAGGTATAGAGCACAAGGAGCCAATCAGAACTTTGGTATAGAGCACAAGGAGCCAATCAGAATTCAAGGTCGATACGTGCACTGAACCTCACACGCGGAAAACGCGAGTGACCGAATAGGATTTTTTGAGAGTGTAGCAACAGTTTTCTTAACCAATCCCAGAGCGTAGTATTACAAAGTCATTGTGGTCCACAATAAAATGAACATTTTAATCAGTGACTTTCTTTCTCTACTTGTTTAATACTCAGATCCAAACCTACAAACAGCAGTGTTATCTTGTCTAAGAATGGTTGTGTGTGTGCACACCCCACTACAAGAAGTGGTTGAAATAATGAGGCCAACCTCGGAGGAAATCAGCACAGGGAATAGGACTGTATCTGGAAACAACAGTAGTTCTGCCCATGACATAAGTTCAGTTTATGTGAAACCTGATTTACAGGTTCCACTCGAGTCTCCATGGCTCATAAACTGGTGTGTTAATACTATAAATAGGAGGGAAAATTCATTGGTGGTGCGATTGGAAGCCTTGCAGTTCATGGGATCCTTTGTGAAGAGCTATGTCTTCTTACTCAGGTAATTGTACTCAGGGGCGTACGAGAGGGTGGAGAGGGAATTACCGGAGCCTCGTTCGTGTACCTTCCCTCCCCTCCCCTCCCCTACCCCCTCCCTCCTCCTCTTAACTAGGGTGAGGAATTTCAAACCGTTCTTTTGCGAATTTGGACTTGTTCAAGTAACCTGGAGAAGGCAGTAAATAAGCCGTGTTTTAACACAGTAAACGATTTATATGAGGTATATCAACAAAATATTGGCAATATATCAAACCTTGTGGTTGACGGATTTTTAACTCTGCCTTCCTGGGTAACTACGCCAACTACGATGTGATTTTTCCTCGTTGCAGTTCCAGTGTGGTAGAGTGTCTCAGGAGTCTGGCATGTTCATGTTTAAAGGATGTGGATGTACCATTTACACTGTCTGCTATGAAGGTGATATAATTTTGTCGATTGTGAGCATTTTTTAAGCGGGTTCTCAGGTCCTTTGAGATATCAGGACAAAGTGCTTACTACAATGAAACCTCCGTTTATGGAACATGTTCAACCCTTCTACCCCTGAGGGTGATAAGTGTCTAATTTCTTCCAACAGTATCACCCCCTAGATCAAATATTAAGGTCATGAGAATAAAGGAAATGATCGCGAACTCAAGAAGTTTTGTATTGCTCAACAAATTCTCCTTATAAGTAAACAGGAATGTATACAGAACAGTATGGAGAACTTACATACTGATGTGAGGGTGTAAAGGGTTAAGACTAGGAAAAGTGTACTCCCAACAGAGGTTTCCCTTCAATATAGGAGCGTTTTTTCTGCTGGGAGTAAATTCTACATCCCTTGAGTAGAGGCGTCGACGCGTTTGTTATTGCAAACCTCTCCAGGATTCACAACAATAGTTGTAGTGCGTAGTGCAGTAGTGCGTAGCAAAAAACCAAAAGTCCGGCAGAATTAGAAGCTTATAAGAACTGATACACTTACGCACTTTTCCCTGTTTTTGATCATGCGTTTATGAAGTCATGCGTTTTAATGCTTCTGCGAGGGTTAGTTGCGAATTTGTAGCTCTATGTGTTCATTATTGCTCATCAAAAACGATTCAGTGGTTCTTTTACCCTTCAGTTTCTAGAGGAAATCGCCCGGGCGGTGTATGCTGACTTTTCAAGCCATGCTGATAGGAGTGCAGTTTCTAAAGAACAGGTTAGCTCAGTTGTTAACCCCATGAATGTATTAAAATTAAAGTATACAGCCATTGTGTTAAAATGAGGATTGGTATAATTTGTTAGCTTTTAAAAAACTTCCATTGTAGTTCTCATATAGTTTGGATCGAGGCGCAGTGACCTTATGGTTCGTGCACTCGAGCACAGGGCAAGGTGTCCAGATTTGAGTCCTACTGGCGGGGTCATTGTGTTGTGTTAATGCACAAGTCTCGTAACGCAAGTGCCTCTCGCTACTCTAGAATGTGAATGGCTACCCTGCGAACTGAAAGGGAAACCCGACGAAATGCCAATGAGGTAGCCTGTGACGGACTAAGGTCCCGTCGCTTTATCTTACAGAGAGTAGGGCTACTTGACTTGAATGCAGAGTTTTTCGTTATCAGTAATTTTTACCGATTCATGACTCCATTCTTGAGTTTACCTTACAGTTTTCACTTGTTGTCTCTTTTCTCTCCGACAACTCTTCCAAATAGTATTTCTAGTAATTGTGTTTGTTGTTCTTCCTCTCTCAGTTGTATAATCGTATTTTCGGTAAATTAATTAGTTTTATTTTATTCCTTTAGATTTTACAATTCTGGCTCAAGTTAATGGACGGTCCTCTGATTACTGTGATACAAGAGGGAAGCTCTGTGTGTGCTCCTTCATGTAGTGCTGCAGTTGACTGCCTGTCCAACATTGGAGCTGTCATCTTTAACGAATTTCCCGTGAGTTTACTCTGATAGTAATGTAATAGAAATCATAGAATCCCTAGTTCTTTAGCCTAGGTTTTTCCAACTCAAGATAATTGACACTAAAACTGGCTTCTTTCTCTGGTCAAGCACTGTTGTTTAACCCCTCTATTTCGAACCTCCGGGTGGTTCACACCAGTTATCTTTTCACGGACAGGTTCGAATATCAGTACTATACCCCTTTCATTACAGAATGAATGGTGTACAAGATATTTTACTCTCTATGAGCCTCTTTACACCCAGGGGGGTAGATGGGTAACGGCCATATAACAGGGAACCTGTCGAAATTTTTGGGGCCTGGGGGGACGGTAGCTTTCGATGGGACTGGCACTCCCATCCAGGTCGAAAAGCGATTCTCGTAGGCAGATTTAGCAGGTGGCCATTTCTGGTGACTTTGCATCTCTTTGTGTGAAAATGTTAAGACTCATAGCATTTTTAAAGTGCATTTATTCCTTGATCTCTTGTTTATTTCCAGGTACACAAGCGTATTCTTTGCATTACCCTACTACTTGGTTTGTCCAATGATGAAGACAAGAATGTAAAGGTGAAATATAAAAATCTAGCTTCCCTTATTGTTTACCCAAGGTTTGAAACTGTTTGAAACTTAAAAGCAAAGAGTTTAACCTTAAACTCTCAGATGTGATTAACTTGCAACCTCTACCAAAAATATCCATACATTATCCAGCAAAAAGGTGATAAGAAAACTTAAACTTATAACGCTAAATTCTCGTGACTAAATTACAAGGAACTGTGTAGCAGCTAGAGGGGAGAATTAACAATCAGATCTTGAGAGTTAAAGAGTTAAAGAGTTTGAAACAGACCAAGTAGCTTAGTGGCTAAATGGTGAAATTAGTGGCAACCTCCTCGTATCTAGTTACAGAAGGTTAGAAAATCCCCACTGAAGTTTTTTTTTTCGGTTAGGAATCCTCTGTGCTTGCAATTACCTGCAAAATGTAAGATTACGCAAGAAACAGTAGCTTAGCAACGTATCGTAAACATGGATGCGGTGATTCCGTCGTTCTACCGTCTTGCATTTGATAAGATAATCTGACGCACTTCAAGTTCTCCACCAGAGCTAAGAGCTCTTTTAAATTTAAATTTTGGTACTGTTTGATTTGTACTATATTTTTTTCCGGCATGCTTTGATTTGTACTTTCACAGAGTCTACGTGGCCTGCGTGTAAGGTGGGGACGGGGTGGGGGGAAGGAGCGGAGTTATGAATTGCAGTCCCCTCTACGCCATTCTCTTTGAACGAAGGCCACATGCGCTGTTCTTTTGCCCTTACGCAGTTTGAGCTTAAAACAATTCATTTCTTCATAACTAGAGGTAAAATAAACACCTTCAACCTGTACTGACTTCCTCGCCGTTTATTTCATGTCTAAGGCCTCATCAGTACGTGCCCTGGGTGTGTTTGTTCTGTACCCTTGCCTGAGAGATGATGTGCTGTTTGTAGCAGACACGGCTAATGCCATGCTCACAGCCATGGCTGATCCTAAGATAATGATACGGATGAAGGCAGCCTGGTCGTTGGCTAATCTCAGTGACTCTCTGGTAACCAATATGTAAGTAAAACAGGAAGCTTCTGTCTGGTTTTGATATATACTTGTAAATCTAGGTCCGACCATGTTTGTGGCCCCTGCTCAAAGTTTTCAAATCGGTACAATTCGTCTTTAAACAGGATATACTTGTTATGTAGCACGAACTGTTGCGTTGCGCTACATTACGTTTATTGCGGTACATTTTATTTTTCAGGTCTTGTGGAGACACCAGTTTTATGGAAGATTTTTCAGACATGTTGCTGTTGAAGCTGTTGAATACTTCTATTACAGCGGCGGATGATAACGAAAAGGTGAGTATTTACGGATGAACACACGGTTTAGAAGATCAAATTGTATTATAAAAACCAACTACAATAAAAAAGTCACGATTTATGGAAATATTTTAAGATTCACACATTGAGACATAGTAGCCTGATTTTTTTTATTTTCTTACGTGTTTCAGGTGAAGTCCAACGCAGTCAGAGCCCTGGGAAACTTTCTCCGCTACATCAGGATGTCATCTTTGGGTAAGAGTAAAAGATCACTTAAAGCACTTTGTAGAAATCTTCAATTGATTGTCAAAAATATTCTGGGATTGCATTGTTTTTACCATCGCAATCAATACGCTCCGTGATTGGTCAAGAAAAGTTGCACCACTTTGTAAACCAATCAGTACAAAATCAAACAAAAATGCGACGCGGTAACTCGCGTTTTCCTGCGCTTCAGCCAGTTTTCTTGTTTTTGCTGTGAATTCTCATTGGCTCCTTGTGATGATTTCCTCTATTCTGATTGGCCTTTTTATGGTCACTGGTTGAGGTAACGACACTCGATCGAAAAACGCTTGACTGAACTCCGTGACTGGATTATGCAAGGTGTGTTATACTGCAAGGAAAAAATCTTTGTGGAGAAAACGTTTGAAATATTTGTGTTGTCAATGGTGATCTGATTTCTCATTTCAGATAAACCAGGCTTTGTTGAGGCGGTGGAGAAAGCTGTGCAAGCGCTGGTGAGAAACGTCGGCTCAGGGCTTATGAAGGTGAGAAGGTAGTCATATCAGTGTCTCCAGTTGGAATGATGACAACGAGAACAGTAGCGATGGTGTTGATAATGACGATTTCGGTGATGATGATGATGATGATGATGACGGTGCTGATGGTGGCCCTTTGACAGAATTATTTTAAGTCGTGATGACAAAAATCTCGTTTCCTTAAAGGATCGGAACGCAGATGAGAAGGTTAAACTTCAACTCCTTGGAGTTATTGTCTTGTGGTCTCCCTCCGGGAGTATGAATGATCCAAGGGGCACCTTAACTTAATCGTCAGGACAACCTTATGAACCGTAGGGGTAACCTACGATCAATTAACACCCTCCCCCCCCCCTCTACCTGATGTAGAAGCGTTGATCCAATTTTGATTAAAATAAAACTTCTTTAGCTTTTGGATTTCAGGTTAGGGTTTGTTTTCGTTATTTTTGTTTTATTTCTTGTCTATATTTGATTCAAACTCTCTTTGGTTACTAGGTTCGCTGGAATGCTTGTTACGCCATTGGCAATGTGTTTCGCAATGCTTTCTTGCCGATCGGCACAGCACCTTGGACGGTTGGTATTTTTTTATATCATTATCTGTCTTTTGTTTTATCAATTTACCAATTTCAATACATTGCGCGATGAAAAGATAAGGAGAATAAAAACTATCTTTCCAGTGACATCATTAGTCGTGATCCACCATGACACGACATGGAAAAATGTTCGGTGATTATCAAAGGAACCACGTCACTATATTTTGTGTCATTTTCTACGAAGTACAACCTGCTTTCAAGTTGAAGAGGACTGCAAATTGTTCGTTTCTTTAGAAAGGCAAGCACAATGAAGGCAATTTTAAACTCAGGGGGAATATGGAGGGCGAAGTATGGCGAGGGTCAACACAGATGGAAATTTGCTAACTTAACAAAAATTTAAGGGTGTGCTCAGTGGGAGTAGCTCCTTTGAGGAGAACCAGTATTTCTCGTATCTTTGGGTTAACTTACTTGAAAGACTGACAATTTTCTCTGAACCTTTCTAAAGTACCCTTCCCCCCTAGAAAACGTCCTTCCCTCCATTACTTTTTACACTGAGACACTAAAAATTAAAAGTACTTTTTTATCTACGTAGGCTGAGATTTTCACTGGTTTGGAAAATGTAATTCGCGACTGCAAGAACTTTAAGGTGAGTTCTAAAGGTAACGTGTGGTAATTGGATTTTATGATGCAAACTCACGATGGAATTTTGTATCGAGACGAGGCTATAGTAAGCTGTGTAAAGGGGGTAAGTTTCTAAAGAAACTGTGGTGCTGGTGGAAGAGTATAACAGGGTAATTTAGTGTTGACAACTGAGTTGATAACGTGAATTGGCCACCGTAAAAAGTTTAAAGGCTGACGTTTCGAGCACTAGCCCTCCAATCGCTCTAACGAAGGGCTATCGCTCCAAACGTCAGCCTTTAAACTATTTACGGTGGCCTATTTACGTTATCAACTCAGTTGTCAACACTAAATTACCCTATAGTAAGCTGTAATTGCGAAAAGTTGAAAGTAACTCATCTATGTCTTCACTTTCTAAGATCGATCTCATAAGACGTAAAGAAGCAAAACTTAGCCAGACGAACGCTTGAAACAGTGCAGAATAATATTTATGCGCAGTAGTAGTCGTTAATTCCTGATGCAGACCGTCTGTGCTTTGACTTGAGTAAACTCTGTCTGATTATTTTCAGGTTCGAATCAATGCCGTCCTACCCTTGTCAATTCCCCCAGAGAGGCGTTACTATGGAGGTGTGACTCTGTATTGTCGAATTTTCGCCACATTGATTGACGCCTTGAAAGGCACTGAGAAGGTCACGGAGTTTAGCGAGTTCAAATACAGAGACCATCTGAGGCAGCAGGTACGATTTGATTATTCTTAACAGTTCTCCATACTGTTTACTATACGTTTCTGATAATTTTAGCAATTAGAATAAGTTGTTAGTCAAACAGTCAATGAATATTTTTCTTCCTTCTCAACACCTCTATGATAAAAACTGTATCGATTGTAAGGAGACATTCCCTCATGCTCAGCCTTGGTAGCGGTAAGGGTTAACAGGGCACCCTCTTCTGATCCCGAAATTTAATGTTTACAGGTGGTTTGCCTTTCATTATTTTGTATGTAAGGGTTTTTTTCTGGCTCGCTTTGGAGACAGGAGCGGTGATGATCACTCTTAGGCTCCAAATCAAGCCGTCTGAGTCACTCAGGTCAGAAGGGTGTGTTCCTGAAAAAGACAGCGACTTCCAAAATGACCCTCTCTACCTCAAGGGTACTAGAATGAGGGAATCCGGCGTAGATATTTTAGGGTGTGATAGACTAGCATTCAATTCATTGGAAACCGTTCTAAGCTCTTCTGGTGTTGGCTAAGAGCTCCCTAAAGAGTTAATCTTTGATTTGTCACACACTTCAGAGGGGGGAGGGGGTTTTTAAGGAAATATTTTTCTCTGTATAGGATACTGATTTTGACACGAATCTATTTGCCAGCTTTGCAATTCACTTTGTCATATGACTCAAATGATGACAGAAGAAGACGCCAGTTCTCTCGGTTCTACGCTGGAGGATAGCCACGATGCATTGAAAGATTACATTGCAGATTATGTTCGCCACCTTTACACTCAGGTGAGAATTTACTCCTATCAGATGTTAGCTTCTCCTTGCTCTCTTTGGGAGTGTCTTGCACACAGTACTCTGAATCACAAGGTCCTGGGTCGAGCTCTGGCCAAGTCATGTTGTTGTGTTTTTTGGCAAGACATTTCATTTGCGCGTTGTCTCTCCCCACCCTGCAGTGTAAATGGGAGTTAGTCTCACGTGTAGAGTTAACCATGAATTTCTTTCCCTCCTCTTTCTACTCTCCCTTCCCCCTCAGTTCTCCCTTAACACGGGAGGGAAGGGGCATTCAAAGTTTGTATCAAACCTACTCTTTTACTCAAAGGATGTCTTAGATCTTGGCTGGACTACGACAGATGTGTTTCGTTTTAGCTCAGTAAGGCCTTTGAAAGTCAGTCAGATATCTACAGGTTTGAAGCAGATATTTAGGTTTCTTATCAATTCTTTGGTCTTCACATAGATAAATACACGAAGTAAGGGAATTTAAAGGATCAAAATTTTCGCTTTTTTTTAACAGGAGTCGTCAATCGAAGATCAAAAGGACGGCAATACAGCAACTGAAAAATGTGAGTTTGTTGAACGTTTTTCGGGGCTCATCCATATCAAAAGAAAAAGTATGAAGGTGTTGTATGAAGAGAAACAAAAATCATTTCCTATTATAAGATAAGGAGATTCGAGATTAGACGTCTCAAGTTATCGAAAACGACTCCTCAGGTTGCATTATAACTTGTTGTCAGACGACCCCTTTTTTCTTGGCAACACGAGATGGTAAAAACAGTGAGCTCAGCTATTTCATCAAGATGGTATATCGCCATCCACTGGTACTCTTTCGCGACTGCTAATGATTGTTTTCAATCAATTCTCACTCTGCTGCTTCTTGTAGACTTTTACATTTTACTCCTCTTTTCTGTTTAGTAACCGCTGTACAGGGCGCTCACAGGCGGGTGCATGGGGAGCTAGAGGCATCTACCCCCGCGGTTAAGATCTTGCAAGATGTGTTTGGAGAATGGACTAAGGCTACAGAGACGAAAGATGAAGCGAGGACAACAGAAGAAGTCAAGTCTGAGTGATATCTTAGTTCCCAGTATTCAGCACGAGTTCTTATTGGTCCATGAAGATATTTTGTTTGCGGAACTGCTAAGACACAGAAGGAAAAATAATGTGTTGGTTACGGCGGAACCCAGAGAGATTGATGATAAGAAAAAAGACATTTCGCTATCGAAGTTAACTTTGTCCCAAAGTTTTGCTACCTTCAGCTCAAACTTGGAATTAAAGAACTTATAAAAATAAAATGAACGTATCGTGTGGAATGTCTTTAACTGGAAGAAGTTTTGTTCCTCCCATTGCATTTGAAATAGGTGGGCATCGGGGAGGAAATTAACTTCTCACACATTGAAAAATCATCTGACTAAGAAAACAGGTTCAATTCTAAACAAAATGGAAGACCTGATCAACGCAGCGTGGACAGAGTGTACAGAGAAAGTGAGGGGGTGGCCGGGATAAGTATAACTCACTTATCGGGAGCACGAGAAACATTTGTAAATCACTTGCCCCCGGCTATTGAGTTAAATTACTTTTCTCGTGCTCCCGACGTCCTTCGTGGCTTAAACATACCGGTAAATCGTCGAAAAATTTTCAGCTTCTAAATAATCTTGCATGTTTTCATATACTGGTCGATTCATTTTGTAAATAAGCGGCCGTTTTTTATCCACTCAGTGGCAAGTTTTTCCTCTCTACTCACCCTCTCAAATTGAGGACATGCATCGCAACAGCTACAAATAGATTTGATAAGATAAAAGAAAGACTTAACGTTCGTAATAACGTCATATTTGAGTCAAAACTCTTCAGTCTTTTTCTTGAGTCGTATCCAGTGGTACGTACTCCGCTTGTTACATATGACCCGAAAATTGTCCTACCAACCATGACAAGTTCCCCCCAGCTCAGTGGGTAGAGTATTGTACCGCAAAAGCTGTCCCAGTCAAGATGGAGAACCTGTTCCGGGGAGCTTGCCGGTTTTTTGTTCGATTTCTTGTTGAACCTTATTTTTGATTCTCATTTTGTTAACAGCGTGTTGTAAAGTTTATCCTTTATTCTACACCCTTAAATTGACGACATGCATCGAAACACTAATGAATTTGAACATTATTACATTAAATCACAAAGGTTTTATACTGCCGTCATCTTGAAGTCAAAACGCACTCTCCTTAGAACCTTTGCCTTTGTTTATTGCAGTACTTTGTCCACCTGTTACATATAATCTTAAAATTTTGCTCTCCTTTCATGGCAAGTTCCCCGCAGCTCAGTGGGTAGAGCATTGTACCGCGAAAGCGGTCCCAGTCAGGATGGAGATCCTGACACGGGGAACTTGCTGTTTTGTGCTTGATTTTTTTTTTTAACCCTTTTTATGTTTTTTTTTTCTAAATTTACCATTTTATAGCCAGGAGTGTCCTTTTTTATTGGTCTTTTCACTTCAGTGCATTATCGGAGGTTTGCTTCCACTAACTGGTAAGTTTATTCTTTACCTACAATGTCAAATTGAAGACATGCATCGAAACGTCGCTGGATTTGAACATTATTACATTTAACAGCTGAGTTTTCGTCAAATGTCATTTTGAGTCAAAACAGGTTATTCCTAAAAGTCTTTGCACATTTGTTCTTTGCAGTACGTAGTCCACTTGTTAATCATAAACTTAAAATTTACTCTCCAATCATGGCAAGTTCCCCGCAGCTCAGTGGGTAGAGCATTGTACCGCGAAAGTGGTCCCAGTCAGGATGGAGATCCTGTTCCGGGGGACTTGCCATTTTTTTGTTTGATTTCTTTTTTAATCTTTCTTAAGCAGATTTGTACCTTTTTCCATTTGATACCATGATCTTTTCTCAGTTTACTCATTTAATTTGTAACCTCTTAATTGAAAAGTTTACCCTTGATTCTACACTCTTTAATTGAGGACATGCATCGAAACGCTACTTAATTTGGACAATTCAAAGTATATTGTCATCTTAGGGTCAAAACCCTTTTGACTGCTTAGAATCTTTGCGCTTGTTCCTTGCAGTGCTTGGTCAACTTGTTGCGTATAATGTTACTAAAATTTGCTCTCCTTTCATGGCAGGTTCCTCGCAACTCAGTGGGTAGAGCATTGTACCGCAAAAGTGGACCCAGTCAGGATGGAGATCCTGTTCCAAGGAACTTGCCATTCTTTTTTAAATTAAATTTCTTTTCTTAACCTTTTTGTGATTTTATGTCTTTTCACTTCAATTCATTATTGGATGCTATCTTCCACTTATTTGCAAGTTTATCCTTTTCCTACAGTTATAAACTGACGACATGCATCAGAACTCTACTGAATTTGAAAATTATTACATCAAGCAACAAAGTTGTAATTCTTAAGTTTGCTTTCTTTCATGGTAAGTTCCCCGCAGCTCAGTGGGTAGAACATTGTACCGCGAAGGTGGTCCCAGTCAGGATGGAGGTCTGTTCCAGGGGACTTACCGTTTTTTTGTTTTTTAAACCTTTCTTTATGATCTTTGGATTATTTGTTTGCTTTCCCATGGTTTACCTCGTCTTAAATACTCTTGATGCCTTTTTGTTTTCTTTTAAAATTTTCTTTCAAACACCAAAAGATAAAGGGTCTCTTGAAAATTAAACAATCTCTTTGAAAGCGTGCACAAAATAAACAAAACCACACCCAAAACTGTGACGTATTTGCTACCGATTGGTTGTTCGTTTTGATCCATATTCAAGAAAAATTCCAATTGCACCTCATTTGAAACTGTCGGCGGCCACGTCAAGATGTCAGGCGAGGCCGGTCGTCTCCGATATGTCTCTGTCAAAAAAAGATGGAAGGAAACGCCGAATTACTTTACTGAACTTCAGGAAACTAAGCGACCGGTAAGTGTATTAAATTGCACATAGGAGTTCTGCGCTCAACTCGAGGGAAACTAGTAAATTTAAGTATAAATTTAAGGGTTGCCATGTGCGTTTGGGATTTTGCCTCGAGAAACTTTTCAAGCTTTTGGGAGAGCAATAGGAAGACTTGCGCATATATGCTTTCACAACAGCCCTTTCAGTTTTACTTTCGTCATGACCTTTAAACCCAAAAATTACGTCAAACACTCTCAGTTCAATCACAACTTGAGTTCAGAGTCCGTTCAATGTTTTGTGATGAGACATCACACTTGTGCGATAAAACGTGGTGGGAATAATCAAGGAATTTCTTTCATCTTCCGAACGTTACCTTCCTTAGAAAGTCACTTTTAAACAGAAACCTTTGAATTAATGTACAAATAAATTTTGTAAGAATTAAGGGTAAAATTTCTGCACAGCCCCAAACTACATCATGCATTCAGTTCTTGGATAGAGAAAACAATGAAAAAAACAATACACTGCCACTGGGAAAACAGATTTGTTTTATAATAGTATGGGGCTGTGCCGAAATTTTACCGAATCAAGGTTTTTTACTATGATGCTAAATGTCTTATTTTTTGTCCCATATTCAGACGTAAACCACAATGAAGACAACAGGTTGAATAAGCACAACAAGCAGAATTCACAAGCGAGAATCAATGAATTGTCAAGCACTGGAGGAACGTCGTTAAGATAAGAATTTTATTTATGTAAAACGCCAAAATATTCTGAAAAAATGGTGGTTTGAATGTCAAGAGAGGATAAAAAATACGGAGTTTGGAGAGACAATTTTGCCAAAATAGCTGATAAATCGAATAAAAGAAATATCTTGCAATATATTGCAATTCAACTTCTACAAGATATATTACCGCCATTTAAATCGGGTATTGAGGCGATAGCAAGTGGCACTGCAATCTAAGCTTTCAGTAATCGAGTACGACAGATTGACGCTATGAATCATCATAACTTTACAATGTATGTGCTAAGTTTGACTGATCTTTGACCGAAAATTTGAATTGTAATTTTCCTTCATTGGTCTCTCTGTTCATCAGTGGTGCCACTTGTTTACGAGAATCTTATTAGTTAATATATCCAAACTTAGTTCTCAAAAAGCAATCGCTGGTGCAATTAATTTTCTGCGAGACCTGAGAACAAAAGCGAGTAAGGCAAACAAAGCCTTATGCATGAACTGCACTATTAGTGTCAGTTTTTTGAAAAGTTAATTTACCCTGTTTTATAGTAGGGCTTTGAAAAGTACAAAAGGTACAAAAAGTCGAGACAGAAACGGAAACAACGTGAGGACAAAATCATTGGTAATTATTGTTGGGTAAAAATTGGCGCTGATAGGAAATTAACTTTGTTTTTCAAAATTTGAGTCGAAGTTGGAATGATTGCATCCCTAATACAACAAATTTCGTACAATTGACAATCTCGTTTACAAAAAGGAGAAAACTTGTGTTTTTAATTTGAACTTTCCACTCGGCTTGAACTTTCATCAAGCTTTTATTTCCTCAACGAAAATTGGTGCAACTAAATGATTACTTTCCGTTTTAAAGCAGTCAACTAATTTTTAAAAATTTTTTTTGAAATGAAAAATTTACAATGCTAATTTTAACCTAAAACAATTGCCCTAATTGACAAAAAGGTTACGCAACATCACGGCAAGGAACGATACTTGCAAGAAAAAATACGCATAACTAAGCGAGGAAAGAAATAAGAACAAACCGAAGGTGATAGTTGACATTTCTAAAATGTACACAAGGAAAATTAACTACAATTTGGAGCCTCGGTGCTGCAAAAAATCTTGCAAGAACTAGCGATTGTTTTTGAGAACTACATATCTATATCGTTAGTTAATGTTCCTATACACTGGAAGAGAAAGAGGCGAGACATCATATATACTGAAGGAAAAAAAAAAAAAAAAGATTCTAAGGTTGGAGACGAAATATCGCGAGACGTCTTTCTGGAGCAAAAATGAAATTTATCCAATCCCTTAGGGAATTATTTGATAAATTCTCCCGACGTAATCAAAAATTGCATTGTGCGTGCGTAAATTGTCTTTCCTTTGTTCTGAATTAAAGCAAAACAAGACATAACAAAAAAGATGATAATTCATCTGTTAATTATTGAATGATGGTTACCACAGAAAATTTAAATAGCTGATTT